GCAGAGTCGCCAGGGGGGAGGACTGGCGGACTACGATCTTCCTTCTTGGTCTTCGCCCGTCCCTCTGACGATCTCTTGAAGCTGTTTGGGGCATGTTCTCCCCAGTCTCTCATTCGGCCGGGTAGGGCAACCTTATTTGCATGGGCTTGGAAACTGGGGACCTCGCCTGCATGGGCCCCAAAACGGTCTTTCGAAGTCTAGACCGTCCTCTCCCCCAAAGCACCTCGTCAAAGTTGGTGGCAAGCCCGCCTGAAGGACATAGGCCATGTGGCTGACCCGCCCATGTGCAGCTTATTCTGGCAGATGATGCATGCCAGAATTAAAGTATGTCAGAATTGCTTGTGCGCGCGGCGCACAGGAACAGTCACTCTTTTAGAGCACAGTGCTTGCTTCCATGAGGCGGTGGCCCCTATAGAGTACAGCCAACTCGTTTAGCGATGTTCTGACTGTCCATTATCCATTTCGTTGACGCCGGTGATACGACATACGCCTCTTTCTTTGTCGTCTATAAGACCCCCGTCCCGGAAATATTGTTTCTGGTATGGAATGGCCTTGTGCCTGCCGCATTGTGTTGCATGCCAAGTGCTTGCCACATGGCAAGGGACAGGACTTGGGCGCTTTGCATGTGGACACACGAAACTATTCTTTCCCCAGGTCAATCCTAAGCAGGGACTCTAGGCGGCGTTTCCGATGCTACTAAGCCGTCAGCCACATGATAAAGTCCGAACACGACCCGGAAGGGAAAAGGATAAGCTAAATGAAGGGTAACAAAGGAAAAGAAACGGAAGAAAGAAGGGGAAGACGGCCATAGAGAACAACTTAGATCTCAAATCGTGAGCTCACTCGGCATCGGAGATTGTAATTGTGGCCGCTTCACTCCTCCTAAGTCAGGTTCTGAACAAACAGCCCAGCCTTTCCATCTAGGGACACACGTTCTTTCCAGCTAGACGGGACGAAGCTTATTATCAGCTCGGCTGACGTCGTCTGTTGTTCACAGAAGCAGAACAAATTGTGGATTGTGCGAGCAAACGCATTGTTTCCTTTGTATTTCTAACCTCTCCTATTGTCTCCTCCTGGCAGCCACATACCTGCCTTGCAAAGTTTGCGGCTTCTTTCGATATGCCTCATTCTTTCCTTTGTCATCATCCATCGCCTTCAAGCAATTATGTGCATTTGAGACGGCCAAGATAAGACCGGTGACTAAAACGTCAAGTAAACCTGCTTTCAAACAAACCCCTTGCTTTAAACGAAATTTGGACTGTGCAGCTGCGCCCAGGAAAACATAAGGAAGCAAACAAGTCGAGATACAGCTAGAGGTGACCAACCATCCGGTACGGATGGAATTTCAATAGGAAACCAGGTATTTTCCGAGTGGAGGCGCCAAATATGGTGAGATGGCGCCTGAGGCCCCAAAGGCAAAACATGAACAGGGCGATGGACTATCAACACGTTCGCAGTCGTATTTTCTTGTGTCGTGGACGTCTCCTTTTCTGTATTGGCTCGTGGTGACATATATTGTATTGTGGTCATCCCGACAGAGATTCTCCAAGGCGATTTCCGGATAGCTAGTGTAACGTGTATCATATAAGAGGATAAAATAGCAACTCTTACTTCTGTATCGATTCAAATTCCTTGGGATACCGTGTCTGTGTTTCGTAAACAACTGTGCATCCGTTAGTTTGGTTCCTTCCACGTGCACTTACGATTTTCCAAAGATTACTTACGCGGACAGATGGTCTGCAACAATAGCTGTTGCTCTACATTGACAGATGGTATCCAGTTTACAAAATTCTCAAAAGCAGAGTGTTGTATTAGGAGCAAGTGTCGTAAACTTAAGCAAACTATCAGAGTAATGCCGTCCGTATGCAATAACATTGAACATCTCGTATCGCACGAAGGCCATGTAGGAGGAAGTCCAATCTTGCTGATTATGTCGCCAGGCCTGGCCATTAAAATCAAACCGAAGTTGTCCATGGCCTCAAAGGAGGTATTGGGATTCTATGAGCAATGAAGGGTGTGTCAGTGACTGCTTCATCATTGTTATTCTTGTATTGTGATAGACGGCCGTCTTAATGAGCGGCATAGACATGAAGTTAGCAATGTGCACCATTATTTGGACAGCCATGCCGACTGTCAGTTACGGCATAATCCAAAATACTCTCAGAAATATCTGGCTCTGTGTGACACGAGGTCCGAGGTACGTGGTCATACATGACGTCAGTGAGGAAGCTTTTCAAGGCCCTCTCTTCAGCCACGCTTGGACGAATTGGCTTAGAAAATGCCAGTGTTCATGAGATACAGCCAAGTTCATATATCTATTTTACAAGCAGGCATGTAAAAAATATGAATTATTTGAAAATTGCTTTCTCGGGGAGGGGGGTGGGTGGGGGTTGAGGTCAATAATGATTGATGGGAAAGGAGCCGCATAAATTATCATAACATAAACCGAAAATAAAGATGGAAAGTGAACGTAGAAATATAAAAAAAAAAAAAAAAAAAAAAAAAAATCAAATAAAACGTAAACTATTGTACCCAGTCCAAGCTACAGACAAAAATAATTGTTTGAACACCCGAGGCTCCCAGACGTCAGACAAAAGACCACAGAGCACTGCTTCACACTTTAACTGAGGCTCCTTGCCTCGACCTGGCAGTCGTTTGACGTCTAAAGGACACTACATGGTCTTGACCTTCGGACTACGGCTACACAATTTGTATATTGTCGAAACTGCACACGAATGAGAACTCCCGACCGATTCGGCCACTCTTTGTACCTGGATGCGACGCTTTGTGGCTGTGCTTCTGACCCGCCCGGTCTCCGTCTGCTATTTCGCATGCCGGGCAACTGGGTGGCACTGCAAGCTTGCGGCCGTGAAATTGGATGTACCAAACATCGTGGCTTTTGCTTTTAGCGCGGTGAAGGCTTGGCTAACAGTCCGGTTCTGCGTGCCGGCTCACAACTTCGATATGCGCCTTGCCGAAAGCCTCGTGAAAGTCTGACGACCAAGTGGAGACCTGGACAAATTTGTGGTACTCCACGAGAGTAGGACAAGAGGACATGCAGGGTGCGGAGTTTGACCCGGGCAACTGCACGACACATTGCCAATGGGGCGAGGAGATTGCAATAGGAAGATGAGTGACAACGTGAGGGACGAGCTGTTATTGTCCTGGCTTATTGGGGCCCATGTGGACTAGATGCTGTCCTTAACTCGACACGAAAAGTGTACTCGGCACGAAAAGTGTAAAAGGAGCGCGGTTGATACAAAGATTGGCATGACAATGTCGCTATCAACCGTTATTCGCCAACAGAGCCCGAACATTGTGACGTCACAAGGGTACAAAGACTTTGGATGGAGGAGGCTGAGGAGAGAATGGAAAGGGATGAAGCGACTTTACAGAACCAACCAGGTTCAAGACAGAAACAGGGCAAAAATATGAGAACAATGTCAAAGGACAAAGGTATGGTATTGCCGTTGACCGACCTGTAAAAAAACTCTCCTTTAGTACACCTCTTTATCCTTGCCTCGTCGTATGTGCCATCAGGAGCCTCGGCCGGGCCAAGCCTGCTTTCCGTCTCTCGTTGCATGCCTTTCGTATCTCGTCTTTGAGACCAGGCAACAGAATAATCGAGGCCTGGCCCCATCGCTTTTGGCGTGTCATAACAGCATCTGCTCAAACGGGGAAGCGGCCGTGGGAAGACTGGCTCTGTGGTTGGCCCAAAGACACAAAACGAACTCCACCCGCAACAACGCGAGATACGGGATCCAGGCACCCGTTTCCAGTCTTGGGCCCCAGACTGCACCAAGCAAAAAGAACAGACCGCTGCCAGGGCTCCAAAAGGGTGTCTGAAATCCGCAACAGTGCACACCGTCCATATTACTTTGTATGTCGTACTTTTCGACCAGAATCATCGCCACGACCTTGTTCCATCACCAGCGTATTCCGCATCACATTGGTCTGCCGCTGTGCGGATTGTTCGACACGATCCAAAACATGCAAACCCCAAAACGGTGAAACCATGCGCCGGCTTACCTACTGTTAGCAGAATGGCCATGGCATGAAGGCACAGCAGGGCGCATTTGGCAAATTGTGGCATCCCCGATCCGAGTTTCTTTGGACAGCCGTTTCAAAGTCCAGTGTATCCCATCATGGGCCCTGTGCCTGAGTGATATGACGGTGATATTGACAGTGACATTGCCAGCAAGGCTGGACAGCGCAACAAACGACCCAAAACGGAAGTTTGTGGGACCGTTCGCTCTGCGTCTTGGTGGCCACAAACGCCGCGCCTCATTTGCGAGGACTCCTGTATCTTACGCTTCGCACAATTGAGCGCTGCGTTTGTCCGTTTTTTGGTGTCCAAGGTTCAGGAAAAAAGGCTTGGCGAGTTTAGCATGTCCGCCAGCCAAGCGTCGTCCAATCGCGTGCGGCGATCAACAATACGAAATACGACCTTCCCGTGTGGAGCCTGCCCATGATCTCCGCCTAGAAAACGGTGTCTGGTGTGTTGACGCTTTTGTTATGCTTGATTTTTTGAGTGGCATGCTGGTTTGGGTTGGCAGGGCTTCAATCGGTGGCCACGACGAGGCAAAACCGTCAATGTAATTACGCCGTGGATGTCATGTATCAGCGTGTTACTGCCCCTTTCTTCAGTTGGGACCGGTACTTTGTCTAGGCAATCTTTAATCTTCAAAAAGAAAAGAATAATTTTTCTAGTATATATATCGTCGTCCGACTTCCACCTCTATCGGACGTTGTTCTTGATTTTGATCTTCAAACGGCATCACCACTGGTATGAAGCGTCTTCAACTACCTATGCCAGGACTTCAATACCTTATACACCTTGCCCACCCTGCCCACCACCTTTGTCCACCGAAACAGCATCTCCATCTTTGATTATCACCATCGACGGGCTCACTATCGCCGCTTTTTGACACCCTTTCTTTGAATCACTTTTCAGCACTCCCAACACACCCAGCAGACAACCATCGCCACAACTGCCCATCATGGAAGACGGAAAATATGGTAAGCATCTTTGCCAGCACACGCACATCTTCTACGACGCCTCTACAGCTCCTTCGACACTGACCTCGTGCTCTAACAAAATACAGTCGACGGCAGCATCTTCATCTACGCCCCTAATAAGGGTGCCCCGGTGTTCTTCGCTGTGGGCTTTTTCGCTTCGCTGGTATTCCACTTCTGGCAGTGCGTCCATTACAAGAGCTGGCGCCTGACCGGCCTCTACGTCTTCTCCAACACACTCTTTACGGCCGGCTACATACTCCGCGAAGTTGGCGCCTTCAACTACGGGAATGTCGACGTCTACATTGCCTCCACCGTGCTCATCTACGCCGCTCCGCCGCTGTTCGAGCTCGCCAACTACGTTGTCCTCGGCCGCATCCTCTACTACGTGCCCCATCTCTCGCCCATCCACCCGGGCCGCGTCCTGTCCACCTTTGCTGCCATCTCGTCTGTCGTCGAGGCCCTCAACGCCAACGGCGCCGCCTACAGCGCCAACAGCAACCTGCCCAAGAGCAAGCAGGACATGGGCCACGCCCTGCTCAAGGCCTCGCTCATCCTGCAGCTCGTCGTCGTCGGCCTGTTCCTCCTGCTGGCCATTGTCTACCACCGCCGCACCCTCAAGAACAACATCCACAACAAGAATCTCACCAACGCCCTCACCACGCTCTATCTCAGCACCTCGCTGCTCCTCATTCGCACCATCTACCGCGTCGTCGAGTACTTTAGCATCGACACGCTGCACTTTACCGACGGCGTCGACCCCAGCACCTTCAGCCCCATCCTGCGCTACGAGTGGTTCTTTTACGTCTTTGAGGCTTCGCTGATGTTCACAAACACCTGGCTCCTCAATTTCCGCCACCCGCGCCGCTACTTGCCCAAGTCCACCAAGACGTACCTGTCCCGCGACGGCGTCACCGAAATCACAGGCCCCGGCTACAAGGAGGAACGCAACTTCTTGATGACCATCATCGACCCCTTTGACGTGATTGGCCTGCTCCAGGGCCGCGACAAGAAGACGGCCTTTTGGGAGCAGCAGGACCAGCAGCTGCAGCAACAACAACAACAACAACGACAACAGCCGCACTCCTCGCACGGCGACAAGATGCCGCTGGCTGCCAACGGCCGCCACGGTCCCAAGCCGAGCAACGAAGAGGATCTGGAGGTCGGTCTGTGAAAGCACACAAATCGAGCGAGCGGCTAGCAGGCAAGCTGGCGAGCAATGTGTGTGAGGAGACGTGAATGGTCTTGTTTTGGAGAGAGAGAGAGAAGGAGGAAGAGAGAAGAGAGTGTGTGTAAGACTGTCCTTGCCACTGAAGTTATATACCCAGTCGAATCGTTTCGTTCACTATTTACATCGCCATCTAGGTGCTGTGGTTGCAGATGGTCTTTCGTTATCTTGCCTTTTTGGTGGAGCTTACTGCTGTCCGTTTTTGTCCAATTCGCTCTTTCGTTCCGATTTCCTTGCCTTGTACAAATAGATCATTAGAACGACCACATCATATTGAATTTGTATTCCGTATTTCTCACCTACTCAACGTCGTACTATTCCTTATTCAGCCTCGCAGTTGTGGTCCAGGCTTTTTACACGAGGCTGAGAGCGGCTGTTCCCGAGTGCACGATGCCAGGCGATCGTACGCGAGCAATGCGACGGATGCGTCATCCTTCTTGGGGACCGTCTATTTACAGCATGCGCAGGCGTTGCGCGTCTATTTACTGCTCGCGGCGACCCCGAACCGTATTCCCACGCTTTGCCTCGCTTTGTCTCGCTTTGCGCATCCCTCCAAATTCCCAACAGGCGTTCCTTCCTTTGGTTCTTCCTTTCCATATGCCTGGGCTCCTTCTACAATATTGTGACTTTGCCGTCCCAGAGGCTCCTTCCTCCGGGGCCCGCGTGGGTTCATCGTTAGTTTTGAGCTCTGACGCCTTCGCCGCGGAAGCTAAGGGCTGCGTCGCTCTTGCCTTCACGTTTTGGTAAACACGGCAGTTCTTTATTGATTTGTGTCATCTTTCCACGGCACGCATAGACAATGGCGCTGCAGCGTCGTGCCTTCCGTCTACACTACCTCCTACGCTTGGAAAGTGCGTAGACGCGACTTCCTCGACAATTGCGTTCTTGCCTGTAAAGATTCGACCCAAGAAGCCCCCTTTTGTTTGGTTTTTTTCCATCTTGAGCCTTGGCCTTTCATAAGGTATCTAACTTTCCTCCTCCTCTTTTGCAATTGCCGTGAAAGGCCCTGCGCACCGTCTTTTGCCCATCAAAGATCGCCGCCAATAACACACAAAAGGCATTTGCAATCCGATACGTCTCAGTGCATCCCCCAAGTGCATACGGAGTACGGGGGTGCATATCCGTGTCTTGTGTCAAGTTCGACATGCGCCGTACCGCGACGGACGGAGAAGGTTGCATTGGATTTGAACCGCCGACTCAGAAGTTGGGGTGAACGGCAACTGAGGTCCATAGTGCTTTGTTCTTGGAACCACCGGAAACACAACATGTTTCGTTTCGCGCAGACTCATGGTGGGACATTGCGTCTTGTCGTTGGCCTTTCTGTCAAAGTGGGATTGCGGAGCAGAAGGGCAAAAGGCACCTGGAGAAACATCAAGAGCACTGCCCCAGACGATCTGATGACCCTGGAGGAGAGGACCATCTCCTTCAGTGAGCAGACCACAGTTCCCACTTGCTGAATCTCCACCATATCACGCCCCTCAAGCCTTACGAAGTACTTTTTTTGAGAGCGCCGTTCGCGTGGCGGAGCCTCCTGGACCCGCTGAAGTCCACAGCTTGGCCACCGCGAGGCTAACACAATGACAACAAACGCAAGAGAAGTCCAAGACATCACGACACTGCCAATCAATGCGAAGAAAACACTAGCACAACTGGCACACGAGTGCCAAGTACAGCCTGCAAAACTTGAGATGCCAACGTGGTTTGAAATCTCGAGGCCAAGACAATGCAGAACGCGGGGCGATGGAGAAACAAGAAACGACCTGGCGTGACAAAACGTTCAAGGAGTTTCTTTTATCTGGCGACGTTTTTTCGACGGCAGAGGAGCTTATGGCCACAAAAACCATGCGCGACCTGACGTTTCCAAGCACATTTAAGAAAGGAGAACGTCCTGCGAACGCAGTCATCGACATCGCCACGCCGAGTGGACACGCGCTCTCTTGTCAACATCGCCGGCTGCACATCAGGCCGTGTGGGAACATAACTGTAAGATACAATCCGGGTAGTAGCATCTCATTGCAAGCCCATTTTGTGTAAGATACTTACAAGAAATTCTATGTGCAGAGAACTACCCCATCTGCTATTTCCATCGTCTGATGGGGCAATCTCGTCTCCCTGTCAATACAGCCAGCTGGACCCTTCCAAATGCGCTTTTCTTCCGTCTGATCCCAGTAACCCCCCTGTCTGAACCCGCTGGGATTGCCCACATTCTTAACTGGTCCTAATTTGTTTGCTCCCCATTGACAGTGGCTCTGCGCCCTGGTCAGAGTTTCAACGGCTGCGCCAGAATCGAGACTGAACAGGGCCTTATGCTTCTATTTACGACGCTGGCAACTGGGAGATTATCCTTCGAGAACAGCTGCGCCCCAGAGAACGCCGGATCTCCCATCGCAAACTGCCTTTACCATTCTCGCTCATCTTGCATTCATGCCCACAGCCTTTAGCAGCGCCTTTTGGATACCTCGCGTTGCTCGCTATGCACGGTCAGTCTTCTTGTGGAATCAGAGAGCCTTGTGCCGGTAATAGTGCTGGCCGACCTGTCCCGACCTTGTCATATTGTTTTGCATCCAGTGAGCAACCGGTTCCACGCCTTTGCGACAGCCATCGTGCTTTCTGTTTGTTCTATTTGTAGTTTGCAAGCATCGACCAGGGATGGGGCTTGGGGGGCTGCGAAACAAAAAAACAACACAACCCTGGCTAGCTGTTCGTCGAGTCGCAACCCCCCCCTCGTCCCCCTGGTCGCTTTCCACCACCCTCGCGACTCTTAAAACCCTCCAGGTGCTCTTCGACGGCCTTTCTCGGCCTCTTTGCTTCCTCCTCCGACTCCTCAAGAAGCCCCCCGACATTCGTTTTGACCTTGTGAACTGGACTTGGCAGATGTACGCACGCATTCCTGGCCATATTTTCCATAACAGTAATGCACTGCCAGGGGTTACGAGAAACGTTACCGTGACCAACCCTTCTATTGTTGGCTCGTTGTTTGAGATTTTTGTTTCCGACCCATTGGCGTCTCTCGATCTTTCGACTTCGATCCCCATCCCTGGCCCACCGGGATTTCCACACAATCCTGGCTTCTCGTCACGACCTGCTTCCTTTTTGAGCCATCGCAACCGCTAAATCTCATTTCGTCTCCTCACCACCTCGGCCCCTTAAACTTCGGTCTCTTTTTGCTCTGCCACCTCCCTGTCCCATTTTGCACACGGACAAGTCTACCTCTCGAGGGTTTTCCCCCCCCCTTACTGACTGGTGGCATATCCAATACGAAGACTCGCGGACCAAAGAGGCATATTTTTCCTTCGGTCTTTTTGTGAACCTTTTGATTCTTGGAGTTCTCCTTCACTGGTGATTGCTGTCTAACTTGCACACCTACTCGGCCCTCCGTGTTAAATCCCGGCTGAAGGCCATTTTGTCCCCTTGTTGTCCTATTTTACTTTCTTTTCTTCTCAATTCCTCCGCCTCCTTTCGCCCATTTTTGGTCTTACTTACGACAATAATCGCTGTGGCAGTGGTCGTAAGATATCTTACTCCTCCCATTGGAGCAGGAAGAGAAGGTTATGCTTATGAGCCACTCCACCGCCTCGATCCCGGATTACACCGACGACAACTATACCGACAAGTGCATAAAGAAGATCGTTGTCCCCCGATCGCAGCCATGGCACACTGGCGGTCACAACCCGCTGCCATGATGGGCGCTTCCGAGCCCAACCGTGTGCGTCGCATTTATCCCGATATGGTGACAGACGCCGGCGACTTGAGCGGCGTTGACGCGTTTAGAAGCAGTCAGTCGACCCACCGTCCGCAGGTCTACGTACATGTCGAGTTCGGTATCTCTTGGGCTTCGCGCCACGTACCAAACAACCATGTGTTTACATACAAGTCGCGTGGCTTGCGTGACCGGCTTGCTAACTTTCCGCGAGAAGCTCCGGAGCCATCGACACACTATCTGTCCAGCAGTGTTCCACCTGTCTCGCAACCAGGCTACTTTCCGTCCTTTGATGGGTTTGCCACGCCGCACCAACATGGCCAGCAGAAGCAACGCGAACGGCACGCCGTGTGGGGGTCTCTTGAGTCACAGAGACGGCGACAGCTTCAGCAGTCTCAGAATCGCGTCCGGGAAGAGCAAACATTATTCCCACTGCAGCACCAACACAGCCAACAACGGAGACGAAATCAGCATCAGCAACAACTGCAATCTCAACCCCTGCCGCAACAGCAATCTCAACTATCACAAACATATCTCTCCACCAGATACCAAAATCGAATGGGCCTTCCGCCTGTCGATGAGGAGACGCGCTCGTCGAGATCCTCCAAGGACTCTCGGTCGTCTCATGAGCGCGGACACTCAGCGCCACCACCGCTGAGCGGTAGCCCCTGGGACATTACGACAGGCGACGCATCGGGTCTACCGTTAAACGCTGGCGGCAGCAGGTACGCCGGCCCGACTACGGTTGGCCCGGCACGTGCTGGTCGTCCGCAGATCTGGAAAGCTCTGCCCGAGCTGCCGACTGGCTATCGACTTGGTGAAGGCCTTCCCTGGTCACAAGGCCTACCGGAGCCGGGCGTGGATCCCGATGACGAGCGGTTGCGTCCGAGGTCACAGCCTGAGGCTGGCGATTCTTCGTCCATCCATCAATCCCTTGACTACTCACCCTTTCGCCCCTTTACCAACCGCCCGACGGTCCTTCCCATTCAACCAACGGATTCAGGGGCACAGCGCCAGCTGGACATTGAAACCCAGCGAAAGCGCAATCTCGAATCCCTCTCCAGCGCCATGATGACCATTGACAACGGCTTCGAAAGCCAATGGTGGAACCAGGGTGAGCGCCTGAACACCAACGCACACTCGCCAACCGCCCCGACTCAGTCGGTGTGGCCGTCGGGCATGTCCTCTTCAGCCCTTCCAGTCTCCCTGGTTTTGCCTCCATCCCTCCAGGGCGAATCGGACGACGAAGGACAGTCTACCTCCGCTCCCATGCCGCAGCAGACCTCTTCTCTCCCATCCTCGCCGTCGTCGCCGCGACGCATCCGCATGCCTTCGCTTGGCTGGGCCATTGCCTCATCGCCAGTGTCTTCAGAACCCACCGGTGGCCCTATATTGCCGTCACCATCCTCTATTCTGCCGCGTCACCCGCAACGGGTCAGCAGTCTCGGCAACCACCGCACGAGCCAGTCCAGCCAGAACGTCGTGTCACCCGTTTCCCAGTTCACAGGCAACGACTTATGGTCGCCTGAAACTCGGAACCGCCAGCTTAGCCGATCTATGACGACCCGTTCCGATGAACTGTTTTTCACGACTGGTCGGTACGCTTGAGTGCCAAATGTACATATCGTTTTCATTTTCTATTTATCTCCCATCTATTGGTTGATTTTCTGGCGTCCTTTACTCGGCTAGTGGGCGGAACATTTTGTGTTTACCTGTTTATCATATTGTTTTGTGCGGACGATACATTCCCGCCAGAATATTTAGCATAGCGCCTTGCGTGAATTCCATTTCATTTGTATCAAGAAAAAAGACGTATAATCTAAAAAATCCAGCCTTATGTTACACGTCTTTCATATGTTGTTTTATCACTCTTTGCATGGCTTCTGATCTCCAACTATATCAAATGAAAACAAAGCTCTTTATATGTTTATTGTTATTGCATCGTACAAACGTGTCGTATGCTTTATGTTTGTGCAATACCGCGGAAGGCGAAGAGGCCATCGCCAAGGAAAATCCAATGAATCAAAAAAGACAGAAATAAAACGCCTCCTATCATGTTCCTTGGAGACGACGCCGCAGAAATATGCCAAAAAACGGAGAAAAAAAAGAAACAAAGAAAAAGAAAAGTAACCAAAACCTGTGCTCGCCATGGGGCACTGCCTGCACTGCCCAAAGTAGGCGACATCGAATGTGCTTTTGATATGCCACCAAAATAAGAAACTGTCATGGTATCTTCTCATACAAAAGAGAGGTAATAGGAAAAAAAAAGAGATATGAAAGACTATCAACATGAAGTGAAGAGAAAGTGGAAAGACAAACAAATGCAAGAAAATACCAATTAAGTGGCCGTTTCTTGCTCTTCTCGAATGGAAGTCATCTCCGTTCCAGTAGACGGAGGGACTCCAGGCTGCTGGAAGAAGCCGCCTTGCTGCAAATCGGCGTTGTCATGAGAAGATGAGCCCAGGCTCGCGGTGTCACCGACGCTGCCAATGGTATTTCTGTTGTCGCTGCCGCTGTTGTTTCCATTGTTCCAGCCGGTGTTCCCAGCAGTGGCCGGGGAATGGTGGGAGCTGGTCGACTCAGCACCACTGATATGCTGCACGTCGTGCGGAAAATCGCGTTGCAATGGGGAAGCGTGGATGGGCGACGCAGACTTCTTGCTGGTAGCGTCCATGGCGCCACTGCCCGCAATGGTGGTGCCTCCCCCGCCACGGGACGAGTTCCGAGGCGAGACGCGGCCGACCTGCTTGGCCCAGCGTAGACCACAGCTGTTGCACAGGTCACGCTGGCCACTAGGGCCTCGTCGCCATTCGGGAGTGTTTCGTGTATGGCAGTTGGCGCAGTCGCGTGGCACGTTGCCAACACCCTTGCGCCGCTTGCGCTTCTTGCGACTTGCCAGCAGCTGGCCAAGTTCCTCCGCCAGTAGCCGGTTTGCCTTTTCCATTTGCCGCAGCTCGTACTGCCAGCTTGTACAGCGCGTGGTCTTGAGCTCGTCAAAGATGTTGTCGTCTGCAGCCAGGATCGAGTCTTGCGAGCCGAGAGGTATCGCGCCCCCGCCAGCCGCGGACATATACCCACCCGTCTGCGTGTCTGGTTCGGCCAACTGCCCGAGTACACCTGCTCGACCAACCTCGTCGGTCTCTGTTATTGCGACTCCCGAGGCGCTCGAGGTTCCAGTGTTGGAGTGAAGGCTGTTGCGCGAAGACGACGATTTGAGGAGTCTGGTTTGGCCAAGAATGAACGTCGGTTTCTGGCCTCTCTCGGCATCACCGGGATACAGAATAGTTGAGGATTGAAGAACTTGTCCACGGCGATGTTGTACTTCGTGGCGACAAGACGCAATGACACCGCGCCGGACTTTATCGACCGACCGGTTGAACCCGACGCGGGATTCTTTCCGCATGAGATCTTGCATACTCGTACCGATGAGAGTATCTGGTTGGAGGTCGAGCAAAGAGCGGACGTTGGACGAGACATGCAGGATCATGCCAGACGTCGACATTTTGGTCCAGATTTCGCTGTCGCCGATGCCGCCGTTGATGTCGACATCGCTACGGCGCAGTGCAAAAGCAGGGCGTTTCCGACCAATCAGTACAATGCACTTGCGGCCTTTCCCCTGCTCTACAAGCAGCGAACCGTGACTCTCGAACCATGTGTAACCACTGCGCTTGCGACGTATCCGGTAGACAAAATTGATCGGCTGGCCAGCCTGGGTGTCGCGCATTTCGCGTGTGACGGGCACGATGTCAGACGGGTGGCAGATGGACGACAGCGAGTTGCCCAACAGATCGGACGAGTCATACTCCAGCACGTCTTTGCAAGAAGGTGACAGGTACAGGAAGACACCTTTTAGGGAAAGAACGTGGATCACATCGTCAACGTTTTCGAGGAGCATCTTGTCCCAGGACTGGCGGTAAAGGTCAGACGTGGCCGAGCTCACAATGTCACTTCCAATGCCCTTGCTATTCATTAAACCGCTGTTGCCCAACTGCTGCAGGAGCGCAGAAACGTCGTCGACACTGAGTGTGCGTCCGTAGTTGGTGTTCCATTGGCTGGTCTTGGGCGGGTCCCATATGTACTGAGGGATGCTGGTTCTGTGCTTATAGTCGATGCGCATCGAATCAGTGGAGTTGCCCGAGATGGCGTCTGGCGACTCAACGAGGTCGATTTGAAGCCCAATAAAGTATCTAAAGCCATCCTTGTAGTCATCCCACGGAATAGGAATCATAGTCAAAAGGTTAAGGAACGGCTTGCCTCCCTTCCGGTAGTTGATCAGGCTTTGTTGCACCTCACGACCGGCATTCAGTTTCTCCTTGATTGTAAAAACAGCTTTGTTGTCGGTGAACTCACGGCGCGAGCCTGCCTCTACCCTTCCATCGGGCGCCTGCAAAAAGCGGCAATTCTGGCCGAGAATCTCGTGGCTACTGTATCCAGTGAGGTGCTGGAAGTTGTCGGACATGTAGATGATGGGGCAGTCATTCAATGTCGCATCGCAAACAACAAAGGCGCAGGAGAGATCCACGGGACCGATGGAGATTTCCGGGTTGGGACGCGATGATACGTAATAGAGAGCGCGGATCATGTCGAAACCACTGGAAGAGTAGTAGTTCTTTATTGTTTTGGAGGTTATTGGGGGCGGCTGGGGGCCGGCAGCCATGGTGGTTATGCTTGTCGTAGACGGCCTTTTTGACTGAGGCCCGTTAGACGAAATTTGTGCAGGGGTGGGTGCGGACGATGCAGATAGGGAGGCAGACGATGTGCGGGGTATAGATCCTGGTGATGTACCGCTGCTGTTGGGATGGGAAAGCCGGCGGCCAGATGTACCGGGTGGGATATCGATTTGAGAAGGCGTCGATCCGATGGACTGTACAAACCCGCTCTGATACTGGACTGGCGGTTGCTGCTTTTGCTGCTGTTGCTGCTGTTGCTGCTGTTGCTGCTGTTGCTGCTGTTGCTGCTGTTGCTGCTGTTGCTGCTGTTGCTGCTGTTGCTGCTGTTGCTGCTGTTGCTGCTGTTGCTGCTGTTGCTGCTGTTGCTGCTGTTGTTGCTGTTGCTGCTGTTGTTGCTGCTCTTGCAAAGACGAAATTTGAGATCTCGCTAATGAACCCGACGAGGAGGGAATGGCATGCGAGGGTTGGGGCGCGGTCACGAAGAGATCTAATGGAGGTGGCTGGTGGGGCTGCTGCTGCTGCTGTTGTTGTTGGTTGTGCGGTGCTGCTGGGCCGGCGGCCATTAAAGACATACCATTGCTCATGTCCATGTCCATAGGAGAAGCAAAGGGGATTGCCGTTAATGAATCGCCATGTCCAGAAGAGAAAGCCAGCGATGATACAGGTGCAGCACCGGACTCGGCGCCGGCGGTTGAGAAAAAGGCAAGTGAAGCAGTATCAAGAGATGAGGGATGGTTAGGACCCATTTGGGACATGTCTAAGCCTGGGTAGGACATCATGCTATCGATCATGTCCTGAGGCAGAGAAGAAAAGTTGTGGATGTCCGAGTTGGATGAGGCGAGGGTTCCAGAGGCCGATGAAAAGCCGGTGGCAGCTTGTGACGCAGTCGTGGGTTGCTGCTGCTCTGCGGTTTCCAGTGGTTGGCCGGCGCTCTGTCCCGGCATTGTTGACATGGGGAACCCAACTGTGTTGTCTGACGTCCCAAACGAGAAGTTCTTGAATGCATTTTCGACGGCACTGTGGATCTCCCCGGTTGAGCTAACGCCACCAGTGCCGGCCGTGAAATCAAGCATCGGCATGCCCCCGTCTGCTCCAAGAGCGCGGAAGGCCGCAGCAGACATGGACATGCGAGACGGCCCTGTTGAATGATGGGAGAAGCCTTGCTGTGTATGTGGCAAGCTATGCCGGCGACCAACGGCGTTTGAGTGCTGGGAGTCTTGGCCGAACATGTTTGCGTCGAAAGAGCCGTCGTCAATGTTCATCATGCTCGAGTCGTTGTTGTGAACGAGTGGGCTGGGACCAGATGACATGTTTGGCAGATTCTGCTGTTCATGCTGTTCATGCTGTTCATGCTGTTGTCGTCGTCGTTGTTGTTGTTGTTGTTGTTGTTGCTGCTGCTGTTGCTGTTGCTGCCGCTGTTGATGTTGTTGATGTTCCTGTTGTTGTTGGATACCGTCCATGCCAAGCGGCAGCTGGTCATTATAATAGCCGTTCATTGCGACTGACGGAGATCAACGAGGGTGGTGGCGCGGGTATGTTTCGTTTCGAAAAATCATGTGAAGAGATCGATGTGCGGTCTGCCGGCGTAACGAACAAGAAAAGTATCTCTTCAAAACAGTAAATAACCTCCGGTGAGGATGTGGAAGAGGTACGATCAAGATAAAGGCCAAGGAGAGACCCGTCTTTTCTGCTTAGGCAGTAAAGGTGTGTGGTGGTACGAACTGAAAAAAGAAAACGATAGGTCTCGCCTCGTTCAGCTTGTCATAGAATGGTAATGTTGATGTAGACTTTGGTGCCGTATGCATGCAAACGCTGGGGAGCGACAGGTCGCCTTCTCGCCGGTCCCCGATTTGGCGAAGCGGGAAGAGATGCAGAAGTTTATGGCGCTCCCAATTCACAAGCTTGGGTGCGCTGCAGCCTGTGTGGTGTTCTTGTCAGACAGCTGAGACCAAAAGACGTAGGGTTTGAGGACCCAAAGGTAGACAGCCATGGAAAAGAAGGGAAGAGTTGCACGTCAAAGAAGCAGAAAAGGGAAACGAGCGGCTGAATATTATCCGGACTATAGCAGAATCCGGCCAGGACAGATTCTGGGCCACATTCGTTGTCGTGCTATGGCCGGCTTCCGACGCAATGCTGCAGTCTGGTGCGCAGCTTTTGTGCCCGTGTAACGAGACTTGGGCGAGGGATCATGCAGTGTGCGGGTGGAGTGAATAGCTCGGGGTCCTGTAGCTACTTACGGCACGCAGCTTCGCCGAGAGCAACACACAATGTGTCGTTTGCAATTCGTCGTTCGTCGTAAGAGAGCGGCCATGGGACGACACTCAGGGATGCCATGCACAGAGCGTCTGTTTCTTTCCTGTGTTTTCGAGATTGCCGCCAAACCGCACGGGGCCGGGAAAAGACCCAAGACTCTGTGATGCACAGCAAGCGATCCTGCGAAGATGTCCGGCGCTCGGTCGTCTGGAAAGGGCGCAGTACCTGTGCAAACTCGCGAACATGGAGGGCCAGGGACAGCAGGCGTTTTCTCGGACACCGAGTGGAACGCGACGCGGCGCGACGGGAGACAACTGCAGCTGTTCGGGAGCCTTGCTATGCGACGGCAACACAGTTGCGTGGCTGTCGTGGGCGGCGTACCGCTATGGTTGTCGATACCGTCGTTGTCGCTGTGGCGAGTTGAGGTTGCGGTTTGGGCTTTGCAGATGTCGTCGATTGAGAGATGTGGCGGTGCGGAAATGTTTGGCGGTGGTGGTGCTCAAAGAGGAGTTCTGGCTTGAGCGGCAGGCTAGCTCCGGGTCTGTTGGTGGAAAAAAGAAGGGGTGGGACAGGGCAGGGAGGGGGGCAGGAGTCAGCTCCAGGAGCGTGAGTGGTCGATCCGCAGCGATCACGTCTTGCGCATGCCGAGTGGAATTCAAAACGCAGCGGCTGCAATAGCGGAAAGAGCGTTCAGTACGAAACGGGGTGCAAAGCCAAAATTTCCCAGTTTGGAAATACAGTGAATTCGTGGGGGCCCACAGTAACTGGCAGAGGCAGGAAGGGCAGAGCTCCAAAGGGTCTTCTCTCATCTGCCAGCAGACTCCCACGGACCTCTTGTTACTGCACATGGGAACCTCTAGCACATGCTTGCCGTAGTGCCGTCCGGGAAACCCTGAGTTGGTCCTTCCCCCCAGTTATCCATGAACACCGTGCCGTACGTGCAGTATTCGCCTCCAGAATCTGGGCTGCGCAAGGCAAGAGCGACCCTGGAAATTGGCAGCAGCGCTGCTTTCTATCGACTACTACCTGCCACTCTCCATCTCGCGCTTGGCAGGATGGAAGGGTGAAGGGCGGGTAGGGCAGGCGAACATGTAAAAGGCAGTTGAAAGGCCCTCGAGGCCCTCCCAGGGAGCCCGGCTCCCTGGCTAATCAAAGTTGAGACGCCAAGCCTAACAGACTTGGTGCAGCAGTCGGTGGAGGGGTCTCCATTTTATTTTGGTTCCGGCGAGCCTCCGTCTCATCAGCTAATCACAATTCTGGGCGGAAGGTTGGCCAGCTCCCAGAAAGAAACAAAGCTCCTCCAGACGCCGGTACCTTCCTGCGACAGCACTAAATCCCAAAAGATGCCACGGATGCCTCAAAGATATGGACTCGTGCGGTTAGTACGTGGCATTTCAGCAGATCCTTATCGGGCCACAAGGATCGGAGTATTTGCACCGTTCCGAATCGACCTTTCCCGAGACTGTTACTGTTGTCACCGGTTATCAACTGTGATTTATCCATTTATCGTCTTTTCTTTGTTCCCGGGCCAGACGCTGGACTCCTCCGCCGTAGGGCCAGGGCCACCGGGGGGCGACTGGTACGGCTGGTGCAGGCCCTGAATTGCTGCTAGGCCTTGTTTCGCTGTGCGGAAAACCTTGTTTCTCGAAGCTTTTTGAAAGTTTCCATGCTTTCAGGGCCTGCAAATGTCAGTGCGGCAAATGCTGCAAAGGGAATTAAGGCCGTCAGGGTGAAGCGTGCGGCTAATGCCTAGCCAGACCCGAGATGGAAGGAGGGGCGCTGTTTGTTCCATTGGTAATTGCGACATAGCCGTGCCTGGATTTTGTACGGTCGCTCCATCCTGCCGCGTGGTTTTGGTAAGTGGGTTTGTGAGGTGGATACTGTGTGTTCGGAAAGTACTTTCTAATTTTTGCACGACATATGACAGATCGATTCGATATTGACAATTCCCCATCTGCGACGGAAGCACGACGTAGAGAACCCGATGTGGCGGGATACACTCGACTGGCTGCCTCCGTCATTACGTCGTAGTGCAACATGCACCACCGCTTGTTCGCGTGGCAAATATTTATATGGGGCATTGAAAGTATCCTGGGAGCCTGGCCCGCACGTCTCTTTTAAAGACCTGTCCATCTTGTCATTTTTGGGATAGTATTCTTCGTTTGTTTCTTTACGTATCCTTCCCCTTTGCATTGCCTCTTCTTATCGTCGTAGCGAGTATCCAGTACGTACAATGCCCTCTCGATGAGTGTCGCTGGTGAACGTGTTTCGTCCCTCATCTTCAACCAGTGTCCGACTTCACCTTTTATAAAAATTAAAAAAAAAAAAAAAAAAAACACATCCAAAATCAAGTAAACAAAACGCAAGACTAGAGAGAAACAAAGAGCAATCCGCACCAAAACATTAATTCAGGCAATCAGAAAAGTATGATAAAAAATTATACCTCGCAAGCAACCAACCCCTATGTGAAAAGCTCTACCTAAAACGGAGACAGAAACCAAAAAGTGTGTGTGTGTGTGTGTGTGAGAGAGAGAGAGAGAGAGAAAAGAAATCAAGCGAACAGAAAAACAGTTGACAAACGACGGTGCAAGAGGCGGAGGTGTATCTATGTATCGTCATGTTATATGAGTATGTGCCGTTGAGCAGCCGGCATCATCGATCCCAGCATTGTCCGCCGCGTGGATCATGTGATCATGTAATGATTTCCGTTTACGTGAAGTAAGCGCTGATGGTCTGCTGCAGCTCCTGGGGAAACTGCTGCAACAGCGGTGTCGCGTTGAGGCCAGACTCGGCCAGCATCACCTTCGTCGCCTCCACCACGTGCTTGGCCGTCTCGCCCCGAAGCACATCTGCGCCAAGGCCCTGGGCAATGAACGTGAAGACCTTGTCAGTCTGTGACATAACAGCCGGGTGGCGCCTGGGAAGATAATGGTTAGCTCAGTTTTGATTTTTTTGACGTCTCCCATACACCCAAACACTCAAACACTCGAACACTCGAACAACAAACGTACTTGGTAATCAATTCCGTCAAGTAGGCATAGGCATAGGGAGCTGCCTCCTCGTCGTTCACGACAGGGAGCGTGCCGACCCACTGTGTAACAACGGCATCGACATTCTGGACAGCGCTGGCGTTGAAGTGCAGGATCTTGGCAATAGCTGCACACGCATTTTCTGTTGCGTAGACGTTGTCCTCGTTCCGCGCGTCGGGGACCACCGTGGCCTGGAACAGGAACGGCACACAGCCGCCCAGGAACGGCGCCCAAGCTTCGCCACCACGGTGGGCTGCGACGCCGATACCGTACGAAGCCGCCTGCCGGATCGCAGGCGCAGGGTCCTTGCAGCCGTCAAGGAGGGGCTGCGTGATGTAGTTCGCGTAGTGGATGCTGTTGGCGCCGCAGTACTCAATAACGTCGTCCATAATGCACAGGCCCCACTGGCGCTGGCTCGGGTCCTCCGACTTCAGGAACGTCTCGTACGCCGACATCAGCCGCTCCCATGGCCGCAGGAAGTCGGAGCCGTGGTACTTGAACACAACGTGGAATGCCTTGCTCATGTCAGAGAGCAGCGTCTGGTCGTCCTCGAGGGCGAGTAGGAGATCCTCGTCCTCGTCCTCGGCGTCCTCGGCCGTCGCGTTCCGCTTGTCCTCTTCACGCTGCACAGCCCGATCACGGTAGTCTTCTAGGGTCGACTGAACAGAGTCAATAAACTTGTTCATGTGGTCTGCCGTCAGACACGCCCGGCCAAGCACCTCGACCGACTCATAGAAGCACTGGTACATCTCGGCCAGGGTGTCAATAGCGGGCTCGGCCGTGAGAACCTCGAGAAGCTTGTCCACCGTGCTGTTCCACAAGGCCGTCATCTCGTTTGATTGGGAGCCGAAAGCCTTCTTGTATGAGTTCAGCAGCTGCGGCACGAGGCGAGCAGACACAAACCGCACAGGGTCGTGGAAGAAGAAGGCCAGGCCCGGGAGGGCAATCTCCTTCATAATCTCCGCGACGTAGGGCGCAAAGGCGGCCTCCAGGACCTGCGCGTACACAACAAGAAGCTCGATGGCCATGTGCTTATCGTCCATGCTGCTGGTCTTGATACCAATCATCTTGCCCTTGAGCGGCAGCAACTCCCAGCCGTCCTCCTGCTGCAGCTGGTCAGCCTGCTCCTCGTCATCAAGCAGCTGGATATCCGCCTTGGCACTGGCAAGCACCAGCAGCGGCGGCATAACGGTCGGTAGGAACGGCATGAAATCGGAGCCCATGACCCGGCACATACGGCCCCACGAGTGCATCAGGTACTGGCCCTGCGGATCGTCGGCATCCGTCAAGCCGTTCTGGATGTTGGCGAGAAGCTGCACCAGCTCCAGGGCGTCGTTGCCGAGGCGCTCCTTGCCAACGGCAAGAGCGATCAGAGTAGCGCACTCCATGGCCTTGGCGCGCAGCAACCGGTATTCCTTCTCGGTCTCCCGGCGCAGAACATTGACCAGAAGCGGCATGAGGGTGTCATAGTACTTGCCAAAGGCCTGCTCGGCAGCGTCGGCAATTGTCGCAATGGTAGAGAGGGCTTGTTCTTGGACGTAGCGCTTGTCGCTCTGCAGCAGGTTGAACAGATGACTCAGGAGGTCGTCCAGATATGGTTCCAGAACGCTCTTCTCAGCCTCTTCGCAGAAGTTGACCAGGGCAGCGGCGGCATGCGACTTCACGCGAGCCTCGGGTGAGTCAAGCACGGGAATAATCGTCTTGAGGACGGCGTCGTAGTACTCCCGCTGCATGGTGGGTGCAAAGTCGGTGCTCATCTGGCCCAGGGCGTTGCAGCCGGCCCAGCGAACACGCGGGTGGGGGTCCTTGAGAGCAGGCACGACCAGGTTGAGAACTTGTTGCAGCTCGCCGAGCATCAGATCGCGGCAGCCCTCCGAGATGGCGGAAATGGCCATGAGCGCAGCATGACGGTCACGCCACGCCGTGGAGCCGATCATGCGCGGCAGCCAGCTGAACGTTGGCGCCAGAATCACAGCACCGCCAAGCTTGTTCGCGAGACGGTCCATGCACTGCTCACCAGCCACGTGGTTGGAGTCGTTCTCGTCCTGGTCGAGATCGTCGGCGGCGAGCCACTCGGCGGCATCATCGTCGTCCTCGCCCAGGTCGGTCATGAGGCTCAGGCACTGCGTAATCATATCATTCGTGTAAGTTTCGTCCTTCTTGCACATCGACGGCGAATAATCGGCGAATGTGGCCATCAGCTCGAGCGCGTTCTGGCGACAGCCATCGGTGAACTCCTTGTCCTGGATAACAGAGACGCTGAACTTGACCAGGACGTTGAAAACAGGGCGAAACATCTTGGGAGAGATGCCCGCGAGATCGATCAGGGCGATGAGGGCGTTGCCGAGGTCGTCGGAGTCATGCGACTCCTTGATCGGAGGAAGGATGTTAAGCATCTCCGGAAGGAGGCCGAAGAACTTGGGCTGGCTCTTCTTCTTCAAGCCACGGAAGAAAGACGCAAACGCCTCCATAGCTGCAATACGGACCTATGTCGATCGTTAGCCATTATCTTCTGTCCGTAGTTTCCAGCTAAAATAAAGTCTTCGTATATAGACTACCGCGTACCGAGACAGATTCGTCCTTGAATCCACGGGAGAAGGCTTCGGCGACGGCATCCTCGTGGGTCTTCTCGATAACGCCCGGCGTTGACGTGAAGACGCGGTAGGCGGTTTCGCGCTTTCCAGAGTCGGGAGCCATGCTCATCTGGAAGAGAATCTGCAGAAGCTCAGTCCATGGCTGGTCTGTGATTTTGGATAATTAGCACAATTGCAACGCGTTCAGAGAGGGTTACTACGAGTGAGCGGGTAGACGGAACCGTTTTCTGTGTACTGTCTCGCGACCTCGGCAATGGCATCACTGATCTTGTTTCGGACGCTGCGGTCGGTCTCGGCAGCCAAAACCTCAAGCAGCTTCTGGCGAATGACGTCCGACTGTGCGGTCGGCAGGCCAATAAAGATCTCGACGGTATCGCCCTGCTCGTTCTTGCGCGACTTGGACGCGATTCTCCGGAAAATGACGGCGGCGAAAGACCGGAACTATTACAAAGGACGCAATTAGCAATCTGTGAAAGGGCAAACATCGGCGGCCGCGGCCACGTCCACCGGCAATTGGAACGCGTTTGAGTTCCGAGGCTGGCCAGGATCAGCAACGACGGGCCAACGTCAACCCCCTGCATGGCGGGCAGAGATCGGTGCCGGGCCATGCCCAATTCCCAAGCGAGCGGACATACACTATTCGATGCCTGACTGCCGACCTGCTCAGCAAGGCCCATAAGCAGCACGTCTGGGCGCGGGACAGTCCAGTTGTTCTGGAGGTGGTCTTCGGCCTGTGACCGAACAGTGTTGTCGGCCGACTGCAGCGCCTGCAGGAGCTGCGAGAGCTCAAGGACCAGGTCTGGCGGAAGAAGAGACATCGTGAGACGCGACAGGGGAGGGTCGTGAATCGAGGGGGACCGTAGGGCGCAAACGCAGAGACAGGCAGCGGTGCCCGTTGGCGATGTGATGCTGGCCGTCGATCCGCCTTAAGTAAAGGAGGGAGGAGTAGGAGGGGTCAAACACGGTTGTTCGCCCTCTTTTTTATCGGATACCCAAAATTTGGGGCCGTGAATCGCGTCGGAGACTGTACTTGGCTGGCTGGGTGGGATCGCGGCCCGGACGAAGCAAATATGATGATGTATGTGGTTGCGATATTGCCGTACGTGAGGGTTGGAAGTCGAGCAGCAAAAAAAAAAAAATACTGGAGGGGGAAACACGGACACAAAAATTGTAGCGCGAAGAGCGGGGCAGGAGAGAGCGACTCGACAGGCTCGACAGGGCAGGAAGGCGCTATTCGGGAGGTGGCGGCGGGACAATCATAATAAAAATCCAGACATGATAAAATTGATAGGCGACAGAGCCAAAAGCAACGCGAAAACAACAGGCAAGAAGCGCGATTCGTATTAATTACTTACCCATATTTCACCAAACAAGAACGCGCGTGTCTGGGCAGATATGGGTCCAAACACGGCTTCCTAACAAGGGCATCACAAACACAGACACGGGCACTTCCTTTATTATGACCGAAAAGACCATCCTATTAATATTAAAGCAGCCCTTCTGCTGCCGGGTTTTGAGTTTAAAAATCGCGTTGGGCGATAAGATAATAAAAAAGCAATGGCTTTTTCGGCGGGGGTGCGGCCCATTTCGGAGTTATTTTGTTTGGACGACTGCACGCGGGAGACGTGGCTGCCTTTCGTCCTTTCAGAGTGCATGCGCAAGCCCCTGCTAGAAACCTCGAAAGCAAGTGCGATATAGAGTAAGATTTGTGACAGGGCATTTATGAGGGGACCAGTCTGGCTTCCCAGCTTTGTTCGTCGCTGCCGTTGTCGCTCGGTTTTCAGCAGCACATTGCCAGTTGTTTTAGGGAGGTCAAATGGATGTCGCCTGGGTCTCGCCTGGGTCTGGCCAGGCAGTGATTCACAGGCCCAGAAGGTACAGCAAGGTAAGGAGTAATACTACATCACCAAGAGCAGTAAATTGCACCGTTTGATCGTTGGGCTGGTAGTAATCTTACAATGGACATTGACATGTTTCTGGTCGGCAAAGTAGACAGACGATAGTGAATGTTGGTTGGCCGTCGTACTGTCATTACATATTGATAGTCTTTGACTCTTCAATGCTATGTCCATGCCGTTTGTGGCGTCTCCACAGTGTATTTCTCCAAGACATGCGAGACTATTGTCGCTGTGGTGTCCGTCACGCAAGTTCATCTGTTGCCTTTGGATGCCGTTGCCAAATCGGTTCTTTCCATAGACTAGGCACCTGACGTCGTTGGTCGATATGGTGGCTGTTGCTAGCCAATGAGCGTCACTGTTCTACCCCGCGTCCAAGTGGCCATCCAAACTGTGCGGTGGGCTGATACGTCGTACATTGCGAATTATGTTGGTGGCTCCTGCTCTCTCTCGCCTCTGTTGTTTCTTCTTTGTTTAAGCAAATTGCATCGATTACTTCTGCACCTTTGACAGCCAATTGAAGAATCCTCGTCCCCTCCACTCTCAATGTGCATTGTCAACGGTGGTACCATTTCCGCATCGTTTTGCGTCGCCCGAACCGCTCTTCGCGCAAGCCTTATCCCCTCACTACTGCATAGCTGCTAGCTCTCCGCTAGCATCGCCTCACTGACGACCTCTTCCAGCTCCTCTTTGTCGCTACCGAGTTCTTTACTCCACGAGCTATCTCTACCCTTTTTCTTTTCTTTTCTTTTCTTTTCTTTTTTTCGTTTTCCGGTGGACATATCAATCCGAACGAAATAAAAGCAAGCATCCCATATCCGTCGCTCGGTCACTAGGAGGCCCAGGCAGCGATCATCCTGATTCGTAACCCACCACTCGTCGTCACAAGCAAGCTACGTTCAGCACTGGACATATCAAGAACCAAACAGCTTTGGAAATGGAATCGTCTACCCCTCCGACCGCCGAGCGCGGGGCGGGTGGTGCCGCCACCGGCAGCGGTAGCAGCTCTACCTCAAGCTTGAACCCGGGCGGCGCCACCCAGACTGCCGCTGGGACGACTGCTGGTGCCGTTCCGGAACGGTCTCCATCCCGCTCAAGCCTGCGGCACTCCCACTCTCACTCTCACTCCTCATCGTCTCACCGGCAGAGCTTCGCCGAGAATCTGCGCAACCCGCCGCCGTCTCCTCGTTCTCTTCGGCAACCCTCTTTCGCAACACAGGTCCACGGCCTGCTCAACCACCCGCCCCCCCAAAGGCAGCCAAACCCACGTTTTGCCGGACGTGACTGGCACGACATATCCCTCGGCGAGCTGGTATCAGAGGAAGACATCCGATGGGCGACCCTTGATACGAGCGTGGAAGACTGCACAAAGGTAAGCTTGGCCTAACGCGGCAGAACTGGACTATTGGCCTTGGGATGGACTTTTCCTTAACGAGACAGACTCTTCTCAGGAACGGCAGCACAGCGGGTGCCGTGCTCGTTCGCAATGGGCTGTCCGACAAAATGGCCGTTTCGACGTTTGATTACAACGACCTCAATGCATACCTCCTGGTTGTTATCGGAATGGCCAACCCCGACCCGGAGCAAGTTATCGCCTACCAGAGCATCGCGCAGCGAGCACAAGACCGTGTTGCCATTCCCATCCGTGATGTTCTTCCTATTTGCCACAAAGAACCATTGGCAACTCTGTCCTACAATGACGATCTTCTCGCCGCAATCGAAGTCTTTGGCAGCGGCGCCCGTCGCGTCATTGTCACCAACGCCAACGCAACGGAAGTGGTCGGTGTCTTGAGCCAGCTGCAGCTGATCCAGTTCTTCTGGAACGAGGCCGTCAACTTCCCACAGATTGATCGGCTATACGCGGCCACCCTACGGGACCTACGTATCGGTTCGCAGGAAATTATCGCCATCAAGTAAGTCCTGCTGCTCTGGCCGTGCTTTGCTTTACCAATCCCATCTAACTCGTATCTTTCCCCCCTGCAGTGCCGATCGGCCCCTCTCGGACGCTCTTACGCTGATGAATAGCGAGGGCTTGACGTCTGTTGCGGTGGTTGACAACGGACTCAATGTTGTGGGCAATATTTCAACGCGAGATGTCCAGCACCTCACGTCTGTGACGAGCTTCCCCCTTCTGCAGTCCTCTTGCATGCATTTCATTTCCGTCATACTCTCGGAACGCGGTGTTGAAGAGGGCCGTGACTCCTTCCCCGTCTTCCATGTCAACCCACACTCAACCCTTGCTCATACCGTGGCAAAATTGGTGGCCACCCGGGCGCACCGGATGTGGGTTGTCGAGTCGCCATCCCCGTCGCCTTCGGCACCCCACACACCACTTCTGTCGCCTGTGCAGACAGCATCGTCCACCGTATCCAGCGCTAGCATTGCTACCCCTTCAGGCTCTGGCCACTCGAGAACTGCAAGCGGCACAGGCATTCCCGGCGGCCCTGCTACGGCAAATGGTACGGGCGAGGGCCATTCGCGCCGCGAATCGACTGTACTCACGCCGACTGCAACGACTGTAACTGTTGCGCCGCAGTCGCCCATCCCTCTGCCAGGCGGAAATGGAGGAAATGTCCCCGCATTCGCCTCTGTGCCAGCGTCTTCTCTTCCGGGTGCACATTTGTCGGGTCGGTTGACTGGTGTTGTCTCTCTCACCGACATTCTCAACCTTTTTGCAAAGACGACCGGTCTCCGTCCTAGTGACCCGGCCGACATCCGGGCTCGGCGGCGTCGTAGCAGCAGTATGTTACTACCACCCTTGTAGAGTTTTTTTTTTTCTTTTCTTGTTGTTCGTCTTCTTTTTCTTCTCCTCCTCCTTCTTCTTCTTCTTCTTCTTTTTTTGGCCTCACTAACCGCGGTTATGTCATAGGTAGCTCACTGCGCCCCAGCATCGATGGTGTAAGGACGAGTGTGGACTTGAGGCGGTAAACCTGCCTTGAATTTACGTTTCGATAACAACATCGGCTACAACTTGGTATTGTCTCGCCTGGAAGGATGCGATTTCCAATTGGATTCGAAGCTACAAATTGTCAATCGATCGCATGGCGCAGTTGCATAAGTAAACATTATATAAGGTGGAAAGACGATGAAATTTTATTTTCCTTATTTCGTTAATTTTGTTTGTTATTGTTGACTTGCACTTTTGGCAATGCGGCGCATGGATCTTTCATATAGTAGAAATGATAATTGGAATTCTATATTCGTAACGTCGTAAATGTCTACGGCCAGCGATAGCCGGTCGTGGTAGGTGCTTTCTAGACCCTTGTACTAGCACTCACAATCGCACATCTGCTATATCTTTTGCTGCTCAAACTATCACAGAAGAGACAATAGCATCCGTGCTCTCCTATATCTCTGCACAGTCCGGTAATTTGAATTATAGCGTCCAGGAATGAGATGGTGTCGCGTTTGTCCCTTGGCTGTGCACGGATATGACTGGCAGTCACTGTCTGCCATTCCGGGATTGCGCGGCCCCGATAAAGACTGCCTCATTTTGTTTTCAATGCTTCTCGCTCAGGCCGAGTTGTTTACCAAATTCATGACGACATGATCGCATCGCCAGTCGTGGCCTGCAGCGCATTCGGAGCCGCAACTTCGGTCTCGCCTGCTGTTGTGCCGGTTGTGCTCACGGATAGCGGTTTTGAGTAGATTTTTGTCTGCGGACCATTGTCGGTGTGAAGGCCGATGGCGGCCTCGGCCTCGCGTTGCGTGTAGGCTCCCTCCGCCAGCTGCTTGAGCCGGCGCTTATGTGGCTTGGCCAGCTGATGTTTCGAAAGCGCAAAGTCGGACTCAAACCACTTCGCGCAGGCAATGCAATAGTGGCGGCCGAGGCCAGGGAGGTCTTCCGAAGCCTTAGTGGCCTTGTAGCGGTCCAGATGAGCGGGAGACAGGAGATCGTTGGTAATTTCGTCGACGTCCCTTGGCCACAAATGTTAGAACGACAAGAGGAGGCGGCGGAGCAGAGGCTTGTTGCATTTCCTACCTTGTCTTCCTCCGCGTCTTCGTAAGGGTTTTCTTGTTGGCAGTTCCCATTTTGTACGATTATGAAAAGGAGACGTAGATAATCTGCAGGCACGGTGTACGCAAACGGGTTGTGGTCTTGAATGTTGATAGAAGGCGGAGGGGCGTCTTGGATTTTTTTTCTTATCGGACGTTATCGCCAATCTTCAGATCTTATCAGGCCCACAGCTACGTTATCCGTGAAAACTTTGGCCTGCTCAGTAAGAGCAACTGCAGGGTGAAGACGAACCCCACCACAGTGACCAGTAAACGAGGCGCGAAACAGCTTTACGTCGCCGCGGGAAATTATGAATTTACACTCACGTGCCACTAAGTTCTCCAAGATTTTGTGCAACACATAGAACCTGGACGGTGAGCTCCCGGTCGCACCTGCTCGGTCTGCAGGAGACTTATAAGGCAAGCCACGAATACAGATCAGGGACCTACGGAAAATAAAAATTTCTCCATCATCGGCCAGGCCGCGATATACATCGCTGTATTCGATGCAACTACAAAATAAACATTTTTCGACCACAGGGCCGTGTTCGGACGATCGGATTCACCACGTCGTATTTACTCGGAAACCCGTACAGCTGCCGAGACTGCCCAGGCGGTTTCCAGCGTGTACCATGCTAAAAAATCCACTAAAAGGGTAAACTGGGTAAAGAAATACACGAAAATGGGCACCAAAACAATTCTCCACCCAAACCTGGTCTCCAGACCAAACAAAATAGATGCAAAGCGAGACTTATCGTGACGTTGACTGGTGGACGCCACATTCTGTGGGGAGAGAGGGGCGTTGGAAAGAGGGACCACTGCGTAAATTCAAAATGTGAACCCCTGTAACTACTGCTACGCCTCTGCTCATCTGCGCCACCTATAGCCGCCCCGGGCTGGATCGCGTACGTTTCTACCTGATGATGTTGGAAGTCTGGCGAAATTTCCTCACCTTACATTGCATTTCGGGAGAGGATTGCCGGGATAACTGGCCGTTCCTTCACCTATTGAGGCATTTTGCTCGGTTGAAAGCTGCAGGAGTCAATTCTCTAACCGATAACAACAGTGTCGGTGGCTGAGGAATATCGTGCACTCAAACGATTTGATGCTATTGTGCATTTTCAGCAGAACGGGTGTCAGAATTGTAAGTAGTGTTTCCCGTCGCGATGTTTTGGCCGGTGTCACGTTTACTCTGTATTTTGGAAACTTTTGTATGTTGTGACTTTGCAGGCCTGAGTACGGCTACAGACGCGCCGTTTACAATACTGCTTCTAGAGTATGCGGCCTGTCCTTTGTCCAGCCGCTGTTCTCCACTGTGTTGATCTCGCTCCAGCTGGTCGTAAATACTTCGTAAACACGGGAACCGCTCCATTCCTAAGCGGCGACGTCGCGGACTGAGAACCTCCCCTGGATACTCCTGTGTCCGTATGCATCAAACTGCAGGAAAATGGAGTGCATCGACATTGGTTTCGGAAATTGGGGGCAAAAAAATAAAGTCAGGACCCGGCATTGCAACGTTCAATTGTCTGCCTCCGTGGTAGCTTTGTGTTGTTCTCAATTTTACGCCCGTTGCAACTGCCTCCAACTGCCTCCGACTGCCCTCTTCAATTGACTCCAATTGCCTGCAGCTTCCTCGGCCGATTGCTGCTTTGTGGGTCGCACAGAGCAAGAGCGGCACACAGCGATCATAACACAAACTTCAATCTACGACGTATGTACGAGCGACATATTGGCAGTGCGATCGTAATGGCTGCCAGGCCAAGCTTGTGACATTCCCACTCAGTGCACAGTGGCCCTCCAGTGCCAAACCCCTGCCCTGCAACAATAATCCAGTCGCCCTGATTCGTCCGGTGGCCCGCCTGGCCTGTTTGTCGTCATAGCCGAGGAGAACGCCAGCGCCTTCGGGAGAGGGGTGGCTCTTCCTCCCCCCACACATTGCTCATGATTTTTTTTGTACTTTTCGCCCACTAGCCCAGGAAAAGCCGAGCGGCCGACCTCTGCTGTGTTATCTGCGTGGTTTAGCGCACACCTGCTAAAACACCTCGTTTTTGTCTCTCTGAGCGCCCTGTCCTTTGTCCCACAAGTCCCCGCCAACTCCCGCACTTTCGCTTCCTTTTACCTCCCTTTCTCTTATTTTTCGGCTCTTCCACCAATCTTTCTTTCTCCTCTTCCCTTTTCTTCTTTTTCTTCTTTTTCTTTCCTCTCCTGAGCGCATTCTGTCTTTCTTCACTCTCCCCTCTACCCAACTCGTGCTGTATCGCTCAGCTGTCCTGCACACACCATATCTCTCTCCTCTATCTTGAGCTTCGTTGCCCACGGATAGAGTCGTGAGTGAGCACTTGTGAGAGTTTGACGACACACTTGAACCTACATCCAGAATGTTGGCCTCTCGCCAGCTCCTGGGCAAGGCTGCCCGGAGCCACGCGGCTGTCGCCGGCTTCGCCATGCGTCGCACCATGGCCACGGTCTCCGGTAGCTCGCTCGACCAGAAGGTAAGGCGACTGCGACTGCTATACTGGTACGCTGGTGGTCTTCGTGAGCAATGCACATTGGCTAACTGAAGCTCTTGGTCTCGACATACAGGTCCCTCAGAACATCTGGGAGTCAAATAACTTCATCAACTACAAGAAGATGGCCGAGAACCTGGACATTGTCCGCGCCCGCCTCAACCGCCCTCTAAACTTCGCCGAGAAGATTCTGTACTCTCACTTGGACGACCCGCACGGCCAGGACATCGAGCGCGGTGTCTCGTACCTGAAGCTGCGCCCCGACCGTGTTGCTTGCCAGGACGCCACTGCCCAGATGGCCATTCTGCAGTTCATGTCGGCCGGCATGCCCTCTGTGGCCAACCCTGCCACCGTCCACTGCGACCATCTGATTGAGGCCCAGGTTGGCGGCCCCAAGGATCTGGCCCGTGCCGTTGGCATCAACAAGGAGGTCTACGACTTCCTTGCCTCTGCTTGCGCCAAGTACAACATCGGTTTCTGGAAGCCCGGCTCTGGTATTATCCACCAGATCATCCTCGAGAACTACGCCTTCCCCGGTGGTCTGCTTATCGGCACCGACTCCCACACCCCTAATGCCGGTGGCCTCGGCATGTGCGCCATCGGTGTCGGTGGTGCCGATGCCGTCGACGTCATGGCTGGCCTGCCCTGGGAGCTGAAGGCCCCCAAGGTTATCGGTGTTAACCTGACTGGCAAGATGTCTGGCTGGACTTCGCCCAAGGGTAGGTGCAATGTGCTCCACTTTTATTCCCCCCCACACAAAACATCACCAAAACGGCTGGACACAATCCAGAGCATTCAAAACAGCATTGCTAACTCTTGCGAATCCAGACATTATCCTCAAGGTTGCTGGCATCCTCACAGTTAAAGGTGGTACAGGAGCGATTTTGGAATACGCTGGTGAGTCACAGTTTTCCTTTTAGTTATATTTTTCTTTGGCGAATCATTGAAAGCTCTGGAAGTCTTGAGCTGCGATAAAAAAGTCGCAAGAAAGTCTGCCTCATAGCCGAGGAAAGACTAGAAAGTACGTTAAACATCTTCTCCATGAGTTTTTCCTAACCTGCTCTTCCAGGCCCTGGTACCGAAACTTTCAGCTGCACGGGCATGGCGACCATCTGCAACATGGGTGCCGAGATCGGTGCTACCACCTCGCTGTTCCCCTTCAACGACCGCATGTACGACTACCTCTCCGCCACCAAGCGCCAGAGCATTGGTGATTTCGCTCGCGTCTACGGCAACGGCCTGCGCGCCGACGAGGGCGCCGAGTACGACCAGGTGATCGAGATCGACCTGAACACCCTGGAGCCCCACATCAACGGCCCCTTCACCCCCGACCTGGCGACCCCAATCTCCAAGTTCAGCGAGGCTGTCAAGGCCAACAACTGGCCAGAGGAGGTCAAAGTTGGCCTCATTGGCTCTTGCACCAACTCTTCGTACGAGGACATGACCCGTGCCGCCCACATTGCCCGTGACGCCATGGCCCACGGCATTAAGGCCAAGTCCATCTTCACTGTCACCCCTGGTTCCGAGCAGATTCGCGCCACCATCGCCCGCGATGGCCAGCTCGAGACATTCGAAGAGTTCGGCGGTATGGTCCTGGCCAACGCTTGCGGCCCCTGCATTGGCCAGTGGGACCGTACCGATGTCGCCAAGGGCACTCCCAACAGCATTGTCTCGTCGTACAACCGCAACTTCACCGGCCGCAACGATGGCAACCCCGCCACCCACGCCTTCGTCACCTCGCCCGATCTGGTCGTCGCCTTGACCATTGCCGGCTCCCTGCACTTCAACCCCTTGACCGACAAGCTCAAGGACAAGGACGGCAACGAGTTCATGCTGACTCCCCCTGAGCAGACCGACGGTCTTCCCCTTCTCGGCTACGACCCTGGCGAGGATACGTACCAGGCCCCCCCTGCCGAGCGCGCGCAGGTTCAGGTCCAGGTTTCACCTACCTCTGATCGTCTCCAGGTTCTGTCGCCCTTCGACGCTTGGAACGGCAAGGACGCCACCGACCTGCCCATCCTGATCAAGTGCAAGGGCAAGACGACTACCGACCACATCTCCATGGCCGGCCCGTGGCTGAAGTACCGTGGCCACCTCGACAACATCTCCAACAACATGCTGATCGGTGCCACCAACGCTGAGAACGGCGAGGCCAACAAGGTCCGCAACCAGCTCACCGGCGAATTTGGCGGTGTTCCCGACGTTGCCCGTGACTACAAGGCCAAGGGCATCCAGTGGGTTGTCATTGGTGACTGGAACTACGGTGAGGGCTCGTCTCGCGAGCACGCCGCTCTTGAGCCCCGCCATCTGGGTGGTCTGGCCATCATCACCCGTTCGTTCGCCCGCATCCACGAGACCAACCTGAAGAAGCAGGGCATGCTACCCCTGACCTTCGTTGACCCCGCCGACTACGATAAGATTAACCCCAGCGACCGCGTAAGTTCTGCACTTCGAGCACAGTTGTCATATGACCTTGTCCACGAGCATTGTACTAACCCGGCATTCTAGGTCGATGTCCTGAGCACTGAGCTGGCTGTCGGCAAGCCCCTGACCCTGCGCGTCCACCCCAAGGACGGTGCCGCTTTCGACATCCCCCTGGCGCACACCTTCAACGCCAGCCAGATCGAATGGTTCAAGAACGGCAGCGCCCTGAACACCATGGCCAAGAACAACCAGCAATAAGCGTCTGAGACAGAAAGTTCGAATCAAACAAAAAAATACATACCCTAAAACGATCGGGCACTAAAGTCTAGAACCGAAAATGTAACGACACAGGGAGGAAATTGTTTCGTAGCTTGTTTTTTCTCTCTTAGTTTATTGTGTGTTTATTACATGCTTCGCTCTTGTGCGTCGTCTTCGGTTCACGATTTCCCGCATCAGGAGCGGCGGCACCACTTACTGGGGTCGATTTGGAAGAGATGTCACATACCATACGTATATCACGCGCCACATTTATATATCCGTTTTAGTTATTTTTGGAACCTTTTGAAGACTCTGTGGAGCTCTGTTTGACATCAGTGCCTTGGTTATTGCAAATCAGGTTGGCCTATGTTGTATACTATAATCGAATACTCATCGCCTCGTCCCAGATCATGAAAATACAAAACGCATGTACTCTGGTTGGTTGGATCTGGGTAATAGCGGGTCTTCCATCTGAATAGAAAACAGTCGCGTTTTTGACCAGGTTTGGAGGAATGCGAACAGTTACACATTCTTTGGAGTTTTGCTTTTACGACTGAAGTGACTCCATAGAGTGGTAATCAGGTTCAAAATAGAAATGCCGCCGCTCAACGAACAACATAGAGTTCATCGTCAGGGCTTGGAACTAAGGCACACAAACGCGGTGAAAGGCACTCAAACAACGCAACGCATTTGCCCAATATAATTTCACAAAAGTATAATTCTCGTAAAAGCCATGCAGCGCGAAGTGATATACTAACACGAAATTGTCGCCGGGTACGTCACGGGACGGAACGATGATGATAATACTTGACGGCCGATGGTGGTGACAATCACGTGTTGAATCACATGCAAATGTGGCTTTTTCGTCTCGGTGTCAGGTTAGCGCGACATATATGACCAGTTACAGGAACCAAAATCCTTAAGGCCGCCGCTAGCACGCGGAACGACAGGGTAATCTGACTGCTAGGCTCTGCTCACTCGTGGAAGGAGCGCACACGAGACATCTCTACATTGTCTCCTTGTTAACATCGGCGCCTCAAGTACGTTTTTTGGACACAACACGACCCGAGAACACCCTGCTGCCGACTGGTTCCCAGCAGCGACGAACGAGACGACGATAACCAACACTCTACATCTTCAACGCAGAGGTATACACGCGGCGAAGCGCTTCGTCAGGCGACATTCTAAGCCTTGTCGTGATTTTCAACCTCCTTTTCCCGCCACAATTTTCGACCCGGAACAACCGGCTCCTTTCGTCGAAAGGTGCATTCCGTGGCCGCGCATATCTCGACTCTCCCCGTTTATACATCCTCCCCTCCTTTTCACAATGCCTTCCTCATCGCCCCAGCCGAGGCGTTCCGGTATCGCGGACCTTTGGACGCCACGCGGCTCGTCCTCTGCGTCGTCGACATCACCATCCTCTGGCGCATTCAACCCTGCACGTTCCACGCGGTCGTACCTTGCGCGCCTGCCACTGTTCACACGCGCTGTTGCCGCCTTGATCGTGGCTCTGTATCTTCTGGACTGGCTGCCGATTTGGGACCTGCGCGCGTGGGGCGGCCTTGTTCCGTCGAAGCTGTCTTTTGCGACACGTACGGCATCCTTGTCCCCGGTCTATTTCCCTTCGCTCCGTCTTTCGTCTGCCTTTCTACTAACTTTTACTAGTCTACCGCACGAATACCTTCCCCCTGATACACGTGGGTTTGTTCCACGTGGTAGCAAATGTAGCGGCCCTGGTGCCACTGCTCGACCGGTTTGAGTGCGAGCATGGCACGATCACGACGCTGGCGCTGTTCTTTGGACGTACGTAGCAACTTTGAAAGAGGGGCGACAAGCGATTGACATTTGCGAGAACGACCGAACGCTAACATAGATGCAATACGACTCTAGCCTTCTCCACGCTTCCGGCATTGATCTACGTCTGCTTCGAGCGCATCTTCCGCATGGACACGGCGGTGATGGGTGCCAGCGTCTGGGTATTCCTCCTCCTTGGCGTTGAGGCCATTCGCACATACCGCCAGAACCCGGCCCTGGTCATCGCCTCTGTGCCCGTCCCGACCTGGGCCACGCCGCTTTTCTTCGTCTTTGTCATTGCCGTCTTCATCCCCAACACGAGCCTGCCAGGCCACTTGGCCGGCCTCGGCGTGGGCTACCTGTGCGGTCTCGGCTACCTCAAGTTCTTGTCCCCACCGGAGTCGGCCCTTCGCTGGATCGAGGCCCGTCTCAACCTCCTGGCACGCGTGCCGCACTATGTCAGCGTCGACCAGAAGACGTACGGTCGTTTTGGAGTACTGCCGAGCGTAAACGCCGGCGCAACGGGCGCAGCCCCGGCTATCGGCCTCGTGGGCTCGACCCAGCGCCTGGGTCCTTAGTCGCGCTCGAACGCGCTTTGAGCCTTGTCTTGTTCCCATCTGGAATCGGCAGCTCTGCTCTTCGTCGTCCTTTCTATGTTTACCTATACGTTTCTCAGCGCGGAAATCTCGGGGCTGTCTCATCATATAAAACGGAGTCCTGTGCGGTTGTTTGAATTATATGGTCATGTACCGCGTTCGGGTCATGCCTGCTCATGTCGTTTCTCGTCCGTTGTCGATTATTCCAGCGGCCTCTAGCCAGTTCACTGGCATGCATTTGGATAACTCTTGGAGCGGCGTTTTCGTTTTGTTGCTTTTTCATTTTCCATGGGCCCATTCTTCTTCTTGCCGCTTCTGCCTGTTGCACACATTCCCCCAGTACCTTTTTGTAAACAACTCTGTATATCGTGACGCTAGACCGCGTACCCGACAGGGCCAGTAATAATGATAATAGACGTGCGTTCGTGCCCACCCCCATTGTACGGATACTATGACATACGACGTATTTCAATACGACATTTCGACCGAATTCACTCTGGTGATGTAACTGAAATGGCTACCCGAATTGGAAGGAGCGCTGTGGCGCTTTTATGCTTCTACCCGTTAATTGGGTGTGGGGCTTCGGCAGCGAATAGGGGGGGGCCTGTTCCTGGACGCGCTAAAACTAGTATAGCACAGCTGTTCGTGACTCGCCAAGAGCTTCACTTTCTTGCACCTTTCTCGCTCGCCATGCGCATGTCGTCGTCACTGTGCTGTCGCCCACGATGCCCAGCTTAATATGTGAGTTGGATGCCCTCCACACACTTGGGACAAACGTCGATACTTGTCGATACTTTCTGGTCCCCGCCACGTACTGACTCTTCAGCGTCCCTTGTCCGCTTCCGACGCGACCCGCGGCTTCTCAAGCTGCCTCCATACCTCTCGCTGCTCTGCATCCTGGTCGGTGTCGCCTCGCTGCTTGTGCTGCCCCTTGACTCCTACTCTCGGCGGACCTACATCTCCGAAAATGCCCTGCTGCCGGGCCAAGTGCACACCTACTTTGGCGGAAGCGACCAGCACGTTTTCCGCGCCTACAAACACGAGGTTAACGGGCTGCTCGGCCAGTCCAATACGGCCATCAACGACCACCTCGAGCCCATCCTTGCGTCCGCCGGCCTGAAAGTTGGCCGCCAGAACTACACCTACCGCTCTGCGGGCGAGACGTTTGCCGGCGAGAACCTCTATGCCATTCTCCAGGCCCCGCGCGGTGACGCCACGGAGGCCCTCGTCCTTGTCAGCCCCTGGCTCAGCATCCACGACGTGCCCAACCCGCACGGCGTGGCACTCGCGCTGGCCCTGGCGCGCTACTTCCGCCGCTGGTCGCTGTGGTCCAAGGACATTATCTTCTTGTTCCCGCCCGACAGTCTCACGGGACCGCAAGCCTGGGTCGACGCTTACCACGACGCCCACGATGGTCGCTATGTCAGCCCTCTGCCCCGCAAGTCGGGCGCGCTGCAGGGCGCCATGGCACTCGACTACACCAAGGCCGACCCTGCCGATAACGACGGCAACGGCAGCAGCCGCTTCACGGCCGTGCACATTGTTTATGACGGCGTCAACGGCCAGCTGCCGAACCTGGACCTGATCAACTCGGTTGTCAACATTGCCGGCGGCCAGATGGGCACCGGCGTGTCGCTGCAGGAGATGTGGCGCCACGACGACGGCTACGCGGACCGCCTGCGCACGATGCTGCGTGGCATGCTGCGCCAGGGCCTGGGCGCCGCCACGGGTGCACACAGCGCGTTCATGGCGTACCACGTGGACGCCATCACGCTCCAGCCGTACACGGCGACGGCGGTGACGCCCGAGGGCAACGTGGTCATATCCGGCTGGCAGCACGACGAGATGGCCATGGGCCGTATCCTCGAGGGCACGTTCCGCAGTCTCAACAACCTGCTGGAGCATCTGCACCAGAGCTTCTTCTTTTACCTGCTGATGGGCCGCGAGCGCTTTGTAAGCATTGGCACCTACCTGCCGAGTGCCATGCTGCTGGCCGCCAACTTTACGATTATGGCCATTGCTCTTTGGGTACGCAGTGGACAGGCCGTGTCGAAACAGGGGACCGCCGCAGGCGCCCAAGAGAAGAAGTCCAAGGCTACGTCCGAGACGGCTGCCGTGTCGACGTCGAGTGGCAACGGCATCGCCGAGGAGCGCGATCTGTTCCTCCCCCTGGCTGTTGTCACCCTTTGCCAGGCACTCGGCATGGCCCCTCTCTACCTATTTAACCATGTCTCCGCTTGGGTGAGTTGAGTTGACTAGGCTTTATTTTTTCGTCTTCGTTTTTATTATATAAGTGCTGCGTAATCGTTGCTAACAACGTCACAGCTTCTTACGCCTATATTTATCGGCTTTTCTGTGACCAACGCTGTCCTTCCTCACGTCATCTCCGGCGTTCTGACCAGCTACTACCGCGCCACGGCCCAGCAGTACGACCTTATCAAGTCGTTTTCCCTACTGCTGCTTGGCATGTTCTTGTCGTCGCTTGCCACCCTCAATTTTTCGCTCGCCTTCCTGGTTGGCCTGCTGGCAAGCCCGCTGACCTTTATGCGCCCGGCGCCCAACAGCGCTGTTATGCGCTGGCTCGCGACCGCACTGCTCAACATCGTGTCCCCGCCCGGCGTCCTGGTTGCTTGCTGTGCGGTGTGGAAGCTGGACGTCGCCGAGGCGCTCCGCCTGGCGGCTTTTGGGTGGGACGTCTGGGGCATGTACACGGCCGTGGTGTTGTGGTGCGTGTGGTGGCCGGCGTGGCTGGCTGGGTCGGTTCTTGTGCTGGGACGGCCAGCTGCAGCTTCGGCGAGCTCCTAATTGGCGGAGAACATAATTATAGATTCCATGTATGGTGATCTGTCGACGTACGTACGATGCACGGCACTAGCTTTTCTAGAGAGAGAAGGCCATCATCCAAGAACGATCTGTGGTAAGGTGGCTGGCCATAATTGTATCCTCTCTGTCATGGTTGATGGGAAAGGAAGTAAGGCGTTTTTGTCTTTTAGAAAAACTGGACTGCATGTTGTACGTCTTGACACGTAACACTTTTATTTGCTTGGGTAGCGTTCGCGGATGTTTTGTCAGTTTTGTAAATAAACCTAATGTACCTTTCAAATAATCACCTCGAATATTTTTCAGAGGAACTACATTGGAAATTTCGTATTGTAAAATAAGTAAGGATGAGATAAAATTATATACTTGGATAGACATATATGTGAGCCCCCGAGCTCGTTTTCATCGTATATACTCGCAATACATACAAGTGCCCGCTTCTGCAAATGTTTGAATGTTTTTGTCTTTTGGTTTGGCTACTTTACATGAATGTGGATATGTTGCAGAAAAGGCCATTAAAACGCCCTTGACCGACCCTGTCCGCCGTAATCTCGTTTCCACATACTCGTTCTATTCTATGCTCGATTACACCAGTCGCCATGGCCTCATGCCGCCCAGACGTCCTGGCCCACCTGCTCGATCCAATTTCCGAGCTGGTTGACGCTGGTACCCCATTCTCCTAACCGCTGCCGCATGTTGTCGATCTGCTTCATATCCAGCACCTTAGGCTGCACCCAGTTGATGTGCGCTACCTCGTCGACCTGGTCAATGGTGCCGCGCAGCAGGCCCAAGCTCAGCGCCTTCATCACCAGGTGCTCAATCTCATCGGGCTGCACGTTGGTCTCCTGCGCAATGGTGGCGAACGTCATGGAGCGCTGGTGCGGCGGGCGGCGGAAGACGGCCTCGGTCAGCGCGGCCAGGTAAATCTTCTGGCGCAGCTGTCCGCTGTGCTTGTTCAGCAGGGAGTTGCCGGCAATGTGCTCGGACAGGCGCTCGTAGGCGCGCAGGTCGCCGCGGTTGTAAGCAAAAAGCAGCTCGCGCAGCCAGGCGTCGTCCTCGTCCTCGGTGGTCAGGGCGTCGAGAATGGGGTGCAGCAGCAGCTCGCCAAAGTTGTAGATGCTGGAGGACACGAGGGCAGCCAAGCTCAGCTTGTAGGCGCGGTCGTGGCGGTCGTCGGCGTCGAGCGAGGCCACGTCGACGCAGGCCAGGTAGAGCAGGGCGTTGCGGTAGTAGAGGGCAAAGTCGAGCTTGGCCTGGTAGTAGAGTGAGCTGGTGTCGTAGAAGGCGGCGTGCACAATATTCTCGACGGCGTCAAACGTGTCCAGCACGCGCTCGGCCTTGTCGAGGTCGCTGCGGGCGCCGTCAAAGTCGCGCAGCGACAGCTTGACCCGCGCCACGGCAATGGTGGCAAACACAAAGGCGTCCTGCGAGTCCTCGTGGTCGACCCGCTTGGTGACGGACTCGAGGAAGGCCAACCGCTCGTTGTCGTCCTTACATGACTCGGCGGCCTTCAATGCGAGGTCGACAAACTTGAGCTGGTTGATCTTGTCGGCGAACTTGAGCACAAACACCTTGAAAAAAGGCAGCCGCAGGTCTTCGCTCTGCTCGTCGTTGAACACCACCAGCAACGCATCGGTCAGCTGGTGCCACAGCTTCCGCTCCCACAGGTTTTCGATCTCGAGGATGGCGCCCTGCAGCTCGGCCGGCGCCGCATCGCGCTGCTCGTCGAGGAAGTCGGTCAACGCCTCTGCGCTCATGGTGGCAGCTGTGTGCTGTTTGTGATGATGGTACCGAAGAGGATAAGGAAAAAGTGAAACGCAATTGGCCGTCGTAAGGGTCGCCGTGTCGGGAGGTCGTGCGGTATCGTCGACGAGCCGATGCTTCTATGACTTCGTTGCTGTTTTTGGTGGTGGTTGGTTGTATTGGTGCTGTGATGTTTGGAGGCATTCAAGGTGGTCACCAGTTGGCTGGAGCTTCCTTCCCAGCTCACCTTTCCGCCACTTCCCTCCGAAAGACGCGGCTCGAATGCAGCCTGCTGGAGTCGTCTCCAATTGCACCTGCCAGACTGGCGCCAAAGCTCGCAAAATCAGTTTCTCCGGGCCTACTCCAATCTGCCATTCCAGGGGATTCGCCCCGCTAACAGAATTGCGGCTACAGCGCGTGAATCGTCACGTGTGGAGCTGGAAGCGACCGCCCGTCTGCCAAATCCGCCAATGGGATCCCGAACATTACTTTCGCTTCGTTTTCGACCCACGCAAAATAGCAACAGCCGAAAACGTCGTGTTCAACGGATGCTGGGCCAGCTCGCCAAACGAGCCAATTGACACGCAACCGCCGCCTTTGCGCTTCTACGACCCCGATCCCTTACCGACTTGCGCCGCATTTGTCGCCTCGGGGCCCCCTTCCTCACACCATGTCGTCCCTTCCGGCTACCGCCGTGCGGTCGTCGCAGAAGATGGCCCGGACCGTCCTGCAGCAGCAGCAGCGCCGTGCGATTTCGGACGTCACAATCACACGCACCGGCAAGCCCATCATCCGGGTGCAGGGTGGAAGGTATGTACAGACTGCTTCAACGCGGCAATGGGATGGATACTTTGGACCGTGGAGATCATAGCTAATTCTGTCCCTTCCACCGTTTACAGATCTTCCCTTGGAGGTACACACATTGCCGATAGCCATCTTCCCTTCGATTCATGCAACTACGAAGCTTCTACGACAGTCGTAACTGGAAATGCTAACTGACTGCAACAGGCCACACGGCCACGGTGTTCGGTGCCACGGGCGCCCTCGGTCGCTATATTGTGAACCGGCTTGGTGCGTCTTTTAATATCCCCGGCAGCATTGGCAATGGAGGACGAAAGGAGGGCCGAAGAAAGGACGGAGTGTGCTGACCAGGGCGTTTGTTGTTGTGTACAGCTCGGCAAGGCTGCACGGTCGTCATCCCCTTCCGCGAGGAGATGACCAAGCGGCACTTGAAGGTGACGGGCGATCTTGGCCGGATTGTGTTCACGGAGTTCGACCTGCGGAACACGGCGTCGATTGAGGAGAGCGTCCGGCACTCGGACGTTGTCTACAACCTCATCGGCCGGAACTACCCAACCAAGTAAGTTCATCGATGCAATGTTATTATCGTTCAGATCTCGACCGCCGCCGCCCCCCTTCCCATACTGATACAAGCCCACCTGCAGGAACTTCTCCCTTGAGGATGTCCATGTCGAGGGAACGGAGCGCATTGCCGAGGCGGTGGCCAAGTACGACGTTGACCGGTTCATCCACGTGTCGTCGTACAACGCGGACCCGACGTCGCCATCGGAGTTCTACGCAACCAAGGGCCGCGGCGAGGCAGTAGCGCGCGCCATCTTCCCCGAGACGACGATTGTGCGCCCGGCGCCCATGTTCGGTTTCGAGGACAACCTTCTGCTGCGGCTGGCGGGCGTGTACAATGTCCTGACGTCGAACAACATGCAAGAGCGCTACTGGCCGGTGCACGTCATTGACGTGGGCCAGGCGCTGGAGAAGATGCTGTACGACGACACCACGGCGGGCCAGACGTTTGAGCTGTACGGCCCCAAGAACTACTCGACAGCCGAGCTGGCCGAGCTTGTGGACCGCGAAATCTACAAGAAGCGGCAACATATCAACGTGCCCAAGGCGCTGCTGAAGCCGGCGGCGACACTACTAAACAAACTACTATGGTGGCCGGTGCTGTCGGGCGAGGATGTTGAGCGGGAGTTTATTGATCAGACGATTGACGAGACGGCCAAGACGTTCAAGGACCTGGGCATTGAGAAGCCGGGCGAGATTGCCGACTTTACCTACCACTACCTGGTAAGCACTCCTAGTCGCTTTCCTTGCTCTTTTCCCTGCTTCCCCCAGCCCTACCTGCCTCAAATTTCTAACGATCATAACAGCAAGGATACCGCAGCTCCTCGTACTACGACCTACCGCCAACAACAGAGCGCGAGAAGCGGGAGGACAGAAAGTACCTGCACGTCGTGGACGACCAGTAGATGGGCGTCCCGGAGTGCTTGGTGTGAGATCTAGAGCTGACGAGCATTGTTTTCTTTTGTTTTTCTCAGTTGGCTGGACGGGGCAGTGTATATATTTGACAACCAAGACGCAAGCAACCATAATTCAGAATATTGGATGCGAAAATGGAGGTTCATCAAGACTGCTTTGACAGGTTGAAGTGAAAATGAAAAGTGTAAAAAGTAAAACGTAACAAAAAAAGAAAAGAAAGAATCGACAATGATGACAGAAATGCATCGTTTGCTTTATTTAAATGGTATAGCAAGACATGCCAAATCTCGTTAGTATGCTCTTTTAAATGGCTGTAAATATCAGTACAAAATGTCGTACACTTTGACTGGCCCTGCAATAGGTGTCGTTTTGGTACGATTGGGCCCTAATGGTGGTGGCGTCGCTGCGCATTGAAAAATTTGGCGCTTGTCAGCCTTGGCACGCATCTGCCCAAAAACGGTCTTGTCTTACACGGGACACGGCTGACAGCAAAAAGCGACACATAACTCAACGACCAACGTATGACGAAGGCTGCGTATATTCAACCCGGTCATTTTTTTTTTTTTGAGAAACCAATACACACCGTACACAAGACCGTCTGCACGATGGGCTCCGACAGTGATGACGAGCTGTAAGTTGGCGAGTGTTTCGCCTTCTTTCTTCAAGATTTTTTAACACTTGCTGACTTTTCAGGACTCTCTCGTCGTCCACCATCGGCGCCCTTAAGGACTTCTACAAGGAGCGTGATGAGCGCGAGAAGCGGTTTGCCGACTTGCAAGCGGTTGCAGAGGCCGCCTCCAAGGCCAAGGCGGCGGCAGATGCCGAGGCAGCCCTCCCGGATCTCACCATGGCCTCATTCACCGAAGACTGGAACGAGTCTCAGTTTTGGGTGCGTCCACCTTGTTGACTGGCCCTTGTTTCTCATATTATGCCTTTTGTGCCCATCCTAGGACTTGATCGCTGACCCCTTTAGTACTCGGATGAAACAGCCACTGTCCTGGCGCGGCAGCTGCTAGACGGCACCGATGCCTCTTCTCTTATTGTCGTCGTCTCTACACCGAGCGTCTTTATTATGCTTAAGAACATTGCCGTATGTTTAATTCTTTTTTACGCTTTTCCTTGTCCCATGTATCTCCTTGGTTTGCTCGCCGTTACATGTATTGACAACCCAGAAAACTATCTCGGCCGAGTCCCGGCCACGGATGCTGCTCCTCGAGCACGACAAGCGTTTTGCCGTCTTTGGAGACGAGTTCATCTTTTACGACTTTAATGAGCCCACAAATCTGCCAGCGGCCCTTCGTGGCACGGCCGATCGCCTCATCTGCGACCCGCCGTTTCTCAGTGAAGACTGCCAGACAAAGAGTAAGCCGTGTCGGTTTCCGTTTTGGCTGCTGTGGATATATCTGTGCTGTGATCACTCACTAACATGTCAGCCGCCCTGACGTTGCGCTGGATCGGCAAGCCCGGCCCGAAGACGCGTATTATTTCGTGTACTGGCGAGCGCATGGCCGAGCTGATCACGACCAAGCTGTACAAGGCGCAGGGCGTGCGGATTACGACATTCTTGCCGCAACACTCGAACGGACTAAGCAACGAGTTCTTGTCGTACGCCAACTTTGAATGTGCCGACTGGAAGTTCCGGGATGCGTAGTTCAGTTGGAGGCGTTGTGATCGGAGTGCTTTTGTTTCGCGTCTCAGGTTTCAAGTTTCACGTACTTTCTCGTCGCGCAAATCATAAATGATATAAAAAAAGAACAAAAAAATACAAGGTCTATATTTCAGGGCGCCGACTAATGCCTGGACTGTTCTTGTTCCATCTTCTGTTCCATTAGACAAAGGTGCAATCCATTACCTATCTGACCTTTGTTCTGAATGTGCCACGGGCAAGAAACCAAACCCTCCCCCTTTCACCATCTCGTTTCCCCGTCCATGCAAACCGGGATGCTGGAAAACAATACCGAAGATAAATGAAGTACTAGACAGTACACAGTAAAAAAAGAACGGCGAGTACCACAAGAATCGACAAACTGCGGCGTATATAAAACATACACGCGCATACAAAACAGAGACGACGCCGTGACTGGTCCCAGACGCAAGTAGGGTGGAAGAAGAGAGTGAAAAAGAGCAAAAAGAGACGAAGCGGACGAGCAGCGCAAGGAATATAAAAGCAATCTTGTTCTTGTTCATCGTTAAAAAGGCGAATACAACCCTTTTGTTCATCACTCACTCTCGCATTTTAAGCTAGAGAGCGGATGATGTAGAAGAGGAGGTACGCCTTGGCGCCCAGGACCTCGGAGTTGGACGCCAGCTCGACGCGGTGGTCGTTGAAAGCGAACCACTGGTCGCCCACGCGGCAGTAGGACACGTAGTGGCCCGTGTCGATCTCACCGACATGCACGACGACGCTTAGCAGGTCGTACATGCACGACCGGTTGAGCTCGTAGCTTTCGCGACTATCCTGGTTGCCACGGCTGCGGTTGGTGTACGGCAACATGTTAAGCTGCAGTGGGAACTCGACGGGTGTGTCGACCTTGACAGCCTTGTCGTGGCGACCCTGCTTATACTCAAAGCGCTTGGTGTGTTAGCTGTATGGGGGTAAGGAAGCAGCGTGTGGACAAAAAAAAAAAAAAAACCGAACCACAGCACATACTTTAAGTTGAATGGACAGCACATTGGGCAACGACTTGATGGACGTGTGGCGGCGCGCTTGCCGCGTCGAGTGGCACTTGTGACAGCGGTACTCGCACTTGTCCGACTTGATGTACTCCTCGTCGAGGCACTGTTGCAGCGTGAGTTTGTTTGCACCGGAACCGGCCTGCGCCTTCTTGGACCGCTTCATGTTGTCGACTCCCAGGCTCAGATCCAAGAACGACTGCACCTGGTTCGTCACGCCGTTGCACTGCTGACACGTCGTCGTGCTCTGCAGTTTGCCGTAGAACGTCTGGTGGATGATGCACGTGCACGAATGCTCGCTCCCGTGCTCGGGTTTCTTGCCGTCCCCGTTGCGCTCGTGCAGCTCTTCGGCCAGGAACTGAAAGAACTCGTGCGCATCTTGCTCCCTGGTGGTCACGAGGTTGGCAAACGCCTTCTTCTCGGAGATCCAGAAGCTCGACAAGATATTGGCTGCCGTGTAGCCGTTGGTTGTTTCCTGGCCGTAAAACTCTTGAAACACGTCGTCCATGGCGCAGCTGAGGCAGTGTGGCGACTCGCACAGCGAGCTCTGGTGGCCGTCGGACAGATAAAAGTTGCGCAGGAGCGGGTTGTGCAAGAAACACTGCATAATCACATTCTGGTAGCAGGTAGCGCCGGCATTGTAGATGCCACGCAGACCGCTGGCCCGGCACGACGCAAGAGTCGTGTTGGAGGCAATGTATCTGGGGTCGTCCTTGAGCGAGTCCGAGAACAGCTCGTCATGCTTCCGCTTGCGGTTTGCTTCGGTATTGTTAGTGGCATTCTGTTGTTGTCAACGCGGCGTGCGGGCCTCCTATTTGTTCAGCACATACTCGAGAATGAGCCGGTGCCTATCTTGCGCAGCCGAAGCTCCTCCAATGTTGGGTCGTACACGAAATCGTCGCACATGTGGCAGTACAGGGTGCCGCATCGTGATTCGACGTCTGGACGAGGTGAGTTGGGGTTAGCGATGTCCCTGGCGCTCGTCTTAATTCCCCATTCTCTCTCCTTGTCCCATGTCACATACAAAATCGATGGCTCTTTTTCTTGCCATGCTTGCCAATGTCCTCCGGCACCAGCGTTGTCGGGCATTGCAAACACAGGTAGTTGGGTGTCAGGTTCGTGATTGGTTGGCCGTCTGCAGACTTGGACGTCTGGGGAACAATTGGCGGCTGGTCGAAGATTTTGCGTAGGATGATTTTATAATGAAAAATGGACGTGTTGATCGTGTCCTGGCCCTGCGAGAACAGCTGCTGCACGTGTTCACAGCCGTATAGGGGCATGCCCGGCACCGGTGCCTTGATCTTGATCGTCTTGGGTGACGACGGTGTGGTTGGTCGTGCCGCCATGCTGGGCGTTGTGCGTATTTGTATTGTATCAGCGATTCTCACAGCCCCGGGGTAAAATGAGCGCCTGGCGGACCTAAATTACCAGGCAGTATGAGGGAGGAGATGGAACGGATTGTTGAGACGTCGTCGAGACGTCCGCTGGGAAGAGAACCTTGTCAGGACTCGAGATCGGTGGCAATCGTCGGTTTGTTTGGTTTGTTTGGTGTGTCGAGAGGGTATCAAAGACAATTCGGTACATGCCGTGGACCACCGGAAACACCGGAATTTGGGTTCGAATCGCACGTCTTCGTACAATATTCTGTTCGTATCGTTCGCAGCTATGCTTGGTCGATGGATTTCGCCCAGCAAAATGATCCTGCAGATGCCACCAACTGAGAACAACCGGCCTCAAAACCGCCCAACGTTTCCTCTGTCGTTAATTTTCCGTTCGTCGTGCTCTTACGTGTGTCCTTTCGTTGTCGATCCTGTCGCATGCGCGTCACCATGAGGCGGTGGTGGTGATCAAGGATGCTCTCGTGCAGTCTTTGTCGCCGCCTCCTGCAAGTTGTCGGTCGATGTGCCCCTGCTGGCGCCCTTTGTGCAGCCTTTCCCCATCGCGTGCGTGGGTGTTTCAATGCTGCTTTTTAATGGCAGGTGGGGACGTCTAGGAGCACTACTCTGTGCCCTGATTGGCTACAGCTTCCAGAGAAGGGTGGCAACCTGGGTATTTTGCAGCGTTCCGAGCTGAACAGGGGCACGATCGTGGAAGGTCTTCATAACGATGACGTTCTTGCCTTATGCTTTCCCTCTTAACTGTGTACTGATGCATCTTACTTCACGCGAGCTGGACAGGCTTCGTCCGAGCAGCCAAGGGCGTATATTCTGGCCGTTACCGCCCGCTCACAGGATCCTTATCGGCACCTGATCTTTGGGGCTTATCGCTTTTACTAGCGGCCGGCCGCTAAACAGGGGGGTTCCTGATGCCCGCCGAGCCGCCCTCCCATTGCGCCATTGGCAGGCGGCAGGATGGCAACTGCCAATTAGTGGTCAAGGGGACCTGCAGCCTCGGCTTTACAGAGGAAGCAACCCCCATGATGTAAGAGCTGAGCGGATTGCGGAGAAGATCACGACGTTCCACGACAGCAAGCGTTTACGGCTCACAAAGGCGGATTGCGAGGGGAGAAACGAGTACAAAGATAGAGAATATCGCACAGGAGCATACACATTTCAAAGTTGAATGTGGTCCAGTCTGCGACCCCGCGTGCCCTGCTGTCGGCCATCGTCTCAGCTCCGATCGAGACTGTTTTGTCCGCGAGCACTGTCTAACCGAGCATTCCATCCATTGGCTACATCGTTTTCTTCCCGGCCACCGTCTGCGAGGCGACTACAAGCATTGCACCCTCCGTCTCGTTCCACCCGCTTCAGAATGGCCTCCCAGCTCGTTGCGCTCCCCGAAGTCGAGCGCCTTAGCCCGGCCTGCATCCGCATTCTCGGCGGTAACCCTGGCAAGTTCACCTTGCAGGGAACTAACACCTACATCGTTGGTACCGGCCGCGAACGGCTGCTCATTGACACGGCCGAGGGCGTGCCCGCGTGGGCCGACGCACTGGAACGCACGCTGGCCCAGGAGAGCGCCACACTGTCCGCTGCCGTCATCACGCATTGGCACCCAGACCATGTCGGCGGCATCAGTCAAGTGCGCAAGTTGGTGCCTGGCGCGGCCATCTACCAGAGCCAGCTGGAGAGCGGCCGGTTAGGCGCGGGCCCCCCGGGCCAGGAGGTGCTTGACATTGTCGAGGGCCAGGCGTTCTACGTCGAAGGCGCCACACTGCGCGCTGTGCACACGCCTGGCCACACAACAGACCACATGGCGTTTGTGCTTGAGGAGGAGGGGTCGCTCTTTGCAGGCGACAATGTGCTGGGACAGGGCACGGCCGTGTTTGAGGACCTGGCCGTCTACCTGCAAAGCCTGGCGCGGATGCGGGCGCTGTACTCGGAAAAGCGGGGTTCCGCCGCTGCCACTCCCAACCGGCTCTACCCTGGACACGGCCCCGTGGTGGAAGACGGGCCGGCCAAGATCACCGAGTACATTGAGCACCGCCAGCAGCGCGAGGACCAGGTTGTGCGGCTGCTGCGGTCGCCTGACAAGGTAGCCGCAGCGTCGTCTACATCCTCGGCAGCAGCGTCTCCAACGACAGACGGAAAACCTCCCTCGTCATGGACGGCTATGGAGCTGGTCGAGGTCATCTATGCCGATGTTCGCAGAGACCTATATCCAGCCGCCGAGCGTGGCCTTGTCCAGATCTTGCAGAAGCTGGAGGACGAGGGCAGGGTCGTTCAAGACGGGCGGACATGGACCTTGCGGGAGCGGTCGCCACTGTGAAGCAGGTAGACCAGTTTCGTTTCTCATTTTATTGACAACGGCGAGGAACGACCGAGTGTTTTGAAGCAACCAGGAATCAAGCGATGCATGACACCATATGATACATTGCACCTAGGTTATGTGATATAAATCCGTTTCAGTGAGCTCTGCAATGTGGTCATGCGCATCGCCTACGACAAACAACTTAAGGCCAAGGGTGTCGTCGTGAATAGTGTCTGCTCTCAAGCTACATACAGCCTCGAGAAAGTCATACACATCGCATACCAAGCACCTGGTGTCTTGTATAGACAGCAAAATACCTAGTATTTATTCCCTTGGCCATCCTACCAAACCACAGTCTTCTCGGGATTTCGCTTAAGGAACAAACGGGGCTTTACGACTTTTGATTACTTTGAGTCGGCCAAATAAAGGCTGGCAATTACCAAGCTCCCCAGGTATGGAGAATCCTCCATAACGAGGAATGGGCCCTGGGACCTTCACGGTAGTATGAGGCAGGACTCCAGGTAAGTGGCACGTATGGCGAACGAAGGGCTCCGAGCATGTCTCGTCGTACGAATAGCTGTACTAGCGGTGTAGAGACGATAATAGAAGCCGGACAAAAGAGAAAGGAAATAAGAAGTAAAGAAGAATAAAAGCAAGCAAGAGCCCCTTGTCGGCCTCAACGGCCTCAACTGTTTCTTTTTTTTATTCGATTTTCTAGCGCCGGCTTTGTAGATGACAGATGGGTAGGCAGAGACGTGGACGAGATGTGGAATAAACGTCGTGGCGTTAATACGAAGCGTCCGAATTCCACAAGAGGCGGCCGTCTGACTGTAACACTTGACAATTTTGTGACAAGCTTTTGTCATGTATACACCGTCCTCGCCTTCCGAATCGCCGATGACCGGGACGAAAAGAGCGAAGGGAATGCTCACAATATAGCTACTTATCTACGCCATAAAAAAAGAGTCATTCTCACAGGTTGTTCCTCCACGTCATTCGCATCCTTCCCCTCGCATGTTGCCTTGCCATGTCGTAGCTTCCGCAAAGTCCGGCAGACGAAATATGCAGGCAGATGATCGCGGGCGTGTGGTAGCGGTGGAGGTGGATAGGTTGGGCAAGAACGGTTGGTGGGTGTGGGCTGACCCTTCCTTTTTCGGAGGCCAGCATGTAGAGAGAATGGGGATGGACATCGCGAATGTCCTGACGCCGAAAGAGCGAATAAGAACCGCGACGAAAAAGGGAAAGAACAGAGCCGGTAGCAGGCGGGACCTAGACGACAAAATGTAAGAAAGGCTGGGAACATAAATTACAGTGGGTCGATGACCCCAAAGGGCTGAACAGTATGGAACCGCACTGTGCAGCCTTCTGTACGAATATGAACGTCGAACCATTTTTTATGTTCTTCATATGACCATCTGTTGCCAAGACGCTTCTGCATATTCGATGTGGGCGGGCAGGTATCTAAGAGGCGGCGTTTTGGATTTTTTAGTGTCCCAAATCCTGCTATCAAAGCCTGGCGAGTGCCAGCCGCGCGGGATGGGGTCACAGGCCCTGTCTGCTCCGGAAGGCTCGGAGTCGAATTTAACGGAGAAGAGACACAGCATGGAAACCGGCCATGAGGAAAAGGAACGAAGATTGCAGCAACAAACCGAACGATGATCATGGCAATTTGATATTTCGAGGATGAAAAAGCACAGCGACCCATGCATGTCGAGAAGAGATATGATGGCTCGCCGCGGGAAGAGCGATAGGTGGTCTCTGGTCAGTTACGAAAATGAGATGCAGTCAAAATAACGTGCCAAATGACGTGCCACACACAACAAAGAAGACGAACTGGGCTCGGACTTTGTTTGTGTCCAGGTGTCAGAACACAGTCGGGGAAAGCAAAGCAGAAGAAGACGTTTATTCCGTTGTGGTGGGCCCATGTCAGTGAAGCGAAAGGAATGCACCAAGCGAACGAATTGAAGACGACGGCAACGGTAGCGCGCGGAAGCGGCCAAAGAAGGCTGGCAGTCAGCCGTTGTAGCGGACGCTACGATGACGCTTGGGACACGGCACTTTAGCAGCAGTGACGTCGCCTTTGCAGAAACGAAGAAGCCTCAACTGTTCCAAACTGTCCTTTGGACACATTCAAATGTCTGTCATCGGAATGGTCATTTGAGGAATCGATTGAGGATCTATACCGGCAAGATTTGAACAGAGTTGTTGCCGAGGTATTATTACTCCAGATTGTGGCAAGCAAAGAAAGATATCAACGAACAAGTTAGTATCCCCTTTATGTCGTTCCGTTTTCTCGCACACGCCCTTCTGACTCACAGCAGGTTCTCTTCGGTTTTCGCACGGCTGGGCACAGGCTGTCGCGACCGAGCATCATGGAAAAAAAAGAGAGGACTCCTCAAAGAGGCGACTTACGTGCCGGCAGCGTATAGTAGGATGCCACCCATCCGTGCATGATTTTGTAACATGGTATCATCCAGAAGGGCAGCCGTGCATCCCGACATGCTTTGCAGTTACGGTCCTTGCTTCAAAGACTGTAAGATACTTGAAAAGGCATGCCACTTGATCTAGAAGAAACTATGCGTTTTAACATTTGGAATAATTCTACTTGCCGTTTCTCGCTATAGACAACCTTAAAAGAACCACAGGAGCGGTCGGACGATGCCTACGATAAGTGCACGGGACTGCTGTTGTACAGAGGCGCAAGTCACAGGAGGGCCGTTTATCTTTTAGAGGCTGGTTTGATCACAAATTAATAAGAAAACAGACAACGAGCCCCACAGGGCGAGATCGGCAAGAGCGCGCAAAAAATGCCAGAAGTGACTTCCGACTTACATGCTTTTAGATGTGCCGCCTGGCAAAAAAGTAGGGGTCCAGCCGCTGGCCAGAGTCTCCATCCGGCGTAATAAATTCCTTTTTTTTCTTCTTTTTATTCCGGGTTGGGCCCATTCTACAAAGGAACCTTTGTTGATCGCGTGCATGCGCAAATATTAGAATGGAGGAGACATGGGATGCTCAAGTGAAAAGCGGGCATGAAAAGCGGGCAAAATGAATAAATAAATAGGAACCGCAAAATCATACGTCTGCCCTTCGTACTCGTAAACCTCCCCTCCTTTTGCAACCGTCAATTTTACGACGTCAAACTGCTGGTTCGACAACATGGAGCTGATCATGTGCACGCATGATTGGCATTATCGGCCAAGGAGAGTCACGTAGGCAAGGCATGCGGTCAACGTGCGCGACCCTCGATCGCATGTACCGGCCTTTCGACAGGATCAGTGCGTCGTCGTCAGCAACTGGTAAGAATCGATTGCGTGAGCTGCAGGTCAAGACTAGGCCCAATCATCACCGATCCACCGCCCATCACCTGAATAGAGCCATGGCAGAGACTCAAGATGACTACTTTCGTAGATTGGGCATGGGCAGCTGCCCACCCATCGCTTGCTTGCGCTTGCCTTGTCTCGGATTTATCATACGCCTTGCATGTACCAACAGCAACCTCTGCAAAGGCCCCGTGCTGACAGATAGGCCTGCCAAAAGAGGAAAAGAAAGCATATGATCCCGGCTTTTGGCATACCCACGCCGACGGGCTTTTGTACTGCCCCGTGCAAACCCCGAGCAGCATTTCCGGATTGCTCTTTCTTTTCATTTATCGTCCCTTGGTCTTTTTGCCTTCACGCCGTGTCCATTGTTTTGACACGAGCCTTTTATTTGGCTTCAATGTGCTCTATCCATGTTTGATAATCATCTGTCGTTTTGGATCTAGCAGACTTTTTCTCCTTTGGCGTTTGCCAAGCAAACATTCTCTGGGTCTCCGGTCTTCCTTTTCTCGTTCCGATGTCCGTACTTCTGTTTTTGTCAACTTACATGGGGATCTACACAGGCATGGCTCGAGTCTCTTCTGCTTGCTTTTTGCGTCTGAAGTCGCACGGAGTTTATCGTACGTCGTTGATGCAAGGCAGCCGTCCAAACAACAAAATTGCACTCTTTTTGTTTCGAAATTGCTCCCATATCCAACACTGAAATAGGATCTAATTTGAACCCTAATGACAAGGCTACTTAGCCTCCAGCTCTTGTTCTGCGCCTCCGATCCACCCACAGCCAAGGAAAAAGCATCATCATCGTCAGATGAGTTGGAATCAAGTGCTTAATCCTTGCAGGTCAAACAGCCTACATGTAGAAGAGAGAGAGAACGAGGTCAGGCAGGCAATTTGCTTTATGTCACGTCGTATGACTAGCGGATCGCCATTCCAGGCTGCAAAGTTCGTCTGCAAATAGTCCACCTTTCAACTGTGACAGATAAAAGATTACACACGTTCGATGCTTGGGACGGCCTGTGCCCGCGACCGCCCGGCGTGTATCTCATTATCTTCTGTTGGTCGTCGTTCTTTTGCCTCCGACTCTTTGAACGTCGGAGTTTGCGCTTTGTGCTGTCCGTTCATTGAACTATGGCTTCCAACGGCGCTGGAATATGAACGCCTCGCGCCAACAAACAACTCCGTCGCGACAAGTCACCCAGGGTGCTCCGTGCTCCATCCTCCATCACGACCACTGCAGCATCCGGCAGCCTTGGCCTGGCTGAGGATCCTTTCGAAGCAGAGGCTGGGCGCTGCGGACTGACGTCGACTTTCTTGCTCTTTTCATCCTCTCGAGCCTTCGCCTTGTCTCGTCCTGCCTTGTCGTGTCTTGGGCAAGCTTGGCCTTCTTACGCCGGCGCGGCGGCGAGAACGTGCGCGCCAGTACGGCGCATTCGTGGTTTGTACAGTGCACCACTGTGTGGGGAATGCATCATATTGTCACACACCGCTTTGTTTTGGTGCTACTGACTACCGTTGCCCCACATGCTGTGATGGGCTCTTACCGTTCCCAACAGCCTTGACGCGCTAAACATTGCCATCTTAACCTCCTTATATTTTTTTTGTTCTGTCACCACTTTTTGCTCGGAAAGTTCGGATGCTCCAGAACAGCAACCGCCGGCTTACCTCGCACCCCCCCCCCCCCTCTCCTGCACCGTCCACGACATTTTCCACCCTGGACGATTACGTCGTAATGCTGCTCTCCCTTCCTTCTTGTCTGCACTAACCTACGTCCTATTGTGATGGTCTGCTCTGTGGACAGATGGAGTGTCTCGGGAGCGGGAAGCCAAAACAAACGAGCTCCTGCCCTTTTCTTTTCGTCCGTGTCGCGCTGTTGTGCTGGTGAACGTTCTTGCCCCTGCCCATCAAATCCACATTGCTGAAAGTATGTTCCATCCGTCGACGGTCGCCTTTGTACACTGTATATTGCCAAGAAGGCAGGGTCGACGCACAGGTGGTCTGACTTCAACCAGATCCGTGTGTGTACTGTTGCTGGACAGCTTCACTCCGGTGTATGTCCAGTGCTCTTTCCTTGTCGTCAGATGGGTAACATGGGAAAGAACGAACTGCGAGAGCCATATGTAAAAGTGAAGAGGGCCCGCAAAACCGGGGCTCGGAGGCCGGGGGTGAACGGAGTATGTTGTACGTACTTGCTGTCTAATATTTTTTAATACTGTACGCCGTACTGTCCCCATCGTGCTTTCCCGTCCCAAGTCTGCAAACCGCCTCTCTTTCCCTTTTCTGTCTTGTCGCTTTGTGAATAGCTCCTTCTCGTTCGCCCCGCGGACGGCCTTTCGCGCCCTTTCGTTATTACCAATCCGTCATTTTCTCTGTGTAATGTGCCATGTGCTCGTCCTGGCCGTACAAGGCCTGTTCGATGCGCTCGCTGCCCGAATAGTCAACACCCCCCCTCCAACCTCACATCGTAGCTTCCCTTTTAAAGTACCAGCTCGCGCCGCGACTGCCTGAAGCTCTCGCCACCGTTTTGTGGCTTCTATTATTTTGTCTGGTCCTATTCTGGTCGCAATTCTGTATTTCCTCTTCTTCCTCCTCTGTTCTCTTCTCCAAAAGCGTTGCGAACACATTAATCCATAAACCACCACTCTCCCCACCCTCCGCCAACGTATTCTGCAGAGTACGTGTAATCCTTTTCTCGGCCTGTCAAAGTCACTGATCCCCGTTCACGATCTCCATCTTTGTGGCCTGTTTCAGTCCCTCGACAGGACTTTTCGGCGATTCAATTTGATTCCTGTCTTGTACAGCCTACGAGTCGGTTGCCCAGGCCTATGACGCCCAGCTTACCGTGCAATACCCGAAGAGCGTCCTTTGTTACGTCGCCTCGCGCTTTTCTAACGGTCCCCTTGACCTAAGGAGTATATTACAAAGACCCTGCCGTCACACCCAGGAGAGAAACGAGGCTGCTGGCTTTCACATCACTCGCCTCGCTCCTATTCTTTCGTTACAAACAAGTACTTTCAAGGACAATTACCTGCCTCTAGGGCTACATACAGCACAACCAGCAAGCTTCAACAGCAGCCGCCTGGCCTGCAACTGTGCTCCTAGACTCGTACCGAGGAGAAGGCAAGCTTGACCGACGCCAATAGAGGCTGTTTTTAAGCTGTTCTGCAGCTTCGCGGGGGAGCTCACAGACGCACGGCGAAGCTCGGGTGACCGGTGTAGAAGGGTCAACGACAAGCGGGGAGCTTGAAACAGCTTGGAATTGACGCTCGTGAAGCTCGCAGTGCGACCTAATACAGTTTTTTTCTCACGACGAGCAAAAATGCGCTCAACAACGCATTCTCTTGCCGCAAAGGCATTTTTTGTGGCCGCTCTCGTCTTTCTGGCCGCACCGGCTGTGCGCGCACATGGCGACGACGAGGGGATGGGCATGGACATGGGCGACAGTATGGGCGGCAGCATGGACGTGGCGGCAAATCCGCACCCGCTTACACACAACGCGACGACAAACGGCACTGCCGAGATTATCTACAAGCCCACGTACTTTGCGCACCCAGAGCACGTCGGCCTGATATACGCACACATTGTTCTTATGACTCTGGGTTGGGTGTTTGCGCTGCCAGTTTGTGAGTACTTTTCTCGGAAAATTCCCTGATCGGCTGGGGAGCCCCTGGGGCGCGAGCAAAGATTGGACAAAACTTCAGCGTGCTAACAAATCTGAAGCGGTGATGCTGTCCCTTGCGCGGTCGCGCTACACGCTGCCTTCGCAGCTGGTGTTTTTGGCTGCCAATGGCGCTGGTGTGCTCGTATCCACCATCTACAACGCCAGCACACCTGATCTGTACCCGAACAACGCCCACCACAAGGTCGGCTGGATCGCGACCTGGGTCGTGTCCGCGCAGGTCGTCATCGGGCTCCTAGCTCGTGTGTCCGGCACCTTCAAGCGTGGTGGCAGCAACACCAGTTACGACGGAATTCGCAGCAGCGAGCGCCGCGCCTTTATCCCCGTATCCACAGAGGCGCTGGCCGAGCACAGCAGCCAGCAGCAGAGACGTCACCCAACCAGCCACGGCCACCAGTACCGTCTTTCGAACGACAGCGGCCAGGGCACGGAGCCCAACACCGAGTCCCTGCGCAGCAACTCCGTCTCGACGCTGGGCGACGGCGAGTCAAGTCGCCAGAAGGAGAGCTACGACGAATCCGACCAGAGCAACCACTACGACGACTTCGAGGACGAGGATCTCGAGGATGCACGCCGGCCGCCGACGCCTCGTCTGGCCCTTGCCGGCCGTTTCTCTGCCCTTACCGGCAAGGTAGCCGGCAAGATCTCCTCACGCGCTTGGACTGTCCTGCTTTTCGTGTACAACTTTATCGATCGCACCAGTATGATCCTGGGTTTCATTGCTTTTACCCTGGGTATCATCGCCTACGGCCGTTTCTTTGTAAGTTCTGACCCCAATCCCCGCAAAATACTTCGCAAATTTGGAGTTACACGGAAGGCACAAAAGAAGGGAGGAGAAGGCGCAGTCAAACGAAACAAAAATTGGGGTACACCAGCTACAATTTGGAGTCGACCTTAATCAACTGACACCAACTTTCATTAGGAGGGGCACGGCATTTTCAGTGGACTGGCGCACTGGATCAAGGGAGGCATTTTCTTCTGGTTGGGTATTTTCACTCTTGGTCGCTGGGCGGGTTGCTTCGGCGAATGGGGATGGGCTTGGAACGTACGACCGAAATCACCTTCGCAGAAGTGGCGCCCGTCAGCCGAGTTTGTCGAGAGCTTCCTCATTTTCTTTTACGGCGCGACGAACATCTTCCTCGAGCATCTCGGTGGTCAGGGCCAAGCGTACACTGCGACGGACCTGGAGCATGTGTCCATCACTGTTCTCTTCATCGGTGGTGGTTTGGTATGCTTTTCTTTTCCCTTTTCGCCCTTTTACTTTTGCTGTGAGGTGGTGTCTTTCCCTACTAACACGGATCCCCCTATTTTCTTAGTGCGGTATGCTCATCGAGTCAACGCGCATCCGTGACCTCCTGAACACGACCGTGACGGAGGCGGCCCACGAGTACCCCGAGAGCAACTACCATGACGAGGAGCGCGAGGCTCTTCGTCCACCGCCCACGTACGAATTTTCGATCAACCCCATCCCGGCTCTCGTCATCCTGCTGCTCGGCATCATGATGAGTTCGCACACCCAACATAGCATGATCTCGAGCATGGTGCACAAGCAGTGGGGCAACCTGCTTACGGGTGCGTCCTTTGCTCGTGGTTTCACCTATGTCCTTACCTTCCTGCGCCCGCCCAAGTCCATCCTGCCGTCACGGCCGCCGACGGAGCTGCTCGCGTCGTTCAGTCTAATTTCTGGCGGCGTCATCTTCATGGCCAGTGCTGGTGATACTATCAACGGCATGATCCACTACAAGCTGGATGCCATGTTCATGTACACGGTGACTATGGGGCTTGTTGGTCTCCTGATGGCGTGGATCATTGTGGTTATTGCTCTCAAGGGCTGGGCTGTCCGCAAGGAGGCCGGCCGTCCGACCGGTTCGTATCGCTTGGCGTAAGCCTACGACAGGAATTGGGACACGCGACGAACAAACTTACACAATGTTGTCACCGGAAAATATCGATGACGATGGACATGATTATCCATGACAAAAAACACGACAAAAACCCTGTTTCCAAAGGATACACATGACCCTTCTGGGCATATCTAATGATACGAAGGTGACCGAACACGGAGAGGAATACCATTTATTAGAGGCAATATCCACACGACAAACCGGTAGGATAGCCGGGCAAGATGTGGAAGAAGAATAATACCAGCGTTAGATATTTACTATTTATTTGGGTGGGGGAGGAGGAGGGTGCCATTTGCTTTTGATGCGTCGTCCATTTTTCTTGCATTGGGAGGAGAGGTCTTTTTTATACCATTATACCATTTTTGTGTGCTGTTTTTCTGTCCTGGTCTTTCCTTATATATCCCCAACTGCTATTTGTTTTCTCTTCACTATTTTCTCTTCTACAACCTGGTGGCTATCCGGTTTCAGGTGCGACTTCAAAGATACCCCGTCATATGCATATTCGCTCATTTTACAAATAATATTGCCAAATCCTTTCTGAAGACATGTCCTTGTTTGAGAGGCAAAATGTGAAAATATAAACCGTTCCTCCTCGTATATTGCCATTCGTGGACTGACTGTGCCACTCGTCGCAGTCCCATAATATCCGGAGCCGCCAATTGCCTGCCCTCTGTCCCAGACACTGGCTTGATCGGCTGTCCATCAACAAAAACAAAAAGAATTATTATCAGTTCGGCTCGTTATTTACGGAGTTTCAGCAGTTGCTAGATCAGTGGACCAGGTGGCCATTCATCCATCTTTGCGCTGTAAAATCCGAGTGGTGTCGTGTCTATTGGACTGAAAGGTGGTTGATAAAACAGAGCAGTCATTGTATGTTGGATTCGGCATCGTTGGTGACCTTCTAACATTGACTTATACACTTCGTTGTTGTTGTCGTCGTCGTCGTCAACGCGTGTCGTGTCTCCTCCTGGTTTGAGTGAGTTCAGACGACGATTCAGTTAAACTCGCGGGTCGGGCCATTTGCCTTGATTTGCCGTGATGAACCCTCCATATAGAAAGGGTTATATTCCGGAGACCCAGAATTCCGTCGGGTCCCCGTTCAGCTGCTCTCGCCGGCCTTGCCAACGACCACTCGTGCCTGGTCCTCGGCCGAGAACATAGCCGTTCCTTGCCGCAGCGCGCCGATCAGAAGCTGGAGTGAGTTGTCTGTATCGGTCACACCGCTCTTGGCACCAGCCTTTACGCCTGCAGCGCTGGCATCGTCAGCAGCAACACTTTCCTGGCCCGGCAGGACAAAATCGGCGGATGTGCGCAACTGGTCAAGGTCTTCAGCAAGCTCCGCGGTGGTATGCTGAAGATAGAATGCCTGGAAGGCCTGGTTGGTCGAGTCGGACGACATTGAGTGTGTGAGTTTTGCAGTTTCGTGAATAATAAAAACCTAGATTGAAGTTGAGATATGCTTGGACTGAAGAACGCTGTGGTTAAAAAGTAGCCTAAACGACTTTTTTATGCTTACATAATCACACAACACCACCCTTCAGCACTCGGGAATTAAAGCACATGTAAAACAGAGGTGCCATTTTCTCACATGTCATATGCGAATATTAAAGGATTTGCATCTCACATGCTACGAAATGGATTCATGTTTTGTTTTTTTTTTTTTGGTGTAAAGGATCTTTGGGTATCGTTTCTGCTCTTAATATATGGCTTCCAGCCCAGTCCCTTGTGCTTATGCTCGCTGCATAAAGATGGATATCCGTTTAACGCCGCGTTTTTCATCACACTTTCCTCCTCTTTACTCAGCCATCACACAAACGCGTGATAGCACATTCAAAGCCCCCATGGTAATACCAATTGCTTCTTATACCACAAAAGAAACATCGGCTCTGCAACTTACAGTGTGTCGTCATAGACAATCTTCTGTCTTTGGGGCACATTGCTAGACGGCGCTTGGTTGGACGACGACCCAGCATCGTCGAGAGACTGGTAGTTGTAATAGCCTGTCGACCGCCCGGCCGCCTTACTAGCAGCGACACCAGGGTCAGTATGGCCCTGTGTCCCCGCTCTGCGCGGTCCTCCACGCATCGCAGAGCCGCCACCACGGAAGTTGCCGCGGCCGCTATGGAACCCACCTCGGAACCCTCCGCGGCCGGGCGCCTGGGAATGGTAGCCCTGGCTGCCACCTTGTGACCCAAATTGACCACTGGGGCCCCGTGGGGGAACGAATCCCGCCGGTTGTGTTGGGAAGCTGCCCGTGGGATTCGCCCTTGGTCGAGCATTCGCTGCACCGTTGTTGTACGGTCTCGCTCCAGCACTGCCGCGGTGGCGTTTGAATGGAGGCGGTTTATTTTGATCCTCTTGGTTACCCGCATCTCCCGTGTGCTCGGATTCGACGCGCAAGATCGCCTTCTCGCCAACTGTGGTCTCAAAGTCAAACACCTTATCCGCCGCCACCGGTGCCCACTTCCGGATGCGCGATGCCTCGTGCGGCCGAGCGGTGCGGTACACAGCTAGGACAACAAGCGGCGTAGCTTCGGCCGTGTGGTATGTGGCGCCGGGTGTCGCTGGACGAACCTTGACAGCCCAAACGCTATTGTCGACACTCCCAATGGCTTCTACGCGCCAAGTCATCTTGTTACCCATGCCGCCGGCCTTAGCCAACAGAAACGGAGAGCATACCCGTGGGCCAATCATGATGCTGTTAGCATGATACTTGACATCCCGGCGGTTGAGGGGCTGTGGCAGCTGTAAGAGCTCGAGAAGCCGCTTCGTGTCCGCGTCTTTGATCAGGTACCCAGTGAAGAACACCGTCTTGTTCAGGGCCAGCATTCCACGCTTTCCACCACCGGCTTCGTTGTGGCAGTTGATCATGTGCTGCACCTCGGCCACCTCAATGGCCGGGTCCAGCGTCGTCGCTGTCTCAGTCACAGGAACCACCTCACCCGCGATGGGAGGCAGTGGGCCCACGGACCGCTTCTCGCGCTTCTCGTTGTACTGGACCAAGAATTCGCGGAAACCTTCGACGTGGCGCGGCCGGTCCTCGTAGATGCGAATCTCAGTTGCGGCTGCATACGTTTCCATGACGGCCTCCAGAAACGCCTGTTTGAACTGCATTGTGCTTGAAAAGCGCTCGTTGTTAGGGCCCACCGCCGGCTTGAGTGCGATCATGTCGAAAACAAGCTTTTTGCTGTTGACCATGCGCTGCACCAGGTCGCCAAATCCCCGCTCCGACCGGCCTGTCAGCAGCACGCAAAGCGCATCAGGCTGTTTCATTGAAAGCCGCACCAGCTCCACCACTTGTTCGTTCCACCAACCCTGCCACGCCCGGGGCTCTTCAATCTCACGTCCTGCGCCCGTCGCCGCCAGGATGCGCACGTCATGCCACCAGCCACCAGAGATGAACACATCGTTGTTCGACAAGGAGCCTATTGTCGCCGCGTTCCATAGTTTCGAGTTTGGCAATGGGGTCTTGAATACTGCATTTTGGAGAGACAAAGAGGTCAAAGAGTGAGCTTCCATGTCGATGATAGAGGTTTAGTGTCGGCGGGGAGGGGGGAAAGAGGTGTCTCACAGGTGTTGTCAAAGTCGTAAATGTGAATGTTCCGGATGGTGTTCGCTGCTGGTAGCTTGTCGTTCAGCAGCGACCAACGACTCAACGCTGTTGGGGTGTATGACGCGGTACTGCTCCGCCCAGAGTCTTTGCTACCGCTGCTCCCCGTTTCAGCCGCAGATGTGGATGCAGCTGCGGCCTCTGCTGGTGTCGGAAAGCTGTTTGTTACATCGCCGAGAGTATTTGGCTGCTGCTGTTGCTGCAACCGAGCGGCCGCGCTGTAGGCGGCTGCTGCTGAGATTGACATCGTCGGTCGGAAGAGTAAGCGGCGTAATGGTCGATATGGAGCAAAACGAGAAGGCGATGTCGTTGAGGCTGAGGCGGTTGTGGTCGCGGTTCGGACGGAAAAAGCACGGGCACGAGCTGCGGCCGACAGATTCATAGGCAAAGGGAGAGAAACAAAATTGTTCAAAGTGGGACGCTTGCCCTCTTAAATACTTGACACCGAATGTTCCCAATATGTCGTAGAAGGAAGGAACGTGTGGAGTCGGGGCAGCTATTGAGTCACGGAAGGAGTGTCTGGCAAAAACGGGAAAGAGCTGTCGAGGTGGGTGCGCGCTGTGTTGCGCTATCGCTTTTCTTTAGCTGTTGCAGTATTTCAGCCCCGTTTCTACAGCCTTGGATGGCCTCACTGGAAAATCGAGATATTGGTCACGTGAATCGCTTCCAATGCAACACTTTAACTTGCTTTATCAAAACGTTGCTTTATCACATCTAGTCTTTATTTAGATATAGAACGGATATTCTCGAAAGAAAATTGATATTTTGCATTTATGTACTGGTTGGCTATGGGAAAGACTTTTGCTACAATGGATATATCCGAAACGACTTCCAAGAAGAAGATGGGGGATGGACATGGAATGCTGGCGAGAGAAAGAAAGTAGAAACGAGTCAAAACAATGTTGCGGTAGAAGGTAAAGAGAAAGCAAGCAACACCATGATCGAATATAAAAAGCCGAATGTATGATACTCCAGAAAGCAAAGTCCTCGAAGAAGCAAATCCCACGAAAAATAGGCCGGCAGCAATGGGACAAAATGAAGCAAACGAGACCAGCTGACGATGTAGACGCTGCCCAGGTAACCAACAACATAAATTTGTCTGAAGACGCCATGCAAAATGTGTGTTTTCTTGTTTTCGTTCCGAGTTGATGCAAAATGTTTGGTTGATAACATAAGATTGAGTGGTGGGTGGGTGTTGAATAAATGTGAGTATGTCGAAAAGGGTGGGGCTCTTGGGAAGATGGTTGAGGTGAGCGATGGAAGCCTTCCACAAGATAATGAATCATAAGGTTTAGGGTCGGCCTAAACGGAGGAGATGGTAGAGGGGAGATGTCATAAGATAGGCCTAAGATGGAGAGGTGTGAAACGGGTTAAAGAGGAGTGACTTTAGTCAATGGCCCAGCGACGCGTCCAGACAATAGGGTCGCCGCCGGTATCCGAGAGGGTGTCGCTGTCGTCCGAGTCGGAGCCGGCCTTGGAGGCGGAAGAGGAGCTCCGCTTCAAACTAGGCGCGGCCGACAAGTAGCCGGCCGTGTCGTGGTCGTCGTCTTCATCGTCATTGTTGTCCTCGGCGTCCGTATATACTTCGTTATCAGCCTCGGTGTACAGGCTTAACCGGCTGACATCGTGGTCCGGGTGTGTCAGTTCTGTGCTGCGGCCCAGCGGGTCTTCAACATCAGAGTAGTCCCACTGGGCAGAGATGTTTTCGCCTGTATCGGTGTTCTTGCCAATAGCAGAGCCCCGCCACTCGCCCTTCAGGATACGCGCGGCAATCTTGAGCATCAACGCAAGTAGATAGCTCGGTGGTGCGAGGAGGATCTCAAACACTTTGTATATGATCGAACCTGGGATGCGCCGCATCGCCTCAAGGCGTGTCGTGGCGCGTCCGGAGCTATGGAGGTTGCGGAGGTGGCTCGGCGCAATAATATTGACAGCCGGCGGGAGTGCCGCGTGGTTCGACACGGAAATGCTAGATGTAGTCGCGCGATGACGCATACGCGGCTGCTGCATCTCCTGCTGCTGCTGGAGCTGTTCGAGTGTACCGATACCGCTGTTGAACTTCCTTCGTGCGTCTTCGTATAGCGACGAGAGGCTTGGTGGGACTCCCGCGGCGTCGGCGACCGAACCAGCGGTGGATGGGGGTGATGAAACAAGAGCCTTACCTCCTGCCGAAGACAACCATGACCGTAGGCTGTTGAAGGGGCTGCTCGAGTCAGCAGTCGTCGACTGGTCGGATTCCTCCAGCCATCTTCCGTCGATGGAGGGCCAGGCAGTCTTCTGCGAGGTCGAGATGTCACTCGTAAGTGATAGGGCGCGGTCTCGTTGTTTTCCACTGCCCTGTCCGCCCGTCGGAGAAAACGTCCCACCGGAGTCGTGCCAGGGGTTTCCCATCTTGTTAACTTCGATCTCTGAGGCCTTGAGGTCGCTGATGCGCTGCTCGTGTTCAGCGACTAAAGCAGGCACGAGCCGTCGACCAAACTCGTCGACGCCATCAGGAGCTGACCCTTTTTTCTGGCTTTCCAGCATAGCCTGCCATTCTCTTCTCGAAAACTCGGTAGGTCGTTCAAGACCGGATTGTTGGGTCTGTGACCGCTGCAATTTTTGTCGAGGAGGGGCAACTGAGGAAACAACGGAGGACAAGACCGATCCATCATCGTCATCGTCCTCTTCGTCTCTCTCTTGTAAGGAGGGCGGGGACTGCGACCGCTGTTGTTTCTGGTGTGCCGTGGGCTGGGAACCGGAACCTGAGCCTGTACTCTCGCCCTCTGGCCGCTTCACAGGCGTCCATGGTTTCTTCTTCAATGGCGTGGACGGTTGCTCGGGCAGCTCGATAGTGAATGTGCGCTTGAACGGGCAGGGTGTTTTTTCGAACTGCAGGATGTTGTCCAGGACCTCGCGCAAGCGGCGGGCACGCTCGTCGTTCTCGCCACCGTCGCCTACGGGTACCTCGATGCGCCAATACTGGGGTCGTCGGATCTGCAAGATAAACTTGCTTGATTCCTCGTCGATACACCAGCACTGACTTTTGGGCAGAATTGGTTGGAGGGCGCTGCCGCAGCTAAGGAAAGCCACGGAGCCGGGGGCACGGTAGATACTGAGGGCACCGACGGCGATTGTACGGTCGAACTGGGACCTCCATGGCAGGGTGCCAGGCACAATTTCGTCTTCTGCGGTCGTGGTTAAGCTCCGTCGGCTTCGCGCGGCGCTTCGGCTGTGGGCGCTGCCAATGTTGTCGAGGTTTCGTGCGCCCGCCGTGAAGGAAAGAATCTTGGCCGCAGGGTGGCTGTACAGGGTCTCGACGGCCTCGCCGTTGGCGCTGGTAGTTGTTGGAGGGTGGTGGGAGCTGGCAGTGACAGAGGACACGTCGGACGTGGTCGGAGAGGTGCCGAACTCGGCTGCTGCAGCAGCGGCCGCCATGGCGGCGGCAGCTGCCGCAGCCTTTACGGCTTCAGCATCGACACCGTGATTTTGGAGGTGGCTGCTGGTGCTGGTGCTGCGAGCATGTTGAGGTGCAGTATACGAGCGGCGAGGAGGGCCCGGAGCAGGAGCAGCCGTGTCGCGGCCGGCTGCTCTGCCCATGCTGGTCTGTTGCTACCTAACAGGAAGCCGGTGTGGATTGTGTCGCTGGTCGTGGTATGGAGCAGCTTTTCGCGTACGGTTCGTATATGGTGTTCAGAAAGGACGAGGGTGGGACCGAGGTAGTCGTGGGAGGGAGAGAGAAAAAAAAAAACTTTCTTTATTTGGCCTCAGCGGGAGGTGATATTGCCGTCGATATACATGACCTTTCCGCTCGGCGTGGCTGGGCAGCTTTATGTCGTTGTTCCCACCGTTCCACGTCGTGTTTTCCACCGGCTACCGTTGGTCTAGTTCGAATCTTCGGGAATCTAAAAGGAAGGTCTTGTCGGCAGGCGCGCGTAAGAGCTGTGAAGTGCGGGAGAGCGAGAGTGGTTGGGAGCACCTAACGCTGAAGGCGGGAGAGGTGCAGGAGGCCGAGGGGAGGTGAAGCGACGCCAACGCGCTCGGAGAGCGGTCAGTAGTGACGAAGGGACAGCAAGCGTCGTGGTCTGGAGCAAGCGTCGGAGTGGTGGTGCGGTCATCGAAGGGTCGAAAAAGGGCCCTGCATGCAGTAGACTGGCGGGCGGGTTGCATATGCAGGCGGTCAAGAGGGGACGGCTCGAACGGTTGGCAGGGGAGGTCGGAACGGCTTGAAGGGGAAGACCAACGAGGGCAAATTTGGATTTTGGATTTGAGATGGCGAAAAAGAACAGAATATTAAGCACCGAATCGGAACCGCGAGTTAACTCGTATGGTTTGGGTTGAGATTGGGGTGGCGCCTTCCGTTGTTGTGTTTGGACGTTGCAAGGCAAGAAGGACGAGACGAAAAGAAGGAAAGAGCGAAACGCAGGTCAGAACCCCCGGTTAATTTGGCAATTGCCTGGTAGGTGCACGACCCTCAACGAATCGAAAAGGACCCGCGTCCCAGCAAAAAAAGCAGCAAAATAGGCAAGGCTCCAGTGAAATGGAGATTTGGACAATAAAAATTGCCGAGTCGATGCTGTTTCGAACACGACAGACCTGCTCCGTGATGCACAGCGCGCAGGCCAAGTTGAAACCAGGCAGATAAAAGTCGTCCGATTATGTGAGAGAGAGGGAAGGAGCAACGGACGGAAAATGGAATGATAAGTCAAAGTTCAAAGATACAACAGAGGAAGCGACGACGGGGGAAGGGGCGGGAAACAGGGGCAACTGATCTGGATCCCCTCTAAGGAACGAAGAAAGAGCGATTGATGATGGGCGGTGAGGGACTGACGGCGGGCGGCAGGTCATTTCACAACGATGCGTTTTAAGACACGCTAAAAGTCATCACGCGACGCGCCTCGGGTACAGCGTTCTAGCCCTTCAGCATCTTCAATTTCAGAGCTACGGTGCTCCAAGTCAAGCGGGGAGAGCGGCTGGCATACAGAAGCGAAGACTCGCGTTTTCTAACGCTTGGATGGAGGCTTGTTGTCGCACTAAAGCCGCTAACATGTGTCGACAGCTAAGTTGGTGAGAAAGCGATGGAAGCTGTTCGTTCATTAAGGTGTTATTGTGTTTTTCTCAGGGGGGGTTGCACTTTGACTGGCGGCATTTTGGTAGCCTCTAGGGAAACAAAGAGTAAATAAACAAACGGAGATGGACTTTTGAAATTATGGCAAAATTAAAGGAAAGACGAGAAATCTAGTACCATATACATAATATAAGAAAGGAACAGAAAAGAAAGAACGAAAACAAATTGAACAACAGAAACAAAAACAAGATCAGAGAGGAAGCACTGGTTGTCATAAATACGCACCAGTGCTTCCATCACGCTGTGTCGTTCTATGCTTTACTCTCTCCCTCTGTATCACGATACGTCCGTTTTAACAGTTCACCAGGCCATGGCGCGAGCACCCAGGATGGAAATACTGGCCAGTATCAGGCCAACGCGGAAGACCACACACAGGGAATCGTTGTAAGCGGCGAGGGCCGCAGGTCGATTGGCGGCGGGCACAAGCTTGCACGCTTCGGTGGCACCCGTGTTTGGTTCTGCTGCGGCGTCAACAACAGGCCGGAAATGGCGTCGAGGCGATGCGTCAGCTGGTTGTCGAGCTTCATTCTGGCCGATCGACGTGAAGATGGTACCCAAGAGCTGCTGGCCAAAGAACATGAGCGACGCGCCGACGGCGACGGCCATAGTTGTATTTGGTGCCTGGGCCCAGGAGTCAATGCCAAACCCACACAGCTTACCAGAGATGAGCTGTAACGTACAGTTGGCCAGCATATATGCTGTACCGTACCAGTCAATGTCACCGGCGGAGTTGAAGTCGTTGGTAATCTTGTGGGATGGCGGTCGAGACGATGAGACGATCCTAGACAATATACAATCGGGTTGGCCAAGTCCTCGTCGTCATGGCGGTATGGTGGACCAACGGGCTTGCCTTGGTCTTGTTCTGCCTTTGGTTCTTGGCTTTGCACGTCGGCGGCTGAGCTGACTTGGCCGGCCATGGTTATCTCGCTCGTAGTTTCAAGAAACGGATCTTAGTTCATCTTTTGTCTTGAAGGCGAATCCAGCTTTTGGGAGGCATGGTTGAGGGATAGGACGAGAGGAGAAGGTGTCAGCAGGTGGGACGAGATATTAACATAAAATATAATGGTTGAAGAGTTCCAGTGTGAGGGTCCAGAGCAGGTTGTCAAAAGAAGGAAAGAAAGCTATATAGGGAATAAGACTGGTTTCATAAAAGTAGCTCTGGAGACAGCACGCGATTTAATGATGGAAAAAGAGGCCATATACGAATTACACAAACTCATCTTTGCCCACAAAACTCGGGAGGATGACTATGAAGAGGCGCCAAAACGAAGCAGCACCGCGAAATAAAAACAAGTACAGTACACCCCAGTACCCTCGAGATACGACATTGTTCGAGGCCCCAACAGGTCTCGGCGTGCAGAGCCTCCGTGTAAGTGCTCGTCTGATGTTACGGGGAGTTGTATATCGGGTCTGTACTTTCCTAATTGGGATGCGTAGAGAGTATTTCAGCCGTCCGTACAAAGTGGGTCCACCAGGTAACACGCCGAATTCTGGTGTGGAGGATTCTGTACCAAGTAGTCCGTAAGTTGAGCTTTACTCTAGGCATTATAAAACTGCACGGAAAAATAAACATGGGCCCTACACATACAGCCATATCGAGAGAGCCTTGGTTTCCCCCCTGGCGACTTGCGTATGCTTTACACGCCGGTTCCTGGCTCCTGAACTGTTGGCACGTGGCATTGGACGCCCCGCATGCATGAATTTGCGAGACCTGCTCTGTATGTCCGTATGTCTCCTACATATGACCATATTTTGATATCAAGATGTAAGCCAATTCATAAATTGCTACGATCCAATGGTTCTGTTACTCTGGTTGGGGCCTACTCGCTCCTTCCTTTGATTTATTTCAGACAGAGCTCTTTGTGCTGCTGCCCCACTCTAGCACCCGCGCCTGCCAATTGTGCCTCAGCTATGACGCAAAGCTGCTACTGTGGCGGGCAAACTAGCAGGCTGTGCCTTTATTCTGTATGGCAGGAGCTCTTTGCCATGTAATTACCATCTGCCTCTCTTCTTTTCCTGCAATCCTCCATTTATTATCGCAACCTCCTCTCGCGGCAGACGTCCGCCGACATACCATTTTCTCTGCGATCTACAGCGCAGCACCGCTCTCCGAAGCGCATCCTCTATCTCCGCCACCATGCCACCGCCCACCAAGGAGGAGCTCCTGGACTTTTCGCGATTCGATGCGAATGCCATCCTGCGAGGCGCCCAACTGACATTTGTCGGAGGTACGAAATTTGGCAAATAAAAGAAACAAGAGAGAAAAAGAAAAGAAAGCTTCAGGTGAGAAAGAAGAAGCGCGAGAAAAAACTTACTGACTGCTCCATAGCCCAGCGTGCCCTGCAGAATCCGAATCTCTGGACAACCCAACACTACCGCCAAGCGGCCATTGCTGTTGCCTGCGGCATCGCCATTCGCATTCTAATTGAGATCCCGGTTCGTTTCGTCCATGTTTTGGCAGCACACGCGTACCTACCGACCTTTTGTGAGCTGACTCCAATTCTCTCTCCAGATTGTCCTCCTCAAGATCTCGCTCTGGTTCCTCTCCTTCGTCGTCCGCCTCGACATTGCCACCTGGGACGATGCGCTCTACGACGGCCTGCGCTTCCTCCAGGACTATGTCTTGCAGGTCCCCCTCTTCCTCATGACCCTCATGCGCCACATTACACCTGCCATGGACGAACTCTTTATGCAGTCGCTGCACTGGGTCGACTACACCTACGCCCAGAAGCACGCCCGCGACGAAGCCGCCGTCGCCCTCGTCGATCCCCGTCACCGCTACTACGAAAACCTCCGCGCATATGATCCGGTCAGCAGAAATCACCGCCCGACAAACACCGCTTCGTCGTCGTCGGCTGCCATTGAATCGAAGCTGGGCATGCTGAGCCCTGGGAAAAGGGGCGTGGCTCGCTTCCTGTGGCGTTTCGGGCGCAAGGCTGCCGTCTCCCTCGCCATCTTTGCGCTGTCCTACGTGCCGATTGTGGGCCGCTTCGTGCTGCCCGCCACCAGCTTCTACACCTTCCGCCGTGCCGTTGGCCTGGGTCCTGCGGCGCTCATTTTCGGCTCTGGCCTTTTCCTGCCCCGCCGCTACTTGGTCGTCTTTCTCCAGACCTACTACGGCCAGCGCAGCCTCATGCGTGAGCTGCTGGGCCCCTACTTCTCGCGTGTCCACTTCTCGGCAAACCAGAAGCGCAACTGGTTCCGCAGCCGCGAGGGTATTTTATTTGGTTTTGGCGCCGGTTTCTACGTACTGCTGCGCGTGCCCCTCGTCGGCGTGCTCATCTACGGCGTCGCTGAAGCCTCCACGGCCTACCTAGTCACCAAAATCACCGACCCGCCGCCGGGCCAGGAGGCCGTTGCAGCGCCTTCATCCAAAGCCGCCGGTGCGATGGTGGCGTCCTTTGCCGACAGTCAGCAGACGTGGCACAATAAGAAGGCATTCCTCGAGCTGGCGCTCGACAATCTGGATGCGCTTCAGCAGCAGCGCCGTGCCGGAGCGACAGGTGCTGCGGCCTACTCGGCCGATCCAGACCGGCCCATTGGTGGTGGTGGTGGTAGTGGTAGTAATGACATCAATAGCGGCGCATTTAACCCGGCTCAACCGCCACAGTCGGAACAGCAGCCCGTGGTGGCTTCGGGCGCCCAGGTCTGGAACGTCGACCCCGACCGGCCGAGTGTCCAGCAGCGCTCCCACGCTGGCGGCAACAGTGATGAAGCCGACCCACCGCCGCCATATTCAATCTGAGTTTTTGTGACGAACAGGTGACAGTCTACGAGATCTGACTGACGAAAGATGGGCGTGGAGGAGGATGGAATGAGATACAGGCCTGGAAATGGAATATTAATGCTTTCAGGTATCAAATGGCGCTTCCAAATTATTTAGAAGGGGGGAGCTTACGATTTTTTACTTTTATTTATTATTATTTATATGCTGTAAACCCGTCATTTCAATTTGACACTTAAGAGACGATAAAATACTTCATTATATGAGGCGTTTTAAACTCAAATTGATCAGTTTGATCCGTTCGTGTAGGACTCGAATGTAATGTGTAAATAAGAGAGGATAGAGCAAAACAAGATACAAGCAACGAGCAGTCAAGATGGACGCCATTCCCACTACCCTTTGTAGTTTTTTACAAAGGCTATGTCTCTTTCGTTCGCCCCCCCGTCTTAGTTGGACAGCTTGGTCACCGTCTTGTTCCATAGCGACGTGTTGCGCGGCCAAGTCCAGTTGGTCCAGATGGCAGGGTCGGCGCCGGTCTCAAAAGCCTCATTGCGAGCGGAAATCTGATTGTTGAGGAGCTCCTGGCGCGCCGCCGCCCCGCGGTTGTGCAGATGCGGCATGCGGTCAATGGCATCGATAGCCAGGCTAAAGCGGTCCGTCTGGTTGCGGATGGCCAGTTCCAGCGGCGTGTCGATGTTGCCCTTTTCATTGTAGCCACGCACGTGTATGTTGTGGGAGCCAGGGCGCTTGTAGGTAAGGCGGTGCACCAGCCATGGGTACGAGTGGAAGTTGAAGATGATGGGCTTGTCATCCGTGAACAGCGCCTTGAATTCCCGGTCCGTCAGACCGTGCGGGTGGTCAACATGACTAATAAGCTTAAAAAGATCCACGACATTGACGAAGCGAATCTTGAGCTCAGGGAAGTGGTTGAGCAGCAGATCGACGGCGGCCAGCGCTTCATGCGTGCTGATGTCACCGCACGATGCCATGACGAGGTCAGGTTCCTCGCCGGCGTCGGTGCTGAAGTCGGGCCAGATACCGATGCCCTTGCTGCAGTGCTCGACAGCCGCCTCCATGGAAAGAAACTGCAGGTGCTCCTGCTTGTCGGACACAACAACGTTGACATAGTTGGAAGAGCGCAGGCAGTGGTCCATGACCGACAAAAGACAGTTGCCGTCCGGTGGGAGGTAGATGCGCACGACCTCGGGGCTCTTGTTGGCCACGACGTCGAGGAAGCCGGGATCCTGGTGCGTGAAGCCGTTGTGATCCTGGCGCCAGACGACGGCGGTCAGCAGGATGTTGAGCGACGCCACCTTGACGCGCCACTCGACCTCAAGACACTTCTCGATCCACTTGCAGTGCTGGTTGACCATGGAGTCGATGACATGGATGAAGGGCTCATAGCTGTTGAGCAGGCCGTGGCGGCCACTGAGAACGTAGCCCTCGAGCCAGCCCTCGACCGTGTGCTCCGACAGGATCTCCATGACGCGTCCAGCGTGGGCCAGGTTGCCACCGTCCTTGTCCTCCTCGAAGTAGTCGGCCAGCCAGGCCTTCTTGCCACTCGCATAGACACCGGCCAGTTTGTTGGACTCGGTCTCGTCAGGGCCGAACAAGCGGAAGTTGGTCTGGTTGGCAGCGATCACATCGCGCAGGAACGTGGACAGCCGGGCCATACTACCGTCGCGCGTGGCACCGGGCTTGTCGACCTTGGCAGCGTAGTCGCGGAATGCGGGCAAATTGAGCGGCTTCTTGAGGATGCCGCCGTTGGCCACGGGGTTGGCACTCATGCGGCGGTTGCCCTTGGGGCAAATGGCGTCGCGGAGCTCGCCGCTGATGCGGCCCTCCTTGCCGAACAGGCGTTCTGGCTCGTAGCTGCGCATCCACTTCTCGAGAATCTCGAGGTGCTTGGGGTTCTCGCGCACGTCCGTGATGGGGACCTGGTGGGCGCGCCAGAAACCGGCGAGGTAGTGCTCGTCGATCTTGCGCGGGCCAGTCCAGCCCTTGGGCGTGCGCAGGATGACCATGGGCCACCGGGCACGTTTGGCGACGCCCGTGCTGCGGGCCTCCTCTTGGATGGAGCGGATGTCGAGGACGCACTGTTCGAGTGTGGCAGCCATGGCCTGGTGCATGGACTCCACCTCGTCGCCCTCGACAAAGTACGGCTTGTAGCCGTAGCCGATGAAGAGCGACTCGAGCTCCTCGTGGCTGATACGGGCCAGCACGGTGGGGTTGTTGATCTTGTAGCCGTTCAGGTGCAGCACGGGCAGCACGGCGCCGTCCGTGATGGGGTTGAGGAACTTGTTGCTGTGCCACGAAGTGGCCAAGGGACCAGTCTCAGCCTCGCCGTCACCGACCATGGTGAGGGCGATGAGGTTCGGGTGGTCGAAGACGGTGCCGTAGGCATGCGAGATGGAATAGCCCAACTCACCACCCTCGTGGATGCTGCCCGGAGTCTCGGGTGTGGCGTGCGAGCCAACGCCGCCGGGGAAGGAGAAGTACTTGAAAAACTTCTGCATACCCTCGGGGTCCTCAGACTTTTCGGGGTAGACTTCGGAGTAGGTGCCCTCGAGGTAGGCCTGGGACAGCACGGCAGGGGCGCCGTGGCCGGGGCCGGACACAAAGAAGGCATCCAAGTCGTACTTCTTGATCAGGCGGTTGAAGTGCATGTATGTGAAAATCTGGCCGGGGGCGGAGCCAAAGTGGCCCAAAAGACGGGCCTTGACCTGATTGATCTTGAGAGGCTCGCGCAGCAAGGGATTGCTGCGCAGGTAGATCATGCCGAGCGACAAATAGAGACTCGCAGAGAAGAAGTCATCATACTGCTTGATCTGCTCGGGGCTGAGGGGCTTGCCAGAGACGGTCGACCGGGCAGGACCAAAGGGGCGGATGGCCTCCGTGTCGACCTTGATCGTCAGATCTGTCGAAACCATGATCGGTCTGGCGCAATCGGTGTTAGTGACGTCATCTGAAGATTTCATTCGAAAGGAAGCTTTCAAACCCAGAAAAAGAGTCAAATTTCAGATGCATTGTGTGAACGTACAAATTGGACGAAACGGACGTTGTGAGGAGTAGAGTGACGTAATGTCTATTGGTCTCCTGACGACACTCGTGAGGAGGTCGAGGAGAGCGGATGAAGAGTCGATTGCGTGTCTGGGCTCAATTGAAAGAGGAAGAGAAGCCTGGAAGACGAAATCAACAAAAAGAAAAAGAGACGGAAAGTAGACGAAGGGCGAGGAACTTGTCTTAATATACGCTGACACGGAAGGCGAGGAGGAGGCGAGGGAGGGGAAGAGCTCTTGCCATTATTACGAGGAAGGACACAAACAAGCTGATGTCAGAGACAGCAGTTGCTACCCACTTTGGGGAAGCTACGGAAGCGGCGACAGCTCGATGCCTTGTAGCTGGCGCACTAGCAACACGTGGTGTGTGTAAGTGACGGAAGGAGAGACCGGGCTACAAGGGCGTTAGAGGAAGCTGCTTCCCTGCCAGACCGTACCAGCTTCTGCACCGCATCCAGTAAGAGGAGAAGTGGACCTATTCGGGAGCACTAGCTACTTCGTAGGCATGTATCAGACTACTTGGAGATACATGCCATCCTCAATACTGTCGCGCCCTGTTACCTGTGCTGCGTAGTTTCTTCTTCTTTATAACGTTGCTCCTGTGTGTCTCTCATGCTCGCCATGGCCTTGCACCTGCGGTCCTACTTTTTGGAGTACAGCGCCTTTGTCCGCAAAACCGGCGGGCAAAAGACACTATCGCCTGGTAATGCTCAAGACATATGAGACAGCACGTTCCAGTCGAACTCGCTAGGCACCATAGAGATTGCCAGGTGGGCCAGGCATTGGCGACTGACAGAGACATTGCTCGCTAGAGAGCCTTAATTTATGGCCGTTGGGAGAGCTGCTCGTTCCTTCCCACCAGGGACAATGCAAGAGGAGAGCTCAGGTCTGAGGATGTTGGCGCGGGCCGCTGAGTAACTGGGACAGAAAGAGGAAGGCGCAAGCCAGGCACCCGTTTCTTTCAGCGCCTTCGAACGTATTTCTGGGCAGGCGCCATAAAACCGTTTCGAGCACACACAATATCTAGAAACAACGGAATTGAGACGGTACAAAGTGAATGTAAAGCTGAACTTTCTCCACAGAGCTCTGTCGCACACACATAAGTCGTACTGCGTGGAATATATTGCAAAGACGTTGGAGAAGGTCGAAAAGTGGGGTTTCTTACAGGGGCAAGGGGCATCATAGATTCAAGAAACTTGCATGGCTCGCGCGTGTTGGCATCATGCGTGTACGAAAAGGAGCGAGATGGTGGGAAGAGGAGGGGCAACAAGCGAATGGCCGGTCTTTCCGACCGTATGTTGCACAACATACTGTTCAGACGTCGCTCGATCTTATCAGAGTCCGTCTCCTCCTCACGTTGCAGAAAGCCATCGATCAGGTGAAGGGCCCTTTCTGGTCGACCGGAATTGCAGTCGCGGACACAGAGACAATCGCGGCGCAGTCCTGCTGGTCGTCTCGGGAGCAGACACGCAACGTGCACATCATGCCTTACCGACGACGGAGGGCCCCGGAGACCACGTCGTTTACGTATTCCGTGATCTTCTAGGCCCGTGAAATTTCGTCTTCGACTTTGTCTCTCTTCTCTTTGCATCTCTCATACTCAATGCACAGGTGTCCCACGCTCAAATCGATAGCGAAGCTCAGGCAATGCATCGTATCATGTGGTCACATTTCCAGACAGCAGTGGTCCCGTCCAGTTGTAATTCGGGAAGGACCTGGCCGAAAGAACGCTCTCGGCTGCGACCGAGAAATGGTCCTTTTGGAGCCAACTGGCCGGTCTAGACGCATGCCAGGCCTGTCAAAAGGAAAGGCCGAGAAAGGAGACGATGAGACGCAGAGCAGAATGGTCCGATTAAAGCGATACGAAGTGTGGTGTGGTATGTAGGAGAGTCTGCCACTGCCAGGATAAGGGACGACAAATTAATAGGCCACGGCCCAGATGCGCGGCTGGCGTGGTGTGGTCTTTCAAGTGGTCTGTCTGATGGGCCGATTGAGATGTGGTAAGTTTGGGACGCATCAGAGTGGGGGTTAAGCAAGGCGACATGCAGGAGGCTGGCAGGCCAGGCACATCTTGTGCTGGTCCAGCGCCCTCACTTTGCGTGGTGACATCCAATGCTTGGTGGCTGAGGCGTAATTTGCCAATCAGTCGGCCTATCGAGTGTGGCAGCCAGCCAGCTCGACGTGAGGAATAACAAAACAACAAAGAAACGGAGAAACAAAGTGGCTGCCCGTGCCCCTGAGTAAGCCTCCGTCTCGAATGGGCGCGCCATCTCCCGCTTTCAAGGCTCTGAACGACAAACTTTAAGACGGCACAAAAAGCAAAGCATAGAACACACAAAGATGCCAGCACAATAATGCGCCTGGGAAAGAATGGAACTTGGTGTACCTCGGAGCCAGGCCAATACCGCAAATTAGTAAAAATGTTCAACGGCGGGGCAGCCACTAGTGAGAGTGAGTTTGGCCACACATATGTCTCCAACGGCCACCCACGCTCCGATGTTTCCGTGCGCCGTACTGTTCCTGCTCCAACGTACGCCGTGCTTCTATATTCGCAATGGCACGGAAGAACATTGGTAACCCGCATCTGCCAAGCTCAGGGCGCCCCAGATACTGGGCGACTCATCATGTGGAGAGTATCACGGTCGCGTCTGTTAATAGTATCGGCGCTCGCGCCTTCATTTCGCCGACAGTCACCAAAGGAGCTTCTTGTTACGCAATCTATTTCGCTATCGATGCAGGCTGCGGTTTTGGACAATAGTATCTATGGATAATGTACTGGGTATGTGTCGTTCGTGGTTCGCTCCTCGGGTATTGGTCTAGGTCTAGTCTTGCTTTTTGTCTCTGCTGGTTTTCCGATGGGGTAGGAACTTTTTCAAGCACACCTGGGCCTTTCGTAGGGAGCTTTTTTTCTGCTTTCGTGGAAGAGCTGCAGATTTCTGGTTAGCAAGATCCTGCTTCGCATTTTGGTGATAGGGACATGGTAAAGTATACATTCTCCGGCCGCGCGCTGTGGCTCGACGCCTTTCACATTATACTGAGGGTTGGTTGCGTTCTACACAGTTTTCTTGGCAGGCAGGCTATCCTACTTCGTCTGTCCATCGCTAATTGGCGTTGATGCGCGAACCTGTACAAGAGCCTGCTGTTGAAGTGTTTTGCCATCGCTCTGGCCATCGAAGCCGCCGATTGATGGGTCTTCAGGCTCGCCTTCTTCCTGCGGGGGCGTTATGAGACGGTGTGGCTCGGAATTGCTTCCTGGCGGTGCCGGTGTCGCCTCGGGAATCGTCGGCAGCAACCGGGGCTGCGGTCGTGGTGGAGCCGGAGGTACGGCCGGTGACGGTGAGCGCTCTTTCCGGAGAGAAACTCCCACATACTTTTCGACATCCGATGCTCGCACGTATGCCAGGTAGTAGGGTTCGCCTCCGTTGGACAGTTCGGCCATGACGACATCCGTGTTTGCAAATTCCTTGACAGCCTTGTCATTATACTTGCGCCACAGGCCCCGCTCAAAGTCGTAAATCCACACCCAGTAGTGGCCGGCTTTTCCAGTGTTTCCAGAGTGGCAGATGACCGCATGCAGTAGATACTTGTTTTGCGGCGCCTTCAGGTCGGCAAAAAGTCCTTCCAATTCTTGCTCATACTCTGCCCGTATTTGTTGCACATTGCGCATGATGTCGTTGCAATGAAGCACACTATCCTGCTGCGCCCAGCTGTTCTGAACATCTTCTCTGGTTAGGTGGCGCGCTCCGTCTAGGAACTGTTTAGTTGCCTCGTTGCTCCATCTCTGGTCAAGGTTTGTGTCCAGTTGTGTCTCTATTTCCTGGCCTCGGCCTGAAAGGACTGCGGAGAGCTCGAAAACGACGTCGTTCTCGCGCAACAGCTCTTTGACATCGTCATCGATCATATCATAATCCCCGTCATCACTGTCGAACTCGTTATCGGAAGACGCGCCCGCCCTTTCGAGGTCATCGTGGGTGTTCTTCTTCTCCGCGTGTTGGTGCAGGTGCTCGTTGACAATCATGTCAGTGTACGCAGCAGCCTTGCCCACGGCATCCGGTAGGAAACTAATATAAGGATTTTCGCCGTTGGGGCCCTTCAACGACCGAATCCGTTCCTGGATATTCCACGCGTGGCGACGTCTGTTAAACAGATCGGATCCCTCGTCACAGTCCATGAACTGGTCCAGATGCAGGGCCTGAGGGATGTCGACTAAACTCTTGTTTTTTGTACCATCTCCTTTGGAACGCTGAATGTGAATGTGTAAGATTGGCGGCAAGCCCACGATCGATGTGAACCGCTCGTACCAAGTGCCCTGAGTGATGAATTCGCGCTGGAAGCTGTTGCTAAGTGCCTGCAGCAAACCGATCTTCTTGTCTTCCGCAGGAAACGCTGTCACCCAGCGGTTTGGCGCAACCTGACGGTTGTAGGATCCGTTGCGGTCGGACCGGCTATACGTTGCACTTGTCCAGAAAAAAGTGTCGGTGATCGGATCACGTTGCACGCCCGTGGCGACATCTTCACCTGTCGCCTTCACGGATGCACGCAAATGGCTGATGATGTTGCCCATGACTTCTTCGACGTCCTGCTGGTCAGTTCCTTTAACGCTGGTATCCTCCAGCGCGCACTCGATGATCGATTCCACGGAGGCTTCGGCTACCGGCGGTGGATCGAACACAGTCTGGATAGCCCCAGGAACGGTCTGCTGAAGTTGGCTGTCAGAGGTTGTGAACGGTGCAGATCCGTCACTGTTCATCGCCGTTTCGACCCCGGTATCACTCATCGTCACCTCGCATGAGGCTGATGCGTTCTTATCTTCCACCTGCTCGGCGTGCACCACTATGGGCATATCGCTGGCGGCAGCATCCTCCTCCTGTAATTCTTCCATACTGTCGCTCACAGGCGGGATGCTTTGCCAACCATCGTCTGCCGTAGATATACGCCGACTTTCACGCCGGCTCTGGCCCTGGGTCTCGGCCTTGTTCTCTATCATGGTCTCACTCTGATCAACGAGTGTCTGTGAGCTCCTGATACTGCTCGAGTCGGCATCAGACGCAAGGACGGCGGCAGCAGCTTTCGGGGATGCAGGGGAGTTGGCATGCAAGGAATTATTTTGGGGTGATCCGGAAACCGCTGCAGCATGGCGACGGGGGAGTGGTGGGGCAGGCGAGTTTGTCCTCTCTGTATTCGCGAGGTCAAACGACAACGAGTGATTTTCTGCATCGCCATTTTTGGTGAGTAACTGCTTTCCGTCTGATAAAAGTCTGGCCGAGTTCTTCAGTGCCGCAATTGCGAGGCGCTGTGTTGGCACCTCGTACACTTTATCCGACTGTTGCATTTTGTCGAACAATGAGGACAACTGTTCGACGACTGTGTGGTGTTGATGTTAGCACACCTCAACTTAACAAGGGATAAAAGGTGGCCTGAAGAAAGGTAACAAACATTGTCGACCGGCATATGCCTCGCCTCTTTCTAGGTGAGCAGATCCTGGGTCAATTCGGCGATTTTGAAGGCTATCCTCCGTGCCTGGTAGGCCCAACTCGTCAAAGTTGTCAAGGATCTCGTGCACTGGTTTCACCGTATTAAAATATTGCAAAATGCTGTTCAAGTAGCAAGTGTTCCTAATGTTTTCCAAGCCTGTGGGCAGTGATGGATCAAAGATCAGGTCCGTATCAGACATAGCGGTAACTGTACGACTGGAGAGGTCGACAGAAGAACGGCCCTTGTCTCCATTGAGAAAGTCCTGCGCGGCTGATGCGAGAAGAGGGTCGTCGCCACGTTCTTTGCTGATCTGTCTCAGTGCTGCAGCGACGAGATCGCGGTCTTTTTCGTTGGACTAGAGGTACAAAGCAGTTTAGTAACAAAATATGACGAACAGGTAAAAGTAAAATGAGCGAATAAATCAAAGAGGGAGACAGAGGTAAAAAACACCAAAAAACTTACAGCAATATTATACTGAGCTATGCTGACCATATAACTCGCGTCTGTGTCATTTTGCACGCCGAGGTAGTTAAGAGCTTCTTCGTATGACATATCCTCCACCGCCATTTTTTGAAGATTCAGACTTTGTGTATGACGGGCAATGAGTAGGAGCTTTTCTCGAAAGTTGGATTTCTGTGATGGGTAGGCATCTGAGTTTGACAAAAATTTGGCCAGAACCTCATCGTCGCTCCTCTGGCCTTCTTCCAGGCCAAAGTAGTTGTATGCCTGGATTACTTTGTCGGTGTTTGACAGTTGGTGCGAAACTACTGTCGTTTGGGTGTCTTGAAGAGACCGCTCGGTCGCAAGGCGGATATCGTCCTCCTCTGATCCTGCCGGCAATGAATCCTTAGGTTGGGCTGTGCGTATCGAGTCGAAGGACTGTATACGAAGCTCAAGGTCCTCGTTATTCCGACCCTGAGCGAGACGCTTCAAACAGAGAAAGTAGTCGTCTTTCATCCGTGGATTTGTCTGGCTCTGACACGTAAAGGCATACCAGAAGTACCTTTCGTGCATGCGAGGAAGCAGGCCAAGATCTGCGTAATCCGAGATGCGATACTCGTTGTAGCCATAGTCTGAAGTCGCAAAGTCGTCAATATCAAGGGCATTGGTGATGAAACTGATCGCGGCATTTGGCTTCATGTTTTGACTGTCTTTGCCAATGATGGTCTCGACTTCACTTTTAACGTCCTGGTAAAATGCAAGCTGCGATCCGGGGCGGGTTGGCCGTGTGATTGCTGGGCAAGGCACCTTCCACGCCCGGCTGTCTTCGTTGATGATCTCCTCAAACCCAAGATATGTGAGCAGTTCAGCGGCTTCGGGCCCGTTGCCGAACTGAATAAAAAACTTCTTGTTTCTTTGATCAATTTTCCGTTCGATCTCTGAGCCGTCTGGGTTCTTCTCGCTCCTGCCTTCAACGATGTCCCGCAAGTAGGCTCTGAGATACGCCAGCGCATTAGGCGTGACGTTGGCGACATCTGCGAACCGTTCGGGCTCATCTTCCATGGCTCGTTTGAGGCGATTGCGTATGCCGTCGTGGTCGGTCAAATAGTCCAGGAGATGGTCGCTGAGGCGAGGGCTCGAAATTTCTACTATGAGCTTGAACGAGCACTTTTTCGAGGAGCAGGTGTACGTGCCCCTGCCATGGAACGGGTAAAACTTGATGTCGATCGGCCTCGGTGCGCTCTTCTCAGTGAGCACATGAACGAGATGGTGAAACGGGTCGGTGTTGTTGCTGTTATTGCCACGAGTGGTACCGCACGACTGATTTTGCGTCCTGTCAATATAAAATGTAAAGTGATACCGGCAGTTCTGGCAGACACATGCAAGAACTTCGTAGCACACGTTCCCGTCGGCGCGGAGTAGAGGCTGGCTTGATGACGGCTCTCCCTGAAAGCTTTGGTGTCCTTTTAGAAGAAGCTCGTGACGCATGATAGGAGGTGTGGCATCGTCATAGTAGATACCGCCCTGCTTCCTGGCTTCCTCTCGGCGAAAAGCGTCACTCGCACAGCCTATATCTTGAAAGGTAGCGCCGGCGTTGAGGCCAGCTTCGAGCTCGCCAGAAACAAAATCCTGAAGCCATCGTGGTGCCAGGCGACCTACGCGGTATTAGTTCATGAGACGTATAACCAAACAAAATAAATTTCGCTCTGCACGGCGTGTCACGCACCTGGTTGACCCAAGTCTATATGGGATGTCTCCTCAACAAGGGGAAGCGGCACGGGGCCACGAGACCGGGTCCCCGGATAGGCAGGAGGATTCATGACTGCGCGTATTAGTGTCCGTTTCTTCTTACCGCCGTGAACCTTCCTCGCGAAGAAAACCAGCTTTGCAGTCTCTGGAAAGACCATTGTGGGAACGGAGGAGGATGGTGCTTGGCGTGGTAGAGAAGTGCGTATGGGGATCATGCAAGGAGCCGTGGTGGCACATGGTAGAGGAGAAGCAGAGTGCATTGTTTATGTTGATACATCAGGAAGGCAACGACATGGACGAGGACGCGAACAACACCAGTGAGCAAGATAAAGGACAAAAAAGGTGGCAAAGGAAGGGAACAGAACGCCATGCAATGGGCATATCAAAGACAAGCAGGTAGCAAACAAACAAAAGACACTATGTGTGCTGATGACGTGGAAAGCCCACGGCTGGGATATTCAGAGAACATATCATACCTTCTGGAGGACAGGCACAAAGGGTGCTGTACACATGGGACGGGCCAAAAGGCTAGCGGGCACTGCTGCAGGCAGCCGTAAATCGCAAAAACGACGTTTTGTTCCGCGGCGATGGTAGAGAGCGCCTGTCGCCCCTTCGGCGTGCGGGCAATTTTTATTCGGCTGCCTGGCGAGGGTCGGATACTGCCGGCGAGCAGATACAACCGCCCCTGGTGACGGACACTGAGCTCACAGGTGACCTTTGTCACACGCGAGGTGTTGCCGGACGTGCACGAGAGGTCACTGAGCCAGCGAGCCGGCTGTTTGGGCTGCGCTTAAGCTGCAATCGGGAAGATGACGGCTGATGGACGAAAACGATGTACGAAAACGATGCTGTTGCCACGCGCCAAAGGTAGCGATCCGGTGAGGGCGGCTAGCTGCAGCAGCTTACGACAAGGGGAGTTCGGACGCCGGAGTCGCGTATGGATGAATATAGATGCCGCATGAACTGGGATATATCGTGATATACTGCCGTATGTTTGAAGCAAACGAAGGGATGTTGAGTAGCTGCCTGTTTTGTTCAATCGTCGTTGTTGGTTGGATGCGCCTTCCGTGAAACTGCAACGCCGAAATTGGGCAAGAGCTGACGCAGCCTTGCTGTCATAGCTCGCATTATCGCCTGTAGGCTGTCGCGCTTGCCTATGGGGACTACTGGGGTCGCCCAGGTCAGGTGGCGACACCTAAATTCCCGTTACAGGGGTGCAATAAAGTTATGAGTAATCATATCACGTGTATACATATTGCTTGTCACCTTCTGACCAATCAGAAGCCCCACGAATCATTTGGGAGGGCCCAAAACCAGACAGCCGAAGTTTCCCACTGGTGATATTTCTCTCGCCCTGCGTTTCTAAAGCGAGCTTCTTTCTCTCCATCCAATCCGCCTTCCCCCATCCGTCCCCCCTACAAAACACGCATCTAGATCTGAGCTGCAGTGGAGCAGGCTCAGACACACCGAAAGAATGACGTCCGGCCACGGCGACGGCGACCGTGACGTTTACCGCCCACAGGACGCCCTGTACGCTGGCATCAAGGGCACTGCGGTGGTGGGTGGTGCCGGGCTGTTCCTGTCTGCGATCCAGAACTCGCTGCAGAAGCGCAATGTCGGTGCTTGGGGTGTTTTCACACGCACGGGTGGTGTTGTAGCGTCGTTTGGTATGTCAGGGCGTTGTTTCCGGCTCAATGAGCGTTTTCTAGGGGAACACCTTTTAGCTAACAATTCTCTCCGCAGCTGCGGTCGGTGGTGTTTTCGAGTTTTCGCGGACGGCTATGGCCAACTTGCGCCAAAAGAATGATGCTTACAACACAGCCGTGAGCGGTTTCCTGGCCGGTTCCGTGTTCGGCTTGTCTAGTAAGCCCCCTTTCGACATCTCTGCCACGGTCTCGATTGGTCGTCTCTCACTTTCTAACAGACTTTTGTAGCTGGCAGGATGCCACGGATAATTGGCATGGGCGCGCTCACGGCCGTTGTCCTCGGTGTATTTGACTTTACGGGTGGCAAGCTGACTGGCTGGGCCAAGGAAACGGATGAGGACCGCTTCGAGCGGAAAGAGTACCTGCGCAAGAACCGGAGGCGGCCCGGCGAGGAGACGATCGCACAGCTCGGTGACGGTCGCGGTGGCAGTAAGTTCCCCGGTACAGATAAAAAAGGGAACGGCCGATCGGCGTGGAATTACATGCTGACCTGATTGACAGTGATCCACTCGCCCAACTACGACGAGCTGCGTGCCGACCGCCTGAAGGAGAAATATGGCTATGAGATCAAAACGGTCTCAGCTGACCCGAACGCCGCATAAACGAAGGCGAAGCGGACGAACCAGACCCGAATGAAGATGGGCCGGTTTACGGCTACACGCCGGCTAACGACCCATGGCGATTCCCCAACAATCATGCACCACACAATCGATACAATCTTTCTGTGGTTTTTATTTGTATATATATGCAGTCCGGTGCGATGCATACGACTGATCGGCAGAGAGCAGCACGACGGTGTGCCGTGCCTTTTGTGTTTGGTATGTTCACCCTGTTTTTTTCCATCGTTCGTCTTGACAACCTTCGAACACCACCCCCGAGCCAGGTTACTATGATGATATCTTAGCTTCAGAGGCTGTTTATGAACTTGTCCCTGGACAATTGTGATTATACTATTCCTAAATTACATTGTTCTTTCCTGATGTACACCTGCACACTCTTCCTTTCTGGCACACTGTTTCTTGACCATACTTTTCCGTTCTTTTGCTGACTCTGTTGTGGCGTTGGCAGTGTCATCCATGAAATAAACAGTAAAATAAGAAGCTATTTTTTTTTTTTCGAATTATGTCCTATTTTTGTCCCACGTAGAGAATACAGTGCAATTATGTTTGTACAACCTGAAAGCCAGAAAAACGGAAGAAATTTGATACCATCCCATCATTATATGTCGCTCTTTGGAACAGAACAGAGAAGGAAACAAAGAAAATGAACACCGTCGTACGGGTCACGAAGCCCTTTTACAAAGCCTTGATCGACTGGAAAAACGGGTTTGCCAGCAGCTTCTCGTCGGCTGCGACGAGCTCTCGAAGTTTGGCCACCATCTCTTCCTTGCTTGGGGCGCTGCTGCCGTCGCCGCCACTCGCCCGGACCTGCTCCTTCCACTGCACCAGCAGGTCCTTCAGCAGCGCGCTGCCTTGCTCGACGTCCTCTTTGCTGTAGTGCGTACCCAGCAGCGAAGCCTCGTCGTGCTTAGTCGTAAAGTCCTCAAGCTCGTCGGCCTTACGCTTGGCCATGCGCACAACTTTGTCGGGGAAGCGCACCAACTCGGCCACGTGGATACCGAAGCTCTGGTCACAGACGCCGGGCTCAACTTTGTAGAGCAGTGTGACCTCGCGTTTCTCGTTTTCCTTATGCTTTCCTTCGCCCTGTGTCCCGCTAATATGGGCAGTGACGTGCAGGTTTGTTACTTGCGGGTACTTGTCGGCGAGCGCAGTGAGCTCGTGGAAGTGCGTGGCGAACAGGGCAAAGCAGCCAATCTCACGCACAATGTGTTCCGAAATGGCCCAGGCCAAGCCGAAACCGTCGTACGTCGACGTACCGCGGCCCAGCTCGTCGATGATGATGAGCGATTCGGCGGTGGCCGACTTGAGAATATTGGCCGTCTCAAGCATCTCAGCCATGAACGTCGACACGCCCTTGAGTTGCGAATCGCTGGCACCGACACGTGCAAGCACCGAGTCAAATAGAGTCAGCTCGGCCTCAGCACAGGGCACGAAGCAGCCGATCTGGGCCATGAGGGCAATAACGCCGATCTGGCGAATGTATGTCGACTTGCCGCCCATGTTGGGTCCGGTAATGATCAAGAACGACGAGTCGCCGCGGTCGAGTGTCACATCGTTGGTGATAAATTGCACGTCGTCTTGCATCTCAAGACAGGGATGACGCGCCTCGCGCAGTACAGTACGACCCTCGCCGCGCGGGTGGATCGTTGGGCGCACGTAGGCAATGGGGGCGTGCACGGCGCAGTGGGCCAACGACACGATCACGTCGAGGTGGCCCAACACAGCAGCCAGACGCTCGAGCACAGGGCTGTACGAGGCGGCAACGCCGACGACCTCGCTCACGAGGCTGCTTTGTGTACGGTTGTAGTTGTGCGACAGCTGGTCAAACTCGCGGCGCAGAGTCTGCAGCTGCTTCGTGGTAAAGTAGACGCCGTTCTTCTGCGTCGAGCACTCCTGGTAGTGCGAGTTGTTGCGGATGCAGCCGGCCTCGGTGCGTGTCAAACGCATGCACCAACCGTGTACCTTGTGGTTCTCCAAAAATATCTTCTTGTCGCGTTCCTGGTTGAGGTCGCGGGCAGCCTCGGCGAAAGCGCGGTCCATATCCAGGCGCAGACGATCGAGCTTCTTGCGGATGATGCGCAGGCTGTCGTCGAACTCGGGCTTGATGATGAACTCGTGGTTGTCGAGTGCGTCCAGGTCCACCGTTGTCTCGACCATCTCCTGCAGCTTTGAGAGGCTATCGCAGAGCGTACGGAGCTTCGTCGTGTAGGAAGCGTCGAGTGGTACACGGTAGGCCTCGTCCATGACGCCCTCGAGGGTGCCGAGGAAGCCGGGCAGGCGGATGACGACTTGGTAAGCACGGACGACATCCTCCAGCGTCGCTTTGCCTCGCTGGAAACGTTTTGCGAGGCGGTAGAGGTCGGGCACAGCGCGCAGGTGTTCCTCCTGCATGGTCTGGCGCAGCTCGGTGTCGGTGACAAAGGCCTCGACCAGCTGCTGGCGCGTCTCAATCTCCTCCTTGTTCATCAGCGGCTGTTTGAGCCACTGTGCCAATAAACGGCCACCTAATGGTGTTTTGCAGTGGTTGAGCAGGCCAAACAGGCTCATGGTCTTGGAGCCGTCGCGTGGGCCCGGCATCAGGTTGAGGGCTTTGACGGCCGAGGCGTCGAGCTTCATGAACTGCGACAGGTCGTGCTGGTACAGTTGGTACTGTCCGAAATTGGACGGGTCGTGCAGCACGCCCAGATACCGGACCAACGCCGCAGCAGAGCCTAGGGCCAGCTTGAGCTCGGACTGCGGGAGCACCATAGACGCCCGCTCGTCCTTGAGCAGACGGGCCAGGTCCTGCTCAATGTCCTTGGTGGCGAACTCAGCCAGCGACCGCTCGGCAATGGCGATGCCACAGTTATCGATGACCTGCCTCAACTTGGCCAGCTCTGGGTCACGGCCGGCTTTGCTGCCATCTTTGTCGGGGCGATCAGCCTGCACGATACACTCGCGGACACCGAGCTGGATTAGCAGGGCCTCAAAATTGGAGTACAGGTCGTTGTCGAGGAACTCGCTGACCCCCAACTCGCGCACGGTGGCGTCAGCAAAGCAGACACCGACGGTGCGGGCCTCGTTGGCGCGGGCAGACAGCTTGACGGCCAGGATCATAGGCGCGTTGTCGAACTGGCCCAAGTCGTCCTCGACGTCCTGCAGGTTGCCCGGCGAAGCTTGCTTGACGATTTTCCAGTTCATGCGGCCGCCGGAACTGGCGTAGATCTCGATGCGCTTGCCAAGCTTAAACAGCGCCTCACGCAGGAACTGCCGGAAGACGGTAACGGTCATAGTTACAGAGGGCAGGCCGGTGTGGTCGTTGCGGCCGAGCTGGCGCACGACGGAGGTCGTCTTGTAGACCGTACGGGCGATGAAGTTGGCATTGTCGCCATGGGCAGTGTACCAGTCACCGCGGTCGAAGATGCGGATGGTGTCATCGTCGATAACCGGGAGGGACTTGAAGTAGCGAATGAAGCCATGCTCGTCATCAACCTGGTGGTGGTGATTAGCACGGGCAGCGAATAGGTGGCGAAGAAAAGAAGGAAAAGCAGTAGAGAAGTTGACGAATGACGAGTAGTACCTTGAGCTCCGGCCGGGAAGACATTGTGGCGGATGGAATGTGCCTACGTGCAGAAACGAAACGGCCCACGACACCGCTGGGACTATGAAAGGTAATCGGTTCTGCTAGCACGATGCTGGGCTGGAGATGCAGTGCAGCGTAGTGGAGGTGACGATACAAGTAGATTGGATTTGCCAGGAGACGCGTCAAGAAATCCCATTAACGCGTTGGCGACGCTGAACGTGGAGGGGCGCTAGCCCAACCGGGAAGGGACCAGTGTGCTAGGATCCGATTACAGTGCGGGCAGGAGCGTCGTGCGACCAAGGAGGCAAGGCTTCAAGCAGTTGGATAACCCCACTTTTTTATCTAGAAGAAAAAAAGAAAGGCAGACGACTTCAATTGACGTAGCAAAAGTTACTTCACATCACCAAACCACAATGGATTGTACAGACGACATGGACATCGAAGATCCACCAGCACCGGGGCTTTTCGCAAGCGAAGGTGGCCCAGTTCAGGCCACGGCGTTGAAATTGGCCTCGGAAAACGGCGACGCACAGCTTCCTGGTCAAAATAACGAGGTCGATGCATCGAGACCAACCGAGCTCGCGAGCGCAGGTGACACCGAGAATGGAGGCGAGGACGGCACTGGACCTGCGGCTGAGGGTCCTCGAACAGCATTGGCAGCCTCTGGAGCACTAGGCACGCTAGAGACCCCGGGTACATTACTGTCGAAGAACGCACAAAAGAAACTCAAGCGGCAACAAAAGTGGGAGGATATGCGAGACGACCGTAAGCGGCGGCGGAAAGAAAAGCGGGTGATCAAGGCGGAAAAGAAGAAGGCGGCCAAGGCAGCGGGCGGCGAGGGCGCAGACGGATGCGCTGCTGCACCTGCGACAGCCGCGCCCAAAGAGCACACACTGGTACCTGTCAGTCTCATCTTTGACTGTGCCTTTGAGTCCTACATGCGCGAGACGGAACAGATCTCGCTGTCGAGCCAGATCACACGCTCGTACGCGGCAAACCGCACGGCGGCGCGGTGTGCGCGAATTTACGTGAGCTCCTGGGGCGGCAAGCTACAGACGCGCTACGAGACGCTGCTGGCAAACCAGCACAAGCGATGGAACCATGTGCACTTTCTCGCCGACGACTTTGTGGCGGCTGCAAAGCAGGCTGACATGGACATGCAGGGGGAGAACGGAGGGACGGTCGTGGACGTTCTCGAAGCCAAGGAAGGAGACGAAGCGCTGAAGCGCGACGATGAGAGAGGCGAGAAAATGGCAGGCAAGACGGCCGAGGAAAAGGAAGCGGACAAGGAGATCACTCCGTCGGACGGCCCCTCTGTCGTCTACCTGACATCTGACTCTCCCTACACGCTGACCCGGCTTGAGCCAAACACGAGCTACGTTATCGGCGGCATCGTCGACAAAAACCGCGAAAAGGGCCTCTGCTACAAACGCGCGAGGGAACACGGCGTCCGTACGGCCAAACTGCCCATCGGCGACTACATGGTCATGGCCAGCCGAAAGGTGCTGACAACGAACCACGTTGTGGAGATCATGCTCAGTTGGCTGGAGACAGGTGACTGGGCAACAGCATTCTCCAACGTGATTCCGAAGCGCAAGGGCGGTCATTTGAAGGGTGAAAAAGGAGACACCAGCGAGAAGAGCGCGGAAGAGGGCGATGCAGGGGCCGAAGAGGAGCAAGGAGAAGATGGCGACGATGAGGAGGCAGAGGAAGGCGAGGCGAAGGAGGCCGATGACAGTGAAATGGGCATGCAGGACAACAGCGCGGCTGCAGAGCCACAAGCTACGGAGGCCACAAAGAGCGTCGCATAGTACGGAGTACCTGAATATCTAACGTACATTATTACAGCACAGCATATATAAGACGAGTTTACGTCGCCACGTGACAACAATTCAAGAGGCATTTGGGACAAAATGCGGACACGGGATATCACTGCTATATATCCGCCAGAGAAGCCTTCTTGGCTGGTGGTTCGTCATCACGGCTAAAGAGGCCCTTCTATGGGCATTTATATTGATGATGAAAGACACCACCTGCGCTTGCGTTTTCACATCCAAGCTGGATGCCAATCCGCTGGCCAACACTGTTGAGGATACCAAACTGTCAGGATGAGTCCAATAGCATCTCTTCTGTTATCAACGGCTGGCCTCGCTGTCCTGGCAGCAGCCGCTTCGTCGCCCATTACTACATTTGCCAACAAGGTCATCTTCACGCCACCGAGCACGTATACCGACCCGCGTGTGCTTTATCCACGTACAGTCGAATTGCGTGACGGCACCCTGCTGGCTACCTGGGAGAACTACTCGCCGGAGCCGCCGGCCGTCCACTTCCCCATCTACCAGTCCGTCGACAACGGCAGCAGTTGGTCCGAGATCTCGCATGTCACCGACCAGACGAATGGCTGGGGACTGCGATACCAGCCTTTTCTGTACGAGCTGCCGGCCGACGTTGGCCATTTCAAGGCCGGCACGATTTTGTGCGTCGGGAACAGCATCCCGACGGACTTGAGCCGCACGCAGATTGATGTCTATGCAAGCACTGACCACGGCCATTCGTGGACGTTTGTGAGCCACGTTGCCGCCGGGGGCAAGGCACATCCGGACAATGGGCAGACGCCAGTGTGGGAGCCGTTCCTTATGTAAAGAAGCGTGAATATAAAATACCGCAGTCGCATTTGTTCGATCAACTGACATCCTCACAGATACTACCAATCCCAGATTATCCTCTACTACTCCGACCAGCGTGACCCCAAGCACGGCCAAAAACTCGTGCACCAGACGTCGACGGACCTGCTCACGTGGGACGCCACTGTCGACGATATCGCGTACACCGACTACAAATTGCGCCCGGGCATGTCGACCGTTGTGTTGCTGCCAAACAACCAGTACTTGCTGACGTACGAATACGGCGGTGCTCCGGGCGGCTTTCCGGTGTACTATCGTATAGCAGCCGATCCTCGAGCGTTTTTTGCGGCCAAAGAGCACCCTCTTGTTGTGGGCAGCACGCGGCCGACCAGCTCGCCATACGTGACTTGGACTCCGTACGGCGGCATCAACGGCACCATCCTTGTCAGCGCCTACAGCCATTCCCAGGTCTTCAGCAATAGTGCACTCGGCGACGAGACCAAGTGGGAGATGCACAATGTCGCACAGCCCGCGGCATACACACGCACGCTGCGGGTGCTGCAGAACGATCCGGCAAAGGTGCTGATCATGGGTGCCGGGAAGCTACCGCCGAGCTCGACAAATGCCGTGAGCTTGAGTATCGTGGACCTAGGAAGAGTGTTAGGACGGAAATAAATACCAGGTTGGGGCATGACACAAGAAATAAAAGCTGGAGGAAACAAAAGCATTCTTTTCAAAAGAACAATGTATGGTCGCCGTGCCTCGTTTCCACGGAAGAAAGCCCAAAATCATTACATGACACTCGTAGTGCGAAACACGAGAAATAAACCAACGAAACAATGCCTTTCATAACAAAGCCCTAAGACGGATGGTGAATTCAATCAATCAAAATTCCATGCTCGTCGCCCCATCCCGCTCCCGCTTGACCCTAACGACGTCCTTCTCGTCCCGCATCAGTGCCAGCACAAATGAGCGGAACTGCTCAATGTACGGCCGCAAACTGGTCTTCTCCCAGTCTTGCAGCTTCTTCTCGTCACCATTGTTACCTTGTGACGGCTCCTCGTCGCTTCCGCTGGCACCGGTACCGTTTTTCTGGTACGAATCGATCTCCTGCAGCAGTTGCTGCACTGTCGGAACCCCAAGCGGGTCAAACTCCTCCAACCGGTCCACGTCGATTGGCACGCACACCCGTCCTGTGCCGGGGTGCACAACGAACGGACTCTTGAGCAAATGGTTGAGCTTCTTACTGACGTTGACATCCAGCCGGGGATACGTGTACTCGAGCACAATGTCCTGCTTGTTCTCCAGCAGCTGCTTCATGTCCAGCCCCTTGACGCTGCCCGTCTTGGCTACAGCGTCAATGTCGGCCCATTTAGCCGTTGACGACCGACCCGGTGACGAATCCCACTTCCGCCGCAGCGCGTCCGCCAAGTTGCGGTCCGACAGCAGACCTAGCAGCTTCTCCGCGTTCTCCGCCGTAGCCCAGGGATCCTGGTCGCGCAGCACGTCTTCCTGGAAGTGCGTGCGCAGCACATTAAGACTTCGCGACAGGTGCGGGTGCAGTGGCCGGCGTACATTGACACGCTTGCCACCCTGGCTGCCGCCGCGCAGCACTTCCAGGTAGCCAACAATGGCGCGGCGCCTCTGGTCGTCGAGTGTGCGTGCCCGCTTGTCACAGACCCAAGCGTGCGCACCACGACGACCGGAGTAGATCCACACAATGTGCTGGAACCCGAAGTCGTCGCGCAGCGCCACGTCAATGACACGCACTGCCATGGTAATGAACTGCCAGCAGCGGATACATATTGTGGTCTTGTCGCAGCATGTCCGGATGTCGTCGTAGTCTGTCAAATCGATGTCAAAGCACAGCTCCTTGGCAAGAGGCTTGAACGCCGATGCGTTGCTAAGCGCCTTGCGGTCCACTGGGTTGGTAGTGTAGACAGGTCCAATTTCGAAACGCGAGGGCAAGAGGCGTAGGACGTCCTTGCGAAGACTGCAAAGTCGCAGTTAGCCAGCGTTCATTTCAGAATCTTGCCTTTCTTTGGTCCATCTTGTAGCGGATTTCACATACAGGTCAGACGTCGGGAACGCCTGGTAACGGAGATACGCTTCGTTCTGAAGCGTAAACGCAAACTCGCGGTGGGCAAAATCGTTGGTCGGCGTCGGGCTATGGTTGAGCCACTGGAAGAGGTATCGCCAGGGGAACAGGCGCTGGTAGAAACTACGCATAACCTCTGGGTCAGACGCACGGAGAGACAATAGGTCCGATGTCGTCGCGAGCGCATCTTCGGCGGATTTGCCAGAGAACTCGTCGTCGTCCATGTCGTCAAACATATCTTCCAAGTTGACAGGCACGGTGTCCGTGATGAGAGCTGCCTTCTCTGACTCCTCTGTCTTTACCACGACTGCTGCTGATGCATCTTCTGTCTTGATCGCAGTGGTCGCCGCAAGAACGCCCTCTGCCGGGCCATCCTCTGTCTTGATCGCCACGGCAGCAGCTGGCACGGCACTCTCCTCGGTCATCTCCACGTCGATGTCGTCGTCGTCGTCATCGCCAGCAACCCAGGGCGGACTTGAGGCCTGCTCGACCTTAACGGGCACGGCCTCATCGCCTACGTTGGCATTGGCTGTTGGTGGCGACTCGGCCTCGATTGTGTTGGGGGAGGCGTTCTCGGCCATGGCGGCGTCGTCCTGAGAAGGAGAGGGTGGATCTGATACTGCGTGCGGCATTGTGAACGTGTTACAAGGCTCTTCTTGTGAAAGACTGAGTGGTGTGCAGTACGTCGTAGCTGATAGTCAAATCGGATTTCAGTCTGGATTTTAGAATAACAAGGCTTGGGAATAAACCAGTGCAGAAGGCGCACATCGTTCCTTCCTGTTGCTTTGGTGCCCATGTATTTACTAAATTTAGGGAAAGACGCGTCGACGCGTTAAGCCGTTTCGCCCCGCCAGCCAATTTGAACGAATCGCGCTGCGCTCCTTCCCAAAGTTGGGGTTCCCACACTGTCACCTACTGCCCTGCTCTCATCGGTAGCGCTTTCCTCGTCAACGGCTGCAACCACCGGAAAATCCTCGGCAGCTGTTCCAAAAAAGGAAACAGCGACCATGGCGAGCCGTTGCCACACCCTTCCGTACTAGTGCGATAAAAGTGTCATTAGCATGGGAAGGTACGTCTCTACGTAATTACATCTACTCTTCCGTACTTTGGACCATCATCATCCTCGGGTGCCCCGACGTTTATCCGCCGTCTTTGTGCCAATCGTTATCATCGCATTTCTCTTCCTGGTCACAACGTATTGGAATACAGTTTTGGCTACTGCCAGGAATAGAAACACATGAATACAAATTGTCCGTCGCAGCGTCATTATATACGTCCCCCAACCTCCTCGACCGTCCACTGCCTCAAGCATCTCGACGTCGTCTTATGTTTCGATTACCACTGTTGTCGCCGATAAACAGCCATGCGCCTCGACGTTCTTTACTGATCCCCATAAACCTTACACCAGAGACTCGTTCCATAGCCCCCAAATTGTTAAAAGCCCGACATCTTTATCCGGCCACCGCTGCTCTTCGATTTACGCCGACTCTTTTACTCTCCGTTCGTGTCCAACCATGGCGCCAATCCGCCTCATCATTGAGGATGGCGTCTTCAAAGACTCCGTCGGACGGCAGCTTGTGTTGCGGGGGATCAACGTCGCTGGCGACGCCAAGCTGCCGAGCGCCCCTGAGATGCCGTCACATATCGCCAAGGACTTCTTCGAAGGCGACAAGGTCACCTTTCACAAGCGGCCCTTCCCCAAGGAAGACGCACATCTGCACTTTTCGCGGTTAAAAAAGATGGGATACAACACGATACGCTATGTGTTCACCTGGGAGGCGATCGAGGCAGCCGGCCCAGGCAAGTACGACGAGGAGTGGATCCAGCACACAGTCGACATCTTGCGCATCGCAAAGGAGTACGGGTTTTACGTCTTCATGGACCCCCACCAGGACGTGGTATGTTGTGCCTTGCTGGCAGGTCTGGTCTGCTGCTGTTTGCTTGTTGCTCCCATATCTAACGAAATCAGTGGTCCCGGTTCACAGGCGGTTCTGGCGCGCCGATGTGGACATTGTACGCCTGTGGCCTCAACCCAGAGAAATTTGCCGTCACCGAGGCCGCCATTGTGCAGAACACGTACGAAGATGTCGACAACTTCCCCAAGATGATATGGTCGACAAATTACTTCCGTCTAGCCGCCGCAACCATGTTCACGCTCTTCTTTGCTGGCCGCGACTTTGCGCCCAAGTGCATCATCGACGGCCAAAACATCCAAGATTACTTGCAGGGCCACTTCTTAGCGGCTATTGGCCATCTCGCCAAGCGCATTAAAGAGGCCGGCGACCTGGAGAATGATGTTGTCTTTGGCTGGGAGAGCCTCAACGAACCCAGCAAGGGCATGATTGGCTACCAGGACATCAGCGTCATCCCCAAGGAACAGGCCCTGAAAAAGGGCACGTCGCCGACCATCTTCCAAGCCATGCTTACTGGAATGGGTCGGTCGGTGGAGGTCGACGTGTGGGAGATGGGCGGTCTTGGCCCCGTCAAATCCGGCCGCAAGCTGGTCGACCCAGGCGGCGAGAAGGCCTGGCTGCCGGCCGACTACGACGACAGCCGCTACGGCTGGAAACGTGACCCTGGTTGGAAACTTGGCGAATGTATCTGGGCACAGCACGGGGTGTGGGACGCGTCTTCGGAGAACGACGTTCTGCTGCGCAAGAACTATTTTGCGAAAAATCCACGCACAGGCGAAACGATCGACTACCCATGCTTCTCCGACTCGTACTTTATGGACTACTTCCGCGCCAACCGCGACATCGTGCGCAAGTACCACCCAGATGCCATCATGTTGCTCCAGGGCCCCACAATGGAGCTACCGCCGAATATCAAGGGCACGAAAGACGACGACGAACGCATGGTCTACGCGCCTCACTTTTACGACGGCATCACCCTCATGACGAAGAAGTGGAATCGCACATGGAATGTGGACGTGCTTGGCGTGCTGCGCGGTCGGTACTGGCACCCGGCCTTTGCCATCCGTGTCGGCGAGTCCGCCATCCGCAACTGCTTCCGTGACCAGCTGGCGGCCATGCGCCAAGAAGGCCTGGATCGCGTTGGCGACCATCCGTGCATCCTGACTGAATTTGGTATTCCCTATGATATGGACGACAAGCACGCATACAAAACAGGTGACTACTCCAGTCAGTCGGCCGCCATGGATGCCAATCACTATGGCGTGGAGGGGGCGCTCATGGAGGGCTACACGCTGTGGGTGTATATGACGGAAAACGACCACCTGCGGGGTGACCAGTGGAACGGCGAAGATCTCTCGATTGTGTCACAAGATGACTCTCTGCTGCCCGTATCGCACCGGCCCAAGACGATTCCCGATCGCGCAACGGCGCCGGCTCTGCGGCGCGTGGTGACGTCATCCTCCATCGGGGCCGGCGAGGCGCCGACGTCGTCCGCGAACTTGTCAACAGCGTCAACAGACGTGCCAAACCAGGGCCAGCCGAGACGAAGCGATGTCGATCAGGACGACATGGTTAACCCGGGCAACATCAAGCAAGTGCTGACACAGCCGTCCATCTCGTCGCGGCCGGCCAGCACCAATGGCCACGCCGGCAACTCCGGCAACAACGAAACCACCGCCAATGATGGAAACACCAACACCGTGGGCTCGTCGAACTCGAGTCCTGAGCTTAGTAATGCGCCGGGATTTCGTGCTGCGGAGGCATACGTGCGCCCTGCACCGATTGCGACAAGCGGTGAGATTGCCGAGTACGGGTTCAACCTGCGGCAGGCCGAGTTCAATCTGAAGGTGTATGGATTGTCAGACGAAAAGCGGCTGGCAGCGGCCAAGAAGGAAGCGGCAACTTTGGCTGCAGACACCCCCGAGGGGGAAGAGGCCCGTCGCGAACGCTCTCTTGTCGGCGCCGACCTCATCAGCCTTAATTTAGCGCCTGGCGGCGAGGCAGCTGGAGGTGACGACGGCAACGGCGGACTCTTGCCTCTGCCGACTGTTGTGTGGCTGCCCGAGTACCACTTCCCAGAGGACAGCATTGACGTCGAGGTCAGCGCTGGCCGCTGGGAGATCTCGTGGGACGCGGAGGAGACGGCGACGCTGCAGCGGCTGCGCTGGTGGCACCCACCAGGCACGCAAACACTCAAGATCAAGGGGCGCGTGCGCAAGTACAACGATGTCGAAGGGGCGACCGGTAGAGAGGACGGATACTACGACCAGCTCAGCAACTGGCTGGAGGGGGGCTGTAGTGTGATGTAAGTGAACAGCCAAGTGCTTTCCGTCGCTCGTCCGGTGTGCGATGTTTTGTGTGTCCCCCTTTTATGTCCGATTCCACCACCACATTTTGCTATCTTGCATACTTGAAGATCAAGAACCGGTAATGAGTTGTATATGTTATGACCTTATTTTGCTTGTGCTATTCCTTCCCAGTCATGTACGTCGTAATTGCAGCCTTAACAACATGACCACCGCATTTATGATACCGTAATTACCTTTCTGGATAAAATACAAACGTACCTTGGCGCACTAGAGACCACACTTCACCAAACAACACCACAATTCGACGACGCTTCGACACCTCTCCGGCTTTAATGCCTGTCCGAACGTCGACCAGCAGCCCATGCCCCATTTATCCCTTAGAAAGCCGCCAACAGTTCTCACACGCGCAACTAAACTTCACTTTAACGAGCATGGCTGCCCACGCTGGTTGCCTCGTCATATCGGAACACTATAGAGTCGTTCATACTCTCCCGGTGTAATACAACCCATCCCTCCTTTGTATTTCCGTCCTTTAACCCTCCCCAAGATATATTTCGTACTCCACATCCGCTTCGATTTCCTGGTCGGTCAACGCCTTGCGTGCCTCCCACCCCTCACGTCTGTTCTTTGTCTACCATCTCCCCCGTCTCTCACGTCTCTGTTTTGCCGGGCGCTTCGTCGGCCAGTCACATTTCAGAGTCTGCCAGGCTAGACTCTCAGTGGTGGGCTGCTCTGGCTCGACAGCCTTTGCGGTCGTGATTCCTGCAGTGGCCTGCAGGACGCTAGCGCAGCCAGCGCAGCACTGCAGACGAGAGGAGCCGTGTCGCTCTGAAGAGTCCTCAAATGCGCACACATTCGTCGCAATTATTCCTGCAAGCAAATCTATTTCTAGTGCCTTTGATTTCGTATAGCACTCCGTTTGAGATTCGTGCAGCAACCAGCGTGAATGTAGCAGAAAGCGGCCGTCTTGCACGGTGAAGGCGCAACCTGCGAGACATTCTCTGTAAATACCGAAAAGGCGACACATAATTACATGTCGCACCGTCCTCGAGACACCAGAAGCTGACGTTGCACACCGTGTTTCTCTTTCTACCCAGACTCAGGGCAGACTTGGTAGCCAGCACGCTGCGTCCGTGGGGGCTGTCCAACACGGCGCCATACTCTGCGCGTTGTAAGGCCCCTTGTAGTCGTAAGATATTTTAGTATCTTATGTGTTCAGTGCGTGAAACCTCGCTGGCTATATATCGTACTATGTACGAGACAATTGGGACAGTGCTCTTCTCATCGCTGATTGGTTCCGGTGCGGAAATAGCATCGCTCCTTCTCTTTCAAGTTCCCTTTTGAGCACTAGGGCCAGTCCTACTGTGTCTCACCACCTCTCCTGCCACGCGGCACTGCTTGCTGTTGTTTGTTTGTCGCATTTGTCGACCGCTCTTTCCATACTATGACACGAACCGCCAGGTAATTACGACATACTTATTTACATGAGAGTCTAGCAGTGAAAATGTTCAGGGCACTACAAGGGATCTACTGCGGAGGAATAGCGCACGCTGTAGGGCGAGCCAGGGCGCCCAGACCAGGCTACAACGGTCCAATCGGCGCCTCCACACGCTCTAAAAATCCACTCCAACCACCGGCAGCCACCGATCGCTCGCCAGTCGCTCCTTGCTCTACTCCACCTTTGTCGCCCGCCTTCCGCCCCACCCCCTGTTGTTTTCTTGTTTCGACTTTCCTGGTCGTGCAGAGCTGTGGGTACATGCGCCATCGTTCTTTCTTCACAGGCGTGCCCTGCGCAACTGCCTCGCTTCCCTCCCGTGTGCACACAGTAGGTCCTTTGTTGCTTCCCGTTTCCAAACTCCAGGAATGCGTCGTGCTTTTCTCACTCCCTCGTACCTGCTCTTCATTCAATACTGTTGGTCGCTCCTGCTCAACCTAGCCGCCACGTTGCGTTGCTCGCCAAATCAACCCCTTTCACTGATTTCTCGGCCCCTTTTCGACGTATTTTCTTTTGATCTCGAAACGACCACAACGGTTTCTTTGTCAAGCTCCCTCTCTTGACGTTTAATTTCCCCCGTCCCCCAACCTCCAAAAATGCTACCCCGTCCGTTGATCCCCTCGTGATCCAGTGCACCCCGTCGCACTACTACGGGGAACAAGCGCTGACCGACTGCCGAGTTTTGAAACGTGCGCCTTTTGCGATTTGCTGCGACTTCTCTCTCTTCAAGCCTCTCTTCGGGAGGAAAAAAGACGAAGAGGCTGAAGGGCAACATCCACAGGGCACATGCGACAAAACGACCGTACCCCGTCTAGCCTACTCCATCTCTCCTACAAAACCAACCTAGCCGGTTTCCACCACGGCGCGTGCTTGACACCTCTTTCGCCCCCAGGCCATCTGCGACATCGCCAACAAGAAAAGGACCCGTCCCCCTACTGCTGTAATGAGAGTTCATATCCGACAGACAGTTGAAGCAACATTAGCGACGACGGCATTTTGATCGCAGCGACATCGGTATCCCGCAAGCGGCCCGCTGCTTCGCCTCGAAGCTTGCCGGCGCCCCATCTCTCATCTCTCACATCCCACCTGTCGGCCTCGTCTTCGACCTCGACCTCTCCCCTCCTGCTCCCACTGCCCACCATGTATCAAGGCGGCGGACAGCGGGACCCTTCGCGGCCCTATCAGGTGCCGCCACCTCCCCCACCCATGTCGCCGCCGATGGTTCAGCTCGGCAACGGCATGAGCCTCCCTCCGCCTCCTCCTCCTCCGTTACGATATCCTAGCACATCCGGCGGTGTCCTGGGCCCTGGAAACCTACCACCACCACCGTCTGGTCCTCCGCCGGGCAGTGCTCTTGGCCAGCAGGCGCCTTGGCACGGAACGTGGGGTGGCCGTGTGTACGACGCGCTCGGCGCCTTCCCGCCACCGCCGCCACCCCTGATACCCGGAGTAAACCCGAACGCTGCCGCGAGTCAACAACACCAGGCATATAACCCGAAGATGCACGCGGCCGTTGGTGCCGCACCAGGCCAGACTGTCAACCTCCCGCCGCCGCCGCCACAAAATGAGCAGATGTCAGCTACATACATTCCCGGCATTGACACGTACGGTGAAGGCGTGGGCATTCCCGGATTTGGCGGCGCGGTCGACAGCATGACTCCATATTCGGCCAATGCACCGTTTATGCAGTGGAACCAGGCACCACCTGGCACCTTTCCAGGAAACGATCCCAACAACAACGGCAACAGCCATATGAACAACACCGGCAGCGGTGGCGGCGGCGGCAATAATGGCCCTGGTGGCTCCAATGTGCCGGGTGGCAGCCAAGTGGGCACCCCTATGGACGAACAGCCCGGCCGCCTGAATCCTGGTGCTGGCATTGGCGCAAACAATCAGGGTGTATCTATGACGAGCAACGCATCAAGCTCCCGCGGCATACCGCCAGAGATGGCAGCGCAGTGGCCTTTGGAGCGTGTTCTGTCCTGGCTGCAGTCCCACCAGTTCCCCAAGGATTGGCAGGAGGCTTTCAAAAATCTGGAGCTGAGCGGCACACCCTTTCTCGAACTAGGTAGTGCTCATGGTGGCCGCGGCAACTTTAGTTTGATGCATCAGCAAGTGTACCCGGCCCTCAAGCAGCTCTGGATCGAGAGAACCGGTATGCCTGGTGACAAATGGGACCCATCCAAGGACCGTGAGGAAGGTCGCCGCATGCGCCACCTCATTCGGAGCATCGTCAGTGGGCGCCCTACCGACGCCTCCAAATTCCCTACACACGCTCGGAAGGAGTCCAACCCGACAAACGCCAGCCACAACCTGCCAAGCGCAGGTGCCGAAAGTGATTCGCCAAACGTGAGCTCTACTGTCCTTTCTTTTGTTTTGTGAGACATGTTTGTAGAAAGTAGACTAACAACTACCTCGTTACCAGACTCCGATCAAGGCCCCTGGCCCTGGATTCTCGTCCCGGCGCATATCTTCTCAGAATTTGCGTGGTGCACAAAATTTGCCACCGATGCTGAACAGCGCCGGCAGTGGGCCGTCTCCCGGTGCGGGAAGCAATGCAGGAGGAACTTCGGCAGACGCCAACCACCGCGCCGTATTCAAAAACCTTGATGTCGACAACGGCCGCCGTCATAGCCCAAATACAAGCGACGTCGGGCTCGGAAGGGATAGCCCTGCCGGTAGCCCGGTCCCAGGGTCAAGCAACCTTTATGCGGTCAACACCCCCAGCCTTTCCGCTTCACCACACCAGTCCCGCTTTGGCCACCGCTCACGAAACAGCACCGATTCCATGTCATCCAATGCAGCCATCTATGGGTCTGGTCTACCTGTCGAAGCTAATCAAATGCTGCGACAGGGCATGAACATTGGCGAGATGATCGGTGCAAGCAACACTAACACAGGAGCCGGTGCTAATGCTCGGCCGTCGTCGCACGACTCCGGCGACCGGTCTGCCGGTACTGACCCACCGAACAGTGCCAAAGATGCCAAATCGCTGCGTTCGTTTTGGAACCGAAAGAAGAAACCCAAGGACGACAACTCGTTCCCCTCTCCCGATGGCCTCGAATCGCCGACGAGTCCGGTCGTCACAAACAAGTCCTCGTCCACTCTCGGCAGTCGTGCTGGCAATGCTAGTGACCTGTCTCTCGACCGCCCCAGCTCGAGCTTTGCGACCAGCCATGACTTCAGCGGATCTAACACCGGCTCCTCGTCCCAGTACAGCAAGCCATCATCTTCCTTTTCATCTGCCGCTTCATCACGTGTGTACATCCTTGCTACGGCTGATTATTGGAACTACCGCATGGTGGATGTGACAGATGTCGCCAACCCGGCCGAGCTTCGGCAGTTGATCTGCATGAACCTAGGTCTACCAGAAGGTGATGGGGCCACTTTGTTTTTGACCGATCTGGGCCAGTTCAATCACGATGCGCCGCTGGATGATGCGAAGCTGGCAGCGATCAAGACGTTGAAAGCTGACGGTGCTGGTGCAACAAAAATTTTCGTACGGCCACGGAACATTGCACTATCGCAACCCCAGCTCTCTCCTGCCTATGCTGCCCATGGTGCCTCCATCGATATGGATGCATATGATGCTCTAAACGGCGTTTCAAGGCCGAGATCTAGTTCATCTCCGCCGACGTCAAGACAGAACAGCACGTCTGTGTCGATTGACCAAGCGCTGCCTATCAACGGCGGTGCGGGCGGGGACCCAAGCAAGGCACAAACTAGGAACGATGCCGCTGCCAACCAGTACCGCGCGGAAATTGAACGTAAAGGTCAAGCATATCTTGCCAAACGCCGACAGGCGAACGGCAACGTTTCAGCCACGCCCGTTCAGGAGAACGCACCTTACGGCGGAATTGTTGGTAGGAACGTGGATTTCGATCAGCCACGCGTGTCGCCTTTCGAGGATAAGAACCCCGACAAGCTTTTGCCTCAGCGCCGTGCACCAGCACCACCTGGCGACCCATCTGCAACGCTCATCAAGGCAAACTCGCTTAGCAAACGGTCCGGCGACCGTATGCGTCTGTCTCAAGGCAGCATCGATGGCTACCCCAGCAACAAGCGGCCTGCCCTGCCGACAACAAACGAATCGCCACAAGAAATGTCTGACAAGGCCGGCCGGAACCGGTCCTCGCCTGGCACTGTTGGCGGCAATGGTGCTAGCAATAACGGCGACTCTGGCAATGGTGGCCTTCAGCCGATGGGTGCAGTAGCAAGTGCCATTATTGGTATGGGTCGAGGCCTCGGCGGACTAGGCCACCCGTCTCGTGGTGTTTCACCTAACCGCGTAGCGTCCGCGCCATTGAATATAAACATGGGCAGCAACTATACTCACACTGAGCCGCTCCGAGGTATACACTCTCACCCATCCCCAACGAAATAGTGCAAAAGTCAGATTCTAACTCCCTTCTAGGATTCAGGATGCCAGCACGCGCGCCTTCTCCAGGCGGTTTAAGCCCAAGCTCCCGACCCAGTGCGAACTTTGCACGCCTGCCATCAGGCTCCTCACAGTTCCAGCAAAAACCACGACCAGATCTAGATTTCCGCAACAACGATCCCAACTTTCCTCGCGGAGGCGGCCCACCTCGTATTGGTATGCCTGCAGCTCTGACAAAACCGACGCGACTGTCTGTATCTAACGACGACTCCGACGACGACTCTGATGACGGCCTATTTGCTGTGCCCCTTGCTTCCCGTGCGCCAACTGCCAGTAGCAGCAGCAACAGCACCAGCATGACTAAGAGCGATGTCGAGGCAGCTGTAGCGGCGGCAGCGGCGACAACTTCGTCCAAGGCTGCTGCCGCCGCTGCTGCGGCAAACGGAGGCGAACCAGACTCTGGCAGTGGCAACGGCAGACGGCCGAACCTGACTGTGGAGACGAAGCGGCCCCGTAAGACGCTGTCTGTAGCATTTACATCTCCTGTTTCTGCGTCGACTGGCGGCAACCTTCCTGGCGATAACAATGGCAGCATGATCAACCGGAGCGCTGGTAGCAATTCGCGGATGTCCGATCACACAAGCGATGACGGCAGCTCAAGCCGACGGACTCCAGGTACTCCCGACTCTAGCAACGATTGGAAGTCCACATCTTCGGCGACGGACGATGGCAAGCTGAGCCGGCGCAAGTCATTTGTGGAGCGAGATGTCTGGGCGAACCGTCCCCCAACTGATGCGCTGATCAACAACCTGGAGGACTTCTTCCCTAATCTGGATGTCGATCAGCCAGTGCTAGAAGAAGGGCCAGAGCCCGAGTTCTCAACGTCGCCGATTGCTGAAGTGCCCGAATCAGATGAGTCGCTGTCTGCCGGTGGAAGAAACCGTGCTGGTAGCTCTGGCATGGCCGTCAATATGAACAATGGTCTGGGTGGCAGCATGAGTGCGGGCGCCGGCCCCAGTTCTGCATTCGGTTCTGGTCGCAGCCCTGGTTCAGACGCACGGTCTCCTGCCGAAGCCGTAGTGGCCGCTGTAGCTGCAGCCAAGGCCGCCAAAGCATCTTCCAGTGGAACAGGCACCACTTCGTCGTCTATATACAATGAAAACGACACACTTGGATCCGACGAGTCGACACTCAAGGCCCTTGATCGGCCGTCTTCCATCTCATCCGTCGCACAGCGCAGTCTTCGGCGGTCTGGTGGATTGGGCCGTATGAAGTCCATCCGTGAAGTGGCACGGGGCGCACATGAGGCCAACAAGCGGTACACTCAGACGCAGCTGGCACAGCACCAGCAGCAACACCAGCAAGTCCAACAGCAGCCACCTCCTCAACCTGGGGCGCCCGGTATCCCACGGCGTGTTCCAGTCAGCCAAGCCGCGATTGTGCGGCGCAAGTCAACCAAGATGTTTGGTGCCAGCATTGTGCAGGTGCGGCCTGACCGTGAGCAAGGATCGATTGTAGTCCCACAACTGCCACCCTTGCACGGCCAGGGCGATGCCAGCGGCAGTGGCAGCGGTGGCAACACGGACAACAACGGTATTCCCAAGCGACAGACGACGTTCCGCTGGTTCAAGGGTCAGCTGATCGGCAAGGGCACGTTTGGCCGTGTGTACCTGGGCATGAACGCGACGACGGGCGAGTTCTTGGCTGTGAAAGAGGTAGAGGTGCCACCGAAGCTGGTGGCTCAAAACGACAAGAACCGGGTGCGCGAGTTAGTGGCGTCGCTGAACCAGGAGATTGAGACCATGCAGCACTTGGACCACGTGAACATTGTGCAGTACTTGGGCTGCGAACGCAAGGAGACCAGCATCAGCATCTTCCTCGAGTACATTTCCGGTGGCAGTATCGGCTCCTGTTTACGGCGGCACGGCAAGTTCGAGGAGCCCGTGGTGGCAAGCCTGACTCGCCAGACTCTTTCCGGCCTGGCGTACTTGCACCGGGAGGGCATTCTACACCGCGACCTGAAGGCCGACAACATACTGCTTGACGTGGACGGGACGGCCAAGATCAGCGACTTTGGAATCAGCAAGAAGACCGACAATATTTACGGCAACGACCGGACCAACTCGATGCAGGGCAGCGTGTTCTGGATGGCGCCGGAGGTGATCCGGCCACAGGATGAGGGCTACTCGGCCAAGGTGGACATTTGGGCCGTGGGCTGCGTCGTGCTCGAGATGTTTGCGGGGCGGCGGCCTTGGTCGCAGGAGGAGACTGTGGGCGCGATCTACAAGATTGCGCAAGGCGAGACGCCGCCGATCCCGCAGGACGTGCGGGAGACGATCAGCCCGTATGCGATTGCGTTCATGCTGGACTGCTTCACGGTCAACCCGATGGAGCGTCCGACGGCAAGCCGGCTGCTGTCACAGCACCCGTTCTGCAACCTTGACCCTGACTATGACTTTGCAGAGACGGCGTTGTACGCCAAGATCCGGGACACATTCAAGACGACGTAGTCGCATGGCGGTGATGGCTGGTCGCGTAGTGTCTTGTACGGCGTATTTACTTTGTTTGGGTTCGCAATGTGTTTCTCTGTCGCTGTGCTTCTAGTCGTGTTATCTAAGTTTCCTGACTGAGACATGCATGGCCTTTCCTTGGATGTATTTATATAGTATTGGGCAAAGCGTGTAGATGGCGCTTGGGAATGTAATGTGATTCTTCGTTGAATATGTGTCGCGTCTAATTGGCATTTAGGCCATATCCTCAGCAGTGCCGAAAGTCGCAGATTCTTTAAACCCTTTAGCGAATGCGCCCCCATCTAGAGAGCACCCCTACCTGTCTTTCATCCCTCAGAGATCGTGTCTCACTCGATCAACCTTGTAGCTCTGCCAGGATAATCCGTGTCTTTTACCGGCAGACCTATTCGATAATGAATGTCGTCTTCCAAGATCTTGTTTCTGGCCAGGCCTTGTCACGCGGTTCACGAAAACTGGCACTTTTCTCACCAGACTCGAATTGTCACTCAGCATTTGACGTTGTACGGCACACTGCTGCATTTCTGGTGGACTTCAGGCACCCCAGTTGCCCGTGTTGGCATCGAGCGCTGTCCTCCATGCTCCTATTTGCATACGACATTTATTTTGTGCTCCGTCAATCGCCATCTCAACTGCCGCAAAGTGATTCTGTCGTGTCGGCTACGCTCGTTTTTCTCCTCTTTTTTAGGTGGCCATCTTCCTCGCGGCAAAATCGTGGTCAACATTGCTCCAGCCAAGACTCCATTTCTTGTCTGGTTAATCAAAAGGAGAATAAAAAACACATTGTCTTGGCATATTGTTTCTCGCCCCGTAGATACCTACCCCTGCCGTTCCGCTTCCCAAAAAGCGCTGTCAAAGGCACCAATTTCAAACACTTTTATCTGGTTTCGGTCGCACATGGAGACAATTCGAAGAAACAGTCGCAAATACAAACATAGAGGGCCCCTGCAATTGAGTCGAGTCAAGAGCAACGCATTTTTGTTTACCCACAGCGGTTTTCATGCGTGCTTCTCATCTCCTGTGCATGACCAAAGCGGCCTGTTTCCTCTCGGTCGATGCCATGTCCAATCGTCGCAGGGGCCAAGATGTGGCATCGCGCAGCTACGCGCAAAGCTCTATTTTGTTTCAATCCCTCAACCTTTGTCTCAACAACCGTTCGCCGTTCGAGCCCTTTTCTCCGCGGAGGCTTTCTTCACTTTCTTTCCCCTGGTCAGCGTTCCAGCGCACCCCTGGCCATGTTTTCTTGTTCCCAGGGCTGACCAGTCTTGGCCTGGTCTAGCCGCCAATTGCAGCGCCTTTTGGTGTCCTACCAAGCTGGATCCTTCTCACCTCTCCTCTCTAAAAATAACAAAGGGCGAAATAACCTTTTTCTGTTTCTTGGCCCTCTTGTACTAGCACATCGCGGGCTCATGTACATTGGCTCATTGGGAGTCTAAACAAGTCGGTGGGCTCCGGATGTTGTGTGCCAAGCGCGACACGGAACGGACAAAGTGGTCTCTGTCGATTTTCAAAGCATCAGCCTCTTCAGTCGCCGCGGAATGCCAAGTGTGTCGAACATATGTTGTAATGTCAGCGTACTCCGTAGTCGTGTCGTTTCGTGCGGTCCTGGAGGAGAGCTTTGGAAATTGACGGTTTATTTTTATCGTATTTCCCGTTTGGGCCGTTCCCACTTGTTTGACCACATTCCGCCACAAAAAAAGAACCCCCAGAATAATAAAACAAAAGAATGGCTCCGAACGTAACAAAAGCAAGGTGGTGCCAGCGTATTATGAGGCTTGCTGTTCTTTCTAGTGATTAGAAAATACCGGAGTATCGTACAACATACTTGTGAACAGCGGCGAGCCGTATCTTGCAGGGGAAGGCGCCGTTTAACGCGACGGCGTGGGAAAAGACAAAAAAGTCTTGGCATTCGCCTCCTCTGCTCGCCCCGCAACTGGATAGATGGTAAAGAAGGGGCCACCCGTAAGAAAATGAGGAAGGAATAAAACAGTATTGTCTTGGCAGACAAGCCCAGTCCAGCCAGCCCAGGAAGAGAAAGAGAGACCAAGAAGACACGATCGCAACTGCCATCCTCGACACTACTTTTCCCCCCAATCCTAACACAAAGCCTCCAGCCCGGCTTGGTCCTTCTTCTTTGGCATTTCCCTGTCCCTGTGTCGGCCTCGAGTCTCTCCTTCCTCTTCTTTCTTCTCATTTTTATACTCCGTTCACGACTACACACACGGCGACCACCGTTCCGTTCCTTCCATTACTGGTCCTTCAACAGCCTCTCTCTCGCCGGTCTGTCACCTTCCTTTTCTCTTCGCGCCAACTTGGTCCTTCCCACCCGATCGCAGTGAAGCACGCGCCTTCCCCGACAGCCAGCAATATCTTGCAGTGATCGCCGTCTAGCACTTGTCCTTTTCTTCGTCTTTCCTCCTTTGCTTTCCTTTCCTTTCTTCTTCACGCTTCACGTCTTTCTCTGCTACCCTCTCTGCCATATCCTTTTTACGACACATCACGACGTTTCAATACCCCCTACCGGCTACAGTCTGATCTGCGTTCAGTCCCCGTGTACGACATACATACAACACACAAACACGGTTCTCACTCTTAGCCCGCTTCGCCGGTAAAACGGCTTCACGTCAACAACCCCCGGAGCTTTGTTCCTCTCATTCTTATTCTACCTGTTCGCCTACCCAGTACGGAGTACACCCTCTCTATTCGAGCCATTTCCCCTTGCCCTCACCCCAGGTTCTCCACCTCCCGTCGAATATACCTCCAATATGCCGCACCACAACCGCCGGTAACCTCAAGTAAGAGAAATACAAGCCGAAGAGCAGACAACTCTCCTAGACAAGTACCTGCTTGTACGACACAGTTGACTTTCATTACTTTCTCGTTTCCACAGCCGTACCGTACGGCATCTTTTCTGGCTCAATGACAGTCGGGTTCGCTCTCATCGACTCATCCGACTCACTCAAGTGAACCTCTCTTTACTGCACATCAGTTACGAAGTACGCAGTATTCTGTGAAGTACGTCTGAGAGCCGTATTCCGAACGGGCACCAGTTATTCACAACACAGCTCCACAGCACCCGCTCAGGGGTCTGTTCCATTACCACCCCTCCCGCCGAAGGAACTGTCGCCAACATCGACCACCGCGCACGCGACCACCCTCAAGCGCAAGAATCGAGTTTCGGAGTTCACCCGTCCCAGCCGCGCATCAACTGCCAAGCAGTCGGCACTGGAGACAACGGTACGTGCCCATTCGATTGGGTACGCGAATGACGTTGTGACTTCTTAAAGGGCCTGCCGATAGTTGCGCATTGGGCTTGGATAGTACCGAATCTTGGAGTCTTCTCTTTTGGGCCTCGCCAACTTTCTCAACAGAGTACGTTTTGTATTGGGCCCAGTCAACGTCTAGCGCCCTCGCTTTGAGGCCGCCCCCAGTTCATAGCAGCCATGGCATTCCTGCGATTCAGAAGGTACCGCGTGTATGTCTTTGCCGCTGTCTTCTTCCTCTTTCTCGTATTTCGCCTATCGAGCAACTCTCAGTTAAACGCCCATCATACTACAATCTACAAGGGCTACTCAGCTCCGCCCGATGGCGAGTCAAGTGCGGGACGCGGCAGCAGCAGCAGCAGCAGTCATGACAGTGCAAGAGGCAATTTCGGCGCGGGCACCCCTGCTCAAGATGCTCCTCCTTCCCTGGGGTCACCAGATGTGAGTGCTCCGAAAGTGCCCGCCGAAAAGGAACCCGAGGAGGTGGCTGCGCCCGCACCGCAGTCAATGCACATTCCTCAATTGCACACGAGCCTCGAGATCAAGGGCTCTTACGGCCTGCCTACGGGTCCTCGATCGCAAAAACCGACCGCCCCACAGCAAACGGACGTGGCAGCTTCCGCACCGAAGGAGGATGATGCTTTCGACTCCAACCGTGTCCACCAAGTGAATCCCCCAGCTACCCATCAGGAAACCGCTGTCCCGGTCGTCGCAGACGCCACTGCCAAGGCAAAGCCTATTCTCTCAACAAGCGTCATTCACTGGATGAAGATGGCCGAGCACTTCCCGATCCCCGAAGAATCTCTCATTCTGCTTCCCACTGGCTCACCAATGCCTATCCCCAAGATCCAGCACAAGTTTGCGGCTGAACCCGACGCCACCCGTGAGATCCGTGAATCACGTCTCGCTTCGGTGCGCGGCGAGATGCAACATGCGTGGTCCGGCTACCGCACCTATGCTTGGACCCACGACGAGCTTGCCCCCGTCAGCAAGGGTTTCCGCGATCCATTTTGCGGTTGGGCTGCGTCTCTCGTCGATGCTCTAGACACACTGTGGATCATGGGCATGCACGATGAGTTTGACGAGGCATACGAGGCCGTCAAGGATATTGATTTCACAACCACTCCGTTCCGCAGCGAGATCCCCGTCTTCGAGACCATCATCCGTTACCTAGGTGGTCTCATTGCCGCGTACGACGTTTCGGGTGGTGAAAAGGGCAAATACCCTGCGCTCCTGTCCAAGGCGGTGGAACTGGCCGAAATCCTCATGGGTGTCTTCGACACCCCCAACCGAATGCCAATTCTTTACTACCATTGGAAGCCTGCCTTCTACTCCCAGCCCAAGACTGCTTCCAGCAGTGTCAGTGTGGCCGAGCTCGGTTCCATGAGCATGGAGTTCACACGCCTGGCCCAACTGACTGGCCACAGCAAGTACTATGATGCCATTGCCCGCATCACCGACGCCTTTGAAGATTGGCAAAACCGCGTCAACGGAACCGCCATAGCAGGTATCTTCCCTGAGCATGTTGATGCATCCGGTTGCAACAGGACAGCTGCCGCTATACAAGAGGCAGAGAATGCAAGCAAACTAGCAAAGGCCCAAGTGGCTGCTGCCAACGATATTGAGAGCGAACCGGTAGGCTACAAACCAAGCCAACCGAATTCTGATCCTATGGTGGCCCAGGACAAGGTGGCGATTGCAAAGACGATGCCTCCGGATCTTGAATTCCGCGTCAACTCAGCCACGAAGCCAGGTGAGCCGGCGACCGGCGAGTTTCGCAAGGTCGACGACGTCGCCTCCGCATCAGTTGGTAAACGTGACGTGGGTGACGCGGTGTCCATGGGGACCGCCCCCAAAGACGCTACGGCACAAGTCGCCGTCGCGCCTGATGTGGGCAAAACGCCATCCGGTTCCAAGATAATGACGGGTTCCGGCGTGCAGCATGCCAATAAACCGGTGTCGGCCCCTATCGCTGCAAATGGCAAGGTCGCCAAATTCGATTGCATCCCACAAAACCTGACGGCTGGAGGTTATGGCATGCAAACATACAGCATGGGTGGTAGCCAAGATTCCACCTACGAGTACTTTCCAAAGGTAAGTTTTATAATGAGGCAAGAATCGTTGAATTGTTTATTTTTCTTTTGTTTTTATTCGGGGGTGGGATGTCGTCACAAACAATCCTACTAACACAATGAGCAATACATTTTACTCGGCGGCCTCGTTCCCAAATACCAGGCCATGCACGAAAAGGTGGTCGACGCAGTCAAGAAATATCTGCTTTACCGTCCGTTAATAAAGGACGACCGGGACATCCTGTTCTCGGCAAAGGTGTCTAGTCGGGACGGCACAGACAAAGATATGTCCTATAACTACGAAATCACACATTTGACCTGCTTCCTCGGAGGCATGTTTGCCATGGGCGGCCGTATCTTCAACCGGCCGGAGGATGTCGAGATTGGCGGCAAGCTGGCCGACGGCTGTGTCTGGGCATATGAAGCGATGCCTATGGGAATCATGCCCGAAGGCTCGATCATAACTCCGTGCGCAAACATGACAAACTGCTCGTGGAACCAAACTGCCTGGTACGAAAAGCTTGACCCCAACATTGCCTGGCGGACCAAGCAGTTGCTCGATTACGAAGAGCGTATGAAGACGTGGGCCAAAGAGAGGGACGAGATCGAGGAGTTGCAACGAGCGCGCGCCGAGGAGCTTGAGCGTGAGCGACAGGCTACTGCGAAAGAAGCGTTGGCCAACGAACCGTCATCGCCTGCGGATGAAGTAGGACTTGCGCCCGGCCCCGAAACTCCCGTTGGCACCGCCAACATTGGCAAGCGCGCAGTTGGCGGGGCCGACAAAACACCGGTCACGGCGGCAGATACAGTCGCTATAAACGAAAAAGAAAAGGTACTTCAGGGTGATCTAGACCTTAACGCTGATGCTGCCGCCGTGCCGAAGGCGGCCGCCCCTGCCAAGAAACCACTTCCCGAACTAGTCATCCCGCCCATGCCTGTACGCCCTGAAACGCACGAGGAGTTCGTTCAGAATCGCATTGAGCGCGACAATCTCGTCCCTGGCTTTGTCAGCATGAACGACAGGCGCTACATTCTTCGGCCCGAGGCAATCGAGTCGGTGTGGTACATGTACCGCATTACGGGCGACCCGTCGTGGCAGGAGAAGGGCTGGCGCATGTTCCAAGCTGTGATTCACGCCACGCGGACGGAATACGGCCACAGCGCCATCGCCGACGTCTTAACAGATCCCAAGGACGAACCGGTCCAGGTCGACAATATGGAGAGTTTCTGGTTCGCCGAGACGCTCAAGTACTTTTATCTGTTGTTCGCCACGCCCGATGTCATCAGCCTGGACGACTACGTCCTGAACACCGAGGCGCACCCTTTCAAGCGACCGACATAAACAGCCACCAGTAGTTGAAGACCAGCGCACTGGTGGATGGTCTACCGGGGATGTAGCATACGTGGGCGGAGGAGACGAGTAAGCATGTGGTGATTTACACAATACCCAGTTGGGAGGAGGATCGATGAAAGGGAAAAAGGCGAAGGAAGGGCTCGCCTGGAGTAGCGACTACCGATACGTTTCTGCATTGTTTGTTGGTTGGGCCTTTGCTTGTGTATTTTTTATAGTTTAGGGCGGGTTTTTGCTTGGGTTATTACCACCGAACCATGATCAATAGGCGTAAGGAGAATTATTTTGGTATAGAAGTAACAGCCAGGTTATGTTATAAATATTATCTTTAATCCCGGAACAAAAAAAAACTATGGTTGAACTCCAGGTTTCCACTTTTCGGTAACTGTAAAAAATGGTTTCTTTTCTCCGTTTCTCTTTTTTGTTTATTGAGAAAACGTAAGAATGAAATTAAAAGAAAGAAAAAGAACCAGAAAAATGGACATGGAAAACAGCCATGTTATAATGTTTTTTTAAAAAAAAAAATTTAAAATAAAAACGACAAAACGACAAAACGGCCAAAGAAAGGAGAAAACACAATCCGAAAGCCTTCGTGGCATGCAAATGGCTGCGCTCCGTTAATTATACAAAGTCGTTTACATCACCCTGGCGACTTGGCCACAACGCATAACAGTTTAAATAAGTAGCGATATTATCAGGTAAAAGGATCGTAATCTGTCCCTCTAAAGCAAGCAGACCTTTGCTTACATTAACTTGGCAGTATATCAAGTCACTACGATCGAAAAGATGCAGAATAACATGTTATTATTAATGATTATAAGCAAACAATGGTGATAATCGGTGTCGAGTTGCATTCCTATCTAAATATTCCCTTTCACTATTCTTCCTGTCACATCTCTCTCGGGTCTTCCCCGCTTCGGATGAGTTACATGCTAGACCCAAACTGCCTTCGTGTTTTATTATTATTCACTTGGCGTACCATTCATTTTTAGCCAGTCTTATGACTGCTAGTGGGAAAGGGGGGCCTAAAAAAATCGCTCTCGTTCGTGCAAACGCCAAAGTAAACAAAAACATATAACCGTCGCAAAAATAGACAAGCACAAAATCAAAACAGAACATATTGAAACCCCAAAATCCTGTTGTCTATATACATACATGTTGCCGTCGAGTGATATCAAATTTGGGGTCGCGTGGTAGGTCGCGCGGCGTTGACAGCCTGCAGCATCGTCGATTATAAGAAACGTCAACATGGACGAAGACTTGTGAGGTCTTCTCACCTCAAAGTCGTTTCCCATGGAAGCCTTCGTGCAGGTCATCAGATGGCCTATCCCACATCGTTTGCGGAGTGGCGCCGGTGGGTTGTGTCATAGTCGTCGTATTCGTTATCAAGCTTTTCAGTATGCGCTGTTTCGGCTTAAAGTTTTGCGATGCGGTGTTGTGGAACCGTTAATCGGCTTGTATTGATTTCGTTGGTGGTGTCGCTCGTTTTTGCCTCAAATTATTGAAGCTCGTGCTTGTATCCCGTACTCTCTCATTCAGCTATTGGACTCCCTCAGTCCGCCAGCTGATTCAGTACTCTGATACTCAAGATCATCACCAACAAGCCAATGGTCACCACGATAAGTAGGGCAAACGAGAACCAGCCCATTGCTATCGCGCTGGTACCGACACCCGACTTCACGCTGCCATTGCCGAGATCCTGGGCAATGATGCTGGCTGCTACTGATGCAGTATGTTGCCACAGCACAGACACGAGAATGAAAATTGATGCCACAAAGATAATGGCAAGGGAAATCTGCGAAACGAATCGAGACGGGAAAGGCTTTACCTCACGCTCGGAACCCTCGCTGTCTTCCTCCTCGTGCCAGCCAGGGAAAGTGGCTAGAAGCAAGAGGCAGATAAAAGCAAAGATAATAGCAATGATTCTGAATAGTGGGTGAGTATTTTCGATTTTGTAAACAGTGGGGTCGATCGCGGGTGGATTGGACAAAGAAAAGCCTTACATCAAGTACGGGAAGACAATCATGTCCTTGAACTGGCTGGCCAGCCAGATGAGGTTAAGCGGGTCCTGGTCCACGCTTACCTCGTTGGCCAGAGCCGTTGCGTTGTTCGAGCAAAGCCATGCGCCACCGTCAGGGTTCACACAAATGCCAAAGTAACCGACCCGGGCCTGCAAATGAGCGGACCCAACGATGCCACTGATGGCATTGTTAACACTGTAGTCTACCTGGGCGGTGCTGGGCGCGGCTGTGTAATGTTCGTAGTACAGCGACAGCAAGAAGATGCCTGGAATTAGGGGACTGGACGATGAACAGCCCGCGAGGAGGAGGGCTGAATATCAGTTGTCAGTATGAAACAATAGTAAAGAAAATGAGCAAATGAAGGAAGCGCTGTTCAGCTGGGGAACATGCGTACATAGTAGAATGATTGCCACGGCAATCAATATCATCAACACATGATGGTAGCCGAGAAAAGGTATGTATCCTATAATTTGTTAGTATTTCGTGCTTTGAGACTGGTTGGATAGGAATAAAAAAGGTGAGAGAGATGTAAGCAAACGGAAATGACTTACGGTACCACCCGACTTGGACAACGCCGCCTTGCGGCATGGCGACACGGATGCTGTGCCGACGTGCGCGCGCCGCCTTGGAATGTGGATATTAGGGGTGACTGTCCACCCAGAAAGCCACGCCGCACTCAATGACAGTAGGTGTCTTAGGGAAGGCTGTGCAGTGAATTCTTGTGGAATCGAGGCGCTTGTGCGCACGAGAAGAATGCGACCGATCGACTTGGGATTCCTATGGAACGGTCCCTTTTATGGCAGGTTGACTTGTGTTTCGGCTCGGCTCGCTCGACAGGAATGTGTGCCAACGGTGTTAGGCGATCGTGCAAGCAAAACTGGAGAATTGAATGTCGTCGGACAAAACCAAGAGCAATCAGCGAGATAGAAAGGGACAAGAGAGAGAGGAAATGAAGGGGAGGGATGGAAAGAAATAACCGGCAACGCTTGAGACCTAGAAATCACGATTTAAATACACTCTTTTCGTCAAAACAAATGATCGGGTCTGCTTGTCCTTGGGAATCTTTGTTTGAGAAGAGCACAAAAAAGCATAGATCGAAAGACGTGGTACGAAACGAAGACGAAAATGCGCGCGCGAGAGGGTAGCCAAGAAGACAAGGAAAGGTAAAAGTCGGAGACGAAACAGAGAGAATGGATTCAATGGGTGACCTGTTGTCGATTAGTCGAGACTTGGGAATGCAAAAAGGTGCAACTTGATAGTTGGCGATGGTTGGAATGTTCGAAGTATGTTTGAAGATGGTGTGAAAGAGAGAAAAGGCGAGAAATGGGAAGAGTGAAGAGAAAAGGAAAATGGAATGTGAAGGAGACAAAAAGAGGAGCCAGGCAGATGGACAATGACAAGAACTGGAAGGTACGCATGTGTTTCTCACTTTCTTGGAACGAGGGAATTGATTGCCTTGTCACTGAACAGTGCGTTGCCATGCAAAGTGTACTTATGGACGAGGTACCGGGTTTGGTCGCCTGGTCGTCGCTCGCTTGGCAACTTGCCAGGAAGGAGTCAATGGTCGGTTTTGTCTTGTTGCGCTGTCAGCCATACAAAAAGGGGCAGGTACGATACAAAGGAGCACATGGTGGCGGTTGCCGTGATGTCAACAATTGCTGGAGGTTGGTGTGTTGGCTGGGAAACGCGGTTGAAGCAGCACGACTTTTTGCGTGTAATACTGGAAAAGGCATGGCGTGGGGCGTGGCCAGCGCCGGGTTCTAGCCCCACCTTCCTTAATAGCTTTGGATGAGGGCTTATGTTAGCGCCACGGCGCCTGCCATTTTAGCACCAAAATACCCCTGTTCTGCACTGCTGGGCATCAAACCAGTGCAAATGGCTGGTGCGGCCCTTTGAGCTTGCCATTTTCCAGTTGCACCCAGCAACCACCACTCAGCCCCTCTCTGTACGAAACAAAAGATGGATATTTCGGATATTTGACTGTTGCATGAATATTCCCCTGCATGAATAGCTTGGCAGCCTGGTTACGTTTCCGTATGGCGACTTTCTTGACAATTTCCAAATACAAGTACGACATAGTGCTCGATCTCCCCATTGTTTTGGCCCCATTAATTGTGCTATTTTTATGATATCAACACTCACGATGCAAGATCGCCGTCTAAGATCTGCTATCTCGTTTATGAGATGATCGATTTGTCCTTTCATACAGCATACAAGGCAACCGTATTTGTCTTGAGAGAAAGTGACAAAATCGTAAATTTGACGCTATGTAGCTATATCCTTCGTCTCGAATGCAAACCCGATCTGCTTCCTTTCCAGAAGCGTCCTATGCATGTATCCTATCACTTTGCCAAACTGTTTTTACCGCCTCCGACGGAAACGGCTATTGAACCCAGACCCTCCCTTGGAACCGTTGTTGCGCAGCTTGAGGCGCTTGAAGTTGGCATGAGCCAGCTCGTTCACCTTGCGCACCGCCTTCTTCACGGGCCCATCCGGCTTGCCGCCCGTCTTCTTGTCGGCCGCCTTCTTGGTCGTCTTCACCTTGTCTGGGCCGTCCTCAGCGTCAGAGCCAAACTCGGAACCAGAGAGCGGCGCCAGACTGTCGCCTTCTCCCTTTCCGTCTCTCTTGCCTTCTACCCCGTTGTCGTTGTTGCTGTTGTTATTGACGTCATCCTCGGTATCGCTCGCATCGTCGGCCAATGTGCCAGGCGCAGGACGTTTCGTGCGCGTGGGGCGAATATTGACGCGACGTGTGGTCCGCTTTTGACCCTTTTTCTTGTAGACGCGCAGGGGCTGGCCGTCGCGACCGACTTGGTCTTCCGGTGCGCTGTCGTAGAGTCCCTCGTCGTCGAAGCCGCCAAGGAGGCGCGGGGGTTGTATGTTGTGGTCGCCGTCGGGCCTCAGCGTTTGTTCGTACTGCTCAAGCTCCTGTAGTTGTTGTTCGTGTAGTTGCTGTAGCTGGCTGTCCTCGACCTGGACGCCGTTTCCGACATTCGCAGGGCCGGTGGACGTCTTTGCTTGAGGAGGCGGAACTGCCGTCGTCGGCTTCGGCTTCGACGTTGGTGGCGGTGCGTTCATATCCATGCTACTCTCTAGATCCCGCAGCACGTCGAGCTGCTCGTCGAGCTGTTCGTCCTCGGCCTTGCGCAGGCTTGCCAGGACGCTGCTGAGGCCACGCACGAGCGGTTTCCGCGGCAAGCGCAGCTTGTTTGGCGGCGACATGAACTCGCCGTTCTCGTCGACGGGCGGCAGAGCCGAGGATGTGCGGCGAAGGAACGCGGGCGTTGCAAAGGACTGTTGCGCGCTGTTGTCACCACTGCCCTTGGAGGGCGTCGCCAGAAGCTGCTGTTGTGTCATGTAGTTCTGGTTGTCGTTGTTGCGTGGTTTGAGTGGTGTTGTGCCCAGCACATCACTCCCGTCGCGCGCCCCTGTCCCCATGCTAGTCGCCAAGGCTGCGGGGACTCCGCCGCCAGCGGTGAAGTGATTGAGTAGATTTCTCCGACCAGAAGACATTGGCGTGCGGCTAAGCCGGCGGGCATTCACGGTGCCGTCTTCGTCTTCGTCGTCGCTCTTGCCATGGTCGATATTGAGCGTTTGTTTGCGAGGTGTCGCGCCGAGCAAGGCGGTAGTGGCTGGTACCGCCAGTTGTCCAGCTCCCGGTGCTCCTGTAGTCGCCTGCATTACTGTTGTTGTCCGTTTTGAGGGTGTGGCCTCGACGGCATGTCGTTTCTGGCGCTTCTCTTCCTCCTCGTTGAGCACATCAAACAAACCGAGGACGCGGCCGTCTCGCTGCGGGGTTGGGCCAATGGAGGTAGGAACGACAGGGCTAAAGAGTTTGCGCGAGATAGAGGGCGTCATGGTGAGGTGTGTGTCGAGGTAGCCAGCACCGCCCTGTGTCGGTGTGGCGGCCGGCGCGGCGCGAGAGGGTGTTGCTCGCGTGACGGTCGCGCGCAACCGCTTTGAGGGGGTCTGTATGCGTTGTGCAGCATCGGTTTCGTCAGCAGGAGCTGCGGTTGACGATGGAGCTGTGTGTTTTCGTTTCCGCCGCGCCTCGTCTTTCTTCGAATTGGATGTCGCCGAGGCTTTGCCGGAGAGAACAGCACGGGTGTGGTTGTATGCCCTGTATTTTTTGGCTATCAGGTCAACACCAGCGAGAAAAACAACAGAAGCGCCATGTCATTTCTCAGACACAAACTCACCAATGTCGGGATTGCGGGAGATGTCTTCGCGGGCCGGCTTTGCACCGCCGTGCTCGCGTGCCCAAGTCGTTTCCCATGTTTTGAGAGCCAAGCGCAGCTGTTGCGACTCGGCCTCGTATGTTGCTCGTACGGCCTCGTCGAGCATCTTGGCGCGAGCGTAGAAAGGAGTATGTGTTTGTGTATGTCGTGTTATCGTAAGTTGTAGTTTGGCGAGGGCGGGTGGGTGTAGGAGGAAAAAAGTAAGGAAAGAACGTTCTCTGCAGTATCTCAAACTGGGACCGAATTGCAGAATGGGCAGTTCACTTCCAATTGTCGTCGCTGAGGAAGAACGAACGGCAATTTACGCGTAAGGAGGCTGTATGTCTGACAGCTGCAATGACGCGCTCTTGGGCGGGGCACGCGTATTGCTTTGGTGCGCGTCTTGACAAACCTGGGAGAGGCGGTTTTAGCGGCCTGTGCCTTGCGCGGTACGCTAACCCCACTGCCAAAGCCTGGCATTGTTCTCGGCCACTAAAAAGTGCTAGCGCCAACAAAGGGCGGCTGTCACCGATTTATGCCCTGAAGATCGGCGTTGGACATGTTCATCATTATACATTGTCATCCTGGCCGTCCTGGCTGTCTAACATATCGTTATGATGTTTTTGAGTAATCAGGTTGTACACTGGTATCTTCTGGGGGTGTCTATATAGACTGTTGAAACTCTTGAAAATAGTGACAGAACGAAAGAAACGCAAGATAGGAATATGACGCTCCACCGTGGTCGGAGACCATGGCATTTCGATAGTTGTGGAAAGGTTTGCAATAAAGATTTTGGTCTTACTATTCACCAAGACGCATGCTTTGGACTGCAGGGCTTTTCATAAGTACCCGAAGGTCAAGTACAGTCTGGCTGGTGTAAGGATAACATCGCGCGTCAGTGATGATGCTTAGTAAACGACCCAATGTGTGGGCCATCGGAAACTCGAAGCGAGTTTAGAAGCGTATGCAAATAAAAGAATAGTAAACACGGCTTTGACAACAGTACACACTATTAGACGTAATATTAGTTGACTGGTCGCACACAGTGTTGATTGTTGGCATCATGACTATCATTTTGGCCTCCGGATTTAGAGATCTCTGAAGACGCACTCGGTAGTCCGGTTGACAGATCACAAGGTCGAGATGAAAAGATCGGGGTACACACGAGACGAGTAGGCTCATGCGAGCACGTCGAGAGACATCCAGCCAAGGGACGATGTTCGGTTCACGGAAATCACAGGGTCGGCATGCCAGCCGAATTCGGGCACTGGCTAGCCTTCAGTTGACAAGCTTTGGCCGGCAGCGATCTCGAGGCGGAGTCGAGCATTGACCAAGTTGAGAGAGCGACCATGAGTACCCAGCAGCGCATCAACCTCAGGTTTGCACGATGCGTCGTCGGTATAGCCACACACGTCATCCAGAGACGGCTGGCGTCTGGTATGCGTGGGGCGATCTTTGGGGGTGGATTCTTGTCGACGTAAGCGTTCAAGGGTGCAACATGAACTATAACTCGAGACGACGGTGTTTGTACGGAGGCCATTGTATGGAGCAGTCGCTTGCCGTTGATAACTAGAACCTGGTTGGAACAGGCCGCCTCCTGAGTAGCTTGGCGATCCGAAGATCCGTCTTCGCGTCTCAAACCCAAAGACGACCGTCAGGGCTTGGCTATGCGCAGATGCGCTTGATGTGGGTTTAAAGGAGAAGAGGACGTGATGGTTTTGCAGTGAACTGCATCTGTCGCTGCGTCTATGGACCCGAGTGGCATTGGAATCTGACACGAGTCAAGGGGGACCTTCTTCAAAACACAGCCCAATCCAGCAACTAAGAACGGGGGATGATGATATTGCTGGGGTAAGGTGTACACAGTACGGCGTGTCACGACGTATGGTGGCTGGAAATAATAGAAACAAAAATGCCATATGACACAAACGAGAGACAAAGACCGCTAATAACGATCAGCCACGATGTAGACGTCATTACGAAGTGCAATTGGTATTGGACGACATGAAAACGTAAGACGGAAAACGAAGAGAAGGAGGAAAAGAAATAGAAAGACGAGGGTGTGGGAGCAGAAAACATCGTTTTGGAATAAGAGAGTCTACAAACACGAAGATGTCGCCGCCTCTTACGACAATTACTGCGTCGACATTTCAGCAACGCAAGGAAGGCTCGACTGGGCACGGGTTTCCAACCCCGGTCGCTCTTTCTTCGCAAACCGGGGGGGCTCTTGGAACGTCTCGATTGTCGCAACCCCGTTTTACCATTTTTTTTTCGTGTTGTGTTTGTGCTCTCTTCTTTTTGAAGTTCTTGGCCACACTAGTTCTCCCACGAGCCTTCTGCAGAAGGTTGACAGCGTTACATCTCGTCGCCCAATGTAGATAAGCTCATGGGAGGGTCCGACAGTCTGGAGCACAGCATGTCAAGGAGGTGCGTCAGGACTGCAAGCGGAAAGAAGAGACCGACGTCGACGTTTCACACATCAGGCAGGCGCTTCCGTTCGTTCTTGCTTTGTCGGGCGCGAGTCACTCCTCACACCAATGCCCAATCCTCACACTCCCTCATAATTGACCAACAACAGACCAACCCCGTCCGGTGCAGCGACCGCACCACACCCTCCGATGAAGCGAGCGTCCCGGGACAGGGCCCGCATTGATGGCGACAGAGTTTGACAGGCCAGGCCTTTGATGGACGACGATGTGAGGACGATCTGAGTCTCTGACACTTAAGACGGATCCCTTCTGATCCGTCTCTCGCGACCCAGGGCGAAGGCCAGGATGGGCCAGGAGACAGCAGAGACACAGGACGAAACCCTGGTTGACAGGCACGCACTGCCTGCCTGCGTCCCTGCTCCCCGGCCTGCCGGATTGTTCAGACAACGTCGTCTTTCTGTCTCCTGTTCTTGTTCCGCCAAGCCTGTTTGGTGATGGGCGCTTGCGGCGATCTACTTAAGCCATGATCTCCCTCTTGTTTTCGTCTCGTCTCTTCTTTTTTTGCCCTTTCTTCATCACGCTCGCAATCTTTTCCATCGTGCCCAACTTCAGTCTTTCTCTGTTCTTTCTTTTCTACAACAGGTTCTGCGAACCGTTTACTTTCATTTTCACTCCTTTTGAAACCCAAACTCTTGCAACCAACTCCCGGCCGGTCCTCTTGTTTTTCAACCTCTTCAATTCTTTCCTTGACATCACGAGCTCGTTTTCGAACACTCATTTCTAAATCTGTATCCATCCTGGTTTATACATCTTTTGTTTCTTGTATATCGATCCACCTCTCTTTTCAAAATGAAGTACTCCGCTGCTGTCCTGGTTGCCGGCCTCGGCCTGGCCTCTGCTGAGGGCGACGTTCTTCGCCTTCGTGAGGTGCCTCAAGAGCACTCGCACAACCGTTTCCTCGACCTTGTGCGCGCGTCGCTCAGCACCAACAATCCCCAGAAGATCCAAGATCCCGTCTTCGGGCTTCTGGGCAACGCTGCTGCCGCTGCCGGTGCCGGCTCCGTTACCAACCTCGACTGTCTGCAGCAGGCCACGGCCGACCAGGCATTCACCAACGCCAAGGCCGCGGGCGACATCCCCGGCATGGCTGGTGCTCTGCTGTACCGTGCCATTGAGCGCAACACGGGTTCTGTCGGCCTGGCCAGCGTGATCTGCAATGAGACGGCCGCCAACCCCGAGATCCAGGCTGTCTCGCAACACCAGGACCCCGCCAGTGCCAACGCTGCGACTGTCAACAAGGGTATCACGCTCGCCCTGGCCAAGCAGCTTGCCGCCATTGGTGCCGACCCGCTGCTGGCTCTGGAGAGTGGTACCTTTGCCCCCGGCAAGGTGGGCGACCCGACGGCCGCTGGCAACACGTGCGATACCGAGAACGATGAGCCCGGCTGTATTTTCTCGGAGAACCTGCTGGTTCTCGACGCCAGCGAGGCCGAGATCAGTTCCGCCGTCGCCGGCATCACGCCCACCATCACCGGCACTGGTGTTATCCGTGCCACTGACATCGACCTGGCTAAGCTGGCTGTTGCGACTGGTGCGGCTGGTGCGGCTGGTGCGACTGCCGCCGCCGGTACCGCTGCTGCCTCATCTGAGGCCGCCTGCGCCGGCACCACGCGCACCGTTATTGCCACTGTGACTGCCGCTGCTGCCACAGCCGCCGGCCCCTCGTGCAGCACCGTGGTCTCGACCGTGGCCGCCGCCGAGGCCAGCGCCCTTGTCGGCAAGCGCCAGTCGCCCCTGCGCCGCTCCCGTCCTCAGCGCCGCGCCGCTCTTGACTTTGGCTCTTGCGGTGCCCCGACTATTCTCTTCGAATCTGGTCTCGACGGCCGCAACACCGAGGCTTTCATTGCTGAGGACCAGACCGACTTCAACCACGGCTCGGCCCTGAACATTGCCGTCATTGCCGGCTTCATCTGCCAGCGCCTCGGCTCCTCTTGCAACGCCGCTGCCGACGCTCAGGCCTCGTGCACGGCTGCTTCGGCTGCCGCGGTGGCCACGACACAGAACCAGGCTGCTGCCGATGCCTTCAACAACGCCCTCGGCCTGGGCAGCGGTGTTACTGCCGCCGCCGGCAACGCCGCCTCTGCGACTGCCTCCTCTGTTGTCGTCACTGTCACGAAGTGCTCATAAGCAACACGGTGGTGTTTGAAATAAGACAGATCGGATCGACGCTGGTCTTAGCTGTGACAAGATTTAGGGGACGAATATAGGACAGGTGTGCGGACTGGCACTAGAGTCAAGACGAAAGTGCATTTGTATGATTAGCCGCTCTGTAGGGTATGGCTGTTATGAAAATAAAACCATAAAAGGATGCGTCGTTATTGCCGCTCACTCCTAAAACAATATTCTGTCTTGCCTTGCGATTTTCGTGGATTTTCTCAGATTCAATTGTGCCTTTGCTTATTTGTTTTGCAGATCAGATCGTCCTGTCCCAGTTCGATATCCTCCGTTCTATGATTGTCGCGGGCCTGGAAGTCATCGCTGTGGGGTTATGATACTTGCCCTAGTGCAAATGGCCGAGCCAGCTGCTGTCTACCAACACCTGTCGCGTGCGCTGATAGGTGGTAAACTCGCTAATATTGGTCGATTTTGCCTCTGTTGTTCACAGCCTTGTTAACCTCTTGCCAACACTTCTTCTCGACAACACCTTCACACTCCGCCGTCACCACCTTTTCGGAATGTCCACTCTCCCGCCGACAACAAACACATGGCTGCTGACTTTATGACGCCATGGACGCTGAAGCGGAGAGCAGGCTGTCCATGATGGAATCTGGTGAGGAGAGATCCAAGGTGACGCTCGAAGCAAGGCCGGCAACAGCGTCTGCCACCACGACCAGCACCCCTTCCTCGCCGTCCTCGTCGACCGACCGCTGTGTAATCTGCCTCGATACCATCGCCGAACACTGTGTCGCGCAGCCCTGCGGTCACCGCGACTATGACTTTCTCTGCCTCGTCAGCTGGCTGCTACAGCACAAACCGTCTTGCCCTCTATGTAAGGCTGCTGTGGACGCTGTGCAGTATGGAGATGACTTCACCAAGACTTTCTCTGTGCCAAAGAAGGCCGAGAGCAGTTCGGGGGCAGAGGCGGCAGCCTCGGAGTCGGTCTCGACCCAAGCACCCTTGTCCTTGTCGGCGGACTCCCGACCACCGCGAACACGACCTCGTCGCCGTCCTGCACCCGCTACGTCATCCTCCTCGTCCTATATCTCTTCTCCGTCCCCGGAAGCCGCCCTCGAGCGCCGCCGTCATGTCTACCGTCTCGGCCTCTACGCCCGACACGTCGGCGCCAACCGCCACTCGCGGTACTACCGCGAGCTCACGCCGCAGCTGTTTGCGCAGGACCCGGACCTCGTGTCGCGTGCGCGCGCCTTTTTGCGCCGCGAGCTGCAGGTGTTCTGGGCGGACTGGGGGGCGCAAGGCCAACGCGACGAGCGACCCCACGCTCCATCCTCCCGATCCTCCCGATCCTCCTGCCGCACAAACAACGTCGAGTTCCTCCTCGAGTATATTGTGGCCATCCTGCAGAGTATCGATCTGCAGGACAGCGCCGGCCAGGCCGAGGAGCTGCTGCAGGGCTTCTTCCGCAGCCGCCGCGATCATACGCGCCACTTCTTGCACGAGCTGCGCAGCTTCTTGCGGAGCCCCTATCTGACGCTCGCGAACTGGGACCGGCACGTACAATACAGTCCACTGGCACGGCTCCCTGTACTAGGAACAAGAGACGACAACGAGGAGGAGGGCGGCGAAGCAACAACTACGGAAGACAACAAGCATGTTGCACGGCCCACGCTGCGGGGTGACTATTGGCGGCCGCCGTCGCGACGACGCCGAAGCGGTAACAGCAGGGCTACCGGTGTCACGTCCAGAGCATCGCGGCAGCGTCTTGAAGAAGCCTGCCGTCGCTACGATCCGAGTTAAGCGCATTTATCAAGAAGTCCCAAACCAAGAAGCCAGAACCCGACGCTACTTACGACGAACGACGCGCCGGAACAATGTCCTCCTCCGAAATTGGGCGTAACACAGAACCCACAGTACAAAGCATTCCTTGCAACATTCCTTACAATGCCTAACGACAAGGCCAAAAAACGCCTCGAGGTAGGTGACTGCTGCGGCTGCGGCAGGCACTGACAATCCTGCAGGCCTCGCTCGAATTCGGCTCGATCTCAAGGTCGATCAGACTCGCTAAAGAAATGAAGGCGACTACCATCTGACCATTTTTTTTAACAAGCTTGCCCAAGGTTCGAGTATGACCAAGCTGCCGGACTCTTTCCCTAATCTCACTCGCATTTGCCAGACAAGGTTGCAGAGGTCCAGAATCTTACGCTGCGGGATGAGCCGTATTACCATAGACGTCTTACAATACTCCTAGACTAGAAGACGATGCACATCAAGACAGTGTATATAGTTGTTATAAATTCAAAATTGAAGGTTATCCGACATGCACTAAAATACTACTCCATACTCCCGTCAGTGATTCCATGGTTTTCCCGTCTGCAGGTGTTTTGACGCTTCGGCCGAAATTGATTGGTAAGTGTGTCCAGAGAATCGCGCAAAATTAGACAAAAGGGCATTTGGTCGCAGGAGGTTGGCTGTAAAAGTCGCTCTATTTAGTGACGCTGTCGCCTAAAGGGCAGCGGCCAACCACGGGCGGCAATGACTTCCCGATGTCTTTCTTTGGACTCTCTCCGAGCTTCTGCTTGGAGGTAGCGGTGGAGTTAGTTTGCCTGTTTCAGCGGTTCACCACCAGTGGCGTCATATTTAGTTGCCGACGAGGGCAGGACGACCGCACCAAGGGACCAGAGCTTTTGGGGAGCGACCTTAAAATATATTGATACTTAACAGTGTCGATTGTTGCTTTTTGTTTTGTCCTCTCTGCATATACACACATTACCAAGCAGCCCAGCACCTATCAAAGCATCACCACATCATCGCTTCATCGCAACCATGTCGACCATCAACGTCAAGATCATCTCGGATGTTGTCTGTCCCTTCGTAAGAACCCCTTGTACCTTTATTTTTTGATACCCCAAGTTGCTGCACAAGCCATCCATAGGGCATAACACGAGACCGAACCGGACTGCTAACAAGTTAGTGCTATCTCGGCAAGAAGCGCCTCGAAAAGGCCATCGACGTCTACAAAAAGACCGTCCCCGGTGGCGCCGACGACCGCTTCGACGTGTCCTGGCAGCCCTTCTACCTCGACCCCAACGCCCCAAAGACTAGCGTCCCGACCAAACAGCGCTTGGCCCAAAAGTTCGGTGCCGACCGCGCCGAGGCCCTCAACGCCCGTATGCGGGCCATGGGCGCCGCCGAGGGCATCAACTTCACGCATGAGGGCAAGGTTGGCAACACCCGTGACGCCCACCGCATCATCCAGCTCGCCAAAACCCAGGGTGCCGACAAGGAAGACTCGGTCGTCTCCAGCCTGTTTCGCTCCTACTTCGAGGAGGGCGGCGACATCACGTCGCATGACGACCTGGCAGCTGCGGCTGAGCGTGGCGGCCTTGACGCTGCGACGGTTCGCGACTGGCTCAGCAGCGACAAGGGCGGCACTGAGGTCGACACCTCGGTCAGCGAGGCCTTCCAGCACGGCGTGCACGGCGTCCCGCACTTTATCATCAACGACAGCGCCGAAGTCAGCGGTGCCCAGGACGTCCAGACTTTTGTGGGCGAGTTCCTGCGCGCCAAGAAGAACGCGTAAGGGCGGGTATGCCCGGTTGTGCCGAGCGACAAGTGTTTGTTCCTTCTCTTCGTCGTGTATTTCTCGGTATTCCACATTCCATATTTCATATTTCATATTCCCGCTTTCCCCGCCTCACATGTTGAGCAGGCCGCCTAGGTCTTTGTCCATAGCACGTAGCCGCTCCTGAAGCTCTTTTTTCTTGCGTTCAAGTTCCCGAATCTCATCTTCTTCGTGCCGGAGATCGTCGTCCGTCAGTCCGTCGGCAGCCGCTGGTGCAGCGGCTGCCATGGACATGTTGTCGTCGCCGTCGAATTCCCCTTCGCCGCCCCGTCGGTCGCGGTTCATACCCTCAAGCCGCTGTGCTTGCTCCGCCACTTTGGCCTCGTAGTAGGTGAGCGTGCTCGTCTGCTGTGCGTGCTTCTGACGCAGAACAGGGATCCGTTCCAGCGCGCCAGGCAGCGCGTACACCGTGCACAGCTTCTCGGCACCCTTGAGGAGAATGTTGACGTCGACGTCGCCGCCGCCACCGCCACCGCCACCGCCATTGCCGCCACCAGTTCTCCGCCCGATCTGTGCATGGAGGTCTCCGCCCAGTACGGCCGCTACAGCTGTCTGCCGCCGCGGTGCAGCACTTGGCCGTGCCGACGGCGGGCCCGTTGTAACTTCGCCGGCTGCTACATTGAAGACAGTCTGGCGCCGCTTGGAGGACGACGCCGCGACTCCTGCCCCAGAATCGCCTGCCCCAGACACGGCCGTAGAGGGTGCGTCGGCCGGCGTCGTCTTGGCTGCCGGAAGTGGTGCCGGTACCGAAAAGAGTGCTCGCTCATGCGCCTCTGTGTCGCGGATGAGGCTGGTGATGTCGTCGTTGTAGAGAAGCGCGTTCGTAAACACCTTCGGCGGCGGAAATCTTTGCAAGGAAAGCCGTCTGAGCGTCAGCAAAATTATTACAAAAGTAGTGCACAATAGCACGCGAGCAAACAGTCTAGTCAACAAATATCGAGAGAACAATAAAAAAAAAAAAAGAAGCTTTTTCACTTACGGCAGGCTGCGTATGCCTTGGCAGGACACCGAGATCTGGTCCAGATGGACCATAAGATGCGACATTTTTAAAGTTTTGTTCTTTGCGTGTCTTGTTGCACAATTGTGGCCGTAGTTTCGTCGTGTTCTTTGATATGCTCAATGTTGACGATGTGTGACGCGGTTTGACGCGCTGCCAATTTGCACTCTGGGCTGACTGCGAAGTAAATACGACATAATGCCAGCCAAAAAGCCACTGGCTGCCCCGCATTGTCCAATGATGCGCACATCCCTCGTCCTCAGAGGTGTATTTACTTCCCCACTTTTCGAGAACCAGTCCATGGCTGACCGCCTTCTGCTGCGAACTTCACTTCCCAACTGCCCGAGCGATTCGAGGCATGCACGCAAGCGGGGTCTGTATGCATCAGCCCTCACAATGCAGTGCTCTCGGCGTCGCTCTTTCTCTTTTCGTTATTTCTCGAAAAAGACGGCTGGTCGCTTGCACTTTCTTGCCCAATCCCGAACTAGCGTCGACTTCCGCCATTCACTCCTTCCTTAGTTTTCGTTGTTCTTACCGCAGAAGCCGCCACCAAAAAAATAAAAATAAAATAAAATAAAGGATAAAAAAAAAGACAGAAAGCGGCTGCTACAGCACGTTGCCCGCCCACGAAGACTTGGCGATCCAAAAAGCTGGTTTCATTATCTTGCGCAGTATTCAATATTGCAATACTAGCTTTGGAGATCTCGTTCCTTCCTTGCCTCGCTTGCCTTGTCTCTTATGAAAGACCAAGCAACGCCCTAACTCTTTCGTTCCACTTATCTTTAACAAGGCACGCCCCGAAGAAGAAGGCAGCACCGTTGGCCTCGTTGACGCTATGTGAGTACGTCGTACGGTAATACATGTTTCTTAGATTGGAAGCGACGACTGTCACAAATGCCGACGTAGAAACCCTCCCCAAATTTTTGTTCTCATCATCTCCCTTTCTCCTTTACCTATCTACTTGTTTCTCTCCATCTCCACAACTCGCAGCCTTGCCGTTAGGCCAGAACACGTCCAGCACGGCGTCCACGTCGTCAACTGCAGCCGCACCCGCTCGGCGGGTTCTTGCCTTCGTCTCGCCCCTCTCCTGCCAATCGCTTCTAAACCGTCCTTCTTTCAGCTTCCCGTTCTTCCCTGGTGCAATCGTCCGCGGCCAATCTATCCCTCTCTTCCAGTCCCTTGTGTCTGTTCAGGCATCAAATTAAAGCATCGCCGAAACGTGGTCGGGAGGCGAAAAACGAGGGTAGCCTATCCGTTCCGACACGCCAGCGGGTCTATTTCATGGACATTGCTGCCCAAATCGCCTTCTTTTTCTGTGCCAGCTACGGGCCCGCGCCTGGTTCATGATGCAGCCGCTCTAATACGGCATACAGTGGACTCTGTCGTTGAACGTTGGATAAGGTTCCACCTCAAGTTGAGGTCCTCAACTCGTCCTCCTTGTTTACCAGCATTGTCATTGCATTTATGTCCTTATCGTCCGTGCCGAGTCGGGCACAACAAAAGAACAGTTGCAAATTCATCATGACTCTCGATGAGGTCCCAATCTGCATTGGATCTCAGAGGCCCTAGGAGACGAAAGATTGGGGCCTTTCTTGCTGCTCTTTGTTGGAGTTAAAAATGTAAGTTGCAGGTGCTTTTCCCCTACCCATGTGGCATAGCCCATTGCCCATCCTTAGTTCCCTCGCTATCTTGTCTTTCCTGCCTTGCCTGTTGCAAATCATTATGAACTCCCCATATCGATACTTGCAGCCTATCCCAGCTGTATTTCATGTTAATTGTCACTCTGTTACTGTCTCCCTCGCACTTGTCCCGGACCGTCAGAGCACACGGCAACGCGAAAGGCGTCACAATCCCATTGGCATCCCAATCCGTTTAGTCTCATTTGCAACATCCCGGTAACCAGCTTACTCTACTCTGCGTGGCACTCTCAGATTGTCAACTGCCGCTCAGCCTCCGTATTTTCTCACAACTCGCCAGTTAAGAAAAAAATCAATTTCCTCCATAATCATTTATTGATTCAGCAACTAGTCCTGTACTTGCTGCGTCTATTTTATTTTATTTTTATTTTACTTTTGCCCCCAGCGCAGCACACTCAATCGCCCTCGCTCACGTTCCGTGGCGCCGTGTCTAACGTGCTTACAACTTGCATCAACACGACTTCTGCTCCCCCCTCTCACCCCTCCCCCATTCCTTCGGGCTGGTCTGCAGCTTCCCCCTCCATCACAAGCGGCCGACACGAGCCAGTCAACTTGCCTTTCTCTTGTGTTTGTGTCCACTCACCCGCCGTGATAGCTGGCTGTCTTCAATGTCCTTGTCCCAGGATCAACAACACCGGTTGCGTCAGTTGCAGTAGTTGCAGAATACCTGTGGATTGCAGCGCGCACAACATCAACCGGTGTACTCGTCAACACGAAGCACCCCAATGCCCAAAATTTCGCAAACAAGAACTGACCACTCAACAATGCACGGCTCAGATCTGACATCTGCAAGCCTGTTCGCTTTTGTTCCCAAGCCCGCACCCACATCTACATCCACCCCCGTCGCCGCCCATCTTCCAAAAAAGCATCTTGCCTTCCTTTGCCCACCCATAACGCAACCTGACGGCTTTCGTTCAAACTCGACCCTTGCACTCCTTTTGCTTTTAAATACTTATGTTTCCTTCCATTGTCTTCCCTAGTGCAATGCGCCTCATTCTCTGCTGCTCGCCCCATCTCCGAAAGTCAGTCTCCTTTGAGTCTGCTTAGGTACTGAGGTCGTTTTTTTCCGTTCCTACAACTTCCCTTTCTTATTCATCCTGCCCCGGTATGTTCTTGCTGCGCGAAATCCTGCATTCATACTTGGCACTAAATATATCATGACAACCAACCAGAGCTCAATACTTTCGGCTTGTTGGAGGCTCAAACTTCGGGTGCTAGATCCCTGATTTCTTCGCATTTCATTTTCGTTTATCTTTTTTTTGTTCTTTGGACGAAACCACCTCACTTTTTGCCCTCTTCTCTCGCTCTCCCTAAGTCTTGCCTTGCCGAGCAACGCCGGCCTCTACAATACCCTCACCTCCAGCACTGTCATCTCTGCCACTGCATAAAGCCAACGGCAGGGTATATGCATATTTGCACACGAGCACACACAAAAATTCACAAAATCCCCCCACATCACTCGTGATAAGCGGTGATCCCATACCTTTGAGATAATTTATGGTTGGCTCCCAGTCCAGAAAGTGGTGTCAAAATATCTCTACACAGGACCGAAAGGCGATACCGGAAAGAATTTCAGCACACAAAGGCATTTTTGATTCTTACTTTATTGCATACAGCTACTCGACTTCTCGGAACTCGAGCAGGAGGACATTGGAAAGAGCAAAGGGTTCCTGCACTCCGAAGGGCCTGTTTTAGTTCTTGCCCACGAGACGGCATTCGGATCCTTCACAGTGCCCGGCCGGCCAAGTCAGCCCATCGTCTCCCGTCTTTGAAGTCGTCGCCGATATTGGTGATCATATCTTATCCGCCCAATCCGGTCTTATAATGTCTCGCACAATGGATCTAGTCTCACCGCCGGAAACACCAAGTGTGGCTTCTCCTAGTGGCCGGCAACCTGCTACCGGGCCTCACAATCAACCTCACAGCATACACCACGCGATCTCATCGTCACCGCGATACCCTGGGCCCAATGGCCTGGGTCCTCGCGTTTCCATCACTCCAAAAGCTGTTAGCACAAACAGAATAAACGAACTCTCATTCCGGGCGTCCTCGGCCCGGCCGGACAAGCAATTACCACACTTGGCCGGCTCTTCCATAAACGGCATCACTGGTCACAATCTGACTACCAAAGTTGAGGATGCTGATGATGCGGACGGCGATGACGACGAGGATCAGTCGGACTCCGACTCCGACTCGGTAACCAGTGGCAGCATCTCGAAATCGTCGAGCTCGGCAGAATTGTCAAGTCCACCAATAACGTCACGACCAGCACCTCTCCGGCGGCGGGCGGGCCGAACGAGCGGCTCAGCTTCTCCAGCATACACGCCTAGAGAATGCAGAGTAAAATCTAGCGAAACAAGACGCCCCTCTTTTGGCGGTAATGCAACGCAATTTTCGACACGCCTGCTTGTTGTTGAGGCAGCCTTGGTCATCGAGGAGATCAGCGACTTCGACAGCGATAACGGCCGTATCCAGGTCATTTTGCCATACGAAATCGAGGAGGCGGAGTCGGAGCGTGAAAGAACACCAGACCCAAATCATAACCGAAGCGGAAAGCTTAACGCGGGCAGGGCACAGCGTCGGCGGTCCTCTGCTCGCCTGTCCCGCCTTCCCGAAATTGATCGAAGCGTCATGAGTGGTCTCCGAGGATTCTCATTTCGAAACGACTCAGACGAAGAAGCACTGATTGACGAGGACGAAGAGGATGGATCTGATTTTGACGAGAATGCTCACAATCTCTTCCGCCTCAAGCAACGTGCTGAGAGGCGTCGGCGTCGTATGACCTCTGGAAGCATAAGCAAACGTACAATAAGTGAGAGCATTGGCAGCGACACGGACAATGAAGACCTCATGGCAATGCTCGATGAAAGTGAGGTCGGCTCGAGTGCCCGTCGCCTACGACGCCGCATCGGCGACCGCCACAGCCTACAGTTTCAAGATCCTCCTCCGCCTCGAATTGATGAGCTCGAAGAGCCAGATACGAGCGATAACGAAGACGACGTCAAAGAGTTAACTCGGGATGGTGAAACACTGGCGCGGGAGCTCCCATACTACACCCTGGAATACATCAGCATGGAGGTCGATTCCCCATGATTATTCCACACTCTGGTCAACTTTTGTCGGCAAAAAAAAATCCGACTGGCTCCAAAGAGAGAGAACGGACGCATTGCTATTTCACGTTCCCAATTGGCCTTCAACTAATCATAATGCGAAGCGCTCTGCATCGCAATATACCCGTTTGAACTGTAGTAGCAATCGTGTCTAATCTCGTGACCATCTTCTCATTCCTCCCGTATCGTTTACCAACCGTCTATTTCCATTTTTCCTATTGCTTCCTTGCTACCTTTTATCTCGAGCAGGCGGTTTTGTGTGGGAAGCGTAACTACTGCCACTTACATGTGTTCTATTTTATCTTTCCTTTCTTCCCTTTTGTTCTAACACTTCTTTTGATTTGGGCTAATTTTCGGCTTTGATACATAATGCGTGCTGCGTGGCCGCAATTCCATGTCATTTTTGATGTGACGGAGTTGTCCCTTGCATTATTATTGAGTTTTGTCCTTTTTCGACAAATGGGTCCCTCGTCTCCCCTTCCTCAACTTGTTTCATTTCCCAGGGCTCTTTTTCTCGTCCTTACCCATTTGATCATTTCTTTCGCCTTTCTATTTCCCTTTCTCTTCTAATTCATGTTCGTGATGCAAAGATACCTCATAGAATTGGGATACGGCGTCCTCGGACACTGCGTTGTTACTTGGCCACTGGACGTTACGGACTTTTTAGATAGCCTGTTTTTAAATTACCCAAAGCCTGTTTGCTTCTTCATGCAAACAAACTGTCCTCTGGTGATAGTTGTATGTCGAACTGATTGAATTATATGCCCGCACAGCACAAAATCAACCCAGAAACGTACGAGACTCTAAAAAACTGTAAATAACCAAAGATTTTGATACTTACAAATATTTCCTGGCAAAAGAAATATCTGACATATTGACGCATCAAAAAAAGAATACAAATTCAAAGAGTGGTGTCAACGAGGACGATATATGCATATATGCATGTACCCGACATAATATGATGTGGCTGGTGTGTGGCGCATGTATTTTTTAAGCGGCGACCGCGTTTCCAACCTCGACATCCATCGCCATCCGTTTCCAATTTACCGATGACCAGTTCCGCCATTAATAGATTCTTGCTTTCTCATTGTCTGGTCTAACTGAACACTTCCGTTTATCCAAGCTGGGCGACGGTTCGAGCGTCGTTTTCGCTCATACCGGTTGCAAACCTGCGCACGAATTGCGACACTACCCTTGCGACCGAGAACTTTGTCATCAGTGACATTAGTTGTACGACCACAGAGTACAAGTTTTGTTTATCAGTTCCTCCTTCCGTTCTTCGAATATACCATCCATTTCACCTACGATGAACCAAGGCAGCCCGCAACAGACCGGCGCCGGCACCCCCGGTGCCTCCAGTGTACCGATGCAGCAATCATCGTCCCAGCAACAACAGCAGCAGCCCGTCATGTATCGGCCCGAGCAGATGCGCACTATTAAAGAATTGACGCCCCAGGAACGTGGCAAATACGAGAATGGTCTTCGCGTGCTATGGGCAACTCTGGAGAGCAACCCCGAGGGCTCCAGCGAGCGAGAGACTGCTCGGAGGAAGATCCAGGAGTTCACGCCGGTTTTGGCGCGCAAGATTCGCGAGCGTCGCATGGCGGCATTGCAGAGACAGCAGATGTTGCTTAAGCAGCAGCAGCAGCAGCAGCAAGGCCAACAATCACCGCAAGGCGACGGACAGGCAGCTGCGCAGCAAATGCAGCAGGCACAGTCTGCTCAAGGCCAAGCATCAAATCAAGCACAGGCGCAGGCTCAGGCGCAGGCTCAGGCTCAGGCTCAGGCTCAGGCTCAGGCTCAGGCTCAGGCTCAGGCTCAGGCTCAGGCTCAGGCTCAGGCTCAAGCTCAAGCTCAAGCTCAAGCTCAAGCTCAGGCTCAGGCTCAAGCTCAGGCTCAGGCTCAGGCGCAACAGCAGCAGCTCCAGCAGCAGCAAGGCCAGGCCAGAGCAGCAAGTGCGGTGGCTGGGGTGGCGGCGGCTGGCAATGCCGGTGCTGCGGCAAGACCCGGCGCAGCAGGGTCGCCGCCTGCCGGACCTCAACAACAAGCACAGGCTGGTGCTGCAGGACCACAGCAGCAGCAACGGCCGCAGCAGCCCACGAAATTTTCAGACAATGTGCTGCAAAATCTCAGTTTGCTTACTTACCTCCCCCCACCGGCGCTTGCCGACAAACCTCCAGAGGTTGCAGCGAAGTGGCAGGAAGATGTGCGTAAGAAGCTTGGTATGTCACTGACACAGATCGAAATGGCGCGCAGCAACGTCAATAAGCTTGACGCCAGTTTCAAAATGCGCTCCGCCAACAACCAGATCACGCCCGAGGATGCAAAGACCTACAAGGACCGCCGCGATATGCTTCAAAAGCTACTGGACGACTCGACGCGCTTTGTGGCCGCGTATCGTAAACAGCAAGAGCAGACGAAAGTGTACATGCAGCAAAAAATGATGCAACAACAAGCGGCGGGCGGTGCCGCAGGCGGTCAACAGCAGCCACGATCGACACAACAGGCAGGAGCGGCAGCCCAGCAACCAGCAGGACAACAGAAAAACGCCAAGACAGAGGCCACGAATATGCAGAGCTCACAAGCCAACATCAACGGCGCTATTGAAGCCGCCAAAAAGGAATCGATTGCAGCTGGAGCGCGACAAGGCACGGGCAACACCAATATGGCTATCAACAGCAATAACAACAATGCCGCAGGAGGGGCGAACAAGCCGGCACCGGGAAGCGTCCAGCAAACTCCGATTCCCCCGCCAGTCATTCCTGCCGCCGCCATGCAGGGCGCGCCGAAGCAGCCGCCCAAGCCGCCCGTGCAAACTCCCGTGCATCCCCCTCCTACGCCCATCAACACCGCTGCTGCGGCTGCCAGCAAAGCAGGCGGTCCACCGACGGCTGGCACGCCGACACCTGCATCGGCCGCGGCAGCTGCTAGCCGTGTGCCGCAGACCCCGCACGTTGCCATACCAGTGAATGCCCCCCCCAGGGCGCTGTCGCACCAGAAAGCCATCGAGGAAGCGAATAAAAAGCGCGCTGCTTCGATCAGCAACGGAGCAGTAGCCACCCCGCCGGTTGCATCCGCGAATGGAGCTACCCCTGGTTCGGGCGTTGCCACTCCTGGCGGCGTCAACAACAGCGCGGCCACACCTCAGCAGCAAAACAACCAAGCACAAAATCAGTCGATGCACCAGCAACAGGCTGCTATGAACCAACAGCAACAGCAACAACAAGCCGCCGCCGCCGCCGCCGCAGCAGCAGCGAACAGTGGTGCTGGAGGTCAGAACATTCCAACGAGCGCTACGCAGGAAGCAGCCCGCATTAACTCAAAGCTAGGCGAGTCACGCCAGAATATCACTAAGCAGTTGTCTGAGAAGGCCGCGCAGATGCCTCAGCCCGTTTCTCTCGGCGGTGGCCTTGTGCCCGGCCGTCCGACGCTGACCGGCGGTAGCGGTGTGGTCGGCGGTGTCCTCGGACAAGCCGCGATCGCCAAGGTGCCCGCCATCCAAATCGACGGTGAGGGCGAGCGCGTGCTGAACAAGAAGCGCCTCGATGAGCTAGTCCGCCAGGTGTGCGGTGGTACGGCTGAGGGCCACGAAGGCAATCTGCTGCAGCCGGAGGTTGAAGAGGTATGTCTTCTCTTTGCCTCGCATTTCACTGTCCATTGACTTTTACGTCACGTTCCATTCGTACTAACATGCAGAAGTCGGTTCTGAACCTGGCCGACTCGTTTGTGGACAGTGTGCTGCACTCCGCCTGCCGCAACGCCAAAGAACGCGGGTCTAAGGTACTCGAGATCCGCGATTTGCAGCTGGTGCTGGAGCGCACGTACAACATCCGCATCCCCGGCTACTCGTCAGACGAGCTGCGCACTGTCCGCAAGGTGCAGCCTTCGATGGCTTGGATCACCAAAATGAGCGTCATCCAGGCCGCCAAGGTTACGTCGGCCACAAAGAACGACCCGTGAAGAGGGCCTTTGTGAATGTGTTCTTTTGCGATCTTCAGGAGGGCAGGGGGCGTTTTATTTTTTTTTTTTTAAAAAAAAAATCTATGGAGTATGTTCATCCGGGATGGGAAACGCCAATTATTAACAAAGAATGTGGTCGGAGCCACGGCGCACGCAGTATTGCCTTTGCCTTTCTTTTATCTGTATTGCTTAATTATTTTCTGTGCATTTCTAACATGGACGTCGGTACCTCTTTAAGAAAACAATGGTAGACGCTGCAAACCTAACCCAGAGCATGAAGTAAATCGGACGTCGACGAAGTCAATGTAGGTCACGTGTATTCCATTGAAACACTAATACGTCGGCCCACTCACATCCAGCAGTTCTAGTATGCCAACAACGACTCTCTACCTCTGCGACTTGCCGTTTAAAGACCCCTTCATATGCCGGCACAGGGCAATCTGTGCATTCCTAGCTTCGATTTTCGCAAGGCATGATATTGTGACACGTAAAGGAAATTGTTGGGCAGGAAAGAAACCATCGCAAAGCATATCGCGCGGTGAATATTTTCACTATTTACCAGATCTTTAAACGACAAAATTGACCCCGGCACAGCGGCAGAGGTTAATCGCGTCATGCCAATCACTATTGGAAGTGCGTTTGTTTGGTGTGCGTGATTGAAGCGACAATGAAATGGATGAATAATACTGCTGTAGAAGTCCGCGACGCCTTCAGCCAGAAGGCAGCCATGGACTAACGTCACGCGAGTGAATTGGGACAGAAGGCGTTCCGGCAGGAAGTGGGTAGCTGCAACATGCCCATTCGCGCACACTAACTGCAACGACAGTGGTAGCCAATACTTGCCCACAGATCCCTTCACCCCAAAAAATAGCGAGTGTGCGTTTCTCCGGCAGGTGCAAAGCGCTAGAGTGTGACAGCGTGCGCATTGTTTCCCCTGTATTTTGTAGTGCGATGGAGCCCTCCCAGGGCTTTGTTTGCTACCAGGCATGGTCTTGCCCTGTGTTTGGCTACGTCCATGCGACCTTTCCACCACCTTCTGCGATTTCTCGAGACTTCCCAAGCTCCGCTGTTCCAACACCCAATGCACCTTCCACTTTTCGTCCTGCTTCTTTCCCAGTGACCATATGTGATCTGCTTGGATCACGACTATTTTGAAAGCTACACTTTACAGCTTCATTTCCCCATTTTCTCTCAAATTGCGCTGCATTTTGCCTTGCTGCAGCAGCACAGCAACCCCAAACTGCGACTGCGTATCACAGCCTACAGCTATTTCCTACGTTGCTGGGTTCGACAGTACCCCCAAAGGTTCCGTCCCAGTCTTTTTCAGGCTAACCACGACCAAAGCTGTCTTTCGCCTCTCTCGCTGCCTCAGCCGCGTATCCTCATTGCTGTCTTCCATCATCACACTCCCCTTGCCCATCGGGTCTCCCTCTCATCACCACCCCTCACAACGGCCAGCGATCTTGCTTTGATCACCATCTAGCTCGTCCGTCGCACCTGTGCCTCACCGAACCCTTCGCCATCATCATTAGCATAACAGAAGCAGACCCCCATTAGACGAGATTCCCAAGGACAAAGACGCAAAACAGCCGCATCGAGCGAACAAGCCCACAGCGCACCGGCGCCACTTTTGCAACCACAAACGGAGTAGCTAATCTCCCCCCTCCTTTCCTGCGTCTTTGACACTTTCTGCTCATCCCAAGCCGCATCTTGACGCGCTTTTCCGACAAGATACGCCGAGCTGCAACGAACCCGCCGTTCCAGCCCCAACACATACACACTTCCTCGCCATGCCGGGCAAAACACCTCGTGGCAACGGCAAGGAGCCTGTTGAAAATGGTGGCATCCGTAACAACAAGGATGTTGAGATGAAGGACGACGCCACGCTCAAGGGCAAGAAGAAGCCCGGAAAGGGCGGCGATGGCGAGGCCACCGTCGTCGTAGCACCATCAAAAGGAGCCGGCAAGCAGCAGGGCGAGGATGGCGATGTTGCCATGGCAGACGGCGACGCCTCTGCGGAAGAGGAGGATGTCGTCAAGGTTGACCCTGCTGTTCAAACATCTGCAGGTACGTTGCGACGCCATTGCCTGGACCTTGGTTCTCGTGGCTGCGTTGCGCTCTTGAGCAACACCCAGGGACCTCGCACCTCGCACATTGTTTGCTGTGACTAACCACTCTGGTTCATTAGATATCAAGAGCAACTTCGCTCTGCTCGATCGCGCCGTCGCCCTTTTCGATGCTCGCTTCTCCCTTCGCGCGATGCGCTCCATCTCATCTCTCCGCAAGCGCCTGACCCCCGATATTCTGGCACGCGTCATTTCGGAGACCTTCCCGGCGAATTCCGCACCCGCAAAGCAGCTGCTGGCCGCCCTCGGCCGGGAGAACCTTCCGCTGGGCCGGCGGCCAAACGGTGCAGAGATGGAGGTCGACACACCTGCTTCGGCAGCAACCCCGACCAAGAATGGTGCGTCTGGCACGCCGCCGCCATCTGCTACTACCACACCCAAGAAGGACATCATCCCCGAGATCGATATCTTCCTCGGCATCCTGATCCTCGTTCACCTGTACGACGCTAAGCAGCAGCAACGTGGCTACGATTTTGCGCGCGTCCTGACTGAGCGCATCCACACTCTGAACCGGCGCACGCTCGACTCGCTCGCTGCTAAGGTGTATTTCTACTACTCCCTGTTCAGCGAGCAGCTTGCCCCTCTGCCACCCTCGCCGCAGTCGCCCGTCATCGCTATCCGCCCTGCTCTGCTGGCTGCGCTCCGTACCGCTGTTCTGCGCAAGGATGTCGATACGCAAGCCGCTGTCATTGTGCTTCTTCTGCGGAATTACCTATCGACATCAAACATTGCTCAGGCCGACCTATTGGTGTCCCACACTCAGTTCCCGGAGAACGCGGCTAACAACCAGGTTGCCCGGTTCCTGTACTACCTGGGACGCATCCGTGCCATTCAGCTGAACTACACCGAGGCCCACGAGCACCTGACCGCTGCTACGCGGAAGGCGCCTTCAAGCCCCTCGGCTGTTGGGTTCTCTCAGACAGCGACCAAGCTGCTGCTTGTCGTGGAGCTCCTCATGGGTGACATTCCCGACCGCGCCATTTTCCGGCAGGCCACTCTGGAGCAGGCACTGCACCCGTACTTCCTGCTGGTGCAGGCTGTGCGCGTCGGCAACCTGGAGGACTTTGAGACGACCATTGCCGACCACGCCGACACGTTCCGCAAGGACGGCACCTACTCGCTGATCCTCCGCCTACGCCAGAACGTCATCAAGACGGGCATCCGCATGATGTCGCTGTCGTACAGCCGCATTTCTTTGCGCGACATATGCATCCGGCTGCACCTAGGTAGCGAGGAGTCTGCAGAGTACATTGTTGCCAAGGCCATCCGAGATGGCGTGATCGAGGCCACACTCGACCGCGAACACGGCTTCATGAAGAGCAAGGACGTTGGTGACGTGTACGCCACACGCGAGCCGGGCGAGGCCTTCCATGACCGTATCCGGGCTTGCCTCGCTCTGCACGACGAGAGCGTCAAGGTAAGGTGTCACCCCCTAATTTATTCCACGTTGTGAAAATAACCTGACTAACCATGTTGTCTTCCTTAGGCGATGCGTTTCCCCATGAATCAGCACCGGTTAGAGCTGAAGAATGCTCAGGAGGCACGAGAGCGCGAGCGTGAGATGGCGAAGGAGATACAAGACGGCGACCTGGATGAGGATGACCTGGGTGGCGAGTTCGACGGCATGTAATCGATACGTATGCCGAACTCTTGCCAATCGTGTGCCCTTTGTCACAGTCGCACCTTTTTATGTCTTTTGTTTTCCGGGAGGCGCCGGGGAGACAGGTCGTTTTTCTGCTGGTTTTACTGCTTTTCTCTCCGTTGTCTAATGTGCTTTTCGTTTTTCTTTCGTCCTCACTTCTTTGCATCCTGTACTTTCTACTATTATGTGTTTTCGTCCATATTTATCTCTCATAAACATGTATCCCACTTATTATTAAAGCTACAGTTTACTTCACGCCCATTGCACTCCTGCTCCTCGCTTGCATGTACGGTAGCCGGGCTGATTTTACTGTGATGGTATCTACGTGTTTCTTCTTTACACCACCAAACACGACGCCTCCGCTCTTGTTTTGCGTACCTTTGCTCTTACATCTTCTGCTGTCAACTTCGGTAGCATTTCTGGTAAGACGTGTCTTTGAGATCCCTTTTACTGGGATCGTTTTGAGAATCCTTCTAGGCGCCTGCTTGGAGTGTTTGATATTTAAGCAGCTGGGTTTAGAAAAATGAGACTGGAAGGGCCGGTGCGGTACAATGAAGTGCAGGGACAGCTAGGAGAGGAGACTCTAAGAGAGTCAATAGGCATCCCCGACCTCCGATCTGATGTGCAGCTGGCAGTACAGAAAAACGATGAGGAAACGGGCCGTGGTAGAGGGAGGACGGGGCGACTAAAGGTGGAGTCAGTTCGCTATCTAATAATGCAAAAAGAAAGACAGATACAAGAACCCAATTGATCCCCCAATATCGGAATATGGATATTTCTTCCTACGAGGTCGTACGGACGTACACTACTTAATGCTTCGCAAGGCTATGTCCAAAGCTGGCAATTCAACCGTGAAGCTTAGCGGGTGCTGCGGGTTCCGAGGGCAAAGCTTTGGCGCTGGCACACAGGCTGGCAAAAGCCGCCACTCGGCGCACCTTCCAGAACCACGAGGCCATCTGGGCCCCAAAGCCCCGCTAGTTGCCTTCAGTCCGCCCTGTCGCAGTGTACTTAATTCGGCCGTCTGCCAAAACGATCATTTATATCAATCTCGCTTCTCATTACACGCTTCTCACATCAAATCCGCTGCCGCGCCGCTCAGCATAACGTTACGTCCTGTCGTCTTGCTAGCGACCTTTCCTTGTCATTGTACCGTTTGGACGCTATAGCACAATGTCTGCCTCTCTGGCACCTGAGTGCAACGAGGTGAAGGAGTAAGCCATGCATCTCCCCAAAGTCAAACAGACGACAAGGATTCCTGCCTCGGCCGCCAAATACTGACAATGGTACTCTAGAAAATATGACACTTGCTTCCTTAAGTGGTACAGCGAGGGTAAGTGCAGCTGTGCATGTGGCGTCCACGAGAAAAAGCCTTACAATGCTGACCATTTCGTTTTCAGAGTTTCTGAAGCGCAGCACAACAACATCCCAAACCAAGGACAAGTGCGATGCCCTGTTCAAGGAATACCAAGTATGCCTCAAGGTATGTTGAGCCTTTAATTAAATCATCTTCTTGTCCCCCTCGCAACGCTGACACGGTGCAGGGCGCCCTCAAGGCAAAGGGCATAGACAAGCTCGTCGAGGAGGCGCGTGAGGACCACAAGGAGAGCGACCTGTTGTACATGAACAACAAGAAGCCATGACGTGAATTCAACGGCTTCTTAACTTACCTGCATTCTTACTCGGCGTTCAAAGGGCAAAATGGACATTAAAATACAGGCTCGCTGGATGTCATCCCATTCTAGGTTTTTGCATTGTCTCAATTCTCCTTTCTTTATTTTAATGTTTATACATCACAATGCCATTCCTGGTTCATAAACAGGTTGTGTGAATATACTATAGAGATGCATGCTGCTCATAACTTCTCATGTCCTTAAACTCGTAGGTTTAAGTTTGCATCAATCATACCCTTGCCTGGTGCTTCGTGCCTCTGTAACTTGCACGTGATTGGATTTTCCCCGTCTTCGTTGAGTGCATTCGACCCGAGCCATAACAATGGAGATTGGAGAGTGGGTCTCTTGCCCATCTGTAACAGAGTGACACCACGGCGCCTCGCACCTTCCCAGCAATCGCTCCATACTCGACCCTACCGCCAACAGCAGCAAACGCACCTGCCACGACACCAACTCGCCCGCTACTCATTCGGGGACGTGGGATATGAAGCTTTTCCACGCTCATTTGTGATCACCTCCCTCCACTTTCCCACCACCCCACGACAACTAGCGAAACAACAAAAGGACGAAGGGCAGAGCGTTCAGACAATGGTAGATCGTGCCGGCTGGTAATCAATCCACCTCTCGTTTGTGTCTACCCCTGTTTGTTCAAGAATCCGACTGCATCGACCTCCCATTCTCGCGACATTGCATCGCCACCAACCAAGCAAACTCTTCTCTCATATTCGAAACCTCTTGCACGGTCGATTTTCCGCACGAAGCACACGCCCGAAACATTTACCGACCAATTCAGAGCATCTTGCAATCCTGCGGCGTCTTTCCCTCTGGTGACCCGTCGGCCACTTCGATCGACCTCGGAATCGGTCAGCTCGTTTTACTCGTCGGCATTGAGCCTTGGGTTCTCCCTCCTCGTCTGCTTGTATTTCTGCAGACTTGCCCGTCCCTCTCGCCTTCCTCCAATAACTACTTCCCACCCGGCATGCGCTCCTCATAGGGACGGTGGATTCTATGCACCCCTTCTCCGTCCTGACTCTCGGGATCTTTGTCGCCGGCTACATCACCGCCCGCTGGGACTTGGTGACTCGGCTCTATGAGCTGGCCATCTTTGCCTGGGACTACGGAGTTGTTGTGAGTATGCCCATTGCCTCCGTGCTACTTCTGGTCCTTAAATTCTGGTTTGGTCCAGCTTTGTTGATATTTTGATAGACTCGTGCCGCAAAGGGCTTCGCCGTGCTCTCTCTCCTCTTCCTCTTGGTCTTTATTCCGGTAGAGCGGCTCGCGACAAGGGAAGCCAGCTTGGTATGTTGTCACTATGTCACTGCATCTACACTAATCCTTCGCAAGGCAGACCATTCAGCTGACTGTTGCTCGCTGCTAGCATCCCCGGTCGTCTGCGTCCGGCATCTCGGCACGAGAACAACTTCGACGGCGCGGTTCCTTCTAGCCCCTTTTACCTCTTGTCCTCATTTCCCCTTATCCGCTCGTCCGCCCTCACACCCACGTTCCAATTACCTGTCATGCCAGAGCATGATGGGTTAATGCGCGTTTTCTGGCCGGTCGACATCGCGCGGTCAGAGCTTCCCGGTGTCGTCGTTGGATGGAAGAATTCGGATCTCGATGTTACGGTCGTGGCCATCCTCGAAGATGCCGACGTCCGCAATGTCGACTTTGCGCTCAAGGCGGGCACTCTGTTTCGCAACAGTGCCCACGACATTGCGCGCATCTACGAGCTCTGCGGCCAGCCGAACATGCATGTCCTTGGCCTCTCCAATGCGCCAGAGGAACAGCACACAGACTCGTCCTGGGTCCGTGTCACCACCATTGGTCCCAGTGTCCGTGGTCGCATTCCCAAGGTCACATGCGCCCGCGCTTCCAATATCCAGTTGATCCTTTACCAACGGCCACAACCACACCGCATGCAATATATCTCCATCCACCCTGTCTCGCTGGCTCTCACGGATCGTTTAAGCGGCAGTAAGGATGCCACCAAGAGAAATCGAGGCAGCAATGGTACTTGGAATGACAGCGGGAAAGGCAACCGCAACGGTAATGGCCATGGCAATGGCCATGGCAATGGCAATATAAATGGCGCCACCAAGGCCAATGGTAACGGTACTGGAAACGGCAGCAGTGTTGGCCGCGGGGGGCCGGCTGCGGCAGCGGCTGCACTTTTGTTGGCCGACGATATTGAAGCCGAAGACGAGCGCCAGGAGCGCCTCCGCAAGGAGAAAAAACAAAACTTGCTCAACAAGCTTCGACTGCACTCGGTGGTTAAGCACACGTCGTCGCCTAAGGAGCGTGCCCTGCCGCGCATCGTTAACCAAATCAACTGGGCCTGGGAACTCGAGCTGCTGCTGCAAAAGAATGTGTCGCGCATCGGCACTCGCTCAAAACGAAGCCTTAGTATGTCAGAGCGCGTGGTCGAGTCCGCCACGACCATGAAGGACACCATTCTGCGCTGGATCTGGGAGCTTATCATGCTGTATGTCGTGCCCGTCATCACGCGCATTTTTGTGCTGGGGCTCGTCGGCCACCGCATTGCCGCCGAGATGCTGCTTTGTGTGCTCGAGTGGCGTGCAAATCCGCGCTATGCTGCGCTGAAGGATATATCGGCCACGGCCCAGCAGGTCGAGATCCGGCTGCTGCAGTTTTGCTACTGGCCCATGCAGTATGTAAAACTACGACAGCGCAGCAACGACTGGGAGAGCGTCACGACAAGCCACCCAGATTACATTCGCTTCTACAACAGCCTTTGGCTCGTGGCCAACGACGTCATCATTGGCATCGCCCTCGGCTCCTATATTATCGACAACGCCGGCTGGGTCGCCGACCAGATCAGTATGCTGTTGAGTACATACACCGTGGATGCGCTGCAGAGCAGTATTTCGTGGCTGATGGGCTGGCCAGCCGGCCTGAAGCTCAACACGGAGCTTGCCGCATTCCTAGGTGACCTGTTTCTCTCGGTCATCGAATACTGGTCGAGCTGCATCGGAGCGCTGCGCCCGGCCCTGCCGCACATCATCTGGTTCATTGGCTTCTCGAGCTTCGCTGGCGCCAGCATGCCGCTCGCCCTCTTCTCGGACCTGCTCTCCATCCTAACAATCCACATCTACTCTTTCTACCTGGCCTCGGCGCGTATCTACCACTGGCAGTTGACCATCCTGATCTCGCTTTTCCACCTATTTCGCGGCAAGAAGCACAACGTGCTGCGCAACCGTATTGACTCGTGCGATTACGATCTCGACCAGCTGCTAGTGGGCACCATTCTGTTCACGTTTTTGTTCTTCCTTTTACCCACCGTTGTTGTCTTTTATCTTAATTTTGCGGTTGCGCGAATGGTCATCATCTCGCTCAAGGCCGTCTTTGATACTCTGCTGTCGTGTCTCAACCATTTCCCTCTGTTTGCGCTGATGCTTCGGGTCAAGGATCCGCGGCGTCTACCAGGCGGCATCCGGTTCGAGCTGCGCGACAGCCAAAGCTACAATACGACCATGTCGGCAGCTGCAGATGCGACAGACTCGTCCTCGCCGAGCCACCCGTCCACCTCGGTCATCTTTCTCACGCCCATCCCCCTCTCCTTCAAGGCCATGTTCCACCAGTACTTCCAGATGGGCTCGCGCATTCGCAAGCACTATCTGGCGCCGCGGGTGCTGTTGTGCCTGCTGACTGGCAAGTTTGTACCGCCCATCAACCGCAAGAACCTGTATAGTCTACAGTATGTCATGCTGCCCGGCCGCCGGGCCGGCATATGGGAGATGTGGGAGGCCCTCAAGTCGTTACCACCCCTCAAGACGAAGCGTGTGGCGTATCCTGACATCGGCGGTGGTCGGCGCATGCGAGGCCAGTCTGTTAGCGGAGGCATTGCAGGCGGCTTAAGCAGTTTCAGCAGTGAGCCGAACAACCGGAGAGCTCGGAGGTGAAAAGGCGTGTGCTTAAAAGGGAGGGTTAATGTCCTAGGGAAGCTTTTCTTTGCTGTTTTTTTCGTTTTAATTATACCGCTTCATAGTACACGTGAGTTTGATTCTTCGTTTTCCTATTTATGATACTTTTAGCTTGCGTTGCTGCCGCCTCGCCCCGGCCTCGTTGTTGATACCTTAATGAATGATTCTTTTATATTCTGAAATGTTGGGCTTCGTTCAATCAATCTTGGTATTTTTTGGTATTATGACACTTCGGGTATGACTGAATAAATACGAGCAAGGATGCATAACCCCCTTTTCACGGGATATTAATTGCTACGAATAAAATTATTTAATGACTTACTGTCTCTGTATGTATTTTTATTATTTTATTTACTTATTTATTTACGTACAATCTTTCCTCAAAAATAGTGACTAGTAAAAAACATTGGTAAGTTTAGGAACCCGGACAAAGACACAGGACACCAATAGCCATCAAAGCACCATATTCTTGTTTTCCACATCAGAGCATGGTTTGTTTTCGCTGCTCGATGTTGATGTTGGACGTTTCACCTGAGTCACGTGCGCTCAACTGGACGGTCGTCGGGAAGTTGTGTCCCTGAGCCGGCCAGGGGAAGCTTTCCCCGCACGCACAAAGTTAGTGAGATGCCGAAATAGGTTATGGAAGCAGACTTGGAATGAAAAGCAAGGGGAGGCAGGACCAGCCGGACGGCAGGCAGCACCTCCTCATTTGAGAATCCCCCCTTCTCCTCTTTCTGTCACTCTTCTCCTCTCATTTCTATTCTGTCACATTTCGAAATTGACGAAAGCCTTCAAAAAATGCAAACAGCAATCGGAAGGTACTGACGACGCCAAAAAATTGCGACGAAAATGCACGACAACTGCAGATTAACGATATCCACTGTGGGCGGCGACTAGCAATAGCACACGACATTTTCATTTTTTTATTAATTTCGCGCGAGCGCGCCGACCAAGAGAGAGAAAAACAGGAGCGATTTCAAGTGGACCGCATCCCATCGTACCTCTCAGAGGCCTTTGCTTTGCCCCTTGGTATGTCCCTCTGGCAGGCGACTGATGGCGAAACGACGCAATGGTGAGGACACTCTTACCGTAGTCGAGATGGCAACGCGTACCATTCGTCGACGAAGTTTCCTCGCCCATGATGACGGATTACCACAGAGTTAGAGGTTGCTTGCTCTGGGGGGATCGGTGTCGTCGGGCGTCCGTTCTCCGGAGACGCATTCGCACCTGGCGATCGACATTATTTGCTGCCGGACATTTTCGCCTCTTGGCGCCACGGAGCACGTCTCGTGGAGCCTTTGCCGTGCATGCGTACAATTATAACGTACCATACAATTGTCATTGTACCCTTGTCCCGCGAGAGAGAGAGGACTGCTTTCTTTGGCCTGTTAGCTGCATGGCCTTTACAATGTTTGAGCTTCTCAACGCCTCGCGCGTCCCCGGGTCTGCCTACTACAAGTGCTGAAGCCTGCTCCCAAGACGTGGAGCTCCATCATCGCAATACGGTCTCCGCGTGAGGAGCCGTGTTCAACACTGGCGGATATTGAAGCAAGACGAACAGATGAGAGAACGCAAGATGCCAGTGCCATCCCCTGTGTTCCTGTATTCACATCATCACCTATTCCTCGATGTGAAATAAGTCATACACCCCACCCAAAGTATACATGTTCACCAGAAAATATCAATTTGTTCATGATTTTATTGGAAAATTCTTTTTTACAGAAATGGTTTGTCTTTTGACCCTCCATTATTTACAAACCGGGATGTCTAAGATTTTTTCTAACCGTCCCCTGTATTGTGTTTCTGCTTTGTCGTCGTACACTCGGCGAATGCTCTATTCATTTGTTTCGGTGTGGTTGATGGTTGATTTGGTAGGTTGATATTGTCGCTTGGTCCTTCGATTGTTCGGAATCAAATTGAGGCATTTTCGAAACCGGCCAAGTCCTGTTCCTCTTCGGCCTGTCCCGTCCATATACGGACAGATAGCAGGCTGCAAGTCGAGGTCGGCCGATCATAATGCCAATTTCAGAGGATGCGAGGTTTGCGAGACGATGTTTACGTCTGGAGAAGAAAACATTGTTAGTATCCAAGTTTCGAGACAACATCACGAGTAGCAACAGCGACAACGATGACAAAAGAGCACGACATCGATGCAGGTTCGGAGAACCACTTACGAACTTGGCCATGAGGGCAACCATCAGGTCGAACAGACCAATGGCCTCGACGAAGGCGAAACCCAGAATGGCGTACGAGAACAGCTGGCCACGGAGGGCAGGGTTGCGGGCAACACCCTGGATCAGGGCAGCGAAGACCAGGCCGATACCAATACCGGCACCAGTCAGACCGATGGCAGCAGAGCCCATACCAATGTTCTTGGAGACCTCAACCATGGCCTGGGCAATCTCGGAGCTGTACATGCGGCGGCCGTTGAAGGCAGCCTTCTTGGTGGCAGCCTGGGTCAGCAGGCTGGGGGTCTGCTGGCGCTTGACAGCCTGGAAGGGGCTGGGGCGGGCAGCGGCTGAAAAAAAGAACAAAAGTCAGCGGGCAAGTTTTGTGAGATGGCATTGGCCAATGCCATGGAAGCATGAAAGCACTGAAGCATCGAGGGTGTGTCGAGACAGGCATAGTTGTGCTGTGTTGTGCTGGGCCCATCACCAACTGGAAGCTCAAGGGAAGATTTTTCGCGCAGCCGCGTCTGCCCAAAATTGCCGCAACCCCCGAATGTCATCTCCCAGCGCCGGGAAGCTCTAGAAAGCTCGGTTGTGGTGAGGCGGCGGGGAGGAGGTCGATCGAATCGAATCGATTCCGGCATGGCAATGGGCACGACACAACAGTTGATGTTCCTGCCTAGATATCCCCCCTTCCACGATGCTCCAGTTCCAGGAAGATGTGTCCTTACCAGCAAAAGTGCGCTTAGCAGCAGCCGTGCGCATGGCAGGGCGAGCGGCAGCCATCGAGGTGGCGAGTCTGGAAGCGAGGACGCGGGAAGCCATTGCGACTGATGTGTGTGTGAGGAAGAAAAAAAAAGAAGAGGGATATGCAAACAAGGAGGACAGCGATGCAAAGCAAAAAAATAAATAAAAAGACTTTGGATGATGGAAGTGGATAAGAGAGAGGAGGAGAGAGGAAAGAGGGAGAAAGAAAAGGGAGAGGAAGAAAAGAGAGAGAGGGAAGGAGGGAAAAGAGAGGAAAGAAAGGAAAAGGAGAAAGGAGAAGCCGAGAATGGACGAAGGGGAATGAGTTGAATTGAGAGAGAGAAAGCCGGGAAAAAAAAGAAGTGGGAACTATCGGGTCCAGCTTTTGGGACAAGAAAACGAATTGGTGGGTACTCGGGGCAAGCTCAGCAAGACACACAAACGGACTACAAACGGACTACAGAGCAACCCATGGAACGAGGTTATGGACGTGTTACAGAGATTTCGAGGCCTGGACGAGCAAGCCGAGAGGAGACGCGAGTTGAAGTTGAAGCGAGTTGAAGTGAAAGTGAGAAGCGAGTTTTGATATCTCGACGTCTGTTATTGCTCCTTTTCAACCACCTCATTTCGCAAGGCCTCGTTTCGACTACAACTGCGACTTCTTGCTCACAAGAAAGCTCATACAGCTGCATCTCCGTCCTGCCCGGCATGTTTGCCTGCAGCCTCATCGAGCTGCGGCTGGGACGTGCATTCATCTGTCCATTTCGGATGGCCCTCGAGTGAGGGGAAAGAAGGAGGCTATAGATATACAGGAACAAGGCCAGGAACGACGAGGACTCGATAGGTTTCGAGGATTATGGCATCCGGGGAAGACGAGCACGACACAACTGGGGAAGGGACACTGGAATCCAGTGGCGAGGGCATGGACAGTGAAGCTGAAGGAATGTCGTGTTGGAAATAAGATCAGTATGGGCCGCAGTTTGTTCCTTCTGGTCCTCTCTGACTTTCCCACCTTATTATCGGACATTGTCGGGAAACAGGGAGACGAGCAAGTAAAATCGCAAAGGGGACGGTTGTGGCCTGGCGGTGTTTTAGCCCTTTGGATGAGGCATGTCCACTTCGTGGATTCGTTCTTTTCGCGACAGGAGACTCCAAAACGGACGGGCTTGAGTATCATCAAACGGAGGCCAATCTGCTGTATGCCGGCAGCTGTAGCCTTTTCTCTGACTCCCATCATGCGGCAGTTTTGATTTTGTCATCTTCTGGCATTCTGAATTTCAGCGCAAAAGAATTTTCTTGATACCTGATTTTTGCTCTCGTGGGGGGGGGGGGGGGTGCGCGGCTTTGTTGTCTGAGGCATCGACGTTGAGATAAGATTTTTCGGATTAAAATTTTTCTTGCCCTTTACGGCATGCTGTGACGTTTCCGACTCGGGGGACCAGGCTGCGGGAGACCGTCGCGTGATAGGCACACGCCCCCTCCTTCAGGTCGTTCCTCTGCGATATTACGACGGCTCGACGGGTCCGTTTCCTTCTGGAATTTTCGCCTATTGGACATTACCCAGCTTCCACTAGCCTAGAGCCGGGTTATGCAGTTAGCCGCCTGGCCGACGCTGAATTGCATATGTTTTGTTTTGTTTTCGCTGTATTCGCGACATTTCGCAGTGTAGTCGGCGGTGACCCCCACCCCACTTAGTCACCCACTAAAGCGACAGAACGACATTGTAGTTGACTGAGATGGGGCGGAAGGAACGAGCGACGAAACATCGCCGGGATTCGCTGGTGCGAGCCACAAGACGGAATCAAGGGCCCATAAGCAAGTGCAGAGCTACTATTGCGGTTGGGAATGGAAAGGAAGCAGCGTTTGGTATATTTTCAGCTGGAAGGACTCCGTTTTCTCCCTGTCTCGACTACAGCATCTAGAGATCGCCAGGTCTCCTCATAGCACACTGATGGCCTGCCTGCAACCAGCCGCGCATTTCGCTTCTCCGTTTTGGCTCTGCTTGCTCTTGTACTAAATGCCGGCCTGGCAAAAAGTTCATCTAGAACGAAACGGAAGCCATCTTACATTGGGGAGAGGTCCTTAGAAACATCCAAGCTGGCCTGGTGTCACCTGGAAGTCCTGCATCTGATGCTCTCAACCATCTCGCTGCTGCCAGGTGCGCTACCGTGTCGCACCTTTCAGCGGCTCTGGTCAGTGTCTTCATGACGAGACAAGGAGACACTTCCGCAGGGGTGTCTCACTGACAAAGAGCTAGCCTGCAAAGGGCAAGGTATATTTTGTCTGTGACGCGCATATCACATATACCTGAGCGCCTGCAAACCATTCTGGCCCTGGCCAGGGGCAGTGGCCACGGCTGCCCCTGGCCAGAACGGGCAACGAAGATCTGCGAGGTGTCCTACGCACAAACCGTCGAGCCGTGCCATTTCGATCTCGCTGCGGGCGGCGGCGGTAAATTGCGACAGCACCAAACTGCAACGTCCATGCCCATGCATGCATACTCATGTTCTTGGGCCGGACAAGGCCGCTGCTGGCCTTTAGCTAGTGGAGACCCAAGGCCTTGGGAGAGGGCAAAGCGTTACGAATTACTCTGATCCGTTTTGCCTGGCCATTACGACGTATCTCGCATAGTCATTACCTTATGAGACCGGTTACAGGGCCCGAAAAGCTCATGGGCCCGCGAAGGAACCCCCTGTCACCGCCAACGAAAGCCCACTTCTGCGTAAACAAACCGGACACAATACGAATTTTTGAAGGAGAGTTGGTAAGTCTTCTGAAAATTTTTAACAGAATATTTGGGAGCTCTCGTTTCGGGTGCTCGGAGAAATGAGCGCAAAGCCCACGAGCTGTTCGCCGACAGAAGACAGTTCGGAGCTGCCAGGTCAAAGGTCATTGAAGCATAACATCATTTAGTCAATATGTTCTACGACAGATTGTCGAGTCTCGCGGAAGAAATGAAAACCTTCTCCCTGGGGGCACACGAACGGAAATAAACAACAGAGAAAAAACAGGGAGGTTGTACGAGCTGCAAAAATCTCTAAACAGCTCAAACATACGGAAAACGGGCCAAGGGGCCTTTCTAGAGGTGGATGCTGAGCGGTTGCACAGAACAGAAGAGGACAGGCATGAGATATTGCGAGCTGTGCACGATCGCTCGCCCAATCGCCGTTCGTCCAAGCGCCACGACCGGCAGAAAAACTCTTCCTGCCGACGCACAAAGTGACCACATCTTATGAGCTCCGCAGCCTTGTTCCACCTAATTTGCGGACCAACGCAACAGGGGGACTTTCACCGTCTCTGTCCCTTTTTCTCTCGACAAACATCTAGAGCGCCAAACGGCGTCACGCCCAAGCAACCTCGGTAGCAGCCGGGATAGGTTGTCCGAGACAGGTACTTACCAGAGCTTCCCTTGCTCTGAATTGCTGTTGGTTGTTTCCCGAAAGCTACCCCTGCAGTGTCCCCCAAAAGTGCAGAATACCTTCTTGTTGCGCTCCTCCGCAGTGAGCCAGCAAGTATTGCAGACCTTGGCCAGATAATTTACAAAAGTACCTCAGAACATGTAGATGAAACGGGAAAGATGAGATGGCTCGTTCAAGATCACACTGAATTAGACTGAATTAGGGAGAGGCGTGTGGGATGCACTTTGCGCTGACCGCACGCCCCTTTTACTACAACTCAACAGTTTCCTTTGCAGTCGCTCCGTCTGATCTATACGTGTATGTTCGTTTCTTCGCGTTTAGGAAACCTGGGTTTCTGACTGGCTTCTACTTCTAAAGGCTTTTCCTGGCTGCTCACTCCGTACTCCGTTACGACTTTTCTCGACAGCATTCGCCGTACTCGACAACAGTCGTAGTAGATACGGAGTACGCCGTGCAGAATAAAATTCATACCTGTTAGACCACTGCCTAGCTAAAACGGTACTGAAAAAGAGAGTGATGTCGTGCGCTTGGGTGTGATTTCTTCGCCAGCTCATTCCCCTTCGGGATAGTGCACGGCAATTGCTTTAATTTTATTGGCAGCGGCTGGCAGAAATTTCCCTACTCAAATAGAAACAGCCGCGGCACCACGTTGTGTCTTTCCCCTTTGTCCTGAGGTTTCCTATTCAGGTCTTCCGGGCGCTTCTTTCCTGTTTGTTGCTGTTGGCAAGCAAGAGGAATGGGAGAGATGCATGTGGAAAGAGCGCCTGTGGAAGGGAAGGAACGAAGAGACATGTAGCCATGAAGTACAAAGACGAAGCAAAACGCACAGAACTGTGGCTTCCAATAATCTTTTTCTTCTTCTGTTTGTTTTCATCTGGTCTTGCGAATGAGGTTTTTTTCCGTCTCCCTTTATTATTTTTTTTTCTCTTGGTATCCACTTCCTCCACCAACGTAGAGCAATCCACAGGTCTTATTTGCCTATCGGAAACTTTCGGGGCCAGGGAAGGAGCGAGAGAGTGGATTCACCAACGAAGAAAGAGGACAAAAATATGAAATGGTGAAAAAAAAAAAAAAACAACACAAAAAAAAACACAAAAATAATACGGAGCAAAGGGACATGTGTCAAATGGAAAATTACAGTCACACTGAGAAAACAAACTTTTTTACATGGGCCATCTGTGGTATGGAACGCATGCGTTGTCGCACCTTTGTTTTCCTTTGGGATGATTCTCCAAAAATCCCCAATTGCCTTTCCCTTACTCCAAATCATCCTGTGACATCACACACATCGACTTTCAGCTATCATGTGTCAAAAGAATAGAGGAAAAACAATAAAAAGTGTTTAAAATATGTGACAAAGCAGGCATCTTTTGATCGAGCTCAATGGTGCCCCGGTTGCCCCCAGACGTTTGCAGAATATTAAGGGGACTCAAACGGTCGGAGACACCCTAAACCAATCTTGCAATCGATGTGCTCCAAAGCTATGCGCATAGAGATGCAAAGGTGTCTAAGTGTTTCGTTTTGGTCATTCTGCCCGTCAGAGCAGCTACAGCATATGCTAAACACAACACTGCTCGATCCCACCGTTTTCTCAATTCCAAGTTGCAGCGTGTTCGGCGGGAAGAGGACTTGGAAGCCAGGTAGGAAATGATCTCAAAAGTGGCTCCCTAACCCGAGCTAGATCCATCGCGAAAGTTGCTCGCCGAGACGGAGTCCGCCTGGCCCCGCCAAGGTTTATCCAGAAGGACAACCACTCCATTCCACTTCTCAATCTTGACAAAAAGGTTTGGCTTCCTTGCGTCTTTCTTTTGCGTCTTCGCGAAGGGTTTCCGCACAGAAGACGCTGACGTACGGTAACAATGAGAGAGCGAGAGCGTAGTGTAGACGGTCCTTCAACTTGGCCGACATCAAATTCATGTCGGCCAATCCACGGGGGGCTATCATGGGACTTTTTCATTTGCATTGGCGTTGCTGGCGAAGTCGGTCCACACAGGAAACGCTTCTCTTGGTAAAGGTGGGCCATAACAAACCGTCGTTGCCCGTTTTCATTTCTCACACCCCCTCGGATTGGACCTTTATCAATCCGCTCTTTTTCGTTGATTATGTGTGGTAGTTGGCTATCTGCCTTTGATCGAAATACACATGAGATGGTATTAACATTAAAAATAGGGGCCAACAATACGGAGCCACTCTTAACAAAGGCGCCATGGTGATAGAAGGGGGCGAAATTCGTCAAGGGCAGATCAAAACGGAGCGTCCGTAACGGTGCCTTCATGAATCAAAACAAGAGAAAATCAATAGAGGCGAACGCAGGGGGCGTGTACTGTGTATTCGTAGCTAGTTCGTCCTCCGTCTGAATTATGTTTCTCATTCCCGGCCGTCGGACGGTATCTTGATGGTGCCTGAATGGTAGAGGGATGGGCGCTGACTGGCTTTGTGCTTCTCCGTAAGATTTGGTAGACGTTGATGTGACTGGCGCACATGGCAAAGTGGGATGATATATGAATGACGGCCTTGCCCCCCCCCCCCCCCCCCCCACGCTAATATGCACGTCGGCCGTCTTTCTTTTCTTTGAAAAGACAAGAGGGGATGGTTCAAGGCTGAGGATGTGTGAGGCTGAACCGCAACTCATACCACACAGAAGTGAGCAGTGTAAGTATGCAAATAACAGTCCAAGATCCGACAGGACTGAACATCTTCTTTCCATTGTCCATCCTCTATCCCGTTTCGTTATTGTTTCGTTATGCAGTCTCATACTTCCTCGGTGGCCTGCTGAGACTCGTCCTTGTTGGTATATATCTTGATGAACCCCGCCGGATCACACGCTTTGTCGAGGTTGATGCGATGGTCCTTCACCCACTGCCGCACGGCCGCCTTGGATATGCGAACTCGCTGCACATCCTTCGGCGCGTCGACTTGTTTCTCCCCTGCCAGCGTACCACCTGCTGCAGCACCGCCTGCTGCGGATCCGGACACGGCCCCATTGCTCGCCTGAGTCACCGACGATACCAAGTTCGACACATGTGCAGCCGACGCCACTGCCGACGCGGACGATAGCCCGTTTGTGACACCTGCCGACGATGCCGAGTCAAATCCGTCGGTATCATCCGCTACAGCTTGGGAGTGCTCATCGGGATTGGCCAGCACATTCTCGCAATACTCCTTCGGCAGTCCCATACCGGCGTCCTCGACGATGCCCATGTCGCGGAGCACATACAGGCAGTCGTCGCGCACGATCCACGTGGCCCGGCTGCAGTCGGCAATATCGATGACCAGAGACTCGTTGTCTGTACTATTGGCTCCGTCCTTCGCACTGGTGGCGGCGGTCACGGCGCCGGCGGGCTGCCCATATGGCGGCGGTATTGTGGGTGGTGGGATAGCAGTAGCTGTCGGTTGGCGATCCAGCGAGCTGGACGGTAATGACACATTCGGGTGCGAAAGTGACGATGTTGCCGTCGTGATATCGACGCTCAACAGCCATCGCGCAATTTCGCTGCCCCAGAACCGCTTATAGCCCTTTTTGCCCAGATCAGAGATGGGTTTCTCGGGTCCGCCGAGGATGCCCTCGCGGCGCGAGATCTCGTAGGAGATGCCCATGAGCAATGCTCCAAGACCCTTGCGCTGCCACGGCGGAAAGACGAGGATACACGCCAGGTTGTTGTTGTCCCAGGACATTTTTTCTTTGGAAAAGAAGCCGACAACGCGCGGCCGTGGTGCAGCGCCCAGGATGCTGGCCTGGCCGTTGGCATTGGCGCCGCTCATGGGGGACGCGGTGGCTGTGGCGGCTGCGCGCAAGGACGACGGCAGGGAGGGTGGCGGCGTGTAGACCAGCAAAAAGTAGTAGAAGCCCGTAACGTCAAAGAAGACGGACTTGTTGTCAAGGAAGAGCTTGGCAAAGAGCGACAGGTTCTGGCAAAATAGCACGTCCTTTTCGCCATCAACCTCCCAGATGCTCCATTCGCCCTCATCCTTGACGACTTGCTCGACGTACTGGACGTCAACCTCGCTGCTCACTCGCTTGCGTTTTCCCTTCGGCGTCGTCGACGACACGGGCACGCGGATCGTGCGCACGCCCTTGGGGTGCACGTAAACCTTTTCACCTGGGATCTGGAACTGGGATTCGCACACTTGCACGTGGCCGTGCCACGGCACGATCTCCTTGGAGTACTTGAAGCAAAACGGGCACACATAAAGCCGGTCAAGCATCGGGGGAGCGTCCTTGCCGCCGTGGCCATGACCGTGGCCGTGTGAATGGTGCGAGTGCTGGTAGTGATGGCTGGTCACGTGGTTCTCCTTGCCCGTCCCTTTGGTCTGGTGGTTGCCACGGCCGTTGTGGCTGTTTCCGGCCGTATCGCCCAGTACTTCTTTACCGTAGTAGGACGGATACCAAGCCTTGAAGCAGATCTCTCCCAAGACAACCTTGTCGATGTTACGATCGGGTTGACTGGGACTCGACGGTGGAACAGTGGACGTAGCCGCTTGTGATGTCGCCGATGTTGGGGTAGTTGCGGAACGCGGCGCCGTCGTGGCATTGTTGCTGGTGGCAGTCGTAACGATAGTTTGTTTTGGAGATCTGCTCAAATGCTGGTGCTGTTGTTGCTGCCGCGGGAAGCCTTCTTCGCGGAGTTGCTGGACCGCTTTCGGTTTTTGTGGTTGTGGCACAACCTGCGTTGGAGACGGGGGTATGTGCGGAGGCTGGATGGGTGTCGCCTTCAGATACCGTGGTGCTGGTGGTGAGGCGGGCGGCTTGATCTCAGTGATTGTCTTCGGCGGGGCGAGAGTAGTTGCAGACGCCAGAGCCAACGGTACAGGAGGCTTAATGGTTGTTTCTTTCTTCGGGATTGTTGGAGCTGGAACAGGAGACACGGCCGCCGCTGCCGTGGCCAACGGTGGTGGTGATGGAGGCACAACCTCGGTCACCATTGGCCTGGCAGATGATATCCTTGGAGGGGACACGGGCGTGACTGCTGGTGGGACGACGTTGGTCCGTTTCGGTCCACTCGCAGCCGGCTGTGGCACCGGTGGCGCTGACGTCTTGGTCCGAGGCGGTATGGTGGTGGCCGGTCCTGCAAGCTCGTCCTCTGTATCGTCGATTTCTTCGTCGTCGTCGTCGCCCTCCAGTTCCTCATTATTGTCCTCTTTTGCTTCAGCCTCGTCGTCCTCAGGCTCTCCTTCGTCGGCGTTGGTGTCGCCGTCAGAGTCAGCGATTTCGCTTCCCTTGATGGCCTGTCTTGTCGTCCGCTTTGTAGCTGCTGGACGAGCTGCAGTGCTCGCGCGGCCGTTGATTTGTGGGCGCACTGAGGGCCGTCCAGTAGAACCTGGCTGCGGTGGTAGTGTCTTGCCTCCGCGCAGCTGCCGTGGCCTTTCCGCCGACTCTGACTGCCCGTTCATGCTGCCAGCCCTTTCCCTAGTATTTTGCTTCATTATCGTGCGCGGGTGGCCATTCGCATCGCTGATATCCCCGGCACTCTCCTCATCCTCTGCTTCTTGCTCGTCGTCGTGCTCGTCTGGTTGTTCTTTCGCTGTGGCCGGTGTGCGTCGCGTCCGTCTTGTCCCCTGGTGTGTCTTTGCATCCGTAATGTTGTCGGCAGTGGGCGCTGCACCTGTGTTTCCACGTAAAGTACGCCTTTGGAGCATGTCTTTCGGTGGTACAGGGAGTGGGGGAGGAAGGATCGAGTGGCGCGTCACACGGCGCGTCTTTGCAGACTGCACGGCCGAGGCCGCAGACCTGGACTCATCGTCGTCGTCGTGCAGCTGCTTCCGCTTCGATAACGCCATTCTCGAGGACTGTATTGTTTCGAATGCCGTAAGTAGCGTCGCAGGATCATGTCGGAGCGATAAGGAGCTCTTGTGGACAGCCGTTTAAATGTATAGCGCGAAACGACAGTTGGTGATGTCTTTGCTGTAGATGGCTCTAACACGCGATGGGTGGCTGATTCTGCTGTGTTTTATCCGTGAGACTTTGTAAAGATTCTTTCCGAGCCAAAAACGTAACAAGAATGAGGAGTTGACCCCTTTGAAGGGGTTGCAGTTCGTCGTTCCTGCCATGTTGTCGCGTCGCCCTCCTTCCCAAAATATGCGCGTTCTCCCCGCAAGCTGTGTCACGTTACCAAACACGTGCACAAATCATTTCTTTCAAGCACTTAGTAGCACGCTTTCAGCAGTTGCCATTTTTTGGGATCTTTAAATTGTTGTTTTAACGTCACGACCCTATGCAACGTGAACAGCAACATTTGGCCAGGTTTTCCGGCGATTGGGCCATTTTTGCTCCCCGGGATGAGAGCGACACAGCGTCCGCCATTATGATGGCCCCACGAATTGCCGTGCTCAGAGGCGTGGCTCGACATGGCCCCGAACAAAGGTCCAACCCCAGCCACAGCTCGCTTTGGACGACGACAACATGCAGTGCCTCACGATGCGCCTCGATGGCCACGATTAGCGTGATCCGCGCCGACATTGACGAGACTACCGGCCGTCCACGGATGTCTACACCTCACCGCCAACGACGCTACCGGCGATTCCCAAAATACCTGCGCGACTCGCCGAACGCGACACTGGCGATGCGCCTCAAGAGCCGCACAACGGCACTGACTTTTCAGGCCTGGAAACGGTTCGACGACGTGGCGCGCAGCAAAAGCCTGCGGCTGCCCGTGCTGGCACTGCAGATGATGATCCGCAACGAGGAGGCAAGCAGGCCGACAAGCCTGTCGGAGAGCCTCAGCAGCACCGCAGACTGGCGGGTGCGGCTCAACAGCCTGGCGTTTAAGGGCATCACGGAGGCGGATATGCAGCACTGGGTGTGGATTTTGGCGGCGCCGGACCCGGACGAGCGGATAGCCCGATTTGTATCGAACAGCGAGCGGCCGAAACCGCTGTTCCTGCTATTCCAGCTACTGCGGCGCGACGAGACGTTCCACAAGGGCAGCTCGCTGATGAGCATCTACAACTACGTTGCGCGGCACCACGTACGCTCTCGAACGACACCGCCCGAGGCCGTGCTGCCTTTTGGCGCCGTGCGCCGCACGCTCGATCCGGGTCTGAACACGACGCCGCAGACGTTTGCCACTCTGCTGCGGCTGCTCGTTCACCATTACTTGCGCATATGGCCGTCGGCGTTGCCGGCCGTCGCGCGCCTCGCCGCCGAGTACGTCGAGACGCTGCCTCGCATGGCCAAGCGGGGCGAGAAGCAGGCCTTTGGTGATGCCTGCCACATCTTCAACTACGCGCTGGTGCTCTTCCAGCGCAAGTCTCCCGTCAGCCCCGTGTTCCAGATGCGCTACAACTGGCGCGCCCAAAAAGTGCTGCTGGCCATGTCGACGACACTGCCGCGGCCACTGATCATCAACCGCGCTGGCTTCCGCGCCATACGCCGTGTCATGCTGGCGCTTGGCAAGTCGCCCGCAGAGCGTAAGGTGGCGCTGCGCATGGCGCGCACATGGCCGCCGTACCGGCGCAACTGGGACGGCCGTGACGAGCAGCGGCAGCCGCAGGACGATTTCAGCCGTAGCGCGCAGGCGGGCGTCTTGATGCGGGAGGCCGGGTATGCCGACGCAGAGCACGACAGAGCCCTTGGCGTCTTGGGCGGCGTTCTTCCAGGCGAGTCGCCTACGGTTCAGACGCGGTCCCTGAGCCCGCGCACGTGGACGGGTGCCCAATCCAGCCTCAACGTGTTCTCGACCTGGGCGTCCCGCGTCAAGGCAACACGTGACGTCAACGAGGCGTGGCACGAGTTCAAGCAGGCGCCCGCCGCCGTTGACGGCAGCCCCTTGCGCCCAAACATCCAGGTGTACGCGGAGATGTTCAAGAAGCTGCTGGCCGCACCCATCCAGCACCACCGCTCATCGTATACATCCTCTCACTCTGCGCGGCTAGACGGCAAGGAATTGCTGCCGGGCGACGTCAAGGAAGTGTTCCCCGTCAACGACGCGACTTTGACAGCGTTCGAGAAGCAGCGCCTGCGGCCGCCGTCTGCCGCCATGCTCTATGAGCAGATGCTGCACGAGGGCATGCGACCCGTCGGTGATTGCCTCTCGGTCCTCGTGCAAAATGCACCAACACTCGAGGCGGCGATGAAGTACCTGCACGATAGCCCTATCGATAAACAGACCATGTCCGCCTTGGAACTACCTCCTCTACCTCCGTCACATTCCTCGCCCGTTTCCTTCTCACGACGATCATCTCATCACCACCATCACAGACACCGTCAAAGGCAACAACAACAGCCGCCACCAATTACGATTGACATTCTCCGTGGCATTCCTTTGCCAAATTTTAACGCCTACATCTACCTTATGTGCCGCTTCCAGCCCCGGCTGACGGCCGAACCCGCCCGTCTTGGCAAGCAGCGGCGGACGGGCCTCGTCCACCACGCCATCCGACTGTGTGCGCACCGCTTGCCACCCTCTATCGAAGAGGGCCGCACTTACAAGGCGCCCTGGCACACTATTATGCGCACTCTGGCACAGCCCAAGCTCATGGTCAGCGCAGAAAACACGAGCGACCGGCGATTCCAAGACACCGAAACGCTGGCGCTGGCGCTGCGGGTATTTGAACAGGTCTCGCGCGTCGGTGGTGTCGATGTCGTCCTATTCGACAGCTTCTGCAAGGTCGTACAAAAATCCTTGCGGTGGGCCAACCTGACACCGGCCGTCACCATGGACGTCTCTGGCGGTGTTGCAAACGAGGACGCGTACAAGGATGCCCCACCGACACAAGATCTTGCAGCCGCATCCTCACCCTCAACAGCGGAGCAAATGGAGGCAGACCTGCTGCGAAGGGCCCAAGCTGCATTGGTAGCCGCATTCGAGGAGATGATTGGGCTGCCTGCGTACGATTTAGGCACAGACGCAGATGCAGATGCAGATGCAGCAGCGAACGACGATCCGCCGCCATCACATTCGCCTTCATTTACGGCCGCCCACCACCCATCGACACCGCACAATATCACGGCCGGCGCCATTCAGGGCTACTTGCAGACACTCGGCTACCTGGGCGACACAGACGCCATGATGCGCGCGATGCGCTGGGTGCTCCGCACATGGGACGACCTCAGCGTCCTCGAAGACGCAAAGGACCCAGACGATGGCCAGCATGCCACGATGGGGCGCGTGTTTGTGCTGTTCCGGGCATTTGTCGAGGGCGCCGGCGAGGCATCCTGGCAGATGGCCTGGCTCGAAAACCAGTTAAAGCATCTCCACAGGCGCGGCTGCACCTGGCGGTCGCCATCCAGCGCCGACGCCGACGAATACGTGCGGTGGCACCGACAGGCGCACAACGAAGCCTTCTGGGCGCAGGTGCGGCCACATGTGTAGATGCGTTGGCCATGTACGATAGATTTGTATGAATATGCACGCGCATAGGAGCGTACATATGAAGATACTACACGACACCATAGACATGATAAATGCATTCAGGATAGATAAAATAAGCAAGAAAGTTTGATAAAAACAAAACAATAAACATTCACCACCCCCCAACACCACAAAAGTTGCAAGCCGCCATGTCGTTTGCATATTGGCCTATTTTTGGGATGCATCCAGTGAAGTACGAACTTCGGTATGGTGTCTGGGAGTCGAGTCCAGGATTCTGCGTCGGCCGCCGAGCCGCTCCTTTGGTATTTTGGGGTTGGCTCAACCACTTTCGCGACTGCATGGTAAGCCAATCTCGTATGGTGAATAAAAGTTAATTGCACCGACAGCAACAGCCTCGTGGTGATACACCACCACACCCTCTCCAGAAACTATCGTTCAGATTCGCATCTTATTCAGAAGTCTGTTGACACTCTCTCGCCATTTGCTCCTCCAGTGTCCAATGGCTTTACCCGCTCGGAGCGCATTGGCCAAACTGCATCGCAAGTGTCCTCGATGTCCACAGCTCCCATCATTGGGTCGTGTGACGTGCCTAAGGGTCTTACACAAGGCTCTCAAGCTCGCAAAGCTACCTTTATATAGCAGAACATAGACGAGTGGCCACGATACGTAAAAATCCAAGTCGATGTACATTTTTTCCTTTGTTGCGGGCCCGGCGGGGTGAGGTGGAAGTGAGGTTATCGTGAATTGGTCTCTGATGATCCCCCTCCATACATTATTTTCGTCGAGAGAGCCAACACGAAATTCACGCCGGAGCCTCGTGATTATTTCTATCTCTCTCACCGTCTCGAAAAATAAATCATTGGTAAGTTTCGGCACCTCGAACGATATTTTTTTTTTTTTTTTTTTTTTTTTTTTTTTTCTAAAATGCGTCCGCATACACTCTCACCTCCATTTTTGTAGTTCAGGTCAACATACCATCTTCCCCTTTGACGCCTTCACCATCTACCATTTGTCGAGGACTTCGGCCAGTCACGGTCACGACTATCGACGCCATAACCGAGGCAACTTTGGCAAGAAAGAGCGACAAAAGTGCTCGGCTTTTGTTGTCCCGCCGCCATCCCCAGCCCTGTCGCCATCGATATGCCTCGTCCTGCGATCGAGGACCCCATTATCCTTGACGATGACTCCGACGACGAGACCTCCCAGCACCACCAACAACCTGTTAGCCCGCTGATAGTCGCAGCGTCTTCACTAGATGATGCTTTGTTTGCGGACGATGGCCTCGGCAAGAGCCTGGAGGACGACGACAGCGGGGAGAACTTTCCCTTCGCTGTGAACGAGCAGACTCTAGACGTCGACGCCGGCGACTCGTCCGAAGAGCCAGTGGCTGCTATTGCCCATACCATATTTGGTAATGAGCCGTCTGCTTCCAAAGTGTCGGATGCCACATATAATGCGGCCAAAGGCGGCCTCGCCATCGATCTCCCAGACTCAACTCTCATCAACCCACGCTCCATTGCCGTCAACTACGTTCCTCCTCTTCCGATTTCGACAGAGCAATACGCCCTTGACAGTCTTGCACATCTAGCCGAGCAACAAAGCACAGGCGGCGGCCCGGGTCTCGATTTCGTCTGCATTGATTTAGACGACTTTGAGATTTATATACATAGGCGCGAAGCAAAAAATCGCCTACGTTCGCTCCACTTCCTGGGCGCCGGCAGAAGAAACAACAACCGCATGTACTTTGATGGCGTCCTCCGCGTCGGGGCGGCTCGGTTCTACGTGCAAGGAGTACCCTTCGATGACGCCCCAGTCGACATGTACCGCACTAGGACCGACACGATCCGGGGCCACATCAGCATCCGATCCGTGCTCAACAAGCGTCACGGCCGCTCCATCTACTACCGTCTTGGCCAGCCATCGGTTGTGTACGCGCGTTTCTACGGGCCCTTCCTCTGGGTCGCCGATCTGGGGAAGCACTTCATCGACTTCGTGGACCACATGACGGATCGCGGCCGTGACGTTCGTGTTTCGCACTTTCGGCTACACTTTTCCAAGTGGTTACGCAAGACGTATGGCCGATCGCCGGCTTTGGCTGCATGGCGGGACAAGTACGGCGCTGGCCGAGACGACTTTGGTCCTGCCGTTGTCGCGTACAGTGACTATTTATACAAAGAGGCGACGGCCTTGTTCGGCAAAACGTTTGTAAGCAGCCTAGGCTTGTTTCGCGAGACCACAGACTTTTCCTTCTACAAGACGCACCAGCCATGCGTTCCTCTCGACCATCCGCCTTCAATGCCTCTCCGGACGGTTGTCACCCCGTACATGTACCACTTGTTCAAGGACATGGCCATTGGTCCGTACCTAGAGAGCACACCTGGCCAGCATGCCCCTCGAAGCATCGACGAAAAACACATCCTCCCGCAAAAGCGCACACCTTTCATCACCGGCCAGTCATCGTCGACCGTCGACGGACGAAGCATCCGACCGGGAGACGTGATATCAACGTGGCACGACGAGGCTGGAAGCGGCAGCAAGTGGTCCGCCAGTGCTGAAAAGTCCGACTTATGGTACGCGCTCGTGCACCGTGTGATCGAGCCGCAACGCCTCAACGGCCCCCGCTCTTTTGACATTGTCTGGCTGTACAGGCCTGAGCACACGCCTTGCGGCGACATGAAGTACCCGTGGGCCAAAGAGCTGTTTATGTGCGACCACTGTACGTGCAGCGAGAACAACCACAAAAACAGCAGAAATGCGAGGGTGCATTCGATCAAAGAAGACGAAGTCGTTGCTCTCAATTCCGTTGAATGGTTTGGCGGCCCAGACACGACGGCCGACTTCTTCATCCGGCAGACATACCTGCATGGCGAACGCAGCTGGGTGCAGCTGCGACTAGGCCATGTTTTCTGTAAGGATAGCGTGGCTGAAGCGCACCAGAGCGCACTTGCCCCCTACCTTGGCACGGCCCTCGATCCCGTCGAGAGCATCGGTGTATTCGAGAAGGAGCCCAACTACGTCGTGGGTGATACGGTGCTAGCAATTCTTTCTAAGACGAACAAGCGCTCAGAGCCGTATGAAGTCCAAGACATTCTCAGAACCAGACAGTCAAGCAGCTGCTGCCAAAACCAACCCTCGCAACTAATAGGATACCGGCTTCGGCGGTTGCGTCGACGGAACGAGGCCGACCCGGATACACCAGATGCACCGCCCAACGAGCTACTGTACACCGACGAGACCGTTGTAATCACGAAGCCGTCCTTTATTATTTGCCGCTGTGTTGTTCGCATTTTCCCAGACCACATCAAGGAAATCCCTACTCCATACAACCGCGGTGGTGCTGGGAACGTTTTCTTCATGATGTATCGACTCGAAACGACGGCAAAACCCAAGATTGACAATGGCGAGTTCCGCATTGTACCACTTGATACGGCCAAAGACGCGTCTAACCTCCGTCAAGGTTTTGACCCTACTACACCAGTATCTCGGCTCCGGGCGCTTGAGCTCTTTTGCGGCTGCGGTAACCTAGGCCGCGGCATCGATGACGCGGGCGCCACCGAGACGCGATGTGCCAACGACATCTGGCCAGTGGCAATGCACACTTTCATGGCCAACGTTGCGTCGCCTGACACAGTGACACCGTTCATCGGCTCCGCCGACACGCTCCTTGAGCGGGCCATTGGCCGCCGCAGCGCACCGCCAACATCAGCTATCCCCCAGCCGGGTGACATTGACTTCATCTCCGGCGGCAGCCCTTGCCAAGGCTTCTCGAGACTGACGAGGGACAAGGAGGCACACGGCCAGTACAAAAACAGGTCGATGGTGGCGTCGTTTGCGTCGTTTGTGGACGTGTATAGGCCCAAATTTGGCCTTCTCGAAAACGTCCTAGCCATTATCAACAATGGTAAGTCAGGCCACCAGCAGAGACGGCAAGACATCTTCGGGCAGCTGGTCTGTTCACTCCTAGGCCTCGGCTACCAGCTGCGCATCATGCTGGGCAATGCATGGTTGTATGGGGCGCCCCAACAACGGCAGCGTGTTTTTCTTTTATTCGCAGCGCCAGGCTTCCAGCTGCCTGATATTCCGTCACCTTCACATGGTTCGGAGGCTAGCAAGGGCTGGCTAAAGAGCCAGCACACCATTGGCCGATTAGCAAACGGCGAGTACATCGCAGCAGCGAAAAGCAATATCACCGCGTTTCCTATCGTGTCAGTTAGACAGGCGACAGCCGACTTGACAGACGATCCGGCTGCTCAAATCAACGACGGGATCGTCGATATCTGTGTGCGGCACCCAGATCACCGAATCGTTACCGCCGAATCGGACGCGATGCAGCACAAAATTGCGGCGATCCCTACACAACCCTATGGTATGGGGCTTGCACAGGCTCGACGCACGCCGCACTTTACACTGCTCGGCCACAGTGCATTGTTCAGTGAACGTGAGCTTGCGGCGAATGACACCAGAGCGTACAAGCGGACAAATCCGACGCAGCTGTTCAAGACGGTGCGCACTACCTGTACTGTTGCTGACTCACGATCCGCCGAAGACCTACACTGGCGAGATGCGCGGCCCTTGAGCATCCTCGAGATTCGGCTCGCGCAAGGCATGCCGGATGATGACCTGCTGCTTCAGCAAAAGAAGGCCGACCAGTGGAAGCTGGTGGGGAATGCGGTGGCGCGGCAGATCGCCCTGGCTCTGGGCCTCTCTTTGCGGGAGGCGTGGCTTGGCACGTTGTGCGAGGATCGGAGGCCCACGCAGCCTGTACGGGCGCCTGTTCCCGGCCCTGAGTCTGTGTTAGAACAGTCGACCCTCGCTTCTGAAGACGAGCTTGGCCATGGCGGCGTGCATTTTGCAAACGTCGTGCCACTGGCCCTGACGACGACGACAACGACGACAACGAGTACAACACTGGTGGCGACCCTGACACTCACAACTACCACAAGGACAGAACGTTGCAAGCAAAATCGCATCTTCCAGACCAGTGTCTGTAGCAAGCAATCATCGTCTCCCGCTGAGCCTCCTTCGTCGAAAAAGCGTCCTGCTCCGTCGCAAGATAGCGGTCTCGATGACCTTTCGGACGATTTTGGCGCGGTAAAACGGTCGCGGACTTGGTCGCTGCCGTAGCCTCTGTGGCTGTCGAAGTCGAATAGCGTGGATGGAACAACACGGAAAAGTGTAAGCGCCAAGTCGGTATAGATCCAGTTGTCTGCATAGACGACGTGGATGAGCGTTGTGTGGTTGTGATTGATTGAAAGCTGGAAGGCCAAACGGGCGGGTGGCGCGATAGGAAAATGCCGAGATAAGAGAGGGCGTCAAAACATGCCGAGAGGAAAGGGCGACGAATCCGGGGGTGCAGGTGCTCCTGCCGTTTAGGACGGTTTGCACCTGCTTTGTTCTCTACAAATAAACAACGATAAAGGCACGATGGTATCCTAACGGAATCTGATCTCATCATGGATCATAGGGCATATATGACCACAGGCATAAAATACAACTAGTCAATACTACGTACGATTCGATCCAACCGTCCAAAATCCGGTGCTAGTATTACATTGCATGGGCGACGATGGCGAAAATTTAAGTAGAAAGAAACAAAAATGGACATGCATACAGTGCAGGAAATAATAGGAAGGAGCGTACTGCTATTGTCGCCTTGTTTTGTGAAAACGGAAAGAGCACTTTCTTTTACCAGAAAGGGTAGGAGCCCCATCGATTTGACGGAGCTGCCGTCGAGCTCCAAGGGGGGCTCTCTCCTTTCCGTACCCTCTCTTATCAACTTTTTTGACATAATCTAGATGGCTTCTCCTTCTCACACCCGCTCATCTTCGTTACCGGCCCATTGTCGCGCTGGGCCTAGAACAATCTCTGCCGCCTTGCTTTGTTTCATGGCTTGATTATGCAGGCGTTTTACTGGCTGCTGTTTCTCTCAGCCAGGTCGTGCCGTCGTCAATTTACTGACAGGACCAACTTACCTTCTCGTCGTTTCGCCCCCCAATGAACACGGTAGAGAGAGCCGGTCGCACGACAGAGGGCCCAGCGCTTGTTGGCTTTGGTGAGTTGGGAGTGTCGAGGTTGGACGTTGAAGTAGCCAATCATGGCTCGGCTTGCGTTTGTTTCAGCGCTGGACGGAAACAGTCAGGGGTCAATCTAAAGCCGGCCGCGACTGGGCGAGGGCGCTCCTCGTAGAGAGTGTCGGAATACGACCTCCACTTTTAGCTGACGATTGGCCGACAGCTATTGACACGGTTATTTTTGGCATTCAGGTGGAGAAAACCACTTACACGGGGCCACCATCCAGGGCAATTGACGACGAACGAGGCCAGGTTCGATATTGCGTCTTGAAATGGCGACGCTGTGTTTCTAGACGCGCTGAGGCGTGAGTTGGGGAAGGGCAGATGGGTACTTGGATGGTGCTTGAAGGGTTGACTCTTTGAGACGAAGAAAGAAAGCGACAAAAAGCGTGACAAGGTAGAAGACACAAAGACGACGACACTCCACCGGCCAGTTGGCGAAATGAGGCCAGATCAAGAGACCATGGCTGCCCAATTCCTATGGCAGATGGCTTCCCTCTTTGGTGAGCTTCTCGTCGATTACACCTTTCATATTGCTGTTCTATTTTCAAACTGCTAACTAGAAAAGCGCGAGAAATATTCCACATACTGGCGACTGGTCGTCAGTTTCACCCAGCTTCAGCCCTATCCTTGTCGCATCCTGGTCAACAAAGCAGTCTGGGCCTTGTTTGGCGTCTACAGAGTATTTGCACGTTTGGTTTTTGGACGTCCACCGACGCTTCTCTTTTCATCGAACGACTGGCTCGAATCGACTGAAATATAGAAAAAGACTCGAGCACCACTTCCCCATCCCCTCACTTCCACCTCCTCGTCTACTGTCATTGTCACGCGTACCTGTTCTCAATCTGTTTCCTGGCCTGGTCTCTGTCGTTCGTTCCCCTCGCACTCTCGTTTTATTTTCTCTTCGCCGGATATCACGGCATACACATTCTTTTTAGGTGCCAGATCATTTTGACACTCCAGTACATTGTTCTTTTCTGGTTCCCTCTTTCTTCCATTCCCTTTCACATTTCACTGCTCATAGAAAGAACTCTCTTTCACTCATTTCGCGCCCTTGCCCTGTTTCAGCTATTTCACGACCACCTCCTCCTTTACTTGTCATTGTTCACAGACTCAGGTTCTGAACTCATTCGTTGTTGCATTTGTTCCTGCCACAATTTTCCCTAGTTGTTCGTTCGTGAACCTGCGGTTTTCACACGGTCATCCTTTTTATTATCTTATCTCGCTTGACCACCTCGTTCATTGTATTGCTCGGTCTTTTGCAAGGAAGACGTGCTTTGTTTCCTCTTTCTCGTTGCAGCTGCTACGTTTTCTTTCACTCATGACTTGATCTTCCTTTGATCATTGCTGCTACTCGAATCAGCAAACTTAATCTTGTTTGTTTACTCAGTCTTTCAACTTCGAAGCACCCTGTTCACGTTCTTTCTTCCGCCTGATGTTGAACAAGCACGGCAAGTCACAAATACGTCACTGCGCCTCTCTTTTTACTTATTTTTCCATACTCTCTTTCTCTCACTTCGGAAACTTTTGCTTGGCTTGACTCAATCTCCATTTACACAAAATCTATTAAGACAGCTGGATTTCTGTCCTCGACCCTTTCCACCGACACTAGTTCTCGATTTCCTTCCCTAATTTCGTCTTTCCATCGTCTTTTTTCTAGACACTCATTCAAACAAACATCAGAAGCTGGCCTTTTGCCTTCTCACGCATTATCAACCAAATATCAACAAATCCGAATAAGATCCGACCAAGCCGCAGGATGCTCGCATCCATGCTTCTGCTCCTCCTTGCAGCTACCGCTGTCGTCGAGGCTAGTCCGCTCGGCCCCTTTGGCCTCCGCCAGCCTCATCGGCCCATCGTTGCACGCCGTGATGCATTTTTCAACGACACGACTAGCACCTCCAGCGCGTCTACTGTTCAGGATATCCCGACCACGACTAGTGAATCCCCCAATTTATCATCTTTCGTAGCTACGGCCTCGCTTTCATCGACAGTCAGCCTGGGCCCGCTCAAGAGCGACAGCTCGTACAGCACCTTGCCGAGTTTCTCACCGAGTGTCCCGCCCATATTTCCTTCGACATCGACTTCGTCCACATTGTCCGAGACGCCGCACTCCTTACCATCGCCGACTTCTCTTGAGGTCATACCAGCTGGCAACCAGACATCTGAAACATTCACGCCGCCAGCGACATCGCCAACCACACCCGCACTTCCTGCAAACAGCTCAGAGTCTGTTTCGACAACTGCCATCCCTTCGCATACATCCCTACCTGCTGTGGTTACTCCTTCCACAAACGCTACGGAGCCGTTCGGTGTACCCGCGCACTCTTCACTGCCAAAGACAACTTCTGCCTCGAACGGGACTGCCACAAGCGCAACGACTCCGGCGGGTACCACCTCCCCTCAGTCCTCACTACCACATGCGATACCGACGACGAACGTGACAACAAACAAGACGGTACCAATTGACGCCACATCTCATTCGTCGCTGCCACAGACGACAACGGTGTCAAACTCAACCTCCACGAACGCAACGGCGCCCGCCAAGACTTCCTCCCAGTCATCGCTCTCCCCAACGGTAACGCCGCATCCAGCTTCCAATGTTACATCCAATGCCACTGTTCCTGCCGTTGATGTTTCCTCAACCCCGACACCGTCAGTGCCTGTCTCCAACCATACGACTGTCGCATCATCACTGTCACCGTCATCCAGCCCTGGCACAAACACGACTTCGGTATCCAACAGCACAGTGTCAGTCGTTCCTTCGGGCGGTTCTGCTAACAATGATACATCGATTATGACTACGCAAACTGCTTCAAAGTTGTCTTCGTCGTCCTCTCCGTTGTCGTCTTCTTTAACGCCAGAAGAGTTTTCAACGACTCCCGTAGTGCCTAACAGGACGTCATTTTCCACATCTTCGATAATTTTGTCCTCGCCATTCTTGCCATCTTTTCCATCTTCAACGTCGTCCATCCCGTCGGTTTTCACGACTTCAGTGTTTTCATCTTCCTTACCAACACTGTCTCTCACATCAGCGCTATCGTCGCTGGCTACAACTACCTCTCTACCCCGGACACCAACCGGTGCAGCGAATTCCCAGGTTCCAACGTTTCGCTCAAGGACGGCTATGCCTACTAGCACTGCTTCACCCGATGTCTATGCAGCAAACGTGGGATTTGCTAAGAATGATAATGCCGCCTACGCCAATCTGACCCTCGAATCACGCTGCACAGAGAATCAGGTTGCGTGTATCGGTGGTAATGTCATGAAGTGCGATGCCACCTCAAATATCTTTATCTTGATTGCAACCTGTGATCCAGCTTCAGGGACAAGCTGCTTCGCCATGCCGGACCCATACGAGTCCGGTGTCGATATTGGTTGCGTCAACGTGCAGACGGCTGAGGCGGTTCTCGGCATCACAGTTGACTCACCGGCTGCCTCGTCTTCATCACCGTCACAATCAACAACAAACTCACCATCCATTTCTTACACCGGCACGACGACATCTAGGCTTCGATTGACTCTAACTACTTTTATAACCAAGTCGATCTCCAACACGCCCACTGCTGTAGCCCTGTCCACAGCATCTACATCGACGACCAAGTCGACTGCAAAGTCTACGTCCAAGTCTACTGTATCTCAGGCCACACCCTCTACATCTACGACCCCCGCTGAACCGAGTGCCCAGACATCTTCCGGAGGGCCAGTGGTGGTCGTCCCCGTGACAACGACGTCGCTTTCATACACCCCGCATCTCTATACTGCGATTGCAGGTGGTACAACGGCGTCGCCAGCCTCCGCTTCATCATCGCCAGGAGTGTTTCACACAGATGCTCCAGCAGCAGCAGCACCTCCCACGGTGATCACAAACGTCAACACAAACACACAAGCAACCGTCACAATTATCCAGACGGTCAGCATCCACGACACAGTGACCAAGGATGTTACGACCACGGCTACAATCACAGCGACCACCACCGAGACTGAGGCAGCTACTACATTTACCCAGCGTGTGAATGTTATTGGTTAGAGTGGTGTGGCGCACTTGAGCTGTATTGGAACAAACGTTCACTTTTCCTCCTTTGTCTCTTGTTTCGATCAAACTTTTCTGGTTAACCTTTTTAGACTATCTTTATTCTCTCAAAAACCAGGACAAGGTTGTCTTGCCCTTCTTTGTACTTGTTTTGGACTTTGTTTGTTGATGCCCGTAGGCTCTCAGGGTTTTGATATCGACGGATCCTTATTTTTTGGATTATCTATTTTGATTTTGATTTCTCATTTCTCTAAAAAAAAAAATACCAAATTATCTGCGATAATCTTTTAGCCAAATAAAATCCAAAAAAGGAAATGAAAATAGCACGTCTTGAGAATAAACAGTAAAATGCCTCCTAGTCTTCCTTTTATCACCAACGAATGCCATGGTGTGTATCGGTGCACCTGCCTGAGACGGTCTGCCATCCGTGTAAGTCGCGCCTTCTGCACATCAAATCCTCTGCAAGCCTTCCGTTTAAAGTATTTTGTCCCCCTCAACTCTGAAAACGAGCACGTGATAAAGCTTACTTCCCTTTTTGCCAAACAGTAGCATTTCACAAAGCTTGGCCTTCTCTTTTCCCGAATTACTGTATTTTGCACATCTTCTCATCACAACATCATCAGTTATTTGTGTGCTTCCACCACGGCCCATCATCAGAGCTATTCCTTACGCGATTATCTGTACGATTCTGTCTCCGTCATGATATAAGTGGGGCACCTTAGCACTAGACCGCCGTCGCAAAAACCGACCGTCCAAAGGCGGTGGCTCAATTTGGGCAGCGTTTTAGCCATTCTGGAGGCCGGCAGAAAAAAATCCAGCGTTGCGATTCCGAAGATCTAGTGTTTGAGCAGCTCTCCTCTGCATCCTTTGCTGCACCTTTTGCACATTGGCACCTCTCCCTTGGTATCTGAAACGTCTCTGACGTTCCATACCGTCCCAACTACCGCCACGATGGATTCTGAGGACTTCAAGGCCCAACAGCAAAAGATCCATGCTGCGCTCGTTGCCGTAAATCGTTCCGTCAACGGCATTGCCTCCGAAGATCTCACCTTCCTGCGCACCGTCAATCCGTCTGTTGCCGGCGAGCTCGATGAACAGGCGGCACGCCTTTTGCGCCTCTCCAATGGCCTTCTCAAGTCGGCTGCAGGGGCCACCGGAAAACGCGCTGCGCCCCAGCTCGATGACGCCGACGACGTCGACCTTAACTGGCGCGGCGTTGTCGACGTGATTGACGGCCTGCTCGAGAAAGCCGACACCACCCTTGACGAATACACCGGCCTCCTCAAGCGCAAGGATGCACCTACTGCTGAAGGTGGCTCCGACTCCAAGAAACCCAAGCAGCAAGGCGCCGGAGCAACGGGTGCCTCGGGCGCCGGCACAGACCGTCTCGACTGGAACATTCGCCGCGCCAACATTCCGAAGCCGCAGGAGTTGTTCGAGCGCAAGCCCGACAACTTTGACAAGGGTCCCTGGAAGCCGATTCTGACGACAAAGCCACATGCGATTGTGCCACTCGAGGACAGCCTGACGACGTTTGTCGACGAATACAACCTGACGCAGTTCAAGCACCCATACGAAGCCGAGATCAAACAACTACACTACCCTGAAGCCGTCCACAAGTCTCACGAACCTATCCTCTACCAGCCCGTCGAGTCTACGTCCGCTGTTTGGGTTGACACCTTTGAGGGTGTTGAGGCCATGCTCGCAGAGCTGCGCGAAGCCGACGTGATCGCGGTCGATCTTGAGCACCACGACTTCCGCACCTACAATGGCCTGCTGTCACTCATGCAGGTCAGCACCCGCACCAAGGACTGGATTGTCGACACCTTGCAGCCCTGGCGCCACCGTCTCGAGATTCTCAACGAAGTCTTTGCCGACCCCACCAAGCTCAAGGTCTTCCACGGTGCCAGCAGTGACATTGTGTGGCTGCAGCGCGACCTTGGCCTCTACGTTGTTGGTCTCTTTGACACCTACTTTGCTTGTGACTGCCTCGAGTACAGCAAGCGCAGTCTGGCCTTCCTTCTCGAGCGCTTTGTCAACTTTGACGCCGACAAAAAGTACCAGATGGCCGACTGGCGCATCCGCCCGCTCCCCGAGGAAATGCTTTACTACGCCCGCTCCGATACCCACTACCTGCTGTACATCTACGACATGGTGCGCAACGAGTTGGCTTCCAAGTCCGACCGCACCAACCCCGAAAAGGACCTGACTTCATACGTTCTGAAAAAATCCAAGGAGGTTTCACTCTCCCGCCACGAGGCCTTGCTCTGCGACCCCGAGACCGGCATGGGCGCCCGCGGCTGGCTCAACACCCTTCTAAAAACCTATACTCTGCTGAGCGGAGAACAGTTTGCCGTTTATCGTGCACTCTACCAATGGCGCGATGATCTCGCACGGCGTTTGGACGAGAGCCCCGGATTCCTCATGCCCGTGCGTGTACTGTCCGACATTGCGCGCATTCTCCCACCGGATCGGAAAGCTCTGCTGAGCTTGCTGCACAACACGGCCCGCGTCACCAAGTCGTCCATGAACGAGATCTTCACGCTTATCCAGGATGCCCAGGCCCGCGGCGCTACGGGGCCCACATCGATTGAGTTCCTGCGGTCCGACGCCGTCGGTGCCCTGGTCAAGGCGAACCGGCATCTCAACTTTTCTGCGTCACACGCGGCCGGAACTAGTACGGGTGCTGCACTTGAAAAGCCGAAAACTGTCGAGCCTCTTCCGAACGTCACAGAACTGCGAAGTACGTTCTCGCAGCTCTGGGGCAAGAAACCAATTGGCGGGAAGAGGGATGGAAGCACTGGGGGTGAGGAGGCGGGTGGCGTGCCGATTGAGGCGCCGTGGTTCGTCCAGGCTGCCATCTCTATCACTGCAGACGGAGCAGCGCCGCCGACAGTCGCTCCTGCTCCCAACCCTGCCCCGGCCTCTAAGCCGATACCGTCAGAGGACTACATTGAGTTCCTGTCGCCGGCTCAGAAGGCTCAACCAGCACGGCCAGAGGCAGCGGATGCGACGCCAGCAGCGCCAGCACCCGCAGAAAAAGTCGACGAGATGAATGAGGACGAGGCAGATGAAGAAGAGGACGAAGGCGCTTTCACACTAAAGTGGGGCAAGAAGGACGGCAAGGCGGCTGCTTCGGCCGCAGATAACAAAAAGTTCTTGTCCGAAGCCCAAAAGCAGAAGCAGCTGAGAAAAAAGGAGAAGAAAGAGGCCCGGCGAGCGGCGAAACGGAGCAAGTCCGAGTCGGCTGGGTCAGGTCTCGAGATCGGCACGGGCGGCGAAGAGGGTGCGACGACACAGACATCAGATAGCGACGGCGGCGGTGCTCGCATCGACGCCACCGAGAACGATGACGAGGCCATGGCCGATGGCGTTGAGAATAACAGCGACTTTGTGCCGTTCAACTACGACACGGCCGGGTCGGTGCTACACCCAAAGAAGACGGCTGCCGACAAAAAGTCGCCAGCCAATGCCAAGAAGGTCTTCAACCCGTACGGTAGCAAGGGCGACGACGGGCCCAAGGCGGCGCGGCGGATGCACTTTGAGAAGATGGGCAAGACGGGCACCTTCAAGAAGTGAGGTAGGGAAAGGTGGCCGTGCGATTTCAAAATGGGACGTTGGAGAAGGTCCTCCCTCGGCGTTACTTTGTGCGTTCTTACGTTTCCGATTTGGCATTCTTTTGGCGTTTCGCTGGCGTTATCTTTGCTTGTTTTCTACTGTTCCACGGGTGCCTTGTGTACTTTTCTTGTACTTTTCGTTTCGTTTCTGTTTCGTGGCTTTGGCTATGTAGATAGGTATACCGTTTTCTTTCTCAGGCAATGCACTTGATGCTCGACCTGGGCTCAGTCTCAGGCGGAACCTACGTCGGCATTTTGTCTGTTTGTATCCTGTTTTCTATTTCGTAAACCGAAAGAACGTAGATTGACGCCGTCGACTGTGATGTTCGACGATTGTCGACATGACGTAGATACTCGGATACAGCGATATTGATATACGCCGCGGACCAAGACCCACTAAAATGCACCTTCCACTGAAGTGGCCAACTGACAGCTCCCTGGGAGCTCCTTCCTTATGCCCATTGACGCCAACAGCGACGACGACGACGACACATCGCCGCCTTCTTGACCACAATCTCGCCATTCTCGGATATAAGTACGACTCTTGGCCTTCTTTTCAACCACACTGTCGAATAAGAATGGTACGACTCCACGTGCGCGCAAGATGACGACCTCCTCGGACGCACCGCTGGTGGTCTTCCCTTTTGGCGAGCCCGACCCCCGCCTTGAGGACTACCTCGACGACAAGCTGCAGTCCACGGCCGACCTCGACACGCTGGATGCGCTGCTCCAGGGGGTGAACCTGCAGCATGATCAGCTGCAGACCCAACTTGACGATGCTGCGCGTGCTCTGGAGGACGCCCGCGGCGCGGCTGCTTCGCAACGAAATGCCCTCCAAGTTGCTCTAGCCGAGTTTGACGGCCTCGAAGACGATATTACGCGGCGCCTCGCTGTGGCTAACGCGGAAAACGCGGCGCCCGAGGCCGTTGTGCAGCGACTGACGGGGCCCATGGAGCACCTCCAGCGCGTCACCCTGGCACACGACTATTTGGTGCTGCTACAAGACGTCGGTCGACTGGCCGACGCGGCTCGCGCTGCATTGCCCGACCGGCCCAAGGACGCGCTGGCACCATATACACGGCTGAGACGGTTGGCCACGCGTTTGGTGGAGTTGCAAGGCGCTGCGGCCGATACGGGGGCACCTGCTGCGCATCTGGTGGCCCATGTGGGTTCCGTGGCGGATGGGTTGTGGGCGGAAATGAATGCGACGATGCGTAGCGATTTTGCGGCATTGCTCGAGAAGCGCGGCTGGCCCAGCGGCGTGGACGCGGCGGTTCCTGCAGACGAGACGTGGCGGGATGGATTTGGGAAGCTTGTCGATCTTCAGGTGCCCGAGATCCTCGAACGGTCCGCTGTCTCGTCTTCTTCTTCTTCTTCCTCTTCCTCCTCTCCCCAAAGCGAACCTCTCCCACTTTTACCCATCGATGTCATGGCACAAATCTTTATCAAGGAGTTCCGATACCATTTCTTGACAGACGGCCGACGGACAAGCGAACCTCGACAGTTTGGCGATGTGTGCTGCCCCTGGTTTCTCGAGCGGGTCGAGACGTGGTCCGACTTTTTGCGGGCGAGTTTTGCGGACCTGTTGGCGGACCGCTTTGAAGGCACCGGCGCGGGAGATAAGATGGCCTACGTCGACCCTGTGTGCGCCCTGGTGGCTTCCCTGCTGCCAGTGATGCGCGAAAAGGTGCAGCAGACGGTTGTCTATGCCGTGGCACAGCTCCACCAGCAGAGACAGCAATTGGAGCAGCAGCAAGGTGCCGACATCGCGGGATCTGCGCCCGTTCTCACGACACCCACATTCCTGGGTAACTTGATCGTGCAGCTGCTTGCCTTTGATGAGGAGCTGCGGACGCGATTTGGCTACGACGGTGGGTTGGGCAGCTCGTCAGCGTCGTCAGCTCGCTACTGGCCCGGCCTGGCAGGCGGACCGGGCGGCGTGCTCGACCTGCACTTCTCTCTGTGGCTGCAGGCCGAGAAGGAATATGCGCTCTCGCGGTACCGCGAGATTGTAGATGGCACATCGCAGGCCGCGCTGGATGCTCGCGCCACGATTGACTACGATTACAGTGGCGCCGGGCGGACAAAGCCGACCCTGGCTGCCGTGCACGTTGTCGACTTGCTGCGGGCAGTGACGGGCCAGTACCGCTACTTGCGCAAGTTCCACCACCGTCTGCGATTTTTGATCGACATTCAGATCACGTTGCTCGACGCCTACGATGAGCGTCTGCGCGGTTCGCTCGAGACGTACGCGTCCATGACGTCGGCCGTCGGGCGCACGCTGCACGGCGTAACCAAGGAGCAGCTGGCGACTCTCGAGGGTACGGGCGGGCTCGAGGCGCTCTGCCGCGTGTTTGGCAGTGCGGACCACTTGATAAACACGCTGCGTGAGTGGGCCAACGAGGAGTTCTTTGTCACACTCTACAACGAGCTGGAGACGCGGTCCAAAAAGGCCGAGCAGGCCGAGCGGGCCGGAGGGACGGGCCAGCTGGGTGGTGGCCTCAGCGTGAGCAATGTGCGCGATCGTACCGCATCGTCGGCTGCCGTCAATGGCGGCGCCCACAAGAACCACGGCGACGGCAACATGGACGAGGACAACCTTTTTGACGGTACCATCCAGGCGTTTAAGCAGCGGCGCAAGGCTGCACAGGACTTTCTCGTGTCGACACTGGCCAACTCGCACCGCAAGGCGTTCCGCCCATACGTTCTGCGGACGCAGTGGACGACGGTCGCCGGGAATGGCCGCGGAAGTATCGACGACAGCAGCGACGCTTCTGCGACTGTATCTGGTGCTGGCGCAGTCATCTCCCCGGCTGATCTTGCCATCACACCGGAACTTGACGAGCCTCTGCGCATCATCCGGCGCAACCTCGAGTTCCTGGCCCGCGCACTCGGCACGGTGCCGCTGCGGCGCGTTGTACGCGGTGCCTTTGAGAAGCTGCAAGACCATCTCTGGGGCGATGTGCTCATGGCCAACAAGTTCACGACACTGGGCGCCGCACAGTTTGCGCGTGACATCTCGGCCGTGGTCTCGACGGTGGAGCGACAGGTGCCTTTGGGATCCACGGCACTCGAGGGCCTGCGTGAAGGCGTGGCGCTGTTGAACTTGCCTGTATCGGTGCCGGCCGACGCTAGCAGTGACGACAGAGCTTCCATCACTCTTCAGCAGGCTAATGACCGCATGTTTGTTGACAACACAGAAGCGAAAAAGCTGCTGCAAGAGCTCCAGTTGACGACACTGACGCCGTCGACAGGACGAAATATTATACAGCGGAGGATCGAGAGTAGTGGATGAGCATTTTGAAGCGTTTTGTTTTATCATTTTGTATTTCTTCTTTCCTGTTCAACAAGCCTGCGCTGAAGCTGTAATTATAGAACGGGTTAAATGATTTTCGGTATGCCCAAACACGAGAGAAAATGTCGAAACCAGCATAGATATCCCCAACGTCGACAAAACGAAATAAAATAAAATGCCGAATTTTTTCCAGAATCGAAACCCGGTGCCGTTTAGCACTGTACTTTTGTCGCATCCGTACACCACGAGTGTTGAAATTTCGTCGCTGCGACGTAGTTCTCCATTATCCACACCGTATCATCTTTCTCTAAATATCCACTAGCACCCTCCCACACCCCAAGATGGGGTCCTAGTTGATCGCCCGCATCGTGGCTTCGACAACGGCAAAGGTTCCCGCACTCACGGGCATGGCACGCAGCAGCGTCGGTGCCAGGCCGCGCCAGAAGCCGCGTGCGCCTTCAGTCCGGAACGTCTGCGCCACGCAGTCGCGCAGGCTCTTGTAGCGCTGGTCGGCCGGCCGCAGCGCGTCTGTCTGCATCTTGCTCTTGATCACGTCAAAGGGATACGACGACAGCCACAGCGCCTCGCCCGCGAGACCGCCGTAAAAGGCCACCTTGTATGCCGGCACATCCTTGCGCTCGATCTTGTTGCGCGCCGCGTCCGTGTTCATGAGGTACTCAAACGTCGTGAACCACACGCCGTACGCCTGCGCCTCACGGTACACCGTCACCACCTGGCCGCGGTACAGGCCACGCGCCACGCCGCCGCCCTGCGAAACGAGCTTCTTCACGCAGTCCACGGGACCATGGTACAGCCGCTCGGCAGCGCTGTGGGGTTGTGTCTGCAGGCGGATACGGACGTGCTCGATAGGGCCCGAGAGCACCGAGTTGGCGATACCGGCGAACGCGCCGGAGGCGTAGTATTGACCGTAGGAGAGGTCGCCCTTCTTGGCGGGGCCAGCGAGGTTGCGGGCCTCGAACCACCGGCGCGCCTGGTGGAAGGCACCGAACTGAACGGACACGCAGGCACCGATACCGAGGAGGGGGGTCAGGGTACCCTTGTAGAAGGCGAGAGGGCCCTCGGTCTTCCAGATGGCTGTGGCGGCACTGAGGGCGTTGGGATAGGCGCTGGTGGTCTGCAGACGGACCTTTACAATATCAAACGGCTGGCCTGGCAAGAGACGGTTAGCAATGCGGATGCGGCCATGGAGCTTGAAGCAAAGGAGGGTCTCGGGGAGAATTTCCAAACCAAAAAAAAAAAAAAAAAAAAAAAAAAAAAAAAAAAAAACTTACCGATGAGGACCTGGGCCACGCCGCCAGCAGCACCGGCAACGAGATCCTTGACCGTCTGCAGGCTGCTGCCTTCTTGAGCGTCGACGGACATGGCTGTGAGGAGAGAAAGAGAGGCAAGGCAGGGGCTGGGGTGCAGAAGTATGCCAGGAGCTGGCTGGTCGGAGATGCGATTACGGCGACCTTCGAACGAAGTCGTGAAGAGGGCAAGGCTTTCGAGCAGTCGCAATTGCAGTTCTGATCGCAGACGGGTGCAATTGGTCGTCGTAACGAGATATGTCGAAGGGCATAAAACTCGCAGCAAGACCGGGAAGAAAAGCGAGTAAGAAAAGAGAGTTGTTGACGGAGAGAAAGACTGCGGTCAGAAGGGGCAGGAAGTGGATGCCAAGCCTGTGATTGCGGCTTCTGTCAGTATCGCGATAGCGGAGCAGGCCCGATTTTGTTCCTTCCCCCAAGATCTGTTTTTGTTACATTTTTTTACTACTTTTGCCCACGCCGCGCTGTTCGTTCTTTCCCGCTAATTAGGTTCCTTAATCTAGCTCTTGCCGGCAATCGTCAATGGCGAAAGGGGAAGGAGACGGCGATGGAAGCCAGAGACAAGAGGGGCAGGAGCTATCGCCCGTCAGGTACGACGTATTGCACGGCCTAGTGTCGCTTTAAGGAAGAGGTTCGCCTGCACCTGCTAAAAACTTTTTTTTTGAAAGTCGCCGTCCTAGGCAATCAGCGCTCCATGCGGCAAAAATTGCGTGCTCCGGCCTAAGCAAAATCCGCCATCGGCTGCTAGCTATTGTGCAACGGGCAGCCGCGATGCGCTAGTAGCCGCTGCGCGGCCGGGAACGTGCGACGGGCGGCGCAATCTGATGATGTAAGCGCCGAAAGCCCTGTGTTCTGCAGTTCATAACACTGCTCCATCAACATTACATATCGTTCCCTGTACAATATAGATGCCGTGGGAAATGCAAGGGGCTCAATTCTATTCACGCGGCAGACAGCTGTGCCCGTCGTGTACTTTTTTTTCAGTCCCCTATGTTCATTTTGTATGGCCGTAAATGACTTTCATAATCATGTCGCTCTATTGTGAATTCAAGCTACAATGGTATTCTCCTTTTTTTGAGAGCCCTTACACCCGGCTGATTTTGTTGCCGCTTTGCTGCTCGTTGGCCGCCTGTGCCACGTTTTGGATGGCCTCCTTGAGCTTGGCCACCACCTCTGGCTGGTTACTAAAGGCCGTCTGCAGCAGCTCGTCCAGCTCGCGCTCAATCTTGGCCACGTTCTTACCGCCAAGCTTGCGCGACGTGCCGTCGTAGATCTGCTTGCCCCACCGCTGCGTAAACGCATTGATCGACCGCCGCAGTGCCTCATCCAGCTGCTCACTTACGTCCTGGTCGGCAGCGCTGGGCGCGACGGGGCCGTTGGGAAGCATACCGAGAACCCCGCCCTGCGTCGAGCCTGCCATGCTACCAACAACCGATGCGGCCTTGCCCGAGACACTGGCATATCCGTTGCCGGCCACCGTCGCAGCCGCCGCCGCCGACCCGGCGACAGCGCCCGTCGCACGCGACCAGAGCGATGTGCCGGGGATGAACGTGCTAAAGTAGCCGACAAGGTTCGTGGCCAGGCTCAGGGCGTCCCAGATCTGGCCAAAGTGCTGCATGGCGCCGACGCCACTGCCGTCGTTGCGGATGTCGCCAATCTCGAGCGACAGCAGCTCGTTCTTCAGGATGAGCAGGTTCTTGATCATAAACAGGTCCGGATCTGTGCTGATGCGCGCTGACTTAATGCGCGCCTCTGCTCGTTGCAATGCCAGTATGGTCTCTTTGACAATCTTGAATACGACAGGGCTGTTGCGTTGCTGCAGGGAGGGAATGCCATGTTAGCTACTACTCGTATAGGGACTGTTTATAACAAAAAAAAAAAAAAAAAAAAAAAACAAAAGAGACACAGGGCAACGGAACGTACGCATCGCTCTTTCGGCATGGCCTGGTCAAACATGACAAGCAGCTCGATCGCACGGCGCACGGGTGGGTATGCATTGGATGCAGCCTGGCCGTTGGCAACAGGCGCAATCTTGAGCGCCTCCGGCACCACAGGGACCTTGGTGATCGTCTTGGCGACCTCGGCCTCGAACAGCGCGTCGGCGAAGACCCACAGGTGCTCGGCGAGCAGCCGTGCTGCCATTTGCCGGCTGTGCGACGCGAGGTACGACGTGTCGTTACCACCGTTGTCGACGTCGCTGCCACCGCCGTTGTTGTCGTCGTCGTCGTAGTCGAGGAGAAGGTATTCGTGCGTGACCCAGCCGAGCACGTTGCAGACAACGGCCAAATCGTTGGCCGCAGACAGCGCAGCCTGCAACAGCGTCGCCAGCGGCACAACGTTGACGGCATTGACCAAGTCGCTGCGGTAGGCGCGTAGTGTAGCGAAGACCGAATTCGTGTTCGCGCTATACTGCGGTTCGACGGCAAACACCCTGGCAAAGAGCAGAACCTCGTGGTACGAGCGTTCGAAGCTCTGCCTTATGAAACCGCGCGAGGCCGTCTCCACAGACGTAGATCCATTGGCCGACTTGGCGTCCTTGGTGTCTGCTTGGAAAGCGCCCAGCTCCTGCTGCACAATCGGCCGCAGAATTTGGTCGCGCCACTGTAGATATGTGCGAAAGATGTTGTTGGCCGTGTTTGAGTAGATGGAGTAGCTTTGGTGCTCTGTACGCGCAGCGCCAAGTTGCGTGTAGGCACTGGCAATGACCTGCTGCACATTGGGCACGAGCGAATAGGAGGACTCGACGAGCAGCTCCTCAAAGCGACCATACGCGAGCGCATGCTGCGCGGCGTCCGACTTGGTGGCCGCGATCTGCTTCGACAGCTCAGTCGACACCTTGTCGAGGCGTGCGGTAAAGCCTACCTCGAGCAAGTGCAGAGACTTTGTGAGGAGGGACTGGTAACGGGCGAGATAGGATTCTGCGTCGCGATACTCCTTCTGTGCAAGGGATATTATGTCAGCTGGGTGTCTAACGAATCACACGTTGTACGGTTCGGGTAGTGCCTTACATGATGCGCCATGAAATGGATGCACGAGTCCAAGCTAGTGAGAATCTCCGACAGCTCCTCGGTGTCGGCCAACCGACCTGCTCCAGGCGCGTTGAGCCGCCGCGTGGCGTTGTCGAGGTAGCCGTAGTAGTGCAGGTCCGTGCCGACCTCGTCAGCGAGCGTCTTGAGGCGGCGCTGTTCGGAGACGAGGTCGTCACACTGCGCCTGGAAAGAAGTCGTCTGTTCTTCGACGGACCGGAAGGAGTCTACCAGCGATGACAGCAACCGTAATGCCCCACTCGTGTCGTCGACAAGCTGGCCGAGGTGACGTTCGGTCATGTCGAGCTGGTCCCGGTATGTTCTGGCCATAGATGTATCAGCACCAAATCTTTACAAATTCAAACTCAGCTTGGGGCCCTTGCTTACAAAAATTCCTGCTGGCTGGCCTCGAGGAGCTCTGCGTCATGCGCGTCAAGCAGCACAGGCATTTCCTGTAGCTTTCGCCACTCCAACCCATCGTCCACTCCGAGAAGCGAGTCTGCGATGGCGAGTGCTTCCAACGAGACCTCATTCTTCCGCCGCTGCGTCCGCCTCCGGCTGATGCTGGGTGGCTTGTCCCGTCTGTTGTTCTTTTTTGCCGGTCCCGTTGCTGCTGTTGCTGTCGCTGTCGCTGTTTCTGTAGATAATGCTGCTGCTTCCGCTGCCGCTGCCGCCCACTTCGGACGTATGCTGGCCGCCTTTATGTCAGGGTACGATCGTGCGCGCCGTACCAGGCCATCTGCACGTGCCTGCAGAAAGATTTCGTCTTCGTGTTCTTCGGCATCCTCCTCGAAGAGGGAATCAAGCGTCTCTACTGTGTCGGTTTGTGGATTTGCGCCCTGTTCCGGGGTCGACTCTCTGTCAGCAAACGGTCCGCCTTGCCACCCCTCCGCCTTGCCACCCCTATCCGCAACCGCATCCTCCCGTCTTGTATCTTCCTCTTTCTCACTTCCCCCATCCCCTGCTCCCCACCACGAATTCCTCCAGCACAATCGTACTCACGTTTGGCTGTTGCAGGAGGGACGCCCGCCGTCGATGGCCTTGGCCCTGAGTACTGCTGCGTCGCTCTGTCGGGAAGCTGTACCATGTATCCTCGTACATTGTCGCAAGGGCCTGCCGCCTGTATGGGGCGACAGATTCATCCACGAGAGGATGTCGTCGGACAAGGGGGAGAGTCAGCGGTCGCAAAAGAGAGTTGTTCGAGAGCGATTGGGCGTCGTCGTGGCGTCGGCGTTGTAGTGTCGGCGTCGTAGAACGAGAAGCGTCCCGGTAGTAAGCGGTCGTCGGTGCCGTGTGTTGTCGACTGGTCGGCAATGCGTTTTGGCGTGCAGCTTTCCGGACCGAAGTCAGCGTGTTCTGTACTTTGAACGTTGTGCGTTATTACGACGTATTCCCACCACGTAGCTCCGACAAATGAGAAAGAGGGACGTGCTCTAGCGCCCTGGCCACTGTGGGCTATGAAATTGTGGGGACGCAGTTGTGAGTGGAAAAGTGGACCCATAGCCCTTTCCTGTTCAATGTCAGATGCAAGTGACCACTCTTTCCTATTCGGGCGGACAACCAACAAAACACGACTCAAGTGCTACTGACGACGAACGTACTTGCCGCCGACCATGGTAGTATTTCCTAGAATGGAAAGAAGCATAACAAGAAAATTATAATAGCTAATACTGTTGACTATTCCCCCTTCGACGCACGGTGAGCTTTAAAGCGCGTCGGATACAGTTCATAAATGATTCCACAAAGCCATACTTTCATATCAGTGAAACATTAGTACATTTGGTGAATAAAAGACGGTATCTATACCAAAGGATATTGTTGTAGATTTGAAGTATATCCTGAATAGGATGCTCCTGAAGTGAAAGTTTTGTTTTATCCGACATGGTCTCATTCGTTTTACTTCTTTGCCTCTTCATCGTCTAGGTCATCTAGACCAAAAACGGGGAATGTCAGGATTGCTGCAATGCTGCCCAGTCTTGACAGATTTTTGCCGCAGTCGTGGGAATCACGGAGGATACGCACCTCGCCTCCCTCTTCACGGACCGTGTTGGATAGAGACGCGACTGCTTCTTGGAACTTTCCCTTGTGGAACAAGGACTCATTTGCAAGGAGAACACCGCCCGTGCCTACTGCACCTTCCTGGATGGCCTTTTCGACCGATCTAGCGCCATACGCCACACGCCCGTCCGAATCCCCTTCCCGCACCCGTTCCTGCACGTCCTTGACAAGAGAGAGGTCGCGGTCGAAACGGACGTCGTGAATCTTGGCGAGGACATCTGGGCGCATCATCATCTCGTCAAAAGGTCCCATATTCTTCTTGTTGATATTCTGACGGTACGCAGGGAGCCAGAGGTTGTCCTTGTTTTGGGCGTTTGTAGAGTTTGAGATGTTTGGGGAGCCATCGGCGCTATCAGTGCTGTCTTTGGCCTTCTTGGAGGCCGGCTTTTTGCCCTTTTTGCCTACCGGCTTGGCATCCTGATCGGCGTCGGCCTTTGCGCCTTGCCCAATGGCGCCAAGCGTATCAACGACAATTGCACTGTTGGCCATATGCTGCAGAGCACTGTTGTGCCTGGCAGCAGCGTAGGTACGGACAAAGGCCTGAAAGTTGTGCGCAGCCTCGCCGAGCGACGCAATTAGCAATGGGCACGGATCGCCATGCTCCATGTCCAGGTGGCTCAGCAGAGCGTCCACGGCGGACTCAAACAGAGATTCTTGAAGAGGTGCAAGCGTGCCCTTGGTGCTGCGGGCTTGCTTGGTCTCTTTGCGGTTGTCGCCACCCAATGTCCTGCGCTCAGTCTTGCCGGTTCTTTTGGCTGCAGCCGGCGACGCAGCATCACCGTTGCCGTTTTGATCTCCACTGGCGAGTAAGCTGGCATCGGCCTTGACTGACTCGTTGAAGCGCTCGGCCTCGCCCGCCAGTACACGCACGTTGACGCTGCTAAAGTTCTTGTCAACAAGGAAAACAGCGAGATCTTTATTGCGACGATCAGGCCGAGCAGCGTCCACTATGCGCTGAATTATGTTTTCCGAGAACCCAGTGTCTCTGCGTAATGTAATGACAGACTCTGGGGAGATGCTAACACGACGCATCGGCTGTGCCGCGTTGTCCAATAAGTCCTTCTTTGAGCGGCCAGACTTGCTGTTGGCGGAGTCTTGCAAAGTGCCCATCACGTGCAGTGTCGAGGTGGTGACGTCGAACTCTGTTTCCTTGGCAAGCAGAATTTTGCCTGTCGCGCCGTCTTCGCTTGGCGACGAAGCCGCAGGGTCGCCAAAGATAAGTTTGTCGCCCTCTGCGACAATTTCTTTGAGACACCACATGTCATCGGTGGTGTCCAGGGCAAGACTGACGATGCCTTTGGACTTCATCATGGATGACGCGGCGGCGAGCGTTGCAGCCCAGCCAGTTGCCGTTTTCTGGATAAACCGCATCGTGGCTGGGTGCTGCAAGTATATGCTGAGTGGTTGCTGTTGCCGGAATCCTGGGGAGAGTTGGACAAAGCTATTTGACCAAAAGCATAGGCAGTCGTAGAGTTCGCAAGCCAAGAAGAGGAAATTCCAAGATGCGAGGGTTTCGACCGGATGGGGAAGAAGATAAAATTGCGGTGAAGAGGGGTTGGGCAGATATTTCTACTGAAGAAAGTATATCTGGCTTGGCTTTGACTCTTTCCCACGCTATAAGGCGCATGATAACTGCCCGTAGACCGAATGAAGGCGCAAAAAGCAGATATGTTCAAATCCCATCAAGTAGTGTGTTGTGATGCAGTTCGTAGCTGGCTGGTGACGTCGTTTTTGAAATGGAAAACAACAAGGCTGAGTTTTACTAACACGACGGTGCACGTGAAAAGTGGAACCCTAGCTAGCCACAACCACAAATGGAGTCCTGCCGAATCAGAGCGGCTTATTGGACTTTTCGCCCAAGTTTCCCCTCTATTTTCATGAGATGGCTGCCGTGCTTCGAGTTGCTCCGTATAACGACATACAATGCTTTGTGCATGGTTTTCGCCTCACACGGCATCGCAGTCTTATACGATCATATGACGACCTATTGAGGGAGCTATCATATTATAATAGCATCCAGTTCATTGGGGCGATTTAGTGTCCCGTACACTCAGTCCCATAACGAAGGCGCTTTTCCATATACGGGCAGCCCATCCCTGGCCGGTTTTCACCATTGGGAAACCTCAAATATGTCTTTGCTACGCAGAGCTACCTGCACTTTGGCAGCACTGAGGCCGAAACAGGCACCTCATGTGGTATCCATCCGTTGGTTTGGTGGTGGTCCGGGCAGTTATGGCCGCGGTGGCCCTGGTCCTCGACGTGGTGACGGTGGTGGACGCGGAAGCCGTCGCCGTGGAGGCGGAGGCCGTTATACAGGGCTACTGGCAGTTGCCTTTGTGGTCGGTGCCGGCGTGTACACCTATTCTTCGATCTCAAGCGACAAAGCCAAGGGCAAGGACCAGCAGCAGCCGCCGTCCAAGGTCATCGTCCCAAAAGCCGAGATCGAGTTTGAGACGGCGCCGTTGACAAGCAACGCCGATATTCGCGAGGTCCTCAGCCCGCAACATCGCCAGGTTAAAAACAGCCTTGAGAACCCCGGTGTCTACGCATGGGGTTCCAATTCCGGCCGCGTGGTGGCGCCTGACTCGACCGACTCATTTATCAAGGAGCCCCGGCGCATTGGTTTCTTTGACGGCCAGATCCTACGCGACCTTAGGCTCGATAGCGAGGTTGGTATTGCGGTAACCGAGGGCGGTGACGTGCTGCAGTGGGGCGTCGGGTACTGGGGAAAGACAGCTACGGCATCCAAGGTGCCTCTGGCGCCTGTGACCACGCTCAAGGGCAAAGATATTCTTAAGGTAGCATTGTCAAACGACCGGGTCATTGCGCTCTCGGCCAACGGTGACGTCTACTCGCTTCCGATATCCAAAGAGGACTCACAGCCGCCCAGTGGGGCAGTGATTGCGCCTACGTCGGGGCCTTCCGAACCGTCGCCTACGCCGGCTGCGTCCTCTTGGTTCTGGAGCAGGCCTACAGACTCGACCAACGCAGCGACCTTTGTGGGCTCCAATGTCCGCAAAAAGACTCCTTCCGGCCTGGGCTGGGGTGAGCGTGTCGTTGACATTCGTGGTGGACAAGAGCACTGCCTGCTGCTGACGTCCAAGGGCCGAGTTTTCTCGGCCGTGTCGAGCATGTCCTCATTTCCCACCAAGGGCCAGCTGGGTGTGCCTGGCCTGAATTGGGAAACGCGTCCCCGCGAGCGCCCGCTGGATGCCCCATATGAAATCTCCGGCCTCAAGGGCATCACTGCGACACAGATTGCTACTGGCGACTACCACTCTCTGGTGCTCGCACGGGACGGCTCGCTCTACAGCTTCGGGGACAACTCAACTGGCCAGCTGGGTATCCCCGCGTCGCCCTTGTTCCCGTCGTCGGATGCCCCTGTTAAGGTGCCTGTAGAGAGGCTCTATGAACTTCCGGGAGACAGCAAGGCCGTCGAGCTAGCGGGCCGCGATGCCAAGGACGGCCGCGCAGCTGTGAGAGTCACATCGATTGCTGCCGGCGGCGCGACTTCGTTTTTCACTGTTGACGTGAAGGAGAAGGCTGCCGGTGGCTGGCAGAAGGGTGGCATTTCGACGTCCTCAGACACTTGGTCGTCCGGCTCGGGCATCTACGGCAGCCTGGGCACAGGCAAGTGGGTGCACATTTCAACGACGGGACCGGGCAAGATCCGTGCGCTCTCGGGCCTGTCGGAGTACAGCGAGGCTCTTGGCGCCTTGGTGCCCATCCGTCCGGCACACATTGAAGTCGGAGCTACGCATGCCAGCGCTGTTCTCGACAACGCCACGCGAGTCGGCGCCTCGCCGTCCTCGCGAGAGAATGCCGATACAAATTGGGGCGCCGACACGCTCTGGTGGGGTGGCAACGAGTACTACCAGCTCGGCACCGGCAAGCGCAACAACCAGAGTGAGCCTGTTCACATCGCACCACTCGATGGTGCTCGGCGGCGCTCCACCGTGACATTGCCGCCCGACAGCACAGCCGCGCAGGCACAGGCCAGTCTGGACTTGGCACGCGAGCGCCTTGCTCTGACGCCGCGGACCACCGTGAGACTGGCTGGCAACGGCCGCAAAGTGAGCATCGAGCAGCGCGTAGTCTGCGGCCGGTACGTGTCGGGCGTGTACTCGGGCGTGTAAGCCACGGCAGGTGGGTTGGAATGGTGGTTCAGGATTAGTTAAAGGAACAGAACGGAACGGGTTTGGCGTAATTGGATCCTCTCGCTCACAATTGGATTGTACGTATATTGTGCATTGTCTGTTTTGTCGTTTCCGATATGATTCCCACAGATTGTGATACGTTGGTTTATTGTTCTATTTTCGACGACGGCCACACACTATACATGATAGCACACGGTGCATGTCTCAACAAAATAAAATAAAAATAAGACGCCCATCTCAGTATTTTTATTTCATTTTTCGCTGTCTTTTATCCCTTCATCTGTTCGAAAGAAGTACGCCACAACTCTGCCTATCATTTTCCCTACGCCGTCAGCAGTTCCCAGGCGATAGGCGCATGAAGCCGTCACGCGCAGGATTGCCGGGATTGCCATGCTGGTGATTCTATTCGCTAGGCGGGCATGATGCGACAACCTGTGAAGGCGTGAGACAGGAGAACAACAGTAGCCACTCAGAAACTCGGGTGCCGCTCTTGCACTGTGATGGACCAACAGCGTGCCTTCCGCCTGCCATCGACGATTTGACCACGGCGGATCGATGCGCAATGGGCTGTTTCCTACTGGTGCATGCGAGATATATATGCACGGCGAACTTGAGCCGCTCCTTCCTTCCATTCGACATGATTTCCCCTTGAGGTTGTGTTGCTCTTGCACATCGCATCGCTCTTGCGCTTTCGTGGGTGCCTCATACCCCTTTTGACAGGATAGTACTAGGCGCTTCTATCCAGGTAGCATTCGCTCTTTCCCAATTGTGTAGACTTCTCTCCGCTTCATCATTACTGGATTTGCGAATTCTGACTCTATACCTTTCCCCTCCTTTTCGTCCGTCCCCCGCCTCCTTTTCGTTTTTCTTGAATCCTTATCTTCGTGACTTTCGACTCTCGTCAGCCCCTGTTCGACCTCCGTCCTCTCATCCGTCTCAGTCCCAAACCCTAGCAGCCTGAATCGTCCATGTGGTTCACGGCCATTTTCGACAACGCCTGGGCAGTGCACGGATAAAACGAGATCTCGATCGATTCTGCATTGTGCTACGGACCTGCGTTCAATTCCTTGTTTCGTCCCGCGTCTTGTCTCTCGATTTTCTCCTTCATCGTTTTGCTCCCATCCGACTCTCCCTGCTTGACCGTTCCATTTCGGCCGACTGCGCTCCTACACCCAGACTACTCGTAAGCTTTCTGAGGCGCGGCACTGTACGTTTCTCGCGCTGCCTGGCAAGGGCCACCTTTTTAGAAATTCCGTCTCCGGAGTCCGCCACGTCTTGGCGTCGCGTTTCCTCAGCGGCTTGCATCCTCAGACGCCAGGACGACCCTAAGACCACGCGCCCGTGTTTCCCCATACAACGCAGTTGTAAGTCAGCCTCGCGTGGAGTGACTGACAGCGGGCGTGAAACAATGTCGAAGAACTAACGGCGTTTCGCTTCAGGATGTGGGGCAGCGGCCTTGGAATGGTTGCCCGTCGCTGAATACGAACAGGCGTTGAGACAGGTAGAAGCTACCAAAAAGAACGCGACACTTGTGAAATCGACTCGAAGCATTGGGGCCAGACGCAAGCCGGTCCCGAATAGAAACTAAGCGTTCTCCCCTCACCCCTGTAACACGCCGCATAAACTCCACAAGGACTGCATCGCTATTGTCTGTTCCCGTTTTCTGGCTTCCCCATTTAAGTTTGTGGGTGGGTGCATCCTTTTATTTCGAATCTCTCGTCGCTCCATTTACTTGTCTTCGCGTCGCTCTTGCTCTTTGCCCCTTTTCTACAACTTTTGCGCAACACTCACTCGACTTACACGGATTACGTTACCAATTCTTTCACCTTTCGGGGGTGGAGACGGGCTGCTTTTCGCTTGCGAACCTCTGCCTTGGTTCTTCGTGAGCTTTTGCGCTCTCGCTTCCATCCAGGACGGAACGCCCCGTTGGCACGATACGATGGACCGCTTCTCCCGCTTCAGACGGCATAAGAAGACCGCTGCGGCGGCAGCAGGAGCAACAGAAGAAAAGCCAGGCGGCCGAACCCATGCACCCACGGACTTGGCGCCACAAACACAGACAGCTGAGCAAAGCCTACCCGCACCGCTCTCTCGCCCCAGGACCTCTGCGGGGCTGTCTGCGCCGACGACAGTTTCACTGGCGACGACGCCCTCTGCAGATACGGGCGAGAACGTCAGACTTATGACTAGCTCCTCACACTTGCCATCCACCTCTTCCTCCTTCATGAGTGTCACCGACGGCGCACCTCTCCCACAAGTTGAGCCCAAGGCGCAGCAGCAGCAAAAGATGCGCGGCCCGCTACGCTCTTCCCGGTCGCCCTTTCGAAACCTTTTGCGCTCCTCGACAAAACGGTCACGAGGGTCGCCGTCCCCAGTCACGGCATCACCACCGCCACCACAGGCTCTCTCTAGATCTCCTACGGCTGGTCTCAGCAGCCAGATGCTGAACATCTCTCTACCATCCGATGGGGACACGCCAGTCTCGCCGATGCGAATAGCACCGAAATACAAGCGCCACTCAGCACAATCGGCTACATCGACCGACATACCCAAAATGCCTGCTTTCCTCAATCTCTCCCCGCAAGGTATGTCCTAACCCGTTCCGCACGTTGGCACAAATTACCCGTCGTATTGTGCTAACTAAGAACTCAGAAATTGAGCACAAGTACCAAGACTTGGTCTGGATGGAGCGCGATCGTTTACAAAACTCTACAACAGCACCAACTGGGCGCTGGACACGTGTGTCCGGACCCCACTTGCGATTGCTCGATCGTTATATGAACGTCCAGCCTTGGGAGAAGAACCGCGTGAAGCTCAAGGTGCCGCCTGGACAGATCGACTACATCAATGCTTCGCCGATTGTTCTTACAACCACAGCTCCTTCGCACGCGCAACGCCCTCCAGATAGATACATCGCCATGCAGGGTCCAAAAATCAGCTCGGTTGACCACGTGTGGCGCATGGTCTACGAACAAATGCGGTCTCCTGCCGTCATTGTCATGTTGACCGAGACACACGACGGCATACAAGAGAAATGCTACCCCTACTTTCCTCGGAGCCCCGATGACTCCCCCATAATGATCAACGACCACGACGAATTCGGGGACGGTTTTCATGCGAGCGTTCACTGTGCGGAAATCGAGGAGACACCATTTGGTGATGCGATTGAGCTTCGGCGCCTTGTTCTTCGTGTGCACAAGAAAGCATCTCCAGCCTCAGCACTCTCTGCAAAGCGGGCCTCAAGTACTAGCAGTCATTCAGCTGGCAATTCTACCAAGGACAAGGACAATACCAATGGGCTCAATGGTGGCGCCAAGAAGGCCACGGATCCGTCCCCAGCAGACAAGGCGATCGGTCTTCGCGTGCCAGCCAAGGACGAAGACGGTGATTCTGTGATGAGCGAAGTGTCGGCCGGATCAGCATCGTCACCAGCGACAGCCATCGACTCTGCATCTGTACCTTCAATTACAGAGACAGACGAAGCCGGCACAAGTAGAGTCATCGATATTAGTGAATACGAAGACGAGCGCATCGTATATCACTTTCTCTTCAAGCGGTGGCCGGATTTTGGTGTGCCTGCAATAGACGATGTGGAGAGTTTCCTCGGCCTCATGCGCTTGTCGGCCGAGAAAAACGCCGATGCCCAGAACCCGCGTATTGTGCACTGCAGCGCAGGTGTCGGGCGCTCAGGCACATTTATCGCTCTGGAGCACCTCCTCCGCGAGCTTGATATGGGCGTGCTCGAAAACTACGACGTCAATTTTCCGCCAAGCGAAGTAGAAGATGTGGACATGGACGGCGCCGACGGTCACAGCGGTCGAGGGCGAATAGCGAACTCAGCACTCCACCAAAATGACTCGGCATCACCAGCGTCTAGTGGTACCGGTACAGTGGACCGGACATCGATCGGATCCAATTTGCTAGGGAGCAAGTCACAGTCGCCATGCGACGCCAACGACCTGATCTACACGACAGTCAACCAGCTCCGCGAGCAGCGGCGCATGATGGTGCAGGGCGAGAGTCAATACCGCTTTATCTACCATGTGCTTCGCAAGCTATGGCTAGAGAAGTACCGGGTTGTCGACAGTGACAACAGCCAAAGCCACGGCCAGAGTCAAAACCAAAGCCAGGGCAGCAATGGCATGGACGACGATGAGGCATCTGAATGCTCAAATGAATTGGAGCCGGCAGCGAAGCGGCTCGAGGTCGACCCAGCGGCCGTAATGAAATGAACGGATTGGTCCCGGCCATACAAATACACAACATCATAGAAAATGGAGGCGAACCGTTTCATTGCATTTGCTATTGCTTAGACCAGGCGTCCTTACTTTCACTCGTATGAAACAGCGACTCAAGACTATATGCACAGCTAGGTTATACTCTTGTTTATCATGGAATACGGCGAACCGAGCTGCGTTTTCTGGTTTCTATTTCTATTTCTTTTTCTTGCTTTCTTTTTTATCGGCATACCATAGCGACGGTGCGGAATGTGCAACTATTTACACTATATACAAAATATAATGTTCTGTCATTCAATAGCGAACCACATTGTGGTTTCAATATTGCTCAATGCCTCACAGGGTTGTTTTGTAAGTTTGCGGCGTCGGAAGAAACTGACCGATGAACCTAGAGGGACGACCACGTCTTTAGTGTCTTCTAACCGGAGGTGATTTTATTTCGTCAGTTTTATTTATTTATCTTCTCAAGTCCCGACGAACAGGCCCGTCCAGATGCCAGGAGGGTTTCAGAGTAGTCGGTAAAGTCGTCTCGTTGTCGTCCTTTTTACCAGCGGAGAGTTTTCCCTAGCTCTCAATAAGCCCACGCGCACACACTGTGAGTCAAGCAGACGAAAACCCCTATGCCATGGCATCCTGTATATGTTTGCCGTGTTCCTGGAGCATTCAAGTACCAGACCCGAGCCGTGCCGTGATTTGCTTTCGTGTTCGCGTTCACTTTCGCACTACAGTCTCTCGGTCCCGCGAAACCCCAAAACCCCCCTGCGCCGTGACGTAGTCACTTGCGTCTTAAGGGACAGCAGCGATGCTAAAATGGGACTTGTCAGAGGAGGGGGGTATGCGGGAGCGAGAAAATAAAGAGAAACTAGAAGGATTAGAGGGATTGGTGGTCTCCATTATGGGTCGGCGGCCCGTCACGAGCGGGAGCGCATGGGAGAACGTACAACATATGTAACCGTACAGAGAGTGACGAGAGAATGCAACGCCGCATTCAATCCCCCCTCCACCCCACCACCTTTAGCGGATACATTTTCACACAGCGAACCGACTTGAGATGCTGGCAAAATGTCACGCATATGAGAAATTTGTCATTTCTCACCGGGCAGTCTCCTTCTGACCCTACACAGAAAGAGATTATAAGGAGGTAGCGAACATGAGACGACAAGCCTCGAAGTGGATGACAGCAAAGGGATGAGCGCAAAAACATGAACGTGACGAGAGTATAATTGGGAGAAGATCACGAATGATGGGACGAACATGGTCCCAAGTGCTTGGAATACGTGGTTCGGTTAAAGAAAGCTGGACTTTATCAGGACGAGAGAAGGTGAGGACGAGTAATGGTTACTGTTTGTTCTATGGCTCTTGTCTCTGTACATTATCTTGAATCTCTTCCCCACTTGCACCCTACCCCGTTCGTCCTTTCATTCTGCACGAAGGTACGGCAGATGAACGGCCCGCGTTTGATGGCCGAGGAAGGTCCCTAAATAGGCACATATTCATTCCTATTTAGGAAGTCCTGCCGAAAAGACCGGTCTGGGGAAGTTACTTTCTTACACGAAGAGGGCAGCGAGGTTCGTTCTACTTCCAGTATTGCCCCGAGTGACTTCCGAGAATATATTGTCACCGGTGTAGAGTTGCACGCAGTTCAAAAGGTGGATTGCCGTGCCGTACCAGTCTCGGCTTTACCTTTGTGACGGGTGGAGTAATTCGAGAGAACCAAAAGGGACAAATGTTACATGCAGACGTTTTGACTTTTTCGATCATCTGCCGTGAGAGTATACGTTGCAAATGGAATACTGACGTTTTGTTATCGAAATTAGAAACGCAAAGGATATGACAGGTGAAATAGACGGCAAATTGCCCAATAATCCTGACAGTACGGAACAATATTCCGCTCTCAATGCTCACGGTCCCTATTATGACATTGTTCAGGAAGCGGAGCTCAGAACAGGAAGTTGCAGATATCTTCTGAGTAATTGACTGGAAGCAAAGAAGCATCTTCCTAGAAAGGGCGGGACAAGGCCACAACTTGCGAATCAGTCCACTCAGTTTTGCCTTCGTCTCGTGGCTGTATTGCTGTATTGTCTAATGCACTCCTCTCCTTTTGATTACCCTAAGGAGGCAGATGCATGTTATCGCGAAATTAGGAAATAAATACAGAATGCGCACTATGCACGCACATGCCATGTGCTGCTTGTGGCCTCGTTGCGCATGGACAGGGAGAGGGACGGCGCGAAATAGTTGCGGCACATGGCACGCAGAACGACATCATCTTGCATAAAATGGATAAGCGCCATTTTTCAATCATTTCATCTTGTCTCGTGGATTTCTCTCTGAAATGTTGTCTGCGAAGGGCATGCAGGTTCGTCGCAATCATGCCGGTTATTCGTTTCGCCGTGCATGGACGTGTTACAACCTCCTAAGAGGACGGCGACGAATTATGCGAGCTTGAGAGGAGCAGACGAAAGACAAAAGAAGACATGCGACGAACAGGTGGACGAACGACAAAGGAGGCGCAACAGACCAGGTAATAGGTCACAGGGTCATTTCCAAGCCATGATGCCTCAGAGGCCTAGATGTTGCAGGGGAGCCTACTTTGATACAGGGAGACTCCTGCACGATACGCCGATCACCACCCAGAAAAGGTAACACGGTCTGCCATGCGTGCCCTACACAGGCGACTGTTGGGTAACAGTATCCTGCCGGCGTCTCCTTTGGCGCGGGTGGGTGATGTCAGATGAACCGAAACCAGAATACTGTGCAAATGAGCAATGTTGGGCAGAATTGGTGAAAGGCAAAAAGCGAACTGCCTCGGGGAGTTTGGAGTGAATGCATCTCCAGTGAGCACTTTGCGTACAATACAAGGTACGAGGCTGTATTAAAGCAGCAAGTTCTTCTGTACGAGACGAATGGACGACAGAAAAAGGAAAAAGATAAAAACAGCAAATCTGCCAGTCACTAGCCTTCCTGTCTCCCGGGAGATATTGGAATTGCTCAGGTGTATCCGGTGCACGGCGGGTACTGTATTCGTCGAGAAGAAAAGGCTCACTGGCGAGAACGAAACTTGGTGCAAATGTGCTTTGCATGATTGGTTGCGCAACGGTAGCCCGTCCCCGTCACATGGAAGAGCGGATCTGTGTCGTGTGTCGATCACAGGCCAAAAAAGACACGGGATTAGGGTTGCATTCGACAGTGTGGGACACAGGCACAGGTACTGCGCAGGCTCTGCACGGGGAAGTGAAAATACTCTGTGAAGTCGATACGGCCCAGAATATGATGTGTTCTCGCTGCTGGCGTCACCTCCTGTTCGCTCCGTTGTCACCCGCCGAGGTCACTCCATCACAAGTCGTCACATTTGCCGTGCATTTGCCATGGCCTTTCGCCAGGACCACGAGAGGTGACTTGCATGTGGCAGAGTGTCGACCGAAGAGGCTGATTTCACCGATCGATGCGTGTCGGAGGTGCTGTCGCTTGTCGTTCTCGTTTCCATCCCTCGTAGTGTAGAATCATATTTCTAAACATAGTCTTGGGTAGGACACAGGTCGCACGCAAGTGCTAGTATGTGCCACGTAATTACGTTGCATATCCTCACGGTCGAACTTGTACGTAGAGAGTGTCGAGACAAAGTGCTCAAGGATCTGTTCTGTACTCCCTCAGATACTGTTCATATTCGGCATCTGTGGGCAAGTCCTGTGCTAGCACGGCGTCGGAAGGCAAGCACGATGTTCTTCCCGCTGGCTTTCCCTTTCGGACAGAAGAAACGATCCGACAGACGCGGTGAAGAAAGATCAATGGTGACAAATTCTCGCATGCGGAAAGAGCCACCACATGCAGTCAGCCGGACCTTCCCTTCTTCACCGCACCCAATTATTTTTAAGCGTGCGCATATACCCGCCCCTTCCCGAGCACAGCATCGCTCCTGCTTGTTACCTTACGTACTCCGTAGTCTCCGAAAAGTCGAGTTCATCCTTTCTTTCGCCGACCTCGCCTCAAAAAGGAAAGCAGTCAAATCTCCCAACAACACCAAATACAAAACTACACAGATTCGTTCCTATTCCTTGCCCCTGTCACCCCTGATTTTATGAGAAGTGACACGGCCATGTGGAAAGAGCAGGGCTTCAAAACACTGGCACCGTTCAGTGCGTGAGAAAAGTCCAAGAAGCAAAAAGCCACGAGGAAAGACATGGCGATGCGACGTTATATTACGACGTTGTTTTGAGGCACGGCGAAATTGTGCCGTCGAGCATTTTCCACTTCTGACAGGCCCTTTCAACATCAGGGGCCTGGCCTGGTCAACAGCCCCGTTTCGTGGACCCCTCCCCCCCTGCTAAACTATTTCTGCCCAATCCAAGGGTGCAATAGTCAACGTCTGGAAGCCTTCCCGATAGAGTATGACGGAGCGGAGCTACTAAGAAATAGAGCTGACCTTTTCTGCACGTCTCTGCAAGGAACCATGTGTCACGTATTCGATTCCGCCTTTTTTTGTTTTTGCTATTCTCTTGCCTGCCGAATTGTTCATTCTCGTCCCATATTAATTGGCAAATTGTCGTGCGCCACGAAACGTTATGGTCTCTGCGAGGTATGGATTTCGTTGTATCATCTGTTACGCGTCACCTTGGCACCTCGATTCGTCTCTGGGCCTGTCGGTCCTTGGCTTCCGGGGATTCTCCGATGTTTTGTGTTTTCCACGGCCTCGTTATTTCGTCCCCACCCACTCTGTTTTTCAGGGTCTGTTCAGCTGGCGAAAGTACTTTCCCGCCCACCAAGCCCGGCCATTTCCACGGGAGATTCGAGACCCTGGCATCTGCCGTCTAGTCTCGCTACTGTGTCACGCATGCGTTTTCTCGAAACATCCGAGTCATTTCAAAGATCTTCTTTGATATGTCGTACGGAGTATTGTATACGGATATTCCCAACTGCTTCTCTTGTATTGTTGCTTTCTGTTCGTCGCTAGTCGACTGCACCGAAGCCGGAAGGCGTCCTCAATCGGAGCATTTTGAATACAGTGTTGGAACCTCCATTTGCCGGGTGTTTACACTACCCGACCAATACGCCAGCATGCAGGGTCCAATCCTCGATTTAACCACTCGGTATTTTGCCATGTGTCTTCAAGCTCTTCCAGCTCCTTCCAGTTGGCGTAGTTTATTCGCTGTTTCGAGCACTGGCCATGCCAACCTCCTCTGCCCGGTTTCCAGCAGAAAAGACGGAAAAGTTGTCCTTACGTCTCTTTTACTTTACCTTCGACGTGTCTTCTCTCCGCCGCCACGCCAATTTTTTTTTTAAAAAAAATTTGTTCGTTGTGCCGCATTTTAATTCTCACGCAGGAGCTGCATCCCAAAACGGGTCCATACTTGTATGTAATAGCGTTTGCTTGTACATTCCCAATCCACGTTCTGTTTTCCTTTCTGCTTCTAGCGCCTTTCCAAATGGCAACTACAAAGTCGTGACACTGCAAGAATCATGACAAACCCAAAAAAGCCCGCCACCAACATCCGGGCTGCCGTACGCTAACGCTCTGTTGGCTTGGCTCGGTTCCTGGCCCTGGCTGGCTTTGCCCGGCTGGTTGGTTCCTTTTGGTTGGCGCTCCTTTCGAGGCTTTGTAAGCTTTGGCTGCGCATTGGCGGTTCTTGTCTTGTCAAGCGATGCCACTCCCAAAAGTCCAAAATGCCTTCAAACTCTAAAGTACAACGTAATTGTTTCCTCAGCTGCTATCGTCCTTCTTGACAGTTTCTTCCGGCGCCTCTAAGGACTCCCTTGCGAACTGTTCCCATTGTGACAGATGAGGGATTGGCTCTCCGTTCTCCGTCGCTTCACAACGGCGTACGCTAACATGATATGGCCGTGGGAAATATGGGACATATCCACTTTCGGCCCTGTGCGGTTTGATTGCCTCCAGCGTTGCTGCAGTGGGCATAACAAGGTGCAATAGCCCCACGCATTACGTCTGTCAACTACGAAGTAGTCGTTTTGAGAACCCAGTTTTTTGCTCCTTTCCCTTGACGACTTGCCCAAGACAGCTTTGCCCCCATTTGTCCACTACCCCCATACCCCCGTTCGTCATCGGTACGGAGTATTACTCGTTACCAGCCGATCGGGGCCTACGCCACTGACCTGGAACCTCTCAGAAGCACGGTGTCTGTGTCTGTCGGAGTCTTTGGTAAAGGGGCGTCAGGCGGTTATCAGGAGAGAACGTCAGCGCGGGAATATCGTGGCACATGAATGAGCAAGGCGGCCAAAGAAGTGGACCACACTTGGAGGACCAAAAAGAGAATTGAGGACACAAGAGGCAAAGGCGCACACTAAGACGGCTGCTCATCATGGTCTGACCATCAGATGGCACTTGGGATCCCAGAGGTCGTCGCCCTATCGTAACTGGTTCTTTGTTAATAAATCGCTAAGACGCCGGGCCTAGCTCGTCCTGGTCTGGCCTGGCCGCCTCCGTCTCGTCTCTGGGGCCTGGCCATCACAATGCGTTTTGGCTTGTCGCGAATGCAGAAGAACGACCCCGCCCTACCCGATTTTTGGAGACCAAAGGGTGAGGCGAAAAGGAAGCTGATCCTGTGTGGAATTGAGGACGGGAGAGAAGGAAGGAATAAAGACGGACAGAGTGGCCTGGAGCAAATGAGTTCTTGTTCACACCGTCTGGCATTTTCATCTCGTGTCTCGCCAGCTCGTCCCCTCCCTTGCCTTCTTTCCGTGTTTTGGATATTCCCATCCATCCCACACGCTCTCCACCGAGGCATTAGAGCTGCCACACCCCAGCACATGCGCACACCTCCTTACGCCGGGACGCTCCTGCTTCCATCCGCGGCCTTGGTTCGTTGCTGCTCTTGACCTTGGTTTCCTTGCGTCGCTCGGCGCCACGGAAGGAGCCACTGTCTTTTCCCCGGGTCGTTCTTTCCTTCTTTCGTATTCTTCTTTTCCTGTCCCGACTGGCTGCGACCGCCTTCTTCTACTTCTGTTTTTCGTCCTCCTGCCGTTTTTGCCCCTCCGTGCGACCGCAAGACATACGAGACACCGTCGAGCCTTGACCTCCCGACCGCTCCTTCCACTTTGCCCTGCACGCTCTTCTTTGTCCTGTTCGTCCCTTTTCCTCCTTCCTTCGACATACATAACGCCGCTCCCACGCCTCCCTTCGACGTCGGACATGCTGCCTCGCTTTCGCTTTCCTCCTCGCCCACCTCCTTCCGTCGCAGCAGCACCCCTGGCGCCATTCCGATTCTCGCCTGTCGCTTCCCCGTTGGCCGGAGTCCTCTGAGCCAAATCAGAAAGCAATCACACGCTGCTGCCCACCACCACACCGCGACCCCAACCAGCCTGCAGCACAACCACCGCGCACTAATACGACACGAGCGAGTGTGTATGCAATACGGAGTACATTCGTACACTGGCCATATTTACGACAAAGAAACATCCCGGACCGGTTGGTATAAGGAAAAGGCCTGGGTGGCATTCGCCGACGAGACCGAGGCCGGACATTCGTTCCTTCCTCGTCTGATCAAATATCTCAAGCAACACGATCCTTCCTCTATGGACATGAATTAAACTACTTCTACGTCGTACGCCTCCCTGCCTGTTGCTCCTTCCTCGCCAATCGCTCGTTTTCGTTGCAGCGTTGCCCTCTATCCCTTCCCACCCAATTCTGATCATCGCTCGAAACCCCCACGATCTCGACGCCCTCATCTCTCCTTTGTTTTCCACGTTTTCTTCAACGGCCGCCACCACAGCACCAGATTCAGCGACAAAACGCCCCCCGGCCTGACCGACCTGCACGATCATCGTGGGCTGCAGCCGATAAGATAGCCACCAGTGGGCGTCTCGGCCAGCCATGACGTCGATTGTAAGTTGACTTGCAGCATGCATCCCACGCGCATCTTCACCTCCCGCTCGCTTTTGGACCAAGATGCCCTCGTGTTGCCCTTCCTCGTCTATCTTTTTATGCTTTGTTCTCGTTCTGTTGTTTCGTTGTCACTTTGCTCTACTATATCACCCTTGGTTCTCTGTATCCTTTGCCCACGTTTTCTCTCCTTTTTTTTCCTTTTGAGTCGCACACCCGTACACCTGGCACTCTCTTTTCTATCCCCTTGCGTTTCGCTGTACTTCGTATCTTTTGACGGCTCCTGGTTGGCGCCTCAGTCCAGACACGTGCTGGTTCGTTCCTTTGTCCTGTTTGCCTGCGTACACAAAGACCAAACCGGCCTCTGAGTCCACCCCCACGACAGTCGCCCATCGCGACACGGAATCATCGTTTACTACGGCCTCCGCCATATCTCATCCGCTCGCCGTCTGGGGCTCTCGTTTGCTGTTCTCTCGCCTGGCTCACCGCCTCGTCCGAAAAAGTCACCCATGACACTCGCACATGCATCCACCAACCCACAATCACTCACACGCAAATGTCCAAACTGCCAACCAACTCGCACATACACAGCACACCAACATGCACCTTGCATCTGCGCCGCATGCACTCTCTGCACGTCTCGTTCGTCCAACGGCAACACACAGCAAACTGGAGCAAGCACGCACGGTGCCCCATGACACACATCGCGCCACTGAGCGACACGCGAAATAGGCACACCGAGCGAGCGAGAGCCGAACTGCCCAACAGCGCCCCCAAATAAGCAGCGACAATACGAATGGACAAACGGCAGAGTGCAAGCCACAACAGCACGGGCGAGCAGCCAGCAGAGCTCGCATCTCTCGTTCACACCCGTCTCCCGGTGATACAACCATAATCGCAAGCAGGGTGATACGCAACTGAGACCAACACTGTGACTCCGTCATTCGTCACATCTGTATCCGTCGCCGGCTCTCGCTCTTCTCGCTTTGTTTGCCTAGTTTTCTTTTGTGATGTCGTTTGCTCTTGTTTGGCTCTCTGCGCACACCCAACGGTGCACAACAAACACATCCGTCCTTCCAGCTTGGCGATTCGGCTTGACCCCCACCCTCAGGTTCATTTCGAGAATCTCCAGCAGACATCTCACATTCGCCCCTCTCCCCCTCACCCAGGTTCCCCTTTTTTCATCCCACTTTGTATCCCTCCCCCCCCCCCCCCCCCACGTCCCACGATTCATGACGCCGAGACACTTCCTCGCAATACACCACGTTGTCCCACATGGTCCTGCCCAGGCTTTGGTTTCGACGGGCTCGGCCACCAGAGCTAGCGTTGCGCACGCCTTCTTTCTCTCAGCTAGTTTGTCGTTTGCCTTCATGGGTTGGTCATCATATGTCTTGTACCCAATCTTATCAGGGCTTCGTTTGTGTTGTTGAAAAGGAAAGGATCCGTTGACCATACTTTTCCGCCCTTTCTTCATAGTTGAAACTCCCAATTTTGTGGCGTTGTTGCACCAGAAACACTTGCACGCCCCTTTCGTTTGCCTCTCTTATCACGTACCCGTCCTTCGTTTCTCATCCTTTGTACCCCTCATGCTTATTTCTGGGCCTGCATGTGCATCTCTCTTCTGTCTTGCGGTTGGCTTCGTTTCCTCGGTTCCGTGGCTCTTGTTGCTCGATGCGGTCATCTGATTCCGCCTCGAAAAGTTGTGGCAAGGACAATACCAGAGACCAGAAAAGCTTATTTGCTCCTATTGGCACCGTAATTACTTTTCCCGTTCGTCCCGGCGGCGTTCTTCCCTCCATGCCTTCGCCTCCCGTTTTATTACCTCCTTCCCTTCTTCTAGACCTTCCCGCTCACCCCTTTCTTTTTCATAACACACCCCTTCTTATTGTTTGACCTTTGGTCGTCGTCTTGTATATTTGCCACACTTACTCCCCTGGCTCCTCGTCTCCCATTCTGCCCATCATCTCGTCTGAGGCTTCTGAAGATGACAAAAATGCGCACGACTTGCACTTCCTTCACCAACATTGGGCATCCAGTTCCGAGACCAAACGCAAAACCGTCGCCATGATGCTAATATCAAATTTCCAGCTATGTCTCGCGCACTTTTGCGAGGTGCACGGCCCTACGCCGCTAATGGTCACAGAGGGCCTGCCCGTAAAGTGCAGCTCTTGCGACGACCATGACGCACCCGATATCATGTCCGCTGTCGCCTCAGCGGTATCCTCCATCACATCCTCGCCTTCCTCCTCATCTACACCTCACGCCGCCGCCACAGCAGCGACCGTCGCAGTTGCCGGTGCACTCCGTAAGATGAGCCTTGGCCAGCCGTCACTGCGCAGTCTACCTGACAGCGAAGACCGGCCATCGTCACCTGCGGATATCCCGACAGCAAGTGCTTCGCGCCGCTCTCCTCGCTCCTCGGCATCACCAAAAGACGTGCAGAAACAGGCGCAGACCCAGCCAATACCGTCTCAAAAATCACGCGTAGATCCCGCGACGAGCAACTTTCGCAAAACCTACGACGAGTCGGTCACAAAGCGCGCGATCCCTTGTGACAACTGCGCCATGACACTTCCCGGTGGCATCAACTCTGGTAGCAACACGGGAACAAGGAACCCCAATGGCGGCGGCAGCACCAGTGCGCCTGGCAGCAGTAACACGGATACTCGTAATCCTACGCTGCGGACGCGTGTCCCTTGCGCGCGCGTGTATGACGGCGCACCAGGTGATGCTTCGCCCCGCCTCCTCCATCCTTCCTCATCCTCTGCGTCATCGTCGACATCTTCCGACGCCGAGGGCGACGAACGGCAATCATCACAACTCCATCGCAACCACCACCGCCGTACGGGTACCATGACGTCCGTAGGGACATCACGCTCCAGCACGTCATCGTCGGCATCTCACCTAATGAGCAGCCATACCCACTACATGAACTACACGTCGACGCACGAGCCTGTGTCGGCCAAAGCCTTTGGCAACATCCGCGCTTCGTGCCTGCGCACACTCACCTTGGAGACACTCCCACGCAGCCCGGCGTCATCAGCCATGGCAGCCAGCGGCGGTATGTTTGCGACCACGTCGCAGCCTACAACCCCTCTGCCGCTCGGGGCCACATCCTACTTTACCTCTAATCCCCACAGCGCCGCCAGCGCGTCGGCTACAGCTGCAGCAGCTGCTAATGGTGGCCCCTTGTTCTTCGGCGACTCGGAGACCGGCTACACGACTGCCCATGTGTTCCGTGTGGCCGACGTGCACGCCCGCGGCCATAAGCGTATGTATGCGCTCATCGCGCTCAACACACACCGCGAGCGCACGGCTATGAAGGCTTTTGGCTTCGTCTCGGCTGCCTTCAACGACTTGGCCACCTGGATCCAGCACCTGGCCGATGCGGAGGCAGAGCGTGTTGCGCCGCACAATGAGTCGCCGGCCACGTCTTCACCCTCGGGCGACAGCAGTCCGTTGGCAAACACGAATCCAGCTTTCGGTTTCGATCGCTCGCCGCATGTGTCCCCACCACCCACGCAGCCATCGTCGGTCGCCAACGACAGCGGCAGTAGCTTCCTCGTCGCTGCGGGCAATGGCCTATCGCGCCGTATGGGCCCTGGTTTTGCAGGCTATGGCGGTCTCGGCAGCTCGACTGCGGCGTCGGTGCGTGCCCGTGGACTTCCTGAGATCCTAGGTATGCCTGACTTCTTTATCGAGCTGCACGCACGCTTTGTGCGTCTCCTTTTGGAGTTGGGCGTGGCTCTGAACCAGTGAGAGAGCCAGGAGCCTCTGCCCTCTCACTGCAATCGATTTACTACTTCTTTTTAATATTTTATTCAACTCTACTTCTCATATCAACAACGGTCCCTGAATCGGCAGGCCCGGTATCACATGAAGGGGGCCACGTTGGTCCTGTACAATTCACGCACCTTTTGTTTTCGACATGTCTTCATCCCCCAAACCTCATCTCGCCACCCAACAGCACCTTGCCTTCATATGGCCGTTCATATTAGGACTATATTTTAATGTGTTGGCGATAACACTGGACTTGGAAAGATGGGATGCATTGGATGGGGATGTTTGCCGCGAACGCCTCTACGATGATGACTATTTAGATTTTTTGATGCCTTTTTGGAGCATTTTTTAGAAACACTACAGCGTCTGCATTTATGCGACATGGAAACAGCAATGGAAACCAAGGGGCCACATTTTTGTGTTATATAGATTGGTTTTTTGTTCTGTTACACGGGACAAATAGGGAAAGGGATACATAGGAGATGGATATACCCTGTTTGGTTTCACGTTTTGTAACTTTACGTCGATAAATAACAAATGCTTCTCGACGTACCAAACTATGGAAAGGTGGTCCCGTCATTCCTGTCTCGCCTCCTGTTCTGTCGTTTCAATTCGCCGTAATACACGAGCTTCGTCTGAAGAAACGCGGCTGCGATAACTACGACTGGTTGTTTAGGAGCCTTTATTACTAACCTGCCTAGTAGAAAAGCAGGTCTCTATACTTATTAATTCTCATTTTTCATTTTTTAGAAAAGAGAAAAAAAATTAAACATAGTGAAAAAATAAAGACATTTTATATATACCTTATCACACATTTTAAGTCTCGCGTCTTTCCTTAAAGAACAGATCATATGGAAAATAACAATGCTAGAAAACGGGCCTCATAGAAGATATATTCAGGGGTCGGCCGTGAAATAAATAATTCAGGCCTTATGTTACGATAATTTGAGCACGGTATTGCTAAATGCTTCGCATTGTGAAAAGAGACAGAGGGAAGTCAAAATAGTGTACAAGAGGGGGTGCTTCGTTTGGATTTTTACATCAATGCCCTTGCGAAAATATGTCCATATACTCCAAACCTGATAGACAAGCTCCGCCCTGAATCCCATTATCGATGAATGCCGCTTCTCCCGTTCCACAACCACCCACATGGAAAAAAAAAGTGCGTCTATTTGTAGAAATCAAACTTGTTCTCATCGCTCGTGGTCTTCACCTGGCTGGAGTAGGCGTCCTCCAGATCCACCTGGATAATGTTGTATCGGTTCTTGCGTACTGCCCGCAGGCCCGCCTCCTGCATGATCGCCGCAATGACCGCACCCGACAGGGGATCGTTGCGCACAATCAGGCTGTCCAGGTCGACCTCCGGTGCCAGGCTCATCTTGGATGCAATTGTGGAGAAAATGAGACGGCGCTCCCGACGGTCGCGCAGCGAGGGGAACTCGATTTTGCGATCGAGACGACCGGGCCGCAGCAGGGCAGGATCCAGTGTGTCGGCACGGTTCGTCGCCATGATGACCTTGACGTTGGCCGTCTGGTCGAAGCCGTCCATCTGGTTCAGCAGCTCCAGCAGGATACGCTGCACCTCACGATCGGCACCGGTCTGCGCATCGAAACGCTTCGTGGCAATAGCATCGATTTCGTCAATGAAAATGATGGCAGGGGCATTCTCACGCGCCATGCGGAAGACATCGCGCACCATGCGAGGCCCTTCACCCAGATACTTCTGAACAAACTCGGAGCCGACAACACGGATGAAGTTGGCCGTGGTCGAGTTGGCCACGGCCTTGACCAGCATGGTCTTTCCCGTACCAGGAGGACCGTACAGAAGCACACCGCGCGGCGGATCGATACCGATCTGTTTGTAGAGGTCAAAGTGGGTGAGGGGCAGCTCGACGGCTTCGCGGATCTCCTGCTTCTGCATGTCTAGGCCGCCAACGTCGGCGTACGTCACATCGGGTTTCTCGTCCGAGCCCAGCATGGCGATGGAGGAGTCGGCCTCGGGTGGCAGGATGTCGACAAGGGCATTCGAGTGCCGGTGTAGCGCGACAGACGAGGAGGGCTTGAGCAGTTCGCGGTCGAGGGTGGACAGGATGCGGACGACATAGTTGGAGCCGGTCGACGATTGCACGATGCCAGTGTTTTGGTCGATAGCCTCCATGAACTGGCCGATGACAAGCGGCACGCTCTGGATGCGCTTGATCTCCTCTTGTGCGCGGACAAGTTCGCGCTTGAGGCTTCTGCAGCGACGGAGGGGAATCGTATTGTTAGAAATGGCGTGCTCGCGACCACTGGACCTGGGACGGGCTTTCTCCGTTACGGTGCACCTACCTCTGCTCATCCTTGATGTATTCCTCCTGCAGCTGGATGTACTCAAGCTGTCCCTGCAGCTTCTTCAGCGTCCCATACTCGTCGCCGCCCTCGACGGCCGCGCCTTCGAAGTTGCCCAAGCCCGGTAATGTTGACGGGGCCGTCTTCTTGTGCGGTGCCGCGTGGCTGCCCAGAGGCGCCTCAATCAGGGTGTCGCCCATGGTGGTCAACGAAGTGGATGGTGATGAAAGGACAGGAGGATTGCGGGTATGGCGAGGGCAGACGAAAACAAGTCGAGCGTCACTGCTTTGTGAGCAAGTGGCGAGGGCCGAGTGTCCTGAATCTCAGGAAAGTCGGAGACGAATAGTCGCTAAATGCCCAAACAAAGTAATACGGTTCGTGGTATATTGAGATTGAGTTCGTCGCGGATGATGTCGTGATCGGAGTGGGTGTTGTGCTGATGGCGAGAAATGCGTGGAAGGGGAGAAGTCGGTGGAAATGGCTGGCGCAAGTTTACGCTTTGATGCTGCTGTGCAAACCGACGCGGCAGGTTGTCAGCCTGAGCTCCCCCCGGCCAGTCGGACCCATAGTGCACGTGACAATAATCACGTGCAAAATTCGCACTACAGACTGCCAATGGAGGTCTAGGCCCGATCAGCGATAGCGCTCTTAGCGTGTCGTCGACCACTGGCCATTCCACCTTCTAATGCGCCTGGAACCGTCACGGTGGGTGGTAGAGGTGGCAGGAGCGACAAGCTGATTGGGCCGACTCCGAAATCGCTGAGCTCCCCCACCATAACTTTTTTCAGTCATTCGTCTTTTGGTCTTGCGCCTATGAGCGAGCCATTGACTCTTATTAGTTCAACGCAATTTTTTCCTGGCCGTCCGGGTTTTCGCTCATACATAGTTTCCTTCTCTCGCTCTCCCCCGTTCTCTTTGTCTTCTCTTCGTTTTCACCCCCAGATTTTGCTCTCCGAAGATCATTGTCCCCCTCCATTGCCAATTTGCATTATTGCATCACCAGCTTCATTTTTTTTATATCCCCTCGCAATTCTACGCACGTCACCTTTCGCCATGTCTACCTACGCCCTCCCGCAGTCTCACAAGGAGGTGAGTCGGCCATTGCTCCGTGACGAGAGCTCCAGGCACCCTTCCACTTGCTACCTGAGCGTTGACGCTGGTATGCTAACAATGGTTACAGATGCTCGAGAAGTCTCTTCTCGAGACCGACCCTGAGGTCGCTGAGATCATGGTACGTTTTGCCCCTCCCCGTGTCGCCTGGTACGCATGTTCGTTGGTCTCGGCCAACTTGCTGACCCCCCCTTGCAGAGGCGTGAGATCCAGCGGCAGCGCGAGTCCATCATTCTGATCGCCTCGGAGAACGTCACCTCGCGCGCCGTCTTCGATGCCCTTGGCTCGCCCATGTCCAACAAGTACTCCGAGGGTCTCCCCGGTGCCCGCTACTACGGTGGCAACCAACATATCGACGAGGTGGAGCTGTTGTGCCAGAAGCGTGCTCTTGAGGCCTTCCACCTTGATAGCGAGAAGTGGGGCGTCAACGTCCAGTGCCTCAGTGGCAGCCCTGCCAACCTGCAGGTGTACCAGGCCCTCATGCCCGTCCACGGCCGCCTCATGGGCCTCGACCTGCCCCACGGCGGCCATCTGAGCCACGGCTACCAGACCCCCCAAAAGAAGATCTCGGCTGTCTCCACCTACTTCGAGACCATGCCGTACCGCGTCGACATTGAGACGGGCATCATCGACTACGACACCCTGGAGAAGAATGCCCAGCTGTTCCGCCCCAAGATCCTTGTTGCCGGCACCTCGGCCTACTGCCGCCTGATTGACTACGCTCGCATGCGCAAGATTGCCGACTCCGTTGGTGCCTACCTGGTTGTCGACATGGCCCACATCTCGGGTCTGATCGCTGCTGGCGTTATCCCCTCGCCCTTTGAGTACGCCGACGTCGTCACCACCACCACCCACAAGTCGCTCCGTGGTCCCCGCGGTGCCATGATCTTCTTCCGCAAGGGCGTCCGCTCGGTCGATGCCAAGGGCAAGCAGACGCTCTACGACCTGGAGAACCCCATCAACTTCTCTGTGTTCCCCGGCCACCAGGGTGGCCCGCACAACCACACCATCACAGCTCTGACCGTTGCCCTGAAGCAGGCTGCGTCACCCGACTTCAAGGCCTACCAACAGCAGGTTGTGGACAACGCCAAGGCTCTGGAGGTCACCTTCAAGAAGCTTGGCCACAAGCTGGTGTCGGACGGCACTGACTCGCACATGGTCCTGCTGGACCTGCGCCAATTTTCTCTGGACGGCGCCCGTGTTGAGGCCGTCCTTGAGCAGATCAACATTGCCTGCAACAAGAACAGCATTCCCGGCGACAAGAGCGCCCTGACCCCCTGCGGTATCCGCATCGGCACTCCGGCCATGACCAGCCGCGGCTTCGGCACGGCTGATTTCGAGCGCGTCGCCAACTACATTGACCAGGCCGTCAAGATCTGCAAGGAGGTCCAGGCTGCCCTCCCCAAGGAGGCCAACAAGCTCAAGGACTTCAAGGTCAAGGTCGCCAGCGGCGAGGTCGAGAAGATTAACGCTCTCAAGAAGGATATTGCTGCTTGGTCGAGCGGCTTCCCCCTGCCCGTTGAGGGCTGGCGCGTCGATGCTGGCATCTAAGCGTTTTTGCCAGCGGTCACATAAGGGGGGCGAGTTGGTGGGGGGAGAAGGATATATCCGGGACGAGAAAGCCATTGCTGGTACTTTTCGGTCTCTTCAACAACAGCGCGGGTTTTCGTTTTCATACTTTGGGCGAGTTTCAACAAAATGGGATTTTCAAAAAAGATATTGGGACAGGGACCATGGGGATTGGAGGGCCTTTCCCCATCTATGCATTTTTTACTTCGACGTATTTGTTTATGACTTTCAACAGCGACGAAAGTTGATTTCCTCCTTCCTCCTCTTCTACTTTCAACAAAGTAACAAATCCACGAGGACATTGCATGTGGTGTTGTTTGCATTTGCTGGTTTTTATTCCATACCATTTTTTATCATCTAGTTATCATCTAGTTATCATCATGGGGCACAAGATGTACAAAAAAGACAGTGACGCTCTGTATCCTTTCTTCTCAAAAAGTTCTCAACTATGTGACTTACGACTAAAGCGATGTCGCCGGACAACTGGCAGACGAGGAGAAACACATACCGCCTGCATCGTATCTGCAGATGCACTGTGTAGATTTCGCTAAACAGCGGAGACAGACACCGACCAGGGTCCACTACTCACTGCCGAAAACTGAAACGACGATGAGCGCCTGCCACTTTGTGTGATAAACGGAACTGACCTGCGAATGGCGCTTGAGCTGTGCTGGTAGCCTCCCATAGGCTGCCGTGGGAAGGAACGATTGGACAAGAATGCAGGGGCACGATGACGTGGGACGCAGCTTCCCGTTGCCGGCCTTGCACCCGTACGAGATAATGCGACACGAACATCAACCAGTTTCTGTTTTTACTTTTTTCTTTTTTTTTTAAAAAAAAAAAAAATCTTCTCAAAGAGGTCATTTTTGAACGGTACAACGTAGACGTTGACCAACTAGCCATCTCATGAGCTTTCACTTGTCTTTTCCTCTTTTGGCAAGATTGTAAAAGCGGTCCAGGAGGGTGGAGATGGAAGAGTGGGGCGTATTTGATTTGCCGGTGTGATTCACGCCAACTAGGGTCAGATGCTCGCCAGTCGCATCGCTCTTCCCTCATTTGTTCGGACGAATGAGCATGGGCAAGAAAAGGAAAGAACAATCTGCATAATTGAACGGTGCACGTCTAGACGTATGGACGTAGGACGAAGCGGTGCAGCTCCGCCTGGGCCGCCCCCCAGTAACAACGAATTGGACAAGCCGAGATACAGCTGTATGCACACTACACTGGTCAAGTGAAATATAGAAGCTCTACCTGTCAAAAAGCGAAGGGCAGGATGCAAGGGGACCGCCAAACGGTGCAGTCACTGTTGTTCAATGCTGCCCAGCTTGAAAACAACCACACGACCTGTCGTGTGGATGGCCCTGGGCCGCCTTGCACGACTCCTTGGCTTTATCATGTTTGGGTCGTGTGTGGGCAGCCTCATTAAGTAGCCTATGTGCCCACTTTTATTGTACGGATGGGGTGTGGGGTGGGCAGTTGGCAGAGGGGCCAGGCTCAGCCATGACCGCATTTCCAGGCGGATTACGGAGTCCGTCCTTGTATTTCGTACACTGTGTGGGAGTTGTATCTGACAGGTAGGGAAGGAGAGAAGCAGATACGCATTTGGACGCCGTGCGGATAGGCAGGAGCAAGGCAGGAGGCAGGAGGCAGGAGGCAGGAGGCAGGAGGCAGGAGGCACCACCGTAGAAAGAGCGATGAATGAGGGTGGCCTCATTCCCTTACATGTTCCCACAGTTCCAACGGGTGACCATCTTCTCTTCTCTCTTCATACTTATTTTCGTCTCTCCCGCCACTTCGTTTTTTCCCTTCATCCCTCTGTCCTTTTGTTCATCGTTCCTCGTGCACACTCTGTCACAAGCTAGCTCCCCTGTTTCCGCCTGCAGCCGCCTCGTGGCCCCCTTCCCTGGGATAAGCCTCGTCGAAACAGTCGTGCTGTTTTACCGGATTCGTTGCTCTCGTTTCGCCGCTCCCTTTGGCTCGCTGGCTCGCCGGTACTCCTCACTTGCGGCCCTCTGCCTCGTGCTTTGTCAACCCTGCTTGATTCTGTTTCTCACATCTCCTCTTTTCGTCGCCCTTGCTATCCTCGTTCTCGTTCTCCTCCCCCCGATAGTCTTCGTCGCTTTTTTTGTTTTAAAACCGTGCGGACAACTTTAACTCGTTCGGGCACTGCCTCTGGCCTTCGCTTTCTATCGCTGTTCTTCCTCTTACTCGACTCGGTTTAGCTTTCTCCGCGCCTTATCTAAGGGACCTACACGCTTGATCTACCGTTGGCTTCCTATCTCGCCTTTTCAGAACCCTCTGTCGCCACCTCCACTCGAAACCCTTCCTCTCCGCTCCATGACCCCGTTGGTCTTTGTTTCCGACACTTATTGCACCAAATCGAGCGAACAGTCATTCGCAACACGAACCAGTCATCCCGACCAGTCCCGACTTAGCTTGATTCGAGCACACCCGAGTTGCCCTCGTACAGCGAACTCTACACATTTCTCGACAATCTTCTCCGAGTCGACCAGAACTATAACCAAGTTGAACACAAACCTACGAGATCCAAGCGGTTGTTTGTCACGACCATGTCGTCCTCAATCAACATCCCCACCGCGTCCTCTGCGACAAGCAGCCGCCGTAAACTCCGCAGCGACAACCAACCCCGCCACCAGCACCATCTACGATCGATGGATGCCACACTTGGCTCTCCTGTTTCGTCGTTACCCATGACGCCCTCGTCTTCTGCTTCTTCCTCCTCACCTTCCTCGTCGACAGCATCTTCTGTGTATTCCGCAACACCGACCCGCATCCACAAGTCCAAGAAGGGCAAGGGTGTCATGCCACCCGCTCCACCTGTCCCGCCAACGCGAATTGAGGAGAAGGTAAACCAGCGGATGAGCCACGTACGCCGACCAAGCCTTCTCGGTACGTTTCTGACTCTCTCTTGCTCTCTCTCTCTCATTTACCCTCCATGAGGATGCTTATGCAACCGTTATCTTATTTGTGTTGGATAGAATGGCTGACTTAAAACTAGGGCCTGCCATTGCACAAGAGGAAGCACGTGTCATCAACATTGGCGATCCGGACGGCCCTCAAAGATTGGTAAGTTGCACGGCGAGGTCGAGACGACCACTACTAGGTCCGGTTGGCATGCTGACTTGTGTTGATAGATCTCCTACCTGACCTCCAGTCAAGGCTTCGAGTGGAACCCTGGTAAGTCTTTGGCTGTTCGGGGGATGTAGACATTTATGGCTGTCCGTCTTGTTCATTTACTGATTCTGGGGCATCTAGAAATCTTCATTCCATCTTACATCGACTGCGACTACACTCCTCTGGACCACCGGCCGCGAGAGCCAATCCACGAGATCTTCCTCAGTGACGAGGAAATCGAGCAGATGTTCCCGAAGTAATCCCCACTTAGTTTACTTACACGACGACTACCTTTGACCCCTTTTTATGCTAGTACGCTACCAACGACTGTACCAATACCACATGGCGAGCCTTGTTTTTTTCCTCCTTCCTTGTTATTGACTATCATCTCTTGCATTTATTGTTACCTCCCTGACATTTAGCATCACCTTCGAGCTCTTGTTTTCTGGCTGGTAGGCCTCCATCTCACCAACTCTCAACTCCCTTATATCACATAGCCTGGCGACTGGCGCTTAGTTCGGATATTTATTGCGGCAGTGGCCTCATCTGCACCCTACTGGAAGGCACTCTGTGTGAGCGGAAGAAATTTTTCAGGGATCCTGTCCGAGTTGGAGGGAACGAAGGGGGTTGGTCACTTTTCGTGTTATCTAGTACGGCGTTGAGAGAGCGACTCCCTGTTTGACCATTCCCCGGCGCATTTTCCCTTTATTTTATTCTTGCGTCCATTCCTTGCCCTCGTCCTTTTCAGTTTACTGTCCGAGTCCCCACTTTTGCCTTTTTCTGATTTTCAAGTCTATTACTACCTTGTTGTATTGTTGTGGCATTTCTTCTTTCGTCTTTGGTGCTTCGGGAATCATTTTCGGGCGCGCAATATTAATGTATGTGACGGGGCTACGGCAAATACATGGTCTGGATGATTCTGGAGAGTAGCTCGGGATGATTGCAGGCGAACTTCACAGACACGGAGTATACATGGTGTTTTCTCTTTTATGCAGGTTGTATTTATGCGGTTCTTATTCAACTCACTCCCATAATTTTATCACTGCAGGCCGTAACTATCTTATTTATATCTGCCCACTCACACTGGTTTCTGTGTTTGCTTTTAACAATTGAATATGCTATCTGCCTCACTTGGCAATCCTCTAGATATTATGTGTAAAGACCGCCTCAAATATGTGTCATACCAATGTGTGGAGTGCACTACATATGTCCATAGTCCTTCGAAGCGTGCTGCCTATATCTGTCATAAGCGGATTGCGTGCCAACCTAATCCGTAGTACGAACGAGTTGTTGATGTGATACAGAAGTCGCGGCACATCTCGTGAAAGCACCTTCTTAGCAGACCATAACGCACAAAATCACGACTATAAAAGGGAATATCGTCCGTTCCCTCTGTTGATTGCTCAAGACCACTGACATTAATATGCTCCAAGGATCTCGATCGTGATTACCTTGACCAAGCAATACAGGACTGAAGGATCACACATAAATCACCTCCTTTGTTTCCCTTTCTACGTTTTGTATACATGGCGACCAGTAGTGAGTGTTGCGTACTTAGGACCCGGTGAGACTGTGTCGTTGCAAAGAAAACACCACCATTTGGTGGCTCCACTTGGGCACCTATCAAGTTCCCCCTGCGTCTCTGCCATCCTCAAGGTAGTTCTGTGTTTTGGGCCTGTGGTATTGCTTCTCATATGCACGTCTTTTGGTTTCTACTGCTGCTCAGAACTGGCCTGGATATCTTGCCCAACCACCGTGGGTATTTCAAGGTGGTATATTTACTCGCAGAACAGGAGTTTTTTAATAGATTCTTGTTTAGATAACAATATTGGCGCTCTTCGCCCCCAGGTTGGGAACCTAGTCTTAAGTCGTCAAGAAACAATCCGCTCGAGATGGTGCTCTCGTTCGTCGAGCACGGTCGTAATGTTCAGCCGTCCGATAACTTGACAGTCCACCTGGCTGCCTGCGTTTTCTGCAACACTGTACAGGCCGGACTGTTGCATGTAGCTTGGAATCTTTGCAAGCCCGAAGGGCTGTCTCTGGCCATACTTGTGACCAAATGCGCTCTTCTTTTGCTAGATAGCCGGGCAAACCTAGGCCTCCTACGCAAGACATATGGCACTCTGGGTTCAGACAACACGTCCGGCTTCTTCTCCATTGTATTTGAAGGTGTGCACTCGAGAACTCAAAGATACCGTCCAGGATAGCAGCAGCAGCGACAGTAGCAGCAGCGTCCACAGAGGGGATGCTATGCCCACAATTTGCAAAGAATCACCAGCAGCGACTTTCATGCTACGATAAAACTTTAATCTCTCATATAGGTCTAGAAGAAGCTGCAATGTTTATGGAGAGACAGAAGGGCTGATATAGACTTCAGGAGGATTTAAGAGATCACACAGTGATCACTGGTTACCACCGCCTACGTATGATCATGGAAAGCGATGTAGTGTTGGTCATGGAGGCTGGCAAAGGTGATCGAGGTCGGGTCGCCTTCAGAGCTGGAGACAAAAGAGAATGGGGTATGCTGTGCGCCAATCCACGGCACAGGGGCAGGAAAGGACCCAATTACAGTGGATTTTTATGTTATATTTGGGCCAAGATAAGTAGCCTCGTAGCATACGGATTTGACGCAATGTCAATATTGACTTTGAGGTGCAAGAGAACGAGAGAGCCAATTAGCGGCCCAGAACCAGGTCCCCTCGGCAGACCGCTGTTACAACACTCATACGCCAAGCCAAAAAGATTTCACCCCGCATTTGGATAAGTACATATCAGGAAAATGGGTCGATAAGCAATAAACAAGATAATGCCAATTAGAATGTCAGTTGGGTAAACACGCGCCAGCGCGTTCAAGGCACAGTTGTTAGTAGTACACAGCTGATTTGGTGACCTTTTCGAGCATCGACCATTCGCCTTCCAACAACAGTGCTCACCACTTCCTCCGATGCACGCGCACATACCGACGTACATGCACACATAATGGAGGCTTCACATCACCGCAAAATTGAGCTGCAAGCACCCGAAGACTTTGCCTACCTCGTCGACAATGTCCGCCGCGCTGCCGCCGATAGTGTCGCGGCCGCGTTTCCGCCTGTTGCCAACGATGACGACAATGACAAGAAGAACGGCAAGAACGGAAAAAAAAAGAAGCGCGTCGACGAAGGCGACGACCTACACGCGCGCGTCGAGGTTTTGGTGAATGAGGTGTGTAGCTTTGCTGTGGCGGATCATTTTATCGATACGACACCTTTTTTTTTGGCACCCGCTAACTTTGAAGCAGTACATCCGTCGAGCGTTTGCACTCGCGGCGCCCAACCTCACAATTAACGGTCTGCCCGTCGACCCGGCGCCCTTTTGGGACGATGACGACGATGACGACGACGAAACGGCAGCCGGTTCCAAGTCCAAGAAGGGCAAGAAGGGCAAGAAGAACCAGGCACCTGTCGAGGAGACCGAGCCATTCGACACCCGCAAACGGCAGCGCGTCGAAGACCTGTCGCGCGACGAGGAAGACCTGTTGCGGGACATTGCGCTACTGAAACGGCGCGTGCCCGCCGCGGCGGTGCGTGCTCGCGAGCAAGCGTTGGCAGGGCAGCTGGCGGCAGACGACGCAGCCGCGGCGGCGCTGCAAGAAGTTCTGCAGCAACAACAAGACGAGGCTGCTGCTGCCGCTCGGGAAGAAGCAGAAGCCGAGGCGGCGAACAACACGACGTCATCGAACGCAGCGTCCTTTTCACAAGCTGTCGCTGGTTTGGGCCGGTTAAAGCAGGCAATGCCGGCGACGGTGGCGCGTATGGAGCGTGCACGCATCGCCAGTGATTATGCTGTAGCAGAACGGTAATCCGCCGAGGGGAACGGAGGGAAGAGTATCTGCCTGTGTATACATATATATATATCGATGGGTCGGACGGCTGCATGGGTGTTTCCTTGGGGGTTTGCTTTTATTACGAATGTTACGATACCACAACCAATGGGCATAATTTTTTATTTTTATTTGGACAATTCTTCCGAAATCAAAATATAAACGTGTATTCTTTTTTTATGTGTCTAACCAGAATCTTGAAATGAGGCTAGAAAGGCCTTTTCTCGAATATAGACTGACAATACGGCCGGGGTGTGGAGGAAGAAAGCGAGAAAAGAGACTGTACAAAAGGACTTGAATCACCAACAACACAAAAACAAATCTCGCAAATGTTAAAAAAAATAAGACACTCATCACGCCGCTCGCCGTCCCTTAGCTCGTCCCCAGCTCAACTTCGCCTTCATCCTCGCCCTATTCAATAGAGAGTCCGTCGGCGGCCGCACCTAAGCGGCAGCCGGCTCCTTGGCGCCAGCGGCCTGCTCCGCGCTGGCACCGGGGGCCTCCAGCTTGATGTCTTCGGTCGCTGTTGCCTCGGGGGCCGCTGGTGCGGCGGCGGCGCCAGCAGAAGCAGCAGCAGGGGCGTCGCCATCCTTCTTCTCCCACGAAGCGGGCCTGTACCACTCAGCCTCACGCCAGGGGCCCATGTCGGAGAAACCACAGCCGCCCTCACACTCGCAAGAGCCGCCGAACTGCTTGGGGAGGTTCTCGGGGGCGACCTGCTGGAACAGCTCCTTCTGGTAGGAGCTGCCGAGAATGTGGATCTTGGCGACGGTGACCGGGTCGAGCCAGCCCTTGATGATGCCCCAGACGGTCGAGAAGCCCCAGGGAGCGTTAAGCAGGTAGAAACGGCCAAGGCGCTCGGGGTAGTAGTTCTGGGACATGGCGGAGGCCTGCTTGATGTAAGAGTACACCTGGGGCGCGCGAGAGATACCGACGCCCTTCATGTCCATGATGGTGCAGCAGGTTTCGAGCAGGTGGCCGGCCTTGCGCGAGCAGGCAGGTAGGCGAGGGTCGGCGAGGCGCTCGTACTCGACGGCAAGGTTGGTCAGCATGCGCTCGGAGGTGGTAATCTTGTACATAGCAGTGAGATCAATGTTGCCGAGGGCCTCGATGTAGACAGGGCGGCCATCCTGGGGGAGCGGGAGAAGCAGTGTTAGTAGTTTGAGGGTGCATGGATGGTGGACGGCAACGGGACGACACAGAAACCTACCCGGTCCGTCTTGTGGTAGTACTGCGGGTAGTACTCAAAGATCTTCTCCTTCTCGGGGTACTCCCAGGTGGCCACGAGGTCATCGAGACCTGTCTTTTGCCGCCACTCCTCGCAGTCGACAAACCTGCAATTTTATATCTGTTAGCTGTGCTTCCAGAGCGTGTCTTGACGCAAAGCCTGCCCTGGTTCTCCAGTAGCCACATACATCTGCAGAGACAGGTTGACATCGAACTTGCGCGCACGCAGGAAGCGGAGCTATAAAGAAGCACAAAACATCAGTATTCCATCCCACATCGACAAATACCAAGGACGCTGCACTCGCCGTGGCCGGGTTTGTGCTGCAAAACAACGAACGCACCAGTGTCAGCGTGTCTAGCCGCTTCGTGAAGCCCTTGGCCTCCAGCATCAGGCGCAGCTGGTGCACCTGGGCCTGCTGCTCGGCCGTCAGGTGGCCCGGGTGGCCGCTGATGTCGGACGGCGACACAATGGGGAAGTCATAGTTGTCGTACTTGGGATCGAGCTCCATGCCGCCGTTTGCTGCTGCGTCCGCCATTGTGGTGGCTGTGGTGGGGTGTCTGGTTTGGTGGGATAGGGTTGGAGGTGCAGAGAAGGAGAGGGAGTTGCCGTGGAAGAGAGGATCGCACGTTCTTTCGTCGAGAGAGAGGAAAGGAAGCAACGTGAAGGGGGGTGCAGGAGGAAGGAGGTAGATATGCGGCAAGAACCTAGAGCCTTTGAAAAGAAGGGGAAGGAACGGAAAAGGCGGTCGTCACTTTTGGCGAACTCTAAATCTCAAGTTCTGCGTTTTCCCTTTTTCTGTTGGGGCCCAGTTTATTTAGATGGTAGGTACAAGTGGCGGCGGGGGGCGGAGAGAAAGAGATCACTGCGTCAGAGGAAGGAGCAAGGGTTGACAATTGGCGGCGAAAGGGCAACTACGAAGTCCTGATAAAACTGGATTGCCAGCTGTGCCGTGTTAATTGACTAAAGCAGCCTGGTGCGGTCTGCTGGAAACAGCACCGAACAGCACTTCACTTGTCAAGTTACAATGCAGAATGAGTAAACAGCTGGGTGATGACGAAGAACCCCTCTGAAGCGAGACGGTTGACAGCTCCTTCCTGCTCCACACGCGCTGAAGTTGCAAAACCATTGGGCAGCGCTCGCAATGCAGTGCAAAAAGACTACAGCGCCTCCAATCCCGTGAGGGGAAGGAGCAAAAAGCCGGTTCTAGGCAACCAGCCCGCCTTTGACAGGGCACTTGCTAGTTTGGAATAGGGCGCTAGAAAAGGGGGCGCAGCGAGGGCGACAGGGCAGATCGGCCTGAAAAAGCACCCAGCACAGCTCCATCAAGTGGCGCGTTCGACCTTGCCGTACAGTAGTGCGCGGCCTGTAATTTCAACACCACTCGTAAAATTATTACTCATTTGCGTCACCTTTGTTTGCGGCTTTTCAGAAAGGGGCTTCACGAGAACGGATTAAAAAAACGGCGAATCAACAAAGACATGCGGCGTATTGTTGGGGGGTGCCATGTTGGAACCGGGCTTTTATGTTCTCTTTGATCTTTTTGACAGCTGCAAATTCAGAGGGATGCTGTTATTTCGTGGGCTTCATTGTGAATGTTATGTTACTCTGGCATCAAAATGATGAGTTAGTCTCTCTTGATCAACACACAATGCTGGTATATTTTCTCCGTTTTAACTTTAAATACCAATATACGTCCTCGCCTCTCCGCCGTCGTCTACCCATCCGGCTCGTCGGCGCCGCCCTTGCTACTGCTGCCTTTGGCCGACTCGGCCTCCGTCTTCTCCTTGCGCTTCTGCACCACGTCCCAGTTGTACACCCGCGCAATAGCGACCTCCATTGTCTGTAGGATATAGTTAGCAGGGGCTGAATACCGCTACGGGAGGGAGCAACGCACCGTGATCTGTTCCCGCAGAAACTCAAGGTCCTCCTCGCAGTTGCGTCGGGTCGTCTGCGCCGACGTAAGCTTCTGCTCCAGCAGCGCCTGGGCCTCGTCGATTGGATACGACAACATCACGTTGGCCTGTGCCCCAGTTAGAATGATGGCCCGGATCTGCTTGCGGCCCTTGTTGCCTCTGCTTTGCATGGCCACCGTGGTTCACTCACTCCGAGCCAAAGATGCACCTCGTCCGTCGGCGGGATCGTGGCCTTGGCGTAGAGCGTGTCGTTGAGCTCAAACGTCGTCTCGATGGCCGCGCCCTCGTCGTTTTCGTCGTCGTCCTCGTCGCTCGCCAGCTCATCGTCGTCATTGTCGCCTGCGCTCTTCTTTGCGCCAGGCCTCCGTGTCTGCAGGAACCGCACCGTGTCCAGCGTCTTTTGGATGTCGGGCAGCTTCTCGTCGAGGCCGCTCACCCGACGCTGCAGGTTGGATTCCATGAACTGGTATTTCGAGATCATCTCCTGGAACCGCCGCAGCGTTGGCTCGACGTCCTCACGCGACGTCACATAGTCCTCGACTTTGTCGACAAACGGTGCCTGGGGAATGCCGCGCGGGTTCGTATGGACATCCTTGGGGTCGGGCCTGGAGATAAATACAGGTCAATAAGTCAACATTCGTATCCAACGTGCCGACTGAGTAAGGGGGTGCCGGGTGAACAAAGCATCGTTCGCTGCCCTTACGTTGCCACGGCCTTGCTGCTGCTAGGCGTCGCCATGGTGGCCCAGAAAGGAGGGGACAAGAAAAGGCAAATTGAAAGAGGTACGAGTCTCTCCTGTCTCGCTATTGTTGTTGTCGGTGTCGGTGTGGACAGCAGGGAAGACGTCGGTAATTCAGAAACGCACGCCGCTGTCCTGCTCGCATGCGCCCAGTGGTTCGTGCCTGTTGCAAAATCTCCAAAGCTCCAAAGCTCACAACCCCTCCCACCACTTTGCGCTCCTGCCCGCTGTGCCAATACAAGAAGCACCAATGCTTGGCGGTGACGAAAGGCAGTATTTTTGCACTATGTCATCCAGCTGGCCGCCAGTGTCTACTGATCATTTATCAATCTTTTTACAAAAAACATGACTATGCAATTTTGTAAGATAATTCACTACAAGTTCGCACGTACTATCTTTCGTTTCCGTATCTCAAATTGAAAAACTTCTTTTGTTTATGGGAAATTTACAATGAAAACTATGCAGTGCATTGAACATCCTTTGATCCTTAGCAAAAGTATCATAAAATACCATAAAACTCAAAATCCCTTTTGTCCATTTTATCCAGGTCATGCAACAAAAAAAAACAGAGAGGTATCACTTTCCATAATATTCGACAGTTACATCCAAACCCAAACAGAAAAGAAATGAAAAGAAAGGTAGAAAAATAAAAATGAAGAACAAAATGAATGAAAAAGGGAGGGCAATCATGTCATCGTCGCGGGCCGTATCTCAGTTTCCAAGTGTCGTTTGTCCCGATTTCTGTTTTCTGCTGTAGTTCAGATGCTGTCTTCTAGCTCCATGGTCTCTCGAGACCCGTCAGCCTCCACATCGCCATCTTCGCCCGACGACATCATGGCGTGGGAAGCGAGCGATGCGTTGTTGACTGAGTAGTGCGGGTTGGCACGTCGTGAAATGACAGATGACGACGCCAGCAAGCTCTCGTCCTCGTCTTCGCCACCTTCTGAGTCCAGCAGGTCCTCCTCCTCTTCAGACTCAGATGTCGAGCTGAATGGAGGATAGAACATGGCAGGACGTGGCAGCTCGGCCGGCTCTCGTTTTTGGTAAATTGCCGATACGTAATTGATGACCACCGATGGCGCCTTATTCTTCATTGCTACTGCAGCCGACACTGGCGGAGTCTGCTGCTTTAAGGAGGCAACACGGTTCGCCAGTGAGGCCATTGAGAACGAGTCTCTGTCTCTGGGGTTGGAATCGCTGTTCTGGACGCTGTCGTCAACGCCGGCATCTTCGTCCTCGCATGCATTGATATAGCCTTTTGGGTCAAACGGCCGCTCTGTCGTAACGCGTAGTGCAAAGTGGTCTTCCGGAAACACCCGGTTGATACCGGACGCTTCAAGGAGCGGCTCCTCTGTATCAACCGACGTCGCGTCGGTTTCGGAACTGTAGTCCAGCACCATGAGGTCGTCGTTACTTTCTTCCTGGTTGCTTGTGTTGCTGATAAAGCTGTCCGAACTGCTCATGTTGTCGTTGACGCTCGCCGCAGGCTCATTCCGTCCCACCGTGCCAATGCCCAAAAGGCCCAGACCGGCCCACTCCTCCATCGAAAGGCTCATGTAGTCCGTTAGAGGGCGAAAAGGGATGTAGGAACCTGACGAGGAACGGTGCACGGTTGGCCGGCCTTGCAAGGCATCGTCCATCGAATCCTGCGTTTGCAGAGTCGATGTCTCGTTGGTCGTGGGACTCGCCTCGCCAGAACTATCTCCAGCAAGATCAGTGCAGAATGGCATACCGCTGTAGTACACAATGACGCCATCCGTCTTCCGCTTTGTGCCGGGTTTGGAAGACCCCGAGCGGCTGTTGTCATATCGGGAGGCGTCCATGTTGGTATTGCTGTTGCCATTGCTGTTGGAAATGCTGCTGCCCTTTGTTTTGCTCTTAGCATCGTGCCGATTGCGGCTCTTCGTGTTGCTCTGCGCTACACGGCTGCCATGCTTGCGTATGGCCTCGGGCAGGTCGGAATCTTGCGACGACATTTCTTCCCCAGAGGTCAACAGCGGACTGGAGTTCTGATGAACGAACAGGGGCTTATAGTGGAAGCTGGACGATGCATTCGAGTCTTGCAGACCTGCCTTGGACTGCTTTTTGCCGCTTGACTGTGCTGATGCCGAGTTATTCTCAGATGTCTTGGCCCGTTTCCGCTGGCCAGTCTCGTCAGAGCCATCGTCCGCGTCAGTAGACTGGCTATGTTGCGACCGGTCACCCGAGCTGCCGCTGTCACTGCTAAACTTGGTTCCGTCCATGCCACCGCGCCAACGAACTTTTTGTCCGTCGGGCGAGAGCTGAAATTTCGTGCTCTTCTCAACAACAGCCTGCCGGATGAAATCGGGCGCCACGTTGAGAATATGCAGCTGCGCCAGGTTGGCCAACAGATTCAGGTAGACCCAGCCGTCGGCGTCAGGAGACACGTCAATCTTCTTGGACACACTCTGGGGGCCAATTTCGGGCGGAACCAGGCCGAGGTGACGGATGTACTCCATGTTGTCCGCGGGAACTTGGACTCTGTCAGGGTCCAGGTCAAGGGGTCGTGTTGGGCGCTGGTCGGGTACGGATGATGCGACGTGCTTTCCGTTGCCATTGCCGCTGGACGTCGCACTGTGAGAAGGGACATTGCCGTGGCCGCTGCCGCTGCCGTTGCCATTTCCGTTGCCTGATTCATCACCATTGGAGTGGGAGTTGGAGGCCGATCCATTGTCATGGGACTTGGATTGTTTGTGGCCGGAGCTCCGAGACTGGATGCGTGCTTCACGTACAGGCTCCAAACTGTCATGCGACGTCAAGACCGGTACATTTACGGCAACAGTACCAGAGACAGCAGGCATAGAGGCATCTGAGACCATGTTCACGGCTGGGGCACTGCCGCTATCGCCACTGGTACCACTGCGACTGCTGCTCTTCCGGGCGTCGGCACTTTTTGCGGACCTGTCGCCTGCAGCAGCCGCAACGGAGGTTGTGCCTCGCACGTTGGCCGACTCAGGCACAGCGAAACGAGCCTGGCGAGAATACCGGCCACCAATCTTACCGGTGAAGAGCTGCTCCAGACGCCGCACAATCAGCTTCTTCTTCTCATTGTCACCGAGGCCGTTGAAGCTGTACTGTGGATAGAGGCCCTCCGGGATATCCTTGAGGTAGCGCTCAACCTTCTGCTCAGACGACGTGCGAGCCTTGACGTCTCCATACGGAGGCCGGGTCAAGGACGTGCCGGCCGAATGGCCGCCCATTGACATGGAGGCATAGGCCGAGTCGACGGGCCGCGAGCGCGATGACGAGTTCGAGGCATTCTTGGACCGCGAGCCACTCAATGAGTAGAGTGCTGAGCCGTTGTGGTGGTGATGGTGGTGGTGCTTGTGCGCCTGCTGGGAGTGGTCTTTGGAGGAGGAAGACTTTTCCCGATGGAGCCTTGATGAGGAGTCGTTGGATGTGCTGTCGGCAAGACCGGCAGCAAAATCGCGAAGCGTGGCCTCCAGCTCCTGCTTCTTACGGCGCGGCAAGCCATGCATTTTAATTTCGAAGAGCTTTTCGTTTTCAAGCACATCCCGGTTCGCATTTTGCTGGTACCGTTTGAGCTGTTCCTTGAGACGCTTGTTTTCAATGGTCAGGTCGTCGATAACGCTCCGGTAGTCTTCCGAGCTGCTGCTCCGCGTGGTCGCATGGATGAGGGTGGCCGGGAGAAATGAGGCGTCGGGAGACACGAATGGGGGTGCAAGTTGTGGTGACATGAGTGGAAGGTCGGGGTTCGCGTCGTCGCTTGATGATTCTCGCTTTCCAAAATAGGATCCTACCGAAAAAGCAAAAAAACAAAAAACAAAAAAAACAACCTTGTCAGTCACGAAAGGCACGGTAAGAGCGCCGTGGGTATATATGTATGTCACTCTTACCATCGGGAGGGCTGGCCTCAAACGTGGCGGTTGGGTTGTTGTTGGAGTTGTCAAACCACTTCTTTGCGTCGGTCATCATGGATGTACCACTGTTGCCTGAAGCGTCGCTTTTCCGATTTGGACTCTTGGACCGTTGCTGTCCTGCTGGGGATCCATCGTGCGAGTTGTCGGCACTCGCCACGGCCGTTCCATCATTGCGAGATGGGCCACGTCGTGGGTTTCCACGCTCTGCCTGTTGTTGCGTGTGTGGTGCACTGTTATTGTTCTGTGATGCGGAGGACGATTGACGGAGAGGGTGAGGAATAGGTGGATCGCTTGGGTTTTGTTTGCCGTTACCAGTCATGTCGAAACCTGGCGCTTCCATTCGCCGTCTTCGAGTTTTCTTTCCGTTGTCCATAGTGTCGTGTCGATGTCGTGTACGACGAAACGCCTTGCCACGCGAGTGGCGGAGACGGGTGAAGGAGAGGCACCTGCTAATTCATAGCTCACAGGGATTATCGCCTGTCGAATGCAAATATGTCTGTCGTCGGTATCTGGGGTTGAGCACTGGCGCAGTAACGAGGTTCGTTTCGTAACAAGTTGTTCTAGCTGTCGGCAAGCAAGTCGGCTCTCGGTTTCGATGATAATATACGACAAGGGCGCGTTCGCAGTATGATGCAAGCAGCTCAAGGGGTACTTTGAAGGCTGGGAGTCATTCGCGATCACACAAGAAATTCGTATTCGGGGTATCTACGGTGATGCTGTGTTGATTTCGACGGTGGTGTCGACGGTGGTGTCGACGGTGGTGAGGGCCGGTATATTGGTGTTGGATTTTGGTGAAGTGAATAAATGCGAGAATGGCCGACAACTGGTGGGAAACAGCAGAATGGCAACGTTAAGAGCACCCGGGAGCGGGCTGCGTCGAAGAAAAGGGAAAAGATCGGCCCTACGACATACGTTGTCGAAGCTGGTCACTTGGTGGGTTTGGGGCGGCGGGGCGCTAGGGCAGGGGAGTGTCTCTCAACACCGTTAGACACTAAGAATGCTGTGGAAGAGATGGAATTCGGGGTGGCCGGAGCCAGCAGTTCACGACGACCCGGGGGGGGGGCTGGCGTAAAGAGTCAAGGCCAGCCAGCGGATTGTGAACAGACAGGTGATGCCAAAAAAGTCAAGGTAAAGGATGAGAAGCAAGGATACAACAAAATGGTAGAAGGGCAGGAAAGAGGCAGAAGGCAGAAGAAATGAAATGGGGAAAGAGGGGAAAGTGGTCTCGAACAAGACAATTATGAAGGGAAGGAGTGGGCGACTACCGGGGGAAGGAGCAACGGGTGCAGTTCGGGATTTGGGAAAGTACGATGCAACTACGACTAGCAGTTTCTGGGAGAAGGAAGGCGATGAGTACTGGACGGCGATGGGCGAGAGGCAACCTCGCCGATGAAAATTTAGGGGTCTCGACTCTTTGGGCTTTTGGGGCGGTGGTCATCGAGATCCGCTGTTGTACTGAGTATGTGGCGGGACGAGACAGGCAGGTTGAGCCCAGGACAAAGACAGGAGCCAAGAAAAAAAGAAAAAGAAAAAGAACCTAGCGGGCTGGGCTCGACGAGCAAAAAGACTACCGGCCAATAATAGTCATAATAGTAATAATATATTCACACTTCACACGTGCCTGCTAAAAAGAAACAAACGATATGACCAAAATCCATTTGGCTCGCTTTTTCTATCTGCTTGTCTCTTCTCCCTGTCCTGAACTCTGTTTCGTCACCTCGTGGTCTGTACAGGGGCAGTTTTTTGATGTCGCCAGCGTCGCAGTTCTGTTTTCTTTTGTCGGTTGTCTATTTTTGCGTTCGTACAGTAGGAACCGAGGGGCCTCTAGATCGCCAATTTGCCTGGACATCGAGGAAAAGGCGAAAGATTGAAGCTAGCCCAATTGGGTGTCAATCAGTTCCGTTTTCTACGTCGTATGTTTTGTGTGTGGGATCTAGTGGCCAGTCAGAGACGAGAGGAAAATAGGAAAAGTGGACCTCTATTAGACGTTCCCGTCACTACCTCATTAGGCGCTGAGTGCGACCCAGAAGTATTTTCCACAAGGGGGACGGTCTGGGGGAGGAGTAGGACAACAGGACATGGATGGCGATCGATCGAACAGCGTCAGGGCGTGCACTGGTCTCTGCATAGCGATGAACGCTGCGGATGAGATCCAGAAGAGTCTCAGGGCGTGTTGAGACTGTTTCTCGTTTACAAGCCTAACGGGTTTCCTCGCCTGAGAGAAGCAGCGACAGGCAACTTGGCCGCCGCGCGTGGACAGAGTGGAGTGAGCAGCGCAAGACAGCTGAATACTGGCCCACAAAGGACAGAGGAGGCAAAAGGGTGACTGATTTTGAGCAAGGGCCCTTGGTCCTTGGTCTAGGCCAGTGAAGTCTTACGATCCGACCATTTCGTAGCGGACGTGCCTCCGCTTTATCCTGGCGAGCCTGGCTTGGGATTTTAACTGGTAATTAACTTGTAAATTTTCCATTACTTTTTATTGCCTGTCGTGCGTTTTCCTGCCTTTCCTGCTTCTTTAGTTCCTGCTGGAGGCAGGGAGACGGGGCCAGGTTGACAAACAAAGGTGTCCTGGACGGTTGACCGCGACGTATGCGAACGGTACTATTACAGGCGTTTTTTCTGTTGTCGTGTTGTGTTATGTTTGCTGTCTTAACTGTGTGGCGTTTCCACGACGGTGGACAAGCTTCGGCGACGAGCGCCGCGCCACGCACTGTCGCCGCCGCCAAATGAGACAAAGACGCAAAATGTTGGGATTTGCAAGTACGGTTATCGTCAAAATTCTAGGCATATTCTCGGGGCGAGCGACCGCTAATGGCAACGTGCCGCGCCACGCGATCGCATCGTACATTGATGTCGCTGTTGTGACACGTGACAGACGGTACTTCTGACGGGCCCAGACACCGGCACACTCCGACATCGTAGCGGTTGCAGGCTCGAGGACCTGGCTTTTTTGAAAGAAGTATTTCGTACTCTGTCTCTGGAAAAGTACGGCATACTCCATAGTCTGATATCACTGTCTCAAGAAACTGGCAGACTGGGAGACTTTCTCGTTGACGTAACGGGCGGAGGATCTGTTCGAGCCGAGCTCCTTCCCTATTCTCCAGCATACTTAACTGTCTAGGAGGCGGTCCTTGTATAACACCGGATGATTGGTCAATTGGTTTGCTCTGCCGTCAAATAAAACAAAACTTCCCCTGCATATCGGACAAAGCAGTGCAGAGCAATCCTACTCGAGAATTGCGATGCTGACTGGTTTGCGGTTGCGTTCATCGGGGAAGCATACGTCAGATCTGAATGTCAACATTGGGAAAGATGAGCGCTGGCCTTCCATTAGCCAATCACCGTACAGTATTCAAGGATATGACGTAACAGTCAGCAGATCGACCAAACCTCTGACTCTGGACCGGAATCGACAGCAATTCATCTCCGGTGCTGTGACGCTGCCTCGATTCGCATCTCCCTTTTATTTTTGTTGATATTGCTGATTTTTGTCACATTTTCCAAGTCATGGTATGTGTACGACCTTCAATACATAGCCACACAAACCCGACCGAGCCGACTTGGGACGTAATTCCAGCGTTTCGCCAGCCAAACCGCCAAACGAAGTGTATATCGGTGCATTCAACGCGCAGTTAAGATGGCCGTCAAGCTCTTAAAAAAACCAGTTGCATCGAAGATGACAGTACAAACATCCGGGGAAGGGAGTAGGGAGTGGTGGGAGAAATAATGTAGTATGAATAAAAAGCAAACTCGAGGCCTGCTGGCTAGCGATGTTAATACAAACGTTACAAAGAGTAAAAGAGAAAAACACACAAAGCAAAAAGAATACCAAAAAAAAAAAAAAAAAAAAAACCCTCGATATCTAAAGAGCTCTGACTATGCCACAAAACACATGTTTTCAGCGACCATCATTTTGAGGTCCATTTCTTTCTGTTTCACTGTTTCGCTGTCTCTGTTTACAACAATGGGAAATTGGGAAATTGCAAACTAGGTTTTCCTCTTCTCCTTCATCTCAAAAGCCGAACTAACAGAATGTCTACCATCGACTCGTACGTCACGAGAATCAAGACAATCCCCTGCTCGTTCGCTTCCGCGAGACTGGTCTGGCGGGACAGGCGACGAGACACTAAAAAATAGGGGTAGATTGTGGGTTTGTAAGTCGTACGGCTGTGACGTCATAGTGCGTGGGTTGGTCATCGCGCCGCTCCACTGCTCCGTCACCTCAGGCCAAGCTTACTTTGCGGGGCGGCATCGTCGTCGCTGACGTCTGGGAGAATGGTCTTCCGTCTCCGTACAGTCCGAAGTCTGGCCGTGATGCAAAACGCCCTGCATCGGCCTAGCAGCTGCAAGGTAAGAAAATAGGTCGGCCGTTTATGTCGCGCCCGAGTCGGTGCAGACAGCAGTAGACAGGCAGACAGGCAGACAGGGGTGGCTTGAACAGTGAATCCAGGGTCCAGCTGTGGACACGCTCTACGAGGCCTCATTTCCAAGGTATGTTCAAAGCTTGTTCAAAGCTTGCTCGATGCATGTTTTGCTGCATCACAAACCTGCATCACAAACCTGCATCACGAAACCTGCATCGCAGACCCGCAGTCCTGCACCGCCCACTAACCCCTCTTTGTGCGAGTAGTGTGCTCCATTCGGTGCCCAAGTACGTGTGAGGTATCCCGGCCAGCATGTTCAGCTTAGTAGTCCGCATGTTGAGTGCAACTCCCAACTTGGTCGTGTGCTGTGTATATTTCTGTTTTCGTGCATCTATTGTATCTTTGCGCAATGTACGAAGTAATATGAAAACGACTCATAGGGCGCGACGTGCCAACCGCCAACTGCCATCTACCAATCACGGACAGACAAACAAAACCGACAAACATAAAGCTGAGATGCACATAAGCCGAGAACCCTTTGTTCTAGGCTTTTGCGGCTCTCCATCTTCTATTGACACCTTACCCCCACCACTTCAGCGACCGTGCGTGACGTCGTACTTGCTGGGCTTCCATGGCACCACCTGGTCGCAGAAGAAAAAAACAAGGACCCTGCAGGTGACATCCGGGAGCACCCACAAAAGCTCCATTTAAGCTCCAGAAGCGAGCTCAGGGAGGGCAACGGCTGGGGCCCCACTTATGCCTTGACAAGCAAGCTCTGACCAGTCATCTCCTCGGGCTGCGGCAGGCCCATGGCGGCCAGGACCGTCGGTGCAACGTCGCCCAGCACACCCTCCACGTCGGTGCGCAGGCGCCAGCCTTCGGGCGCGTTGGCCATGATCAGCGGCACCTTGTTGGTGGTGTGCGAGGTCTTGGGCTTGCCGTCGGAAAACTTCATCTCCTCGGCGTTGCCGTGGTCGGCCGTGATGAACAAGACGTAGCCCTCCTTCTTGCACGCCTCGTAGATGGTGCCAATGGCCTTGTCCGTCGCAGCGCAGCCGACAATCGCCGCCTCGTACACGCCCGTGTGGCCGACCATGTCCGGCGGCGCAAAGTTGTTCATGACAAACGGGTACTTGTGCTCGCCCAGGCGCTTGGCCACCTGCTCGCCCACGCCCGCTGCCGACATCTCGGGCGCCTTGTCGTACGTGGGCACGCTCTTGTTGGAGGGTACAAGATCCTGCGACTCGTCGCGGTCCTCGAGCGGGAACGCCTTCTCAACACCGCCGTTGAAGAAGAATGTCACGTGTGCGTACTTCTCCGTCTCGGCGACGTGCACCTGGGGCACGCCCTGCTTGCCGAGCCACTCCGCGAGCACGTTGCCCATGTGCTGCGGCTTGAAGGCAATGCTAAATGGAAAGTCCAGCTTGTACTGGGTCATGGTGACCAGCGTGATGTCCTTGGGGTAGGGGAAGTCGGGGCGCGGGGACCGGTCGACGTCGCCGAGCAGCTGCACGATCTGGCGGACGCGGTCCGAGCGGTAGTTGAAGAAGAAGACAACGTCCTTGTCCTTGATGCGGCGCTTCTCGCCACCGACAACAATGGGCTTGAGGAACTCGTCGTTCTCGCCGGCGGCGTAGCGCGCCTCGATCGTCTTGACGGGGTCCTCGCTCGCTTCGCCCTCGCCGAGCACCAGGCCCTTGAGGGCCAGCTCGGTGCGCTCCCACCGCTTATCGCGGTCCATGGCGTAGTACCGGCCGACAATCGTGGCGATCTCACCAGCGCCAATCTCCTTGGCCGTGGCCAGGAGCTCCTTGAGGTAGCCCAGGCCCGACTTGGGGTCCGTATCGCGGCCGTCGCCGAAGAAGTGGATGTACACCTCGGGCACACCTGCGGCCTTGGCGGCGCGCAGAAGCGAGTAGAGGTGCTCCTGCTTAGAGTGCTACGCGGGAAGACACCAAATTGTCAGTAAGCCAAAAGAATGTATGCTGTGTTGCGGACTTCCCCTCGTACTCACAACACCGCCGTGCGACACGAGGCCGCACAGGTGCAGACGCCCATTGCCGTTCTTGGCCTGGTTCAGCGTCTCGCTGATCACGTCGTTCGACGAGAACGTGTTGTTCTTGATGGCCTGGTCGATGCGCACGACGTCCTGCCAGACGACGCGACCAGCACCAATGTTGAGATGGCCAACCTCGGAGTTGCCCATCAGGCCCTCGGGCAGGCCGACGGCAAGCGAGGAAGCCTCGAGTTCCGTGAAACCCGTCTTGCTCTTGGAGAACGCGTCCATGACGGGCGTCTCGGCAGCTGCAATAGCATCGCCGTCTTTGGGCGATTCGGCCGAAGGGATGCCCCAACCATCAATGACGACTGTAAAACGGGAGCAAAAGAAAGCGAAAGGCTCAGAGAGCCAGCGCAGAGCGCACGAGCACAATGATTAGCCAGGCGATCTCCAAATAGACGAGCATGTAGGCCATAATCAACAAGGGGTCTGCGGCACGGGGATTTCCCTCGGCGATCGGGTTTGCTTCTGTGCTTTGCTTCTTCTGTGCCTCTCCACCTCCTCGTCTCGGTTTCTCTTTGCGCTTCTCACCGCCTGCACTCTCTTCGCCCTCTTCGCCCTCTTCACCCACGTCACTCTCTCCGTCCTGTTCATCACCGGCATCCCCTTGATCCCCTTCATCTTCTCGTCGTCTCACCTCCTCTCGCTGCTGTTTCTCATCTTCGTCTCGCATATTCTCTTCTCGACAACCGAGTGCACGTTCAGACTCGCCGACGGGTGGGAAGGGAACAGAAAAGGCGGACGGGAGACGTACTGAGGCAGGCATTCTGCTCGACTTTGGCCATTTTGAGGTTTGTTGATGTTTGTTGGGGGAAAAGAGGACGGTGTTAGTTCCGAAAAAGGTTGAGAAGGTCGCCGAAAAACTTGACAACTGGAACAAATCGCTGTTGAATCAGCTCGATCAACGCAATTGAGAAGGGTATGAGCCTATGTGGTGGGCAAGAAGACGGAGGTCGAGGTAAAAACACGTTCTGCGTGATTTTCAAGGAACTGAGACAAAAAAAAAGGAGAGCTTTCCCGATTCTAAAATACTCGCTATTATTGACTACATGCCGTATGTAGTATCATCGACTTTTTTACTGGTCTTTGATTCAGCGCTGGCGGGGTAGCAACAGGGCGATAACGAGCGATAAGAGGCAGTGGGCTACCGGGGACGTTCTATTAATAAACGGGTGTTGGGTGTGTGGCCTACAGTACATTGTACACTAACCTACGGCGTATTTCTGCGGACAAGGTCGCTGAAAAGGTGATTTAGGTGGTATCGTACCTAAGTGTCAGGGGTCAGATACAGTGCTAGTAATATTATTGGCACTTTATCATGTCGAATGTCCATAAAAAATGTCTAGTCAATACAAAAACACAAGAACTGAATAAACACCACTTCGACCATTATATCACGAAACCCACATCTCCCAACTCACTTTCACGACCATTTCCCGTCCTTGTCACGTCTCAAAATGGCTCATCCACTCGCCCTGCCCACGACTTTCTCGCCCGATGCGCTCGACACGACAGCCGAGCTTGCAGCCATTCTCGCGCGTCTTCGGCCGCCGCAACCAGCTGGCAGTGGCGCCCAAACCGGAGCTGCAGCGGGTGCCAGTGGCGGTGCCGCATCTGGAGCACCTACAGGCGGACCGGCGGGCGGAGCAGCAGGGGACGGCGGCGGGGCCAACGAGGGCGAGACGCTGGGCGCGTCCATGGGCGGCGCCGCGGCGGCGGCGGCTGCTGCTGGTCCGCCCATCAGCCTACGCGACCTGCCGACCGCCACGGACAGCCTCAAGCACAAACTGCAGCACGCGCGTGTGCAAATCAAGGCGCTGCCTGACGTCAACCGCACAGTGGCCGCCCAAGAGGCTGAAGTGCGGCAGCTGGAGGCGCGCATCGAGGCCCAAAAGGCGATGCTGGCACGGCTGCGGGCGGACGGCGTGCGGTTCGCAGCTGCTGGAGAGCAGGAGCAGCGCGACGCCGACAAGATGGAGCTGTGATAGCGGCATGGGGGGTTGAAAGAACGAAGGCGAGACAGTTACGACATGCTATTTTACCATACTCGATGGAAAATCTGCGTTACAAACAAAAAGAAAGAAACAGACACTCAAACTGTGGTATCCTCAATTCAAACTACAACGCCATCGTTGCTCGAGACAGCTCATTCGACAATCACTTCTTCGCAATCCCGACAGCGCGCAACACGTCCGCTGTGCTCAGTCCCGGCCCTCCTGTTACAGCGCCTGTCCAGACCGTGTCCGGCAGCCGCTCCGCCTCGGGCAGCACGCTCCAGTTGGGTGACGCGTCAGACCGCAGCCACTTGAAGTCGTCCACCTGGTCCCAATGGTTGGTGGCCTCGCTGTTGCCGTCGTTGGCATAGGACTGAGGCAGCGGCGCAAACCTCATGTGCCGGCAGTCTTCGATAATCGGCCGGCTGCCGCACTGCAGGTAGACGTCGACGCCGTCGCACTCGTGGATGCGCACCTGGCGTGCCGCGACGACGAGCACGCAATTCTGGAGGCCCGTGATGTGCACGGCACCACTAACATGTCCAGCCACCACAAGACTGTGCTCAATATCACGCAGCATCAGGCTCTGGAAGGCGGCGCCCCCGCCACCGCGTGCGGTGCTAGATGTGGGCACGGACATGTCGACAACGCAGTTGTGAAGGTCGGTCAGACTGCCGTATGCGGTGGCACGTGATGCTGAGAGTGGGAGGATGATGTGCAGGCCTGTGTGGCCGGAGATGGCAATCTCACGGGCAGACGAGAAGCTTGGCTTTCGGATGCTGTCGCTTCTGCCGCCGGTGCTGCCGATCTCGGCGTTGTAATTTCTAGTGCCAACGGCCGTTCCAGCTCCAATCACGGGCAGGGTACCAACAGCATCAGACGCCTCAGCTTCTGTAGCGGCGTCTGCTGTCTCCTCTGGTTTTGCCACCGGCTTATCAGGCACACCACGGAGCAAGCGGTTGTCTGGTGCGGCCGGCGTGCTGTCAGCTGGAGTTGCTGCGGCCGTCCTGGGTGCCCGTTTGAACTGGAACCGAGGCTTGGCCGGTGCCAACCGGGCCACCTCCTCGTTTAGCTGGTCTGTAAGAGACTTGATAGTCTACGAGGGTTAGACAGAACACAACTTAGAGAATATAACACTGCAACGCTGCCGCACGGCGACCCTTTTCAGACATTCACTTACAGCAGAGTGCGTGCGCTGGTCGTAGGCGGGAATAAAGTCGGAAGCATCAGCCACGTCAAGCGACAGCTTGGAAATGCGCATCAGAATGCTATCTGTGGCATCCTTGCGCTCGCCGCCAACAACGGAAATAGAGCCGAGTTTGCTGATATGATTTTGGATATCTGTACAGTTAGTCGGGGTTAGGACGAAGAGATATGCCTGGGTTGAATGCTCACCCTGAACCTCGAATTGGAACTGGCGGTAGAACCGCTCCTTGGGATCCATGATGGGTCGTTTTCCTGCAAAGGCAAACGGGTAGTTGTGAGTGACGGGGTTCAAGACTTGAGACATTGTGGATGAGAACGATTGTACGAAGTAAGTGTGATAGCAACGTTTGTGAGAATAAGTGAGATGCCGTGTTCAAAAATGCTTTCGATGCAACTATGGTTTACCCCAGAGACTTTCCTATGAAAATAGAAATGAATCATAAATTCAAAGACACCCGGACAAAAGGATTGGGGAGAGTCTCTTGATATATAAGGCATACCTTTCTCCAAAGACATAAAATCAAAATGGGCGGCGGTCGATGCCTCCTCACTTACAATCTGTTTCTTGTCCTTTCTGTTTTCTTTTCTTCCCGTCTCGCACACCCACAAGCAAAGGCTATGTCGATCCTTTCCTGGGAAAGGAAGGGAAGATGTAACTGGTTGACGATTGCGGAGTGATCGAAACTCGTACACAGAGATTAAGGAAGGCGAAAAGTTGGCACGAGGAGTTGAAGACCTTCGCCTGTCTTGTTCGGCAGGTTGACTGTGTTGAGGAGGCAATGATCGGCAGAATGTGGAGGGCCGGGGTAACTTTAAAGGGTGGGATGCAAATAAAATGGGGCTTTGGGAGAGGTAAAGAAGATGTCAAAGCAGACCGGTTATGACGAAAGTGAGGTGATGTGAACAAGTTAAACTGCCGAGGAGAGGTGGTGACTGAAGTTGACGACAGAGGCCTCTAAACAAGTGATCTCTATTACACAGTCGTTTCGCAATAGTGAAATAGTAGTTTCGAAGGCTCGCTCCGAGATAGTTTAGACCATCTGTTGGTGTTCAATGCGTTGGTTCCCGATATAATACAGACTTGGCTGCAGCAAATGGAGAGGAGAGGAGAGAGAGGACAAGACGTTTTGGCCAAACTGCCTCCGCCAGTCAGACCCTGGACGGAATGTGGCCCCACACTCGTTTCTACCAGAAAGGGCGCTGTGACGTAGCTAGTTGTGTTGGGCGGAGGATCGGATGGTATGGTGGTGCACTCAAGACAGGCTTCTTAGACAAGTCGAACGAGGTAAAAGGTGGCAATTCGGAATTGTTAAGCGAAAGAGGACGAGATATAGTTGCGGTGATTATTTTCCTTTTCACTGATCACGACGCAGAGCCGATCCAGTCCTCAATTCGTCTGCCTGGCTATGCGGTTGTCGAGGTTTGAATGGCTCGCATATGCGTATATCCGAACCCAGCAGCTCAGATGGGACTTCAAGGCCAAGCCGGACGCCGCCTGCAAATGGAGCCCTGTTATTCGTTGGTAGCTTATGGTTCGCCTGGCGGTGCGCCGAAATCTCGTAAACAAAATCACGAACTGTTTGAGACATTCAACTGACGTGACAACTTTGGTTGTCTTCATACCATTGCTTGCCTTTTCTTCGTTTCCCCTCTCAATCTCTCCTGGACCATTATACAGACGCCGCCATGCTCTCACCAGCAACCGTGTCGTCGTCCGGGAGCCGGTTCGGCCAGGCCGTGAGTGCGCCCGTGGGACGAGCCTGGCAGTCGACACTGTCAGCAGCCAGGTACCAGCAATCTCGTGCCCTGAGCACAACAAGACGGACATGCGTCTTACATAGTGGGCATCATCCACGGCTGCGGCCGTCTGCGACAATGCGCGGAACCAGCCGCACGTCCAACGCCATGGCGCCTCTGGGTCGCCGTTGTACCTTTCACCGCACGGCCCCAGTGGGGATGCCTCGTCGCCGTGACTTTTTCACGTCGAATCTTCGGCTTCGCTCCGACGAGGGCGACAGCGAGAGCGGGGGCAGAAATTCGGCGGCAGTTCGCAACGACGACACGAAAGAAAGCAAAGAAGACAAGGCCGCACGAAGCGCACAAAACGTCAAAACAACGACGCCTTCGGCGGCAGCCTTGCAAGCCGCCAAGAGAAAGCCACGGTCTGCCGGTGCAAAGAATTCGCTGCGCCGAGTCGCCGTGATTGCCCAACAGCAGCCCAGCGGCGCGTCGGCGGCCCCCAAGGGCATCCGCTCTGACGAGACACGGGCGGCCGTGGACAGAGATACAAAGGCGGACGAGGCTGTCGCTTCTCGTGTGTCGAAACCACCGGAAGAACCGGAGGATGGCAGCAACACCATCAGTGCGGTCTGTCTGGCGGAGTCGTTTGATATGGGAAAGGTCATGTCCATCCTCGAACACCAGGGCTACCAGATTGACCCGGACGGGAGCGGCTTCGAGTCGCACGAGGTGGTGCACGCACGCCAGTGGTGGCCGACCGCGGAAGACGGCCACGAAGAGGAGTGGCGGCAGGTCGACTTGTTTGTGTTTGAGTCCGGTACTCTTGTTGGCTGGGGCCTGGCGGCCGACGCGGTGGACGCTCTGGCCACGGCGCATCTGGTGGCGGCTGCGGCCGACCCCTTTGTGACGCTGCGCGAGACGGAGACGCTCGACTTCCGGCGCGATGCTGCGCGTGACAATAGCGCCATGCGCGGCGACGTTGTCGTGCTGGGCACCCGTCATGAAGCGACCGAGGGCGACCGGCTGGCGACGACGCGTGCGCAGATTGCCTTTTCGTCCGGGCTGGCACGCAGCACGAAACTGGCGGTGCTGGAGCGGTCGTTTACCGAGTACTTTGAGTCGACGCGGCGCATCCCGGAGATCCTGGCCGGCCGCAAGAGCGGCGGACGCGATGGCGGCGGTCTGGGCCATATCTCGCAAAAGTTCATCTTGCAAAAGACGGGCGAGCTGCTGAGCCTGCGTGCCCAGCTCAACCACTACCGCGAGCTGACGGACGCGCTGCCAGACATCTTCTGGGATGCACGCGCCGAGCTGGGTCTGGAGGGCTACTACGAGCAAGTGGGCCGGGCGCTGGATGTCGGTGTGCGCATCAAGACGCTGAACCAGAAGATGGACTATGCGCAGGAGATTGCCACGGTGCTGCGGGAGATCTCGAGCGAGCGCCACGGCACACGCCTGGAGTGGATCATCATTGTGCTGATCGCTGTCGAGGTCGTCTTCGAGCTGCGCCGCGTGTATCTCGACCTGAAGGACGGAGGTGAGGAGAAAAAGGAGGCAACGAAAACACAAGAGGCCGTTGTGAGGGAGTAGGAGAAGTGGCCCAGAAAGGTCAAGAGGGGACCAATAGGGGTAATGAGGACTGGTGTGCGGTAAAGGGAAAGAGCGAGCTGAAGAAGGGGGAGGGAGAGGAGGTTGACGGAGGAAAGAGCCAACGAGACAAAATTTGATACCCAACTCTTACGTATTGTATATTACACCTATGACCTGGATAGATTCCGTATCATGTAGGTGCCCATATCATCTCTATTAAGAATACTATATGATACTCTCTCAAATGATGTCGACACTACCTATTGGCAACGTTGTGCGGTCTCGTGACAGCGTTGCCTAAACTCACAGTTTTAGCGTCATGTTATAGCTAATACTATATAGTGGATATAGCGATGGATTGAATGGACATTCAAGGATGTCTTTCACGTATGTCTTCATTACCTACTGGGCTTCTGACGCAATTTTCATCATGGAGGCGAGGGTCAAATAAAGCTAAAGCCCGCGTGATGAAAGACATCGTGCACAGCGAAGATCTTTGTGAAACGGCTCTCATTTGACTCCCTCGACTGTTCTACAAACCAGGAACCTACAATCTACAGCAATCATGAGAAAATGAGATGTCTTCGCCCACTACGGCACAGCTGTGTAGACGCCTCTGGTAGGGGATGGCGGACGAACAGGCTGAAGTGGGCGGCATTGCCCGTCAACCAAGACCCTTGGACCTGTAGGGTATATTGCCTTGAATTTTTGTTTCTCTTTCTCTCCCGCATTTTCCAGTTCCTGGTGACGTCTGCATCTTGTCCGGATTCGATTCGAACAACCGACATCAGCCATGGCGCCGTCACATCCAACCAGCATTGGTGAGTGGCTGCACACAACGACTCGTTTGGGACTCATCGCAGTCGCCATTTCCCTACTGGCGATGACGGTCTATACGGCCATCCTAGCACACGAAGCCGACTATGGCATTCTCATGGTACGGGTGAGGCTTTTCGGAGAGACATCAGCTGGGCGCATATTGTGTTTGTGTTCATGCAGGACTGTGACTAATACCACAACAGGCGCTCATCTCCATCGTTGGCAATGTCGGGGCCATCCTCCTTTACTTGGCCAAGTCATCCATGCTGGCGCCCAGCATCATTGTGTCCGACATGTTTGCTGGTGCATTCTGCAGCGTCGGCACGTTGATTCCCTTGCTCAGGAGCTTCCACGGCAGTAGAGACTCGCGGCGTCCGCCCAACGACTCCACAAAATCAGACGCCTTTGCGACCATGACAATGTATCTGGCACTGACAGTTGTGTAAGAGGGGCACTCTTCTCGCCGAGACGGTCTTTAAGGACAACATGCTGACATCTAGGCAACGAAAGTGGCCTTCATGTGGCGTCAATTATCGTGACGGCCGTCCTGGGCTGCACGGTCGTCCGGCGTTGGAACAGAGAGCGCGAAGGCGCGGAAACGACGCCCTCATAATGCGCATAAATCATGACAGTAGTTATATACAATTGTTGCCGCTCAGTCCGTCCCTTCGTAGCTTGGAGTGCTCTTGAATGACGCGCTGTACCTGGGAACAACACTTTGTAGTTCCACGCATGTCGACTTCTGTCCCTTTTGCTTGGTCCACAGGACATCCTGGTTTACCCGGTAACATAATCCTCGAGAAAGCGCGTTGGCCGCGACTGTTCATTTAACCGGCCTCGGTGAGGAACGCGGTAGTTTCGAAACCAGCAGCAAATGTGCAACAACGTGGGCATGAATATCACTCATGGTTGACGGGATATATATGCATATACTATTTGTCTATAGTTAAGTTTTGTTATTATAGTTCACAGTACTATTTTGACAAGAAACGACATAATATATACAAAAGCGAACACAAGACAGGATAGGAAACGGGTCTCAACTGGTTCAACAACGTGCCAGAGGCAAGCTGTGCTCAGTCATCCACTCACCCCGACCGCGCCACGCTGAGTAGAAACGCCCCCGTAAAGCACAGCCAGCCAGGCACGTCGGCCAAGAATGTGCGGGTCAAATGCAGCTGCAGCCATGTCTGAAGAAGATGCAAGTTGTCGTGCTTCTTCTCGGGGGTTCCCGTGTCCTTTCCCGCCTTGCCGCCCAGAGCGCCAATTGTCTGCATCAGATCCAGTGCCCGCGGGCCAAACAGCATGTGTCCGACACTGCAGACGAGCCCGGCAATGTAGAGGTGGCGGGCGGCCGGGGCGATGCCGAGGCCGCCGTCGTCATCCAGTCCGAGAAGCGCCGCGAGGCGACTTGCCGGGTGGCCGAGAGCCAGGTTCGCACCAGCGACGACCCAAGTCAGCGGATAGAGCGTGAGAATGGCGCTTAAGCCGGCCGGGAACTGGCGGTGGATGAAGTGGCCGAGCACGGTGTTGACCTGGGAGCGGCTTTCCGGGGGAGCAACCCCGTTCTTTTGTTCGAGGTCAGCTGTCAGGTCAAGGAACGGACGCAGGAAGAGGTATTGGCTGTAGTCGAACTGCACGGCGGCAGCTGACAGCACCATTGGCGCGCTGCGAAGGAGGAGGAGGCCGAATGCCATTGTGACGAAGCGGGCTGGCCGGACGTGGATCCTGTCTCTGTGTTGAGCGAGGGGAAAACTGCGAAAATTCAAGGTGAATCAGTGCTCGTAGGATGTCGGCATCTTTATTCACGGCCTGGACGATCGATACAGTTGGGCGGACATGATTCCATCGGTATGTCAGATTCGGCGGATCGGGCGGGTGTATATCCGGAGAGACCCCGTACTTTTGTGTGTCAGTTGTTTATATGACGTAAGCACACAACAACTTCATCTAGAGAAGGAAGAGAGCATGTCCACGTCGATGCTGCGAGCATCGAAAGTGGTGGATTCTGTATCTATGGAATCTATCTTGTGAGAATGTGGTTCGTGGAAGGGGGGGAAAGAAGAAAAAAAATCATCGCAATATCTCTGTTAAGCCCAGCCCAACCCATTCGTCGACTGCCCACGGGAATACCTGTCTGCCAACATCCGCCCATCCGCAAGTCTAGTTTGCCGCTACCTCCTTGAGAACCGAAATCACAGACACGGCGGTTTCGAGCTTCTCATCACCCTTCTCCCCGCCGACAAGACTCTTTGCAAGCTCACCGAGGTTTTCCCACACGCGATTCAGGACGATCTCCGGCTTGTCCTTCACAGCTGTGTGCTTCAGTTCCGCGTCGTGGTCGTTGACGATATATTTCTTGTCCATATTTGCCACCGTAAGTTTGGAAAGCCGCCAGTCGACAAACATGTCTGTTTCGTACGAAAGCGACGAGATGGGGACCTTGTTCTTGCGCAGCTGAAGGATGTCATACAGCGGCGGCCAGTCTGTCTTCTCGGCCAGGATCTCGGCTGCCTTCTTGAGAGGCCGCAGGCTTTTGAATTGGTCGTAGTGGAATGGGTATACGTGCTCAGCCGACATGTAGATCTTCTTGCCATCAAAGTGCTCCTCGGCGAACGTCTTGTCCTCGTCCTTCTCTGACGAGAACACGCGGTCAAAAGCGACTTCCTGAAGCCACCAGTAACGGTTAAGCTCTTCTCCCGCCGCTTGGGCAGCCCAGGCCGACGGCGGGTTCGGGGACTCGGTGTACAAGGGCTCCTGCAGAATGGCGTACAGAGGCCGCTCCTCAAAGCGCAGCCAGGACTCGACCTGGAGAAGCGTGTCGTTCCTGATCGGTCGACGGGCATCAATGTCCTCCATGAACTTGTTCAGAGCGTCGTTCACCTTGTCGTTGCCACCCGTTGTGCCGAGTGTGCGGCCCAGGCACAGGAACCGCTCTGGCGTCAGGACGCCGCCTCCTGGCATCGCGATCCGACGTTTGGTTCCATTCTCGTCTTTCCCGTTGCCGTCATGGATGACCTTGAGAACATCTCTCACGTTCTTTACATGGTCGGGATACGTGTCATAAAAGACGTCGCAAGCTTTGATGACCGAGTCGTACGTGTGCTCATATACCTTCTTGGGGCTCTGGCCCACCGGGGGGATGCCGCCCGTCAGCAGGACCATGTGAAGGGCCTCGGGATAGAACGACAGGTACGTAAACGACACCCAGCCACCGTACGACTGGCCGACAAGAGTCCACTTGCTGGCAGACTGGATGTCGGACTCCGTGAGCAGACTCTTGCGCACGGCTTCGAGGTCCCGTACGATATTGTCCTGGCGGTACCACGACAACTGCTCAGCTTGCTCGTCCGAAGTCAAGTTTTCGAGCGACGGCTCTTTGCCCACGACGTAAGCATTGCCACTCGGAGGCAGGCTGTCGTCGAGATGGTCGGCCCGCTGAAGGGTGCTGCTGCCGGTGCCACGGTAGTCCATAAACAGGACCTGGAACCCCTTGGCGAGGTAGAACTCGGTCATCGTGGGGTTGTTCGTGTGTGGATTGTCGGAGCCCGGGCCCCCGACAAGGTAGACGGCGATGGGCGTCTCCGGGTTCAGGTGGACTGTACGCTCAGCTGGCTGCTCGTCCACGTATCGCTTGGCAGCGTCTGAATCACATTTGCTGAGTACCACACGAACCGTGACAGTAATTCGGTCGCCGTTCCTGCAATGCTTGAGAGGCACCGTGTACTCGAGCTGGTTGTAGAGAAAGTCAGTAGATTTGTCGTGCCCCAGGATGCCGGACATCAGCGTGGCAGGATCCACGGGTCGCTTGGCGTCTCGAAGCGCCTCACCGGTCGGAGATTCGTAGTTCGGGTCAGCCATTTTTCTGGGATGCCGACGGTGCTTCTTGACGTGTAGTCTGGATCTCGTGTAGAGTGAGGCGCGGACGAGTGTATCGATCGTTGGTCGTGGGTCATCGACCGGCTGTCTCTTGAGGACATTCATCAGGACGAGGAGAGCCAGGAACTGCATCGAGACATGCGAGGCTTTATACACTTTCTTGAAAGCATGTTTAGGATGAGAAGACAGGTGAGTCCTCGATTAACTGAGGTGTTTTCGAAATAGTGACTGCCCTTTCGTCGAGGCAAAGTGAGCAGGTTGCTCCCGCTGGCGTTGATGTGTGAAACGAAAAGAGTGACGCCACAAAGAGTTGACTCGAGCAGGATGAAAATAAATGTGGACAGAAACAGATGGAGCGGTAGCCATAATAAAGGTGTTCTATTCTGTCTACAAAGGACGAAAGTGCTGCCGGCAAGACGAGGGAGAATGTGTGTCCCCTTATGTCTTTTGTAGATGTCCTACATGATCATAGAATGCACGTTCTTTGCTACTTTTAAGACGGGCAGCGAGGAAGGCAAGGACGTCGGTCTCGTGGGGGGGTCCAGAAAGGTTACACAAGACGCCTCGAACAACCGTGACAAAGACGGATGCTAATAAATAGATACTAGGCAGACAAGGGGCAAAATAAATATTACTTATGCACAAAGGCGTCAAAGGATGGCAAGTGACACCGGCGCTCACGATGAAAGCGAAGGCCGCGACGGCCATCGAGAATCACCCAGGTCTCGTGCCTTGTGCGACGTAATTTATCGCCTGTGTCGGATATTTTATTTTTCTTGTATTTATGTGACTTTGCCCTCGTGCTGTTGCTCGTTGGATTGACCAGGACTCTTTCTTAGTCCGTTGCAACAGCTTCAATTTTTGGTTAGACGTCCAAGCTCTTCTTTTGATGCAACCACATGATCTTGACGGATGACTTTCCGGCAAATGAGGCACCGCATAGGTCCGTTTCCAGACGTGCAAGGCCCTGCAAAAGGTTTGTTCTTTTGCCCGGCGGCGGACGCGCGGCTGAAGACCGTCTCAATGGGGAAATCGGTTACAAAAAAAGCCAATAAAGGGAGAGAACCATCACGGCCTCAAAGCCGGCCCAACGATGTCCCATGCTCCTGACCCCCCCCCCCCCCCCTCCCGGAATGGGCCAGTTGGACGGTTCAACGCGACAGAGGGAGGCGTTGGCAGCGACGTTGGCTGGCAGGTTGCCATTGGGGGTCAAACCAGCTTAGTCGACTGTCTGTTGGCAAGGCAAAAGGTTGGTGACAAGCATGCATTTTGTGTCACGGGAAAAATGCATGTCAATGCTGCCATGCCAAGGGCCAAACAAACATGAACGGGACGTTGATAAGCGACCTGGACCTTGATTATTTGTGTAACAAAGCAACCAGAAACACGCTGCAGTAAAGGGGCAAAACCCTCACAAGGCACGTCCAAGACAGAAACCCAACAGCAAAACCAGCCCAGAGTCAACCAAGTACCCGTTGCATTCACTTGGTCTGTTCCCGCCCTGTTCGCGGTTGCAGAATTCCTAGGAGCCACCGCGCCACTTCTGGCCAACCGGACTCGGCGTCTAGACTCGTCACCAGCCCAACGTATCCGTCTGGCCGCACACCGACAATCGCACCGCGCCTGCGGTCGATGCCATAGTTCTCGTATGCGTGCCCATCGCCGTCGTGGTGGCTGGGCCGGTCCACAAACACCTTGTCGTAGTCGTGGCCGAGCTTGGGGTCGAATGGGCGATACGCTGTGTGGAAATCAAAGAAGTCGATTGCATCTCCGGCAGGCCCAGAAAGCCCATGATTCCCAGGATTCGCAGGAGCAGCCGCATACACGAGCAGAACGTCGACAATGCTCGGGGGTTGCTCTGGTGCAAGTCCATGGCCTGGACGGCCACCGCCGTGGAGATTGGTCGTGCCCGGCATAATCGCCATCGTAGGCAGCTGGGGCAGCAGCGTATCAGACAGCCAGGCACCGAGTTTGTTGACCTTTTCCATCTGCTGTGACGACGCTGACAATTCTCCACCAAACACCACCAGGCGGAGTCGGCCGTCGGACGGCATCTTGTGATGCAGCTGCCAGGGGCGCGCATCTGCGTGCCGCAGGACTTGGTGCGAGGGAAATCGCGTGCCCAGAGTGCACGCCGCCGATAGTGCACTGGTGCTGTGGGCTGTGCTTTGCAGCACATTGGCATTTATCTTACTCTCGTCGCCCGTAACAGCCTCGGGGGGGATGTCGGTGGCTGTAGTGACCAGCACACTTGACTGATATTTGATGCCTACGGCAGTTGTAAACTAGAAAAAAAAAAAAAAAAAAAAAAAAAAAAGTACAGTGGTAGGTACGTTTCCAGTGAAAATTTGTCTCTCATGGCTGTCGCTTACCATATGGCTCTGGCGGAAGGCTGCGGCAAACTCGTCCATAGAGACGCCCGTCTCGTCCAGGATGTCTTTGGCCGGGCGGCCCGAGAACAGGCGCGAGAAGCGGTGGTCAAATGCTATGAGCTGCTTCGCAATGGCCTTCCGCTCAAATTCGTAGGTCGACAAGACCGCTGGCTGGAGAATGCCCTTGCACACAAGGCCCAGCTTCCAGCCTAAATTGTACGTGTCCTGCATTGACACGTTCATACCCTGGCCGGCCTTTGGTGAGTGCGTATGAACGGCGTCTATCGCGTCAGCTTAGAAACCAAAACACCATGAAATGGAGACACGGCAAGATTACCTCCTGCGAGGAACACCCGGTTCAGCTTGCTAAAGTGGTTGCCAACGCGCTGCCCAATCTGGTAAGCTGTCCACCTGCACCACATGTTAGCTTTTTGGCCCGTATTTTTATTTTTATTTTTATTTTTTTTCATGCTGTTTGCTGGCACTGCCGTGTGACCCGCCCTGCCAGCCACCCGCAGACTTGCACGTACCAGTCACAGTAGTGGTAGTCGATGTGGTACGGGCTCATGATTTTCTTAGCCGCCTTGATGATCATGTCAGGCTGAATTTGCGAGCGATCAACGCGTCCGCCGCCAACAGACACCTCCGTCAGCTGGATGTACAAACGCACGAGCCGGTTCTCGCGCGGGATGACCATGAGACTGCCGTTGGAGGCGCTGTGAATCATCGTGCGGTTGCGGATATCGGCTATTGCTGTCAGTACTTGTACGTCACACGCTCGGGGGACAATACGCACGAAAATCGGTAATCGGAACAATGTCCAACACGCCCCAGATGTAGTCCGTCATTTCGCCCACCATTTCAAACTCCGGTCCAAGCATTTTCCGCGTCCAGCTGTGTGCCCCATCGCAGCCGACGACGTACTTGCACGCTACAACTTCTTCCCGCTCATCGTCTACTGTGCTGCCGCCTTTCAGCAAGGATTCGTCGTCTGGCAGGCTAAGGTTGCTCCGGAAGAGCCCATCCTGCACGTTGCTGAGCATCTGCGTCGGTGTGGCCTCGGACTCGCTCAAGTGTCGCAGCGTGACGGTGACCGGATGGGCTTCTGCGTCATCGGCCTGCTGTTCGTCAATCACAAGGGACGTTGGCATCACCTTGCGCTCTACAGCAATTCGGCGTCGTCTCGGCAGGCCCGATTCGACACCGCTGTCAGAGCCCACGCGCACGTCATCGTTCGCCGGCCCGTAGGAGTCGCGGATGGCGTCCAGAAAGAATGTCTCGGCTCGGCCCTGGTGTAGTACGACCTCGTGGAACCGAGACAGGCCAGCCCTCCCGTTGACCACGCGGTTGTTGCGGCGAATACGACCTGTTTCGTCCGGATTCCAAAAACAGACCTCTGCTTACATGTTAGCATAATCGATCAATACGACTGCACAAATTGCGATCCATAGGCGTACCAATCATGTGGTTCGACTCCTTCCAAATCTTTTCTGCGATACCGAAGCTGTCTAGAATCTCCAGTGAGCGAACTTGGAATCTAAAAGCGGCGCGGTTAGTATACCTGATTGTTCGGACTTCTGCCTCTTGTTATCAACGTGTCACGCAGGAGCCGCTGCCCTACCCATCTGCCTGCCCGGAAAAGACCTTGCCGGTGCGCTTGTCCACGATACGGGCATCCACTCCGAGGCGAGCCAACCACAACGCCAGCATTAAGCCTGCTGGCCCGGCACCAATAATTAAGACATCCGTCTTGGAAGTTGTTTTCGTGTCGGTCATGGTCCGTCGCGCGGGGGCTATGAAATGGCTTGCTGTCGAGCGTTGCACAAGAAGACGTTCGTTCAGAGAGATGCGGCTAGGCGAAACAAGGACGAAAAAAAAAAAAAAAAAAAAAGAAAAAGAAAACACTTTGGCAATGTGTTGTGGAACGCAGCGAGGGAAAATAATATTCAAGATGACTCAAGAAAACAAAATTGCATGCAATGGGCAGCCACACAATTAAATTACACGGCTGCAAATGAAAAAGCCAAAATGGTGTACACAAAACGCTTTCCTTCGGAAGTATGTTCGAGGAGAGACACAGCATGATCCAAAATCGATGCCGGCGCCCCACCTTTCACTCTGTCGCTGCGGTGCCGTGCTCCTTCGCCGTGCGGAAAATTTGGAGAACGGGCCCTCGTGTGAGCATCCACTACACCTATTCACGTAGGATGAGCTGCGGAACCAGAAGGGGCGGGGTAGCTCGTTATGACAAGATAATGACAGAGCATGACCGATCAGGAGAGGCACAAAGTTGACGGCGTAGTATTGCCGACAAAAGGCTTGGCCTTGAAAAGCATGCCTCAGACAGTTTGGCTTTTCATGCCAGACTTATTCGGCGCCGCCGTTTGAAGTGCCTGCGTTACGGCCAAGGTCGCGCCTCACGCGCCATACACGGGAACCGATGTCTCGTTTTTGTCCACCTTGTAGGGCCTCGACCCAGGGTATCTCGGATGGTGGCCATATTCCACGGGAAGTGGCCTCGCTCTCCATGGCCGCACCATCAGCTACAGCCTCCGAATCGTCTCCGTCTGAATCATCCTCAGCCACGTCGTCACGCCCATCGACTATGCCCGTAAATTCCTTGTTGGCATTTTGCAAGACAAGATCCTCCGTGTAAGCCCATGTTGGCGAGTCGAACTTTCCCGAGACAAGGACAATTCCGACGCCATCCTGCTGCATAACCTCGTCGATTATCTCGCTAGCAGGCAGCGGCGTCAACAAATGAAGCTCTTTATTTTGAGCATTGATCCCTCTCACAAGAGCGATGCCCAGTTTGTAGGAATGGCATGGATCCAGCTTTCGGTCGTCCGGATTCAGAATGTAAGGGATGCCTTCCGGTGAGCGCACAAGTGGCGGAAGGCGACGAGTGACGGAGCCTGGAGCATCATGGTCCATCTCCCCTCTTTCGTCCGTGTCGACCTCCATCTCCAAGCCTTGGTCACTGGCCTCCGTGACTGTCCGGAACGCGGCCATATTCTCGATAGCCACAATGGAGACAACCGTACCATTGATTGCATCTGCAATGAGATCGGCCGGCGGCTGTGAGTCGTAACAGACGACTCCAAGGATACCACTCTCCGGTCCAGTATAAGGCACTATCCACGGACGTATCGCGCTTACAGGTCTGGCCAGCCACGAAGCGTATGAGTTGCTCTGGGCCTTTTGCGATCGCAGCGTTGCCGAGGTAGGTTGAGAGGAGGAGTCGAGGTGGATGTATGACATGGTCTGCATCGTCCTGAGATGTGCAGCAGTTCGAACTTTGAGGTCGCCCGGCTGCGACGGCAACTCCAGGAGAGGTACGCCCTGATATGCAGATCTTAAGCCCGCGACCGTGTCTTCGGGGCCCTCTTGCGACATGTAGATGACATCTGATGGCCGCATCCTCTCGATCAATTCCGTAAGTATTTCCAACCCCGTGCCCTGGATCCATCCCGGCGTGTTCACGACAAGTGGGCAGCGATTCCGCAAGTCTCTGTGGTAGAAAGAATAGAGATCCAGCACACACTCAATGTAGTGCTCCGGGTCTGTTGCAGGCGACACAGACGCCAGCTCGTGAGCACGAAGTAGTCTGTCGCTATGGCTATCCCTGCCGGCGACATATGGATGGCAGAATGTAGGCGTGAAATTTGGCTCTTGGACGTGCACCAGGGACAACGAGCCCGGCGTACCAAACTCGGGCTGGCCGGGGTCAATGTCCAGCACAGCAACACTGGGTGTCGTCCACTTCTTAGGCTGCTTGCCTACATTCGCGACATCTTTGGTGACGAATCTATTGGCGAGTAACCGTGAAAATGTGGATTTGCCGGATGACTTTGGTCCACAGACAAACAAAACCTGCTGCCCGGTCTTAGGACTGCGTTTTTGGGACGTCGTTAACCCAGCGATCAGCTTGTACCACTCAGGAGGTGCCGTGATGTCGCGCGATTGCAATCCATCATCATCGGATGTGTAAAGCTATAGAAAGCGTTAGAATACTTGCAGGCAGCTATACTCGAAAGAATTGCGTGTTTGGGGAGCTTACAATTTGGAACGTTGCGTCGGCCTCCTTCTTAGATGAGCCGACCGGCGGCTCGTTCCAGAGTCTCGAAAACAGGGGCGACAGCATTCCCAGCTGGCGGAGCGACGCAGAAGCGGGGTGCGATTGAAGCATGATAGTTGCGTCATCCGTGCACCGAAGAACTGGTAAGGCGTGGCATCGCGGTGCATGAACCCAATGCGTCTTCTCGGATGCACGCAATGTTGCGCCAGCCAAGGTGACAGAACCACTCCGGATCGAAAGGCCATAGCTTCCGAGAATAACAAGCCGCTGTGATGTTAGACATGTATCTCGTCATATGACATAATATTGGGGAAGACCATGTACCTCCTCGTCAACCAGCTTTAGGAGCACGGTCCCATTTGCCTTCCGTTGGAAGTTCTGCTTACTCGGTTGGAAAGAGGACCGTAAAACGGGTACCGCAGACCGTCTCGACGCCAGAAGTACTGTGGTATTGCTATTTATATGGTCAGTATAGGGGATGATGTATCAACCAACAAAAGAGAGAGTTCTCACCTCGTAATCTGTTCCACATGTGGGCCGATGGGTTTCTGTTCAGATGCTGCTATAGCTTCCACACCTGTAGAAGCGGCCCCGACGAATTTCGTTTCTTTGTCAACTAGTCCTAAGGGAAAGCTCGCTGCTTCAGCTTCGGATGGCTGAGCATCTTGGACCTCATTCAACGGGGACGGCTTAGCAACCGCTTCGACAGCCGATTTCTCAAGTGCTGCTTGCGCCTCACGTGCAGCCGCCTCTTTCTGCTCGAGCATCCGCTGCCTTGCGCTCTTGACTGGAAATAACCACGTTAGAAATAATTCGACGTCATAGAAACGAACGTTTCATTCCCATTGCTGTTTGTTTTCATCCGACGTCCTTCCCGATCCTCACAGGATACTCACGTGGTGCTGGTGGCGGGACGGGCTCGACTTTTCTCTTTTTTCTCGGCTCCATATTGTGCCGAGTAGAGCAAGCCGGCCTCGTGGCTCGTTAAAAGTGAGTCGGGGGGAGGGTGTTGTGAGGAGCAAGTGAAAACAAGCTGAGGTCAATCTGAAATGGACTGAGCGAAGGAACCAAGATGCACTGTGTTTGGCAGGGCAGGCACGACCAAATTGTGGGGCTGGTCTTAACCACCTCGGTGAATAAAAGCTCAAAGGAACACTTCTCATGGCAGTAATTCACATACCTTTGTAAAAACTTCGCATTACTGGGACGCAATATTGTAGACAGAAATCGGGTCTCGTTATCCTTCATATATTCTGATGCGATCCCAGCCTTTCTCTTCTGTTTGCGACAACGGTATACATCGCACCGTGCTGCTTCGCACCTTCCACCAAAAACATTTTGGCGGTGAAATGATTCTGCCGTTCTTTCCAAACAAGGCAGGACGGTGCCAGCCAATGGGAACGCGCGATTTGTTTAAGTGAAGTCTTTTTTTGACTGCTATGTTAAAGGGAACCAGCTTTCGCTAAGTAAGAAACTTTTTTCGGTCTGTCTTCTCAAGTCGATGACAATCCACGATCGCATGTCTCAATCAACAACAGCCACTAATCAACAACTTTTGCCCTCAGATTCGACTCACCGAAAAAAACCCACCGCCTTCCCACTCCTTCCCAACCTAGCGATCTCAAAAGCAATTCAGCAAACAGCAAACCGACACAATGGTTGGTCCCAGGGCGCCTCTGGGCAAACTGGCCGACCATCTCAAGGGCATACTCAGTAGCCAGCCTACAGAGACCACGGCACCAAAGATGTCCTTGAGCGACTTGAAGAACGGAAGCAAGAGCGCAGCTTTCGATGACAGCGATGATGAGTCAAGCGACAGCGACAGCGGCTCGTCTGGCAGCGACTCGGACGATGACAACAAATCGTCCTTTTTGCGCAAGATCTCACATACGAACGCAGCAGTGGCCTCTCCCGTGCCGACCAAGTCTCCGACCAAGTCTCCGGCCAAGCCCAATGGCACCTCCGTCGGCACACCTACGCTCGCACCAAAGCCGGCCGCGAAGACGAACGGCACAGCCGTGAAGAAAACTGCTGTGAAAGACGAGAGTAGTGGCAGCGATGAAGACAGCGAAGAAAGCAGCGACGACGACAGCGATGACGACAGCGAAAGCAGTAGTGACGAGAGCGAATCTGACTCGGAAAGCGACGAGGAGGACGAGGGCGAGGCGCCAAAGAAGAAGGCCGGCAAGACAGCAAACACAAAGACAACTAGCAAGCCTGTAACAACTGCACCATCTACATCAACATCCTCTTCGGCTGCGACCAGCTCGTCGAGTTCGCGGTCAGCCAGCGCTGAGAACTCCGAGTCCAAGGGTGGAGAAGACGAGGACGAGTCGGAGAAAGAGGCCCGTGTGGCCGATGGTGTCGTTTCGGACGAGGAGATGGACGAGGAGATGGCTGACCAGTCTTTTGCCATTGATACCCGCAAGAACAGCGACAACCAAGTGTATGTCCAAGTGTATTTGCCACCAAGTTGAATGAAAGCCAAGCAGAGGAGACTGACATTGTGTTCAACTACAGGGGAAGCAACCCTCGCCAATTTGTAACCCAAGGCTTCGAACTGCGGCGCGCCGACGAGTCAAACGACGCTTCCGATGTCGCTCGTGTGTTCCGCCAGGCGAAGCTCGAGGGCAAGCAGCTCTGGTACTTCACGGCCCCGTCCTCGGTGCCTATTACTGTTGTCGAGAAGATGGCAATTCCTGTTGAAAAGGCCCAGCAGGGCAAGGCAATTTTGAACCACAACGGCGAGGACTACGGTATGAGCTTCGACGATGCTCTTACGTCAAAGACGATCAAGCTGTTGATCCCCAACAAGGCTGGCGATAAGTACTCTATCCGTGCGTACCAACCTGGAACCTCGTCCTGCTCTATCCACAAAAGACATCCAGGCTAACATCCGTAGTGGACCGGACCATCGACAAGACTATGCATCTGAAGCGTGTAACCCGGTTTCCGCAGGGAGATGAGGAGGCGGCTGCCAACGCGGCTATGGAACTGCAGGCGCCCGTTGCGTCCAAGAAGCAACCTCGGAAGCAGCCCGAGGGCCTGCGCGCGCGGTACTTGCCGATTGGTGTCAATGACACTGTGAACTCGTCTAAGAAGCGAAAGCACGAGGGCATCACGGCCGTGGCCGCCCCTGCAGCTGCTGCAGTCGACAGCGGCGACGATAGCGATGGCGGCGCTGCGGTCAAGATCAGCAAGAACAGGGGCAAGGACGCCGAGGGAGCAGCCGAGCCCAGCCCGAAGAAGGCGCGGAAGGGCAAGTCTGCAGAGAAGGAGACCGAAACGATGTCCAAGAAGGACAAGAAGTCAGCGAGTGCTGTGCCGCTGCCGCCAATCCCTGGCCTCGCGGCGGTCCCTGTGCACAAGGTGACCCCGGTGGCACCGCCTGTTCTGCCGTCGTCGTCGCAGCGATCCTACTCGCATATCGACACTCCGTCCAAGATTGTGAGCAAGAAAAACAAGGACAAGAAACGTGCCGTGGCTGGCGTTGACGCCGATGCCATGGACATTGACGAAGACGAGGATGCCGCTCCTGCTGAGAGCAGTCCGGAGAAGAAGAAGAAGAAGGACAAGAAGGACAAGAGCGAGAAGAGCGAAAAGAAGGAAAAGAAGGGGAAAAAGGAAAAGAAGGAAAAGGACAAAAAGGACAAAAAGGAGCGCAAGGTCAGCAACGATGGGGATGACAGCGTATCCACTCCAGCTACCGGCCTGACCACCTCTGCTCCGCGGCCCAAGAAGGTGACGCCGGTGCCGCTTCCTCGGATAAACTAGTGGAGTGACCAGGTGTAGCGGCGACGGCGTACTTGATTTTAAGGTATATGGTTCCTCATCTCATTAGCAATTTTTTGTGGCTTTTTTTGTCCTTCCTTTTTCTGTCACTTAATTTTCTTTTCTTGCACTTGTTTGATAAGGATAGGGACCGGAAGTCGCGACATTTACATCCTTTTTTTATTCGTTTGTCATTTCAACAGCTTTTGCAAGGACTGTTGAGACCACCAAGTTTTCCCTCCGCAATCGTTTTCTTTGTTCCTTTTTTTTTGTTTGTTTTTCATCATTTGTCTTATAAAAAGTGGTGTATGAGAAAAAGACAAATTTAATTAATTTAAATAAGCTTGGCTACGATTTTCTTCACCTGTTTGTTTTCCTCGCAATATTCACTGCCGCGGAGAAACTGTTTTGTAGACTGTCAATGGAATTCATTGTTTGTGCTTGCTGCTTCTGCCATCTATGTCTGCCGTAGAAAAAAATATCATCCTCGCACCCATTACGACTGACACCGCTGTGAATGACAACGTTCTTCTTGCAAGGTCCAGCCCTTTCTCCTGTTTGAAGCCTCCATATTCCTTCTAGACATAGCTGTTGGTGGGAAAAACCGAAAGCAACCGACAAATAAACCGCCGTCAACGTCTCGAATTCCAAGACTCTTGTTTGTTCTTCGTCTCTATAGTGTCGTCACCCCGATGTTCATGTTCATCCGACACAGAACCCAATATTAGTGACACCTCCCTCCAGAACAATATCAAAAGTGGCAAGCCAAACATCCACAACTGAAAAAAATTAGTTGACTCCGGTGTTTGTTGCCTCGGAACTCCAGTCCGCTTCCTCTTCCCCCCGGTCTCTTTTGCGCCCATTTGGTCATAAAATATCAAAAGCGATGACTAGCTGATGGCATGCAACGCAAAAAAAAAAAAAGAAGAAGAAGAAAAAAAGGTCAAATCACAAAAGAAACATGCTGAGATCCACTGGCGCTAGACAAGTGTCGTCACCAGTGAACGTACCCCAGCGACAACTCGATACCGATGGAGAAGGCAGAAGTACTTTCTCCTTGATGTCATGTTGCAAAGAAAGCTAAAGCAATTGCCCTCAAAAAGCGAAGACAAGAACAAAATATGTAACGAATGCCGGCCGCTGAAACCCCGTTAAACGAATGCAATGCAGACACGTGTGTGCTGCGTGGTATGTTGTTTGGGTGTATGACTCTCGTCTAAAGCCAAACCCAACTCCCCTCCAATTGTTTCCGCCCATTGCCAGAATAAAAACACCGTCTGAACGCCATGAATAAAAAGCAGAGGGGGTTTGAACGCCGATATGGTGTAAAAAAGCGAGTGTCGTCATAATAAAACATCCGGGCAAAAAAACTGTCAACTCGAGTGATCGTGTTTGCAACATGATGCTGTGGAAGAGGAAAGAGAAAGATCGCCGAAGAAAGAAGTTGAAGAAGAAAACGAAATGCTCGACAAATGTAATCGGAGTCGGGGATGGTGGTAGAGTTATATTAACGGCGGTAGTGGTGTGGTGATGTGAGGATTTCGATTATACATTAAGATTGTGGTGATAGGGTCACCGAACTGGTACGACCTCGCTCAGCTCGGCGTAGCGGGTAATTGACGCGTTGGTGGTGTCCCACACACTCACAGGGTGAAACTCGACTTCGGGTGTCGTCGGGCTCATGGTTCCTGGGCTGCTGTTATCACGACTGCCACCGCCGCTCACGCTGCCACTGACACTGCCGCCAGAGGACGAAGCGAAGCTTGAGGTGCTGCCAATGGTCCACTCGTCGCTGTCGCCGAAGGCACCGGCGACACGATGACGCGGCAGCAAGTCGAGACCGAAGCCGTCGTAGTAATTGTACGCATACTCGTCAACGATAGAGCGGTTCTTCTCACCGATCTCGACGTACTCATACTGCCAACGGGTGCGCTTGTCCGGCTGGCGGCGGGGCATGAAGCTCGCGCGCGAGATGTAGTAAAAGAGGGCGGCCAGTAAGCTGCCGGCAACGAGGTCAACAGCGTAGTGGTGATTCAGGTACATGGTGGCCCACCAAATCCAGCCAACATACGCAATGAAAACAATGCGGAAGCGGGGGAAGCAGTAGCTCATAAACAGGGCCTCGAGCGTGGCGTCAGCAGCGTGCAGGCTCGGGAAAGCACCGAAGGGAAGAGGAGCAGTGGTGAAACTCGTCGTATACATGTCAACGCCCAACAGCTGGTCCACGCGGGCCAGACCGGCAGGAGAACCGGGCATGCCGTAGTGGGCGGGTTCGAGGCCGTGCAGGCGCTCGTACCAAGGGGGCGTGCAGGGGAAGACGAGCTGGGTAGTGACGCCAACAAGCGCCAAGTAGCCAAAGTTGCGAGCAAAGATAGGCGTCGTGCCAGGGGCGGCGAAGAAGAACATGAGCACACTGCACACCGCAGGTGCGCCGAAGTGGCCCAGGCCGTAAGGGAACCATGCCAGGAGGTCGAGCACGGGGTGTGTGTGCGCCGACAGGATGTTAGACAAATTGGCGCCGTACAGAACGTTCTCAAGCGCCGGCAGAACCTTGACCCAGATGTGAGGACGGTACTCTACAGGGATGAATCTGTAACGGAAGAAACAAAAAGTCAGCAACAAGGTTCACACAAATACAGTAATATCGTTGCTTGTGCCAAGTGGACCAAAACGCCACCAAAATTAATCAAGTTGTCCGCAGCCTAGCCTCCCACTTTTCCCACTACTCTTCACCCGCGCGCACAAATGCAGGTGAGGCTGCAGGCGTTGCACGGGTTGCTCGGCAGATTGCGTAACGAAAACAGGAAAAACGTTTCTCATGGCACAAGCCACAAACCGCACTGCATAGAAATGGAAAACTTACCGGCTGGAGAAGAAATAAAACAGATACGTCCATATCGGCAAGCTGGGCAGGAAGAACTGGCGCGTCGCTGGCATCAGGACAAGCAGACTGTAGCCGGCGACGATACCGATGTCGACCATGAGAGGAATAGGTGCAATAATGAAGGAGAAAAGGACGAAAGCAACCGTAATCAGATGCTGTATATCGTAGATGTTCCACCGATGGCGGCGGAGAGTACGCAGGCCGTCAGCCGGGTTGAAAGAGCGCTGGAGCGACGCAACATTGCCGACAGACGCCTTGCCGCTACCAGCCTGTGTTGTTGAAGCAAAGCGCGAAGGCGGCGCCGAGACAGACAAGCGAGGTTTCTGCTTTCTCCGGCTGCGACCAGGCCGGTATTTGCGGGGGATCGGGTTCCATTGGGCCAGCGCCGCGGCGGCAGGCCAGAAAAAGGACATTTTTGGCGCTGATTGAGAGAAACCGGTACCGAAATCTTGCATGGTTGCGGTGGCTGTGAGAGAGTTGGCGCGGTGTAGATAGGAATGTAGCGCTGTTTGGCTCGTCGAGTCGAAGTATATCGGCAATGAAGACTGTTAAATATTCCGGGGCTCGATGATGGCTCGTACCGTGACAATACAAAGTTCGGCGGACCTAACGGGTTCGCCTTAACACGGTCACAAATATATTGCCCCAGAGAATCGAGACAAGCATCGGTTGGGGAGGCAAGAAAGCGAGCAACTCGAAATGGGTTGTCGTGAGGAGGCGGCGGCAAGAGAGTCGGAGATGATGGCGAGGGAGGGAGGTCTCGCGATCAAAAGAAAGTCGATAGTCAACAACAGCGCACGCCCATGGTCCTTAGTCGACAGAATATTATTCGGAGTCGTCGTCGGAGTAGGGAGAGGATGAAAAGCGACAAGAAGCAAAAAGAAAGGAAACAAACTGAAGGATGGGAGGCAGAGGGGGGATAAGAAAGGGAAAAGAAGGAAAAGGGGACCAGGAATGGGTGTATTTCTGGGCGAAGAGCGAGGACAAGGGAATATGAGGATTTTGGGGTCAAGGGAGTGGGCGGCATCCGAGACGAAAGAAAACGGTGGGACGGCGCAGCGAGGAAAGAGCGAAAGCGACGGACAAACTGGAGGGAGGAGCGACTGGGAAGACAAAAAAAAAAAAACTTAATTGCAGAGGTTTGCTAGCCCCTATCACCTCCAAGTAAAACACTCAACGGCGCGAGCGGGACGGTGGCAGCGGGCTCTTTGGAGGCTTGGAAGAGGCTGTAGTGGTCATCTAGCGCACCGAGGCCTCGGACGAAATCCTTTGGGTAGAGAGAGCATGGACAACGGGGTGAGCGAAACGGAGTGAGAAAACGGAGCCGCCAAGGAGCGAGACCGACAAAAACGACGCTAGTACTCAGAATGCAGGGACGCTAGTAGGTGCGGGATGGAAGGTCTGGGATTTGACTGGGTGCTCGGGACGCATTGGCGCTTACGTCAATCGCACGGTTAGTGAAATTCAGGAAACGGCGACAGCGGAACGAAAGAACAAAAACAGTGGCAGCGACCGTGGACGGAAGCACAACGTGAGGAAAGGATAGAGTATATTACGACTGTTGGCCGGAGAGACAGCGGCGTCTCGATTTAGGGAGGAGGGAACGACTTCCTGCCTTCTTTATTCTGCATCCGTGGAGGAAGGTACGGCCACGCGAGCACACGAGAGCCCACGCGAGCGACACACGACCTCACAATCATGGAGGTAGGCCACTGCAGACCGCTAAATATCAGGCGCAAAACGATGCCAATGCTGGTAGCAAACGTCGTAATTGCATAGTAGTTAATTACTGTCGAGAAGGCGCAAAAAAAAAAAAAAAAAAAAAAAAAAAAAAAAAACAAAGAAAATAGTCCACGAGCGCAGCATCAGGGATTTCGGGGAATTCGACATTCCCGAAGAGCGCGCAAAGTATTAAGGAGTGCTTTTTGTACGGCTAGCGCCAGCGCGAGCGTGAGACGCAAAGAGCGGGCGTATGACGGCAGCCAAGCTAGAGAGCAACTGGGAAACAAGGTCAGGCGGGCCTGAAATTTCCTTTTAGTGGAGGACCGCTCCTGTCGATTTAGAATCTGGCTTTACTCCAAACGGCCTGTACTGACGTGAGAGCAGCTCTGATTTCAGAGGGAAAGAGCCAGAACAACGCCTGCACCGAAATGGACGCTAGTAGTGAGATCAGGGAAAGTCGACATGGCCCGCGTGTCAGGCAGGGACCAACCAGGGGGGAGGGGTGGGTGGGCGCCATTTCCACAATAGAAAACAGAATGCTGGACAAGGCAACAAAACGGAAAGCACTGATTCCAAGGCGTGTTTGGTCACGATGTTGCGCCTTCCTGTGTCGTCTTAATATGTGCTTTTCCTCCGCCGAACTGTGCGGGCGCTGGGGTCTTTGCGTCTCTGCCAGGCATTGTCTCTGCCCGGAGTTTGTCTTTTTCACTCATTTCGCTCAACTCACTCAATCCCTCCATGCCACTGGATCCGCCAAGAGACTCTCTTTTCTGGTTCACGTTCTTTTGCCGTTACAGGCTTGCTGCGGCTGCTGCAGGCGCTTTGGCGGCGCTGCAGTGTGACGGAGACGAGAAGGGCTCAAGATGAAAGGAACCGGGCGTTTCATCTGTCGCGCTTCCGTCGCATCTGTTCACGGCCACACACCACCGTTTGTCACGTATTCTCCAAGTGTGGCGTGGGCTCTCCTGGTTGGTCTGACATCCAGAAATAAGACCAATGATGGTTCGGTCGTCGGAGGAAGAGCGACACTCCGTGGCATACTCAAACGTCTGGGCGGTGATGGGCACATCTTAACGGTTGCCCCGTTGCCCGATGCCGATGCCCATTGTCCATTGCTGGTGCACAAAAAGCCGTCTGAAATCGGGCTGTGCTGCTTAAATACTTTGTCTTGGCTGGTGCCTTGTGGCTCCGCCTCAAGAACCCGATTGAGGGAATAGAATGCGAGAAACGGGCGACAGGGGGACAACGAAACGGCGCCGTCAGCTTATGGGAAACAGTGCAAAATGTAAGATTGGTCCAACCGGGGGCTCGGGTGATGCTGACTGGAAACAATTAATGGACCAACCAAGCAAGCCACACAACGGCTCGATATTTTGAGTACGATGTCGTACTGGACGAGAAACCGGCAGAAAGGCAAGGGACTCGACAGGGGCAATCAAGTTGGCTGGATGGGCGTCGTGAGAAAGTGAAACCGGGGTTGATGTACCGTGCGTGTGTGCAAATCAATTACCGTCAAACGTGCGGGATGTGGAGGAAACGCAAAACGGTTGTCTCTGTTGTTCTTCTTCTTCTTTCCAGAGCGCAATGTAAGGTAATACGACATACGAACAAAACTTCTCTGTGCGAATCAATGGCGGAAGACGATGCTACTCAGAAACAAAGAGACGAAACACATACACAGGACGCGTTGTACAGTATGCAAGACACCAGGCAGATGGCACGAGCGTTCTACGAGTATTACGACGTATGCGACAAGAGGATGTGCCACGCATCAAACATTGTATGCCACACGGACCCATCTCGTCGTTGGTTTCTGCACCTGCCTTTGTTGCTTCTCGCTTCTCGATCGCAGCGATCAGACGATGCGTGAGCTGCGGCGTATGCCCTTTACTGCATCGTGCGTTTTCTTTGTCTGGCTCTGTTTTATCATTATACCCGCACGTCTGAACAAAAGTGCTTCTCGCATTCTGCAGTTCATTCAATTCTCCTAACACATTTTTGCTCGGAATGTTGTACTTGTCCTGACGTCTTGCTTATTCGCTCCGCTCCACCCACCTTGATATGATCTGATATGATTAGGTCCGACCGCACCCTCTTCTTTTCTCATCATCCTGTTCTGACAGTCAACTGGGCCCTACGAAGTAAATGGCGTACTTGGCGGGGCGGGCTTATGACGAAACGCTGCAGTAGCTCTGCAGCCTTGCGCCACTCTCACGGCACAACGAAACTGATATGTAAATGGGCGAATAGTACTCCGTCCGATCGAGGGCATCCTATCATGGTGACTCGCGGGTGGCACAGCAAGGCGAAGCACAGAGTAGAAAAACCGTTTGGTCAAAGCCTCCTCATGCTCTGTCAAGGATAGAGCGATGCTAGAACACCGCCATTAGCTGACTCAAATGATTTTGAATCGTGCAGTGGTTGCTTCAAGTGTGCACGCTATTGGCGCCATCAGCTAATAATTGGCATTGATCGCAACCACCACAAGGGAAATGGCGCCCTCGCTGGTTGCATGTCATAAGTTTAGTAGCAAAAGGAAACTCGAGGACATTCCCGAGCTAATATATCGGACAGATTTTGGTGGTGGCCAGTCGCCAGTGTCACTTGCGAGTTAATTACTAAGTGGGCGAGCAACAGGAAAGAGCAAAACGGCGGACAATTATTTTGCACGTCAGAAGGGTATCTTGCTTCGTACCGTTTCGAGCAGCCCTACAGCACCCTTGTATAACGCAAAGTTTAGGCGTTGACCGTTTCTAACAAGGCTCCCAATTAGGGAGGCCCCACCGTTTCCTGGCCGATTATCAGACCCGCACGAAGGACGGGGAAGTAGCTTTTTACTCCACACGAATACTTTCCAAGCGCCTTTGTTTTTTTCTTCTTTTTTTTCGGCTTTTTCTCTCGTCAGAGCCGAGGCGGAAACTTTTTTTAAGAGTCGTTATGTACTGCTGAAATAGCCCTCGGCCTCGTCCACTTCTGCCCATGTACTTTACTTGACAGGCCGGGGTTCGCTGGAAGCAAAAGCAATATCGAAATTGCGGGAACGACCAAACAATTGACAAAGTCGAAAAAAGTCAAAAAGAGGCAATTCGTCGTGCGAGCACAAAGTGATTGTCGTTCGTACGAAATGCTCCGTACGTCGTACTTTGTGGGTCTTGACAAAACAGAGCAATAATTGTCGTTTTTCGCGATCGACCATCGAGCGCTGCAAATTGCCCAAAAATGACAGGACGATCTTGCCTTGCTAGAGAGGCTGAGAGGCAAGGAAGCATACAACTGGTTTACCGTATTTTATGTAGTGTGTGGTTCTGGCCAATAGCCTGGCGCTTTGTCCAACGGGCCCTACCGGGAAGCCGAGTGGCGCTGAAAAATAGAGGAGAAAAAAATATTAGCGAGAGGCAAATACTGAGAGGAGTTCTCCCAATAGTCCCGTGCCAACAAATTTGTAGCGTACCATTGTCGCAGGCACAGTTCTTTTCCTTACAGTATTCCTACAAAGGACTCACAATTAGGGTACAGAAGGAGTGGCCATGACCGGCTCGTTGTCGTCTCACATAAAGGTAGTACGGGCCTCGAAGCGAAGAGCCATCATTTGATCCAATCATTTTCCCGGTAGACTCGAAAAGAATAGCGAAATGAGACGGGCGCATGGATGCGGCCTTGCGTTTTGTCGCCTCGCCACTACAAAAGTTTGCCGACGTTAGTGGAAACGGGAAGCTGGAAACGGCGTGTCACCTTTCTGACATTGCTCCTTCTTGCGAAAGTCGTCCGGAATTACTTCCGTCCAACGTCTCTCGTTCGATCCGTGGCTCCTGCCCCGAGCGGGAGCTGCCTGCGACTGCAATTTTAAACTCTTAAAGCTGTGGCTGGTATGACCAGGGTGTGCCTTCTTCTGCCAAGTCCAAATCTCCAAGGGAAGCAAGAAAGAGGGCCGCCAAATTCGAGTCCTTTGCACAGAACCTGCCGTGCCCCCTCCCCCCAAATGGGCAATCTCTCACGTTTGTTTCATGGGCTTAGGGGTTTTTTTTTTTTTTTTTTTTTTTTTTTTTTTTTTTTATTAGCGGGGAACCGGGGTACGTACAAAGCACTGAATACGTGAGTGTACCGTTTATTGCAAGGGCCTGGCAAGCCACAATTTTTGCCCCTCTTTATTTATGGAATTGGGGCTTTAATTCTAGCTCTTGGACGTCCTGGAAACGGACAGTAGATAAACAATTGTCAATTGACAGCGTGAGTGTGCCACCGAAGGAAGCACCGTACAGCGCGGTACGTAATTACGGCGTTCCCACACGGCAACTACACAACTACACCAGACGTATGTCGTACGGCGTTGGAAAGGAAGGAGCAAGGGACCAGAGGACTGGAACATTGTTTGAGACATCTTTCTTTGTCGCTCCTACTGTCAACCAGCATCAACTGCATTCTTACTTTTCATCGTTGATATCGACACGGAGCTTCAAACTCGGCATCCGGACTGTTCGACAGGGTCCTGCCTCCGAAATGGGCCAAAAATAGCTATTCAGATGGCATGCGGGCCCAAAACGTCGGTCTACATCTGTCGTTTGTCTTCTTCAACAACATAGTTCGTCTTTGTTCCATCGTCGCTTTACCAGCCAATCCGGTCAGCCCACGAGCCCTCGAGATCAGCCCCTGCTCATGCAAGGAAGCCCTTTTTGATGGCTGCCTATCCATCCCTCTGCGGCACCTCGAAGAATAGGCTCAACAAGGGGCGCCAACTTCTAAGAAAAGATACAGGAGGAGGAAAGGTTTGGGATAAGCATCGACGGCTGCATTAGCCTCTTCTGGTCTCCTCCACGACGGCTAGGACCACTTGCCAGACAAGCAGCCGGCCTTCAGGAGCGAACGGATGAAATCAACGCTGTCATCCTCCGATGTCCTCCACACTTTTGTTTTGCGCTTTTTCGGAGCATCAACCTTTTTCACGCCACTAAGTGGTAACTGCCGGCGTGTGATCCAGGTTCTTGTGGTGGCATATTTGGCGGATGGCTAGACTGGACTGGACTGACAGCCAGATATTAATATCTCGAAGGATTTTGGCTTTCCAGTTTCATCATTTTTAGTTTATTTTTTGCTGGCGTCCTTTGGATCCTTGGACAAGTCAGGACGGTGATGGCCCGCCATGCCTACCGTTCACCAACTCGCTCTCTCGACCATCACATGAGGACTGACCATCACATTTCCCAGTCTTAGACAGCAAGAGGTCGAGCTGAACGGCGCTTAGCGCTCCTTGCTACTGTAAAGGCTTCCACGGTAGCGCACACGTGCCTCGAAAGGGTGCGCTTTCGAACGTCTCAACGCAACGCCACATACGTCGTTGACGCCGTTCCATATTCCATCCCTGTCTGCTAACTGCCTCGGAAAAGAACGCAACACGGTCGCGAGGCGATACTCAGCAGTCGTCAACGGCAAATGGCCATTACACGGCCAAATTGCTCCGTTTACTACATGGAAAGACGACTGGCTATTTTCTAATTTGATTTGGGAACTGACCCCCCCCTGTGCAGAGTTGCATCCTGTTCCACAGGTCCTTTATTAAGGGTGAGAAGTGCTGTCGCGTGTCTACACGCCATTGGCGAAGCGTTTATCCTATTTGGGCCACCGTTTTGATTTCTTTGTGGATTTTTTTTGGATCTTTTCCCTTTTTCGCGTCTTGCAGGGATCTCCGTGCTTACCGGACCTGCAGACCACCCGCTTTACTTTTTATTGCTTGCAGTTGGCCTTGGAACGGTCAGCCGTCAAGTTTCCCAAATCCGAGTCTTCCGAGGCCAGCCAAATATTAGCTCTTTGTTTTTCTTTCCAGAGGAAGAAGAAACGAAGCCCAATTTTTGTTTCGACGGGCTGCAAAAACGAACCAAACGGGCATGGCAAGAACCACCACGGATTATGAAGTTCTAAGCGCTCCTGTTGCAAAGATGATAACAGTAATGGATGATTTAATGGGCATTGACGGATACGAAGACGGTAAGAAACAGAAGATGCCACGACCAAAAAGCAACACGGTTGGGCATCACATGTGCATCTGCATGACCCTACTGCAGAACAAAGCATGCATATTTTGGACCACGGTTCGATGCTCACTGCGAATCGGCGTCCGGCATCCACGTAGGGCCAGGTCACAGGTCCTGCTCAAAGTTTTTGCAGCAGCAAATGACGGCGTTTTGGCAGGCTGGAAAATAGCCCCCCACGTCTGCCGAGGTGGCCGAGTGTTCCGGGAGGACAGTCTCGGACACAGGATTTCCCTTGCATAAGAATAAGATTATTGTGTTGAATGAGAAAAACGTCGCAAAATTGATCGTGAGATCGTACGAGAGCCGAGAAAGATGAACGGTTGCCAGTCGTCTCATCTGCATACTTTGAGTAAGCCTTGCTTTTCGTACCAAATAGCGACGACAGGCCCAAGCGAGCTACTGGTTCTTTTGATTGTGATTCAACCGCGCGCGTGACGCGACTGAGAATTGCGCGAAGTTTTGTTCTTTTGCCCTTCCTTTTCTCGATCAGCGTTTTCTTTGTTCGTGGCGTTGCCCATTCCAGAGGAAACGCGACGCACCTGAGACAGGTGCAGTTCATTCAACTAGAAAATCGACCGCGTGTCCCTCGTGAACAGTATGGACTGGATATACGGAAAGACAACGGAATCGCAGGCGTCCCTTGGTTCCTGCAACATATGTAGGAAAATAATATACAAAAAATAAATCAGCACTGTTTCTCGAATATCTACTCCGTACTTCCGTGCTGAGTAGCCATACATCGCCTGTCACCAACGCCATTGTGGATTGAACAGTGCCAAACCTGCAATTTGCAATTAAATAATATTTTTATATAAAAAAAAACCTCCGTATCACCGGTCGTTTGGCGTTTAAACACCCTTTGCCATCGGCTTTGCTTAACACGAGAGAGATGGAGATATCGTCCGAAGGCGAACGCCTAGTTGATGTTAAGTCCATTATGGAAACGGGCCATTGCAAGCTTGTCCCACTAGATCTCACAACGTAACCATTTGCAAACGGAGTATCTCAATGTAGCCATCCAAGAACGCGGAAACAAATTGCTAATACGTCTCTAATTACGGAATACGAAAAAGTTCACGCCGCTCACCTCGATAGGCCTCCCGTCTCTCGCGTCTCTGAGAATTTCAAAGTGTCTCGTTCCAAGAGAGGGGCAGCAATCTTAAATTCCGGGGCAGTTGGAGTATCGTGGGTCGCCTTGAGACGGGTGGCCACGCAAGAGTGACAAGGCTAGACCCAATCCAGGGGTCCGTGTTGAAGCTCAATGAACCAACTGACAAGGGGGAAATTGGTACAGTAATACTCCGTAATCAGGGGAAAGCAAGAGAAACAAAATCTGAAAGAAAAACTAATTATGTCGACCGTGAGGCAGGGTCGACAAGGAATGCCTTTCGTGGGAATCTATCACGCGTGTCGAACAGGGGTCCTTGTCTTGAGGCTTTTCAAGGATAATTTGTCGCATTCAATTTTGCGACTAAGGGTCTTCGTGGAAAAGGGGAAAGGAGTACACAAGAGAGGACAAACATACGCGTGCGCACACGACCTCCACGAGCCAATAATCGATAGCCAAGAGAGATGTGAGGGCAGAAAACTTCGTACGCTGTCGTGTCACTCGGACGCCAAAGAACACGAGAACTAAGGGAAGAGAGGAAGCCGGTTAAGGTTTATGCCAGGGGAAAGTCAAACCTCGGACGGACAGCGCTAACATATTCCGGTGCCACCATGCAAAGGATCATGCAGGTTGAATCAGAAGCCGAGGGCAAAAGCTAACAAGAAAGATGGGCGGACACTCCCGCACTCGTCGCCTGCAATGGTGAGAGTAATAACGTGCATGTGGAGAGTCGATACTTTGTCTGCATCCCTTGAATGCGAGGCACAGCCTTTGGGGAGGTGCATCGAATGCCGAGCGGTCCTACGTCACCAATGAGTCAAGGTTGTTTGATGCGGAATAAAAGCATTCACTGCTGCGTGTATCTGGAAATCGTTGCCGTCTGAGATAATGAAGATGATTCGGGCAAGGCTATGCCAAGTGGCATTGAGCATGACAAGACGAGAGGAAGGAAGACGAGAACGAAGCCACAATGATGCGGGGAATAGAGCTTGATACAAAGCCAATACATCAAAAGCTATACAGAGCCAGTCCATATCATAAACAAGAAGCCAGAAAAGAAAAAACTCGCCGGTTGCTGACAACGTCATAGTAAATATAAAACGAAAAAGAAAAAAGAAAAAAGAAAAAAGAAAAAAGAAAAAAGAAAAAAGAAAAAGAAAAAGAAAAAGAAAAAGAAAAAAGGCCCATGAGCCATGAGTATCCAGACACACGATTTTTCCTGGAGCCTACCCTCGGCTGCCGACGCCCGTCCAGAGGCCTTTCGTTGTCTCGACGACCTTGTTCACATCCATGCCCGGCCGCAGCGCCACGGGCACGGAGCTGAGTGCCGGCGCATCGCTCATACTAACGTCGTTGCCGCCGTTGTTAAGCCGGTCCACGCCGTCTTTTTCAACCTGCGTGCCATACCCAGAGTCGTCCTTGTACATCGCTGGGACGGCACCTGGGGAAGCGCCCCCATTCGTTGGTGGTGCGCCCTGCGGTGCAGGTGCGCGGTTGGTTTTCACGCTGGATCCGTTGCCGCCATTGTTGTTCCGGGCCGGTTCTCGCGACCGCGCACCATCCATGCGCCCTTGAAGGCCGCCCTCCCGCAGCTTGTTGATTGCGCGCACCGTGTCGATGGCCGCGTGCAGCGTGCGCCGCGCGTTGAAGTTCTTCTTGACGGTCGGCAGCAAGTTGGTCTCGTCGGTCGGGCCGGCGACACCGGGGGCGCCGGCGTTGCGGCGGTCGTAGCCCGCCAGGAACGGATGCTGCAGAGCCTCGTGGGCGGTCATGCGTTGTGAGGCGTCGATAGTGAGACAACGGCGGATAAAGTCTTTAGCAGCGTCTGAGACGCCACGCCAGTAGTCAACGGGTGTGAAGGAGTAGTCGGCTTGCAATATGGCCTGCATCTCCTCAAAATCGCTGTCGCGGTCAAACGGCGTGTAACCGCAGAGCAAGAAGTAAGTGATGACGCCCAGCGCCCAGATGTCGACAGGCTTGCCGTGGCCAATCTTCTTGAAGATCTCGGGAGCCATGTAGCCCGGAGTGCCGCACGTGGTGGTGAGGACGTGAAACTGCTCCTCGTCCATGATACGGGAGAGGCCAAAGTCGGCGATCAGCAGGTCGGCGTTGTCTTCCGGGGTGCGGAACAGCAAGTTCTCTGGCTTAAGATCGCGGTGGACGATGCCGTGGTCGTGTAGGTAGGCGACGGCGGAAAGAGTGGCCCGGATGAGGTCGGCAGCGTCTGACTCGTAGTATGAGCCCTTGCGGCAGATACGGTCGAAGAGCTCACCACCAAGTGCAAGGTCGGTGACGAGATACAGGTTGTTCATGGTCTCGAAGTAGTCAACCAGTGTCAGAATGTTTTTGTGTCCCATAGACACCTTTTTCAGGACGGCAATTTCGTTGCGGATCTACAACAAGGGGAAGTGAAGAGTACATATTAGCAATCGTGGTGCTTAGAAAACGGGACTTCACAACCAGGTCAATCATTCCAAGAGGGGACGGCATCATCTTCACGCCCATGCTGACTTACCATGTGTTCTCGTCCAGCCATCAGTCGTTTGTTGATCACCTTGGCGGCATAACACCGCCCCGTGTCGATGTGCACACACTCTTTCACGACCGAGTACGAGCCGGCGCCGAGCGTCTTGCCGACTTTGTAGCGGCACGGCTGCACCTGCGGCGGAGGGGGCTTGGCAGCCATATTATGTATGAAGAGAGGCTGTAAGGATGGATGTATAGTAGAGATAACGAGAGCGAGGTGACGAATACAGGGCAACAGAAGACCGCGGGAGGTCGATATGAACCGTATCACCGGCAAGAAGAGCCGTAGAGCGGCCGATGCCGATCGGGATTGTCGGGACAAAAAAAAAAAACGTCGAGGAGGTCGAAAAAGGTCAAAAAAGGTCAAGATCGACTTGCTGAGTGTCTTGGGCCGTTTGCGGGGTTCGCTGTCGCAGGCACGTAGTGTGCAGGAACCTGCTCGGGCGCCAACAAAGACGGTTTGCAGGTATCTTGCGCTGATGAAACAATGTTGGGGAGACGTCCTCTGGAAGCGTTGAGAAGGGGTCGTCGCTGGATGATATGCCGCCGTGGAGGAAACAAAAGAAGGGTCGTTCATAATCGAGTGAGAATGTCAGCATATCAGAATGGCGGAAGGAGGGGATGGGACTAGTGGGGCCCCAGTTTTTTTGTTGTGGCAGTTGCCTCCCCAATTTAAAGGAGAGGAAAGACCGGTTGGGCGCGACCCAGGGGACTCGGAGCGCCAACGGTCCCAGCTCTTTCCTTCTTACAGCGCAGGCTGGGTGCGGGGCACCACTTTCCTCACGGGCGCCGGACGGCGCAACGGGCCAGACTATGACAGCCACCGCAAGCATTCAGTTGCTCTTTCCCCCTCTCTAGTCTCGTATGCACCCAGCACTCTGTGATATCGCCCCATGTAACATGCAGCGGCATTTTGCGGCCATCTGTATGACTGCCTCTGGAATCATTTATCAGCAAGACCCTGACTTGGGCTGCCGAGCCGGACTAACGAAGTCAGGACAAGCAGCTGCCACGGCGCCTATGATGATAAACCCACAGAAGATGGGGTCGAGCCCTGGATCTTGGCATCTTTATCTGAATGCAGTTCAAGCCATACATGCTGCAGTGCTGACGATACCAGAGCCAGTCGCACGGCATGCTCTTGCCGACCAGTCTCATGGCCAGTCACGGCATTGGTGGGAGACAGCAACGACAGGCCTTGCTTGCCGCAGTCGCGTCACTCACCATTGACTGCGATTCAGACTCACGCCTTGCACGATCTGACCACTCACTCGAAGCTGCCGCCACGTCGAAACTGCTTCTTGCTGCTCTGCTTCTTCTTCTCTTTGATCCTTGCTGCGTGGAATGCTTTCTCTCTGCATTGCCGCGTGTGTGTTAGCCGACCATTCCAACGTATGGCTTAGATCGCGTATACACGTCAACGGATTATCAACTCACATTGCCTTGTACTTGGTCGCCGTCTCTGGTTGCGTCTCGCCTGGCACTGTCGCCTCGTACAGTGCCACCAGCTCGTCAAACAGCTTCTCGCGGTTGGCCCCGGCGTTGGCCGTGCGCGAACGCTGTGTCTGGGCCTGAATTGTCAGGCTGTCGGTGGCCTTGGTGTAATACCGCGACGTGCGCAGCCGATCACGCAACAGTGTCGGCAGAAAGCTCTGCAGCTCATATATGGGCCAGACGGTCGTGGCCTTGGTCTCGGTCTTGTTGACGTGCTGGCCGCCGGGCCCACTGGACCGTGAGAAGGTTGTGTTGCCTTGGGGCAGAGCATCTTGGGTGAGCGCCTGCCGCCACTGGCGCGCAGCCTGCAAGTCGTCCGGGTTGAAGCCGCTGTCGAAAGCGGCATACCGATCCGATGCGCGCCGGGCTATCGTAGTCGCAAAGTTCCTTGGAGCGCCTGCCAGGCCTACACCGAAGCCGATAAACGACGGTGTTCGAGGCGTCGACCTCGCCTGGTGGAGGACACTGCTCGCGAACATTGCAAGAGTCAAATTCCAAGGGTATGTTAGTCGTAAGAATGGAGAGCGAGCCATTTGTATGCCGAAATGGAGAGGTTTTGCCGGAACAAAAATAGCGAATCAAGACGTCATTTCATATTGGCGGCCGAGAAGCTCGCGCCAGCGATCGCCCAGCAATTTGAGATCCCGCTGCCCCACAGTTACAACAGAACATAAGTCGGCTCTACGAGTGTTGTAATCGAGTCGTAGATTTCATAAGCATTCTATGTTTCAACGACTGCTGTTACAATTTATCTACATACATATTCCTGAGAATTTTTTGTCTTTCATTCCTTTTCAATTTTTAATTAAAAAAAGTTGTGAATTACGAATTGAAACTAATACTATGTTTGGCTAGGGTAATTATTGTGTTTTATTTATGCATGCACATCATCTTTTCTTGTTAAATATCAACGGTTACCTATCTAGGTCAAAGACTTTGAAATATTAAAGAAATTACAATTAAATATGGATGAATATATGCTGCCAAAAAGATGGGGTATAAAACTGGTATCCTTAGAAACAGAAAGAAGCCTAAAAAGAGGGGGAAAATATAAAAATAAAAAACAACAAAGCGTGTCCGCATAGTGACCAGTTATGCCGTTCTACATCAAGACGCAGGACGTCGGTTTGTACCCTTCGCCGAACAGTTCTTGTCCACGCTCAATCTCGTTGGCCTGTTGCTTCTCCTTGACTTCCTGCCGGAAGTAGAGCTTCAAGAACCTATGGAGATCGGCATCCAGGTTGTCGAGATCAGCCTGCATGACGACCTCACCGCGGCACAAGGGACAAAACTTTTGTTCTTCACGCTGCATCTTGATGACGCAGCGGACACAAAACACATGGCGACAAAGTAGGCGCACAGGCATCCAGGCGATGCTGAGACAGACCGGACAGGTGTAATCTTCGAGGCGGGGCACGACGGCGACGACATCCTCGGCGATGCGGGCGCAGACGTCGCGGGCTAAGCTATCGACGAGCATATCATGGTGGTGGCGAGTGGCGTCGGGGAACGTCCGCGATACGTCCAGGGCTGTCCACTTGTCGAATTCTGTGCGTGTCAGAATGGTGATCTTGAATGGCATGAACGGGACAAAACCATAGGTACCTACTTTTCAATATTTTGGACTGGGCAGTCTGGTTGAGCTCGCGGAAGCGCAGATTGAGGTAGAGCCGTTTGTTCAGCATCAAGAAGTGCTGGTAGGTGGCGAGACTCGCGGCCAGCTGGAAGTGCTGCAGCAGCCCGCGGCTCTTCACCTGCTCCTGGAACCAGTCGAGCTGCCGCGACGCCTGAGCAGATGTGCGGGCCTTGCCGTGGTCGCGTTCGCGTGTGGAAAAGAAGACCTGGGCGTCGAGGTACAGCTCCAACAGCTCGCGCCAGAGAGTCAGGTCGCTGGCGTATTTGTGATGAGCGACGGCGGTGGTCGTCTGGTTTGCACTAGCCTTTGCAAATGAGCTCCCAAACCACGTCCGCTTCTTCCTTTCCGGTCTTGCCACGGCCGACACTTCCTGACCCAGCGCCACGACTTCGGCCGTGATGGCAGCCTGCTCAGCCTGCCCAATGCGCTCGAGCTCAGCCATGTCGCGGTAGATGAGACCAAAGAACTCGCTGTCGGCTGTCAGGGACACCTCGACACGTTGGAAGCTCTTTTGGCGGGCACCGCCCGTGCCACTAGAGCCTACACGCTCACCGGGCGGGGATGAGAGGCTTGACGACGGGCCGCTCTCGTCGGCCGATTCGTCGACAATGGCGTCAGGCATGGGCGAGCCACCATCTAGGCTGGTTTCGCCGGTAAGTTGGTCATCAGCAACCGAGCTGCGCCGAATATCGGCCTGTTTTTCAAGAAAAGCCTTGGATGCGGGCGAAAGTGAGGCGTCCACAACGACGCCATCTTCGAGGTCGACGAAGATGGTAAAGTGTGTCTGAACGGCAGAGTCGCTCACTGGGGATGTTAGTACTGGGCTACAAAACCACCCGGGCAGAAGCGACTTACCATCAAACTTGTACTTAGCAAGTGGAATCTGGTCACCGCGCTCAGACACAGCCTGAGCAGCCAGCAGCTGGCGTAGCGTGTCGGCGTCGAGGCCCATGGCCTGGAACTCGGCGCGGATCTTGTTCAGGCATTTCTTGAGGGTTGGATAGGGAATGGCGGCCTTGCACCACTCCTCGGGGTAATCCCCGCTCTGGAGTGCTGCCTTGAACTCGCGCGCAAACTTCATGCCGTCCCTGGTTGGGGGAGTACAGAGCGGTGAACAGGTCGTGCAGGTCAATAGTTATGACGTGGTTTGCGGGTTGCTGTTGTCTCGTAGGCGTTGTACGACCATGGCGGCACCTGTCGTGGCTGCACGTAAGTCGTAGTCTTGGCGAGCGGGTATTAGTCGTCAGATAGTAGTCCGTGTACCGTGAACCTGGTTGACATCGGTAGGCAGAGAGCACTGAACTCGCGACTGTCGTTGGCGAGCTGTGGTTCGTGATAATATGGATGGCAAAGTGGAGAAAAAATAAATAAAAAGCTAAACGCGGAAGGATGGAGTAGATGGACGAGTGAAAGCAAAGCCAAGACACAGAGTAGTGCCCCGCGTAGTAGGTGATATATATCCTGGTCGTGGTGCCTGGTCCCTGGCGATGCGATCATGGGGCAAAAGAGCAGAAAAGGAAAATAATTTGTGGAGGAGGTGGCGAGAATATATTTTCGTATTTTTGTAGTGGCGGCAGTGTGTAGCCAAAAGTCGTTAATGAGGCAAGCGCATTATGCACCTTCCAGAAGGCGCGCCATGACGGCTGGTCAGGCGACCAATTCCTTTCTAACTTGCCCTAAAAAAGGTGTCGGTCACCAGGTAAAATGAAGCCTGGGCCAGGCCTGGGCTGGTGGTTGCCGAGAGCGGCCAGGCCCAGTAAAGGCTCTAGGCCCAAATAGGAGGGCCGCTGGGGGAAGACTGAAGACCCTGAATGGGACAAAAAACTCTGTTAAGCCTAGTCCTCGTTGGGATGTCCCGCTGTGTGGTCAGTGTGTCAACAACGTCATTCCAGTGGGTGTTAGTGGTGGACTCTAGCGGAGCACAAAGAACGCAGTTGCGAAAATCTTGGGGGCCACATTGAGCACGTTAATAAGAAGAATCCGTGCTTTGCTCGTTTCCGACATGCTAAAGCGGTAAAAACAATGCTACGAAGACACGAGGCTTACAAAACCATCAACAAATTTAACAATTTTCTTGTCATCCATAAACTAATACACATTTTCCGCTGCCACATGGCGTATGCCCGGCAGGCCACTGGCTGGAATAATAGCGTTCATTGTACGACTATATTATAGCGTCTTATAGCGTCTTGTAGCGCTGGAATTAGACCTTGATGTGCCTCTTGGTTCCTTTCTGCTGGCCGCACAACACCGCTAGAAAGATTGCTGGATCTGAAAATAAACAATTGCTACGGGGCATGAAGTATAATTAGACCTATATTTTCTAAACTGATTTTGTGAAGACTGTATACTTAATTTGAGAAGAATTGTAACTCGTAAGTTGAACACTTGTAGATCGTGCTCTTGAAGGCCATCCTTGAGTGCCGCACTACTGATGGTGCATCTAAATGGTAACGCGGGATAAGGCTTTGAGGGTTATCTAAGCACTCTGGCACTGTAAGATGCACTAGTGAAAAAGTCTAGCGTGCCTGAAAACGACCCCTCTGAACAACGACACGCGACCTCGCAGCCCTGCGCTCCAACCCACACATACTCACGGCCGGCAACATACAGGGTGCTTCCGTATACAGAAGCCATGGGAGCGGAGCAGTCGTCCAGCCGTGGCGCCGGAGCACCGTCGGCCTCGGTGACGCAAAAGACCTGTTATTACGAACTGCTAAGCGTCGAGCGGACAGCCACTGACGACGAGTAAGTGGTGATATTGGACGTGGAACGAGCCCGGTTCTCTGGGAGTTTTTCGGGCGGTGTCCGAGATCTCGTGCTGACATGATATAGAATCAAGAAAGCATACCGGCGCAAGGCCCTCGAGCTACACCCCGACCGGAACATCGACGACACCGCCAACGCAACTCGCAGGTTCGCCGAAGTCCAGACCGCCTATGAGGTCCTTTCTGATCCCCAGGAACGCGCCTGGTACGACTCACATCGCGATGCCATCCTACGGGGCGATAGTGGGACGGACGATGCGGACGATGCTGCGGACGCCGGCCCGCGCTTCTACAACAACGTGCGCCTGACCCCGACCGAAGACTTGTACACGCTTATGGGGCGCTTCAACTCGAGCGTCCCTTTCAACGACTCGCCGTCGGGCTTCTTTGGCATTCTCGAGGCGACCTTTGCACAGTTGGGCCTTGAGGAAGAGGCTGCCTTTAGCTGGGACGGCAACGGCGCCGGCCAGCCGCCACAGTATGCCCCTTTTGGCTCAGCCAACGACGACTACGACGCCGTCGGCAAGCCCTTTTACCGTGACTGGTCCAACTTTGCTACGGTCAAGTCGTTTAGCTGGAAAGACAAGTACCGGCTCTCTGATGCGCCCGATCGTACCATCCGCCGCCTCATGGAGAAGGAGAACAAGAAGGCCCGCGACATTGCTGCCCGCGAGTTCAACGACGCTGTACGCTCGCTCGTTGCCTTTGTGCGCAAGCGCGATCCCCGCTACGTGGCCAACACACAATCCGAGGCCGAGCGCCAAAAGATCTTGCGTGACTCGGCGAACGCACAGGCGGCCCGCCAGCGTGCTGCCAACCTCGAGCGCCGCGCTGCCGCCGCCGCCAACCAGGACGATGCGAAACCGCTTTGGGCGCGGGGACTAGGAGACGACGGCGAGCCGCTGGTAGACGATGCAGCTAACGGGACTAATGGCCTGAGCGGCGAGTTCTCGAGCGACGCCGAGTCCGACGAGGTGCAGCACGAGATCGAATGCGTAGTGTGCGACAAGACGTTCAAGAGCGAGAAGCAGTTTGAGGCACACGAGAAGAGCAAGAAGCATGCCAAGGCTGTGCACCAGCTTCGCCGGCAAATGAAAAAGGACAATCGTGACTTGAATCTTGTCGTGGAGGAGACACCGAAGCCTGAGCAAGCACCTGTGGAGGACGAGCCGGCCACCGATGACGACGAGGACACCAGCGATGCTGATGTGAGAGAAAAGGCCCAGCCGGAGCCGACCTCGATGGCGACGAGCGCCGACGTTTCCGTGGATGAAGAAGAAGAAGACGAGTCGTCTGAAGAGAACGACGAATATGCGCCTAGAGAGGTTGTCGAAAAACGATTCCAGGGCAAGGCTGCCGGCGGCCATGTCGGTGATGAAAGTGACGACGACGTTGCGGCCAAGGTGGATGGCCTCGGCATCAAGGACAAACTGGCCGAGGCGCCAGCTCCAGCAAAGCCCAAGATCGGCAAGGCCAAAGCGAAGCGGGAGAAGAAGGCCGCCCGTTGGGCAGCTCAACAAGAAGAGGGAGCTGTAAGTTGAACCCATGGTGATTCTTCGTTTGGCAAAGCCAATTTGTCCTGACTGATCATGATAGGTAATCTGCCAGATCTGCGACGAGACGTTCGATTCCAACACGAAGCTTCACAAACATCTGCGGACTGAGCATCCAGCACCAGAACCGAAGGGGAAAGGCAGTAAGGGTAAAAAGAAGAGGTGATGAGACGGTGAAAGAACGAATGAAAAGAAAGGGACGACACCTACCAATACCCACATGTGCATATATGTATGTCCAGCCAGCATCTAGACAGCCCTGTTTTGTAGAAATGAGACACGAGCATTATGACAAAGACTTTGACAAGGGTGCACTCAAGCTGTTGTCAAATGTACCTTCCTGTGATGTATATCACGCCTCCTGCTTATATTGAACATGTTGTCGTTTGGAGCAGGCGGATCTTAGAGCCATGGTTGCTCCTTCCCCGTTGGGTTGAAGGAGGCAGTATCACCACATGTCCCCGCTCCCTATGCTGGCCCCTGAACATTTCATATGTTTTGGCTTCCATTATTACTATTAGTATGTATCGATCCCATCTCCAACTCTCTTTTCGACGCTGTCAAAAACCAACGAAAACAAAAGAAAATAACAAAGCAAAGTGCTGGAAATGTTTCTAATATGCAGCCCGCCCATACCAAACGCCGAACGCAGACAAAATCCGATAAATAATACCACATCTACCAAATTTTTATATCAATCTTCTCCTCTTGGCTCCTCCCTTTTGCAGGTTTCGCTGCTAGTGGTAGGCAAAGATATTTTGGAGAGGCTGCTCGGGGACAGTGGCTAACCTACGACAGTGCCCCTCTACTCCTCCTTGGAGGGCACGGCTGCTGCGGTCGGCTCATTGGACGAGCGCTTCTCCTTCTCGTGGGCGTGGTCAATGTCGGCCGTCCGCTCAATGTCGACACTCTCAACATCGTCAATGTCGATGCTCTCGACGACTCCACTGCCGTTCGCACGGGCAGCCGCCGCCGCCTCGCGCTCCTCCTTCTTGGCCTTTTGGCGCGCGATAATTCGCGCCTGCTTAGCCCGCTTGGCCTCGTTGCGCTCCATGTCCGCCCGCATCTGCCGGATCACTCGGCTGCGCGCGCGGATCTTCTTGCCGTACCGCAAGAACACAATCGGGATCGGGATCAGCATCACCTCCAGCAGACCCAGGAATGTGCCCGCCCATTGTGGCGTCATTGCCTTGTACATGGCAGAGCCCGCCAACGGCAACGTACCGCCAAACAGCGACCGGATGACCATGTTGCCGGCCAGCGCCGAAGCTGCATACAGGCCGTACGAGCCGGCCAGGTAGTTGGAGCCATAGATGAATGTCAGCGTGTTGCCGGCACCGAACGGAATGCCAAACGCGATTGGGATCGCCCAGTGGATGGTCTTGGGAAGGCACGTCCACGAGAAGACGAGCTGGCCGATGGGTGTCAGGATGGCGCCGATAACCATGACGCGGGCAGAAGCCTCAGGCGGCGCCCGACCGGTCTCGGGGTCCTTGGGGTAGTTGTTGATGAGGCGGCGACAGAGCGGCTCACTGCCGATGGCACACATGGTGCCGATACCAATGCCGACAAATGCAAGACCGGAGATACCCGAGCTCCAACCACGGCCCTCGATAAAGACGATCGGATAAGCGACGAAACACAGGTACAGGATGCCATAAACGATGGAGATCCTACATACACGAAAGATTAGTTCACAGAAGCGAAGAAATGGGGACCTTGAAAGGAAGCAGACTCACCAGATGTTGAAGAACCACAGGATCGGTTCCGTCGCGGCGAGAATGAAAGGACGGCTCAAGTTCACCTTGAGGAGGTCGAGGATGGAGATGCGCTCGTCGTAGCGGCACCAGTAGCGGTCGTCGTCCTTCTCCTTGCGCATCTTGGCCGCCTTGGCCTTGAGGATTGCCGGGGCGTACGTCTCCTTGAGAGACGCCATGAAAACAATGGCCGCGCCTGAGATGATGATGACAATCCAGCTGTCCCAGCGCCAACCCAGATACTCAAAGACGAAACCACCGATGAGAGGGCCACTAAAGCGAAATGCGGTTAGCAGGAAGTAACATTTACGAACAGCTCAAATCGATTGGACAGAAGCAACTTACGTGACGGGGCCATTCATGGGTGCAATTGCCATGATCGAGATGTACAGAGCCCGGTTGTCATCTGTCGAGATATCCACGATAGTGGCTGGGCCGTTGGACACAAGAGCTGCACCGAACACAGCACCGAAGAAGCGTACAACGAGAATCTCAGCCAGCGACGTCGCCAGCGCACCGGGAATCACCAGTAGCGTAAAGCAGATGATACACACAATGTACACCATGCGCCGGCCAAACAGTTCACTCAATGGTGCCACCAGCATGGCACCCATCGCAAGACCGATCAGATATGTCGTGACACCAAGTGTGGCCACAGCCTCGCTGGAGATGTTGAACGACTCCATTACACCCGGAATGGCAGCCGTATAGCTTGTGCTGTACACGACGACGACCCATGTAGAATATGAGATTGAAAACACAATCCACAGACGGTACCACAGGGCCCAGTTGCGCGGGTTGCTCGGGTCGTCTTCGGAGAACGTCACTTCGAAATCGGGCAGTCGAGAGGCAACGCTGCCCAGGCTTGTCGTCGTCATGGCGTGGGAAATAGGCTCGCGGGCGGCCTGTTCGATTTCGGTCTCGACGTTTGGTGTCATGGCAAGCTCTAGCGGTTCTAACGGGTCGGAGTCGTCAGTTGAGACGCTGTCCCGTCGCCGCAAACTTCGACTTAAGCGGCTCAAGCGACTGCGGTGGCTCGTGTGGCTCACATGGCTCGGCTGTTTTTCTAACGGTGTCGGTTCGTGGGAGGAGTCATCGCTGTCGTCTGCCATGGCGCTCGCTGAAGTCTGCTCGACAGCATGGTCGATGGAGGCCACACCCTCTGCCACACCGAGAGGTTCGGGTGTTCGTCGGTCTGACATTGCTACAGATGTGTTGATATTTTCTGATTCTTTCTTGGAGCCGCCGTTCACAGATTCGGAAAAAAAAGAAGAAAAAAACAGAACAAACAGTGAGAACAACGTGGGTGATGTCCTTTAATGGGTCTGCCAAAGTGAGCTTCTGTTCGGCTTAAGTCGTCGTCGGTCTAATTTATTGCCACTTGCTGGCAAAAAAAAAGTTTTTCGTCTTCCTCCTGTTGTCGACTTCGCGGGTATGCGATTTCTCCAGCCCAATGTCACAGGGCGTAAATACTCGGCCGAATAAAGAAAATAAATACAACAAGCTGACTCAAGCAAAACAGAAACGATGGTACGTTTGAAAAGAACAAGTAAAGGAGTACTAAGACCTTGAAATTGGAGATGCTGCTTGCTAATAGAAAACAAACAGGGTAAATTTAATGGGAGAACGTCAATATTATAAACAAAACAAATCCCAGGCACGCCAGGTCACTGCAACAAAAGGAGGGGGGGCAGGAAGACACCTTCGAAGAAATAAAAATAAAAACAACAAGAAAAGCCCCCAAAAGACTAAAACAGCAGCTGCTGAATTAGGCATAGGGAAAGGAACAATGGTCACGCAAAGTAACGGAACTTGAAGAAATAAGCAGAGAAAAGTGGATGAGCAACTTCCGCTATCGACAGGGCTCGAGTGGGAGTCATGAGAAGTGAAAGAAGACAACGATTGCATATGCTAACTGAAATAGGCTACCTAAAGCAGTTTTTCTGTTCCCTTTTTTTTTTTTTTTTTTTTTTTTTTTTTTTGGCCAGCGCCCGGGGCCCTCTACTTCGGCTCAAGGTGCCTTGATGGAGTCGGTATCGTTGCGCGCCGCCGTACGGATGCATGCCAGCACGCTACTTGCCACGCTAAGCCCGACATCCACCGCACAGTTTGGGGGTGGGTAAGACTTACTTATATTATAAGAATGGCAAACTGGCGACAGACGAGTGCGCGAAGTTGGCCGCAGTGGAGCCCTGGGCGCGAGTTCCTTCACAAGCCCGGGACAGACCATTTCGGGCAAGGTAAAGGAAGCAACTTGGGCGAGAGCGACAATGAAGAAACATTCGAGAAGGAAGACCTGCAGGTCTTGTTTTTACTGTGTGTACATGCAGGTGGGTCGACTTAATGACGGCATGCAAGATTCTCCAGTTTCTCGATTTCGTCTGTGTTCTTTCTCCATCCTATTTTGTGTTGTTTTTGTGGTGAACCTTCTACGTCGTATGAAGAAGCGGAAGAGGAGCGCGGGAATGAGGAAATGGAAGGGGTTGTGCAGAAGAATGAACGAAAGAAAGGAAACTCGAAGAATGATGGGGCGGCGCAGAGTTGCGGAAATAGCTGGACATAAGACACCCCAGCAACTAACAACAAAAACACCCGTTGTCCATCCAGAAAAGAAGTTCGTTCCCTCCGCAGCCCGTCACTCCAAAGAAGCAAACGATGTTGTTTTTGGATTTTGTTGTCTGGTAATACCCAAGCTGGCCACTAACACTAACATCTCCAGACTGGTCGATAATGCCAAGCCACCCACCCACACAACTCCGTTTGTCGGCAGCTTGCGGGCTTCATTGGCCCGAAATCAACTGCTGTACTTCTGGCCTCGCCAGCCGAGGCCCAGAGGCCGTTTGTCTTTAATTGTTCATGGGCGGGCCTGAATGGGAAAGACGTGAGTAGGTTTACCATCCTCAAACCTGTTGTCTTCTCGGAACATGCCACACCCTCTCTCGACTCGGGAGCTTCTCGGGAGCTTCGATCGACAGCCAGGCGATGGCTGAGGATGGTATGTGAATGGTTTGCGGTGCTGGTGAATTTTTATTACGAAACCACACGAAAAAAGAGCGACAGCACGGCATTCGGCACACACAGCACGCGCTACTAAGACCGAAGATAACGCAACCGGCTTTGGAAACAAAAGAGGGGAAAGCAGCGAGAGAGGAAGCTGCACGAATTGCGGATGTGGACGGCGCTGGACGATAAAACATGCAGAGGACTGGGAGGTAGTATTACCACGTCCTCTTACCTGCCTGCTCTATTTCAACCCCCCCGGCACCGATGACCGGTGGGTCGTTCGTAATGTCGACTCGCACCTGCGGGTCCGGACCAGACGCAAGTAAATTATCCCACGGCGCATTTGCATTGTCGCTGCCCTATGAAGGGAGACATAATTACGCGAGGTCTCGTCACTGATTCGAGTTCACGACAACTCACTTTATTTCGTGCCGGCCTTGGCCGCAGGAAATGCGGATGGTGTCGTTTGGTTGGGACTATACATATTGACAGGGTGCGATGCACGACGTTATGACATGTCAAAGGGCGGGCTTTTAACGACAGTTGTTTTGGTTACTGTCATCTACTCACGACTCTCGTCACTCTTCAAAAAAAGTTCATATGCGAAGAAAGATGCATTCCTTTCCCCGCAGCCATGTCAGGCTGTCCGTCGCGTGCGTCGGTTACACCAGCCGCCACAAGATACCGCCGCCCGTTTCGAAGCTTGGCCGAATTCGATGTGTGCACTTTTGAAAAAAATCAGATGGTGGCTGCCACGGACAAAATAACATACTTTGGCGCCCGGCGCAGACAATGTTGCTTTTGTTGATGCAGCCCACTTTCCCGAATACCATAATGGTCGATGGTATATTTAAAGTCCAGGGGAAAAGCGGAGAATCTGCGGCTCAGCGTGCAGAAGCGAAAATGAAGAAACGACACGTGCTTGACCTGGACCTGGCTATGTTGATTCGCCCTCAACGCACCATGCTGTGGGATCATACGACATAGGACTTGAAATTGGATCGCGCAACATGCAGAGGAAAGCAAAAACGGCCCAGCGCCGAAGAAGAAAAGCAAGGCAGGAGCAGCCTTTTCGCCTCTGCTCCGGCGTACGGAGTATTACCCACAGATACCCAACCGGGCCGCCGTTTTTCGGACGAGGCTGAACAGTGCCTCCTCCGTGGACGGAGTCGCATACGGAGTCGCTGCCGCACCCCGCCGATCTGCCCCAAGGCAAAGTGGACAGGAAGCGAAGACTAAACGATGATCTCTCTTCTTGTCGCCTGTTGTCTTCTCCGCATTCTGGGCCTCATTCCTCGACATTTCAACCAGCAAAACGCCTATCCATTCCAAGTGGAGCCGAAGCAACCACAACAACAATGAGAAGCAGTGTTGCAACAGCTTTCTCTTGATCTCTCTCGAAGCAGAAAACATGCAATGGAGCCGAGACATGTCCATGTTCGGTGGGCGTCGCGAGCATTTTGTGGGCCAAATGCATTAGAGGAAGACAGTATGAAGACAGTACGAAGACAGAACTGCTGATGCCTCTGCGTTTCTCTCTTGACGTAATTTGTCTTTAATTTGCTCTCTCTCTCTCTTTCTACAAAAAAACAAAAAAAAAACAAAAAAAAAAAAAAAAAAACAAGTCGCTGGCATCTTCTTCGGACCGAATGTTCAGTTGCATCAAGATATCGAGGTAAATATGCGCTCGTTTTGTTTCCCTTGCTATGCTCAGCGTTACTTGCTGCCCTCCTTTAGAATCTGTGTAAATCAAACGTCGGGGAGTTTCTTGACAGAGAAGTTTTGCGGGCGGTTCACTCGCGGTGGAAGAATGCACTTCCGGCTTGATCTCCTTCCGGGAAAGAAACAAAACAACGGTTGGACAGACAGCCAAACTGTGCCAGCCAAGGAAAAGAAACTTGGCTCTTTTTTATATCCCGATTGCCGCCCTTCATGCCTGGCTTAGTTACGGCCCGAAAGACGGCAAAGAAAGGGCAATTTGTCGACCTGGGGACTCAGATAATGTTGTCATACATTGTGGTAGGCCGTGTGTCTTGCCAGGTGGCCAAGTGGTTTATATACATAGGCCCCTGGCTTACATGCGATGGACACAATACACGAATGGATTCTGAGAGAGACCGGCGCTCTTCTCTTCTCCCTACAGAAAAGCCGCTCGTCTTTCTGCGAAGTGCTGCCGAAATCTTAAGACGGCATACGACCAGAGGATGCATCTGTCCGATCGATCGCCCGGCATCTGTGTCTGTGATGCAGGTTGTGCTGACAATTTCAGACCTTGCCAGGCGCTCTACTAAAACTGTGTCTAATTATTTGCCCGATACACGCGTGGGTCAGTGTACGAGCCGACCGCACATCACGATGGATGCCCGTCATGCCGGCCTTGGCACACGGGTTGGGTATGTGCTGGAAGCCTGTGCGGTGGGCTGGCAAAAGGCACTCTGTCGGAGAATAAAGAAGCTGCGTGGAAGGCGATCAGGAAATATTTGGAAAATCAGAATGAATGTGGGTTTTCCCCGTGACAATGCTCATGTTGGTTTTCTTCGCTGCATAAAACCTGGCGTTTCAGCCAAGTTCGTGAGCCGTAAAGTGTTGGGCGGGCAAGGCAGGTGGCAGTTGAAACAAGCACTGTCAGAAAGCTTACGTCTTTCCAATTTGCAAATTCTCGTCTCTTTAACTTTATTCCATGTCCCCCGTAAACATACGACGTTTGTATTCGTCTAATCCAGCTCTGTTTACATCAAATTCTCCACTAAGGTGCCAAGTTCAACGCCAAGCCGGCAGTCGCCTATTCCTGATTAAAACGGTGTCAGAAAGGCTCTGAATAGGCCGACAAAGCCAGATGAGAAGCCAGAGATGTAGAAAGAAACGATGGAAAGTGAGCCAGAAATTAAATATGACGAATTACAAATAAGAAAGGGCAACGAGCCAGGCAAGCTATTTTTGAACTGAGTCCCATAAACCCCCGGACAGTCGACAGACCCATAGATTTATTCTCCGGGATTGAGAAGCGCAGAAAGAGGAACGTAAAAGCGCAGTTCGAGTTCGGTGTTCCCTGATTACATAAAGCTGAGCAGCAAATGATGCAACGAACGTCCATATGAGCATCTGCATGAGTGCATGAGTCTGTATGAACCGACACGGAAAGAGCGAAGAGATCAATTCGCGCGACTTCTATTCTTGTCAAGAAGTGGCCGACTTACAGTTCGGAAGTAGCGATCGTGGAAGTCCGGCCTGTACCTTCCATTTGCGTGTTTCGTTTGTTTCTTCCAAGCTCTTGTTGCCATTCCCCTTTTGGGAAACCCGTCCAGCCCCTTTTCATGATTCTTCAATTTTGCTTCCTTTCAGCCTTGCATAGCTGTGCAATAACGATTCCATCCTCACCCATCACGCTTTTTGTTCTCGCTTGCGGGTAGCTTGTCTTTGCCGACCACGCTCAATAGCCATAGCATGGCATAGGAAAAGAATCGATACGTGATCGAGTGGACCCACGCAAGACAACCATTGCAAGGAAGAATTGTCAACCACGGATGAGGAACTGACGTCCTCCGGCCGAGGCAACTCCTTTCGTCGTTTCTTCGTGTTTCCACTGTTTCTTGGCAATACCTGCCATTACTGGCATTGTGTAAGAACGTCGAATCTGCTTCATCTCGTCTTCATATTCTTTACCCACAACAGAGGACACTGCAGCCGAGTCTGCTGGCAGAAACGGCCTCTCCTTTCACCCGTCTTGATGCCAAGTTACTCGTGAAAGGGAAAGTCGTTCATCGAAGACTGTCGACCATGAGGGGCTCGACAAGGTAGACGGGCGATGTACGCAAAACGACGTCTCGAGATCCACACTGCAAGACTTGATACTTCAAGACGTGGGCTATCTGATGGACTGTGCTACTTTGTTTCTCCTTTGAGGCATGGGATGTGTATGATCTGTGACTCTCGCCACGCGTTGCCGTCCCATCATGTCGGCTACCACTGCTCTCTTTTCCCTCGACTGATGTTTCTAGTTCAGACTGTCCATTCACAGCCATATGCCGTCTTCTCATATACATTAGCCACCTTATTCTCTCCTCTCTTTTCAGTCCCCTTTTCTCTCCCCCTTTTCTTTTTCTCCTTCGAATATGGAAGTCCTTGTTCGGCAACCTCTTCCATCGTTAACGCCATATTTTTGGAGTTTTCCGTCTATCGTGTGTTTTCTTCACCGACGCCGCTGGAGATCAGAGTCGCCCACTCGTCTAGAATGGGCCATCTGTTCTGCTCCTTGATTTAGTTTGCAACGCTGGTCGTCAACAGGTCTGGGGTTCGGTCGTCACTTTCTTTTCTCTTTTTTTTCTTCCAGCCCTGGAGGCTTTATTCACGCTCTCTTGATCTTTGATAAGTACACCCCGTCTCGTCGCTCCGCTCTCGCCAACATGGGAAACCCTTTCACTGCCGCTGGTCGGGCGGTTAAGACGTATGCCCGGAATCTCAAGAATGCCCCGGCGGCTCAGTATGTCACTCGTTCCGCCGCCGAGTCGGTTATACCCGACCTGACGACAATGCCGCCGCCAGCATACCGCCCGGCAGAGTCTCGCCCCGTTAGTGCCGGCAGCCTCGACGAGGTCGAAATCGAAAAAGAAAGACTGAAGGCAGCCGCCGCCCTCACGACAGGCCCTCTCCCCTCCGACAAACGAGCTCCAAAGAAGAAGAGCGGTGCCTTTGATTTTGTTGTCAAGGCGGCTGGATCCCGGTGGACATTTCTCGTCACATTGCTCCTCTTGGGCCTCTGGGCTGCACTTGGCGCAGTCTATGGGCCAAACGATACCTGGCAGGTCATCTTCCAGGACATATCGTCCATCCAGTGCTACATCTCGGCCACGCTGCTCATGCGGCAGCAGCAGAACTCGACGCGCTCGCTTCTCGACACAATCTGCAGTATGTTGTCTCGTTCACAGGGGAACGAGCGGCTGATTCGCAAGCTTTCCGAGAAGCAGCTGACCGCACTCAAGCGCTCGCAGCGGGCGATGCGAACGGACCTCACCAATGCGCTCGACGCCAAGGAGGGCATGTTTGATCGGATCGCCAATGCAGTATCGCGATTCCTGGGCTCCTTGTCGGCACTCGTTATTTACTGGGTCGGCATCATCGTCTGGATTTTCTTCGGCATCCCGCTGATGTTTTCCGACACCTGGCAGCTCTATGTGAACACGGCAACCGCACTCGAGTTGACGTTCACGACCATGTTTCTTCAAAACGTCCGCCGCCAGCACGAGGAGTACTTGGAGCGATGCCTCGCATCCATTGACATTCTGGATCGCGGCCTCGAGATGGATCTGCGCCGCATGACCGGTGACATGCAGCCCAACCCCGTCGTCGAATCGCAACCGCCGCACCTCAACCGCACCGAGACGGCGATTGACTTCTGGGCGTTCGTGGTCGGTGGCTCAGTTGGTGTCTTTCTGTCGGTCTCCGTGTTCGTTGCCTGGATATCCGTTGGCGACTTCATGGAGTTTGACGACAACTGGTGGCTGATCATCGGCACATACACTGGCCTCATGGGCTTTATTGACGGCTTCGTGCTGCGCAACGTCCACCACCGCGAGACCGGCATGGCCGACCGGCACTTCGCCATGCTGACTCAGCAGGACTACCGCCTGTACTCGCTGCTGGACATCCCGTTCCCCGACGAGGACCAACAAACCCGCGACACGAAGGCAGGCAGACGCGTCGCGGCGCGCATCTCGCACTGGATCGGCCACGTATGCGAGGTCCCCGCGGCTTCAACAGCCAGCGTGATCGCCGTTGTCGCGCTGCTTATCGTCGCATCGGCCATGCAATGGACCGAGACCGGCCAGCTGCTCTGCAACACGCCCACCATGATTGTCGAGGGTTTCTTGTTGTTGATGCTAATCGAGGGCCATAACAGCGCGGAGGGCAAGCGTCGCGCGCAGTACACGGACATCCTAGATCGTCGCCTGGCGATGGAGCGCCGCGTAGCTGCGTGGGGTGACAAGTGGGAGTTGGATGTGGAGATTGACGATGCCAGCATTGCCAATGTTCTGTTAATCAGTGAGAAGTATATGGAGTAGCCGTACGCGTGGGAGAGGGATGAGTTGGGGTGAGTGTTGTTTGGAGATTCTCTTCTTGTGTTTTACTTATTGCCCATATACAGTCTTTCCGGACTTTGCTCTTGCTTTGGTTCGATTTTTCCTTTCCTTTCTGTTGTTGTGTGTTCTCTTTTCCTTGGTTCTCAAAATACATGGCACGACTGCAATGATTTTATAGATACGATATAAAAATTACATAAAAGACAAAAACAAATAAAAACGTAAAAATTAGGGGTAGGATCCATGGCACATAATTAAATAATAGGTTGTCTGGCCAGTTCAACTATTTTCATGAAATGCAAAAGATTCTAAGGGTTTGTAGTTGTCGTACCCGTCATATTTGTAGTTCCTAGCCAGCCGTGACACAAATACACCAAAGGGGCAAACGTAAACAAAATCAAAACAATGAGCGCGTGTGTCTCTCTCTATACAAATCAAGAATTGCAAAGCCCCAGCCAACCCTGCCCAAACTACTCAAACCTTACGTTTACTTTTTGCTCTGTAGACTTTTTACCGACCTGGAGCCGCCACTCGGGCTCACCGTTGAAGCGCATCGTCAGGTGCATGTCGTCGACAATGCGCAGTCCTCGTGTGTCGTCAACGACGGGCAGTTCGTGGTACGGCGTGTCGTAGTCGCAGAAGATGGTGCACAGCAGCGAGCAGCCGTCTTCGCGGCGGCAGGGCGGCGGCATCTGGCCGCTCGTGTAAATCATAAACTTGGTCTGCTTGCTGGCGGCGCTGGTGACGTACTCGTAAAACTTGTGCGACACGGGCTCGCGGTTGTCCATGAACTCGCCCTGCTTCAGGTACCACTGCATGCGCCAGACCCGCTGCTGGCCGTCGGGCTCGGTGCTGATGCGGTCGACGCCCGGCTCCACCGGCGGCAGCGCGTGCTGGAGGGGCACGCCCGTCTCGACGCCGTAGCTGTAGCGGGCGATGCGGACGTCCATCTCGGGCAGGGCGAGGAGGAGTTGGCGCTGGCGCTCGTCGGTGACGGGCACGACGTCGCTTTGCGAGAAGGTGTTCTTGAGCAGCTTGATGACGGCGCCGCGGGCGACGGCGGACCAGGTGCGTTGCGGCTGCATGACGTTGCTGTACTCGGTCTGGAGCTTGCGCAGCAGATAGCGCGAGCTGCCGAGGCCGCCGACCAAGATGATTTTCTGCCACGTTAGTTGATGAGACGGGAGGAGGAGGGCAGGAGGGCAGAGAGAGAGAGAGAGGGGGGAGAGAGCGTACCTTGGGCGGTTTCCCCTCTTGGGCCACAATCTTTTTGTTCTGGTCGTTGATCAGCTGCCGGATGCCCTGGTAGGTGTCGTCGAAAAAGTCGACAATGGTGCTGCGCTTGAGCACAAACTTGTTGTTGCCCTTGAAGCGCGAAAAGGCCGAAAAGGCCTTGATGGGCGGGTGCAGGTAGAATTCTTGTTGCGTCTCGCTGCCGGTAAAGGAGCGCTTGATGGCGTACTCCCACTCCTCGTAGACAAACTTGCGGAAGTCTGCTGGGTCGCAGTTGTCAAACTTGAGGCCGGACATGTGCTTCATGTGGTTTTCAAACTTGTCGTCGACCATGAAGGCGCCGCACAGCTTGCCGTCGCCCTTGACGGCCTCGTGGATCACAAACGGCGTCGTCTGCATCACCTTGTAGCTGATGATGTCGATGGTGCCGCCGCCGCAGTCCACGACCATAAACGTCTCGCCGACAGCCATCTCCGGGTAGGCGCGGCGGTCCAGCAGCGTGGCGAGCGCGGCCGCTTCGGGCTCTTCGACCAGGATCAGCGTCGTGTCGTCAATGTCGCGCGGCTGCAGGATGCCGGCGCGCCGCGCGGCGTTCTTCATCATGTTGCGCGCGTACTGCGGCCAGATGGCGGGGATGGTGATGGCGACCTTGAACGGCAGGTCCTGGAGCGCCTGCGCGTCGATCTGCAGCTCAATCTCCCGCAGGCAGTGCTGCCACAGGTTGCGCAGGTAGTCGGCAATGAGGTCCACGACGCCGTCCTCGCCGAGCAGGCTGGCTTGCTGCCGCGCGGCCTGCAGGTAGGGCGAGTTGCGGATGTCGTCGCGGATGTCGGCGTCGCGCAGCAGCAGCAGCTTGAACCACTTGATGGGCGAGTGGCCCTGCGCCACGAGATAGCCCCAAGCACCGGACCGCTGGTCGTACTGCGTCGGTACCTGCACCTCGTCGCGGCTGTTGTAGGCCGTGCCGACGCAGGGGTACTGCTGCACGTCTTTGATGTCGGTCGGGTCGCCCGAGAAGGCCCACGACACGCCCGAGTACGTCGTGCCAAAGTCGATGCCAATGGCCACAAACCGCGCGGCCGACGGCGGCAGAGGCTCGATCTTGGCCGCGCCACCGGGCCCGCCCACGTTGGGTATTGGCTGCGGCAGCTCGACGGGCACGTACGTGGGCATGGGCGGTGGCGGTGGCGGAGCTGGGCGCGGGTGGTACGGCAGGTGGGCGGGCGGTATGTGCGGTGTGTGTGGTATGTGCGGTATGTGTGGTGCACCGTTCCCCTCCACGGCACTGCCCCCTCCCAAGGACATATTGGCCAGACCGGCGCCGAGAGTAGACATGGTCGGCACCGTGGGCAATGAATGGCTGGGGACGGTGATGTTGCTTGCTGCTGTTGTCGTGGTGGGAGGTGTGGAGAGGCTGGGCTGGTAGTGCAGATGTGATGGCGCGGGCCCCGGTGTTGGCGGCAAGGATATGGGGTCGAGCCCGGCGAGGGACGGGAAGCGATAGCGCATCTCGACGGGGATGTTGGGCCCCATGGGCCGCGGTGAGGCTCTTGACGACGACGGCGACATGAGCGACTCGGTGTCGGCCATGGTGGACGTGACCGAGGGTCGCCGAGCCGGGTCGAGGCCAGTGGCGGGTGCAATGTTGATGCTGCCGCCGACGGCGCTGCCATGGCCCCGCCCGCTGCTGCTGGAGGTGCCGCTGCCGCTGCCACTGTTGATGTTGGCACTGACGGCGATGCGGGCGTCGTCCGGCAGCTCGTGGATCCAGCTGCGCAGCGACCTGCGGTTGGGGTGGCCCGGGAACGAATACTGGAGGTTGAAGTTGAAGGGCGACGGGTTGGCGATGGGCTGCCCGGATGTCGTGGTGGGTGGAGACGATACCGGCGATTCGGTCCGTGTGGTGCTGCCGCTGATGTTAATGCTGCCCGTGTTGTTGCGGCCGATGCTGCGCGGTGCCGCCTCGTCCTCTGGGATCTGCTCGTCGTGTGGGAGATTGTGTCGCGGTGGACCAGTGCCCACATCGGGCGCATCGCCGTATGGCGGCATCTGGTCGTGGAGGGTTTGGGTTTGAGCTTGCGGTTCGTCGCGTTGGGTCATATCGCGGAAGTAGTTCCAGCGGTCGCTGCTGGAATAGCTTGACTCCATGGCGAGATTGTAGGGAGAAGGCGCTGAGAAGCAAAACAGCAAAGAAACAAAATAATAAAAATAAAAGAGAGAAAGGGAACAAGGGAACAAGGGATCGAAAGCCCTACTGAAACAGGCAACTCAATGGGTTGACAGGAGGAGACGAAAATCAGAAGCAGTCCGAGACCGAGCTCGAGATGACGGGGAGTATGCGGTCGTTATCGTGACGACCCGTAATGCGACAGAGATATACGAGGAGCAACGTTGGTTCGAGTTTTGAGCCGGTTGGCCGCAAATGTGCTCGAGTGGTAGACAGACAGACGAATGCGAAGTAGAACCAAGGTGGAAGCAGGAGAGGCGAAATCCTGTGAAGAGAAAGATGCCTCAGCCTTCTCGACAAAACCGTACGAAGTAGTCCAGGGAACGGCAGCGGTGGCAGTAAAATTGCACCCTAGCCGTGTGTTGATGTGATGGCAGATCCTTGTCCAGTCCGCGCTCTGGATGTCGTCAATATTGACAGCCGGCGCTGCAATATGCTGGGGAATTGGAGGCTCTTTGCGTGCCGAGAGACCTGTTTGTCAGGCGCCTCCACGAGGCTGAAGAGGTGGGACGCCTGGAAAGCTGAAAATAATGCAGGCAAGCGAACCGGCACAGGACGCCAGGACAGGTCCAGACGCGGGAAAGGGGAAAGGCGATGGGAGGGCATGGCAAGCAGCATTTCGACAGTGTCATCCGAGATTCCTGGGCTGGGCCTCAACCCCCCGTGTTCCTCTCGCTTGACGCTCTACTCTGCCATATGTCTCCTCTGTTCCTGTCTTCTCTTCCTCTCCTTCTTCCTCTCCCTCTGCCTCTCCCCTCTCTCCCCTCTTCTTCTTTCGACGACCCCGTGCGTTGGCAGCTTGCCATATCGGGAAATTGTAGCCAATAAATGTTGAGCCTCGTCTAAGCCCCACTGCACGCTGCCTATTTATTGTCCAGCGTTCCGTCGAAGGCGACCGTCGCAGGCGACCCGTCGAACCTTGAACGGCAAGGCGACGATCATTGGACCCCGCCGCCAGGCAGACTGGCGCCGTTGGGGTTTCCTAGGTATGGCCCGAGCCCATCCCCCATCCATCCAAGCAAGTTAAGTTGCCATGCAGAGCTGGGCCCAATATTGGCCGGTCTTAGCTTGTGTTGGAAGTGGAAAAAGCCGGCACTGCTTTCACCAGCACTCTCTGCAGCCCTCTTGCTGTTGGCGGTCGGGCCCAGTTCGTCTCACAGTTCGTCTCCAAGCCAGGTCGAATCTTGTTCCCTTTAGTGGGCTGTCGCCTGTCTTATGTCTTATAGCCACCGTCTCGGAAGACGGCCTCGAGAGGCTGCTGTGACGCTGCACAGCCCCATGGACAGGCAGCACTGGCGAGCCAGCAGCAACTGATTTGCCTCGTGTCCTGCTGTTGCCCGACAGCGTGTATGACGTGTTTGTTGATAGGCAGCTATCAAGCAGAACGTCCTCAGAGGCCATTTTGGACTGATTTCGGCGCCAAACTGAGCTGTAATTGGAGAGCTCTGCCCGAGCCCGTCGAGCCAAGACTCAACCCTGCCCGTGTTGCGTGTCGTTTGCACACCTGGTCGCTGGCTTGGTCTGCGCCTTATTTCGCCCGACAGGTTTTCTTTTCCACAGTCCTTTCTCGTCCCAGCTGGCCGGACCGGACATGTCGTCTCTTTGCCGTGGTGTTTCTGCCCTCGCTAGCTTCCTCTCCAGGGCCAGGGCGCATCGAGGTCGGCTGGTTGCCTCGAGCTTCGGTGCTATTTTTATCTCTGTCTTTCTGTCGTCATTTTTATTTTATTTTATTTGGCCCTTGTACTGCCTTCTGCTGTGCTGTTTTGTGCATGCTGCTCTCTTGCGGCGTGCAGTCAGCTGCAGCTCTTTGAACTGTGGACTCGAGCCGAACAGTCGCATGTTCTGGTGTTCTTGTGTGTATGTTCCATCCATTCTCTCTCTCTCATTTCCCATCCGCACATCGTGCACCGTGCACACGCCATAGGCAGCATACTTTGCGGCTCCGTTTCGTCCTTCGTCGCCGACTCTCATATATGGTCAGCAACTGGCCTGTTTTGTCCCCGAAAGAAGAGAACGCCACATTTGCCGTCGTTTGTTCGGACTGCGAGGCGCATCGGAATGGATGCGTCCAGAGGTCGACCGCCTTCTGTCGGCAAGCAGCACCGCTTTTCCGCCTCCGGCAAGCTCCTTACAAAGGAGCGGAGACGGTCGTCGTCGCGGTCGTCCATTTTGCGCCGTCTCAGTATGTCTGCCAACAATGTGCTAAGCGCATCGGACGACGTTTCGGCGTCGGCACCAGCGCCAACGGCACGACAACCCGACAATGCAGGGCCCGGCAGCGTTCTGCCTGTTCAGAGCAGCAACAAACAGCAACATCAACAGCCAGTCGAATCGACGCCGGCACCATCAGGTGGGCTCATGTCGTTCCGCAAACATTTTCGACGGTCAAAGAAGCAGCCTCTCGTCGCACCGGAGAGTGGCGTCGCTCCCACTAGCGATAGAGGCGGAACTGCCAATGCGCCGACGATTAGCGCCGGGAGTGAGACGTCGCCCACCATCGGGACCGGGGTCGCAAGTGACATTGTGAGTGGTGATGGTAGCGACAGTGGTGGCAGTGAGAGCGGGAGTGTCGTTGAGCCTTACGACAGCGCCGAGTACGAAACTGGCAGTGAAAGCATCGTCGAGGCCTCTCGAAGCGCAGAAGACAACCTCGGGAGTCTGGATCCAACGACGACTGTTGGAATGCCACTCGTCTCGACACGGACGGCGAGCGCGAAGGCACCAAGCTTTCCAAAGACGGACAACCGGACGATAACACCGTCCATCCCGGCGAGTGGGAAATCGGACAACGGACCTGCCGACCAGTTGCCGCATCCTGAGCAGGCTCAACAGCCGGAGCCGCCACAGCAGACCCCGGCAACATTTGTCGTGCCTGGTCCTCCTCCCCCAGTGCCTCAGAAGGAACCGAAACCGGCTAGTATCCTATCACCGCCACCCATACAGCCCAAGATCCCGGCACCTCCAGCGCCGGCCGGAGGTCCCACAACACGAGGGCCTCCTGCGCAAACCAACAGCTCGAGCAGCGCGCCGCCGTCACAGTCTGTACAGAGCCTTCAAGCGATTCAGAGAGCAAACCAAGAACGGCAACAGCAGAACCCAGGTGGCCGCGTCTCGGCGCCGGTGACGACGAAAGATGCAAAGGAAAAGTCCGGTGGCATTCTCGGCGGCTTCAAGAAACTTCGGCGCTCTGATACCAAACGTGGCAGTAGCTTGGATCCCGCACGACCGCAACAGCCGCCTGCCAATGCGAGCACAGATGCAACAATTAACATGCCGACGGCAGTAGCAACCTCGACCGTGCCGGAGACTGTGGCGTCGGCACACGCGTTGGTCTTACATCAGACAACGCCGCAGGCACAGCCGTCTCAGCAGCCACCTCCGGCCCAGGCCACAGCCGTGCCTCCCCCTCCACCCCCGATTCACCTGCCGCCCAGTGAAGGTCGAGGAATCGACATCGACCATGTACCGGATAGTTTACGTCCGGGAGGTGGTCAACCTGTACAACAGCACCGCCAACATCAACACCCGCTCCAGCAGCAACAGCCGCAGAGCCACCGACCTGGATATGAGCAGCCATCTCAACACGCGGAAATTGTACAGCAACAGCAACAGCAACAACAACCCCACCAAAACCAGCAGCAGACTCCATGCCACAGCTGCAAAGCCTACTATGAAGCTGCGTGGGCGCAGTCCGAGATGAACATGTATGCTCTATCGTCACAGCTGGCTGCTGCCCACCAGCAGAGCGCCGGCCAGGTTGCCCTTTTGCACGAACGAGACGCCGAGATTGCCGAGCTAAACGCCCTTGTCGGCCGCCTGCGCACCCGCATTCAAGAGCAGGTGAAACAGCTCGAGCAACTGCCCGCTGGTCTACCAGGACTCAATACCATGTCGGGTCTCAATGGCTACGCAGCCGGCGGTGTCGGCCAGCTGCCCGATGGCCAGATCCGTTCTCGATGGAAGGGCCTGCGCTGGCAGATCCGGCAGTGTGTGGAGTCCCGCTTGGCCGCTCTGCCGCCCTCGTCTGCGGCGTCGGTGCCCGTATCGTCCGAGCGAGCACCCTTTTTGCGGCGCCTAACGCCCGACTTTGACAAGTTTTTAAACTCGCGAAAGGGTTCCGTCTACCTCGTGGAGGCAGCCATCTGGGCTGTTTTGGCGGACAGCGTGTTTGGTGGCGCCCGCCGGTCGAGCCGCATGTGTTGGGCGGCACGCTGGTCGACGTCTCTCGCAAAAATGAGTATGTACCCACCCCTTTCACCTCCTAGTGTCAATCATGATCATCGTTAAACACTTACTAACAGATGCAGACGACAATATGATGTACAGTCGCTCGACCGATCCGACATTCCATCAGTGGCGTGTGCAGACGGCTGTTTTTGTGAGTAGCCTGGATGCACCGGCCGAAGGCGACCAACAGCAGCAGCAGCAGCAGCAGCAGCAGCAACAACAACAGCAGCAACAGTCGGTTGTAGTTGCGCCATATGTCGAAGCGGTCGTGCGCCAGCTCGAGGTTGAAGTGGGTGTTTTGCTGGCTCTCGGGACAGGAGGTCCGGGTGGCGTTGAAGATGGAGGAGCCGGTGGTGCCACAGGCCACAGGGAAACGCCTCCTCCTCCTTTGTCACCGACTTCGTCTTCTTCGTCGTCGTCCGCTCTCCGGCATCAGCTCTATGATGTGGTCTCCGAAGCAATTGGCCTGGATGCGGATCTGTGCCAACAACGTGCATGGTTCTATGTCCACTACCCAACATCGACAAGCGGCCAGCACTACGGCATGCCATTCGACCCACGGGAAATGGAGTCGGTCAATGTGACAAGCGAAACGACTCCGGCAAACAATGGGGATGGAAGTGAAACTCACCCTAGACTCTCCATGTCTGTCATGAACAGCAGCAGTAACAATGTCAACAGTGTGAGCGCCAGCAATGGCCACCACGCGTCTGACGACATCACTCTTGTTGTACGCCCAGCTTTGTTTAAAGCGGGAAACTCGCGTGGCGAGGATTACGGGCAGACAGTGTCGATCGAGCCGAGCATTGTGTGCCAGACGACACCTACCGGGCGTGGATTCCGGCGATGGGCAGGCGGTCGACGTGATCGGTCGCGGTCGAGAGGATGAACTGGTGACCCCTAGCATATTGGTGTCAAGTCCGAGTGTTGTCGTGAAGAACGGGTGAACGACACATTATGACCTGTGTTATCTAACCCATGCAGACCGAACATCATGGGTTTGGTGGGCTGCTATGTTGTATCTTTGTATTCGTTTATATCCAATTTAAATTCTCCGTTTGATGTATGCAGGAGACACAAAGAAGCTTTTTGCGAAACTCAAAACGACAAAACGGCAACCCAAAAACAAATAACATTCCAAGAAAACGAGCAATTGTATTATCGTGTAAGAAGGAGACGACCTGTCACTCTTCAAACTCCCAGCCCAACGCCGTGCTAAAACGAGCAATGAAGGCAAACGCAGCCCGAGCTCCGCCCAAAAAGACAAACACCTACACGGATAGTATGTAGCGGTTAAGAATGTGCACAAGAAAAGCAGACCGACAAGTCCACCGAGAATAGTAAATGCCAAAAAAGTGAATGACGAGATCGCTTGTGTCTCATTATGATCGCCGTTTCAGATTAATTATTTGAAGGTTTTCCTAGGCCTACTTCGGCGGAGGCTTGTTGCTGCTGCAGGTTGGCGTTGGACGCAGCCGGCCTGAGACGACCTGCACGCCGCGGTGGTGGTAGCTTGGGCGGCAGCTTTTTAATGCCCGCGCCGGCAGGGTGTGCTGAGGTGTGGTGCGTGTGGTGCGAGTGTTCATGGGCCGTGTGTGCCGCAGCTGCCGCAGCTGCGGCTGTTGGGTTGGTTTCGCCGGATGCAGTGCCGTTTTCGTCGGACGTCGGTGCGGACCCAGAACCCGCTAGAGCCTTTCCGGCAGCGGCTGACGCCGCCGAAGGGAGCGGGGGAGGGGTGGTGGAGGTTGCTGATGAGGTTTCACGAGAACCACACCATGGCGATGCTTGGGAACAGCTGGTACAGCGCGTTTTGCCCCTCGCCTGCGCTCCGGCGGAACGGCGGGTGGTGCAGACTGTTTTGCCTTGGCTTTTGGGCTGGATGGTGTGGGACACGGAGGTGGATGTCCTTGGTTAAAGAGATCTTCCTCCTTCGGGACAAACTCGACAGTCACAGCCGGTATAGGGTGGCTATCATCTCCCGCAGTGGCAGGGCCGGCCTTGTTATCCTCAGAGGACCATGCATCATAGTCGTCGTTTGCAGAGTTACGTAGCTCGGCCTCCGTGAACTCGGCCTTGCGGCTTGGCGTTTTAATACCAGGCTTTTCCTTGACAGCAGCTACATCTTCGACGCTGGCACGGCTCAGGCGGCCGTCAAGTGACAGGCTGATACCAAGAAATTTATTAACAACCTGATCGCGGTCTGCCTCGCCAGCGTTCTCTTCGGTGTTATTACTGTCATCAGTGATGAGGCTGCCAACAGTTGCGACGCTTCCGGCACTTGAAGAGGTGCTTGTGCGCGCCGTTGTCGTCGTGTCAAATGTAGTCACGGTGCCTAGTGTTCCTGCCGGGCTCGTGGGCGACGTTGGTGTCGATGTGGGCGGCGACGGCGCGCTGAGCCACTCGACCTTGGCCACCCGGTCCACGAGGCGGAGAGTGGTCTCGTCAGCAGGCGCAAAGTGGACGTTACCCGAGCCGGAGAGGATGGCAAGCACTCGCAAAATCTCATCACGTTTGTATTGTGGCGGCTGGTTGAGTTGGGTGTGGGCGAGTAGTGGGTACAGCACGCGAAGGTAAGTGTGGCGCAGGGAAGCGGACTCGTTGGGCAGATCGAGCAGATTGCGGATGATGACGTCGAGCAGCACGCGTAGATCATTTGTGTAGAAATACTCGTACGTAGCGTGCGTTGTAAAGAGGAGGTAGAGAAGCTTAAGGATGAGCAGTTGCAGTGAGGTTTCCGTGGCACGGTTGAGCAGGAGGATGATGTTCTCGCCAAATGTGCGATAGAGCGGTCCATTGAGACTAAGGACCTTGACAACGCGGTTGGTCAAGGGCGCCGCAGGCGACATAGGATCGACCGCCGCGGTGGTGGCCGCAACCATGTACTGCTCATTGAGGATGAGCTGTGCGGTGGTCTGTTAGCATTCTTCTTTGCATCGGCCGTTTACACTTGAGGTCTGTCATTCTCGCTTACCAACACACGAATCACGGGGAAATGATACGGATCGTCACTGTCGTCCGACATGTCTTCGATAACTTGGAATAGGTAGCCGACAAATCCATCGTCGACGGCCAGGAGATCGGCCACGCGCACCCGTTCTACACGTGCCATCTCGTACATGAGTTCCAGCAGTAGGCGGTGCAAGCGCCGGTCGTCGTTGTAGCTGGCTTTGATCAGCTCGACGAGGCGGGCAAAGCAGCCCGCCTCGATCATCTGGGCAAATACCACGTCGTCTACGCGGCCGGCTAGAAGCAGGTAGTTGGCAATGGCGTGCAGTGGGCGGGACTCGTCCTCCTGCAGCAGACTGTAGACGATCTGCGTCCGAACATACTCACGTACGTCGCTGCCAGAACACAATGGGCTATCCAGCAAGCAGCGTGAGCAGCGCGCGAGGTCGTCTTCGTCTTGCAGGAATTCGTCACGGCCCGATGCTACGAGATCAAGCCACGCTCGTAGCGCATCGTCTATCTCCTCGTGGCTGGCGCAGGACGCCTGGACGGCGGACGCAAGATCTGCGAAAATGAGCATCGTTAGCACTCGACGCAAATGCCGCGCGAGACCAAAGAGTCCGCTGCTGTCCCATTCGACCCATTCGATTCTGTCCTTCTATCAGACCCCCCCACCCATCAATCAGCACGTACCATCCCAGAACCTCTCGGGCCCGCCCGAGGTTGCCTCGCGCACCTTGTCAGGTGGCCCCATTGTGGGAGAGTGTCGCGCGGGTCGTTATGTGAGTGTTGCAAGACGCATCACGAGAAGCGGTGGCTGCAAAAGGATAGTTCAAGGCAACGGGGGACGAGGCCTTTCACGTAGTCTTTGAAGCCTGTCGAGATTGCCGCTGTCGGCGGTATGGAAGGCGCGGAGCAGGAATCTCGTATCTCAATCATCAAATGAGGAAGCAACGACGGGCGAACGTCGGAAAGAAGGCCGGAGAGAACGACGGTGACAGCCAAAATAAGAAGGAGGTCAGTAGCCTGGTGCGGAAAGGCCAATGCAGCATGGGGTCGGAAAGGCGGAAGGTGCAACTTTGTGTTGGAGCAGCTGTGGCGTATCGCGGGCAGGTTTCTGTGGCAGTGGTAGCCTGTCGTGTGCTGGGATGGAAGTTGGCGACAAGAATTCCGGGCGATGGTAGAAGAGAGTCGAGGAGGAGAAGGAACATTGGACAGCCCTGGGGCACGCCAAGCACGTTTCGGTGCAGTGCCACCCCGCGCTGTGGCGCCAAGGGCAGGTCAGGTAGAGGTACCTGTGACAAGACCCTCTCGACCCTTTTTACTGTTGATACAAGGGACTTTTGGAGGGGTTTAGTGGGTGACTAAGAATGCGAGGTACCGCCACTTCCCGAAGAACTTCCTAAAGAAAGGCGATCCTACCTCACCTGTGTATGCCTTGGCTCGCTTGGCTTGAGATGACGGCGTCTACCAACTCTTGTTGACCCACAGATGCCTATGACACACAACCAATTCTGAGTTGATATTTCGACTTCATCTCGATGCAGTGCCAGCATTGCGATTGGAGGCCGATCGGGACATCTTGAGGCGAAACGAGGTGGCTGGCCGGGCGTCGATCAGAATCGCGGTGATGAGAGGTGACGGGAGAGAAAAGGAAAAGAAAAGCAACTGACAGACATCACAGGCTCGATTGGTTTAACAAATCCCCAGCCGACAACAGCCGCCGTGGTGGATGCTGCATCTTGTCGATCGCTCGCGCAGCCGTTTCATCATTCTGAAAGAAAGTAACGGCTTGTTGGTATCGGCGTTCCTATTCTTAGAGTCGACAAAATCGATGGCTTTGACGTTGGTCAACGCAGATACAGTGCGGGACGCTCAACGTACCTTTGATTAATATTGTGCTTTTTGTCTGGTGCAGCTCTTCGGGATATTAATAGGCCGGCTTTGTCTTGCAGCTTCACCTGGTGCTCGCCCTCGTTTGCGTTTCACTGGATTGATGAGTGTCATCATTGTCAAAGGACGCCGGCCTGCGAGTGCGAGTGCGGGTGCAGTTGGGCCACGTTGGTTCTTCTTTCCTTCCATGTTATCCTCTCCCCGGATCCCTTACCCGCAAATATGAATTCCAGGTGGATGGCCGAGATGGTTTAATGCGTGGCGAGCGGCCGACGAACCGATCACAAGTCGCCGAAATGGACAGTAGGTGCCTCAAACCCCACATGAAGCGGCAGGCAAGTGTCCCAAATTAATGTTCGCGGCAGGATAAAGCAGCTGTACCGGGGCGGTGACGATATTGCGGATTGCGGTGGGCGGCCTTACAATGATTTTTTAATGTTATGGCGCAGCCAATATGAGGAAGCGCGGCATAATAAAGACACGTCGAGTAGAGATGAAAGGTCGTTGGTTGCACTGCTCACCGGGACCTAGGAACCTGGAACCGACCATGATATAAAAGTATGCCTCTCGCTCAAATGCCCAAAATTGGCTGGTCGACCGTTTGACATTGCAAGCACCACCATCATGGGTCTTCGATCGACGTGTGTTCTTCTGGCGGCCGCCTGTGCAGGTCATCTTCCGATAGCCCGGGCGGCCTTACAGATTGTGCCAGGCGCAACATTGACGGCAGTAAGCACATGTGTCCGTTTTGCGTGCTCTTCATACAGTCTCCATCCTAACAAAGATTACAAGTCCAACGGAGCGCACATGCAGGCGCACGGAGGCGGCGTTATCGAGGTCAACGGCACCTACTACCTCATCGGCGAGGACAAAACCGACGGCTCGGTATTCCAGAACGTCAACTGCTATTCGTCGCGTGACCTGGTGCAGTGGCACTACGAAGGCGCGCTGCTATCGCGAACGGGAAGCGGCGACCTGGGCCCGAACCGGGTGATCGAGCGGCCCAAGGTGATCTACAACGACAAGACGCAAAAATACGTGCTCTGGATGCATGTCGACAGCAGCAACTACGGCGAGGCAAAGACGGGCGTGGCCACAGGTGACACGGTGTGCGGGAAATACAGTGCGTGCGAATGCTGGGATGGTGGACATGGTAGACCGTCGTGGAAACGAAATGGAATAGGAGGCTGATGCGCCCCAGCCTATCATAACAGTTTCCAGCCGCTCGGATTTCAGAGCCGCGACATGGGCCTGTTCAAAGACGACGATGGCAAGGCGTACTTGCTGTCAGAAGACGTGAGTTGACAACATCACGTAACCGATTAATATAGCCTGGCCCTCGGCTAACCAACAGCGTGCCAATGGCCTCCGAATCATGCGGCTCTCCGACGATTACCTCTCTGTCGCCGCATCCACATATCTTTGGAAGGACCATATTGAGGCGCCGGCACTCATCAAGATCAAGGGCCGCTACTACATGTTCGGCAGCCACCTGTCAGGCTGGGACCCCAACGACAACGTGGTCAGCACGTCGACCTCGCTGACATCCGGCTGGTCTTCCTGGGCCACGTTCGCCGACAAAAATTCCAAGACGTACTCGTCACAGACGCACTATGTACTTCCGTACGGCTCCAGTGGTAACGTCATGTACATGGGCGACCGCTGGGTGTCGAAGAATTTGCGGGCCAGCACATACGTCTGGTTGCCCTTGACCATCTCGGGCACGACCGTGACCATGAAAAACCACGCCGCATGGCTGCCCAATGTCGAGTCGAACCAACCGTGGGCCAGTCACCCGGACGAAAAGTCGTACGCCGGCAACCAGGGTGCGTACGGAGGTGGAGCCAAGGCCGTGGACTGCAAGCCCTGCTCGGGCGGTAAAGCAGCGGGCTACGTAGGCGGACCAAGCCACGGAACGATCACGCTGTCGGGGCTGTCGGCGCCAAGTAGTGGAACGACCACGCTCATTGTCCGGTATGGCGTATCCGAGGCTGGGGGCCGGCAGGCCGACGTACGAATCAACGGCGGGTCGACGGTCCGGATGGACTTTTTACCCGGAGCTCAGAGTGACAACATCGGCGAGAGCGTGTTGACGACGGCGCTCAAGTCCGGCAGTAACACGGTCGAATTTGCGGGCGTCGGCGATGCGTGGGGCCCTGACATTGACATTGTCGAGGTTCCCTCAGCATAAGATATGATGGGGCGGATGGGGACGACTGTCTCAATTCAGATGGGATTTTGTGCCTTTTGCAAGATTGACAGTATGCGATAGAGCCGGTTATTCTGAATCATGTATCACGTATCACGTATGTAGGATGTTGTACTGTTGAAATAATGCGTCGATGGCTGTCCAGTTTACGTTCCTCGTCCCTTGCGCAGTTCTTCAGACCCTTTGTCTTCCATATTTTTTCTACCCGATCTCTCTACCCGAATGCAAAAGAGTCTTGTTATCATAATAAGGTGTCGTGCAACCTTTTCAGATGCAGGACGGTGGCACATGTACTGTAGGCCGTTCATCCGAGGGGTGAGAGGGGATCAAATTTCTACCTTCGATACCCATGGTTCGGCAGACTTTGTCTCATATTTTCTTTTTCTTCCATTTCCTTCATTTTCGTTCATTTTTCATATTCAATGTCGTTGCTTTCTGACCCCCACGATAACCGATGATGCTGCTCTTGCTGACTTTTCATCCACTTTCCTTTTTTTTTTTTTTTTTTTTTTTTTTTCGTTATCGGCAGACGGACTCCGGGAAGTGACTGTAACGATATTCCCATAAACTGCTAACCGTACCGTTGCTGTTCTTGCAGCAAGTGATATCCCACAGGTTGCATTGCACATGCATGTGAACCCATACAAACTTACATCCAACCTGTTTGGCCTTGCCAGCCGCCCGAGGGATACAGGGCACTGACGAGCGTACGAGCAAACCACCGTCGATGCAAGGCGCGCCAACATCACCAAACATCAGCCGACCCCTTTTATTTATTCTCAAAGTGCAACTTACGCCACAGGACGTTCGACGTACTAACTATTTCCTCTTTTACAACGTCTTTACACGTCGTCTCGTGCCTGTATCAAACGTCTTCCCCTCCTTGCGTGGACCCCTGGGCCGGTGGTGTTTCATGGTCATATGCCTGCAGTCCTGCAGTCCCGTAAAGCTAGCGGCAGTGCAACGCTGTTCCTAGGCAAAGAGGGGCGTAGTGCAACGGTGACGAAGGCAACACTAAGATCGAATAGACGAGAGTCACGACGGAGGGGAGGGAAGTGATGATCGAAACAAGCAGTTTCAAACTTCCCGCCTCGCCATCGGCTGGAACTCTCACGCATACATCGTAGTCGCTGTTGCAACGGCGACAGGGTCGTCCTCCCTTTGCTCTGTGTTCTGGACGCGGCAGTGCCTTTTCATCCGCTCCCGAGATGCCCGGTTCATCATTCTTCCCTTTCTTTTGGCGCATTCCTTTTCACGTTCTTCCCTTTACGTTATGTGGTCCCCTTTTCTTATTGCATATGTCAGTTGTGCCCCCTCGTCTCTCCCAATCTTTTATCGTCCAATGCCTCGCCTGGCACTCACAGATGTGATTTGTTCCGTCTTGTGATGCAGCGAAGATGGAGTCTTGTTCTCCTCTCGTTTGCTCCTCTTCGTTTTACCCACAACCGGTTCGTATCCTTGCTTTACTCTGTTCTGTCCTCCCGTTTACTGCGACGTCAGACGCAACTTCTAATGATGCCACCCTCACGGGTCTCCTCGCCATGTTTTTGCAGTGAGTGCTCTTGTCTCCAAACACGGGTGCTAATAATAGACAGGATGCGAGAAAACGGTATTCCTCATGTTTCGTTTTGCGCCGGGCATCGCAATTTGACGGCGTGCGGTGCGTGATGTGCGATCATCACCCAGTACCAAAATTGTTGATACAATATAATAATACGCCACGTCGCATATAAGTCTGTGCTCCGGTCGATGCCCTCAAGCACTTTCTTGGAAACATGCACGCTTGCTTAGCATCTTCAGCCCGTCGATACAAGTCCTGCAATCTCCTTCTCTAGCCGGTAATCTGCAAGACATTTTACACCTAAAGTGGACTGAGGAAGTCGTCGTGAAGAGTGCTCCATAATGGTTTGGTCGTCGACTTTGGTGGTACCTCAATCTGCAATGTATATGTTGTAGTTTTCAGCCTGCCTCTGCGGGCCCCCTCTCTTTCACAGCACACACGTACGCCCTCTTCGCCTTTTGAGCCGCTTCTCGCCTTGTTGATCCTCTTGTCTCGGATGATCAAGTTTGCAGAAACAGGACCACCACCAGCGCCCATAGAAAGAAACATTGCCCACACCATGTCAGTCGTGTCTGTAATCCTGCTTTGTCTACGAATTACCCAAACACGGCACCACGCATCACGACACAGCAGAGGGGCGAAGCTTACCTGTGAGATACATACCTCAATATGTGCGGCAGACCCAAAGCGAGGGTCGAGTCTCGTCTTCCGTCGTCTGCCGACATCTCGCTTGATGTGAGACCAGTGCCGCGCTCTCGCCCATTGTTGTCCTGCACCAAGCTGACCTCAGACCTGTGTTTCTCCTTCCCCGATTCTGCTTCTCTCGCTCCTGCCTGCCCCTTCGGCGTTGCTCTATCCTCGCCACGCTCCTTCCCTTCTGCATCCTCGATAGACTCTAGCCCCATTTCCCTCCTGCAAGTACTTTGACAAACGGGCTTCGCACCGTATCTTACTTGTCCGTTTTACGAACCAAGGATGTCCCTTCTCATTGCCCCCCAGAACCCCTTCGAGCGCTCCGATCGTCCCTTCCCCCAGTATTCTGGCCCGCCTTCTCAACTTTTCACTCTGCAGCCCCACCCTACCCTGCCAGCCAAGGTCACTTTACTCCGTACATTTGGCTGCCACCTACGGAGTACGACAAACTTCATTTATATTACATCACACGGGAGTACAGCAACACTGCGTGATATTACTCCATATTCTCTGTGGCTACTCTTTCCCACTGTACCCCACGTGCCCACGATTCCCATACAAAAGTCCTACTTCGCCTGGGCTTGTCCTGATCGCCTGCCTTTACTTATTGCCTAAGTCAACCGTGCAAAATACAAAATTGAGCGTCCCGAATAGAGACACCAACACGGCCCTGTCCGTGTTCCTGACAGACAGCCGTTGCTTGTCCTTTTCCGTCGGTGTACAGTATATATTCATCCTATGTGCCGACGATATGGCTCATCCCATACGGACATGTCGTCCTCACTCGTCCTGCGTCCTTTTGCGTCGCGGCTGCAAGAAGCGAAATCACATTGTCTCGCATACCAGGCAACGACATATCGTATTTGCCCTGAAACCCGAGACCCGGTGGAGTGCAGACTCGTCGAGTTTACCAATGGCGGCGATTTGAAAAGGTTCAGCATGAAGAAAACCAAAGAATGAATCAAAGTGGTGGGCCTTCGCTGCTCATATCAGACATAAACAATGACATCTCAGGTTCAGGCATTTGCATCACCAGCTCTGGCGCTGCGACGCATGCGCTAAAACGATCCAGTCCATCGCGACCCGTCACAAGCGCTGAAAGGTCAAAAAAGGCGACCTACTGCTCATTGTTGTTCCCAGCCGGCCATTAATCCTAGTTCTGAAATCATTCTGCGCCCTCTGTGTACCCTCCCGTCTTTTCTTTTTCCCTTTCCCCTCCTTTCCTCCCCCTCCAGGGTACCTCGTGCACTTGCATGTTCTCCACATGTATGCATGTAGCGCCCGGGCCCCTTTTTGCATCCCGGCTTTAATCTCGTCTTTCCATGCTCTGATCTTCTGACTTTGCCCATTTTGCTTTCTTTTCCTTTTTGTCATCTCTCTTTCAGAATGTCGTATCTTACTATCGTGGCCTTTCTTACGACTCATTCAGTCGCTCAGACGGTGTCTCCCCAATTCGTCTAATTCGGGTATTTTGTGAGAGATCCTAATTTTGATTCTGCATTGGATTTCGTAATATTGTATTCGACGGCAGTTTCCACTTATCCTTTTTGTTTTCATGCCATGTTCTTGCCTCGTAGAGAAACCCCTGTGGCGACTTCCCCAATTGAAAGACCTGCGCTAGTCTACCCCTGGGACTTTTGTACTTAGTACCTGGACTGACCTGATCGGGGGGGGGGGGGGGCACTTCCCCTGGCTACTGGTGACTAGTCCTCCCTTGTTCTTACCCTTACCATTCGCCGTGCGGCGTCACTGCGTGATGATGGCCCTAGCAACTGCGGGCACTTGCCTTTTCGCTCACGCGCACAATCGTGCCTTCTCAATATGCAAAAACTCTTGTGATGTCTGCACATCGCTCCTGCCCGGTATGCGAACGAAGTAGAATGCAAAGCAGACGCTTACTTTTCCTTTCTTTCTTTTTTTTTTTTTTTTTTTNTTTTTTTNTTTTTTTTTTTTTTTTTTTTTTTTTTTTTTTTTTTGGTAAACTCCTCTGAGCCAAGCAATCTGTGCTAGTCTGTCCTTCTCCCCTGTCTTTTCCTCCATCTCTGCCCCAACAAAACATCGTCATCGGCCCAACTTTGGCCTCGCTCTGGCCAAGGCTTGTTGGTCATTGTACATTTTGTGTCCTCTTTCTTTTGCTTCCCGGTTCATGTACGGAGCATTGTTGTCCACACCCTCTCGCGTCATGTCATTCCCGCAGCAGCCGCAATCAACCCGAGCCAACAGGCACATTGGCTCAGAAGCATAATTCAGCGTCTCAATCCCAAAACTTCATCGTCCGCAACCACCCAAACAAATAGTGCGCCCCTACGGCCGACGCTAGCGCACTGTCCTTTCTTGGATTCCCTCTGTGCTCATCTGACTGGCCGTGGACACAGCCCGGGCAACGTAAGATATCTTAACGACTCAACGCCGAACGCACGCACGCATCCATCAGGTCGGGCCACCCTCCAACTCGTGTTCATCTGAGCCCGTCCCTCCCTTCCCTGCCCTGTTGGTCCCAGGATATGCCCTGGCATCATCGGCAGACAGGCCTACCAACCGGAAGTTTTGCGTTCAGAATCCAGCAAAACCAGCGGCGATCAGCAGCACTGTACCACCACACAAAAGTAAGGACAGAGTCAGTTGGCCATCATCGTCTCTCATTTTCGCCGCCCCCTTGTGCCCCTTCTGAGACATGGGGGGAAGTATCCACTCCCTCTCTTCCACATGCGGACAAGAACACAGGAATCGCACCGTCGTATCTCTGCTGTTGGCCCGCTTGCTTTTGACTTTTGCAGTCGTCATTATGTCCCTATTTTCGCTGCAAGCTCATGTCAAAAGTCCGGACGCATGGATGGTACGATTAAAGTTAACCAGGGGCACCAATATGAACTAAACATCAGCAACTGCTTGAGACGAACCAACACAAATTCAACCCAACCAGGCAAGGACGGACAAGACATAAGACAAAGAACACGGAACAAGTGACAAAGAAGGACAATACAAGGAAAAACGACGGTCGACGAATCTCCCGTTGACGAACCCATTTTGTCCGTTCTGGGGTCCATGTTTCTCTTTTCCATCTGTGCCCAGCCACAGCACCAAACGACATCATCGAATCATCACCGAATCATCGTCGTACGGAGTAACAATACGGAGTACGGAGAAGCAATAACCAAAAGTTTTGTCTACCACGCCTCGCGGCGCAACGCCGTTGCCCACTCACTCCATCCGCTTGTGGACTTTACTGGCGCCGGCCTGTCTTGGCTACGCAGAAACTGCGCAGAATAGAGAACACTACGAACTAGTCCTATCACGGCGATGTTTTGCCATTACGAAAAGTGGCCAGCGGCTCCGGAATAAACTGGCTCAACTTCAACTTCGTTGATCTCCAGTCTTTTGCATTTGTTTTTGTGCACGGGACCTTCTCGACCGCCTTCTTTGGTGCGCTCGCCGTTCCCATCTTAGCTGGGCTCCAAGGTTCCCGTAAAACCAGACCAGGAAACCCGACCAGCAAACGACTAGCAACACGCGAACTAGCAAACGGCGCCGAAAAAGCAGGGAATTACAGAATACAGACAGTACAACACGAGGCAAGCCGGGTTGTCAAAAATAGGGGTAGCGGCGCCAGTTAAAAGAGAAGGAAAAAAACTTTTGAAAAATCCTAGAGAGCTGCAATTGCGAAAGCAGACGAGAATCCGAAATCGACAATCGAACATCGAAACGCAAATATGGAAACATCGTGCAAAGACGCCGAAGCAACCGGACGGACTCTGTGATATCTTCCAAATTGTCGCGCCGGCCCTGGTCAGCCAGGAACAGACGTCTGTTGCCCGCCCTTGCGTCGATGCAACCCCTAAAGCGGCAGCCTGCCTTTGCCCACTCACTCTCTGCGCGTGCCGACAGCCCCATTGCTCACGCTCGCCCACCTATTTCCATTTCAGTGTCTCCGCGCAACCTCCTCATAGGCGCAAATCAACCTCTTCCCCAATCCGACCCACCGCAGTCAACCCACACACACCCGTCTTCCGTTTTCGTTTCACTCCTGGCAGTCTCGCCTTGTGCCGTCATTCGCCCTCACTGGCCAAACACGATATCGCACTGAAACCGTTCCTGAACCCCGGCCAAAATCCCCTCTCTGGCTCTGTTGCATCCAAAAGACACACCACAGAACCGTGGACTGCACCTCCCGCATGCACAGTCTCTCGTACACACCCACTCTTACCCACCCCCTCTTGTCCTGTCCTTGCTCCAGTGGTTTCTCTCCTTTCCCGTTTCTCTCTTGGACTCCACTCACGCGCGCATCTTCTTTTTCCTCCCTCCCTCCTCCTTATCTGTCTACCGTCCCCCGGCTTCACTTTGCCTCTGCAAGTTTCTCCTCTTCGAGCCCTCGTTCACAACTTCGACCGTTGCTCTCGTTTGCTTTTTTTTTTTTCCAGTTCCTCTCTTTGCTCCCATCTTCGCGTTGAGGTCTCTCGACAACAAATTTTGCGCCTTTTCATTTTTCAAAACCCACACTCGCCGGGTTTCAAATCCCTTGCAAACATTGCCGCCCATTCTCGTCGCATGCTCATTTCGCTTCTCGACCAAAAACCTTTTCCCTCTCGCTTGCCCGCCTCTCAATTTTGACTTGACGACGGCTTCGACTTTCGCACATTGGTTACCGTTCAGCAATTTCATGCGACGCTGACATATAACATCGTCTTATCCCCACGACGCGACCAGTTTGAATCTAGAGCACGCGCTCTTTCCAACTCCGAAAAAGGGGGCAAGCCTTGCTGGCCGCCCGCTTGCACTCGTCCAGTCTTTTGATCTCGACCGGCCTCTTGATCTGTTGGTTTCTCGTCACTTCCTCGATTAAGTCTCCCAATCGTGCGCCCGGCCCGTGTCGTTACGATCTGCTGCCTGCACGGGGAACAATGTCGGTCATGTTGCATACACCTTCGCGAGCCTCGACTGCCTCATCGTCTTCGTTGCAACACATATCCCGACAAAACACCATGTCGTCCTACGATGGCACGCGGTCTGCCCGCCAATCCAAGCGGATTTCCATGTCCGCGCTGTACATGTCCATGTCCGCGCAAGAAACCGACTTGGAAATCGAGGATGAGCTGGCCAAAGGTGCGTATCCCCTCAGTATTGAGGCGCATGCTCTGCTTTCCGTTACATGCCCGTTCCTTCGTTGTAACCATTCCCTGCACAATAGCTAACGCGTTTTGTCTCTTTTCTCCTTTGCAGCCCAGAAAGTGCTCCGCGAGCTCAAAGCCAAGATCTCGTCGCAGTCGAAACAGAACTTCGTTTTGGAAAAAGATGTGCGGTATCTCGATTCGAGAATCGCCCTCTTGATTCAGAACCGCATGGCCCTGGAAGAGGTATGTGTAAAAGGCGTGAAACTAAGCAGTCTGGTGGCATGCTAATTCGGCACATGGTGCTGGACTGCGCTCATTACAATATGCTATTCCAGCTACGTTTACTAATTTTCATCTTCCTAGCAAAACGAAGTTGCGAGCCGCCTTGAAGATGCCAACGAGCTGCAAGTCGGCGCGTTCCCCAACGACGACAAGACCCAAAAATACGGCAACTTGATGTTTATGCTGCAGTCCGAGCCGCGTCACATTGCCCACCTTTGCCGTCTCGTATCCATGTCCGAAATCGACTCCCTCCTGCAGACCGTCATGTTCACAATCTACGGTAACCAGTACGAAAGCCGTGAAGAGCATTTGCTCTTGACCATGTTCCAGTCTGTGCTTACCTACCAATTCGACAACACGCCGGAATACTCGTCGCTGCTACGCGCCAACACTCCCGTCTCGCGCATGATGACGACCTACACGAGACGTGGTCCCGGCCAAAGTTTCCTCAAGGCCGTCCTCGCCGACCGCATTAACAGCCTGATCGAGCTGCACGACCTCGATCTTGAGATCAACCCCCTCAAGGTCTATGAGCGCATGGTCGAGCAGATTGAGGAGGACACCGGTAGCCTGCCTGCCTCGCTTCCGAAGGGCATCACGGCTGAGCAAGCGGCCGAGAACCCACAGGTCCAGGCTATCATTGAGCCGCGTCTGACGATGCTCAGCGAGATTGCCAACGGCTTCCTGACCACGATTATCGACGGTCTTGAAGACGCGCCCTATGGTATCCGCTGGATCTGCAAGCAGATTCGAAGCCTGACCAAGCGCAAATACCCGGACGCCAACGACCAGGTCATTTGTACGCTGATCGGTGGCTTTTTCTTCTTGCGCTTTATCAACCCGGCCATTGTGACGCCCAAGTCGTACATGCTTATCGAAGGCACCCCGGCCGACCGCCCGCGCCGCACCCTGACGTTGATCGCCAAGATGCTGCAGAATCTGGCCAACAAGCCCTCATACGCCAAGGAGCCCTACATGGCCAAACTACAACCATTCATCCAGCAAAACAAGGACCGCGTCAACAAGTTTATGCTCGATCTATGCGAGGTGCAGGACTTTTATGAGAGCCTCGAGATGGACAACTACGTTGCTCTGTCGAAGAAGGACCTCGAGCTTTCCATTACCCTTAACGAAATCTACGCCATGCACGCGCTTCTTGAGAAGCACCAGAATGAGCTCTACAAGGACAACAACTCTCATCTTGCCATCATGATGAACGAGCTCGGCGACGCACCCGCCCAGCTGCCCCGCAAGGAGAACCGTGTCATCAACCTTCCGCTCTTTAGTCGCTGGGAGGCTGCGCTCGATGATCTAACCTCCGCACTGGACATTACACAGGAAGAAGTCTTCTTCATGGAGGCCAAGTCCATTTTTGTACAAATCATGCGGTCCATCCCCAGCACCTCGTCCGTCGCTCGTCGCCCGTTGCGCTTGGAGAGAATTGCGGACGCTGCCGCCACCTCCAAGAACGACGTTGTCATGGTCCGAAAAGGCATCCGCGCCATGGAGCTCCTGAGCCAGCTGCAGGAGATGAAGGTCACCGACAAGTCCGATGGCTTTGCTCTGCTGCGCGACGAAGTCGAGCAGGAGTTGCAGCATCTTGGTTCGCTCAAGGAGGGTGTTCTTGCCGAGACCCAAAAGCTTTCCGAGGTCTTCTCCACCATTACTGGCCATAACACCTATCTCAACGGCCAGCTGGAGACATACAAGAGCTATCTACACAACGTGCGCAGCCAGAGCGAAGGCACGCGTCGTAAACCGCAGAAGCAACAGGTGCTGGGTCCCTACAAATTCACACACCAGCAGCTCGAGAAGGAGGGTGTCATTCAGAAGAGCAACGTTCCCGACAATCGGAGAGCGAACATTTATTTCAACTTTACGAGCCCGCTCCCCGGTACATTTGTGATTTCTCTGCACTACAAGGGTTTGTTTCCTCCCATTTTATTCGAATCTTTTATACTTCGTGCCTCCGATTTTCAACGCTAACAGTTTATAGGACGCACACGTGGTCTCTTGGAGCTTGATCTGAAGCTCGACGATCTGTTGGAGATGCAAAAGGATAACCTGGATGAGCTGGACTTGGAGTATGTCCAGTTCAACGTGCCAAAGGTCCTGGCTCTCCTCAACAAGCGTTTCGCGAGAAAGAAGGGCTGGTAAAAGATGCGAGCATGGTCTCTCTTTGCAGCAACAACACTTCCCATTACTTCCTTTCTTCTCTCTATATCCGATACACGATCGTCGACGGCCGCAACTATATGACTCCCTCCCAGTGTTCCTCCTTTATTCCATTTCCTTTTGACGTTATGATACCACTTTCCGAAAGCACGTGTCCTTCACTTTCTATGTTCGTCAACGGGGCGATTCGTTACTGGCCTCTCAGCTCTTGCTTTTCTCACTCTGTACTACCCATGCACGTACCATTTTTGTGTTTTTGATTTCTTTTGTCCGACTGCAATGCCTTCTTTGTCATTTATGCCTCTCCTTTGGCTGTTCTTTTGATTACCCTGCTGCTTTAGCTACCTGTTGGTTTTATTTCACACTCTTTGCTTTTTAACATGTACCGCTCAGCTTCTTGCTTGTCGTGCTACTCGACGATTGGAGACAACGATATCCTCAGGGGAGTGGGGGAGGATTTCAAAAGGGGGGACTGGACCCTATTATAAGTACTTATTATTTTCTAGCGCGTGCGTTGCAAGTGGAGGACGGTTTTTGTTTGGCCTATCTTTTCGGCCATTTATTGTTCGACCCCCCGTCTATTTATTTACTTTGTTTCCTTAGTCACTATTCCTTCATTCGTTCTAATCACCATTTTCAGAGCTCTCCAGCCTCGTTTACGCCCTACACTTTTCTGTTCAGCTGATCTTATTACCTTATTTTTTTTCTTTGTTCACTCATCTCATACTCTGCCAATTCCGTTTTCATGTAAAAGCTCATTTTAATTTTTTCATTTTTTGTCGTTCGGAAGGACATGTAGCGTCTCCTTTTTGCGTGCTTTGCGACGTAAGTCTATGTTGATTGCAATAATAGAACAGCAGAACAGCGTGCTTACATTGGATCACTTGCGCAGATCGGCTGGCCCGGCAGCAAAACGACAAAAATCTATGTATTTGTCTATTTTTTGCCCTTCATAATATATCCTAAGCTTGGTTGTTTTCTCAGTATTGTTATTTACATTCCCTTCCATGTACGACAGTACTGGTTTTCAAGTGTCTCTTGTGATTTATTTTATATCTATAACATAATTCACGTACTTTTGTTTGTTACTGTCACGATGCAGCTATAACAGTGAATGAGATTGTAGATCATGTGAAATGAGTCGGCATATGCAGTGTGACTGGGTGAAGTTAGACATCTTCATGGATCTAATATTGAAGGAGAGAAATGTTTTAAAACAAAACGTTTATTTAGTACGTCTTGTAGTGTTCATGCATAAAATGGGAAATGGTAGTTACAAAAACAAATTTAAAATGTGTATTATTTACGAAAAAAATAAAAAATAAAATAAAAAATTAAGGGACAAAGCGGCTTGTTGCAAATAATGGAAACCCGTTCTCCAGAATTATAAAGTAGTTCAACTTCAAATATGAATGAAATCATACGACATTCGCTATGCTAACAATTTTGTTCTAAACCTATTATATGCTAGTAAAATGTATAGTCTACACCTATTTCTCCACGACCTCAATACGGTCAATTAGCGAGCCGCCAATGCGTGCAATTTCAGCTAGGATGCCTTCACGGTTGACTTCGATGAGGGGCTCGGCGGCAGCGACATCGTCGTTCTTGGCTTTGCTCCTCTTATTTGCGGCAACCACGGGACGGAACGAGCATGGCACGTTGATGCGGAAGGACCGCGGGTGCACCTGCGGGTTCCATAGAGCGGCGACAATGTGGTCGCTGTCATTGTCCTCGTCCCGAGGAGCGCCATAGAAGAAGACAATAGGACCGACACCACCGCCGCCTGCGCTTGCACCTCCACCGTAGACGTGGTCCAGCTGGTCCAGCAAGAGCTGGACCGGGTGGGCAGGCAAGACATGAAGATCGCGTCCGGTGCGGGCGTCCAGGTTCTTGTAAATGGATCGGCGCGGCTTAGAAGACGCGCTGCCACTGTTGCTGCCGTCCTCAGCAATGTCGCCCTTGACGAGGCGCTTGATGATGCGCGGCGACAAGTGGATGAGGATGTCAAAGTCACCGAGCGACGGCTGGAAGAGCAGAGCAGGATCGAGGTGGGCGCGACTCCCTGAGACGGTGGGCGACGACGACACGTCCGTCTCCTTGACCAGACGACAGGCGGCACGCGCTAGACAGGTCATGCGCGAGGCTACCACCTTGGACGGCTGCGGTCGGCTCTGGCCGCCGCTGTTGTCGGTGGTGAAGGCCGTGCCGCTGCTGTCGTGTGTGGTCGAGACAAAAAGAACGGTGTGGTTCATGTTCGGGTCGATCTTGCGCCAGGCCTCGAGACGCGTGCGTGGGTCGCCGGCCTTGGCGGCGGCGGCAACCTCTTCCTCCTCGGGCAGCATCGGTGCCATGCCCGACGTATCGACCATGAGCGGCTCGGTGCGCCAGTCCCAGCGCGCGAGGAATTGCAGTACACGCAGTAGGCCCGGAGCCGCACTCGCGGGCGTCTGCCAGGGATACGGCCGCAAGAACACGTGCAGCACGACGAGCTCGACAAACTCCTCGGACACGTGCGACGTCAGTTTGTGGGCGCTGAACCAGCGCTTCACGAGGCGGATCGTGGGCGACAGCGCCGGGAAGCGCGTGCAGTACGTTGCAATGATCTGCGTGTGCAGCGGCAGCGTACTGAATGTGCGGCGCACGGCGGCCAGCAGGCTGGCGCTGGCGGTGCGCGTGTGCTGGTCGAGTGTTTTGTCGTGGGTCTGGCGCGACAGAATGGCCTCTTCGAGGTCGCTGTGGATGCGCAGGCGGAACGCAGCACTGTCTCGGTAGACAATGTCAAGGTAGGCCAGGTTGGCGAAGCTCGTGTTACGGGTGCCGGCCTGCTCGTCGTTCTCGAGGCCGACAAAGGTCTCGAGGGAGTTGCTGTCGCCCCTTGCGGCCATGGCGGCCTCGAGCGACTCGCCAATGCGCAGGAGGAATGCCATCTTGGCGCGCTGGATGGCGGCCAGGTTGTCAGGCCACTTGCCGGACGCCTCGAAGAATAGGGCGACCTCCATCGGGTGCAGGACGGCCTTGGGCGATTGCACAGCAGGTGGTGAAATGGTAGCGGACCGCAGGGCCGGGTCGATGGCCGAGACCTGGCGCACATGCAGTGGCAGGTCCTCGAGAGCACGGATGTCGGCCTCGAGAGTCGCAAAGGCCTCGCGCGCAAGCGCGAACGCGGCAGCGTCGACGACGGGTGTAATGGGCACAAGCGCCGAGAAGCTGCTCGCGGCATCGCTGCCGGCCACAACCTCAATATCTCCTTCCACTATGAGGCCCAGACGCTGACCAAGGATGTAACGCGTAATTTCCTCGCACAGACCGGCCGGCGATTGGCCGGCCGTCCACACAAGCGTCTCGAGAATGCTGCCGTCCTTGAAGCGACGCAGCTCCGCGCGCTCGCCCCAGAACTCGCGGAACTTCTTGGCCTCTTTCTTGTCCTCGGCGGGCGGGCCATGATCGATGTGGCGGGCCATGTTGGCAGCATCGAACGAGATGCAGAGAAGGACGTAGATTGGTGGCGTACCCTTGGACGAGGGTTCGGGGAGCGTTGCATCGACCGACCAGGCCGAAGACGACGGAAGCTGGATGTGGATCAGTTGTGCACGGTCGCCCAGGGCGCGCTTCATCGTCTGGAAGACGCTGTCGCCAAAGTCCCAGACGGCACCGCGGCGGCTGAGGTGGGCGGCCGCCTCGCTGTGTGCGGCAGAGGATGCCGAGGTCGGAAGGCGGACGCGCACCACCATGTCGAAAGCCTCGAGGGGAATGTCAGCACGGGCGATGAACGTCGGCGTGAACTGATCAATGACAGAGTCGTCTTTGAGCAGATCGTGCGTGCGCTTAGCGTGCTGGCGCAGTAGACCCGCCGACCACGCGCTCATCTTGTAGGCGATGTTCAGCTGGCGACTGCCGGCATCGAACAGGACGGGTGTACCCTCCTTGATCGAATCAACATCGGTCACTTGGCCGCCGAGCACACGAGGCTTTGTGCGGAAGTCAGTGGAGGCCAGGAACTGGACAACAGCCTTGAAGATCTGCGTGCTGCTGAGTGAGGGCGAGAGGATCGAGGCGGCCTTCCTGGCGGACGCTCCCGAGCCGGACGAGGTGCGCTTCTGGCTGCTGGTCTGCAACAGCAGCGCGACAACTGTTGCAAACTCAAAGGCACCAAAACCACCGCGGGCCATGGAACTGCCAAAGCCGCGCTGCTGCAGCCACACGCGGCCAAGGAGACACGCATCGACAAAGGCCGAGCAGGACTTCTGAGCCTGATGCAGCAGTTTGAGGTACGGCAGGTAGGCAGACTCGGCCTTGAGGGTGGTGTTGTAGAACGGCGTCGGCGGCAAGGTCTTTGACTCGCTCGATTCGGTAGTGGAGGTCGTCATCGTCTCGGATGTGCCGGCGTCAGGCCGGAGGCAGTTCTTGCTGGCCAAGAGCTTCGTGGACGGGAACAAGCCACCAGGGCAGCAAGGCACAATGCGGATCTTGCACTCAAGAGTCGAGTTCCGGCCCGTCTTTGTCGCGCTCGGAGCCGTCGCCTTGGGCGTGAGAACCAAAATCGGCAGCAGCGGGTTGTCGCCGAGGTAGGCAAAGGACGCATCAGCTATCGCGTCGGAGAGGGCGGCCGACTTGGCGATGGCCTTGGCGACGTGTGCCAGATAGTAAGCGCGCTTGTAGAAGTACCGCAGGTTGAGGTAGTCCTTGTCTTGGAAGAGCGTCTTGGGCATCTCGACAATCATGTCGACGGCAACGTCGCGCTGCGAGCGGACCATCGTCTTGAGCACGTAACTGCCGACGACGTTGCAGTGTGCTGGCGGCTCCATGGAGAGCTTGAGCAGCGAGTCTTCGGCAGGGCGGGGTGTCGGGTAGGGAATCTTGATTGCGTTCTTTTTCTCAAAGGACACGGAGGCTTTCGAGATCTGTTTGGGGACAAAATCAGAATTTAACGGTTTCAAGCGTTGGGAGGAAAGGACGCTGTAGAACCCACCAGCATCGGCCCGTGAGTGTCGACCGACTCGACGGCCGTCTTGACATTGCGCAACAGCTCCTCCGCATTGGGCAGCATCTTTCCGTAGTCGACACGGCTTTGCTGCAATAGCTCAGCCGTTTCGAGGATAAATGTGCTTGGCCGGAAGAGGCCGGCCGACGCGGCGGCGGCATCAAAGGGCAGCGCCCCGTAGGGCTCGCCGGCACCCGAGTGGTCGGTCTTGCGCCGCTTGGCCGGATTGGCATCCATATTTTGGATTGTGGGTTGGGCTGGCCACTGTCGGGTGAGGGTCGTGATGGCTGCTGGTTGATCGTTGGCAATATTGACCCGTTGGTGATGATTTCTTAGTAGCGCCGGAGCTGCCCATAGCGACTACCCTAAAGAAAAAAAAAAAAAAGCAAAAACAGGCGGCGATAAGAAATAAGCTTATCGTGATAAGAACGATAAGGACGGATGATTGTTATCACACTCCGGCGGGGGAGGCCGACTTGGACGCCTGAAGCTTCAGCGCATTTAGGGAGCTGCATCCCGCTAAATCAACGCCAAACAGGCGCAGCGCCATCGGCCAGCAACAATCTGCATCGAGCCGAGCTCCAGCTTGGGACGCACCTTGTTTGTTTATTTGCCCCCCCTTTTCCCGTCTCAAGCGGCTTTCTTCAAAGCAGTCACCGCCCCGTCTGGAATGCTCGTGGGAGAGACATGGCCGGGCCGAAAAAACCCGCCATCGCGGCGTCGGGTGCCAAGACACAGCTCAAGGCCATCGGCGAGCTCTTGAAGCAGCAAAACTATGACGACGCAGCACAACAGGCCCGCGATGTGCTCGAGAGCGACCCAAAGAGCTACCAGGCGTAAGTTTACGCGGGGCACGTCAAATATCATCTAGGACCACGCACTAACGCCTCCCCAGACTCATCTTCCTGGGCTTCGCCCTGGACAAGGCCGGCAAGCTCGATGAGGCCGTGCCCGTGTACGAAGAAGCCACACATGTGAAGCCGGCTGATCCACAGGGCTGGCAGGGCTTGATCCAGGTGTACGAGAAGCAAGGCGCTGCGGCCATCCCAAAATACAAAGAGGCAGCCCTCCAGCTGTCGCTCATCTTCCGCGATGCGGAGGACTTATTTAAATGCCAAGGCGTTGTCGACAAGTTTGTCGGATTTGCGCGCAGCAAGGGCGACAGCAAGCAGATCGTCTCTGCACTGGGCATTATCCTGCCCGACTCGCCCATCTACCCGACGCTTGTGGGCCGTGTGCCCGGCCCTGCGGCCACCTACGAAACCATTGCCAAGCTTGTCGAGACCGACGAGACAAGGCGGATCAACACACTGATTGGCGAGCGGCGTACACGCATAGGCGCGAGACTGGTGGATGTCACAGCCGAAGTAAAGAGTGAGGTGTTTTCCACGAGCCCGCTGACGCACATCTACAGCGAGCTGATCAACTGGACGCGTGACGACGACTTGCGGCACGAGTACGAAGAGAAGCTGCTGGCGTACCGTGTGGACCGGCTGTCTGCGTTCTCGGGCGACGCCAAGGTGGCCGAGAGGGATGAGGTTATCAAGTTTGCCAAGGGAATGGTGATTATCAAACAACCGTTCCAGCTGGCTTGGGACATAGCAGTCGATTGGGAGGACCCAGCAGAGATTCGCGACTGGGACGCGGCATTATTGTGGGAGTACCGGACGTTGTTCCCAGAATCGGGGCTGGGGAAGGCGCTCTCAGGATTTCTGACGAGCGACCTGTCTCCTTTTGGCGAGCCACCGGTCGATCCGAAGCAGGAAGAAGCAGAGAGGAAGAAAACAACAAAGGAACGCGTAGCAGGCGAAGAAGAGGAACAAGATGTGCCCGAGGATGAGGTGAGCGACGAGGCCGACCAAAATGGAAAGGTCGGACAGGAGGGAGAGAAGAGGAAACGCATGCCCAGGAGAAAGATTGTGCCTCTGCCGACGGCCGACGAGGAGCGCCTTGCATTATTGCAAGAGGGCGTGGCCGAATCCAAGGCGTTCTTGGCGTCCCGGATGCTCAGCGCGTGGTACCAGAACGCCGAGGAGCACGAAGACAACATCGAGCTGGTGCGCAAGACCCTGAAGCGCCTGGAGGTCCGCAAGAACAGTACAGGCATGACCTTCCAGCACACCAAGGATGCCCTGGACGTGTCGCTGGCTACGTCGCTTATTTATCACCAGTTGCCGCACAACCACCCCGAGGCAAAGCGGCTATTTGAAAACGTTCTTGCGCACAACGACAAGGCGCAGCTGGCTCTGATCGGAATGGGCTTCATCTGCGAGGAGGAGATGGACTACGACGCGGCTGCCACCTATTTGGAGCGCGCTCTGGCCCTCGACAAGACCGACCTGCGCGTGCGCAGTGAAGCGGCCTGGGTGCATACGCTCAAGGGAAACTACGGCCACGCCAGGGGCGAGCTGGAGGCTTGCATCCCGCTTCTGACGCAGCAAGTGCAGAGCAAGGTCGTGCGCATTGCGCAGCCAGCACAGAAGCTGCTTGCACTGACACAGTACCGCTTGGGAGTCTGTGTGTGGAACCTGGACACGTCGCGCCCGGCACGCAAGGACCGTAATGGAGCGTACACGCTGTTCCTCAGTGCGCTCAAGAACGACCTGACCCTGGCGCCGGGATACACGAGTCTGGGCGTCTTCTACGCCGACTACGGGAAGGACCGCAAACGCGCATTCAAGTGCTTCATGAAGGCTATCGAGCTGTCGGACGGCGAGCTCGAAGCGGGCCGGCGGCTGGTGCAGTCATTTGCGGATAAGCGCGACTGGGAGAGCATTGAGCTCGTGGCTCAACGTGTCGTGGACTCTGGCTTGGCGACACCGCCGTGGGGCTCAAAGAAGCCATCGCACAGCTGGCCGTACGCGGCACTCGGCACGGCGCAGCTGCACCAAAAAGAATACAACAAGGCCATGATGTCGTTCCGCATTGCCACGCGCCTGTCGCAAACAGACTACCATTCGTTTATTGCGCTGGCCGAGACGTATTTGCGGGCCCGCATGCACTACTCGGCCATCCGGGCGATCGAACAAGCGGGGCGAATCGAGGCCGAAGGTGGCCTCGACGAGTCGTACGAGCGGTGGTTCACGGACTACCTGCTGGCCAACATTTACCGCGGTGTTGGCGAACACGACAAGGCAATAGCGCTATACGAGTCGATTCTGGAGGCGCGGCCCAACGAAGAAGGCGTCCTGATCGCGCTGATGCACGCCATGGTGGAGAGTGCCGAGAGCTGTATCAAGACGGGACTGTTTGGCGAGGCCGTCAGCAAGGCGACAGACACGCTGTCGTTTGCCGGAAAGGTGCCCGTCGAGACAGCGGAGAGGACGTATGGCTTCTGGACGGCTGTGGCGAGCGCGTGCAGCGTCTTTTCAACGGTCCAGGGCAAAGCGACGGCGTTCCCTGCAGCCCAAGCGGCGTCTTTAGTGATGCTTGGATCCGGTAGGGATGCGGAGCACACGGCTTACAAGTTGCTGCAGGAGACCGACCGTGTCGGCACGGCGGTGATATTGGCGTACGAGACGTTCTCGGACAATGAACGGATCGGTGTGGACCTCACACGCTGCCTGCATACGACCATTTTGGCATACAAACGTGCGTTGGATGTCACACCGGCCAATGACAACAGAATGCGCGCAGTGGCGCACTACAACTTGGGCTGGGCCGAGTACCGGGCACACACCTGCCTGCCCGAGGACCTCCGCAGCAGTCTCAACGGCTACCTGCGCGCGGCGATCCGGTGCTTCAAGCGGGCGATTGAGCTCGAGGCGGGCAACCGCAAGTTCTGGAATGCGCTGGGCGTGGCGACGAGCGCCGTGCACGCACCGGTGGCGCAGCATGCGTTTGCACGGAGTCTATACCTCGGCCGCGGTCGCGCGTCGGTCTGGACTAATCTGGGCACGCTGGCGCTGCTGCACGACGATGCTGAGCTGGCCAACCATGCCTTTGCCGAAGGCCAGTCGACGGATCCTGACCACGGGCTCAGCTGGCTGGGACAGGGCTATGTGGCGTTGCAGTTTGGCGAGGGAGCCGAGGCGCGGAGCCTGTTTTTGCACGCCATGGATTTGTCGGACGCATCGTCGCTGGCTGCGCGGGAGCAGTATGCCATCTCGCTGTTTGACCACCTCGTGGACGAGGACACCCTCAACGACAAGGAGAAGGCGGCTAAGACGTCGACGACTGACCTCGCACGGCCGCTGATTGGTCTCGAGCAGGTGCGCCGGCTGCAGCCCCAGCAGCTGCCGTATGCACACCTCTTTGCGCTGTACCGCGAACGAATCCACGACAAGACAAACACGTCGACGCTCCTCGAGGAGATCTGCGCGGCGCTCGAAGCCGACTTTGAGGCGACGCAGTCGGTCGAGTCGCTCAACCGTGTGGCCGTGGCCAAGGCCGATCTGGCGCGCGCATTTGTTGCCATGGGAAACTACGAGGCCGCAATAGAGTGCAGCTCGATGGCCGTGCAGCTCGTGGACGACAGCGATGGCAACAGTGTCGAGGGCGAGTTGCCGGCGGCGGCGCGTAAAAAGGTGCGGCTATCGGCAAACTTGGCGGCGGGCCTTGCACGCTTTTTCAGGCAAGACTTTGAAGGCGCTCTGGCCGACTTTGAAGCCATTTTTGCCGAGGACGCCGCCAGCGGCGGAGACGAAGCGGCCCGCAACCCAGACGTTGTCTGTCTGTTGGCACAGGTGCTGTGGGCCTCGGGCCGTGAAGACGCTCGCCAGCGCGCGCAGGACGAGCTATTTGCAGTCATCGAGACACACCCGGACCACGTACACGCGATTTTGTTGCTGGGTGTTGTGGCCTTGCTGAATGGCGACGTCGAGAGCGCCGATGCTGTCGTGGCTGAGTTGGCAGGTCTGGAGGAGGGCAAGTCACAAGCAATCGTCACCGTTGCCGACCAGGGGCGCATTAGCCAGGTGATGCACGCGCTGGCCAACCCGGGGCGCGAGACCGATGCGGCAAGCCGACGAGCCACGTGCTGCCAGGCGCAGCGTGACATTATGCTGCACCCCCATCTGCCGCGGGGCTGGATAAACCTGGCTGAAGAAGCCGAAGAGGCAGATGTCGACGAGACGGCCGCGGACGACGCGGACGAAGATTTTGCGAGCGACATGGCCTTGCGGCTAACGCTGAACCTGTTGCCACCGCGGGGCACGCTGGGTGCGGAAGATCTGGCCAAAGCCTGTGTGGGCACGCGGCGGCCAGCAGATGCACAGGTGGCCATCTTTGCGGCGCCCTGGCTGCAAGATGGCTGGCAGGCCCTGGCAGAGGCCATCTCATGAGAGAAGGGCGGCAATAAACAGTGGAAAAAGGAAGCAGAAACAGAAAGCACCATAAAACTTGTAAAATAGGATATAGTCATATCGGTTGGCGCGTCTGGAAACAAAGTAAATAGAGCATGGTCTATAATCAGGTATCATCAGATTCATATATTCGTCCGTTGTCCGTCGTCTATCGTCCACGTTCTCCTACCACTTCATTCTGCGTGTGCTGCTTCTCGCAGCCGTGCCAGGCGACCCTCCAACCACGTCTTGTGCATCGACTCGACCTGGCCGCCGAGAAACTTGACACTGGTTGGCTCGAGAAGCAATGTGCCGCGTGCTACCGCTGTGCCCGCTTTAATGAGCAGCTTCTCGCCCATGCGTAGTCGGCTAACGCTTATGCGGTAGATGCGTGTCAGCTCGAGAGCATAGAGCGTGTTGCCGGCGGCGTCTTGGAGGACCAGCCGATGCGTCGACGAGGCGTCACTAGGTCCGCTGGATGCAGCAGTTGCGGGCCGTCCTGGACCTGATCGACTGCTCTCGGCCCCCGTGTCGTCATCGCCCTCGCCATCCCCACCGTCGGTGGGCAGGCGGATAATTTCGCGCCCTCGTTTCTGCTCGCCGCGTTCAATGGCTTCAAGTGCTTGGACTTGCTGCCAGCGGCTTTGTGAGAGATTCTCGAGATCGACTACCTGCACGACAATGTCGTTTGCGAGACGCGTCTCTTGCACCGATGCCGCCGATGCCGCCAAGAGGTCACGAGGGAAGACGGCAGGCCTTGATTCATTGTCAAACAGCCCAGACGCCGTCAAGTCGGTTGCCAGAAGGCGCGTTTTGGTGGCCGCAACGAGAGTGGACAGCGACCGCTGCTGAGCCGGTTGTTGGGTTATGATTGACTGCAGCCATGCTTGAGAGGGTTCCGGCAGCTGCTCTGCGGCGAGGGCAGAGCGTATTTTCAGAGCCTGATTCATTGTGCATTGTTATTTTCTTGTTTAGTTTGTGGTTTGGGAATGAAGCAAAAGATACATGAGACCTGCGAATTGAAAATAGACGGCGCCCGATGCGGAAGCAACGCCAAAATGACACCAAGTCACCTGAGACCCCTGGAACTGGGAGCTGGGCACGCTAAGGCGGACGGAACAGGGGGCTGTTGTAGCGCACTTGCCTCAGCCCCGAGAACTTTGGCTAGGAAAGAGCGAGGAGTCTAGGGTTGTCCATAGCTCCTTCTCAGGACAGTGTTGATATCCGCTACGTAGCTTTGCACATACCAGCAACATCAACTGAATCCCACGCACTCAACAAAATCCACCGGCTTAACACGCCGACACGACACCCACAAACGACGAGCTGGTCTCTCGTTTATCCTTCTCCTATTCCGCCAGCCTACCTTATCACCCATCCGCAATGTCGACCATAGCCTCACCGCGCGAGCCGCCGATGCGGCGCATGCCTTCCTCCTCGCAGACGCCGACGTCTAGCAACCGCCCAAGTCTCGAGACGAGCCGGTCTTTATCAAGCTCACCAAGTAGGAACCCAGCTGGTGCAGCATATGGAGGTGCAGGGGGGCCAGCAGCCGGTGGCACCGCCCAGGGAAGTGCATCACGACGGAACCGCGCGGCCTTGCGCGAGTACTACAACCTGAAGAAGACGGCCGGCGCTGGGGGCAGCACTCCTGTCCTCGAAGTGACAGAAGCGTTTGACGGGAACGGCAGCACCGACGCACTGCATGCCGGCATCCTCTCAAACTCGGAAGTACCACCATCAGAGATGGACGCACCCAGCTTTGATCCCGAGGCATTCGTGCAAAAGACGCTTCAAGGGAGCGGCCTCGAGGACCTGCTGCGCGTCTACACGCGCGTACTTACCGAGACGCGGGCCCTCGATGCTGAAAAGAAGAGTTTGGTGTATGACAACTACAGCCGGTTGATCACAGCGACCGAGACGATTCGAAAGGTGGGTGCCACATGCGCAGGTTCATGGGAGGAACGCATATGATACGCCTCGCGCACTGACAACAGGCAACGCTGACAACACTGATGACATAAATAGATGCGCGCTACGATGGACCCCTTGAACCCCATGGCGTCGACGCTCGATCCTGCCATTGCCCACATCTACAATCAGGCCAAGACCTTGCGCGATGCCATGCGCGCGGCTGTGCCCGCCCCCGACAGCGAGGCGACACAGGCGACGGCCGCGGTCCGTGCACGAAATCAGAAGCTGGCGGCGACAGTCCTCCAGACACCCGAGCGGTTGCGGCACCTCGTGCAGGCCGGCCGTACAGAAGAAGCCGAGAAGGCCTGGGAGCGGCCACGGCAGCTGCTCGAGGCGTGGCGCGAACAGGGCGTGGGCGGTGACGACGTTGTCGCGTGTTTGGCAGACGGCGCCGCCGCATTACGTGGCGAGCCGAGTCCTGCGGGATGGAGTGTGCAGCCAGCGAGTGAGATATAGACACGTCAGTATGGCGCCGGACATAGTATAATAGTGTGTGGTTGCATTGTGATGTTCTCTCTGTCCCAGGGCGTTACTAGCGAAACCGAAGGATGGTCTGGTTTTAAATTAATACACATTGTGTCTTTTTTTGTCTTTATGTTTCTTTCTCGTCGTGTCTTGTTTAATTTGTCGTATATTTCCACGCTACCCCCTCATACGGTGAATGCCTCCGGTCGGTCGCTGGTACGCTGAGTCGGTGGGTTGTCTAGGTCCCAGATCTCAAACGGATCCCGGTCACGCTCGCTCACTAGTACTACCGCATCCTTGAAGTCTGTGTACTGCGTGATCTGCTTCATCAGCTCACCCTGCAGCCGCGCTGACAGGAACTTCCGCTCCGAGTTACTATGCAACAAACACACCACCCACACACCGCGTGTTGTCGCGTACAGCGCGTCGTGGTGGCTCACCTCGCCCGTGATCAGCATGCTGAACTTGTTGATCTGGTCACGGAAAATGTCGAACCCAGACCCCGCGCACACGCCCACACTGTGAATGTCGTCCAGGTCTGTCAGCGACGCCGACTTGGCCTGCTGTATCCGCGGCCGTGCAACCAGCACATGGCTCATTGACAGCCCCAGCTCGCGCACCGCCCGTCTGATGACCTCAGCCGCAGGTAGCGTATGGTTGAACTGAATGCGCCGGCCGTAGCCCACGTCAAGCGGTTTGCCCTCGCGGTCTAGGGCCAAGTACGACGGCGGCATCCGATCGCGCACGCTCTTGATCACCGTCGTCGACGGCGTGGTTGCGCCGAGCGACTTGGCCACCGTGCTCACCGTGTCGGCCAGCCAGTCGTTTATGCCGAAATGGCCCGCATCCAGCGCCGTATGTGGGCTGTAGACGGCAATGTTGTTTTGCATGAGCTTGAGCAGCGACGCCTGCTGTGGGTCCTGGAGAGTGATGGACTTGAGGCCACGGAAGATGATGGGGTCTAGACGCAGTTAGGAACTTGACAACCAATGTGAACGAAGGAAAGAAACAAACGTACGGTATGCCACAATCACCGTCACATTGTAGGCAATGGCCTCCTCCACAACGTCCGGCGTTAGGTCGTTGGTCAACAGCACGCGCTGGCTTTCGGTCGCGCTTGTTGGCTGCCGGGAATTTTCCAGGAGCAGGCCAACATTGTCCCACGTCCGGTCGGCAAGCTCTTCGGGGAAGCTGTTTGGAGTGGGCATGATTAATATATTGCCCTGCTCAAAGACTAAGCCAAAGGTAAACACTCACAGGCGCCGCATCTCATGCACAACAACATGGGTGAACGGATGAGACGCCATGGTGCTGTTGTTGTTCTGGATGACTGATGGGGAAGTCCCAGACGGAGGCGGAGTGAGAGTGCAGTACGGAGCAGAGGGGATACGAGTGCCACGATGCGGCCCTGATTGCCGTTGGGTGGTAACGAGCCGTAAGGACGAAGACGATGCGGTTGAGAACAGTCGACCACGAGGGCAAGCGAGGACGCGGAGTTGCAGGGCCAGCACGCGGGACTGAATCGAAACAGTGGCTCTGACTGATGAAAACATTCGTGCCAGTATAAGACAAAAGTAGCAGCGCTGCTTTGCCTGTTGTATAGCCGCCACGGTAGGATCTCAATGTTTGCTGTTTTTTCTCTTCTGGACGAAGCAAGCTGGACCACCGAGTCAAGCTTTGCTGGTAATAGAGCTTGCACAGTGTTGTTACCCCACATTGAGCTTAGGGCGCACAGTATACGACCGCCAAGCTGTTTCGACCTTTATGGCGTAATAGCGCATGCGACAGCGTTGACAAATAGAGAGGCATGCCCTGGAACAGCTATGAGAAATCCCGACTGAATTGCTGCACCGAAGCAACAGTACGCAGGCCCGCGCAAGTTGGCCTCCTTTAGTAAAAGCAGAGCACGTTTCTTGTTCAAACCGATCTCGCGTCTCGTTCAAGAGAAAACAATTGGCTCTACGAAATACTGTTGGCTGGTAGAGAATCCTGACTCAAAACGTACGTACGACATACAGTGCGCAAATCTACTGACGACATTAAGTCGGATTTGCTGCCAAAGAAAAACAGCCCGGTCTTACACTCAGAGAAAGACTCACATAGGCAGGCAACGTCCCGCGAAAATTTCAGTTTGCTTCCTATTTTCGGACCGTCTTATCAATCTGATAATCCACACGCAATAGCGACATCCAAGGCATTCTCGCGACACCGGGGCTCCGTGTTTTCACATCCTTCCGCCCTGTCTTTGCGTTCCCCCTATCCCGAGTTTTTCGCCGCCCATCCACAGATCCCCCACAATGGCCGAACAAATAACCGAGCAGTATCTGGTGGCCGCCCTTCGCGACAAGCTCCAGGCCGAGACCGTCGAGGTCACGGACGTTTCCGGTACGTTGTCCGCGGAGCATGCGTGCTTTGTTTCCTCCCCGTGCCCTCCTCGCTGACAATCACAGGCGGCTGCGGCCAAGCGTTCACCGCGATCATCGTGTCGCCACAATTTTCGGGCCTCAACTCGCTGAAGCGCCACCGCCTCGTCAATGCCGCCCTGCGTGAAGAAATCAAGAACATCCATGCGTGGAGCGCAAAGTGCCACACGCCAGAAGAGTGGGCGAAGGAGAGCAACAAGTCCGTAGATACGACGGCGGTGACGGTATAAGAAGCCAGGACGGTGGCGGGTGGGAAGAGACAAAGAGCGCGGGTTTCTGGCTCGTTAACCTCATGATTACCGCAATTTACGAATTTCATTCGGGAAGCACAGTTGGCAAAGGATACTATGCGTGGTATATATTGCGCGTACACGTCATACGTGCCGAGTAGATGCTGGCTCCGTAGAGTGATTGTTTGCCGCATGTCACGAACCTTGGCGATTCCACACAACTGCACGCGCCTCGTTTCGAACAAAACTGTCTTCGGCGGACAGCACGGTTTGGATGGCGTGAGTGCGTCTACAAACCGAAAGATCATACAAGTCCTTACTCATATGATCGAGCGATAAACAGTAGGGATACAGCCGTAGTGCTTGTATTGCTTATATTGCTGGTATATTTGTGAAAGAGTGATATGGCTCCGTAATGTATCTCACCGTAAGCGAGCCCTTTTTGGTGATCCCCCCTCGTCACATAGTCGGGTGCTCTTCTAAAATCGAATCCAAAAATAAAAACTGAAAAAAAGCACGCGGATTGACAAATGCAGAAACAAATAGAGCAATAGAGCAAGCAATGAAACGTGAGACAAATCGCAAATGGAGCGCGCAGAAGCGGACATGAACAATTAGTGCCCATTAGAACGAGGCACAGTCTTAATGCGACATCACCTCGACCGGGTGAGGACCATCGGGTGCAGGCTTGTCCGAATCAACGTCCATCGCATCGTCCTCGGCACCTTCGGCAGCCTCGGCGCCCTCGCCCTCTTCGTCCTCCTCAATCTCGTCGTCACTCTCGCCTTCAATATCGACACTGCCATCGTCTGACATCTCGTCCTCCTCACCATCGGCCTCCCCTTCAACCTCGCCCTCGCCACCAGCCTGCGCGGGACCAGCTTCGTCGGCGCCGTTCATGGCGGCGTCCTCGCCCTCGGGGTTCGGAGCAGGCGCGGCCGTCTCATCCTCCTCGGCGTCTTCGGCCTCGTCGGCACCGTACTCTTCCTCGTCTGCGGCCAGATCGGCCTCGGGCTGTTCGGGAGGGAACTCCGCTGGTGCTGATGCGTCGGAATCCCTGGATAGTTAGTGGGGAACAGAAATGACATGTTTACGGTACTGTGTATTTATGACACGCGGATGGGACGTACCACTTGATGGCGAACCGTGTCACACGCGGCTTCTCCGCCAGCACATTGCGGCGGATGTGGTCGACCTGTGGCTTGGCCGGCGGGTCTGCGTTGAGCTCGTCCGAGTCGTATTCGTTGTTCACATAGTAGCCAACGCGCACAAACTCGCGGCCGTCGTATGCGCACGTCAGCAAAATGACAGTCACGCCCAGGATCTCGGCATCGGGGATGCGCTTCACGTCTGGTGGGTCGGCCTCGAAGATGAACTTGTTCACGCCGACGGGAATCGGTCCGACGAGCAGCGAGTCGAGCTCCTGGTCGTGCTGATCGCTGGTGGCCGAGCCGACGTACGTCAGCTTCCACTCGAGGTCTGTCAACGGTTGGTGTCATGTTAGTTTCTGCGCTGCTGCCTAGTTCCATTCTGCCGCCGCCCTCGCTCCATGCAGCTTGGAGTTCAACACAGGACACCTGGCCTACCCTTTTCCAGCTGCTCGAGACACTCAAAGGTGATTTCGAACTCATAAGAGTCCGTGAACTTGGCGGGGTTGTTGGTGACCTTGACGTCAAGGAGCGATACAATTGACATGTTGGGCAGTTATGAAGCCGACTGGACGGTCGGTTTGAGGTTATTTGAGGCTATTTGTGGGCGCACAAAGGTCGGGAATGCAGGCGCTTTTGAAGCGTGGAAAGTTGGGTCGTTTCAAGAGGAGGCGACTTCGATAGCGAGGAACGAGGATATGCGCGGCGGTGAAGAGTGAGACGGGGCGGATTGGATGAATAGCCTGTGATGGAAGTAAAGAAAGGAGATTATTGGAAAAAGACACGATGAAAGAAGTGGCGTGCCTGTATTTATGTTGTTGTGGTCAGCTGTTGCTGTCGGTGGTGCGAATGGCGGGCGTCGTCTCTGGCTGGTAAGGAAGACGCAAAGCTGTTAAAACGCGGTCGCGCCGAGGGCCTAGTGTGTATCGCACCTGCCTCCCACCCCAACGAAGGCAAGGACGCGTTAAGTGGTTACGCTTCGCCGCCTGGGACGCGCTCTTGCCTGTCGTTGGTCAGGGAGTTAAGGAACGTATTACTATGTAATCCTTATTTCCCTTTTTCGTGGCTGGGAAATATAGAAGGCTGGCTGGTTGGTTCAGTACGTCTTAAATTCGCTAGGCCTAACTAGGAATAACTCATTTACGTTCTGCATGCAGCTTTTCCATTTTAGCGCAGGCCGGCAGCATTGCTTGCTTTCAGTTCAAATCTTTGCCTTTCCATCTCCCAAGGGCGCATCGACGTGAACAAATATACAGCATCGACAGCCAGTCGTGGCGACGAACGGCAACAGTTACGGCACTGAGACAGTTGACTGACCAACTATCATCTCTCCGTATTACACAGAACTTCCATTGCGCTCTCGCTGCCCTCTATTGTCTCTGTTCAGCATAGCGATCGAGCCTGCTATAGCTTCCCATCATCGGTCATCATCCATCAACAACTCGACAAAGACGGCGTAGAGGACCATCCACGCCCATCAATCCAACTTGCGTTTTTGGATAGCGACGGCAGTCTTCACTTCGCCGGAGAAGCTGTGAGGGCAGGGTCGACGTGCGCGCGCGGCACGAGCAGCAGACGCTGAGATAGCAGCTCACGCGACTGCTCAAGAGTCGGTCGACTCGCTCTCTCGCCCTTGAGCGTTGATCGCGGGGCATCGACGGTATGTCAAGACACACTCGGCGGATGCTATAGACATTTGAGTTGGAATCCAGACATGGAGCCTAGTGCAGCTTCCGCGTGTTGTTGACAGTCGCTAACTTCAAATTTAGGTTCACCTTCACGACGTGATTGGGTCGTCCACACCTCGAAACTAGCCACCGCGGCCACTACTTGCGATCATGGCGTCGACTGCCGGCGAAGCCGCGGCCCCGCACGGTACCGACTGGGCTGAGAATGGAGCGGCTATGGATGAACAGGAGGCTCCCTCTGATATGATGCAAATTAGCGAGAGCGAAAAACAAGCTACAGATCTTGATGTCCCTGATGCTGTTGGTGATGCTGTGTACCCCCCCACTGTTGCTGTTACCGAATATGACCCCGGAGCAGCAATTGTTCCCACTGGTGATGAGGCTTCTGACGAAGAAGAGGAAGGTGGAGAGGAAGACGAAGGCGAGGAGGAGGAAGGTGGAGAGGAAGACGAAGGCGAGGAGGAGGAAGGTGGAGAGGAAGACGAAGGCGAGGAGGAGGAAAAAGGTGAGGGTAACGAAGAAGACGCTCCCACAGACGAACCGCACGACGGTACTACGGATGCCATAGAACCGACAGAGTCGACAAATCCAACACCTACGGCTGCACCAGCGTCGATTAAAAAACCGAAAGCCGTGGGTGGCTTCCTCGCTGAAGACTCCGACTCGGAAGACGAAGACAAAACCGCACCGGCAACAGATGACGGTGACGGCGAAGAGTACGACCCGGAACAGCTGACAAGCACCTATGAACCCCCAGCGTCGACAAACAATGGTGCCCAGACGACATCAGCCCCGAACGATGGCCCCTACGGATCCTCTCATAATAATACACAGCACGCCCAGTCTGCACCGCCTCCAGTACAAGCACCACCTCAGGGTGGCCCGGTTGTGCCAGTACCGCAGCAGGCCTCCGAGCTTCTCGCACCGCTTGGCCTTCCTGGTGCGACCTCTGTGGCCGCTCTTGAGACACGGGTCAAGGCTGACCCGCGCGGCGCACTCGACTCGTGGCTTGCATTAATCGATGACCACCGTAGGAACTACCGATTTGACGAGGCTCGGTCGACCTATGACCGGTTCTTCGAAGTATTTCCTCAGGCGGTAAGTTTGCTTGCTATGCGTTACCATGTTCCTGTTCCTGTACCTATGTATATTGCAGCTCTTCATTCGTGTTTTCTTCCTGCGACTAACAACTGCTTCATTCCTAGGCTGAGATGTGGGTTGCCTACCTCAATATGGAGCTCGAACTCGAAAACTTTACCGCGGCAGAAGCCATCTTCAACAAGTCACTGACAAAGGTTGTCAACGTACCGCTCTGGCTTGTTTATCTCGACTATGTGCGGCGGAGGAACAATCTCACTGATGCCGGTTCCGAGGCACGGACGGTAGTTGCTCGCGCGTACGAGTTTGTCCTCGACAACGTTGGCATCGACAGAGACTCTGGCCGAATTTGGCAGGACTACGTGCAGTTTATCCGCTCGGGCCCTGGCACTATCGGTGGCAGCGGCTGGCAGGATCAGCAGAAGATGGACCAACTGCGCAAGGCGTTCCGACGCGCCACCAGTGTACCAATCTCCAATGTTAATCAGCTGTGGAAAGAGTACGACCAGTTTGAGATGGGACTGAACAAGATCACCGGCCGCAAGTTCCTAGCCGAGCGCTCTCCGGCTTACATGTCCGCGAAGAGCGCCAATACCGCGTTGGACAACCTGACTCGTGGACTGAGCCCAACGACACTCTCGCACCTGCCGCCCGTCGCTGGTTTCGAGGGCTACCAGGAATACATGGCACAGGTCGACCTTTGGCAGAAGCGGATTGCCTGGGAGAAGTCGGACCCGCTCGACCTACAAATCGACGAACCGGAGGTCCTCAAGGTACGCATCTTGTACTGCTATAAGCAAGCTCTGATACCGCTTCGGTTCTGGCCCGAGCTCTGGGTGGAGGCGGCCGAGTGGTGTTTTGAGAATGACATCAGGGAGAACAACCGGGAGAAAGGCCTAGACTTTCTCGTCGACGGCATCGAAGCCAACCCAGAGAGTGTCTTGCTCGCGCTTAAGCATGCTGACCGGATCGAATCGACTTACCCTGTCGAAGAGGGCGACGATGCCAAAGTGGCCCGTGGAGCCGCTGTCCGCAAGCCGTACGACAAGGTCATCCAGGCGCTGCGCGATCAATACAAAGCCGTGCAAGATCGCGAAAAACACGACTTGGAGCGCCTCGAGGAGAGATTGGCGGCCTCAAATCAGCAGCCCAACAACCACGATGACGACGACGACGACGACGACGACGACGACCGCCGCGGGTTCAACGGCGAAACCCGCAAGACAGCAACAGATGAAGAGAGGGAAAGACAGACTGCTTTCATCAAGCAGGGCTACGTGGTACAGATGGATACGGTCTCCAAGTGCCTGACGCACGTATGGATTGCCCTAGCTCGTGCGATGCGCCGCATCCAGGGCAAAGGCAGCCCGCAAGGTCCCTTGGGAGGCCTGCGGCATGTGTTTGCCGAGGCGCGCAAAGGTGGTCGTCTTAAGAGTGACATCTACGTTGCCGTTGCGAAAATGGAGTGGAAGTGCTACAACGACAAGGCCGGTGGCAAGATTTTTGAGCGCGGCGCCAAGCTGTTCCCCGAGGACCCGTACTTTATGATTGAGTACATTAAGTACCTGACAGCCCACGGAGACAACACGAGTGAGTCAAACCATCGTCGTACAACCAACCTTCACATGGCCTGGGCATCCTTACTAACGCAAATGTAGACTCCCGGGTTGTTTTTGAGACATGCGTAAACAAACTCGCACAGAAGCCAGAGACTGTTCATAAGGCGAAGCCTCTCCTGGCGTACATGCACAAGCGCGAGGCCGAGTACGGCGAGCTGGCTCGTGTGAATGAGCTGGAAAAGCGCATGGCGGAGCTGTACCCCAACGACCCGAAACTGGCCCTGTTCAGCAAGCGGTTTGCAACGGAGAAGTTCGACCCGGTCAGTGCTCGCCTCATCATCTCGCCTGCGACGCAGCTTCGACCTCGCCTGATCCTGCCGTCGGTCGAGAAGCAGCCGGCCTCCCTGCGCAACAGCCCGATGCCTGGCCACGGATTGCGGGGTAACAGCCCGCGGATGCAGTTCTTGCACGCGCCAGGAGGCAGTGGCGGCGGCACCAACTCGCCCAAGCGACCTTACGTCGCCGATGACTACGATGACGCCAGCGGCAGCCTAAACAACCCACCACGCAAGATTCTCCGTGCGGTCGAACAGCGCGAGTTCCAGCGCGGCGAATCACCCCTCAAAGGTGCAGCCGGCCGTCGTCTGGATCAGCAACGGCGACTTGGCGGCGCCAGCGGTGGTGGATATGGCGGCTACGGGGGTGGTCCTAGTGGTGGTCCGCCAGCACCGCTGCCGACCATGGTAACCTTTTTGCTGGGCCAGATCCCGCCCGCTCCGCAGTACAACGGTCTCCGCTACACGGCCCCAGGCCTTGTGCATCTGCTACGAGAGACGGAGATCGATCCCAACGCTGCGTACGAGGCGTCACGGCGAGGCGGTGCTGGTATCCGTAACTATGGCGCGGGCGGCCGTGGGCAGCACGTCCGGCAGGTATCGGCATCGGACTACCATGGGAGCAGGAACTCACCCGGACTTGGTAGTGGAGGACGTGTTGCATCGGGTGGCTACCAGCAGTCATCGCTGCGCCCGGATTCACAAGATGCATACGAGCCACCGCCAGCGCAAGGCAGCGCACAGCAGTACGACTGGCAGCAGCAGCAGCAGCAGCAGCCGCCGCCGCCACAAGGCCAATTTGGCGGGTACCGGTACTGATTTACCTACTAGGTCTAACTGAGATGAGATAGACAGGAGGCGGGTTTGATTTACTGGGCAGCGCATTTTGCACCAGGGAGATGCAGCCATATTGCGTGCATGTAAAGTACATTTCAAGAAAATCAAGAGACGACCTTGGTACTACTGACATGTGTTGCTTTCAGAACGACGTGGGATGCGACTGATTTCTTCGCATACTTTTTATTCAAAAATTAACTAACATATCTGATTTTATCTGTATCCATTGCATTGCTTTGGTTCGACCACCAAGCGTTTGCTGGCACTGCTATTCGTAGTCATTCTGCTGCTTAGTTGTGGATAGCTCAATGGCAGAGATTGAGAGCTTGTCGCCCGATAAAAAAATGGCTCCCTCCTTGCTTTGCAATACTATTGTCTACCGATTATCGGGCCTCGTCGTTCCTTCCTTCTTCGTCAATTGCTAACATTATATGGCTATCCTCAAGCTAGCTTATCGGGTCACATCACAGCCGGACAGGTTGTCACCACGGTCCGACAATAGGAAAGAACGCTCCTGAATAGGAGGCACTAAGGTACAGCTTCCTTCCCTTTGGTGGACAGAGCAGTAACGGGCTTTCCACTGAATGAAGACTCGATTTTGAAGACAAGGAAAGAACGATTCTGACAGAACAGTCATTGTAGGCAAGACGTACCAGCCGAATAATCGTAGCCAGTACCTAGTACGAAGGTGGAGTGAAGACTGCCTTGCGAAAAATAGCTGTGTGACTACAAAGAGCAGTCCAGACAGGGCATAATAACGCAGAGAGGACTGATGCGAAGGCTATGTCAGGCTGGCATTGTAATTATAGACAGCTTGGTTGACGTTCGTGTGCTCCTTCCATTTTCATTTAAATGCTTTTAGTCCGGACAATCGCTCCTTCCTTGGCTGTGCCCTGTATTGACGCCCTCTGTTTGGCGTGGCAACTGCCTACCGCGTCTTCTTTCGAGAGTTTTTCTTCTTCTTTTTTCTCTTCTTTCTGTCTCTCCACTCTGTTTTCCTCCTGTCTCTCTACTCACCAGAGACAGTGTTGGTCGTTTGTTATCGCCACTGCATCTCCCCTGGCTCTGCTGTCAAATCCTGGTCACCAGGATCGAACCAGCTTGACCAGGACCAGCTTGCCTTTGCGTTGTTGTCTACATTGACTGTCTCTGTTGTTGTTCCTCTCTCTATTTTCTCTGTTGCCTGTCAAATACATCATCACCATCTGCGCGCTTCGGTGGTGTTGTCTTACGTCACGGTGCTGACTTTATTTGTTTGCTTCCCTCTCACCGTATCGGCGTCTGCCGCAGCAAGCTCTTGTCACATTGGTATCGAATATTGCCAGTACTTGCGTCTAAATCTCCAAATATCAATCACATTCAAATCTACTTCAGATTTGCGCTGGTACGTTTATCATTTGATGTTCATAACGACATCACCTACACCCGATCACCGCATCACCACCCCAGCGACTTTATGGCCCTCACCTTGTCATCCTTTTGAACACCACCTCTGCGTCGTCTCCCGCCTCACTTCTATCATCTCATATCTTTGTCTACATGTGACAGCATTTGTTTGCCAGTCTCTCTGTTTGTCACGTCGATGAGTGTTCGTCACCTTACCCACGATCTCTCCTCCCACGACTATAAATATCTTCCTCAGCCCACCTCCCTACCTACATTCCATCTCACTCCCTCTCCCCCTCCCTCTCTCCCTTCGTCTCTCTCTTTTTCTTCAACAGCCTCTTGAATCCGACCAAACGCCTTCTTAAACTCTCTTCTACGCACTCGAAAGAGTCACTGTTTTCCAAATCTCACTTGCACCCCGTCCTCGGCCTCTATACGCACCTCTCAATACCACTCCTCAGAACCTGCAGCCCGGTACTGTTACTCCCCCTTCGTAAATTTCTATCCCTCTAACACAGCTAAGCAGAGGGCATTGTGCGTCGCTTGAATTGATGCAAGGTATGTTTACTGCAAACTCCTGTCGCTCTCCTATTTCAGATTGTTATCGCATGGGCAACTCGAAGTAAAGCAACACCATGAGATACGAGAGCTAACCACCCCTTGTTTTATGTTGGCAGCCTGCTATTTCCTTTGAAAATGACAGGTCGTCCTCCGCAACAGGGCGGACCGCCACCCGGTGGCCAACGCCGCCTCTCGCAGGGTTCCCAGAGCGGTGGACCTCCTCGCGGGATGGCTCACCAACGTGGCACGTCGCAGTCTTCCCAACAGGGACGCCCTCCAAACCTAGATGTTTCCCAGCAAATCCCGTCGGGCTCGCCTGGTCCGTCTAGCCCCCGTGGGCCGCCAAACCCGTTTGGACCCGGTTTGGGTTTTGATCCCGCCCGCAACAAGATAGAAGAAGCGAAGCGCCGGGAAAAGGAAGTTCCCAACCGGATGGACCTGCCGCCTGAGGCGTACAGCATGGCACGTTTATTTCCTGTTTCCCTTCTTTTTTTTCTCCTGCCTCAGCTCATATACATACTAACCAACATATTCTCTTTTATAGGATGGCAAGAAGCCACTCTTTGCTGCCCGCCCGGGCTACAACGAGAAGGACAAGCCTCTCAACATTCGGGTGAACCAATACCGAGTGGAACAGACCAACAGTGTCACTGTGTACCAATACGCTGTAAGATACAACTATCCAATTGCCGAAGCTGACATCGAAAATTAAATTCATATTTCTAACGCACCCCAAATAGGTGTCGCTGGTTCCTGAGCCACCCAAGGCCATCGTCTACAAGAAGTGCTGGGCGTCTCATGCTGTCCAAAAGCAACTCGAGCGACAGCCCCAGGTCTGGCTCTACGACGGGCGAAGCTTGGCCTGGTACGTCCATATTCTTCCACTTTCTATATATTTCATTCCTACTTGAAGACAAGTCCTCCTAACATTACATTTCACAGGTCTATCTGCAACCAGCCAGGCCCCGTCAAAATTGCGATTGACCTGGATGCTGAGGCGGGCAAGACAACCCGCCCGGGGCATCCTAATCAGTATATCATGCTGATTCGGCAGACAAGTGCCATCTACCTGGACAGTCTGATGTCATACCTACGTGGGAAGAGCGGGTGGGATACTCACATCTTGGAGTGCATGAACTTTTTCGATCACGCTCTCCGTCAGAAGCCGTCGCAGTCCATGACTGCTATCCGTCGTAATTTTTACCACCCGCAGTCGCCGAAGCGCGATCTCGACGGCACCATCTATGCCGCAAAGGGCATTTACGCAGCGTTCCGGCTCTCTGAGTCGGTTCGCACGGGTGGCAGCGGTCTCGGTATTAACGTGGACGTTGCCAACACCACGTTTTGGAAGGATCAAACCCTTGACAAGCTTGTCATGAACCTGATCAACATTTCCAGCGACAAGTGGAACGTTCGCACTGCTACAGAGGCCGCGCAGCTTTTGCGGCCCATCCAGTGGCACCTGAACACCAAGCTCAAAGAGCCGACCATGTCCGACGCCTTCAAGGTCATGCGTCGCCTCCACAAGCTGCGCTTCAAGGTCTTTCACCGGGGCAAGACAAACGACTCGAAGATCTACACGATCGCCCGGTTTGCTTGGCACCAGAGATTCATGTTTGAGGGTGCGACGTCTGAGACCTACACGTTCACGCTTCGTAAAACTGGAGAGACTCGGACAGTCTACGACCACTATCTCAAACAATACGACGTCCCACTTCAGTACCCTAAATACCCAGTCATTGAAACGACACGTGACGGGGCGTTCCCTCTTGAAGTCTGCCATATTCTTCCCTGGCAGCGCTACAACTTCAAGCTGAATGGGCAGCAGACGTCTGACATGATCAAGTTCGCTGTTACGCGGCCCGCTGAGCGTGCCAAAAGCATCATGGAAAATGTGAAGCGACTGGGTTGGGACTCTGACGAGTACCTGCGCGAGTTTGGCATCCGTGTCAACCCCGACATGTCCAAGGTGCAGGCCCGCCTCCTCAAGCCGCCTGTTGTGAGCTACAAGAACGGCAACGCCACCCCTGGCACGAGCGGACGGTGGGATCTCCGTTCGAAACTGTTCTACATCAACAACAAAGGCCGGGAGTTGCGTTCGTGGGGAGTTGCTGTGGTGGACAATTGTATGGACTTTCCAGCCGTTCAGAACTTCATCCGCGTCTTTACCAAGACCTTCAAGGATCACGGTGGCCTTGTCGAGAAGAAACCACACTTGGCGAAATTTCCCCGCGGCAAAGATCTGGGTGACGCGTACCAAGAGGCGTACGATGCCACGACAAATGTCAACGGCGGAGAGGATCCGGTCATCATGTTTTGGATTCTGCCTTCCAAAAACTCCTTTCCGTATTACCGCTTGAAGAAAAACGGCGAGTGTCGCTACGGCATGGTTTCTCAGATGCTGAATGCTGCGCATGTTGCCAAAGCTCAGCCCCAGTACTGTTCCAATGTTTCGATGAAGGTCAACGCCAAGCTCGGTGGCACCACCTGCCGCGTTCCGGCAGAGGGCGGATCTCCTTCTGCGCCGGCATTTTTCAACCAGCCTACCATGATCATTGGTCTTGATGTGTCGCACGGCTCAACCAACATGAAAGGCGAGCTGGAGCCCTCCATGGCCGCCATGGCCGTGTCGTGGGACAAGGACGCCGCCAAGTACTCGGCATTTTGTCAGACCAATGGCTACCGCCAAGAGATTGTCAATCCAGTTCGGATGAACAGCATGTTTGACAAGGCACTTCGGAAGTGGACTGAAACGCTCAACTGCAAGATGCCTGCGCATGTGTTCTACTTCCGTGACGGTGTCAGCGAGGGACAGTTTATACAAGTGATGGACTTTGAAGTTGCCCAATTAAAGGAAATCTTCCAGAAGCGTTGTGGCCGCGTGCCCAAGTTCACTGTTATTGTGGCCACGAAGCGTCACCACATCCGCTTCTTCCCAGAGCCCAGCTCTGCCGACCGCAATGGCAACCCACTGCCTGGTACCCTGGTGGAAAAGGAGGTGACCCACCCTTTCCACTACGACTTCTACCTATGCTCGCACACTGCCATCCAAGGCACTGCACGCCCAGTTCATTACCACGTCATCCACGACGAAGTCAAGATGCCACCCCATCTTTTGCAAAAAATGATTTACCAGCAGTGCTACCAGTATGCGCGCTCGACAACCCCGGTGTCTCTACACCCGGCGGTTTACTATGCTCACATAGCTGGTGACCGTGCTCGGGCTCATGAAAACGTTGAATCGGATCGCAAGGACCCGGAGCTCATCAAGAAATCGGTGGAGAACTGGACGGCGAAGAAGTCCTCGGGTAGCATCACGCATCCGACGGAGTCTCTTCCTCTTCTGCCATTCGGTGCCAAGGAGTCCCATGAGAAGAATCGCAACTTCACGCCGTGGACGATGTGGTTCATCTAAGACACTATTTGTGTGTGCTCAGCTCTCTACGTCGTTGACTAGGAAATGCGGGTTTGCAAAGGCAGCACTTTTAAAGGCCATGGTTCCTGAGATTCGATGATTTTTTAACGACAGCATTGTTTCTGCACTGTTATATGCCATGTTTTTTTTTGTTTCAAGTTAGTCGCACGAAGAAGGAGCCGAGATGCTGTTGTGTGCAGGCACCTGCAAGAAGCCAAAAGCACAGGATGTGATGGATCTCACGGGAGATGTGCAAGCACTGTGCTGCAGTTGGTTGTCGTTGCGCTTGCGTTTGCTTTTATATCTTATTTAGAGGATCTCCGTGCTGTCGAGACGAGATGCCATTACAGATAGTTATATGAAAACTTGAGTTCTACTCCAAAGAAAGGACAAAAAGCTAGCCGGTGACAAAGCCGTAGCATGCCGCCCCATCGACTCAAGTTGCAAGTCGTAGGCGATCCGCGCGCTGCAAATGCGATTTCACGGTTTCTCAGCTAAGACGTGTCGATGTTTATAACGGCGATCGCCAACTTTCTACCAAGCCCCTGCGTGTCTCGCTTTGATTGCTCGTGGCTACTTTTTCGTATGTATGCATATGCTCAGACAGTCTGCCCATTTGACCCCCTAAGCTCCCTATATTCTTCCGACACCATTTATGTCCGTTTTATTTTATGCATTTTTTCTTTTTCAGCCACCCATTCTCTCGTCGACAACTGTACATAAATTTTGACCTTACTTATTTTATTGCCACCTTTTTTGGGAAATTTTTGAACGTAGAAATGGCGGCGTTTTAAGTTGAAAATGCCAATTTCAAGCGGACATTGGAATATATTATTTCTAACATCGAAAAAGTGGGGGAAAAGAAAGAAAAACAAAATAAGAACAAATTGTTGATACTGGAACGAAAACAAAAATCAAAATAAGTGAAAATCGACAGTTAAAATAGTTGTCGATAACACTGGATATTTACCCGATACGGGGGTCGAACCCGTAACCTCAAGATTAAAAGTCTTGCGCGCTAGCCAATTGCGCCAATCGGGTCGTATTGTAATCGCATACGCGGACTATTTCATAATATCAAGGGAGGTCTGAAAGGTAAACGTAGTCTTATTGCGACCGCGAAAATGAGCACATGGGAAATCCATGCACAGAATCCATTAATAGACGTTTCCCGATATAGGATGACCTTTCATTCATAGTAGTACACTCGCCGGGCTTTCGTGCCATTTATTTTAATTCTGGAAATTGAACCTTCATTTTTAGGCGTCATCCACTAATTGGGGACCACCGCTGGAGTGCTGTTGGGAACCACTGATTAATATCACGATAGGATGTACAGGTTACAAACCTCAAATTGTATAGACTGGTTTGTTTCGTTATTTTCTATATATATATATATAGTTGGGGGGGGGGGGGGTGTAGTGTAAGTAACAAGCATGTCCAAAATACGCCACAGTTAATTATCAATTTGAGCGGTTGTCATGATCTTCATACAATGAGAGAAATAGACTGGCAGGAAGTCTCGCCTTAAGGCTACAAATGACTCCTACTCGACCCACATTCCAATTCACTCATCATTGTGGCGTACCAAGGGGCAGCTCCCTCTAGTTATGCCCACCAATTCCAAAACGAAACCATCTTAACCACTGCGAGCTTTTAGCCCGGCAAACAGTTCACAGCGTTGCACGAGTTCGGCTGGTGTGCCAAAATCAACCACCATTCCGTTGTCCAGCACCAAGGCACGATCATAATCCATCACAGCCTCGAGTCGATGGTTGATAGCAATCAAAGTCTTGCCAACAAGCCGTGTCTTGATGAGGTTCTCCATCTTTTCCTCTGTATCCTTGTCCACACTGCTTGTCGCCTCGTCCAGCAGCACGATACCACCCCTGTTCTCGCCTTGTGCGCCCTCGCGCCTCTCAACTTCGAGAATGACTCGGGCAACGCTTAGCAGCTGCTCTTCGCCTACCGAGAACTTGAAGCCTCCTTTGCTGGCTGTCAGCCCGCCGGGTGTGTTCATCACCATATCCAGAACGCCGCATTCGCGGAGGACCTGGACAAGATGTTCGTCAGAGAAGGCCGCATGGGGATCGATCCACTGACGCAGCGTATCAAATCCAAGGTGTGGAGTGTCCTGGGAAATAATGTAAAAGCTTTTGCGGAGCTTCTCTAAGGACATGTTGGTGTGTCTAAGACCGTTGACAAAGACAGACCCAACAGGGATGTTGACCATGCGCAGCAACGCGAGATGCATTGTTGACTTGCCTGAGCCCGTCTTGCCGCAGATTGCGACGCGTTCGCCGGCGCGGACATCAAGCGTGACGCCCCGAAGGCTCCAGTGCTGGCCCTGCCGGGGGCGACCGCTTTCGTCCTGGGCAGTAACTGGGTCCACGTCATCCGTAATAATGTCATCGTACGTTGCCCAAATATTCTCAAATCGAATGGTGCCAACACCGGGATCCTGGATTGCTGGGAGCTGCTGACTACCCCCTGCGGCGACGTCTTCTTCAATGGCAGTTTGGCGGTGGAAAAGACTGATGCGTGCAATAGCACCAAGTGACGTTTCGAGGCCTGTCCAGGCCGTCACAAACTGTGTGATTGTCTCGCCAAAGGTGACGGCGTTGAGGAAGGCAACACCAACGGCGCCAGGGCTGATCCTGGATTTCGAGGAACTCTTCAAAGCGACTGACGTGCCCAAGACAACCACCACGAGACCAGCAACGCTCAAGTTCAGTACCAGTTGCAGCCACCGCTGCACTGCATACAATAAATACAGTGGTTCTTGGGAGCGGTCCATCTTGTCGTCAAACCTGTTTCTTGTCTTGTCCACCCAGACTGGGCCATGTGCGCGGATGGTCGAGAGCCCATCACCTGCACCTGTCTCAGATATCTTGGTAACGAGGGCAGCCTTGGCTTCCAACTCATGAAGACGAAGCTGTTTCGATGTGCGCAGATAAAAGTGCTGTACAGCATAGAGTAGAATCAGCATGGCAGGCACGACACCGAGGGCAGGCCACGAAGATGCAGAAGCAATCAGTGCCACCTGAATGAGGGCCGTGAAAAACTCGGACGCCGTATTGAAGAGATCCAAGGGTAGCTGCATATCAACCAGCATCAGATCCTGACTAAACCGGTTGAGAGTGGTGCCTGTGTCGATTTGGCTGATGACTGGGAACTGCGCTTTGAAAACGGTCGTAGCAAGTTGTCCGTGGAGGTTTTCGCCAGAACGGGAGACAATATTAAACTGCTGGTGATAAAGCCATGCGGTGAGGACAAAGAGAGCCAAGACACCGAGTCCAGCGTAGACGCCCAGCCAGTATCCAAGAGGTTTGCTGCTGTCACCAGAGTCCACAGCGTCGGTCCACCACTGGATCCATACGTCGGAGAACTTGAAGCTGATGGCCCAGGAGATAGCACCAAACAAGAAAACCGTCGAGTGTACCCACCCCACGGATTTGAAGTAGGCTTTGAACACGGTCAAGTCTCCAAGGAGCTTGTGTGCCATGGCCACTCGCGGAGGCTCTTCTTCCTCGGATGTGTGTTCCTCGTTTTCTGAAAATCGTGGTTTTGGGGTCGCGTTGGTAGCGTTGCTGGCAACCTCGGGCTGTCCAGCCTCCACTATATTCAGTGATGCAGACGGCTCATCCTCACCGCCATGGCCTTCATCAGCGACAATATCCAAGGAGAACCTGGACAGGTGTCCGGATTCATCGATTCGATATGCCTCGTCAGCCAAGCGAGCAATGTTTTCTGCAGACATGTTAGCAAAAGTAAGTATTGTGAAAGCATATTCTCTCCCTAAAGAAACATACCATCATGCGTGCTGTAGATAATGGTTCTGTCAGAGTTGGCAGGGTTAAGAAGCATCTCGGAAACATGTCGTTGCGTCTTTCTGTCCAAGGCGCTAAAGCCATCGTCGATGATTAGCAGACTACTTTTTGTTGATAGAGCACGGGCGAGAGCGAGTCTCTGACGCTGTCCACCACTAAGTGTAACTCCGCCGGTGCCAATGGCTCCCGACGTAAAGGTGGGCAGCTGGATGATGTCGTCGAGCATGCAGTTCGAAGCAATCTCACGGTAGAAATCAGAGTCGAACGTCTCACTGCCGTACTGCATCAGGTTTCGCTTGGCAGACATGTTTTCGAGCCATGGCTTTTGACTGCAGTAGGCAAGGGATGTAGTCGGAGACAGCGAAAGTACTCCGTGGGTTTTGTACACCTCGCCAATTATGCCCTTCAAAAGAAGCGTCTTGCCACTGCCAACGGGCCCAACAATCGCAATCTTTGATCCTTTCTGGACTTCAAGATTAATATTTGTGAGAACAGGAGTGTCGGACTCGTTCCATGCGAGTGACACATCCTGTAGTGAGACAATAGGTGCGTCGGCGCTGCTGATAGCTCTCTTTTCAGCAAAGGCGCCGTTGTGTCCATTTCTGAAATCTCTGAAATCGGTTTTTTCTTTCAGCTGAAGGAAGGTATTCAGCCGGCCGAAGCAGCCATGGGCAGCACCGAGGCTGGGCAGTACCTGGAAAAGCTGGACCAACGGCGAAGATAAAAGAGCAATAATAACCAAGGACGTGAAAATGGTGGATATGCTAAAGTCTTGGTGCCCGCCGCCAGACGTCCCAACACCGACGTAAACGCCCAGAATAAGAGGCGGGGACAGGATCATAGTGCAGTATGCTGTGAACCAATTCACATCAGTTACGGTTTTGCGTCCGGACAAAGGTAAGCTTTATAGAAATTACAAAATTTGACTTACACAAGAAGCAGGATATGACAATGATCCAGCGAAAAGGAGCCGAGTCCTTTATCTCCGCCGCCCGTAGCTTGTTCAGCATCCCATAGGCCACATCGTCTTGAGAGGTCATTTTAATACCCTTGAGGCTGTCCAGCATGTGCTTTGTGCTCTTCAGGCGCTTCTGTGTGGCGGCAAGCCATTGCTGCTGACGCGCACCCATCCGCTTCACACTCTGCGTAGAAGCCAAACCGGCGACTGTCGCTGTCAGTACGAAGGTTCACTATTGGCACAGACGTGTTCTTTCGTTTCGTTTCGTTTCTTTTTTTTTTTTTTCTCAACTCACTTGCAGCAACTCCAAGCATGACAAGGCATGACGGTCCAAGCTGCCGATAGAGCAGCCACGTCGCCAGGCCCGTTTCGATTGTGCCAGCCCACACCTCGTGGCCGCGGGCACAGGCGCGCATGATCCGTTCCACGTCGTTGACCACAAGCGTCGTAGCCTTGGACTCTATGTCATCACCCTCGGGCAGCTTCATCAACTTGTCGAAAACAACACCTGTGAGTCCGCCACGAATCATTATGGAACACCGGTAGGCCTGGTGCCAGTACCAGCTGGTGGCCGCCGCAATGCCAACGTATGTAAGAGCGGTAGCGCCGATGAGTCCATATCCATAATTGCGCGAGGCGGGCTGGTTTGGGTCTGTCTCTGACTGCAGGTAAGTCAAAGCCGCGTTTGCGAGAAATGGCTGTGTGAAGGAAAACGCTGTGACGGCGAGCCTGGCGATGATGGGGCCTGCCAGGAGATGGCCGAGCGACGAAAATGTGAGAACAATAAGACGATTTGTTGACACGTTGGCCGCGCTCTTGTTCTCTTTGTTTACATACTGGTCGCGAACGCACTGAAATTTGGGCCGGAGGCGCACGGAGAGCAAGCGGTCGTCAATAGGACCAAAATCAGTCGCCTGGAGGGCGTTACGGTAGCCGACTAACAGCAGGCTGTTCAGCCAGTGGAACACAGTGCGGCTGATGGGCCCGGCCAGTATTTCGGCGGGGACCTTTTCATTTTCGCGGAGCAAAATAAGAAGCGCTTTCTTGCCTTTTGTCTCCAGGTAGAGAAGCACAACTCGAATTGCAACGGTGGCGGTCAGTGCGATGGCCAGCCCAATCTCTGCGCCGTTGGTAGAGCCGCTTGCTCTAGCGACGAGCCAGGACGTGCGTGTCCGTGTGGAATCAAAGAGGGATGTCAAGACGAGGAAAATCGACAAGAGCGCTGAAGGTCGGCGCGATGTAAAGTGCTCGATATGCGAGACCAGTGGCAGAAAGATGCTTGTCACAACGAGCGAGACAGCAGCACTGGGTATCGACGTGGTTGTCTTGTTGGGCGCCCGCGCCTGGAAAACAAGGACTGCGACTTGGGCTGCTGTCAATGCCGCAATGGAACAAAGCTTCAGCGGGTAGAGACGTCCACTGCGCACCAAGGCAGGCGATTTGTGTCGATACGCAATGACGACAATGGCGCTGGCCAACAGAGCAAACGTGCCAGCAGGGATGATTGTGAGCACGGCCTCTTCAAAGAGAACTGTAAAATCGAACTCTCGACGGCAAGACGCGACAGCTGGGCCGAAAAGCGTATCGGCCGCGAAGCCGCACAGAGATGGGTCCATGACAGAGCTATGTCGATGTCTGTTGATTGTGCCGCTCGTCTTAGTGCCTGGATCAGATTAAGCTTAAAACGAATAGAAAGTGAAAAGAATGAGCGCGACACACTGGGTATTTCTCTCCGAAACGACATGCGACACGCAGTCGATCATTGCAGTGATTACCCGAAGGATGCGGCTTGGGTCAGCCAAAGCGGCAACGGTGGCAGAGATGCGCCCAAAAGTACGGTTCCGGGCCAAGCCTGAAGAGGAAGGAGACTGGCCGCAATCATGGCGTGCTGCATGCTAATAGCCTTTGCTATGAGAAGCCATTCAACATTGTTGATGTCTTGGTCAAACCGGGACAATGAAGGAAGCCTTTTGCATTTCGACATTGGCATGGCCATTCAGGGGTTCGATTAGCTGCCATTGCGTGATGGTGTTGTGTCAGGTTGGTCAGTCGTAAGCAGCCGGTCTAAAGCCCCATGCTCCGTGTTCCCTAACCTGCTGCCTGGGAATTGATTGCCGACAAGGAGTATTCCACACCGTTGATAGCGTCTCGCGAAGTTGCAATGCTCACGATTTAGAAAAGTACGCGTCAACAACTTTTTTTTTTTTTTTTTTTTTTGGCGGGCAATCACTTATTCCGATGACCGCATAGCTGTTGTAGGGCGGGAAGGTGCGATCAATAAGAGACTGGACACCGTACGTTCAATCAAAGCGTGGTCTCGTGTGGTCTTTGCCAGGAAAGAGCGACCCGGAACACCCCTACGTCCTTACATTTTAGGGCAAGAACGTACGACGACGCGACATGGCAAGCACTATCCACGAAGAAACGCCCTTGCTGGCCGATGATCGCATCGACAGCGATGTTGATGCTGGCCTTGCGAGGCCGGGCGCGGACACAGACAATGATGAAAATGCCGTCGCAGGTTCTGTTACAGCAGCCCACCGCCGTCGAGTGATGATTGTGGTCTTCGCACAGGTCATTATGATCGACTTCGCCGCCTTCTTCCTGGACGTGCCCCAGACAAGCATCCTCGAACGCATTATCTGCGACCGGTACTACAACACTGACGGCGCGAAGAGCGGCGCTGACAATGGCACAATTAGTGTACTGCCGGACTGCACAGCCGGACCCGTCCAGACGGAGCTTGCGACCATCACCCAGATGCTCAACACATTCAACCGTCTGCCAAGTCTCTTTGTGGCCATCCCTCTGGGCATGGCAGCCGATCGCTATGGTCGACGTCCCATCATTATCCTCGTCCTTGTCGGTGCGCTGCTTCAGGACGCCATGGCCAAGGTCGTGCTGTGGCGTCCAGACCTGTTTGCACCGCGTCTCATATGGCTGTCATCCTTGGCCGGCTTTGTTGGTGGCAGCGATGCCGTGGCGTCCTCCGTGGTCTATCTCGTGGTGGCAGATGTGGTCTCGCCACAGGAGCGTGCGCAGGTGTTCTTTGCCTTGACGGCCTGCCAGAAGATTGGGGAGATTGCCGGCACGCCGCTGAGCTCACTGTTGATGTACACGTTCAGCCCCTGGACGCCATATCTCCTGTCCACAGCACTTACACTGCTCGCACTTGCAGTTTTGCTGCTCTACCTCCCAGAAACACTGCAGAAGACCAAAACTGTACAGTCAGTGGCGGCCTCGGATGCAGACGAGGAAGCGGAGGAAGCAACCAACGACGCGTCGTCAGCGCGTACGAAATCGGTAACCCGTGCGATTGTGCCTAAGTTCCGGCCTCTGTTGAAGACCAATATTGTTGCCGTCATATTGGCCTTCTTTGTGTCGGCACTCGGGCGACAGGCAACCAGCTTCTTGCTGCAATATATTCATCAGCGATTCAACTGGACATACGAAAAGGTAAGACAAGCAAGTCAGCCGTGCAAAAGCAATGAAATATACACATGGTGCCGTTTTTGCTAACAGCCATTAGGCAAGCATCCTGGTCACGCTTCGCGCAGCAGTGGACCTCGCCTTGCTCTCCGTTGGCCTTCCGCTTTTCAATCGGATTCTCGTCCAGCGTTATACGCAGAACGCATATGCCAAGGACCTTTTGATCAGCCGTCTGTCTGTTGCCTTCTTTTCCATTGGCTCGCTGGGCATTGCGCTCGCACCGGTCGTGCCTCTGGTGGCCCTCGGTATTATTGTATTTGCGCTTGGCTCAGGCTTTCCTCCCGCAGCACGGAGTCTGGCCACGTCCTTTGTTCGACAAGACGAGGCTGGTCTGCTGTATACGGCGTTGGCCCTGGCACAAACAATCGGTGGGCTTACGGCCGGGCCGCTTCTTGCGTTCTCATTCGAATGGAGCATCAACCATCTCGGTCACGACTGGACGGGCATCCCCTTTGTCCTTGTTGCCGGTTTGTTTGCATTTGGATTCATGGCTCTTACGTTTGTACAAATATAAGCAACATGCTTTCTCCTTGTGTACTAGTATCCGTACTAGAGACGTTAGTTATCTTCAAGGAAGACCGTTGATTAGGAAAATTAGAAGGAATCGCCTTGTTTTACAGATTAAAGCGAACATGTGCTATTCTAGCCGCCGCTTTTTGCGGATTCAGCAGCGGCGAGAGTCACTAAGGAACAGTGTACATAATACAAGGCTCTTACAAGTCCAATTAAACGCCGATAAAAATAAGTGCCCCTTTTCACCGACTTCACCTTGTCATTATTTATTAGTCGTAAACCGTTCTTTTTAAAATCCGTTTTGTATTATTTTAAGGGGTTTTAATAATAAGGGTGTACCGCGATCATACCCGGTAAGAGATTGAAGGATGCGACAGTTCATTGAGGCTTTGTAGGCGGACTTCGAGGTAGTAAACTGTATCCTTGAACATCTCATCATATTCCCCAAGCACTTGAGAGAGATTGTCGTCTAGATTAACGCAGAAGATGCGATCTCGACGTTTGTTGTGAATAATTGCCACCAGTCGCATCTTTCCATGTCTTGCCAAGATCCAATGCAACTTCATCTGCCGAATTGTATACTTACATCCAACAATTCGAAATAACTCGACCAACTGTAAGATCTCCCAAAGGAGGAAACTCTTCATGTGCAAAGCGCTTTTCAACCTCGGTGTCCTCCAAGTCCTCATACGGCCGACGCCATGCTATGATCTCGTAAATGGCCGATCCTAGCGCAAATAGCTCGCGTTTCCGAACGGGCCGGCAGTCAAAGGTTGCGTCCGCGGCACGGCAATTCATACCGCGCTTTTTCGCACACGGCTAGCCTTGTAACTAAGGTACCAACTTTCTGCCTGGAATAGGTAGGAGACCGTTATACCGGATTTGTGCAACTGTCTAGATTAGGCGGACCTGTATCTACTTCTATTTTGGGATTTAACCTCTGTCTAGAGGTAGACATAGTTAAGAGAATTAACAGCTTCAAATTTGGCAATCTTGCTGAACAGTACGAGTAATTTGACCAAATCGGGGGCGCGGAGAGGTAGAGTTGGCTGAAAGTAGCTAAGGCGTAGGAGACCATTGTTGCAATATCAACATATTTACATGCGGGGAAGCACCAGTCGCATCACGGCTCCGTGATAATTCCCATCCTCAAGCAACTATGCTACTCCCATGTTTTCGTTGCCAGAGCTCTGGATAAAAAGAGAACAACATCATAGGCTATCAAATAGGGCAGCCCGCATCCGTTCGCATGGGTGAATGAGACATGCCAGTGAGAGGCAACTCTCTGAGAATTTTGACGAGCCAGTCGCATCTCAGTCTCGTCAAAATAGACAGGAGAACTGGGCCTCGGTCTTGAAATTGGACCTCCTTTCAAAGAGTGACAGACCGTGTGTGTCAAGCTTCGTATCGAAGTCACCTTTTCAGCTCACGTACTTCTTTTTATGTTGCGGGTACACTGTTCCACCAAGTTGTTTGGTGGCTCTCTTGGTTATCCTTAATCTATAAAATATTGTACGGCGTTGAATTGAAGCTCAGACCTACTCCCGATATATCGATATCCCTACTACGGGACGCACTTGTATTTAAATATACTTAAGAACCAAACTACGATGACATTAAATGTGCTTTTCTTTCTTTTTCTTCTTTTTTTTTTTTTCGTTTTTGGCAAAATCATAGTCCCAAAATCCAGACTGTCCCCAAGCAGAGTTCTTCATGAAAGGCACATTGCAGCTTTAGATCCGAACCTCCTTAAATGTTGTTGAGGTCGAAATGCATCCGCACCCTGACCTTTTTTCCTCTCGGATTCTCCCACTCCACCTATCAAGCTCCTGGTTTGCTAGTCGCTTTCAGGATGCGGGTCACAAACGAGCCTCGGCTTGGTTCAAGAGCACAGGGGCCAAGAAAATTTCCGGCGAGCCAAGATGGACATGGGCAATGGAGAAAGATGCCAAGATAAACAGATGCCCAGACTCAAAGGGAGCGAACACGCAGATGCCATTGGCTTACGATATGCATGACGAAGTCCGCCCAATTTGTATTGGAATATCCGTCATCGATGCTAGCAGTTGTCTACGACTTTCCTCCGACTTACAATTGTTCTTGCCGATTTGCGCCAAGCCTCTCCCCCGCAACCACGGAGTAAAGAGGAGGCAAGGGGGCATCAACGCTACGACAACGACTGCTGCGGAATGAAAAGAGTGCGGGGAAGGTGGAGAGATGGACAGAATGGGCAATGGAGATGCAGCGGTAGTCCCACACGGATCTAGACTCAACCCTGTAAGCCTCCTCAGTATGAGCGCGTGTCGTTCCTTCGCGGTCTCATCCCTCTCCTTCTTCCGCGAGCTCAATTAGTTTCAGCCACAGAACCTATGGAGAATATTATAAATATATATTTGTTTCGGGTGCCTTTATGATACCTCGGGATGCTCCAGTACATTTTTTTACATTTTTTGCAGTAATTGTATATGAACTTGAGTAAGATACGATAAAGGAGACTCGAACAAGCAATCGCAAAGCACAGTCAGTCTGGTCACGAACACGAACCAAAGATAGAGCGCAACTTGCAAATGAAGGGCAAAGACTTGGAAACGACCATGCGCCAGATATGCACGCCGCAACACTACAGACACAGACAGCAATACAACATTGGTACTAGCTGGCAGCGACCTAGTCACCGGCCTTGGCCACTTCATCGGGGATCGCCCCGAGCACCTAAGAGGCGAAGGAGAGGGGAAAAGTGGCTTTCCCGGGAGTTGCCTGAAGTGGAAAGGTCATGACATGAGAAATGTTGGGGGAGGAACGAGGAGAACAAGATCAAACTCATGACGTACAACGTACTATTCCTCATAGGAAACGACGAAAGAGCAGAAACTAGTCGAGTGACGGTAATAGAGACGGGGCCGTGTAGCCATCACCTTTTGTCCTTCCCTTGGCTCGAGAACCAAGGCCTGTCGAAATTATGCACTGGATGTCGAGCAGTTTTGTTGCCCCTTCACAGTCTGCCCTCCTTGGCGCGCTTGTTTTTAGGCGGACGCTCCCTCTCCTGGCATGAACGATAAACGACTGTTGTGTTGTTGTTTCGTAGAGACTTTTGCCACAGGATTTCCCCTCCACCGTATCGTCCCCCATTTTTCAACCTTTGGGGTTTCCCCTTTACTCTTGACAACGCCGATAACACGTCACCATGAAGCATCACTGCCCCCCACGTGTGTCTTTGTTCATTTTTGTTTCTTTGCCTCTCTCTCTCGGTACACCGCTTGTTAGTCGTCTTCGTTCAAACATAGCATCCCCACATTATGTTTTCTTGGCAAGACCTACCGTGTGTCGAAGCATGTTTCTCCCCAATGTACTTTGTCTACTTTTCGACTTGCTGATTGATCATTTCTGCCTCTTCCACATCAACCATGATGAACTGCCGCATTTCTGGGAATCGGAACCCAACACCAAGTCGTCTGCCGCCATTGTATAAACCGCGCTTTCTATCCTATCTAATGTGCCGCCATGGCCACAACTATAATGTCTGGGTGCGCCAGATGACATTGTACATGCGGTAGATGTAGTTGGCCAAAAACAACTATATTAAAAGCAATAGAAACGAAAATAGCGACGGCCTACTTCGCTCCCCCGTATTTGGAGAATTAGTCAAAGAAGGGAGATTGCATGCATGAAGAGCGACGTATCTGTCCTACTTTCCCCCATGTCAAAGACCACCTGTACCTCGCCACTCGCATTCCCCTCATATTCATATCTTGGCACACGAGTGTGCCCAGGCCCATCGTTCTTCGCGCTTGTACTTTTTTACCTTTGTCGTGTCATTATTTCCCGTTTTGGTTATCTATCTACTCTCCAGCCAGCTCTTCAGATCGGCAGCTTGCCCAAGTCATACTAAAACGTGCTGCCAAGACCTGCAGTGACCAGCAGTGACCACTTGCCAAGATATCCCGGTTTGTCCCAGCATCCTCAGATGATGCCGCGTCTCCAGATAGACGAGACAGCTACCATGATATTGCTAGACTACCCCAGCACCCGTCCCCACGAATTGGCGTGCATATCCCCTTGACATGACTGCCTGTGCCCCTCGCTCCGTATGATGACAGGGTTTGCTGGACATCCTGTCTCTTGATCGACATATCGTGCCTGTTCCGCCGTCAACTGTTCTTCGTTGCTGCAGTATGTGCCGCAGTAAAACATAGACACATATGATCTTCTGTGTCTGATTTTGATTCGGTCCCTTTCCGTTTTTTGACACTATCATACACCATACACCACGGTTGCTCCTTTGCCCCTGTGTGACCTCTCATAACTTGCAACCTCTTCTGTTGTTGTGTCTACTTCGCTCCATCCCTTTCCACTTTTATTATATCTTTACACCCTCTTTCCCTCTTTCATTTCATGTCATCAGTCTTCGTTCTTGCCGTTGTTCTAATCCTTCCCAACGTATCCCCTCATCATTCCTCTTTATTTTCCCATCCTGCACACCCCTCCTTTTCTGTTTTCTTTTATGAGTGTAACGCCGTTTCTGCCTCGGTGTCTTCGTACAATTTTCGACCACCTACTGTTTTGATTTATTCCATTCCCATTTCACTTTTATAAAAGCAGCCCTCGCTGTTGTCCTACAGAACAGACCTCCCACTATATCGTCTTCAGCGCCTCTTCTTCCCCCCCTTCTTTCACACTTGATCAAGCTGACGCCAGGTCTGGTCTTGCGTTTTACAAGTCTCTGGGTGTTACTCGTTTTACTTGTCCGCACATCCTCCTGCCCTGGTTCCCAGGCTCACAATTTCCATTTATCATCGGTCCAGCCCTCTCGGCATGGCAGGAAGCGACAGTGAAAAGATGCCTGCGGGCACTGATGAAGCCTATCGTGTCCAGACAGAGCTCAGCACCAACGCCATGGACGAAAAGGCCATATCTGGCGGTGACGGGATTAGCAAGGGTGACCATGACGCATTGAACGCCGCGATCCTGAACGAGTACTCTCCCAAGGAACAGCAGCGCATCATGCGGCACGTCGACCGCCGTCTCGTTGTGGTGATTGGCTTCATGTACTGCGTATCGCTCATGGACCGCACGAATCTCGGCGCCGCCAACATTGCAGGCATGGAAACCGACTTGGGCCTCAAGATTGGCACTCGGTACTCGATCATCACGCTCGTCTTCTTTATTCCCTACATCCTGCTGCAGCCGCCCTCGACGGTCATTGTCCGCCGCATCGGGCCCCGGATCCACCTTTCCCTCATCACGTTCCTGTGGGGCTGCGTCATGATCGGTATGGGCTTTGCAAAGTCGTGGGGCGTCATGGCCGGCCTGCGCGTCATACTTGGCATTCTCGAGGCGGGCTTCTTCCCCAGCTGCGTGTATCTGCTCAGTACGTGGTACACCCGATACGAGGTCGGTAAGCGGAACGCGCTGTTTTATCTCCTGGGCTGTGTCGCGTCTGCGTTTGCAGGCGCCCTCGCTGCTGGCATCATGCAGATGGCCGGCATCTCGAACCTGAACGGCTGGCAGTGGATCTTTATCATCCAGGGCCTGATCACGGTCGCCATTGCCATTGTTGGTTTCTGGCTTCTGGTCGACTTCCCGGACTCGAAGCGGAAGACATGGTCTTTCCTGGGCGAGCGCGAGCGCTCCTGGGTGATGGCCCGTGTCCATGCCGACCGTGGTGATGTCACCCTGCCGCCGTTTAATCTTAAAGAGTACCTCACGTGCGGCCTCGACTGGAAGCTCTGGGCCTACGGCATGATGTTCTTCAACACCACCACAGTGACTTACGCGCTTGCGTACTTCTTGCCCATCATCTTGGTCGGCAGCATGGGCTTCTCCGTTGTCGAAGCCCAGTGCCTGGTTGCGCCGCCCTATGTTTTTGCCGGCATCGTAATGATCGCCTCGAGCTGGATCGGCGACCGCTACCGCATCCGTGGTCCGCTTGTCGCCTTCAATGGCCTGCTGTGCCTGATTGGCCTGCCCATCGTCGGATTCCATCACAGTGCCGGCGTGCGCTACTTTGGCGTGTTTTTGCTGACGGCCGGCGCCAATGCCAACGTGCCGACAGTCATGTCGTACCAGGCCAACAACATTCGCGGCCAGTGGAAGCGGGCGTTTGCGAGCGCGCTGTTTGTCGGCTTCGGCGGTGTTGGTGGCATCTGCGGTAGTTTGGTCTTCCGCTCCCAGGATAGCCCCAAATACCGGCCCGGCATTTACGCTTGCATTGCGGTGTCGCTGTTGACTTTGATTTTGGTGGCCATAGTGAGCATCAGCTCCTACCGCAAGAACAAAAGGGCCGACCGTGGTGAGATTGAGCTGGAGGCCCACGAGGTAAGTTTAATTATTATTTTTTAATAGAAATCTGAGAATTCGACGCGTCTTCGTGTTCCTTGTTTGCAGCTTGCTAATATTTTCACAGGAGGACTACCAACCCGGATTCCGCTACACATACTGAAAGGAATTGGATCCCATTCTAAAGCACCCGTCTGCGGTTGCGAAGTGGCAGGGCGGATGGTTGTTGATGTCTTGGACTGACCGTAACATATGTGTCGGCAAGGGACAGTGTATACACTATTTTAATCAAAATAGTTGGGATATAGGTTTCGCTTGCCGTATACAATTCGAATGCCTAGCTTGTCTTCAAAATTGGGGAACGTCGCCTTTTTGGCTGACTAAATTCTAACAACAGGCTTATAGTAGGCTCAGCAACTTGTCTCATCAGACCATGATCTATCTCTTTTTTTCTCACAACCCGTTTTACCTCCCCACGTTTTCTTCTAGAACACGTAACGGAACGACGGATTCTCCTTGTCGGTCAAATCTTCAAAAGCATGGGTATAGCGGTTGTCCGCAGCATCCAGGTTGCCAGCGGCGGCGAGCGATTCGCGTAGCTTGTTCTGGCGCACGAGATAGAAACGCAGGCCAACAATGACTATGACGAGAAGCGAGTAGCATCCCAGGTGCGTGGCGAACGCAATAAAGTACCGCGGGCCGTCCCAGCCCAGGAAGACCTGGGGTCCGATGGCATTGCCGGCCGACCAGATGATAAAGTTCATGGCGACGGCGACGGACTTTTTGGTCTGGCCGGCGACGTTGCGCGAGATCATGGACAGGGCCAGCGTCTGGGCGGACCAGAAAGACAGCGTGATGTAGTAGCAGATCAGCAGACCAATCTGCTGGGCACGGCTGTCGAGCGGCACGGTCATGAGGCAGATGGTGCCGATAAACGACGGAATCACAAAGCCGAGCATGACGAGCAGCGTCTGGTTCGTCTTCTTGACCAGCCACACGGAAGCGAGCAGCACGAGGATGATGTAGAAGCCGAGCACCATGGCGAGGAGCTGCGTCTGAAGAACGTTGAAGCCGAAGCCGGTGATGATGATGCCCTGGAAGGCGCCGAGGCCGCTCGTGGGCAGCGTGGTGCAGAGCGCAATCAGCGCATAGCCCCAGCACTGCGGGTCAAGCAGGGCCTCCACAGCCTGGGCGCGCTTGAACGTGCGGTTCTGGATGCCGGTCTGGTTCTCGCGCACACGCTCAATCATCAGGACCTTGTCCTCCTCGGAGAAACACTTGGCGCGCATGGGACTGTCGGGCATCCACCAGCCAACAAAGGCGCCAAAGATGACAGAGATGATGCCGTACGCAAGGAAGATCCATTGCCACGATTTGAGCGGACCGGTGGTGATCAAGCTGAAGCAGTAGGCCAGAAGACCGCCCACGACCTGCTGCGCGCCGTTCATCATGTACCAGTAGGTGACGCGGGACGCCTGCTCCTCGCGGCGGTACCAGATGCTGGACAGGATGATAAAGGCCGGCTGGCATGCCGACTCAAAGAGGCCGAGCATCGTGCGGACGACCACGAGACCGGTGAAGTTGTGGCAGGCGGCGGTAGCGGCGAGCACAATGCCCCAAGCGATGATGCTAAAGCTCAGGTACTTGGCAATGGGCACGCGCGCAATGATCCAGTTCTGTGGGTATTCGACGATGAGGATGGTGATGTAGATGCAGGTTGTCAGCCAGCTATAGTCCTGGCCGACGAGCTTCGTGTCGGTGCGGATGCCCATGATAGAGGCGAAGGAGAGGGTGCCTTTGTCGATGGTCTGCAGGAAATAGGTGCAGATCATGATGACAAGCACGCGGCGGTCTATCTTGCGGCGCAGCTCGCGGTTCTTCTCCGGCGAGATGTGCACACGCACGTCGGAAACGTACTGTGACAGCTCCTTGTCGATGGCATCGATGTTCATGTCGAGCATCTTGACATCGTGAACATCGCGAGAGACGACAGGTTCGACGCCCAGAGACTGCTCTGGCGCGGCGGCCCGGATGGTCGTCATTTGGAGGGAGATGTGGGTTTGGAGTAGTATGCTTTGGGTCGGGAATTAAACAATGACAGTCAACCAAAAATCAGGGGACAAAAAAAATGTGATCATAAGACCATGTACCGGTGCCGAATATACGATAAGGCAGGAAGAGGGGAGTTTATAGATATGTTCCGCGACGGTGCAGGACGTAAATAAGTTTATGGATATTGTATAGCTGGGGTAGCCTCTCACAAACAAAAAGAAAATCTATAATAGTCACTGCATACGAGAAACATAGAAACAGGACACGAAAATCAGTCAATGGGCATCCTCTCATCAAGACGACAAGAACCTGCTGCCGTGGCAGTCCACCGTATTGCCGTGTGCAGGTGCGTTGCAACAGAGCTAAAAAATAAAACCGAGCAGGGGTGGATTTCCGTTGAATACTTTTTGCAGCCTCTGTCCACTTAACTCTCTCCTCATTTTCGTTTACTCTTTCCCCGCGCGGGGAAGAGCAGGACGGCCAGGCCACATGTTTTCCGGGGCATCTTTGGGGATAATACATAGAAGACAAAAAGAAGACGACAGGCCAAAAATAAGGAGCAAACAGGTGGAGGGGGCAAAAAGAGGGCATGGAAAAATAGCTGGCCGTAGATGGACGCGAGACGGAGGGTGCAAATTCCAGGTCGTATTCCTGTGTCAAACATCGACGCCCTTGACCACCGGAACGAACTGCCGGCGCTAATATGCCCAGGAGTGACAAGGACGACAGGGAGCCACACCCGTGAGCTGTTCATTCGAACATGGAAACGTGACAGGGCGCGAATGTTTGTGTTTGCAGAGAAGCCTAAACTTCGAACAGTCATTATTCCAACAAAAAACCTTCTGTTTCTCTCGCTCCTGCACTCGACAATTGTGTCGTTCACAGTCGATGTCCCGAAGCGATCGCCAAGTGAGCTTGTGTCGACGACGGTCCACCCCAGGCTAGGACGCATCCTGATTCGTGGGGTTTTCTCGGTGTAAACTATTGCGCATGGCCGCATGCTGCCATAGACAGTCGTCGAGTAACAGACAAGGATCATCGTCGAATTGCTGAGCATGGCAATACAGGTTCTGTGCCAAGACGACTGTAGCGGAGCAACGGTCAGCGAGACAACGGTAATGGCATTCGATGCAACTGACTTGTCATGGGGTGACTTACCATGGGGAATGAGGGAACCCCAGTGGACGTTCGGGCGAACATTGTCCGAATTCTGGGGGACAACTACCAACCACGGCGGACATTGACCCAATTCGCATCGGCCGATGTAACTGAACAGGGCACGCCCGCCATTTCCTACCTTGGCATATAGCTCCCCGACACGGCAACATCATTGGCCCACCTTGTGTCGGGCAACCAGTTCCCAAAGGATAGCTGGAGAGTGACCTGGCGTAGCCAAAGAGTACCAGCTGAACCACACGGAGCACATTTATCAGCAAAACTTCGCCGCATCGAGAACCATTCGAGAACGATCACCATGCCTGCCGAACTGTACGGGGTCAAGGCTGTCGATGTGCACGCCAAAATTAAGCTGCTCATCGACGGCCTGGTCAACATCACCGACACAACCGGCGAGTTTTTGATGACCCTCGAGGATGGCCGTGTTATCGACACAAAGGGCTGGAACGATTGGGTGAGCAAGAGCACCGTACACCGTACCGTCGACCTGGTAAATCTTCAAACAACAATTTCCCAAACTGACGTGTCTCAGGAATGGACACATGGTATCGGCCTGCTCGGCCTGTGGCAGTACTATGAGCTCACTGGCGACGCGGAATACCTCGCCATCATCGAGAACTGGTTTCGTGACCGCTTCGCCGCCGGCGGCACCACCAAGAACATCAACACCATGGCCGTGTTCCTGACACTCGCATACGTCTATGAGCGCACACAGAACGAGACCTACCGGCCGTGGCTCGATTCGTGGGCCGAATGGGCGTACCACGACTTGCCGCGCACACGTCACCGCGGCTTCCAGCACATTACTTACCTCGAAGCCAACAAGGACCAGCTGTGGGACGACACGCTGATGATGACCGTGCTGCCGCTGGCCAAGATCGGCCGTGTGCTGGGTCGACCACACTATGTCGCCGAGGCACAGCGGCAGTTTTTGCTGCACGTGCAGTATCTGTGTGATCGGCCGACGGGGCTCTTCTTCCACGGGTGGGAGTTCACGCAAGATCAAGAAGGCAGTTCCACTTCAACTACCGGCCACAATTTCGCCAATGCGCGCTGGGCGCGCGGGAACAGTTGGGTCACCATGGTAATCCCCGAGTTCTTGGAGCTGCTCGAGCCCGACACCAACAGTGCCAATGCCGATGCCATCGGTCTCTTCTTGCGTGACGTCCTTGACGCCCAGTGCAATGCCCTGACAAAGCTGCAAGACCCCTCGGGCCTGTGGCGCACGCTGCTTGACGTGCCAGTCGAGGAGGGCTCGTATCTCGAGGCCAGCGCGACGGCCGGGTTTGCCTACGGCATGCTGAAGGCGCGGAGGAAGCGGTATTGGACCGGCAACACCGAGTCTGCCATTTCTGCCGTCAAGGCCGTTCTCGATAACGTCGACGAGCGCGGCGAGCTGCTAAACACCTCCTTTGGCACTGGCATGGGTCACGACCTGCAGCACTACAAGGACATTCCTGTCACGAGTATGCCGTACGGCCAGGCAATGGCAATCATGGCCCTTGTCGAGTTTCTGCGGCAGTTCATGTAGCATTCTGTATCAGGTCAGAACGTCATCGATAGAGCAAAAATAATAAACTGCAATGATATCCAATAGATGTTGAGCATTGAGTGGCGCTACGTTCGCAGGAAGGAGCCACTCAACAATGCGGGCGATCGAGGAAGGCGCGAGCGTCAATGGCAGAGCCACGTGAGACAAACAGAATTATCGTGACTTGCCGACAATTGCTTCATGGCACCGCCCTTGATTTATCGAACAGCGCACGGAGCCCTGCAACACAGAGCCCTGCAAAGTTGGCAACCGTATACTGACGCGAATTGCTGGGTACATTTTAAGGAGAATGTCCAGCAGTGACACGCTGGTAGGGTATTTTCCATTGACAGCGATGAAACAGGCCAGCATCACGCTGTGAAGTTCATCTAGTCGGATAGACATCCTTACAACTGTATTGCCTCATGCTGTACACATGATCCGGACGCGGTCCGCATCGTGCCCCGGTTGCCGAGCATTGTGGGGACGGGAGCTAACGTGGACCTTGCGTGGACCTTAGGGCACGCGTAATTAGGACGCGCCCAAGCTCCGGCTCCACATGCGGACTTCGCTCCGGGGTTGCGTTGGGCACATTGTCACTAATACCTCCACACTGGGATCTATTGAACCCAAGGTGAGCGCCGTCATCCATACGTCTGAGCAAATGAGGTGGAACGCTTCTGACCACGTGTTGATAGTGAGGCGGGATTCCAGACTACGATTCCATCCCAGACTACGACACAAAACATACTTCGCTCTTCTCACCCGCCCAGTCAACCAGCGAGACGAAAACGTGGCTTCGATGATGTCTGCAACCTCGAATCCCCCAGCCTCCACTCATTTGACTGAAAACCGCACTGCGAGGGCAAGGACAGCGTATTATTTGGCTTTCAGTATACTTTTTGTTTCTGGGACTTAAGATGCTGCGCCTATGTGAACAAGTGGCATAAAAGGAGGACACTCCCATGGTAGTTTCTTCCCTTTTTTCAATTAGTTATTTCTACGGCAGGGACGCAAACGTTGTCCGAAAATAAAGCATTACGTGACGTTTAACAGTTCTCACCGGGAATCCAATCCGATATGATGGTCGCCACAAACGAAGACAAGGCAGTTCCAGTAAGGAAAACGCTGATGTCAAAGGTCCGGTTCCTGACCACAACCGGTGTTGGGCAGTTCGCTGACGGCTATCGTACGTTTGTTTATGTTATATCCCACGGTCCGGTTCACTCGAAATGCAGTTATACTGACGACCAGTCAACACAACTATCGGCCTCGTCGTTCCCATGCTCGGTTACCTATACTGGCAGGACAACAAGAATATCGCCCCGGTCATCCAGCAAGACACTATGAAAAGCGCCCTGCCCATTGGCATGATCATTGGGCAGGTCCTCTTCGGGATATTCGGCGACGCCTTTGGCCGACAGAGCGTCTACGGCAGGGAGCTGCTCTTGACGATGGTCGGGACTCTGCTGGTGATCACCATGCCGCCGCACATGAGCCGCAACGGCGTTGTCTGTTGGGTGACTGTCTTTCGTATAGTCACAGGGCTCGGCATCGGCGGGGACTATCCAATGACAGCATCCCTGGCGGGCGAAGAAAACCTTGGCTGGTCGCGCCGCAAGACTGTGCTTGCAGCCTTCTCGTGGAGCGGCGTCGGTGCCTTGGCAGCTGCGATCATATTTGTGGTGCTACTGGCGGCCTTCAAGTCGTCGGTGGAGGCGAATTTGTACCATCTGCAGTGGGTGTGGCGCCTACTGCTGGGCATCGGCCTTATTCCGTGTGCGCTGACTCTATATGCGCGACTGCGGATTCGCGAGACCCAGCCCTATCGGGAATATGTCGAGGCCCGCACCCAACAGGGCGACCTCCCATCAAAGCACCAACGTGGCCTACATGAGCAATTTGCCGACTTCCGCGCATACTTTGCGGAGTGGCAGCATATGCGCACGCTTCTGGCTATTTCGCTCATCTGGTTTCTGTTTGATATTGCCTTTTACGGCGTTAACCTTAATCAAGGCGTCATCTTGGCGCGCATTGGCGTTTCCGGCGGCAGTACGCCCTGGCAGGTGCTTCACAACACGGCTGTTGGCAACATCATCCAAGTTTCGGCAGGCTACGTTCCAGGCTATTGGCTGGGCATCTTCTTGCCCGACTGGCTCGGTCACCGCCGGCAACAGTTTCTCGGCAGCGCGGCCGTCACGATCCTCTATGCAGCATGGGCCGGCGTGACAAACCACGCGAACACTGGTGGCCTCGTCGCGCTCTTTACAATTTCGCAACTGAGTCTCAACGCCGGCCTGGCGTCCACCACATTCTTGGGTACGTTTACACTCTCCCGTGGACTACACCGAATGGATCCTGGCGAACTAACGTAGCATAGTCCCCGTCGAGGTTTTCCCGACTAAGGTACGCGCGACCAGCCACGGTATCGCCGCCGCCAGTGGCAAGGTCGGCGCCGTCGTGACATCGTTTGCCTTCAACTCGGCCACCAACACCATCGGCCTCAACGGGGTCCTTGGCCTGCTCTCGGGCATCATGTTCCTCTGCACTTTGTTGACATACTATGTGCCTGAGACCAAGGGCCTGTCTCTTGCGGAGATTGAGGCCGACGGCATGTACAAGAACAAAAAAGACGAGCGTGTCGAAGTTGCTTCACCAGTTGTCGAAAGAGGCAACATTTCGGCGGCGCCTAGTTATATGAGTGATTCGGCTGTCGCTTGCAAGGTCTAGTTGCTGTTGTCGCAGGGGAGGATCCAAGTGACGTTACTTATTTCCATGTTCTAGCAGAGTAAGAGCTGAAGGTCACCTGTTCTCGTGGGGTTTGAGTAAAAATTGTACGGTATTTGGTGACATGCAGACCAGACGAAAGAGGAATGCCACACTGTTGTATCCACCAGGGGAAAGTACAGTGGCTCAAGGGTCAACATTTAACAACAGCCAGCACGTGGGCTACAGCGTGCGGCCCGTAGACCGCCTAGCACGCCCCTGTCACAAAAGTGCACTAAAAGCAGCCGTAACACAACAAAGCAAAAAGCTGCCAAAGGAAGGTGCTCGTAAGCAATGCTGGCCGCTCGCAACTTCCTTCTGCGACATACTTTCCCTCTTTTTGTGTTTAGTGATTTTACAGTAAAAATTAAAACATCTGAAATTTGATACTGGGAGCTTAACTCGCGAACCACCGAATTCGACGTCACCCATCATCAATGGCAGGCGACGACAGCCCGACGTCGCCTGTCCTGGCGCTGCGAGCAGCCTTTGGCGACCGAAAGCCGCCCAACATCAGCCGCAAGATCACGGCGTGCGTTGCCTGTCGCAAGCAAAAGGTGAGCAGCCGCTCCGTTTGCACTCTGATTGCAAGTGTTCACTGTGCGCCTTTGTTCCCTTCTCTAACCCCCTCTCCCTCCCCAGATTAAATGCCACATGAACGACGGCCAGGCGCCGTGCACACGCTGTAAGGCGAGGGGCCTTTCGTGCACGGTCAACCGCAGCCTCCAGATGCTCCTGGAGAGCGACACGTCGTGGAAGCATGCCATGGAAGAGAAGATGCGCCGACTCGAGGCCATTGTGTCTAGAGTAGCCAGAGATGCGATGCCAGCCGAAGCCCTAGGACACATCGAAGATGACCAAGCGGACGGCCCCGGAAACCCGAATGACAGCCGCAGTAATGACCAGCTGGATGACCAGGACGGCCGCACCGGGCCTGACGCAGATGGACATCGTAATGGTGACCACGGTGCCAATCACTGGGACATTGTCATGGACCTGGACTCAGGTCCGGGTGCTGTGCCGGGGTTTTACATATCCGACACACCGCCGTCACAGGCCGAGATTGGTGGAAGAGGGCCTGTTGGTGAACGTACCACGCTTGATGGACAACCTGTATGCGGAACTGACAACATGGTGCCTCGGGGAATCCACAACACAATCACCAATCGAGATTTTATCGCGCGTGGCATCGTGCCTCTCGAACGTGCCCAAGCGTACTTTGACCGCTACCACAACCGCATGGACCACTTTCCCTACCGCATTCTCTGTGACCACGGCCCAGTCAGCCTAGCCAGCCTGCGTGCCACGTCTCCGCTTCTGGTTGCCGCTGTCTGCTCGGTGGGCGCACTACACACATACACAGACGACCGTGCTGGGGACCCGGCTGACTTCGACCAGCTGCACGCTGAATTTGTAGCGCAATGTGCGCGCAAAGCCATGTCCAAGACGTGCACCATGGACGACGTACGAGCACTGTGTATCGGTGCCTTCTGGCTCGGTGCTGACTTATCGTGGTCGTTGGTGGGCACCGCCGTTCGAATGGCCACTCAGCTCCAACTGCACCGCTCTTTCCGCCGAGGACTGCGTGATGGAGCCAACCGGAACGACTTTCGGGTGCATTACCTACGCACACGGTTGTGGTACCTCGTCTACGTCTGCGATCACCACTTTTCCGTCGTCTACGGACGACCACCGCTTACACGCGAGGACGAGTCGGTTCGCAACGCGCGCCGGTTTATCGACGGCCCACACGCAACCGAAGACGACGCACGCCTCGTTAGCCAGGTGCTCCGCTGGAGCCTGTGCTCCAACATCTTTGACACATTTGGTGTGGACGCAACGCGGGCCCTGGATGACGTTGAGATACCACATCTGCGCCGCTTTGGCCTCGCTCTGGACGGCCTCCGAGCTGAGTGGGTAGACCGATTCCGTCCTAACCCGCATGTCGGCAACTATCCTCGAAAGGGCGTCCAGCTACAGTATAACTTTGCAAAGCTGTACCTGTACTCACACGCTTTCCGCGGCCTTCCTGACGGTGGACAGAGAATCCGTGGGCCTACGGAGACATACACTCCTGGGGTGCCTCCCACGACTACCCCGACGGCAGCCACCTCTACAGGTTCGTCGCCATCTCTTACAGACGCCGCCATGGACCTTGACGAGGCTTCCAACGCGGGCGTCCTCGCAGCCTTGTCGATACTACGTGCCGTTGTCACCGACGCAGAAATACAGTCGTACCTCAACGGCTTGCCAATCTACTTTGATGTGATGATAGCTTTTGCAGCAGTGTTCCTTCTCAAGGTGGCGTCCGGATGCTCGGCGTCTGTCCTGGTCAACGTGCGAGAAATCACAAGCCTCATTGTCACACTCGTGGCCACACTCAATCGCATAACCGGCACCATGCACCCACGCCACTTACTCGTGAGTATCACAAAAGGCATCGATAACCTACTGCAAAAATCGGGTCTCGTTGGTCTTGACAAGGGCGGCGGTACATTGCCCCAGCAACAGCGGCCAGGATCGACACAGGACTCTTTGACGCCGTCGACCTCCGCCGAAAACGACTCTGACTCCATAGTCGTGCAGTCGATACACGCATCAGATTCTGAAGGCATCCACCAGGCAACACACGAGGCGCATCAGGCAACAGCCCAAATCACGGGAGGTCATCCAATGCCCGGCTTATTTGCTACCGATCAAGCTTGGGCGGGCCACGCACAGGCGGACGTGTATTTTATGGGCGAATACGACATTTTGATGAATCAGGACATGAGCTTCGACATGCAGTTTCCGGTGGATCCTGAAAATTGACAACATCAGGGATGAAAGTGAATCATTGACAAATTAGCTCTCGTCTTCTGTCCCGTCATTGTCGTTGACGCCGGCCCATTCAATATTAGTGGGTCCATCTTACCAAAAGTGCGGCCTTCGTGCCGGGCGGAGTTCGCACCGGTATCCACCAAAATCGGACTTCGTCCCTCACCAGTTGGACTTTTCATCAACAGACAATCAAACCGTCAAGTACGCGTGTAGTTACCGCAGGCAGCAAGATCATGTTGACTGTGGAATATTGCTTTACCTTCAAATTGATAGATGCCCGACGATGGCAAGATGTCCATTGACTACTAAAGACAGCTTTGCCCGATGAGATCTATCGGTTTTGTTTACTTCATCTACAACTTGAATTACTCCGAAATATACAAATTCTGCACAAGTTTCGCACGTCACCAAGAAAACAGTGACGTTGTTCGACTTCCAAACGCATCAGCAGATTGTCAAAATGACCATCACCACTTCAGCCAAGGGTAGCTTTCATTGTCTATATTTTCTTACTGATTGTGAAGCATTCACTAAACACTTTGCCAGATACGATCGTCCTCCATGGCAAAACGTATAAACGGCCAACCCGCCCAACTGTGGTGGTTTGTGTCGACGGATTCGACCCGACCTACCTTGAACAGGGCATCGCCGACGGCACGCTACCGACCCTGGCCAGCTTTGTGAAGAGCGGCTTCCACAGGACAGCCAATGTGGCCATGCCCTCATTTACCAACCCCAACAACGTGTCCATCATCACGGGCGTTCCAACCGCTGTGCACGGTATTGCCGGCAACTACTTTCTAGACAGCGCCACAAACACGGAGCACATGGTGCTAGATGACTCGCTACTGCGCGGATCGACAATTCTAGCCGAAATGGCTGCCCAAGGTGTGCGTGTCGCCGCCGTCACCGCCAAGGACAAGCTGCGGCGTATCATTGACCACGGTCTGGGTCTGGATGTGACGAGCACACAGGGAACGAACTCTCAAAACATATGTTTTTCCACCGAGAAAGCCTGTGACGCCGAGCTGCAGCAGTGGATCGGTCGTCCGCAGCGACCCGACCAATATTCAGGCGATCTGTCGCTGTGTGTGCTCGACGCCGGCATTCGTATCCTGGAAGCAGACCGCGCCGACCTCTTCTATCTCACATTGTCCGACTTTATCCAGCACAAGCACGCGCCCTGTACGCCCGCCGCCAGCGAGTTTATGCAGGGTGTTGACTCCCGCATTGGACGGCTTATTGAGCTCGGCGCTGTCGTCGCCATCACTGGCGATCATGGCATGAGCGACAAGTCGTGCGACGATGGCAAGCCCAACGTGTTGTTCGTGCAAGACGTGCTGGAGGCGCAGTTTGGCTTGCCATCAGGAAGCATCCGTGTCATCTGCCCTATCACCGACCCATTTGTCAAGCATCACGGCGCCCTCGGTGGGTTTGTGCGCGTGCACATTCTTGATGAATCCCTCCGCAGTCAGGTGCCCGCCATGGTCGAGTACCTACGTGGCCTTCCAGCTGTTGAGGCGGCGCTTCTCAAGGAGGATGCGGCACGCCAGCTCGAGATGCCGCTCGATCGCGAAGGCGATTTCGTGGTCGTGTCCAACAAAAACTACGTCGTCGGCGGCCGCGCGGCTGAGCACGACTTGTCGACTCTCGGCGGCCACCGACTGCGCTCACACGGCGGCTTCTCTGAACAGCAGGTCCCTCTGTTGATGTCAGTCCCGATTGTCGAGGACGACAGCACTCGCTTTCGCCAATGGCGTAACTTTAGCATCTTCGATTTGATTCTAAACTATGGGCAGTAGAGGAGGATGCGGACGGGTCTTTGTCTCCACTGTTCTTTCATCCAGTCACTAAATCTCATCAATTCAAATTCGGCATATGTGCGATTGAAGCAGCCCGGTAAACATTTGCACACATTGGAAAATGTTGTTGGAGGAAAAGCAAACCACAGAAATGGTTTTCTCTTAACAGTAAACGAGAGATTACAGCGTCACGGATCTCAAAACGGTAAGAGCGGAACACCCAGAATGTCTCCTTCCGTTTCTGGCAGGTGATGTGGGGCCGTGAACAAATGGGTGCTGTTGGGCCACCAAAATGCACAATCCTAATTGAACGTCGAACTTCACCCAACAGTCTCTGTCGTAGGTTCGTCCAAGACACAACAGCACGCTGTCCTTGACACAACCAAACATTAACACAAGCACACACTCGCAATTATGGTCGACACAAATACTCGCACAGCCCTGTTTGTCATCGACGTCCAGGCCGAAATGGCGCGCGACCCAGCCACGCAAATTCCTCACGCTGACCGCGTCGTCAAAGCTGGCGAGGCAATTCTGCAGGCTGCCAGGCGCGCAATCGTCAATGCCAGTTCCAGTTCCAGCAAGGATAAGACTCCCTCTCTTATTGTTATTGTCCAGCACGAAGAACCAAACGGGACACTGCTCCGTGGCAGTGATGCCTGGCAGCTTGTCCTGCCGCCCCGGCTCGGCGTCGAAACGGAGATTCTCGTTGCCAAAACGACGCAGGACACATTTGAATCGAACCCCGATCTGGCGCAGCGGCTGCGTGACTTGAACATTGGCCGCATCGTGACGTGCGGTATGCAAAGCGAGTGCTGCGTGCTGTCGACAAGCCGCGGCGCGCTGGCGGCAGGTTTTGATGTCACACTGCTGAGCGGTGCGCACTCGACGTACGACGATAGTGGCAAGACGGCCGTGGAGATTGAGCGAGGCGTGGAGGCTGAGCTTCAGGCAAAAGGTGCCCACATCCTTCCGTGGGAGGACGTGATCAAGTCGTGGGAGTAACCGGGATGAGAGTTCCATTCGTTTGTCAGACATATTTATTTGTTTGCATCTCATTGAACATGCAATATATTTCTACCTTGGAGCCCCGTTCCCGCTCGACGCTCCAAATTTGTTCTACGATCGGGGTAAAATACTGCCTGTGTTGGCTAGTTATCACCACTTCTACATGTAGGATGTCGTTTGGTTCAATACATCGATGTCGCTAGCCTTCTTCAAGCAGATATGTAGGGTAACAAAAGAAGATGAAAGGCACCAGATTTACGAATCATACCTCCTGTTATGACGACCGTCTTGTTCGCAAACTTTGACAAATTATCATAAGAGAAGTAATCCACGGGTTTGTTGACATAGCGGCAAGCAGCCAACGTGAAGGATAGAGATCGAGTTTGGACATGCTGATGTTCGTCGTGGTCGTATCGCTCTGTGAGTCTGTTTTTGATGGTATTCTAAGTGTACAACATATTACATACGACTTCATATTTATACACTTTATGACAGGGAAATATTTCAGACTATTGCCCTCTCGCAGCCTTGTCGAAGAATTATTGTTCATAAAACTCGTAAAACAAAATAAAACAAGACCTTCTTTTTGTGCGTTTCCCGGCAGCCAATGAATGTTGCTGAGACTGGTGGCACGGCCTTGTTCGCGAGACTGTTCTTGGAACTGTCCGCCACCGTTCTTGTTCACTTGAACTCATAATTACTATAAGTGTTGTTAAAGACCTGCTTTCCTCGATCTCCTGTGTTATGTTTTTTTTTCATCAACAACTGTACACGCTATTTTACTTTACCTACACACTTGAAATCCCAACGAAATCATTGTCTCCACGCTTACACTTTACTCAAACGTTTGAAAAGGGACTGCTGACTTACGCAGATACGCACAATGGCCCCTGTCATCTCCTCCGCGAGCCTTCGCGTCATAAACGGCACTCACCCTCATAGCGACCGCCTCAAAGTAACCGCCGCCGCCGTTACACCCGTCACGTCCAGGGCAACATTAACTGGTGCACCAGACGATGGGATCACATCCATCACCGTTCTCGGGTTAGTTGCGCTGGCACTTGTCGCCTTCTCCTCCTTGGCTGTAGGAAGCTACTGGATCTACTTGTGCTGTATGCGCAGATATGTCCACAAGCAGCGTTACCAGGGACCACGTGCAGAAGTGGTCACTGGCACGAACAGTGCCGTGCATCCCACAATGATCGGCAATTATGTGGAGGCTGATAACCGTGCTAGCATTGGGTCATCCGTCCAGTCCAATGTTGGCACAAACGTCAACGCTCCTGCTGACACCTCGCAGTTCATTCTTGACGAGCAGTCTCCAGTGACGGTCTCGGCACGGATGAAGGTACCACTAAAGTCGGCAAAGAATAAACCTATTCAAAAAGTCAGTATTCTTCACACCCGACGAGCTCTAGCGCCGTGAGCAGAGCCTCGATGAGCACTCTCGGCAAGTGTAACGCTCAAGTGGCTAGGTGAAGGGTGTGTAGACTGCGATAAGGAAGCTATGGACAAACAATTTGTTCTGGTAGCAGTTTGTTTTATTTCATTTCCTAGCCCGGCCATTTCTGCAATGTCGGTTCTCGTAACCAACGTTCCTGATCCGAGCTCCACGTTTTCCTCTTCACCGAAGCTTTTCTATTTGCTGTTCGTTTAGTTCTGAATAAAACTTCCAACACCAACTTCTTTTGCTCAACCCACAACCAACGTGATGTTTCTTAAGTATATGTCCTCCGTGTGAATATGTTCACAGCTTCAGCGCCGGAAGCGACGAATTCAGCGCAATGTCCACCACGGATCGACCAATAAACACGTATTTTTGCAGGTCGGTAACTACCCAGTTCTGTGCCGTCGTGTCCCAATTGCTAACGTCACGTCGTGTAAGGTTCATGACCACATGCACGCGCTCGCCGGCTGCGACAGCCACATCGTCGAAGCCACGCAACACACCCCATGGGTTGTCGTGGCCGCCAAGCTGCACGTAGAGCTGAGGCACAGCGGTGCCATTCGCGGACCCACGATTATGAACATCAAAGCCAATGGTGTACACCGTGTCGTAGAGGCCCGGGTTTCCCCCGGGTGCCCCGCTAGCGGGTAGAACAGCCTGTGCAGAGCTGTTTGTGCGAGGATCCGTGCCATTGCTCGTCGTCGACGACTTGGGCCAGTTCGGCGAGGAATCGTTGGTCCGGAGGATCCAGGGGTAAATGTACGGCTTAATGCGCTGGAACCCAGCCGGCGCCTCGTTTGCGGCAACGCTGCTATTGATCGCACCGAATGTTTGAGCCGGGCCCGTCGTCGTCTTACTGGGTGCTGGGGCTGATGCTGCACCATCCGCGTCGACAGCTCGGATGGTCAGGTTCTCAAAGTCAAATCGCGTGTACGTCAAGCCGTGGCCAAACGGATAGACCGCCTTTGTATGCGCGTGTTGGAAATAACGGTAGTCGATGAACACGCCTTCGGAAAAATTCTGCGCGGGTGCCCGTGGTGTTGGCGACGAATACATGATTTCTGCGCCGTAGTCCGAGATGGTGCTGCCCCACATGAATGGCGACCGGCCCTGCGGCGCGACATCGCCGTACAACACATCCACAATCGCGTTGCCCGACTCCTGGCCCGGCAAACCCGCCCACAAGATAGCGGTGATGTTCTCGTGGCTTGCCGCGTAGTCGAGGATCACAGGGCCGACCGTGTGCAGCACAACGACGGTGTTGTTGTTGACCGAGGCAACAGCCTTGATCAACGCGTCGCCGTTGCCCCACAGCGTCAGATTCTTGCGGTCGCCCGTGTTGCCGTCAATCGTAATGTAACCCTCGCCTGCGTCGGCGCTGGCAAACACAAGCGCAACATCGGCACCCGCCGCAGCCGCACGTGCGGCATCAAGGTCCCAGTTGTTTGGTGCCTTAACGATCGTCGCGTTGTCGGAAGCTGCACGTTTCTTTAGCGCCGGGGCCGGAGCCACTAAATACGGGAAGTTGCCCGGCCCGCTCCCGTACCCGGTCGCTAGCGTGCCCCGATAGCACTTGTTGTCCACGCAGGCATTGGGACCGCCGGGCGCGTCCTGCGCGTCCTCACCAACGACGGCAATGCGCACGGGCTTCTGCAGTGGAAGCGCCTTGTCACCTTTGTTCTTGAGCAGGACCGTGGATTTGGCGGCAATTTCTCGGATCAAAGCACCATGGTTTCCCTGCACGTCGACGTGCAAGTTGACTTTTTCGATGCTGGCATTGGCGCGGTAGTACACTGGGCCAACTGTGACGTTGGGCGGCACCCAGGCCGAGAAGTTGATGTCTGGGCGCGGCTTGTTGCCGCTCACGGCCGCTACTTTGTAGGAGGCAGCCATGATGCGTACGGCCATGTCATCGACACGCCACGCAGGAATTGAGCCATTAAGCACTGACTCGGTAAGCGCACCGCCCCAGAATGAGCCGTAAATACTGCCCCGTGGACCGCCTTCGCCAGCCATGACCATGTCGAGACCACCAAGAGCCGACTCAACTGTTGAGTGCTGTGCGCCCCAATCGGACATGACTATTGGGGGAGGGGTTGTTAGCGTTGGTCTCAAAGGACTGTTTATAGTCGCAGTTCATGTAGACAAACATACCAAATCCCTGGAAGTTCAGCTCGTTCTTCAACAAATAGTTGAGTGTCCAGCTGTTCTCGCAACTGTAGTTGCCATTGATCTTGTTGTACGAGCACATGACAGAACCGACTCCAGCACGCACGGCGTCGGAAAATGGCCACAAATACAGCTCGTGCATTGTGCGGTCATCAATCGTTACGTCCACATTGTTGCGGTAGTGTTCCTGTTCATTCAAGATGTAGTGCTTGGCTGTTGCCATCACGCCCTGAGACTGCATGCCGCGCACAGTCTCGAACATGCCCACACCCGTCAGGTACGGATCGGGAGAGAAACCCTCCCAATTGCGCCCACCTGCCGGCACACGGCCCAGGGGACCAGCCACGGGCCCAAGCGCAATGTCGACGCCCTTGCCACGGAACTCGGCGCCCATGGCCACGCCACGCCGGTGCATGAGACTGCGGCTGAAAGTGGCAGCCATGTTGATTCCGGCCGGAAAGACAGAGTTTTTGTCCGCTGGGAGATGATTAATATCCTGTATTTATGTTTGTTTTTGTCCTTTGTCCAGTTGGTGAGCGGCTCACATACTGTATCTGACGGTAACTGTCCCGTCTTGTAGGCACATCGATCGGAAGCCCAGTCGTGGAACCGACCCCGTGTTACCGATGCACCGGTCAAACTCCCAGCCCGTGCCGGTCGTCAGGTTGACCTTCTCGACGAGTGTCAGGTTGCTCACAAAGGCACGCGCCTGCGCGTATGCCGCGTCCCAACCGTCACCGCTTCCCTGGCCCCATGGCGATGGGAACAGTGACAGGGACGGTGCACCGGCGGGTGCTTGGGCGTTTGTGTAGCCAGCTGTGCAAAGAACGCCCAGAGTGGCCAGAAAGGCCGACGTGCAAGGCATATTGACGATTGGTGTGACGGTGAAAAGGCGTTAGTTTCACACTATTGCTTTGGGACAGCGAACACAGTCACCAAAGTTATGTCTACAAATTCAAATATGCGTCTTTTACAGACGTCTTTTTGTCTGTCTCGAAAAGTCTCTACCACGACTCCGCAGTCACAATCAACAAATCCGCGTAATCAGCAGCCCGTAAATCGCGTATCTGTTGTGCTCCGAGTTTCCTCTCGCAGCCATATTTACAAGGAACGTGCAATATATATAGAGCCAAACATAGGGGCTAAAATAAGATAGCAGAGACAATAGTATCGAGGAGAAAGATGGATAAACAAATCGGATAAATGGCTGATCCAACACTTTATCCGTTGTGCCAATCGGTACAAACAAAGTGAAGTACGTGACCAGTAGCCAGGAGAGTCATTGGAGATCACGGCAACATAGATTTGCCGTATCCGATTCGGCCTGTGTGCGACAAACGCTCGTCAGTTTCTAGTGTGGCGGCTTTGAATGCTGGCAACTGTGACTCTTGTTTAGTTGTTATGCCTTCAGACAGAGACTCATGACTGTGCACGTTTGCCCATTCACAGTGTATTTGGAACCGGGTTAAAATAGACTTTCGGGCACAAATATCACAAACAAAAGCATCGCCATCAAATCAACACTGCCCTGCAAGTTTTCGCAGGAGACACAGTTGAATCACATTGCAGCTATGTAACCTATCGACCGTTTACGAAACTTATTTTGTCGCAGTCGACGATTATAGTCGAACCACGGTCTACGTCGGTGTCTGTTGGTTATTGGCTATTTCTCCTCCAAGAACGTCTGTTCCTCCAGTCACGGTTGCCATCGTGATCGACCATCCTTTTGAAAATGGTGTTTTATTTACGCTTAAAAAGCTACGTCGGAGGTTTACCTCCATTCACATAGCAAATCACACAACGCAAGACACAGCCAACACGGCATAGCCGTAAATAAGTGCCGGGAACAAACCAATTGGTATATGCGGAGTTTGGTGTGCCGGAGATTTTCACAACAAATCACGCGCAAGAAGGACGAAAAAGAACATGATAAATCTAAGGAAACGAGGTAGAACATCGAGTGTATATTGTTTGCGTCTCGGATAGCAGTCGGTATTTACATCGCGTCTCAAAGTGACGCAGTTGCAAGCTTCGTTAGAAGCAGCCGGGCTCTGCGTCCGGGTTCTGTGGCTTGTATCTGTGTCGTCTTTTGACTTCTGACGCCATTTAGTAGACTGTCCAAGACGGCACATCAATCTGGGGATGTGGGGGCTGCCAGTCATCGTGGGGCGTCCGAAGTCGACGTTGGGCGTTGCAGCTTTGATACTATCCACTTGTCTCGCCCTTTTTCCTGTCTTCATCCTCCCCAACTCGTCCTTCCTTTGTCTGGCAGCCCACAAGTACCGAGAATTTGCCCTTTATCCTGAGCCGGACCGAGTGTGCAAAAAAGGTTGACACCCCGAGCAGCCGTAAATTGCCCGCCGATATGATTTTTTAATAATTTTGGACGGCGCACCCTGCACGCGTGATACTGGCTCAGGCAGAAACAAGATATGGGGACAGTAGAAGACACGCAATAAATACGGCGCACATCAGCCATATATTGGGCTGCTGTCGGCAATTGTAGACCACGCTGTCGAGGTCGGGGACAGCCTATGAGAAGGCAGCTTTATATTGGTCGGGACTTTAATTTCGCATCCCTCCTTCCTCCACCTTTCTCTTTGCCTTCGTCGCGCTTCCTCGGCTGACTTCATTGTCGATGTGGCGATGCCATTTATAGATCCAGGCCTGTCTGTACCCAGGATAAAAGCACCACAACCACGAACCAGAGCGACGCATGGCAGAGCGCAAATTAAATCGTAGAGCGTGCAGGATTTGTTTTGCTTTTGCCAAGCATCGGCATCCCCAGACACAAGACTTGAGTCGAGGCGAGAGGGACATTGCCTCGGGCACACCCTCTTGTGATGGCCACTCGTGCCATTCCTGCGTATATATAGACGAGACCAAGAGCCTTCAAGGTGGCCTTGGCATCTTTTGATTCTTGATTCTCCTTTTCTTCTTCTTCTTCTTCTTTTTCGTCGTCTTCCTTTTCGCCTTACTCCTTCTCCCCAACCCCAGTTGCAACATCTCCGGCGCCCTTTATAACTCTGTTTGTTGACATTATAAAACTCTCAGTTGCTTGTGCGCCCTTTGGTCACCATGAAGTCTCTCGCCGCAACTGTTGTGGCTGCCCTCGCTGCTACAGCCGAGGCCGGTCTGCGCTTCGGCTGCTCGACGCTGACCATCCAGCGCCTCGACCCCGTCGTGCAGCCCGACTCGACGCCGTCCTCCCACCTGCACCACATTGTCGGTGGCAACCAGTTCAACGCCACCATGACCGGCGACGTCGGTGCCCGCGGCACCTGCACGACCTGCCAGATGTCAGAGGACTTTTCCAACTACTGGACGGCCGTCATGTACTTCAAGAGCCCCACCAACGGCTCGTACCACCGCGTGCCTGTCGTTAACAACGCTGCGCTCGCTTCCGGCACCACCGGCGGCATTACTGTGTACTACACGCAGTACGACCTGTCGCGTGACAACCTTAAGCAGCAGCCGATTACGACCTTCAAGCCGGGCTTCCGTATGACGGTCGGCAAGCCAAGCTCGACCGCGGCCGAGGGCAAGACGCACATTGGCCTGTCGTACAACTGCCTGACCACGCTGCTGAACCGTGGCCCGGAGATGCGCGACTTCCCCACGAAGCCCTGCCCGGCCGGCATTTTCGTGACGCACCACTTCCCCGCCTGCTGGGATGGCAAGAACCTCGACAGCCCCGACCACCAGTCGCACATGTACAACACCATCAAGATGGACGGCTTCATGAACGCCGGCGCCTGCCCTTCGTCGCACCCCGTGCGCGTGCCGCAGGTCGTGTACGAGACAGTCTGGGACACGACCAAGTTCAGCGGCTTGTGGAAGGAGGGCCAGCAGCAGCCGTTCGTCTGGAGTTTCGAGGGCAACAGTGGCTACGGCACACACGCCGACTACATGTTCGGCTGGAAGGGTGATGCTCTCGAGCGCGCCATGGCCAAGTCCGAGTGCTTCTATGACGGCTGCGGTGCCATCAAGAAGCAGAGCATGACCGAGGCCAACAAGTGCAAGGTCCGCGAGATGGTCGACGAGAACATTGACGGCTGTAAGTGTCTTTTATGACTTTTGCGATTTTGTGTCTTTGTGATTTTGTGATCAAGTGATCAATGCAGTGTCCTGCTCCTCTCCTTTACGTTCTGAGCTATTTGGTCAATTCACTAACACATCCAGGGGTCACATCCCTTCCCGGCATGGACACGCACTAGATCGACATGACTAGATCAAGGTGGTGTTTGCAGTTGGTGGACAGGGCTAGAGCGGGCGTGGGCCGGCCGTGGTTGCTTTCTTCCTTTCCTTCTCAAATAATATCGCGGCCCATAAATCTTCTCCTTGCTTCCGGGATCAGGGAATGACTGGTCGGTCTGCGAGACAGGTCGTTTGTTCTTGGTCGATAATCAAACAAGCCGTCACTAAACCCAGTGTAACGTGAAACAAATGCCATAAAAAAAACGTATTGAAATGGAAACGTTTTCATGTAACGACGCCTGGAAGCCCCCATCCTGAGGCCTACATAAATTTGCTCTTCACCACTCCCAAAACGAGTCCGCGCTTCTGCCGCGAAACAAACTTGTTAACGTCATCCGCCCAACCCTGGCTCTGTTCCTGTAGGTTGTCGAGGCTGTCGCTCATGAAATTTAGCTTCTCTGTCCGCTGGTTGAGCTGTCGTGTCAGGTACTGGCCCCAGCCTTCCTGGCTGGCCACACCTCGTTGCAATCCAGCTGTCGAGCCATACGCTCCACCCGCACCTGCTCCGCCATACCGCGCCAGGCGTTCTTCCTCGGCCGCCGCCGCCAGCATGCGTTTGCTTGGTGGCCGGCCGGGCCCGCCAACCAGTAAGTCGAGGTCCGTAGGAGAAACATACTGCGTGCCCGAGATCCACTGCAGGTTACTGATTGTCGGCCGCGGCGGTACGGCCAGCTCGGGATTGACGAGTGTGTCGCCCATGTTACCCTCCTGTGGGTTCGCGGGGCCTGCGCTGCGGCCAAACGCCGAAACAATCACCAGCTCCGACGGGCCGGACCAGCCGTACACATCGCCAGACGGCGTGACCACAGCGTCGGTGTGGCGGGATGGCTCAAATCCGCGGAGAGGAGCCTTGCTGATCTCCTTGAGGCCGGGCAGCGAGAACGTCCGCAGAGTCCCGTCACCAAAGACGCCCACAAGTGCGTAGCCGTGTTGTTCGTAATGGGCAACCGAAGCTGAATAACAGAAGGCGTCGTCGAAAGACTTGGACGCTCCCTTGGCAGCCACGGGCTTGAAAATACGGGCCTCTTTCTGCGTTGCCACCACGAGTGTCCCGTTGACGTGCTGGCCACTCCGGAGCCCAGCCACAGATGCTCCTGTGGCCGATGCCGGTGCGCCCGTCTCGGACACAATAGGGCAGATGGCCACGACGCGGTCCTTGTGCTCGGCAATGCCCGCGATCTTGGCGGTGTAGCTGGCGCCCGAAGGGAGCAGCTCGAACGTGATAACTTTTCCTTGGTTCGTGCCCACCAGGCACACGAGGCTCGAGTACGACTTCCCCTCGAGTGACAGCACAGCAAACTCAATGACAGTTGGGAAATCCTTACCGGACGACGAGCTGCTGGTGCTACTGTGCTTGCTGAGAAACGACGACCGTTTCTCCGACTTGGCGAAGTCGGCCATCGAGCCATGGAAAATAACAGCAGGTCCCCGAAGATCAACAATGCTCAGGAACCCGTTCTCAGATCCCGCCGCCACAAAGCCCACGTCTGCTACCTTGAGTGCCGTGATCGGCCCCTGCATCATCTCGTAGCGCACCCACGGCTGCAACCCGTCCTGTAAGTTCTCCTCGGTGCGGCTGCTGATGTCGGTGAAGCCACCAGGGTTGGAGTTCAATGGCTGCGAGTCATCACCTCCTCCTCGGCCGTAGAACTTGTTGGTGCCCCACCGGAACAGAACCACCTCGCCCTGCCGCGTGCCGACGGCAAACTCGCCTGTGCCAGCCGCCAGAGACAATGCAGAAACATCGACATCATGGTCACGGTCGACGGCCCGCGCCACGTCAACCTGCAGCTGCGCTTGGTTCTCAATCTCGTCGGCGTGGCCGGCGTCCCACAGCCGCACGGTGCCGTCAGCGTGGGCTGTCTGGATAATATCGCGGCGTTCGTAGCGCCGACGTGGCTTCGGTGCTTCGGCGCCACCACGGAGCAGCCGCTCGCCTAAATTGCGACTTTCCGTCAGACCCAGCCACCGCTCACGCGCCATGGTTGACACTGCAAAGGTGCCTACAAATGGGCTGACGAAGGAGAGCGACGGGTGCAGCTGGTTGGTCGGGCTGATGGGGTAGCCCGAGGGAAAGCTCAACGTCAGCATCTCGCCCGAGTTCAAAAGGGCAAAGACGGCAATGGGGTCGCTGGCGCCGCCAAAATGCGGCGACTGGCGCGGGGCCAGGCAAAATCCGGTCACTTCTGTGCCTTGTGGAATCTGCAGCAGCTGTTGGCGTTTGCCCTTGAAGTGGTCCGACAAGATCTGCCACGACGACGTCGCGTACACAGGCGTAGGCCCAAGTTCAAGGAACGTGAGGCCCTTTTCAGGCTCGTCGATGGCCAGGCCGCCGGCAATCAGGAGGGCCGTGTCGTCGGGGTTCTTCTTGCAACACCAAGCAATCTGCACAAACGGGTCGATGGCACGAGCGCCTGGTGGGCGGGCAACGGGTTGGTCGACGCTAACATCGTAGAGGCTACGTGCCATAACCACGCGGCCGTCTCGGGGATCCCAGAAAACAAGGCTTCCGTCGTCGTGTGCCGTCAGCACAAAGGTGCCTGTGGGATGCCAAACGGCCTGTGTCAGACGTGGTTTGCGCTGGACCTGGGGCGTCTCGCCGTTGCCACCAGGAGCGCCGGGCGGCACGACATATTCAAAGTACTTGATTGCCTCATTCTGCTTGAACGAGTAGAGTACGGCGCCCGTGGAGTAGCCAATCAGCAGCTGGCCGGCATCGCGCGGGTGCAGCTGCATGGTCACAAGGTTCATGGCCGCTGACGCATCCGTGCCTGGGCCACCGCCCCGGACCCGGGGGTCAACGCCTCCTGGGCGGTTGCGCCAGAGATTCTGGACACGGAAGGGCGAGAGCCGCTCGCGGTCGAGGTCATATGCGATAATGTCGCCGTTGGTCAATCCCAGGAACGCCCAGTCCAGCATGGGGTCTGTGACCATGCACACCGCCGCACCCGCTGAGACGGAGCCGCCAATGCGGTTGCCCGTGTCGAGGTTCCACATCGCGATTTCGCTCTTCGCGTCCAGGCTCACCAGCCGGTTTGCGCTGAACTGGATCTGCCGCAGCGACGCACCGCCCTTGGGCCGGATCACCTTGTTGACGCGTCCGCGGCCGTAAACGTAAATCGTGCCAGGTCCGAAGCGCGACTGGGTCGTGCCCACGGCCATGAGCGACTGGACCGGATCATAAGCTATGCAGCTGTACGCAAAGCCTCAGCAGGGAATCCGGAGCAAACGTCTGGCAGAAATGCGTGTAAGGACGGAGACATACCTGATCTGTGAATCGACGCCATATCGTATCTGTTCTTCAGGGGCAAATAGACCCGGCACAATTCCCGCAGACAGGTCGTTCTGCATGCCTGCCTGCTTTCCCCGAATGAAGCTAGCCATGCTTGGGGATGAGGTAATGGTGGTGACGATGGAGAAGTTGTGGAGGGGCGGACGCGCAAAAAGTAGCAGTAGAGCCAGTCGCGGCCACACGGTCGGGATGTCGCACACCTACCCCGGTTGAGAGCGCGATTGATGCAAGGGAAAGGACGAAGCGTCGGGCTCGCCAGAATAACGAAGCTCCGGCAAATCCGTCGAATGCGAGATTGTTTTCCACGATGACGTGGTGAACTTGGCAACTGAGGTGGGGCCCACAGTACGGGCTGTGGCCTGAAAGGAAACAAAGATTCAGGTCAAATTGCACGTGCCTTATCACGTGATGTTGATCATCACTCTGAAGTATCCTCGGTGTGCACTCAAGTCATTCTTTGGGTGTTTTTTCAGCGTGTGGATGTGAAGAGCTACGGCACAAAGAATTGCCTTTTTGTTCTTATTCTGCTCCTGCACTGAAATAACTTTATGGCATACGTGTTGCAGATCTAACTGATACACAACGCCGAACGTCGATACAGGCCGTGGAACGAGTATAATAGTCTAATCATCTTTGGACGTATAGCCACAGCACCTGGATTTACTGCCCGAAGGTTTTCTTTTGTTTGTGTATGGCCCGAAATTGATAATTTTCACATACTAGCAGAGTTCGGATGCACACAATCGACGACGCCCTTGATTATGGACAGCATTCACACGTCCAGGTTGTGTTAAGACGCGTGTATTGCCTAGGAAGCCACTCTAAACTAGCGGATATTCTTTTCTTTATTATGTTCATTGTGTCCACAATGGTAGTGCGAAGTTCTCGGGCACGATTCTTTTCGGAGGCTAAGAACGCGTAATAAAGGCTGTCAATATCGCGATGTGGACTGTTAAACAGAGGCATATGCTACCGTGCGCTTAATGATCCTCGTCGTTCTATGGTAGCTGATTCGTTAAGAACACATACAGAATATGGTTAGATTTCTTTAAAAATGCAATGCAAAATCAATAAAGTCATGCAGAAACAGAAACTTCAGGCGCGGAAAACTCGACATCATGCAGATTAAAATTAAAATGAGGCCACCACAACTGGAACTTTTGAAATACTGCTTTGTAGCAGTACTTCACGTAAGGTTACCTATCCGGCATAAAGAGCGGGTTAGGGCACATCGGATATTGTGCCCATATCTAAAATTTATTTTACGGGGCGTATTTCAAACTCTGTGCAGTACGGCAGTTGGGATACTTTCCCAATATTTGGCGTACTCCATAATTCAGCTACATGATTACCGTTTTAATTATTTACTAGGCGCTCAGTAAACAAGATCTATAGGGACATTCCCTTTCATTAATGAGGATTTTCCCCCCACATAACACGTCTTAAGCACGTGAAGGCGCGAGTGCAACTGGGGGCAGAAATGTACAGGATTCACCATGAGAGCATTATATTCTCGGCCCAGTGTCTTCAAATCTTTGCCTCGCCTACAGTCCAGCATCTCTCATCATTTCTCTCCTTTTTTTATCTTATGATTTGACCTAAGGTAACGAACATGACAACCGTTCAAAAATATCTTCTTCTGCTCAAGATCATTGAGAAACGTAGACCAGGTTACTGAAATTCCGACGTCCATAAACCTTTATAGCGAAACGAAATTACAGGTCACAGTAAAAGAAATCAATTGAAGCTCAAATCCAGTCAAAAGAAGATAGAAGAGAAAAAAAAAATTGCCCCGAGGGGAAGAGTGCGTATGGAAATCCCTTAAGGGGCTAGCACAGTCCCCAATCATTCATTACCGGTCCTCACTTTTCCCTTTATTTCTCAAATAAAAAATTGAACTGGAGAGAAAAAGAAACAGACGGGAGAGGGGAGAAGCCCTAAATCTCCAGGGTTTGCCAGCGGGATGGCGCGGTCCCCGTCAGTGTACGACGCTGGTTTGTAAACCACAGTCTCTTCCTCCTTTCTTGTCATTGACACAAGGTCATCTCGTCATTTAGAATTTAGATACACACCCCAAAAAAAAAAAAAAAAAAAAAAAAGCATAGAACTTTTCTTCATGTCTGAAAGCAGAAGAGATAAGATCTACTGGGAACTCTCTTTCCAACATATAAAAGGAGTCGAGTGACTGCTTCTTATTATGCCGATGGTATGGGCTTCTCTCCTTGTCTTTCCTCTCCGACAACTTCCAATCTGTCCAAGTCCCATCACCCCAGCCAAACGGAGACTACGTCCAGCAGAGAATTCGACAGGATCATGGACGCAACGACAGCAGCCAACCAGGAGGAGGAACTTAAACGGCAGAAAGCATTCGCTAGTCCCTCGCCAATGGCGTCAACCACGTCAATTGAGGCCGTGGATGGAGAAATCAGCGATTCGTGAGCATACTTACTGTTTTTATCCTTTGGATGAGTCTCGTACTCGAACTAATGCCACCGGTCTGTCCACAAAATAGTCCAATCACATATCACCCCGGCGTCGCGGGCAACAAGATGTTTCAAAATGATCGCATGCAGCTCGGCGAGAACTTCACGGAGATCACGATGCGATGTTGGCACAGAGGTGACGCCGAGGACAAAAAAAACTAAGAACAGAAGGCCAAAAAACAGACACCACCAGCTCCTGAAATCAGCCAAAGAGCTTGATTGTACACCGGCAATTATTATCCAACATACCTGGGCAGCGTCATCTGTTATCTCCAGTTTGAAAGGTCTTTCTCAACTTAAACGTTTTTGCCACTCTATTTTGATTTCCATTCTGTCGTGTCATCTAGCTTCAACAGCAAAAGTCACGACTATTTTGATATTTTTCTACCTGTTTCTATTCTCCTTGGAGGCTTTAGAGTGAAACGCTAAATAGATGCCGTATTTACCCACTTTCCAGCTTCGGCCCGTACCATAATTACTATCTTTACTACTATGAATTTAGCTTACCAGGTGGATTCCAACAACATCTGGTCAGATTTGACCCCGAAGACGAAGAGAAGTAGCAGTGAACGCAGGCACATGTGATACCTCCTTCAAAACTGGAAAAGTTCTGAAATTTCTGTCAGTGTATCTCCTTAATGGCCAACATATGACCTTTTTCAGCCACACGCTGTAATTGGCTCTAATACCTGGTTTTGATCCACTGATACTTCCAGAGCCTTACAACGCGAACTTGGAAGTCACCCTCGTTTCAGCTTTTGCCAGCCTAACTCTCAGCAACTTCTCGATGTCAATAACGCTCTGAAAAGCAACATCACGCGTAGTGTACATGTAAGTTTCGCGCGCCCCATTAAAAAAAGTCATATTTTGGCCACTAAGGACACAACAGCAAAGGTGGGGGTTAATTTAATCCCCGACCCCCGTCTGGCGATCTTGTCAGTATCTGTTTTCCATGTCGTTCCAGGCCCTTCTATGGGGCATTCACCTCGTCAGCTTGTTTTGTTCCCTGTCGATGACTTATATGACCCCAGTTTAAAATGCAACCTTATCAGTGAGTCAGAGGTGAGCCAGTATTCTTTCAACATTTTTACGACCAACGTGCGCTATTAGTATTGGGGGCGTGAAGTGTACAATATACAAGATGTACGGACCTGTCGACAGTGCATGGGGCATGCATAGCTCAAAACTCGCATCGTTCTGTGCAATGCCCAACACTGAAACAACACGGGTCGCAAGAGGAAAATAAGAAAGAACGTCAAAAAAAAAAAAAAAAAAAAAAAATAGAAGAAAGCGGCCAAGCATTCCGTGTAGTTCTTTCCAACCAACCCAGGCATCACAATTTGGTGAGCAATCAGCAACCTACATTAAGCAGTGTCGTAAATCGAGCTCCATGTTCTAATCTCTCAGCCATAAGACAGCAAAGAATTAAAATCTGTCCGTTTAAGATGCCCGTCTTTTCTCGGTCGCAGACGGACGATAAGGGCTCTGTTCGCCTGCTGTGTAAGTCCGGGCAGTGAGAATCGTATTTCACATAAATGAAATTTGAATCGTCTTTAACAGCTTCCTCGAGATGGTGCATGTATCGAGAATGTTAGGCGGTTGCATTGCTGAATAAGAAACTCCCAAATAGCCTAGGCATGTCAGGAACGACAAGCTCAGTCGCCGAAACAAAATCGGAGATCAGAACGACACCGTTGCTCATGACAACAGGTCACTCCCGTTAACTCGTAAATAGAGGCAACGCCTACAAGGATCAACTCCCATGATATGACGAGCTGCCCCTTGGCCACCCAGGACTGTGGCGGCACGGCGGGCAGCAGACTTCCACCGCCCGACAATTATGGGGCCGGGCACTCGGACCACCCAAATAAGACATGAACCAGAAACACAATGACGGCTCCGACCAAACACCGAACTGCAACTCTATACAAGTACTCGTTTGGTTTTCTGTACAAGGAGAAAGTATCAATGCCTTTGATGTGGGACCCAAAACGACAGCCACAATACCCGGTCAAATATGCAATACCAGCAAGCGACGTCGCACAGCATCAACTAGCGCAAAAGTGACAAGGTGTTGCGAGCAATATTAATTTGAGCTAGGCCAAATGCAATGACGGGGAATACGAAAAAGGACCACACGCATGAAAAGAAAAAAAGTGTGAGATAGGCAATGAAAATAATGTATAACTGAAAAGAAAAGAAAAAAATTAAGAAAAACTATGGTCTGAAAATCAACAAGATACCTAGTGTTACACTTTCAAGACCCTTCCCAGACAGCGGGATAATAAAAAACAATACAGCAGTAGAGCCAGCAAAATCAACCACGATTCCAGTGCAAACAAACAAAAGGTGCACCAAAAAAGACCCGAGAGCCCCGACCAAAAACGAAACGAAAAGAAAGGAAAAGAAAAAGGAAACCAAAACGATGGTGGCGCAATACCGCAAAGCTGGTCCTTATTTCCATCGTAGCCGTAGCCCCAAAAATACAGCACCACCTAATTATACCACACAGCAGTCCTCACCAAACAACACTCCCCTTACGATGGTCGCTGGAATCCGGCACCGGGCACAGGCGACGCGCTCATGGGCACTGGCGACGGAGACGGGAC